TTTGTCGTGGTGGTCGTGACTACACGACGACGTGGCACACCCTGAAGATAGCTGAAGATCTGTGTTCGCCTAGTTCTACAAGGAACGAGTGAGTCGGATTGGGTTCATTTAATCTCGGAACGAACTGACATTGAAGCAGAGTTCATCTGAGACAATCAATTGGGGCCGTGAAGAATCAATACACCACGAACAATCTGTTCGGTCATTGGAGGTTCAAGTCTCGGGTCGCCACGGTTAAAGGGAACCTGCATCCTCACGACAAAATCAGCTCAGCGAACAGGATTGAATTGAGGACAGCAGCCACTTACTAACGTTCGGGTCCAATTGGGGACGATCCATCTACGCTGCTAGCCCAGGTTCGTCGGTGGTATAAATCTTAATGATCCCTCGTCCGAACCAACCAAGTAGAGATACCTGAGGTGGTTGGTGGCCAATGTAAGTAAAATGTCAGTTCATGATGAAATAGGCTGATACTCACCATCAGCTCGTTTTGATCATCGAATTGGTAGTCGATTCTCTAAGGATTGGTCGTTAGGTGGTAGGCACGCATCAGATTGTAAAGTACTTGCTTGACTTGCCGTTCCATTCAGTTCTTTGTCAGTTCGCTGACGGCCGTTGAAAGTGAGCTGGTACTGGTAATACGCGGTAAGAACAATGGGTGCCGTTGAGCGTTCATGATAGAAACAGACTGACCTCAAAGTGGGAGCATCCGTAATTATTGCACAGCTGCTGCAATTGTATTATAGTCAGTTCGGCTGCATCGAGACTGACAAACGGGCACTCACCAGGCAGTAAGAGTCAACGGTCACTAATAAAGATTGTTAGCATAGTTCATAAGTAAAGAACTCGACGACGAACCATGCAAAGTCGAATAGGAGGTGATAGGGGATTAGCAAAGGCCGATGAAATGAGCTGAAAGGAAGAGCTGAAGAGGAGGAGGAGACAGGAGATGAGTACCAAAGTGGGAGATGGGTATACCTCAGCCAAAACGACACCCATTATATAGGGAAAAGGTGCGCTATTGTCGGGAACGGTGTTTTCAAGCATATCCGGCATCAGGACGCTTGAGAGCTTCGAGAAAAAAAGAGGAATGCTAAGACTTACGTTGTACGCTAAGCGAGCCAACTAAGCGCGCCTATTACATCACATCAAAGGACGGGGACCTGGCGATTTGAATTGGATGCAGAGAGATGAGTACGGGCGGGAGAAGAGGGTCGGGAATGGACTTGGAATAATTTCCTGGGATGTCGCAGTTGGAGGGGTGTCTGAGGGGTGTCTATGTGAGTAGTATCCATAGTATATGAGTGCCATCAGCGCGCCTACTACACTGTGGCTCGACCTATAATGTAGAATAGTGAACTTGAGTAGGTTTGAGGGTGTGCAAGTTACAGAGGTATTCCAGTGACGGACCCTGGTTTCCACCTCGTTCCAAGCTTCATACGTGTATAGTAAGGCGGCGAATGTGCCCGCATGTGCTCTGCTGCATTACGGCTGCCTGTATCAAAGTCTGGAGACGAAGGGTAAGCCAATGGTGGTACCAGATGAGTGTGCCATTGTACTCACTTTCAGGGAATCATAGGACCAGATTGTGGTCAAGTCTATATTGTTCAATGTCTCTCAGACGCTCGGACCTTGCTAGCTACATCTGTGGTCTGAGGATGAGCAGGAATAGTACCGATGGTTACATCCAAATTGGGGAATTTCCTGACTTGAACCAGATTTGGATGCACTTTCAAACTCCGCTCTTTGCTTCTCACCACCGTTCAACCATCCGCCGCATCGGATCTGCGCCTACTCACGCAACGACATGAAGGGTCCGAATTCTCTTGCGCTTTCTTGGATCAGACGGGTATTTTTATTGGCTGTGGATGCGCCAACGTAGAGCTGGAAATCTGGGAATAATGGGTGGTACGTCAGGTTCATTTTGGAAATGGTGCCGCCGTCTTTGCTTACAATCCCCATCAAGTGTTATTTGAATGGGGCTGGGTGATCCATATCCGCTCTCTGCGCTGCAGACATATGGCACCATTGTCATTGCTCTCCCTTCACACTGTTTTGGTTCATCCGTTCAGTCGCGCTATCCGACTCTGGGTGGCTGCACTTCACAGGCATGTCGCTGGGAGCACCCCAGCCTTCCTAAAAGCGACCTCTGGTCTTCCACCACTGCAAGCCAGCGAACTACACCACAAATTTTCAAAATTGTTGTACGGGCTTCCGCCGACCTGCCCATCGTATCTGTTGTACGGGCATCGTCTACGCCCAGGCATAGTGTCGCAATTTGACCTGGCTTCCACGCGAATGTCTGCCCCATCTCCTCCCTTGTTCCCTTGACTCCGAGGTTCCGTTATTGTTCCCGCTACCCCTCTGACCACCCACTACTCCAGCAAACGGCCATGACCGCTTAGGAATAGCCTCAAAAATCCGAAAATTGTTGTACGAGTGTTCCGCAACCTGCTGTTCGCAATGATTTTGTGTCGACACCTGCCTCCTTCCTTGTTCCCTCGACTCTGAGGTCCCGTTATCATTACCACTACCACTCCCGCTATCCACTACTGCTGCAAACGGCCATGATCGCCCAGGAATAGCACTGAAAATGTGAAAATTGTTGTACGAACGTCCCGCAACTTGCTCTTCATGGTGATTTTGTGCCGACACCTGCCTCCATCTTCTTCCTTGTTCCCTCAACTTGTTCCCACTACCCCTCCCGCTCCCTGCTACTCCAGCAAATGCCCAAGCACGCTTGAAAATACCCCAGAATGTTGAAAATTGTTGTATGAGCATCCCGCGACCAGCTCTTGGCAACCATTCCATGTCGACTTTGTACCGGCACCTGTGCGGCAAACGAAGGAGTTTGATTGCGAAATCCTCAGCGCCACCCTGAAGCCACCGTTCAACCAGCCCTCTAGATTACCTCAAAATGTCAAGTTTAGATCTACGAGCGCCCAGCAACTTGCCCTTACCGTCCATTTTATCCCCTCCTCACGTTGATTCACGAGCGCCAAAGCTGGTAAATATTTGTGCGTTTTGACGGTCAATTTCCTCGCCATTTTACTGCCGTTTGGAGCTCTATTCATTCTTCCAACTTCGCACCAAGTTCCTGCACTGGCATGGATGCTCATCCAATCCCGTTGAACTCTCACTGTAAACTACAGAAGTGCTTGAGCACCTTGTGTTCGCATACTCCTTTCGGTGCCCAACATATCACATTACGTGTCTTCGCTTATCCTTCTGTCAAAGTCATTCGCCGAACCATTGTCTCAACTTACTTACTACATTATCATATCCATCCTACTTATATATTCTGCTGCTTATTGTAGAGTACTGTATTCAGTGTATTGCACCTTCACCAATAAAAGACTTTGGGGAACTCCTATCAATACAGTGACTTACCTCCGATTACCTCAAAAATATTTTCACAGTTCTAACGTAACGGAGTATCTGATCCGAACATGCATCTGCCAAGTCAGAGCGAACAATGGATGCCAAGTGCTGACTGACTTAGCATTGTAACGGGGACTTGCTGGCAGGGAGTGGTCAGTGCACCGTGCTGGAGGGATAAATAGTGGTCAGGAGGAGGGGGAGACGTACCAAGAATCGCCTCGATGCCTGTCTTTCTACATCGCCATGTTCTATGCCGAAACTCAACTAGGGTAAGTCACTTGCTATGTCTAGTAACCAAAACTAACTCTCTATATTATACGGTCAGTAAGGTAAGTCACTGATGGCCGAAGCTAACACTCTACTGCATAAAGGGGAATGCACGGGGAACCTATGCTGCACCGAAACGCAACTGAAAGATGCTTTGGACTACGCTGTTTTTCGTTCCCACGGTATCAAATAAGGAAATTCAACACAAAAAAGGAAAGTCGTTACCAAACAAGGAATCACTGGGGTACGATTTCCGCGAGCAGACTAACGCACAGATCGAGTGATTTAGCGGTGCGTGCACATGCTATTCTGTCGAGGTGGCATACTCATGCGTTCTATTTTCAGCAACGCAAATCCCTCAACATATTTGATGTTGGTGCCGTGCGCTACCGGAAGGAGAGCCAGACCTGCAAATGCGAGACCCACTTCGACGTCGACTGCGAGCGGTGCTTCGACTGGGTCAAGATATGCATGGCAGAAATGACGGGGAACCCATTGCCAGGGAAGGTGAAGCGCTTGAAATGGCCCGTAGACGAATCCGAAATGCATCTTTGATCATATTAATGTGAGCTTCTGCAACCTTGGATTTCTCCGGTTGCTGACGTGCGACTTGGCTTCATAGACCTCCGATGTAAAACACTCGCCAAACGACGCCATTAATGTAGCTTTATGCGGATGTCGGTGGCGTACATTTAGACACTGTGCGCTGAACTTGTGATTCCTTTGATGATATGTCCGTGAAGGCCGGGTGCTGATACGTTATCAAAGGGATCGTCTATTGGCTAAATCGTCCGGATATCCAGCATTGTGGGGCTACCTTGCTAAAGCACCTCAGAAATTGCCTTTGATCAAACACATACCACTTCTCGCGCCCTTCCCACTGTTCTAACTCACCCGCTCAAATGTCTATCTGCATGTTTGCTAAAGGATCGGGATTAGACGAGCTCTCGACTTACGAGGTTGTTGGCGATGTTTTCAGTATGACTTTGGCTACTATCAGTGTCCCAGCATGTGTACAGTTCCAGTCGCTCCCAAGACGACAAGATGCTCGTGACGAGTTCGTCCCGACTAATACCGTAAACGATGCATTTGACTTATGCTGTTACGCGAAAGCTTACCGACCACCGTAGCCACTAACAAGCATGGGGCTTACAAGACCCCAGTCAGGAAGCGGTTGAACCGTGCAAGCGCTCTTGAATAGATATTATGACACAGCTAGGCAAGTCAGGCAGGGAAGTGTCCGTCAAGATCCAATAGATGTAATCAAGAGATGGAGCGAAGATAACATAATATCAGCTGAAGATAGTCCACATCCATAGCGTATATGTGTCCGATGATGCCAGGAAAGGCCGCTACAGAGTGCACAAGATGCCGAATATCCCCCCAAAAAGCAAGGCTGCCATGCCCAACAAAGGCACCCCAATGTCGTGGGGCGCACCGTTGGGAACGGCAGCGTAGGTCGTCGCAAATGCTTGCGAAGGGTTTGGTGCGCCGCTTATTGTTACAGTCGGCGCGTTGGAGTCAGGGGCTGCACCGCTGTCTGAAGAGACTACCGAGAATCTCTTGGACGTGGTGTGCAAGACTCCGTGCGTCGAATTGACGAAAAGGAGAAAGTAGTCGTCCCCGGGGGGTACGTCCTGCAGGAAGACATTGAGAGAGTGAACCGTGTTGGGGACTGTCTCATCGATTGAGTATATCATAAACACCAAGCGAAACTAGGAAGGGGGACTCACCGTTTCTTGCGAGGAAGTGAAGACCGTCCCCGTTCATGCGATTCATCTCAATGTCGAACGAATTGATTCCGTCCATGACTCCTTTGCTCCATGTGATTGGGTTCGCAGCACCTACGTGCCAAACGGTACCTTCCCCAGGAGACGTTACGACGAAATAGGCTACCAAGACAATGAGATGGTCACTGGGCAGTTGATCAAAGGGGCGCACCAGAGACTTGAACAGGCAGGCTGCTCAAGAGAAAGAAACACACAACGAGATAGGAGAATAGATTGAAGTGCATCGTCGAGCTAGCGTGGAGATGCAGGTGTACGGTCAAGGTCTTATTATCAGCAGCGACCTATGTAGTGGTGATGGTCGCCAGTTAGGCAGCGTTCGCCGGCGCTGACAGTGACAGCGGGAAGTGTAGCTTTAAGTTCGAAGTCAAAACTTCAAGAAGACGGAGGGTTAGTCACATGATCTCTAGCGCCCAGTGCGTCAAAGAACTCCTCGTTCCTGTAAGTTCCTGTGGCCACAATGAACATCGATCGCATCATCTGGTGCGCCTGCCAAGTTCACTGGACTTCGGGGATGACTTGAAGAAACGGGTTCAGCGGACCTACTGCATTCTAGTTCCCCCCTCACCCCGACTTCAGCAACGGTTGCAATGAACCATGTGGACTTCAAATTTCGCTTTCGAATTGCTGATTGACCTTTGAGATTTCGGCGCTGAAGATGCTCAGGATTATCGCGCCCGTTCCCGCACAAGCTACGGGGTGGCCGTGCTGGGCGTCGGGGATTTGATATCAATGTTGTCAGGGTATGCTTTTCCATCTCGTGATACTCCAGCAGGACTGCAGCGATCTTTACAGGAATTAGAATGTAGACGAGGACCATAATAGTCCCTAGACGATCACTTGGATTGATTTGGGGTTTGATGCCTCGCGCGGGACTAATATGGTTGATTTGTCCGTGGTGCTCCCCTGGGCAACCTTACCATCACCCCACCATATGCATCGTACGGCGTCGTAATGGACTAACCATTAGGGGTGACTTCCAACGGTATCATTGTCCATTGCTGTCCGAGATACTCCGCACAATTGGATTCCTTTATCACCCGTCTGGTACGGAAGCTCGATGCGACGAGATTGCGCACCGGCGTGGAAGCCTGAAGGAAGATGACCCGCCGCGGGGGTACTGCTTCTAATGGCGGACGATTATAGAGTTCTTCGAAGCAATTCCACAATTCCACATCGGCTGACACGCTATTCCCGCGTGCATTTAATTTTGCGCTTTTCAAATCGTGCAGGGACTGCAAGGGATTTCGCTGACAAAATAGGCTTCGCTCGGACTTAGAGCAATATACGACGGCTAGGGCATGTATTTGAGCCTTGGATGGAGCTCCTACAATCACCAAATAGTGACCTGTCAAAGTTAGTCCTGCGGCGCCTTTTCTGAACGATTTGACATCTTGTCGCAGGTTGATCCCATGCCAACGTAGACTTGCGTCACGAAAACCATGGAAAGCGTTTCGACATTGCGTCAGAGTTCAATTTTCTGCAGACTTCGGTGATTTTTGTGAGTAAGAAATACTTTTCTCCATGTTTTTTGTCATTTACATCCGTTCAACTTGAGAGGTGTATGAACAGATTCACATGCATCAGCCCCTGGAGTGCAACAAATTAATTTCTAGCGTCGATTGGCCGTGAAACCTTCGTTTCCTTCATGATCAACTGTTGGATGGGAAGAAAGGGGAGTAACTGGGAGTAACTGGATTGTCGCGGTATTTCCCATCGACATTGGACTGTAATCGCAAATCTAGACTGCCCCTGCCATTGGAGCTCGATCACTCAGGTATGTGGGCGAATTCCGGCCCTCAAAGATCGGGATCAGTGCGATATTATCCGCCCCTGAGATGGCACTGTTTCATGACTTGACATATAATCCTGGATTGCCCAGTATCGTCTGGTCCTCTTAACCTCCTGTTGCCTCTTGTAAATAATCCGGCAACCTGGGAGCCCCCCCCGTTCATTGTACCATCTCCTCCACCATGTCCAACTTCGACCTCAACCAGACGTTGAACAACACTATCGGTGCCTTGTACATAGGGACAGTCATCGCCGCAGTGTGAGTTCGCTTTCCGAGTGCATCCCCACATCAGCTAGAATGCCTTCTTGTCCAGTCTCTACGGTTTCACGACGCTGCAAACCTACTGGTACTATCACTGGTATGCTCGTCGCGACACTCGTGTACATCAATTTGCAGTAAGTGCCATTCTGTGTCGTTATGCCCCTCTCACTCATCAACTCGTTCTTAGGTAGCTGGACTATGGTGCGTTAAACCGATCGAGCCTGTCCGCGGCGCGGGTTAATTGAATGTCTCCTTCAGGACACTGGATACTCTACATTTAATACTCATTTGTCACGGAGCGTATCATTACATGGTAACAGGCTTTGGTAACTTCATTGGTCTTTTGGGCTTGGTTTGGTGAGGGGATCGAGCAATTCTACCTTCCAGCGTACTGATCGACTTCAACAGGTCCCTAAAGCTCCAAGTCACTATTAACGTTAGTGCTTTTTACGATCTGACCTCTGACGTTGGAGCTGATCTCTCTCGATCAGGTCCTCATCATCTTTTTGGTTCACTCGTATGTTTCCTTCCGGTTCAGACTGCCTCGCTCCAAACTAATGGGTCATTTAGTTTGTATACATACCGAGTTTGGCTCCGTATGTGATTTCCTCCCCTCATCGCATTGCGAGACTTACTCTAGGCTGCTTAGTTGGTGGCTACCACAAGAACGGCCTCATGGCATACATTGTATGTGCTGTGTTGATGGCAGGGTTTGCCATCGGTGTGGTTTTGGCATACGAAGTGTATTCTGTGGGCACATTTGCGGATCATGAGAAGATGGGCGTAAGTGCACTTTGGACCTTCTAACCGCTTGCATTGACTAATCTTTGACGCAGTGGGTGATCATCGCTTCCCTTGCCACATCGACGGCAATAGATTTTGTCATCGCTGGCGCGATGTGCTACTATCTCAAGAAGAGCAAGAGCCCGCAGTCCCAGTAGGTGCACCGCATGCACTACCGCTCTTTGTCCTAACCTTCTTTCTAGCTTGAATTCCAAAATCTCCACTCTCATGCAATTCGTCCTTGGATCTGGTTTCCTTACGAGTGCAACATCAATGGCGGCACTCATCGCAGTGAGTTGATAGTTTCTTAGGAAATTGGGACAAGTCTAACGTGTCATGTGAAGTACGTCGTCATGCCAGATACACTCATTTTCATCGGCATAGAGTCCTTCTTGACCAAGCGTAAGCTGCTCATCCTGCTGATTGTGATTTCTGCTGACATCCCCTTCAGTATACATTAATTCCTTTTTTGCTATGTAAGTCGACCGTCATCAACCGCCGCCAACACAGCATAGCTAACAAGTCCGCCAGGCTCAATGCAAGGAACAACCGCATATCGCCGGACCATGAGGAGCATAGCTTGTCGATACGCATCTCGAGTTTGTCGAAGGGCCCCAACCTCCCCACACCGCCATCTGTATCGACGACGACAGAAAAGAGCATGAATTTCGGACCAAAGGTACTTGCCTCCGCTCTAGAAAAGACTACCATTGACAACCGGTCTCTAGACACCAGAACCACGGAGTTATTCGCCTCCTCTCGAAGAAGTTTAAATTATTTAGGGATCTCTCCAGGATATAATTTGGGAATTTCGTGTTGTACTCTAGCATCCGTTTCTTTGTCGCCCTCCTTTTAGCCATTGCCATGAACGGCGTTCATCTAATCACCTATATTATTGTACAGGTTTACTGGTTATGCCCACAAGTTACTTTTACTTGTACATTTTTGTTGTAATCTGACCGAAGGACACTGTCGTTATTCGATGGGAAATAAATTATACAGTACCACTTTGATTACTCATATGCACATTGAATTGAATCCATTGCAACCGTTGGGGCCTGAGGCAATGACCCTTGCCAAAACTCAGAGAATGTGATAACGTACCCCAGCAGGGTTGTCGATGGGGTCTCCAACAAGTCCATACGTTACTTCCTCAGTTGTTAATAGTATCGGTAATGCCCCAGGAGTATCAAACAGTGTTTACATTACTACAAGTATGTGTGGTGTGCGCGAAGGCATATGGTACAGAGTCCAGGAAGGGGGATACAGATACAGCAAAAAATCGGTACGTAGGTCGGGAAGCCCGTCAAGCAAGGAACTCGGAGTGGTCCCTCCATCTGGCATCTTCGCACCCTAACCATTCTAACCATTCGGATACATGGTACAACACGCGGCGCCTCGGCCATTGTTCCAACTCGACAACGGTATCATCAGCATTCCTAACGACAGTCCAGTAATTTGAGCCCACACGGATCAGGCGGACCATAGGGAACCCTTGCTCGACAATGGCGGAGATAGGGCTCCGGATGGTGAGATCTGACAGTCCTATATAGCGTAACGATGGGGGCACGCCGATCCGAAGTTGCTGAGGGCTTCATCAGCATCAAAACATGAGACAGGTAAGGAAAGACATACATTGAGAAATTGGACAGGGTCTCGCATTGGGAGAGCTTCGTAGTCCAGGTTTAATGCGAGAACAGACCTCGGTACCAGCCACGACGCCAGACCCGGAGAGAGATCAATGGGATATGTGATAGAGAGGCTTTTCAAAGCGACTAAAGAAGGTAGAACACCCCAGATGGACGCATCGAAGCCAACGGCACGCTGAACGTGTTCATCTGGTACCGAGAGATGAAGGGTTTTCAGTTGCTTTCTCTCACGAAGGAAGTCGGCAATAGCAGGGAACATATCAGGATCACTGAACCGTCGATTCATACGGTTGACTCTGAATGCAAAGTATCGTAGGAAAGGTAATGCCGTCGGCAGCTCTCTGAATTGGGACGACAGCCCACATTCCAGGTAGCAACCAATGCTGAGCGATTCCAGTTGTCGGCCATCATTGAGAAGATCGTAAATGGTGTGGCTGTGAAGTGGGAATTGACCGACGAAGTTGACGTGCGTGAGATTGCGAAGGGACAAAAACTCGGAGGGGAAGGGCCAAGTCGAAGCGTCCAATGAGATTATGCGCAGTGTGTTCCGGTTCTGGGAAACAAATTGGCAGATCTGAGTGATATCACTGTTGCCTTTTGTCGTCCGGTAGGACAATTGTGCAAGATGTTTGAACTCCAAGCACGCGATCTCTCCAAGACCATCAGGGGAGCTTTCAGAAGGTTAGCTTCCGTCGTAAAGTTGAATGATGCATACTTACGAGATGGATAGACCGCGAAGTTTCGGACTAGTGTTTTGCAGGATTCGGAGCATGGGAAGGAGTCCATCAGAGCTCGCCGCAATATGTACGTTCTTCAGATTGATCAGTTTTGGTAGCGCATTGGCCAACATCCCTATTGAGAAGCGTGTCATTACCCCATGATCCCTTGTTCGAAAGTTCGTACCAATCTGAAAGGCCAGGGTGCCATCTCTATCACGTTTTGTGGCGTATATACGGAGTGTTTTGACAAGACTTGCGAAGGAAGGGTCGAGGATGATTCGGGTCAGGATGTCCGCGCTTCTCTGCGAGTGCCAGGACTCTTGTTCTTTATTCAGGTTATGCGAATGCCACGAATCATCTTCATCCTCATCTGACCATCCGCTAAAATAGAGATTGATTTTACGGAAGAGCAGCTGGCTAGCAATTTTGGATAGGGTATGGGGTACCCAGAGCAGGGTCTTCAAATCACGTCGGGGGAGGAAGAGCACGATTTGTCTCCAAATCTCGGCAGAGAACTTGACACCCGTATCTGTTGAAGGATTGACGGGGGATTGCTGCCCAAAACTACAATTAGCCAGAAGTCGCAAACGCAGACCTAATACGATGATACCTTCTCGGGCGTTGCTCTGTCTTGGAGAAGGCTCTTCGCCTCTTCATTTTCTGGTTCGGCCATGAGCGCAGCCTCGAGATCTGCACCAGAGGCAAGCATGAGAGACTGGTGGAGGGCGTAGAAACTGATGGGGGCGCAATACCTTCTTGTGCGCCAAAGTGCATGCCCCCAGCAAGCCTGGCCTTTGCTCTGAGAACCCGTGCTTTGGCGACATTAGTGCACGTCAGGTTGCTGATCTGAAGACAAGACTGGACTGCATTCTCGATTATCGTTCTAGATTGCCTGAATATGCCATGACGCGGACGCGGAATCTCAGCTGAGTTTGTCTGCGGCGCCGGCTAAACGGGCAGAAAGTGATCTACTTCCACTCACCCTTCTGGATTTATGTTTTCCAAAGCGTAGAGCAGGACGTCAGCTTTCTGGTGGTCCGATAGACAGTTGGCCACGTCTCGAAGGCTGGCGTCGAGTATTCTGGGGTTGAAGACGGCCATGTTGCGGTAAGGATGGAGATTCGAAGGCGCTACAACCGTGTGGTCGTGCACATAAATCTCCTCAGCACGCCCCACCGCGAAGGTACCCGACAGGACCCAGAACAAGGCCTTTTATCTACCGTGGGCAAAAGCAACTGAAACAGATCATTTCTAATGGATTTTACTGGAAGACGCGGCGTCTCAGGCACGCGTTGGATGATAACAGGCCACACATCATATATCTCAAGGTCGCCGACGCTTCCTACGCTTCTTGGACGGAAACGAAGCGATCGAGCCCACTGGCGTGGCGAATCACATTCATTGGATTGACATCAGGCAGTCTAAGAACAGTAGCGAGGTCGTTCGGCGCACAGGAATCTACCCTAACATCAGCCGTTGGCCGCCTATGGACACCACCCAAGGTTATTATTGCGTACAGCTAGTAACGAAGGAACATACCGGAAAGCATCAAGCAGCTCCAGACCAGGCTAACGGAGTTTTGAGAACAGCTTCGGCGCAACGCAAGCCTGCAGGAAGGGTCAGGGTGTATTTCTCATAACAACGAGAGGTTCTCGAACGCACATCCACGCAATGCATCATGCTGATAGATATTTTGGTGAGAGAGAAGATCATATGCAGAAGATACGAACTTACTGGACTGTAGGCCGCCGATGTTATAGGTCCACCAGTAAGCAACGTAATATATCAAAAGTCAGAGCGCGGACGCTTACACCTGGTGAGAAAACAACACTTTAGCAACGCAGATCTATACGGGATATGGCGAAGACACGTACATTTCTTCTACACAATCCTCGCCTTTGAAGCCGTCTCCATTTTGGACCTTCTCCTGACAGTGCTCGAAGTGCTTAGTCAAGGACGCACATTGGCCTGTTTGGCACTGTTCTCTCAGCTCTGGCAAAGCCTAGAAACATACCCGTCACTTCGCACACCCGCTGAGAGTCCAACGGAAGAACATACGTCCTCAGGCTCCTCCTCTTCCTCTTCCTCCGCGGGAGTCTCTGTCGACTCTGCCTGCTCTTCGGAGTTGGCCGCTACCTGTTTTTCTGCGTCTGCTGACTTCTCTTCGTCAGCGTGGACTGTCGTAAAGATAGATGAGAAGAAATCCGCGATGGCCATTGTAGAGCAAACGAGCGGAGGTAAAGGTTAACTTCAAGAAAGTGTTAGATCTGTGTCACGGGTCCTCTCGGAAAGTCTGTCACGTGGAGATACCCCTAAGCCAGTTCGCTTCATCTTCAAGTTGTCGTGGACGCCAACCCACGGTAGAGCGCATCAAGAGCGCATCGCCCCGAAGGCAGAGACGTCGGAGGAGCAGTCGTGGTGGAACGTGGTCCATGTCTAGCCGTCCAGCCAGATGTCATGCTCAAACGGCCCACCTCGGATGGTAACCTGCAACGCCACGGTATATCCTCGCAATGACAAGATTCGCAGCCATACTGGGCGAACCGGTAGATGATTAATCAACCATTGATGTTTCTCTACAAAGCGTCAGATCGACACACAAATAGGTCAGCGAGGCCCAGGAATACTATTCGCCTACATCCCCATCGCCTGAAATAGCGTGATTCAAGTGACCTATCCTGTCTACCTACGAACCCGCTTGGTTGGAAGTATATCCGGTCGCCGCACGGCGGGAAACTTTTCCAAATTTACCCGTTGCAGCGCATGGACGTGCATCAATCAGTCACTCATGATGAACCTCGAGGCGGCGTAGCGTCGCATGCAATCATATTATCTCCGTGGTTTGTTGCCACCAGTGATTGTTATGATAGAGTCTCGTTCTTGCTGTATCACCATCCGACACTTGGCGCGGCTTCTTGCGATACGATCGAGAACCACCTCGACGCACTGCATAGGGACGGTCATCGCTCAAGGCTACGTACGACTGTGTTGAAGTGATGGTACGTTGAATAATCCGTCTGTGTCACCCATCTGAAGCACCTACAATAGGATGGTAATGAAGGAGGAACAACCAATGTTCTACCGTAGAGGTCACTTGAACAGGCGTTACGTTGCAAGCACCCTCTCTTTCCCCGTCATTCAGGTCTCTTGATGGAGCCGCACCTAGCCAATCATACCCAAGTGCCGGAACCCTGATGGATTGATTACCCAAACGGCATACCGAAATTCAAATTATTACCCCATCGAATGCAGGAGACAAATGCTCCCAGTTTCCTGACAAGCTTTGCTCCGGGCTATACATCTCGTGTGCATCTTCAATCATGGGCACGTCACCTCATTTTGATGTGCAGGTCGCTACTTCCCACAAACCTCCACGAAAACATAGTTCCCTAAGCAATGCTTTCGAGCACACGGTCCGTGTGCTTCTGTCGGTCCTATCTCCACCTACCGAGGTTTCGATTTCAGCATCAACGTCAACTTGAGATCTTGAGAAAGATTTTCTTCTCTTTGATCATATCTCTGCGTGCAGATGTCGAGGGTTGCTTCTCGTCGCTTTCTCAACTCAGAGCTCGCGTGCGGAGAGAAAGCTCAAGGAATCGCACGAAGTTGGCTCGCAAGTCTGATATAATAGCTGCTGTTAAGTAGCAGTTAAGCCAACCCCCTCTAACATGTCTTTTGGGTAGCGTGTGTCTTTCTCAATTGCAACTTGATCCCACCATTGATGGACACAAGGGGCGCTGTCAGTTGCCAATGTTATACATATAACTTCAACACACTAAGTCCACCTTATTCAAATGGGGTGAGCTTATAAGCTAAGTACATTAACCAGTCACCACTGTATCAGCTTCATCAACCCCAGAGTTCCCCCGCCCACCACCTTCACAATGTTGTCTCGATACGACGCGACGTTAGTGCCCTGTATATTTCGAGGCCGGAAAGGACTGACCGCCGGTACACTCACATAGGGCTGGTCCATTCCTCGTAGGCTTGTGCCTGAGTATGGTTTTATACGGTGTGAGTGGCACAAAATGTCATCACTCTGCTTCCTCTGATCATTTTCCACCCTAGTCGCTTGTTGTCCAGGTAGGGATCGTCTAAGAATAATCCCTCTTGTCGATGATCGAACACTCCATTCTAGGGCTTCATGTATTATCAAACATCCAAGAAGTGCGTGGCCGGATATAATGCCCGACTTCTTATAGCTGACATGTAGCTGCTAGGGACCAAGCATGGATCCGATGGACGGTAGGTTGTGTCCTGAGGGGTAATGTCACCATACTAAGCGCACGTCCAGGTACTCTACTTGGTTGCAATGGAGACCGCCATTACAGGATATGATATACACCAGAAGTATATCGACGATGCCCATACGTTTGCCTTGGCTTCTGATCGCGGCAGTGAGTTTGTTGGCGGTGCGATATGCGATTATGGGCTGATCATTCATGTAGTGCCTGTCCCCAATGGCCCGATGACTGCATTGAGTACCAGTAAGTCCTCGTACTTGCGTTGATTATGGCCGTGCTAATAGTTCCTTAGTGATGTCCGTCAGTGAGTTGAAGAGCCTGCGTCGTGAATGACGTTGAAGCTTACTTCTCTTCCCTTCCAGACGCTATTCTAACGGTAGGATAATTGCGCCTATGCCTCGTTAGTGTGTTGACCCTTTCCAGGTGCTAGTTTCCACCCCGGTGCAATTATTCTTTGCATGGAGGATTAAAGTCCTAGGCGGTCCGAAACTCATGCTGGCCATTATTGCTTTCGCCGCATTTGGTTCTCTCGGTGCGCCCGACTTCTTCTTCACGTTACGCTCCTTCGAGTTCTGAATCCGCGGTTCTCCTCTTTATGCTTCTCCGCAGCCGGTGGGATCTCAACCGGCATCTTAGTGCCTCGAGGAGACGAAGCAGAGGCCAGGATGGCCATTGGTTGGCGTTCCGTCGCAGCTTCTTTTGCTCCGTCCATTACTTGGCTGGTCATGTCCGCGATCGCGGATTTATCCATCACGGGCTGCTTGGTGTATACACTCACACAAGTAAGTCGGGTCCGACTCGTTCTCGCCGTGTCCCAGGTGCTGAAGTTCGTCCGATTAGCAAACCAGGAGGAATAGCTTCCAAGCTACCGACGACCTAGTCACAAAGATCATGCGCTGTAGGTGATTTTGTTTGGGGGAATGATAACTTTATTGAGCATATCCTGCAGTCGCCATTGAAACGGGGTTGCTCACCACATTATGCACGTTAGCGGAAGCCATCTTGTTCTATGTCTCTTATGTAAGTTCCACAAACCGTGGACCGCATTACATGTATGCTGACTTCTTCTGTAGCGCACCTTTGCCTCTTTGTAAGCCCACATGTGTTCCCGTTTCGAGTAAACGGATATTGACGGCGGCCGCCAAACCCCAGTTATTTCATCCCCGACTTCATTCTGTCGAAGGTCTATGCCAACTCACTCCTCGCCACTCTGAATGTGCGGGCTAAATGGAAGGATGAAGCAACGGTTGCGCCTATGTCTTTCAACGCGGCCAGCAACTCGAATGGCAGTACGCTGGGCACTAGACCGGTCACGGCGACGGTGAGCCTTCATCGATGACTGGGAAAATACCTGAGCTGTTGATTGACGTACTGTTTCTATCTCTCCCGCAGTCTGAAAAATCTGCCGTGAAAAAGGTAAGCTGGGTTCATAGATAGCACTTGCCAAGGGAAACAAATGAGGCTAACGCATGTTCGTCATACAGGATGGCGCTGTATTTGTCCTAAGTTCCACAGCGCCTGCGTCGACCGAGTCGGTGTAAAACATCTTCCGACCTTGCTTACCCACGTCATTATACACGACCCTTCCTGCGTATCACCAGGCGGTAATGCTGTAATATCAACGATAGAGCGATCTTGAATGTCGGGCCCCTTGAATGGTGTCAATTACGCGTTGTTCAGCTTACGATAAAGAATGTTTCTATACATACATGACAGTGATACAATTAGTGCTTTCGATTTGCTCGTGTCTATGAGTCTTGTACAGTCGGACGTGTGCCCCGCAACTCGCACTATTTAACTTGGGAAGCCACTACTAGGAGCTAGGGGTTAGATTCCCTTTCACAACTGTGGATCTCAGTTGCGTGTGCTTGAATCGAGAATCTGGTGAATCAATCCGAGAGCCAAGCGAAAACACCTGAAGATCATATACATCTTTCCTGAATGGAAGCTTTCAGGAAATCATTTGGCCAGATCTTACATATCTAAGCGCCCGTCATCGTTCTTACTTCTTAGTCCCGAGTGCCGACCTTTCTGATCGCCCAGTGAACGTTCCTATATACAAGGGACATGCTGTGTTGTGATGGTGATACAAAAGTAATGCGTACACGCGAATGAGAGTCAATGATAAATAGTTGCACCGACTGCGTGGAAGCAGTCCATGAGGATGAGTGGAGCCTGATAATCCGTGAAGGAGTCCATACATAACGAACGTATATCTTACGACCCGATGAATAAATATATGAACCAAGGGAAGGGCAACCAAGAAGTGGAATGGGGTCATCTATTCATCTAGAAGCATTTCGGGGAGATCTCCGCAAGGGTGTTGTTGTCGAGGCACCCTTTCGTTGTTGGGTTCGGGGTTTAGGGAGAGGGGAGGCAGAGACAGAGACAGAGGCTGATTTGGATGATGTGGGTGAATCAGTGCGTCTCCGCTTCGTTGGTGGCCGCGAGAGGTCGCTATCGGAGAAGAGGTCCTCTAGTTGGGGTGCAGAGTCCGGAAGAGAGAGCAGCGATAGGCCCAACGGTGATTCTGCTTCAGGAGCTTGAAGGGGTCGCCGAGGAACTGTGCCCTCCGCGAGCAGTGAGCTTATAGGATGTGACGGCGGCATTTCGGGGAGCGATGGCTCCGGAAATAGCGAAGACGGTGAACGGGGAGGGGAAAACGTTGATTCGGGGCTGCTCGACGGGGATGGCGGTGAGTTTCATTGTCCGCGGGTGAATAATCAGTTTGACTTACTCGTCAGCCTCAAGATGAGCGTATTTGCGTTTGAAAGCTTCGTACTTTGTGCGAAGCGAGTCACGTTCTTGTTTGAGCTCTACGGCGCGATCCCTGGCGAAGCGGGTTAAGCCTATGAGACCGATTGTAGCGGCTGCCTGCACTTCTGCGCGGCGTTGCCAGAGGCCGCAGCTTGTACGCAGAGACTCGTTCTCGGCCATGATTCTGGCGATGTCTTTATCTGTGAGGGCACCTGAAGAGGCGGAGGGCCAGGAGTCCATCTGGTCCTCCATGTAGAGCTTCCGGATGCTAGGAGTTATATACTGGCGCAGGTGGGAAGGCACGAAGTTGGGATCTATGTTGACTGATGAGAAGCGGACGTCAACAGGGGATGGGGGCGAATATAGAAGAAAGGCTGTACATACCAGTTGAGAAAGGCGCGCGGCAGGTTGGGCAGTTATGCTGCGTTGTGTACGGCGTGATTTGATGTATGGTGTTCAGAATGCATTCATGGCAATATACGTGACCTAGTTCGGGACCGTCAGAGACTTGAGAAGCGGGAAGGGAAGGGCAACGAACCGCACGGGAGAGCGATTGGGGCCTTGAGACGATCGATGCAGATGCTACACGCAGAAGACATTGACGTGTTAGGCAGCATGAGGATGGCGCAACGGGGGTTAGCAGTTACAGTTGGGAACTGGCGTGTCCTCTATAAATCCTGGTCGCTTGAATCTGGCAACCGAGGTGGCACTCCGAGTCGTCGATCAATCTGCTGCGTGATGATAATATCCTCGCAACAGTCCCCGACGCCGACTGCATTTCCATTGGCATTTTATTATTTCTCGTCTTCCAAGGACAGACACGGTCCCGAGCCTCGTCGAGCTTCAGACCCTGCAAGCCAGTCCCAAAGCCAGTTTTCGGCACACAAGGGCCCGGCGCGTTCTCCACTTCCTCCCTCGGGGCTTTCAAATGCCCGAGTCGAGGGCCACAGGCGCTTGACCCTTTCTGGAGCTTGCTTCCAGCTATCGGTGCATTTTTGCCTCCGACGCGTGATCTCCGTGAAAACATATGAAGGCGGCGTGTAACTCTGGGAGACGTGGGTCGTCCTTGCTTTCATATCGCGTTCAACCTGACCCAGACACCGTTGGAAATTACACAACACTCGCCCGGTGCCCGAGGTTCACGTTCCTGTGGTGAAAAGTGAGTGGCGCCGCTCCGATTCCGAGTTCCGATCACAGATCACACAGTTTAAACGCCCGCCCGCGCTTGTTCTCGGCATACCCCGACATGCATGTACAGCACCAACAATTAAGGTTTGCAGTGGCTTCTGCCTGCCAACACCAAATATCCTACTCACCGTTATCAACAGCGACAACCGACAACCGACCGCCCCGACGAAATGGTATGCCGCCGTTTCCGCCGTTATCCGTATACCAACATAACCCCCCCTTAGGCCGAACAAAAGTCGACACCCACGAACCCCATGCGCGAGCTGCGGATAGACAAGCTCGTCATCAGTAAGTCCTATCGCCATTCCAGCCACCGACAGCCCTTGACATTGTCCATCATCGCTCTCAAGACATTTCCGTTGGCGAATCTGGTGATCGTTTGACCAGAGCATCAAAAGTGCTCGAACAGCTTACTGGCCAGACACCGGTGACTTCAAAGGCCCGCTACACTGTTCGTACATTCGGTATCCGTCGTAACGAGAAGATCGCCGTACACGTCACCATCCGGGGGCCAAAAGCAGAGGAAATCCTTGAGCGTGGTCTCAAGGTCAAGGAATACGAATTGAGGAGGAAGAACTTCTCAGAGACTGGAAACTTCGGCTTTGGTATCCAGGAGCACATCGATCTCGGTGCACGATACGACCCCACGATTGGTATCTTCGGTATGGATTTCTACGTGGTTATGGGACGACCTGGTGCGCGTGTAGCGAGGAGAAAGCAGAAGAAGGCGACCGTTGGCTTCAGCCACCGAGTCAAGAAGGAGGACACGATGAGCTGGTTCAAGCAACGGTTCGATGGTATCATCTTGGTGAGTCCTGCACTCTTTGGTTGCCCTATTCCGCTAATACACGAGCAGAAATAAATGTATACTACCTTTCGCCCCGTATTTCACCACCTTACCTCCGGTTTGTCGCTCGCATATTAAGTACTATTCCATGCCATGCAAAACATGTCTTTTATATGCATCACACCGAATATGCACGCTGCTTTGCTGCGCCATGTTATACACTCGTGTGGGTCCCCCGACGATCCGTAGATATGCTGCTTGTTCATCACAGGTGAGCTGTAGTATGCCTGACGAGGAGGCGGTATCGACCCTAGGGCTCGCAGTAGCTACGCCCCAGTTCTGTACATCCCCATTGAGGCTTGACTCGCACTCGCACTCGCCTTTTCCTGCTAACCAAATACAGCACTTCGGCTTTCTGACGCGCTACATTCTGCGTTTCGCGAATTACCAGTCCGAACGCCTCATTCTACCTCCCAGATCCATCAGCCCTCCGCCCGCCTCCTATCCTAGCACTACTCGCCTCTACGATTGTCATCCAACCTACCCTCCTCATTGACCCCTGGTCCCAACTCGCCACACCTTGGCCAGCATTTCTCTTGGTAAACTCTTCACATTGTGGCCACCGCTGCATTGTCCTCGCTTCATGGTTCCTCGCCACTCGTTACCATTTGCCACTGTGGCTTTGACGATTTCTAGCCCCGCGAATATGGGCGCACCAGCCACATTTCCTAATCCGGACACTTTCCAGAAACCAAACAGTGGCAAATAGAATATGTATAACTAGGACCCCCCGCCCTCTCCTTAGACAGTGTCCGCCTCTCTCTCCCATACCACGATGTTCTGTCCTCGCCACTCACCACATCTCTGCTTTCCTCCTCCGCCTCTCTGTCCCATCTGGTTTGGGCAACCGCCTTTGCCTGATATCGAGGATGCAACTGGGATCCAGGACTGGCGAACTGTGTGGCGTGTATTCCTGGCTGGTGTTTCCGACGCGTTTCTGGCCCCTTGCCCGTTATTTTGTCGCCCGCTTAAGGCCATCTGGTATTGCGAAGACCATTCGGCGCGTATTGTGGCTTCACCCAGGTTCAAGGCGCATATACCAAGGAGAATACTCTATGGACGCCTCCCCTGGATACTTGTCTCGCTCTGCACTGTGTGGCTGACTTTCTTCGGATCTCCTTCTTGCTCCAAGGCGTGTGCATTCTGGGCATCAATTCTGGACTTTCTTGGATTGTTCGTCTCCCGCCTAAAGTCGATTCCTGCCCATAGTGCTTTCGACGCGTCCGGCAAAACGCATACATACTGGTGGATATCAAGATCTCAAAACTCGATGCAGCTCTGTGTTGATGGCGTGTTTCTCGTGCGGTTCTCTCGACAATCTGGCGTCTCCTTGTCGGTCTGGTGCCATCGATCTTTTCTAGCAACTTCAAATACACACGCATATATTGGCGTCAAGAAAGTCGGGACTCGGTATCTCGGATCCTTGAGGCCTTTTCGAACGTGGTCTCGGGCTGTTGGACTTTTGGTCCTCCCTGGTTTCTCGCTTCTGTGGCCCTTCGGCTCCCAGTGCTGGCTTTTTCGGTCTTGTAATCTATCTGCTTACTACGCCCTCTGGCCATTCTAAGTCGACTTATCAAGCGGGCCTGTCTTCTTCTGGTCTAGTCGAATCTATGATACTGCCGCCTCGCCTTCGCCTTCTTCCCCAGTGGACCGCGCATCTTGAAAGCCTCAGAGTATCTGCCATCCTGGTCCTCTGGCTGGGTTTCCCTGTGCTGCTTCTGGCTCTGCGTGCGACATTTCTACGGTTTATCGGCCTACTCTGTGTCTCTCGGACTACCCTCGTTGATGATCGGTGCTCACTACTCAGTCTCAGTCTCAGTCTCAGTCTCAGCCTCTTCCGAATCAAAGCATGGTTCGCTTGTCCTTTCGGTTTTCTGCTCCCACGCCCTTGGGCGCGTACGGTACTCGATCTGTTTCACTCTTCTGGATGATTGGTCGAAGCTTCACTTCCTTTGGCCGTTATGGACCTTCGAAGAGATCTATGCCGCGGGGACTCCGGCCGATGTCTGGAGTTCGGGGCCGACTGTCATTCGCTTCCCGTGGTTTCTCCCGTCGGTGTCTTCAAGTTTGCGGCCGACCAACTGTTTCCCTTTCATACTTGGTCGTTCATTCTTGCGCAACGGACTAATCTGCCGCATTGGAATCGGTCGGTACTGGATAATCCCGCTCTTTCATAGTTAAAGCCGCCCGCCTTGTGTTCCTCAGAGTTGTCCTAGAGCATCCGCTCTCATCAAGGTTGACTTGGCCTGCATGTTGATTTCGGTCTTTGTTTGTTTCCGTTGGACCGATCCCTTTAGTTCCGCGTCTAACTGGAGGCTGGCTGCTTCACGGTGCATTTATTGCGCCGCTGGCTTATCTCTGGCCCTTCTGGTACATAGCGGGTTGCTCGGTCTAACGTTGGTGATGTCCCCACGAGCCGAAACGTCAAGCACCTCATCTTATCCTTTGTGCCCGTGTTCAAGCGATTACGCTCCTGTTGGCTCCTTCAACCGAACATGGTTCAAGATTGCACTCCTCGTTTCCGCGGCCGTCGAACTCAGTCTCAGTCTCAGTCTCAGCCTCTCTTGCCATGCGCGGTTCGGATCTCAGCGTTTCGTAGCCCCCTGTCAAGTACATCTCTTCGGCCGATTGAAGTTACTATCACGTATGTGCCCTCCGTGGGGTGTTTTGTCCTCTGTTCACCTTAGTGATTTCTCTAGGAGCTTCCTTGAAGCCGGTGAGTTTTTACGTTTTTGGTGCGATCCAGCGTACTGATGGATTATACTCTATGGATTATCAATATCCATCTCCTGCAACTCGCCCTTCTCTAAACTCCGGCTGGCTCCTGTGGAGCCCGTAAGTCGTTCTAATGAACAACCAAAACACTATGCTTACGTCCCTAAATCTCATGCCGCTACACCCGCCCCTCCGCGGAACAAGCAAGACCAGACGCCTCGTTGCCGCCGGAATCCAATGGGAACCGAAATGTTAGAAGCAGCGCTCCTGAGTAGGACTCCGCATCTAGCCTCCTCTGCAGCTAACTTCACTCCAGGCGTTACGTAAAGTTTTAGCCTGACCCGCCCCTTGTCGCGCCAGTTCGGTGTGCCCCCTCCCTCTGACTAGGATCAGCATGAAGACTGCCCATTCAATACTTTAATTCGCCAATTGTCCACCAATTGAACCAGCGGCCTTACGTCCTTGACTCCTTGGGCGCTTTGCAATCTCTCATGCTCGCGGAATTTTTATTGTCGCTCAGCTGCTCGCTCAGCTGCTCACCAAGGAGGTTATCGCGGTGTGTTCAAGATGTCTCACCAAGCGTAACGGCGCTACTCCGAAGCACTTATCATTCTCCCGACAACCGGCGCGTACTTCACCCTTGGTCAGTCACCAAAAACCAAATACTAGCAAACATACTGAGGTGGTGGCTGAACCTAACTCTTATCAATGCTTCGCTAGGATCTCAGGCCGCCATGTTTGAGCTTTGGGATACATATTCTGTCCAGACTTTATCTTGTTGGCGCATGTCTGGTCGTTTGTTCCTGAGTCCAGGACTCATTCACCTCCCGAGGACTTTGATTACACTTGCTTGCTCGTTTTTTCTCTAGCCTAGCTTATCGCGACATGCCGTTCACCTTAAGCAAAACTCCCTGCGATGGCGACATTTTTCAAGAGAGTACCGACGTTCGCCCACTCCATGAGGTCCCGTACGAGACGACATCCCTATCGCCGGATTTCTGCTGCAGCCTTAGTCTAACAACCCCCGTTACGACCCCGCCGTGTCTGCTTACTCTTGGCACTCATCTATTGAATGGGGCTCATCGAAATCTCGATCGTTTCTCGGCTGTCTTATATGGGACTGGGACCTTTCCTAAGTTCGTAGGCATCAATTTCTAGCTCTTCGCTAAGTTGTTACCGAGACTTCGCTGCTTCCTCTGGACTCCGTGCTGGTTAAAGTGCTATCACCCGGAGCAAGGCAGAGCAAGGTATGTTTTCGAGAAAACTCCGATTGCCCCTATTGTCGCTCCCTCTCAAGCACCTGACCTTCTGTAGAATTACACAGCACCACCCCACTCGAACTTATCCCAGGTCTTTATCAATGACCCACTCTCTTGATCCGCCTCGCACCTCCCCCGCTCCCTGCCATGACCTGCCGCTCACGCTCTAGCACAATTCCGAGCCCAACCAGTTTTACACCTGGCACATCCGTTACAGACAAGATCAAAAATACCTCGACCTTGTCAGCAAATTCAATCGACCCAGGGATGTCCGTGGTCCTACGCTCTTCCGATGAAGCGCCTGTCGATTTTACTATTTACAAAGCGCTGTTAATCATCTCTTCGCCTTTTTTTGCCGAGTTGCTTTCCCTTCCCCAACCACCGGACACGCCACGGGAGGAGATGAGCGAAGGATCCGCTATTATACAGATGGCAGAGCCCGCTGAAGCGATCGAGCGACTGCTCCCCTTCGTCTATCCTCGATTTGTGACGATGCCCCACCTAGCTACGTTGGAGGAGCTTCAGACTACGTTGCAAATGGCGTCGAAGTACGACATGAAAGGTGTTGAGAAATGCCTGGGGGAGGTTTTGGTAGCCCCGCGATTTGTTGAGGAAGATCCTATGCGCGTTTTTGCTATGGCGTGCAGGTATGGATTGGAGGACGCCGCCCGAATTGCCGCGAAACACACATTGCGACTCTCTCTGCCAGAACGCCACTACGTCGCCGAAATGGAACATATCTCAGCTGGAAACCTTCAGCGACTCGTCGACTATTACTTTGCATGCAGTGCGGTTGCCGCTGCCGTTGCAAGAGATTTCTCTTGGGTGATGAAAGATACCTTCAGTTTTTTCCATCGAGGGGGGTGTAGTTGCGGCGCATCGACATACGTACTCATTGCAGGAGGATCAATGAACGTCCCTGCAAGAGCATGGTGGCTGAATTATATGAAGAGGATGGGCGAGGCACTAAAGGAACGGCCCTCTTTAGCTACGTTGATGAAACGAGACCTGATGGAAGAGGTATTCGAGAAGACGAAGACTTGTGCTTGCGGTAGGAAGACGATACTGGATATGTTGGAATTCAGGGAGATCTTTTCCGCAGAGCTGGATAAGCGGATATCAGAGGTACGCCCAGTCACTTGTATGGTAGACATCCTGACGACCGATAAACCAATAATGCCCAGGTCGAGCTCGTTCTCAACCTATAGAGCATAGAGTGCGAGTTGTTCTAGATGGTTTCGAATCCTCTAGGTCCTTGCTTCTCGAATGCTTCCTTCGCCAATCCGTTGATTTCCAAGCGGACGGAGTTTGGTCAACCATGAATGTGGCTCTTCGTTACTTCCGTAACGGTATAAGTATCACTGGGCGCCCTACGCGTTTGGGATTTGTTGTCTGATCCAATACAATTCGTAGGGTAGGCTTTTGGTAGGCCTGCTTCGTTGAACGTTATGTTGGGTTAAGTTTGCCTTGTATATCGACTTTCGAACATTCACCAGGTCTATATCGGCGTCTACAATAAACGGCAGCAAATGAGGGTGAATGTGGGTCCTTCGTACCTGAGAGATTGTTGTACCTGGGGCGAGGCAGGATAGCGTAAAATCGATAATGCAGGTGACGTTATATCGACTCTTCGTGCAGCGATTTCTTCGACAGCGAGTGCAGCTTAGTGACGGGTCTGCGCACGATCAACCTGGATACGATCATGGACCTGCTCACTTGCGGAATCAGTTCACACTCGGCATCGTAGCGTGCGGCCTTCGGGCTCCCCAGCTAAGGATAGGCAATACATTGAATCACCCTAACTCGGTCTAGCGCACACGCAGGCAACTAGTTGCAATTTGGATGATCGAAGGAGGACACACCAGTTGGACCCGAATGTCCTCCTTTAACGATATCTAACGTGATGAGGCTTGGTGAACTCAATTGCCAGGTTCCCAAGTTACGTCAACCTTGACCATCCTGAATCCTGATATAGATGCTTCAATTCGCCTCGCCTGTTTTCCTTTTACCCAAGCCCTTCCACAGCTACTATAAGCACGAGCTTAATGTAGGCCTTCGCTATCGTGTCTTCAGGGGTTTTAACACCGGCGGTTGCCACACTCACCGTCTTTTCCAGGGTTGAACATAACATGGACGTCCCTGATAAGTTATGTCTCTTACGTCTTCACTTGGATAAGTGCCTTGGCGTGGCAGTCAGCGTCCATACCTTTTTCTGATCCTGCCCACTTTCGGATGTATTGAACTGAGAGGGACATCGTGCCCAGGGAGGTGTAAGATATATTATAAAGGGCGGTAGTGCACTACCGCAAGTTCTGTAGGCCTGCTCCTCCCATACCTTCCCGATACCTTGCAGACTTCCGCAATGTCGAAATCAGATTCCTCTGTCGATGAAAAGAGTATCCGGAGCGTAGGGGGTGCTGAAGCCGCTGTCCCAGGCTACACAATCGATCCCGAAGCCGAGAAGAGGCTATTGCGGAAGTTGGACTGGAGATTGCTCCCGCTTGCTACTGCTATAAGTAAGTGATGGGATCTATCTAGAGGGTCAGGATGTGATGCTGACTTGGCTGCAGTCTGTTTGAATTTTATTGATAGGTAAGTCTTGAATCCGCGTTCTGGCGAATACGTTGATGTCAATCATAACCGCTCGTTTCATAGGGCTGCCATTGGTATGTTTACTTCGTGATTCAGTGATGACCCCGTCAATGACTCCTTGCTTTCTAGGAAATGCAAAGATCGCTGGTCAGTTTGATCGCATTAGTCGAATTTGCATGTTGTTCAAACCTCTCATGTTTACAGGTCTCGAAAGAGATCTAGGAATGGCTGGATACGACTTCAACATCGCGCTAACAGTGTTTTATGTTTTTGTACGTACCCCGAACTTCTCAAACTCGACGGCTCTGATATTCCTACATTGTATAGTTCGTTGTCTCGGAAGTACCCTCCAATCTACTCCTCAAACGCTTTGGGACAGTCATCTTAGCGATCACGGTAATCGGCTTCGGTCTCTGCACTCTGGGGTCGGCATTCGTAACTTCGTACGATGGCCTTATCGTCACCAGAGTATTTTTGGGAATATCTGAGGGTGGCACATTGGTGCGTAAGGCGATTCCGATCCGATCCTTCGGACTGACATTTCTCGTGTTTCGTAGCCAGGGTTGACCTACGTTCTGGCCCGTGTAAGTCCCATCGGCGGCAATAAGCACTCATTCTCATTCCCTTGTTGACCTGATCGACATACAGTACTACCGAAAGAAGGAATTCGTGTTGAGGCTCAGCGTCTTCTTCGGTGTCGCCCCATCTCTAGCGGGTGCTTGTGAGTGGATTTCATATAGCCCACCTCTCATTCTCTAACGCCTTCGCAATGTAAGTCGGCGGCCTGCTTGCTTCTGGTTTGCTCAAAGTTGGTGACTTCGGCACCATCAAATCATGGAGGAAAATCTTCTTCATCGAAGGTAATTTCGAGGAACGCCGGCGGGGAGAAGTTGTGCTCACGTATACTGACAGGCCTCCTCACAATCGTCGTTGGGATCGCATGTCTCTATCTCCTCCCAGCCGACCCTCGTAATACCAGGATGTTCAACGAGGAGGAACGTGCGTTGGCGCTGGCGAGGATTGACGCAGACTCTGTTGTTAAGAATCAGGGCAAGAAAGAGAAGGCGACTTGGAAGCTGGTGTGGAGGGCATTCAACTTCAACGTCAGTGCTATCTTATTTTATTTTTTGTCATTGGACTAATCCCGCCCCGAAGACGATCCTTTGCTCGTTGGTGTACCTCTTGCTCAACATATCCTTCCAAGGTCTGCTTCTGTTCATGCCTACCGTCATAGCTGGCCGTAAGTGCTTGATATCTTCTGCCATGAAATAGTCTAGCTGACTGATACACTTTGTAGTTGGTAAATTCAGTAAGCGCACGATTATCTCTTCCTCTTCTTTCCTCCTAATTGATTTGTTGCGTCTAGCTGTCGTGATGTCTCAGCTCCGCACTGTGCCCCCTTTCCTTACCGCCGCTGTATGGGGTCTTATATTTTGCTATCTCGGACTCCGCCTACGAAAGCACGCTGTGGTTATGCTTGCGACTATGCCTTTGGTCGTGATCGGTTATGCAATTTCCATTGGGACAACTAATGCTGACGCTCGGTTAGTGCCTGCCTACCTAGTTTTTGCTGATTTGCTGACGAACCGTATTTCCGAAGTTACGCTGCATGCTTCTTAGTGATTGCTGGCGCAATTCCCACAGGTCCAATAGTATACGCTTGGGGAGTCGGGAATTCTGCGCCTGACACTGTCCGCGCTGTTACTACCGGCATTATCCCAGGTACGTACATCAGATACCAACCTGGAAGCACCGATCTCAATGCTGCTACCCACCGTAGGTATCGGAGCAATTGGATCCATCATTGCGTGAGTGATTCCGGTCACAGCCTCTCGATAAATATATTGATCTGCCTTGTAGCGTGTGGACATATCTACCTTTTGATGCCCCCAACTATCGTACCGGAAATACGCTGAATCTGGTAACATCTTCCACTATCATCGTGGTCATCACCATTGGGATGGTATACATCATCTGGGAAAATGCGAAGCGCGAACGTGGAGAAAGGAATTACAGACTGGAGAACAAGTCAGAGGAGGAAATCGAGCAGTTGGGGTACCTCCATCCTCAGTTCCGATACACTTTGTAGTCTATTTATGACCATTTCACGACCTGTACCATATGATCAATACCAAATCTTCGTTTCTTTGCCATGGAATGCTGCTCGTGGCATCTACCAGTCACCCACGCTTAAGAGATTATCATCCCCTGTCGACCCCTATCAAAGGGTAGTGACTATGCAGGGATGCAGGGATGGATCGCTTGACGTGCAAGTTTAGATCTTAACCAGAATCGCAACACGCGCCTTGTCACTGAAGCCAAAGACCCGCTCGTACTCTCTGAGTGCAAGTGTACGAGATCTATCTCGATCTGCCTGGACACCATGCCCCTGTCTTCTTGTGCATATGATGGAACGTGCTTCTTCTAGATGGAGATTCGAAGTTCTACGCGAGACAAACTTGTTTCACCGATTTCCACGACTTCGAGGCCTACCATCGCAAATGCGTATACAAGTGATGGGGCCTTGCGGACCTACTGGGCGTGGTGCTTACTTTCCTCCTCGCACTGGTGACCTCCATGCCCCCCTACGCCCCCAACGAAGATAATGAGAAGGCCCCGATTCAAGATGCAGAGTCTACTACCTCGGCTGACGAGATCGACCCGGTCGCGGAGAAGCTGCTCAGGAGGAAATTAGACTGGATTTTATTGCCACTTTTTACTGTTGTCTGTAGGTCTTCCTACCGTATCATGAGCAGATAGTGTTATACTTATTCCACCTCGCGAAGACTGTACGAACTTCGTTGACAGGTGCGCCCATTATGTACGACAGAAATGAGCTATCTCTTTGACAAGCGAATCGCAGGACTGCGATTGGTACGCCCTCTTTCAATACCCCCACCGTGACCATATAGACATTGATTGTATTTGGGATTAGGCAATGCAAGGATCGCTGGTACGCCATCCAACGTCTACAGGTTACCTTGGGGTTACTCATTGCTGATAGGCCTCGAGAAAGACCTCGGCATGAAAGGTTTCGACTATAATATTTCTTTGACAATATTTTACATTTTCGTATGGCGAAGTTTCCAGTTTTCCATGCCCAGCTTTACTAACTCATTCGGTGTAGTATATCGCCGCAGAGATCCCCTCGAATCTTGCCCTCAAGCGTTTTGGATCCATGTGGCTGGCGGCGATGATTACCAGCTTTGGCATCGTTTCTATTGGAACGGCTTTCGTCAAATCTTATACTGGCTTGATCATCACTCGCGTTTTCCTTGGGATTGCCGAAGGAGGGACTTTAGTGAGGCATTTCCAAATTCAGCAGGGGTTTGCACTCTTGGGCTAACATTGTTTCAGCCTGGTCTTACCTACATCATGTCTCGGGTAAGATTCAGCTCACTTGAGTGACAGCCTTTCGGGGTTTCCTGATTATAGCCTTAGTATTACCGCCGCTCAGAACTCGTCCTTCGTGTGGGTATATTCTTTGGTATCTCGCCGCCCCTAGCCGGTGCATGTAAGTGCTTGTATACCATGCTCCGTGGTTAATCTCACTATCATGAAGTTGGTGGTCTCCTTGCTTCTGGCTTATTGTCGGTTGGAGATTTTGGGATGGTCACTTCTTGGCGGAAGGTATTTTTCATTGAAGGTAAGACCCCATATTTCGCTGACAATTGAGTACTTACGACCCAAGGAATCATAACGACGGGTTTTGGGTTACTATGTTTCTTAATCATCCCAACTGATCCTCAACGCACCCGGATTTTCACGCCTGCCGAGCGAGCTTTGGCTTTGGCTCGCATCGACGCAGACCAAGCCGTTCGAACCAATGGGCGCAAGGAATCTACCACTCTTCGCTTAGTATGGAGGTCTTTCAACATCAACGTATGTGTAGCGCAGAAACATTTTTGGCGTACGTTTGACCAACCTATTAGACCATGATCTGTACGGTTGCATATGTCATGATCAACATCTCCTTCCAAGGACTCAGTCTCTTCATGCCTACCGTGGTGGCTACCTGTAAGTAACTAGGTTCAGTGTAATGTTCTATTCTAATGGCTATCCTTAGTGGGTCACTTTAGTGAGCATGTTCTTTTCCTCGGTTTGTCTCTGTACTTACGTAGCGCCATGTTTCAGCGGTTGTTGAGTCTCAGCTGCGTACCGTGCCTCCTTATCTTGTTGGCGCAGTCTGGGCTGTTGTTGTTACCTACGTTAGCTTCCGAGTCAGAAAGCGCGGTATCCCTATCATATTTTCCTGTCTGCTAGTGGTCTTGGGGTATGCTTTGGCTGTCGGGACGAAGAACTCCCACGCACGGTAAGATACTCGTTTTGTTGTATTTTTATCATCTTCAATGCGTCATACAGGTATGCGGCTTGCTTCCTATCCATCGCGGGCGCCTCCCCGACCGGACCCTTGCTGATAACATGGGGAACAGATAACGCAGCCCCCGACACAATCCGTGCGGTGACGACCGCTATTATTCCAGGTGCGTAAGCTGTTCGAATGATCATGGTTCGACAACTTCAACATACCCTGTGCAGGTGTTGGTGCCCTCGGCTCCATAATAGCGTAAGTTTTGTTTGATCAGCACTTATGCCTACTCATATGTGGCCTAGTGTATGGACCTACTTGCCTCAAGACGCTCCAAATTACCACAACGGCAATTCGCTCAACCTTGCTACCAGCATCTTCGTGTGTTTGTTGGCGCTGATTGGGATCCTCTATATACGATGGGAAAATGGGAAGCGGGCTCGGGGAGAGCGCGACTATCGGATAGAAGGAAAAACTCAGGAGCAGCTAGAGAATCTGGGCTACCTCCACCCTCGATTCCGATACCAGATATGACTTCGTCTGTGGTCACAACGTGTTGGTTCTAGTCAAGTTCCGGTGATAAGTGTTCATACGGCCTATGTGTATAAATATCTGTGGTCTCAGAATGCGGCACCTTGAAGGTTATTCCACTCAACGATGCTGCCAAGGTCCCACATATACTATCCTCGTTGTACTCCACTTGTGCAGTCCTATTTTGTCTCCGCCGCTGACCGGGTCGGGTCCTATATTTACGAGCATCGTTTACTGATTTATTGGAGAAGGTAGATGCAGTCTTGATTCTTTTGCCTGTACCTTATCTTATCTTTATCACACCGTCGTCATCTCGGACCCCAGGTTTAATCACCGTCCAGTTAAACCCTTGGGCATGTAGACTAAGTAAAGCATCAGTGATCGAATGGGTGTAAGTAAGGAATACTAACAGATGCGAGTGTTCTTGTTCATCTACGCGACGTTTCTCCATCAGCATAACTTCTCAACAAGGACGTTCGTCTGCTGTAGGCCTCCTTCAGCCGTCATCACCAAGGTCACACTTGTATCGATGCACGGAATCAATTCCTCCCTATCACTGGCAATTCCAAGAGCTCACTGCACAGCTACATACAATCAACCCGGAGTCTCCATTACTCCACTAAGACCACATAACATCCTAGTTCAGATCGATCTGCAGACATGATACGAATGAGGGCTCGATCCACCGAGATATGTTCAACAGCTACCTATGTATCAACTGCGAGGCCGCTGAATCCTAGTTTTTTAGGCTATGGGCTTTGGCTACAGAGCATGAACGAATGGGCGCTTAACGTGAAGGGGCTACGGCAAACTTTCTCGTGAAACTTGCAGTTTGACTTTGAACCAGAACACCGGACGTCTTGATAAAACGTTCCCCTTAGTACATATGCTGCCTTTTTGATGACCTGGTCACTACGCACATCCCTGATATGAATGCCCCGCCGAAGGATACTGGTGCTCTTCCTTTTGGACTTCTTGTAGCAGTCGGTCCTTTCTAAGAAACTTCATTGAAGAAGCGACAACACAAAACAATACCTGACCCGAGCATTTGCATGGAGACCGTTGAACCATTTAGAACACTGCGTCTTTCTTGTCACGACGTGAGTAATATGAAGGCCTCGTCGAGGAACGGCAAAGGTACGTGATCCGTGAATCAACCATATGCTCGTTGTTTCCGCTGACGATGTTGCTATATGACAGTGTCGCGGTGTGTGATAATGTCATGCCTTTCACTTACGACCAGGCCCTCAGACCCAAGGGCTGATTGACTCAGTTGACATCCTTGGAGGTCATTGCGCGCCGATGTTTCATTGTCGCAGCAATTTTGCCTCGGCGAAACCGTTTTTGGATTCGAGAAGTCAGGTACGCGATATATCTGAACTCAGCGACGACCGAGGGAGGACGAGGACCGACGCAATGGATCATCGACAGGCTCTGTTAGTGCTCATGTTAACCATGTTTTCGCGTTATATAAACCTCGGAGGTCGTTTCAGCTTCGACAATCACTCAACTTCGTTAACTAAACCATGCTTCAGACAACCCGTCTAGCATCCTTACTCGCACTCCTACCTCTGGCATATGCTGCTCTTGGGCCTCGTACTGAAATAGTACTCACCAATGAGGTTGTTGCACCCGACGGTTTCCCCCGATCGTATGTCAATTGAATATGTATCGTATCTGCGCAGCTTACCGATCCCATTTTCTCGCAGAGCAGTCCTGATCAACGGGGGTGGTAAGGGCGTCCAGCCCGGACCCCTTATCCAGGGTAGGGTGGTGAGGCTCATCCACTGGATCAAAAGATTAGATAACTGACATCAGAGTTAGGGAGACACGTTCAAAATCAATGTTGTCAACAAACTACAAGACAAGACGATGCCCACGAGCACGAGTATTGTACGTGCAATCTTCACTCGTTGCTTGAGCATTTCTCACCTATGTGTTTAGCATTGGCATGGATTACTGCAGCGCGGAACCAACTGGGCTGATGGTGAGTATATTACGAGCAGTTTGAAGTGTCGCCATGCTCATATATTGGGTCGCCAGGCCCTGCATTCGTGACACAGTGTCCGATTGTTCCCAATGAAGCGTTTGAATATGCTTTCAAAGCTTCACACCCTGGTACATTCTGGTACGTATCTGGCAATACGCGACACGTACGATAAGTAACTCTCGTGAAGGTATCATTCACATCTGTCTACACAATACTGCGATGGCGCCCGTGGCCCAATGGTAGTGTATAATCCACGAGATCCTTACGCAAGATTTTACGATGTTGACGACAGTACGAGCGCGACTGGGGCAAATATCTATAGCTGATTGCTGATATCGTGGCTTTAGGCTCCACAATCATCACTCTCGAAGATTGGTATCACGTCCCTTCTCTCCAAGTTCAAGGAGTTCCCACTCCTGACAGCACACTCATCAACGGCCACGGACGCTCAAAGGATGGACCAAAAATGCCTCTCAGTGTAATAAATGTTGAACACGGGAAACGATATCGTATCCGCCTCGTTTCGATGGTCTGCGACCCCAACTACAGATTCTCCATTGATTCGCATACGATGTTCATCATCGAAGCGGATGCCGATTACACGCAAATGGTGGAGGTTGATAGCCTCCAGATCTTCGCAGGTGGGTTTACCAATCTTGCAGTGGGCTTCATTGTGCTAATCATGACGCAGGACAACGGTACTCCTTCATTCTGCATGCAACGCAAAACGTAGGAAACTATTGGATTCGTGCTAATCCTAATGTCGGTGCACAAGGATTTGACGGCGGCATCAACTCCGCCATCCTACGATACAAGGGTGCTCCATGCGAAGAGCCAACCTCTATACAAACCAACAGCACACGACCCCTACTTGAGACTGATCTACACCCCTTGTACGACCCCAAAGCACCTGGTCGACCTGTCCCTGGCGGTGCAGATGTCGTCATCGACCTAGCAACTGCATTCAACCTCACATCTGCGTTATATACTGTCAACAATAAGACCTTCGTCCCGCCAACACTCCCGGTACTCCTACAGATTCTCTCGGGCGCTCATAGCGCGCAAGAATTACTTCCTACTGGCAGCGTGTACACTCTTCCTAGGAACAAGGTTGTGGAGCTGACACTTCCCGGCGGAGCTATTGGCGGTCCAGTACGTATCAACAACCCAGCACCACCACTTAACACTAATTGTGATCCTACTCTTTCACAGCATCCTATCCATCTTCATGGCGTACGTCTTGTTATTTCCAACCTTAGATCATTCACTTACCCACCATTATGATTGCGCAGCACCTCTTCTCGGTTGTTCGGAGCGCCGGCAACTCCACATACAACTTCGATAACCCTGTCCGCCGCGACGTAGTCTCCAATGGCGTTGCAGGAGACCTCGTAACCATCCGCTTCGTCACAGATAACCCAGGTCCTTGGCTCCTCCATTGCCACATTGACTGGCACTTCGAGCTGTACGTGTTTCTCTGCTTGTCACTTATAGCGTCTGGCTGACGTGCTTCTCTCAAGTGGATTCGCAGCAGTCTTTGCTGAAGATCCCCAAGGGACAAAGATAGCCAACCCTGTACCAGGCAAGTTCCACCCTCCACGAGAATACGACGTGCAACTTACTCTACTACAGCGGCGTGGTCGAAGCTATGCCCTGCGTACGAAAAGTATGCTTCAAAACCTGAGAAACTTAGTATGGGAAAGAATCCCATGCATCGTAGGCCTGGGCATTGATAAGGATACCTCTTCACGGACATCATGCTCTGTTTTCTTTTGGGTTAGAGCGACTATATTGTGTATGTAGAATCAGTTAATGTTACACTAGACACACTGGGGCACATCCGTAGAGTTCGAATAATACAAACAATCATATAGTGGTTGGATGGGCTATTTGCTCTTTAATCTGTTTAGACCAACGCATTGCTCAAGGTACCGGTGAAGTCCCTCAACACTTGTAGCAATAGCACCAACCACACCATCAGGCCTGATGGCAGCGACTGTGATTGCACCAGATTTAGTTCCGTAAGCCGAGTTCGCGTGATGCATGCTATCCCTGAGGACTAAACAGTCGATGTCGAATGATTCGGAGCCGGAGCTGGGTAGGATGATGACACGCTGTATAGTTTCAGCTGGATATTCTTTCAACGCTTCGGCGACGGGCAAGGCACCATCACACTGTGCAGAAAATATGAGGACCGTATGGCATGCCACGGAAAATAAGTCGAATAGGCGCATGGCTTTGGATGCGTCATGCATGTTGAACAAGGCCGACGCGTCGGGGGCTCGGTCACCGGCTCTCAACGCTTCGCTTCGTCCGTATGGGTTCCTTGCCGAGTTGGCTTGGGCACTCTGGCGTTCATCAAAAACGTAGGGCGTCTCTCTGTAGTTTACGCCTAGCTGGTCCTGCAAGCCGCCTCTGTCCCATATATCCGCAGGGTCTGTTCCTGCTTTGAATAGCCGGGTGTGGAGGTCCAGCGCGATCTGTAGCATCCCTTCAATTACTGGAAGGCGTTCCGCGTCGTACGAATCCAAAAGTTCCGGTTTAGCCAAGCCTTTGATGACGAGGGCTAGCTTCCAACCAAGATTAAACTGATGGGAATGTTGGTAATTGACGTCACCGGGTAGTGAATGGTGCTCACCGCGTCTTGGACGCCAGAATTCATGCCCTTACGACACGTTAATACATCACGGTGACAAGGAAATCAACCGTATTTACCTGTGCGCCTGTGGGGCTGTGAATATGAGCAGCATCTAGGCGTGGGCGTAAGCGAGGCACAAGTGATACAGGATCGGAAATGACCTCCAGCAATGAATGCTCTGCCTTTACGGAACGAAGTAGCCATCCGAGAATGTGGTCTAGAAGCACCGTCGTTATCTTTTGTCTCCGTTTGATATTCACCGGCACTTACGTGTACTTCGAAATGAAATCAAGCTCGCCATATTCAATATCGGACACTCCAGTTACCCTGCTGATAAATTTCATGATGCTCTCTCGATCCGTCAGCCTAGGCAAGCCTGCATTGACTCCTGTGATGATGAAGTTGAAGAGGTCAGGGTTTTCTTTCTGAGCAGGTCGAAGAGATAGCCTATACATATATGAAATGAATCAGTGGCTCTAAATATCTCAGACAAAGGCCTACATCATCGAATGGCCTTCGCCCCATACATGCCAAAACTAGTGGACCAGGTAAGAAAAGAGCCTGGAAACGGGGAAGTTTTGAAGAAACACCTACGTTATTTTTTATGCCTCGAGAAATATGTATATCGCCTATTACCATATGCTCTGCTCTCGTCTCCCCCACGAAGGCCAACCCCGCCCCTTTGCGTACGACACTATGCGCGCCGTCCGCTCCAACAATGTACACGAAGTCAGCTGTCTCCATCTCCTCGGCACCATCCTTGAGACGTAACATCTTCGCGGTAACATGATCTGCGAACTGCTCAAATGAGGACAGCCTGACGGAGTAGTCAACGGTCACTCCATGCTTCCGCAAATGAGAAGTGAGGATCTCCGATTGTCTGTCCGACCCAAGCAATATTAATTTAGTCTTAAGCACGTACGCACGATCAGCGGACGTTTACTTGGTAGGAGCGCGGGTCAACGTACGATAGGGAAGGGGTCAGAAGGTTCTGCGTTCTTGCGGAGCATGTCAAAAGTCTTGGATGGGATTGGGGTCCCTACTGGGTACGCCCTCATCAATGGCGCCGGAGAGGCAATCTCCAGAATGTCAGGCAAAACGTCGAGAAAATGATGCGCCTCTAACGTTCGCGGCTAAATAATTTGCAGCGTAAGTTGAGCCACCGTCCATAGCGATACAACAGACCTACCTGGATAGCCGCGCCTCGCTGCCCAACATTCGGTTTAGCTTCTTTCTCGATTATTCGGACGTTGACTCCCTGTTTTGCGAGAGACAGCGCCAGTACAAGGCCTACAGGCCCGGCTCCAACCTATGAACGTAATATGTCAAGTGAGGTGAGCATGATGAGCATGGTAAGCAATCAAGCAACATACGACTAGGATCGAGGGTGACTGCATTGAAATCGCTCTGCTAGAACGCTCACTTCGCACGAGGCTCGCAGCACAGCGGCCCGCTCTATTTCAACGGTTTCATGGCCCTCCAGCGGTCTCACAATGGCAATGAGATTCCGTTGTAGCATCAGGTTTCCACGCTCCAAAAATAATGAAGGAGGGTCACCAGTCGCACGTAGGCCTCAAGGAAGGTTTATCCATGGCATTATCGAGTTAAGGCCTTAGAGGCCGTTAGCACGAGGGGGCAACTGCATTGTAATTCCATGGTGATCAGTAAGATCCACACTGCATGTACTGAGTGAGTCTGACACTGACCAAGTTGATTGTACACGGGTTGCCCATCGCAGCAGTCGCAGCAAAAATGTGTACGTCCGTATATGTACTACGTGGCTCTGGTGCTCGTACCATCAGGAGGGTCTACGTAACATGAAACGAGCAGCGAACGAACATCGCGTCGCATCAACTGCAATGAGGCGCTAATTCATGTTCAGGGGCTCCAAGTATAATTATTTGAAAAGGTATATATTGTCGAGACGAACGGGAATATCTAATCTGCGTAAGATGTAAAGATCCGTGTCCGCGTCCATGTCCGATATCAAAGGGGCGTATGCGGGTAACATGCTGCCTACTGGGTATGTTTAACCACATCAATGAATCGTGCCGGTCATACGGTCTCATTCGGTGATCGTAGTAACAATGCTGGTGATCAAGTCGTGAAGTTCATGGGCGTGTACGTGAAAAGCGTGGGACTGTTCAATGGGGGAGTTGCGGGTACGTGGAGGATGGGAGGTAGAAGGGATGTCGGATGACGGGAGGAGTTATGGCGAATGGGTGTATCGTTTGTCCGTGATGAATTTCGTGCAGAGTTCGTGAGTGGGGGGCGTGAGGAAGATGGATACAAAGTATGGCTATTAAAATAGGTAGATTGTAGAAGGTGTATTTTGAAGTGGATGTGAAGAGAGAAATTGTTTATAGTGGAGGGGTCAACAGACCGAAGAGGTGGGCGGAATAGGCAAGGCGACGGGGTCGCGAAGGGTGATGGATGTCATTGGATGGGGATGGGGACATGTCGAGTGATGAATGTAGGTATCGCAGGGGATGAAACGCATGCCGCGAATGGGAAAACAAACGGAATAATGATAATTGGATGACAGATGTGCTATACGATCGTGAAGACCAGCGACACGGAGCACGTAAATGGGAACTTGAATGCGCCGAGAAGGAAGTTGGCCCGGAGTATGGAATGGAGTGCCAGAGTTTCTTTCCGCGTCCATAGGTCGAGGCGGTCCGTCTAGTATGTATTACTGATGAAGAAGTGAATGGGCGATTGAGAAGAGATATGAAAGGGAGAAGGCGAGAACGGGCGACGTGATAGGCTCTATGTCAGAAGACATAGCCGATCACATTCGGACTATTTTTGAATGGCCAGATAAGGGAGATGGAGAATAGCGGTGGGTAATTAATGGTTGGCGTAGAAAGAAGCCTACAAGTACAGGAATACAACGGTCAGAGACCCTGGCCAGAGGTGTACAAAAACGAAAGACGTACCGATAGCGCTTCGTCATTACTTTTGGTCGTCTTTGATGACATTAATATAGTATTTCTTCATCTCCAACACCTCGCCTATTCGTACTGTCTCCAAGATTGCTATGTTCATCTCCACCTTATTCGGCTAACCCGCCTCGACCCAAACTCGTCTAAGTCTCTTACGACCTCGCCTACCCTCGCCCCATACTCGCAGTGAAGTGACTCCCACTCTTCGACTGCGCATTCACATAACCGGCGACACCGTCCCTCGTGTGACTTGTGTGATAACAGTTCACACTCACCACCATATATCGAGATCCGCAACAGCATCACACCCACAACGACCGGCCTCCCATCCCGAATCTCACCCAGCCCAACGGCTGCGTGAATTCAATAACTGTTCCTCCTCCCCCGGCGCCCCTTGCCGAACATTCCACTCCCGTTCGACGTTTGCTTGCTACCACCTCGCGTAAGGCCGGTAAACAAGCGTTTGAGGAGAGGTTGTTGTTTGGTTGGAGAGGGCATAACAGGCGGAGGTACAGGGATGGGGGCGGGTTGAGGGATGTATTGCGGATATTTGGCTTGATGCTATTATTAGTAGATGAGAACGGGCGGGAAGAAGTAGAATGGGTCGAAGTACTTACCATCATTTCCATTCGAGTGCCCTTCGGAGGAACGACTACGTATTGACCGCCGCCTATCGGGACGACGAGCGGTTGCTTTCCGGAGTGAACGTAAGCTGCACATAATATCACAACCATTGATCAGTACACCTTGCGTACATAATCGCTGCGATCACCATCGGAGAGGTGGTCCGAAGAAAATTAAGCGGTGAATGTGACTTACGTTGATTACCGTGCGCTGGGTACGCCACAGCGGGTGAGGTGTTTGACCTGGTAGGTAGTTTCTGCCGCCCCGTTGGTGGAATAGCGATCTGTGTCTGCGATCGAGACGCCGCTGGTCTGTCACGGTTAGAGGGTGGCAAGTGAGATACCGAGGCAGAGGCGTGGTGTCTCGAAGAAGGGGGTGTGCGGGTAGTTTGGTTGGACGATCGGCGTGAATGCGAAGGTCTGCTGTGTGAATTGGATGGTGGCAGGTAAGGTGCAGTAGGAGAGCTGTTGCTCGGTCGGTCCGAGTAGTACTGTCGGTCCCACTCCCTGTCTCGCGACTTCAAATCTCTGTCTCTGTCTCTTCTATCATCGTACTTGGCACTCTTCGACCTGGAATGGTGCGACGAATGGCCGCTGGACCTTGTCATATCGCGTTGAAGTGACTTGGCCTGGACGGCGGGTGTGGTAGGCACAAATGGGTTGGCCGGGGGGTAGGAATTTGTTTTGCTGACCCAGTTAGCAATGGAGTGCTGCTTGGCCATGTAGCGTTCGTAGGCCTCTGGCGAGTAGTCGTACTCTGTCATGGTCGCGAGCGATAGGGTAGTAGCTGGGGTGTGGTTGAGGAGGTGGTGGTGGTGGTTGAGGAAGAAGAGATGGTTGTGGTTGTGGAAGAAGAGGTGTGGAGGGATGGAAGGGTCACGACGAGGTAGAGTTGGTGGTATATAAATAGGAGTAAATCCTATTGAATTATATAGCGTAGAAGGAGGCGTGTGAGGGGCGAGGCAATTATATCGATTGTGGACGATCCTAGCGTACAACAACCGCTGCAATTCTCATAAAAGTAAACTTCACTCTTTTTTTGCTCCCGCGGACCCACAAATAAATAGGTGTAAACAGCAGACTGATACCCATTTTGGTACTAATTTCTATATTTGGCCACCCATTGACCCTGACACATCCAGACTAGTCAAGTCAAGCGCTGTTCACTGCCTATTGTCCGCTGTGATTATCTGCCTTGGAGCTGCTGCCAGGCCTCGTGTTTCCACGAGCACTGGGTACACTATACTGATCCCGACGGGACAAATGTGGCGGCCTTGACGACTTTCCTAACAACATATCTGAACTAATTTTGTATCACAATCTGCAGTTGCACCTACAGGACACCGTCGATGTGATCGCAATAGGCTGCCAATTGTTCATTTCGGTCCGCCAAGACGTGTCAGGGTAACTGCTCTCCAAACTCCATGCCATGAATACTGAGTACTGATCCATGCAGATGCGTATCGATCCGATGGCACGCTTGAGTCAGGACTCATTAGAATGTTCGAAGAAACCGAGCTTTCGATAGTTCCATGTTATTGCCGTCCCTCTTTCTCAAGAACCCGAAGTTTGAACGCTCGGAAGCTGCGTGCCCTGCTCCTTAACTTCTCAGCACTTGCATTCACACACGGCATGCACGAATCAACGAGGCGTCTACCCTTTGATTCTCCATCTCCTCATCCCAGTATCCTTTACAGCCCTGTTTTCTCCGCAGTGTCGCCGCTGCCCGTGGGGTGAATAACCATTACAGGTACGAGTTTACCTCGGTACGTGTAGTGATTACACGGCAAATGAAGCACGCGAATGGTGTTCTATGCAAACGTGTAAACCATCCTAGCCCTCGACTCTGATCATTAACGGCTTTCTTCTTGGTTCTGCCGCTGAGTCTTCTCCTCCATTTATCAGAAGTTCACAGCAGCTTCTCGGGCGGCAAGCAACTTAACAGCCGTACTCTCAGGACCCAGGTCACGGCGAGTACGGCGAACAGTATGTTTGTTTTATTTGATAGGAATGCTGAGCCTACAGATTCCGTGACAGTCATCAACGTATCGAAACAGATACATCCTCCATCACCTTCCCTCCTTTCCACGATCAGACCCCCATTTCCTTCGACCATCGTTTCTGTTCATCAAACAGCAAACAGTGCGTGCGACGGAGTTACACCCCATGATGGGTCCCGAACGTCATAGCTATTCAATCACTGTGTAAGTCTCAGCTACTTTGTCGTCACCATTTCGATATACACATCCTTTCCACAGTATTCCTCGGCTATTCGATGTTCATCTTCCTTGCGGCACTGCACATTGCGTAGACGAACTTCTACGGATCTTACTACACGTTGCGGCTTACTCGATGTTGATTGGAAGATCTAGCATAAACCACGGTGCCGGCGGTTCATCTCTTCGCAACATCCTGTGCTATGGCCCATGAAATGAGCTGGTCCTCGTCATTGGTGTTCGTGAGTACCCTTTGCCCTGTGTCCAGTACTTCCTCGAACGCAAAGATGACACATATATCATAGTAATTACGTGGAGGTGTTAGATGATCATGATGGGTATTGGACAAGATGTCTCAAGCTCGAAGTTTCAATCTTCGTAGGATGGTTGGAATTAAAAGAACGCGGCTCGATTGATGTATGTGGAAAGATTTCTATCCTTACATACGTTAACTTCTGGATGACTCAGTGGAAGTATCGAGAAAGCCATTGCTGCGCTCGGATCCTGCTACGTCCAGTCGGCTCCTACTACTTTGCGGATGCCAAACTAGCCCTCAGTAATTCCGATCGAAAATTAGCACCAAAGTTGCTGGAGCTAGAGTTTTAGTTCTAAATCTTACTCTTCTCACAGATATGCTTGCTTACTCCAAACAACGAAGCCAGAACCAAGTGGTTGCAGAAGGGAACCGACGGGTGTCACGGCGTACCGACTGCCAATTCTCACCGACGCCAACTAGTCTAGCCTAGGGGTACGAGCGCTGGAGGAGTCGACGTCTTGCACTGGAAGGGGATTCGGTGTAGTGTTCCGCGTCCTCGTGGATGGAGGGACCTAGTGCACCTTTCCTAATATCAATCTACATATAGGGGTGGCAACCCTAGACTGGTAAAGACTAGTAAGTACTTGGTGGCAATGATAGGCGTTGACCCGTACGAAGGCTAACGGAGGGAAACCTCGGTGCCTTTGTGGTGGACCTGCTCGGAGCCCTAGCTCTACGCCTTCTGTTCTTGGGTTCGCGGTGGCGCACAGGAGCGTCCAGGAAGGAGGTACAGGGGAGCCCCTGTGCAACTCAGTCACGCGACCCTGCCAACTGCTTCGTTTCGCGAGTCCGACTTGGACGTGGGCTATTCCTCAAGTCCCGAGCGGTGGGTCTACGGGAGAACAGCCGCTCGGCTCGCAGCGCGTCGCTGACTACCCGTTACGCTTCAACCATCATCATTTTTCTGCCCTATCATCAATCATCGGAATGCGAGTCTTGACGGTGCCACTCCGATCAAATAGGTTATAACACGAGTTGGAGGGGGTGTCGACGGAACACGGAACAGATACAGACTAGCTTGCAGCGTGTTTGAGCCTGGAGGCACCCATCATCAAAGCCTTCGTACGTAATCGCGTCGAAGTGCTCAATTCCGAGCATAGTTGCCGTCGGGTACGTGCCATGTGCAGGACGTACTACGTACCTCTTCAGCACTACCTCCGTTATATATATTATACGAATGGACCTTCCACGGATGCCTCGTGGCTAGCGTCAAGCTTCAGCTCAAGCTCTGGCTCGACAGCAGCAGGCATGGATGATATGGTGCCGTTATTCGCCCTCACGCATAATGGACTTGTGTTCTAAGCTTGCTTGTCAGGCATGCAAAATTGCCAATAGGCCCCGCAAAGTGCGGAGGCGTGATGCAACTTTAATGAACTCCGAGTACAAGTGAGCTAGTTATATCAGTTGTGATTCTGTCATTTATATTTATCAATTGCCTTCCTGCATGAAGACGGAGATTAGGTGGGTAAACAGGAGAGGCGTGGAAGTATCTGTGATGATTTGGACGCCTTGAAGTCGACACATCCCTCCTTCCCCTATCCTGGCTCCTAATGAGAAGCGATCACGTGATTGGCGCGTCCCCACGAACTTCCCAAAACAGCAATCAACTCATTTCCTCCACGCCCATATCCCTTTTCCGACTCTCCCCAAACCGCTGCCGTTCTCCAATGGCCGCCTTACTTGAAACGCCGTCGCGAATATGGAGGCGTATAGAAGATATCGAAGGGCGGGATATGCCTTCGCTGCCGTCTCTGCCACCATTCGACGACGACTCTGCAGACGATGAAAGTCTTTCCTCCTCGAATATCTTGGGAAAGCTTAAGGATGCTGGCGACAATGACTCGAACAAATCTATTGACATGTCGCTGGATATATCCGGCCCTGCGCATTCTACACCCGCTCCTTCGTCTCACTATGCATCAACAATACGTGCCACTTCAAGTGTCTCAAGTACTGCACGCTTCGCCCATTCAATTGCATCGCGATCCGCGAAGTCGGCCTCGCTCGGCCTCTCTGGAACTGCTGGCAGAACAAGTTCGGGTGGGAATAGCCGAGGTAGTGTAAGGCGAGGTGAAGACGAGATGTCGATGGATAGTTTTGACGCAAGCGTGATCACTTCCTTGCCGGTGGTGGATCCGGCTACTGAGACAGACGAGGGGGATCTGGGAACGGTGGAGATAAGTAAGGATGGCACGCAGGAGGAGAGCATCAGCGTTCCAGAGGTGTATCTACCTCCTGAAGAGCCGGAGGAGCATGGACTGTCGTTTGCGGACGCGCTTGCGACTGTTAATGAGTCTAGGGAACACACGCCAAAGAAGTTTATGGAATACTCTGTCAATCTACGTTCGGAACCCAAGGTGAGTCTGACCAGCTCTCTCTCCGCCAATGCTGATTATCTTATCTATCCTTGCAGCCTTCTCCAAGAGACAGGTTTCGCAATGTTGCTATCCGAGAGAGAAAAACTATTACAACGAGGACACGAACTCCTTCACTCTCCCGCACGACACCATCACCTCATTCATCCCCGACTAATTCAACTCCTCGGAGTAACCGTACCATTAATATGACGCTCCCTCGCTCGGCAACTGCTTCTCCAGCTGTTCCAACGCCGGTACTAGGCGCGTCGATTCCCCTACCGCGATCGAATACCGCATCTCCAGCTATTGTAGTGCACTATGCGGACGACGATTTGACAGAGAGTATACTTTCAGAACAAGAGCCGTCTTTGGGAGATGCGGGGCTAGCACTTGATGAACTTTCGATGGAGATGGATGTAACAGAGGTACATCAATCTCCATATACTTCAACTACACAGCTAGATCTTCCACGGGAGGCTAGTACATCTATGAGCCCTTCCCGCATCGAATCCACCCACGAATACGGTGAACGGACTGATGAACGCGAGCCTACATTCTCATCCGAAGAAGGAGCTACCCCGCCAACGATACGAAATCCCAACCAAGCTACGCCCAGGGCCTCTCCGTCGCCAATTGCAATGTCTTCGCCTGCTTTGTCGGCAGCTTTCACACCAATTCCTGCTACGTCTCGGCCCCGCCTTCGCGCTCGCTTTGCACCAGACGAAAGTGCGGAAGAAAGAGAGCCCGAGACCCCTGTTCACTATGCTACCGCGGACGCTGAACAGGTAGAAGAGGAGGGTGAAAGGGATCCTCTAACCCCACACGCGGCGCGACGACGCTCGTTCCTTCTGGCAGTTGTTAACTCTACGACCCGCCCAAGATTAAAGATGCCGACTCCCCACCCTAGACGAGAAAGTATCTTCCCAGGCACTCCCAGCATTGCCGAATCGACTCCAGCAGCTGCACATTTAAGTGCATTGGACTCAAACGGACCTAGTACTGGACCGCGCTTACAATCAGCGTTCGCCGGCGTCACACCTCGTCCTCTTCCGCGGCGTACGTCTCATCCATTGGCGCAAGCTTTTACCCCAGAATCACCGCCTCCTGCCGAGTCGCGCGATGGCTCCGCTTCGCCTCGCCCACCTTCTGAATCAGGGAGTGCTACAAGTAGTAATGCCCAGTTGGCTACTATTCCTCCTTGGGCCACGCCCGGTCCATCTGGATCGCCGTACGATGGCGCTAGTGACAGGGCTTCATTCATTTCAACTGCATCCTCGCACGATCTCACTACGCACCATCGAGCAAATACTTCTTTTGATCCCGTCCTCGGCTTGGGTGCCCAAGGTCATGGATTGGGGCGCTTCAATGCAGGGAAATTGAATACGTACCTTCACAGTTTGAACAGACGACTACAAGAAGAAAACGAGTTGTTGGAGGAGCGAGTACGAATACTGGAGGAGAGGTCGGGAAAGACGGAGCTCGACGCTGGCGGAAGGCGGTTGAGTGCCGGGAGTCGACGAAGTAGTATGGGAGGTACAATGTTGGGTAATGTGGAAGAAGATGTAAATGCAGAGGGCTGGATGGAGGAGAAGGCTCAGTTGGAGGAAATGGTGGAGGATCTACAAACGAAGTTGGATAAGTGCCAAGAAGAGAAGGAGAGCATGGAGAGGGCGTTGGAAGAAGAAAGAACCGAGAGGTCAAGAGACAAGGAGCGTTGGAAGGAGCGGATGGCGGAAGTGGAGACAGGTGTGGAGGGTATAGTGAGGGACCTAGAAAGACGGGTGGACAATGCTGAGAAGGAGGCAAAAGAGGCAGAAGTTGACTGGCAAAAGCGGGTGAAAGATACCGAGAGAAAGTGGATTGAAGCAGAGGAAGAAAGAGACGCAGCTTTGGAGCGTGTAGCCCAGGCGGAACGCGCCCTGGAAAGCGGTCAAGAGTTAGGAGGAGAACTGGCGTCTGCCAACGAGCGGATCGCACAGCTCACTGGGGATGTGAGGAGCGCCAACATCCACATCGGTGATCTGGAGGAGGAGCTCGGGCGGGTTGACGAGAAGTTAGTCAAGGCCGAGAAGGAACTACACGAAGAGAAAGAAGTAGCCGCGGCTCTCGAGGAGGAGCTCATGCAAAAGGAGGAGGAGGTCTCGGCAAACACTGAAGCCTTGGAACGCAAAGAGTCAGAGATTCATCAATTGCAGGAAGAACTCAAGGAGTCCAAGAGTTATATCTCGCAACTGGAAGAAGATGCTGGCGCTGCGTCGGAGAGGATCGAGTCCCTCGAAGAACAAATATCTGCTCTTGGAATTGGCCAGAGAGATCTCGAGAAAGCATTGAACGAGGCGCATGCAGACATCGATGACCTTCAAGATGCAGTCCAAAGGTCCAACATGCTTGCACGTCAGTTGGAAGAGGCATTGGAGGCCGCCGAAGAGAAGATGCATTCCGACGAACACGAGATCATCGAATTGCAAGCCAAGATCGACACATTGGAGCGTGAACGTGAACGGGAGGCATCTTTCGCCCAGAAGGAAGCCTCCAAGAGTTATGCTGTACCGCCTATCGATGTTGACGTCGATGCACTTGAGGCCGAGCTTGATGACGCTCACAAGGAGATCGCGAAGCTGACAACTTTACTGAACCAATCGCCCGCCCGGAAAGCAGTGGAGAAGGCCAGAGAGACGAAAATCGATATCTTAGAAAAGGAAAACGAAGAGCTGAAGGAGAGGGTAAAGGCTCTAAGGTCTACTATGACGGACATGAACACACCCGGCCGAGTGGTTAACGCCAGCGGCATGTCCCCCTTCCACCGACAAGTTTTGGCTATGTCCATGAGAGCACCTCGAACACCTGGTGCACCCCTCAAAGACGTAGGGAGAATCCTCTGTGTAAACTTGGTTCTGGCTAACCGCGCTTCTAGATGTCTTGGCTGAACAACAGCCCCACAGTCCCCGACGTGTCGCCCTTCGTTTCTGAAATTTCTCGTCTGCAGAAAGAACTTGACCTCGCTAACCAAAGTATCGATGACAAGCTCGACAAGCTAGAAGATGTCGGCTTCGATGTTGTCGGCTTGACGAAGAAGCTTGAAGATGCTCGTTCTCGAATAACTAGCCTCGAAGATGAGATTGCCCGTTTGCTCAGGCGGGAGGAACGGCGAGACCATAGGCTCGAGCGCCTTCGCTGCAAGAAATGTTTGCTCAAAGTTAACTTTGAGACCATCCAAGCAGCTGACGAGTCAAGGTACGCGCATCTCAGGATCTACTGGTGTGATCTAACATATATACTTGTAGTTACCTGGAAGAATCCCATTCTGGTCTACCCAGTGAACCCCCAACGCCTCCCACGAAGACGACAGAAGCCTTACGAGCGAAACTCAAATCCGTCAACGATAATCTTGCGGGCATGCATAAACACTGGGAAGAAGAGAAATCACAACTACTGGGTGAAAAGGCCATGCTTCAAGATACTACAAATCGTCTCAATCTCCAGCTTCAAACGGCTAAAGAGGAGGCGAAGAGGGTATCGCAGTCTGGCAAAGTCAAAGACAGGGTTCAGGCCGATATTCAACAGGTATGAATAAATATGTTACTGCGCGTGTAAAGCTCATTACCTGACCCCAATGGATCACAGGAACTCGAGAGTGCCAGACAAGTGATAGCAGATCTGGAGAGTGAACTCAGATCCGAGCGTGCGCAATTACGTGTGTTGGGAACTGAACAGTCCCGTCTTCAAAGAGAGCGAGAGGACGTCCTTGGGCAACTACGTCGCACTGAATCGGTCAGCCGCTTTCTTCTCCGAGGCCTTTTTGGCGTTTAACGTGATGCAACAGGATGTGAACGACGTCAAAGCTCAACTTCAGAGAGTTCGTAAGGAGAACCAGGAATTGGAGACTGAGCTCAGAAGTGAGTGACATACGGACGAATGGCCGCAGCTATTAACCTTGCTACAGACAACGACAACGCGGATCAGAAAGCTAGAATATTAGAGGGCAAACTCCTGGAGACTGCGGAAACTATTGAACAACTGCGACAAGAGCGTTCATTATTAGCTGCCGATCACAAACAATTGCAACGAAAGTATACCGAGATTTCAGAGGTACCTTCTCGAGTTTTTCCTGCTATAGTGTACTAATGCTGGGTATCAGCAAGCAAGCCATCTGCGCGGGGAGTATACTGCCTTCCAGGCTACGCACGATAAGCGTCGTCAACAACTCGATCTTCGTCAAACAGAGCTAGATGAGCTGCGTCAAGCACTGACAGACCAAGCAGATGAGCTTCGAAAGGCTGAAGCAGAAAAGAACCGTATGGTCATCGAGAAGAAGGATGTCGCTCGCACGATATCAGTGCTTGAAGGAGACCTAAAGCGTGTCCGCAAGGAGGCTGAAGCTCTAGGCCGAGACCTGAAGCTCCTCAGAGCTGACAAGGAGCGACTGGAGGCGAAGCGCAAAGAGGATGTCACTAAAGCCGAGCGAGCACACAAGCAATCTCAGTCTCAGATTCGCATACTCAACGAACAGATTCAGACGCAGAAAGAGAAGTTCCTACGCGTCCAGAATCAGATGAAGACGCATGTTTGCGCAGCGTGAGTCCATTCATCTTTGGGCTTACGCTTTAGTCTAACGAATGCCCCAGTGATGATCGGAAGCTTGAAGATATGAGGCTACAGCACAAAGACGAGTGCAAAGGGCTACTTGTCAACATCCGTTATCTGCAAGCGAAATTGACTCGGGAGGGGACGTTCAGGCTTGATCTTGGCCACCAGAAGCGCTACCTATTGGTCCTCCTTGCTCAATTTGAGAAGAGGTTTGTCACATTTGCCTTCTGATGATATCTTACTCAAAGCATCCGTAGCGAACAAACGATCATTGCTGCCATCGCAAAGATCGGTTATCCACTGCCACCCCCCAGCACGCGAACTAGGAAACTTCCGAAGTTGAAGAGTGTCGCGTTGTGTGTCATGTTTTGGACCCGTGCAAAGGTGGCTAGTAGCAGATGGAAGGAGCATACTACTGCTAAAGCCGCTGTAGTGTCAGCGCTCCAGGAAGTCAGGAGACGTCGTGCTATCGCCGTGTCATAGTTTTTGCTGATTTGTCAATATTTTTGTATGTCTACCTGTAAGCTGTAAGGCTGTAACTAACATTTCGAACTACTGTACTCTATCTTGTCATTATCGTAGTCCCGCTGTACAGTCCTATAACTTAGATGCAAGTATCCTGGCCATGCTAAGCGTTGAGGTTCGATGACTATATAGTCCTCGTTCTAGGGTGACTTGGGTTTGCGAGTCTCTGACAGGACTCGAACCGCTCCCTTGGAAAAGACGTACGAGAGACCGCTCCAAATGGTGGTGCCAGCGACGACCCATCTGTAGGAGCACCAATGACAACGGTCTGAAATAGAGGGTTGGGCACACGTACTGGAAACCCGTCAACGAGGCAGTAAGATCTAGCGGGAGCACTGGACTGATTGTCGTTGTTCCCATGAGGGCGAGTTGCAGGAACGTATTTACCTATCCACCCGCGACATTAACTTCGTTCACGAGCGAAGAGAAATTGGGTGATACCTTGCTGATATATGTGGGGTGAACCTCAGCCGATGGAATAGAAAAATCCCAATAGCGAGAGAAGGTTTTCTACGCGCGTCCTCAGCGTCAATATCGAAAAGGCACCACAACAACGCTGACCGGTTGTGGTAATGAAGTATAGCGAATATAGAATGCAGCGAGACTGAGCAGAACATCACGACCAAGAATTATGGCGGCGAGGGGGACTTCAATCCGTACATAAGAAGCGTTCCTCAGAATTTAGCAAGACTCCTCACCCGGTAGCATATCCTTCATCGCCAATGTTATTGTCAAGGTTGTCATCAACGTCTTGTCTGCCGCCGGGTCAAGAATCGTTCCCAAAACTGATTGCATGTTGAAACGACGCGCCAAGTATCCGTCCGCCTTCGCATAACGCGCAAATTGGGTTAATACTTATTGATGCCCCATAGTTACGCGAAATGGGCAAACCAAATCTGAAGCTCCAGCATAGACCAGTAAAGTGGTCGCAAGCTGGAAGTTGCCTTCTATTATCGACCATCCGAGCACCGGGCAAGCTAATATTCGGGATACAGTCAAGAGATTCGGCAGAGTGTATATGTTCTCTCGTATCGTAGGTCGTTTCTCCTCGTCCTCTCGATGTTCTTGTTGTGGTGGTAATTTGCGAACATTTGGCGACCAGGCTGCGTGTTGAGTAAAGAATGTACGAAACGAAGGAGCGAAGCTGTTCCTATTGGAAAACACTCGAGATCCGAACCGACGTGAAGCAGAAATACGACCAAAGCATGGCCCAGAAGATGCTCGACAGAGTTGGCGAAATGCAAGTGACATGAGTAGAAATCATGATCACAATACTTGACGCTCAGCCAAGTTACTAACCGTGGGAGTTCTTTCTCCAGCCCCTTATGTTCAACGCAAGATGCAGCCCAGTCTACACGCCTATTCATCAAACGAATTTATGGGACATATTGGGGCAAATAGTCTAGCTCGGTTCCCTCCTTCTTCGAACGGACCTGTGCTATACTTGATTGCCCTTTATTGTCTCCTCCTAAACCTCCTGACTCCCCTAAGCGACTTAGGGTACGAACGATCTTGCGGTAAATGGACGTCGCCAGATTCTTGGGCACACGAGACATGTACCGAAACGTGGCTCCTTGCAGGACGGATATTTGTGGTTTCTTGCTGAGATGAAAGATGAAAGCGCCGACGAGTATGAAAAATGCCAATACTCCCAGAGCGGCGCCAACTTGAACGATAACCTCTACGTTTGCTGCTGTGTTATTGGTAGGTTGGTCGGCTAGTGGAGGCGGTGAGTAGCTTGTAGGTGCCGCAGTTCTAGCAGATGTAGATGGAACCACAGGTTCTTCCTCGCTACAATAAATCTGCTATCAATTATTGATGAGGATGGGGCTTCAGATTATGGCTTACACTACAGTGTATGTGGCATAGTCAAACAGAAGCAGTACCGCTTTCTCCGTTGAATTTACAACGATACTGAAGTTGTGGAACATATTTTGCATAGTTGTGTTGACATAGACAGGAACGTTATAGAGATAATCGGGTTCCCTTTCCACGTCGTGTCTGTATTCGCCGACGAAGTTTCCATCAAGGAGGAAGTTATAATCGGCGAAAGCGTCAAATAATGGGGGTGGAGCATTTGCAATGATGCAGTAAACATATATGGCTACACCTACGCAGACGTATAAGTGTGCATCCAGCTAATATAATTGTACGAACCAGTGAAACCGAAGTTGACTATTGCTTCAGTATTATTAACCCAGTGTGTTGAGTCATGCCAAGTTCCGTTATATGCGATGGACACGTTAGGCTTCGCACTCAAGTCCTCCCTCGGTCCGCTACTCCACGCATGGGACGGAAGATATGTTGGGACAATACCCGTGGATTCGTCCCCGTATTTGTCGTCAATCGTGACGTTACGTTGTTGGGCAACAGTTCCGCCTGCCGCCAAAAAGCATAAAGAGCATATTCCTAGAAGCCTTGATATAAACATGAGTGATAGGTAATGGGGGTAATGTGGCAAGACCTCCACCTTGTCGTGTGTGATAAAGGGCCCGAGTGGCTTCTAACCACCACATCCATCTCATCTCTGTACAGATACTTAGTCTGTTGCAGGATACGCGTCGGTTGAATATTTGGCTCATATCAGCAAGTCACCCGAGGGCTGAGTACCGAGTACCGAGTCCCCGCCGCCGCCTGACTGCGAATGATAGACTGTACAACGCCATCGAGTCATCCCGACATAGAATTCTATGATCGCAAGCTCAGAAGCTACTGAGAATGATAGGCCATCGCCATCAATGATTCGAAGCTTCAAATATTGAATAATTTGACATCAGAGATAGACAACTGGGAGGAGCATAGCAATCATTGGAAATCCAAGTGCGACTACACCAAGCGTATTGCTACGGACAACGCCCGCGTTTGAGGGGATTATAGGCCTATCTGACGCTTCAGAAGAGTCTGTGGGACTCAACGAGGGTGTCGGAGATCTCTGTTCGCTGAAATTCGCCCAAAGTTAAACGGATGCGACCAAAACATCAAATTTGGCTCAACTCACATTGTTGTGTAGACAGCGTAGTCGAATAACATTAAGACCGGCTTTTCTCTGGCATCCAGGATGATACTGAAGCTGTGGTGTTCATTCTCCATGGTTGTGTTGACATACACCAATGAGTCGTAGAAATAATCCGGAATTGCTTGTGGATCATGTATGTACGTCCCGACAAATTTTCCGTCGAGGAAGAAATTGTAATGGGCGGAGGTGTCGAAGGATCGGCCAGGAGGAGTGTTCGCGATAATGCAGTACACGTACAAAGAGGGACCTGCACAATTCGGAACCCATGATTTATGTTGAACGGATGGAACAAGCGTTCTACGTACCAGTGAAGTTGAAATTGACGGTTTTTGGGATCTCTCCGGCGTGTTGTGTCGCATCGTGCCATGTCCTGTTGTACGTTAACGACGGATCGGGCTTCGCAAACCCCTTAGCACCTCCTCGCAAGGTCCATCCCCCAAGCGGCATGAATGAAGGGACGACTTGCGTGATTTCATCTCCGAATTCGTCGTCGATGGTGACATTCCGTTGTCCGACAGCCTCAGTGGACCGAAGACATACAATCAACAGTGCTGAAATGAGTCGTGACGATATCATGTGTGATGAGTGGTGGTGTAGTGAGTGTCTGCGAGCGTCTGCGATAGAAGAAGCCTTCGAGGTATTGCATCTCTCCCCAGAGATCGGAACGCGGTCGCGAGACAAGTTCGATTGGCCATCCAGCTCGTGTCCACACCCAACTCCTCAAGTCACCACCGCCACCGCCCAGCGCCATCAACAGAGCACGATCAGCCCAAGCGATTTCGACTAGAATCCTTGATTGACGTCTGACGGACCGAGAATGTCGTGAAGAATACGATAGTTGTATCGCAGAAGTGCGTGCATCAGTTGTTACACCTCATGAATAAATAGATACCTTGGTCGTGACTTACTGTCTGCTTATTCGGTACAGCTTTCTGTTTCTTACCTGTATACCTGCAACAGCCAATCTGTGTACCAGCGTAAAGATATATATACATTCATTCATTCCAAATGTGCCCTTGAGGAAGTTTGCCGTTGATTGAACAAAATCATGACTTCGGCAAGAACGAAATAAGGGCATATCTGCTATCTGAGCTTAGCATTGCCTTCGTTTGGCAGAAAGGAAACACACCGTCCATTCACTCTCCATTTCTCGTCTGACTGATCTAAGCGCTGCGCGATGTCCTTGTCCACGCCAACTACAACGTCTGCTTTGTTGGTTCTCAGGCTGAGCAGCGGAAATGACCCAGCAAGAGGGCCAACCGCTTGATTGAATGGCGTCCAAGCAGGCCACTTGACATCTCCAGTAAGCCTACCAGAAGCCCTATATAAAACGGCGGCTTGGCGGTAAGATACGAGGATGAACCTACTTGCGATAGCTAGACCATGGTCAATACGCGGTTACGGAGATACTACGCTGATCACGTATTTCACACTTACTTGAGGTCACCCTTCAAAGATCAGCCTTACGATTAATGAAAGTAGATAGGTCTTCTGTTCCTGGTCGTACCTTAAATATCACCAGTCCACTCTCTGACAGAGATTTCCAGAGCAATGGTGCCCGACTCTCCATATCCCAATATGGGTACGGCGAGGTCCAGAAATTGGCCAAGTTGGAGTCAGTGCTATCAAGTCGAAACGCTCCTAGAGGGGTGTTCAAGGGAACAGAAAGCTTGAATGTCCCGTCATCTACGTATTTCTGCCACCGGGAGACCATGTGGAAGAGGTCGCTGTAGAGCGATGGATCGACGGTCTCGTCGGCTGTGGGAGGTGGGAAGAAGGAAGGATCCAGTAATGAGGATATAGTTACGGAAAAGTCGGGAGGTGTGACGTCCGAGACAAACCACGGGATTAATTTCGGGCTGGAGTGGTTACTATTAGACAAGTTGCTGTATGAGTCGGGAGGGTTGGACATACTGAAAGACGACTGATGAAACGAAAGGCGTGTGCGAGACCAAGAAGTCAGCGAACACAAAATCTGTGAAGAGCTGTGTGTAGGAAGATAAACATGTGCATTGCGGTTGTCTGTTGGACGCCTCACCTCGAATCCGGCTACACGGGAGCTGCCAGTCAGCCCGCCAGAGACAGTGCTCAAGAACTTTGCATACCGTTGTCTAGGACGAAATCTATTCGGCTGTTATGTAGAGTCTCAAGATGTTTCCATGCCGCCTCTTGGTCATCTCGGAGAATGAATTCCTTGCGCGCTGTTTGGGCGTCCTTTCCTACGGTTTGTAAATGCTCGATATCCGACTGCGTCAGATGAGTGAGCAGTGACAAATCCTGAGAAAACAAGCTTTAGTACATGTGCAAGATCAGTTGCTTGACTGACGGTTGCGTTCCCCCTGTGAGTTATCAGACCCGAATTCGTTTGCACCATTCATCAAAGGTGGTGAACCAAGCTTACCACAGACACATCTGGATCATTTCTTTGAATAGGACAGCAAGTTTTGATGGATCTGTCTGGATCATATCATGATCCACCTCGAGCTCTTTCATTGTTTTGGCCAGCTCTGAGAAGACACATTCGGTGATTATCAACGTAGTGTACGGGACTGTTCGGACATACGGAGGATTGCCACTCGGCTTTGTTTGAACATATCCATCTTTTGGGAAAAGAATGGATCGAATTCCCTCCAGTGCTGCGTCTTGCTGAACAGACTGCGAAGCAAGTAGTATCTTATCTATGTTAGGCACCAAAGAAGCGCATACATGCGTGAGATCAAGCACATACAGGTAGCACCTATATGCATATATTAGCCTATGCGCGAGGCTTGTGTGTAAAGTTATCATACTCTGCATACAGCCATGGCGCTGTGAACCAAGTGTTCTTGCCTTGCGCAGCCAGAAGCTCCAGTTCCTCGTTATATGTCTTGATCATAGGGTCTGTATCATCTACCAGTGGTCTAGCATTGATCAAAGACTTGGATGGTATCCCTCATTGCTTTTCACTCACTCCAAAGGGTGGTCCCTGCCCATATGGTACTTCAGTTTACTGATCTGCTCGATAATGCCTTTGCTTTCCGTGATCTTGGCTTGAGCATCGGGCAGGCTTGAAGGTTGCAAGGCTTGTTGGATCTCCAACGTCAAGTCGTGGTTTATTCGACAGAGTCTATCAATAATGCCTGTGATGATTACGGGCCATCGTTTCACCACCGTCTCGTATCTGACCCGCACATTCAATGCGGAGCGAGGCAGTGAATGGTTCTACTCACGAAAAGCTACAAGAACGATTTTCGCGGTGAATATGAGTTCATGCGGAGTTGAGTACATACTTGCCCAGATTTGTCAATGGGGTCGTAAGGGGGATATGGACTTTGGAACATTGGCGATATGGTGGTAGTGGTGAACAGCTCGCTACTTGACGTTTACTCAACCTGGTTGGCGGCCCCGCCGGGCCGAATAGGGGTGTCCTGATATTTTTCCTGTTGGATTATACCTACATGTAGCTACTCCCTATCATTAAACAAAGCTGACAGTAGATTGATGCGATGGAAATTAATAACAACGAAGAATTACCTCGACAACGCTCAGCCGTATGAATAATCATGGTGAATTCAACGGACGATACTACGCGGCGTACGGGGGAGGCGTGCCTGCACTCTGCTGGCGTAGACGCTGCAATTCTCGGCGCATCTCCCTCATCTCTTGCACCAAGTCTCCCTCACGTTCAGGTCCAGGCTCAGGATCCGGATCCCTCGCTTCACTACTACCCCTATTACCTTGAGTCCCGGTCTCGATGACTTTTGGGCTCGGCGTCGATACTTCGAGTACCTGAGCATTCCGCGCTTTTCGCCGGCGACGAAAGAGGAAGGCGGCGAGGATGACGGTGATAAGGGATATCCCTCCTATCACGGGGCCGACGATGACGCCCACGTTCACTTGTGTCCGAGATGAAACGGTCTGGCCGGGCGTCTCGGTAGGCTGGTTCAGCGCCGTTGAGGACTCCGTAGCAGACGAATCAACAGTATCTTCGCCACTGCAATACAACACGATAATCGTTCTCGATCAAGCCATTATACGCTGAAGTAACTTACCTCGTTGTATAAACGGCATAGTCAAACAATAACAGAATGGGCTTGGCGGGGGAATCCACAAGAAGCGTAAAATTGTGGGCTTTGTTTTGCAAGGTCGTATTGACGTAGACGGGGGTGTTGTAGAAGTAGTTTGGGATGTTCGGCTCTGCTTCGTGTGTGTACCTTCCGACGAGCTCACCGTCGATGAGGAATTTGTAATCCGCGTCCGCGTCGAAGAATGGAGGACCAGGAGGCGTGTTTGCGATGATGCAGTATACATACAACGAAATGCCTGTCATGTAGCCATCCTCGATCTTGAATCCAAGAACACAATGTGATCTGTTACGCACCTGTAAACGTAAAGTTGACGCGCTTCGACTCTCCACCAGGATAAAGAGTGGTATCGTGCCATGTCCCATTGTGCACTAAGGAAGTGTCCAGCTTCACAGCTCCTGCGCCACCAGACGTCCACCCCAGCGTCGGCGAGTACGTAGGACGGACGCGCGATAGTTCATCTCCGAATTGATCGTCGATCGTGACATTCCGAAGTGCTGCCACAGTCGTTCCTCCCGCCAGAAAGCAAAAGAGGACGCTTGCAGCCACGAGCTTTGCTAGAAGCAACATGATGCTGCAAGAGATAGTACACAGTACATGTGCTTGAGTCCATGACTGTTTCTAGTAGTCAGGGCCATTTTTCCGAAATCAACAGGTGCCAAGTGGGGGTCGGTTTTTATAGCCAAGAAACTTAGATGGTGAGTTGATGAGAAGATGGTTGGCTGTGTGCGCAGAAGTATGCCAGCGGCCTAGTACTTAGTCCACCAAACGGGTCAATGGACCCCTCTAAAACGATCAATCAATGTCAGCTGGGCTTCGTAGGTTGGACTTGTGTTAGAATTGGGCCATGCAAATACGTACGTACGCGCAGTTCACAGCGGCATCGTTGATTCCCGTAAGTCAGTCCTGCCCTGCTGCGAGGTGGTGGTCGCAAGTGAACAAATTATGTAGTCGCCAGGTATCAACTTGAGAATTGTAAGCGCTGACCCTCCCTGACATGGGCGCTTAGCAATTCTCGTTGTACCCTTCTTTCCATCCATCATGCGAGCTCTGCTGGTCCTAGCTTCATGGTAATCTCGCGCTGGCTGCTGAACTGAAAAATTCCAACCTGACTCCCCTGATGCTTGAGTTCCCCGTCGATGAATTTAAGCGACATCACCGCCGAAGCGCGAAGCGGGCTCCTTCGTCAGACAAGAAGTAGAACTCACTACGAGTTGGCTTCCTGATGCGCATTGCTCTCGCAACGGACCACAAGGCACACTACAACTGCCAGGAAACTTCCGATTGTATTTGACAGTAGAGGCCCCGAACTGACGCATCAACTCATCTCAAGCAAACCTCAGGTCTTGCTCAGGTCGCGTTAAAATGTTGAGTGAGTACAGAGTAGCACGATCATTCGATTCCCGATTGCTTCATCATGGATTTTCCGAGGCCCACCAATATGTTCGCTTCACTACGACTTGGCGCAGTGCTGTTCTTTACATTCATCTCACAAGCTAGCGCTCAGGGGAGCCTGACCAACGTTACCGTGGATGATGCATCCCCAAGTGTTCGGTATCTGAACGGCTGGTCACCAGGACCATCGTTGTATATACAACTCGATACCTCGAAATTATTCAACGGCACTTGGCATGATACAACACATTATACGCAAGATATAACCACCAAGGAAATGCACGTAAACTTCACAGGTGAGGATCATTCATCACTTTCCTTTGTTCAGCATCAATAGCTGATGCTACCTGTCTGATCAGGCGTAGCGGTCTATCTCTATGCCGTCATTGCCAACCAGCCCAGTGGAAAGCCATTCGACGCTTTCGCCGACTACAAATTCCTCCTAGATGACGTTGTTGTCGGTGAATACCGACATGAAGTGGAAGATACCACGGATTTTTTCTACAACGTTCCGATTTACGTGAACACAACGCTCCCGGACAAAGAGCACCGCTTCAGCGTCTTGATCGACTCTACCGAAAAGCCTGTGCTAATGCTATTTGATTACCTTGTCTATACTACAACTCAGTAGGCTCTTCTACTCCTTTTGCTTCAGTATTTGACTAATGTTTTGTAACAGTTCTCCTACTACTTCTGAAACCCCAGCCTTACCCACCGACCCACCCGCCTCTCCGCTCCCGGCATCTTCACAAGCGAATGCCAGTCCACCTTCCGAATCGCCTTGTTCAAAGTGTTCCGCTTCCGGAGACAATCATAAAAAAGCAAGCACTGATGGAGCGATCATCGGTGGGACAGTAGCCTGCATAGCCGTTGCTTTCATGGCGATCATGGTAATACTACTCCTGCGCCGTCGCCGTCGCCGTTGTAACGCGTCGGTCGTTGTTGAACCTTGGCTTCCTTCAACCAAGTCTATGGCGACGCAATCATCTTTAAACCCCACCATTCTCAGGTCTACCAAATCAATGGCGCTATCGTCTCCTTCCAGTAGAGAGTCCTTCAACCAAGCCCCCTACGCGGCACCCGGCGAGGTTATACCTCAGCAGACAACGACTTCCACGTTGAACGATGGGTTGGGACAGGTGATGTCCTCTCTTGATGAGGTTCGCAGGCAGCAACGGGAAATACGCTCGTTATTAGGGCCACCTGAATATATCGCTTAAAATGTCTATGGCGACAATTGATGACTTGTCTTGGACGTCAATGAAACTGGACGGAGCCCACGGCAACTGAGCCGTTGATCGACTCTGACGCACCGCACAGAAGATGAGGAAAAGTAGAACAGTGGCTCACTCCGCCTCACGGCCTGTTACCGCGTCTCGCCCGTACTGAAATATTGTGAACTATGTCTCGAAACAACGCTCTCATGGTTTTCTCGTAGGGCAGTACCATTTATGCTGCGATATCATATTCGCATTGTCAGCCTGCGTACCTACCGCCGGTGTAAGCGTTTCACCCACTCTTCTGACCGTTACCTAAATGTCTACACCCCATTTTAGTTCGCTCGCGCCCTTACAGCCGTAGCTTTGTTTCGCAAGCGTGTTTCGAGGATTGTCAAATCGGTGAATCGAGGTCAGAGTTAAGCAAGGTGGCTATGTGAAGTCGGACATCAACAAGAAAAAGATGCGCTGTTTCATCGTGAGCTGTTCTTCATCTGAGATCCATTGATCCATCATTCAACTCTCCCACCCATAGTGATATCTTGCTGACCACGGCCGCGAAGTCTCCGCCGCCCAGTTCAACATCAAGGCAACCTGTTCACAAGAAAGTTTATGCGACATGTACCGCAAATACGCTGATAGGGACCTTGTGGTCCCCACGAATACCTTCGCTTCCAATAGGACCTCAACTGAATAGCAGGGTGAGTCTCTGCCCACACTCCTCCACGAATTCAATCAGTAATGGAAATCATAATCTTCCATTTGATCACCAAAGGGATCCATGAGGCCATCGACATTTGTGACACCCGTAGCGAACCTCGAGAACCAATAAGAATAAAGTCGACTCATTGAGCGAGTCGCGGCCGCAACTTTGCACAGTCATTAGCTACCCACTCGTACGGCGTTATCAACGAACCGAAGTCTATGCCGCCCTATATACCATTTTCACAGCTCTTCGTTTAACGGACTCTTTCCCATCGGCGACCGCCTGCGTGACATGTCCTGACATCCTTCCTTGATGACATCAAGCTTATTATGATGAAGAACAACCCATCATCATCAAAGTGGACTCGAACAACTCCTCGAAGAGGGCTGGCACAGGCTGATTTGTTTGCTTCATAGTGAGCTTGGCAACACTTTCATTAACGCTCGATCACTGAAACTCTCCAGGGACCGAAGTCACAGCCTGTCCACCGAGTGTTTCGTTTGCAATCTCGCATCGTCGCTTAGACGATCCTACAATGGCCGAATTGTCCATTCACCATCAGTCTAGCTGCGAGGAACATAACTGCCACATCGATTACTTCCCTTGTAATTGGGTGGGACAATACTATGTTCCTCTGACCACGATCAATCTTCCGTTATTAGATTGCCTTGCCCTGATGCACATCAACTCTGCAGCTGAACTATGTATAAACGACGTTCCGTCAGAACGATTCATGTGGCCGGCCCATCGAAGTCCCTATATCCTATGTCACGAACATCGACGACGCTCTCATGCCCTTCCTCGACCATGCCCTTCGCATAATATATCTACTCTATATTCTTACTGTCGCTGCTGCTGCGCCCCGTAATATCACCATCGATGACGAGCTTGGAGACGAACTTACCGGAAATCGGCCCTCATTCTCACCCCTCCTCGGGTGGGCGCAAGGAGCTGTGTGCGATGGTTGTCTCAAGTTGGACGCAGGCCAGACTATACAACGTACATGGCATGATCATACTCATCGATCCAACGAGACTCGGAGCGCAGTATCCTTCCCTTTTAGTGGTACGATCTACTTGCGGTCTGAATCCGCATTGTGCTGATCTGTTCATTCACCAGGCACAGCGGTGTTCGTATACTGCATCCTAGCAAATAACTTAACAGGAATCACGACGCTGGCCAATTATTCCTTTTTCCTAGATGGCGCGGAGGTTGGGCGCTTTATCCACGTACCCGAAAACGGGTCAGATTTCCAGTACAACGTGCTGGTCTACTCCAACACATCCGTACCGAACGGGAACCACACCTTCCAGCTCCTGGCTGATTCGAACGTCAGCGACACGTTGATTCTGTTTGACTATGCACAATACACGTGAGATCCCTCGTCACAAGTCGTCCGCTACCTTTTCGCTCAACATTATCAAGGCTTGACATAGATGCGCCCGCAACTATTCGAGCTCAACTTCCGGACACTGAGTCGCCTCCTGCAAATCAGCAGTCCAACAGCACAGCAAGTCTGCAACAAACTGCAGCGATCGTTGCTGGAGTCCTGGGTGGAGTGGCTATAACTGGGCTTGGGATTATATTGTATCTACTGCGCCATCGATTGCGCCGACGCCCGGCGGGCCCTTCGATCACACCGTTCCCATTGACGGATATGAGTCGGTCTCGTGTGGAGGAGCAATTGGGGGATGACCGACCAAGAGGTCAGCCAAGGGGACGACAGAGCGGGCCAACATCAGGTGGGCGCCGAGCACGACCCCGAGCCCAACCAGAACCTATCACCCCATTTAAACTCCAACAACCTATCAATCCCCAACCCGAAAAAGGAGCTCGCCCGGCAGTGACGTTGACAAATACCACAACCAGCACACTAAGTGATACGCTAGCTACGCCGATATCGACTAGTAATCCTAGCAGCAGAGCCTCTGGCCCAGCCCCTCCAGACCACCAAAGGGACCATCATCGTCGGCATAGAAGGCATCCTGAACATTCGAGTTCCGATCCTTCCGCGAGCAGTGCTAGCCATGATGGGTCACGTCCCCCGGCAAATGGTCGCAGAGGCGAAAACCAAAGGCAGCCCCGCCCCAGAGGCGTGGTTCCCGAGGAGCGAAGAAGGCGGGTTCATATTGCAGAAAGCGACCCTTCCCAATCCGCACCTTCGGAAGGCTCTTCTCGGCACACTCAGATTCCTGTTGAATCAGAACAGTCATCGCCATCTCGAAGTGCGAATCACAGAAGCAGGCCTATTCGACATGCTCGCATGGAATCAAACACATCTGTTCCGTCGTCTTCGTCTTCTGATAGAAGGCCGCATCACGAGCTCGCAGAAATCAGAGAGGCCCTGTCAGATCTTCAGACGCAGCACGAAGCCATAATGTCTGTAGTAATGCCTCCCCCTTCGTACGAATGATATTTTTCATCTGCAGGTTAGTTTGCAACGCCTTATGTAGCAACATTTCTGTCTTTGGAGGCTCACTTAAAGACGTGAGCCTCCAAAGACAAACATCCGACGTTAATTTGTAGTATATATTGTTGGGATAATTGATATGAAATGATGTTCATAGACATTTGCAGGCAGCTGGTGGCATCTACTATGCAAGATGGTTGATTCGATGATTGGTTATTATATAGGGAACTTGATGACGAACGAATAGAAGAACAACTCCGCGATGCTTAATACATATGAAAGAACCCTGGGCGACCCTCGATAGGAGCTGCACGACCTTCGCGAACGGCCTTGTTCTTGAAGTAATAGTACACAGTGAGGGCACACGTGGTCGAGATAATAACGAGCTGTGAGCCAATGGTGACCCAGACTGACATTTAGGAGTGCGTTAACGAAGGATGACCAAGAAAATGTCAGGGAGCACTTACGTCCAGGTCTGTAACCGGGGGCATCCTCTGAGCGGAAAACAGTTGAAGCTATAATTCCACCGATGCCTCCTCCACCAATGGTAATGGCCGAGGTAAAGGCACGCTTAGAGTATCCAGCGACGTTGTTTTGCATGTAGCCTAACACATGTTGGCGCAGGCTTTGATAGGGTACAAGTACAGCAACTTACCAAGGATGGCTGGGACATTAGCGGAACCACCAGCGATACCCAAGAAGACACCGAAGTATCGCACGCCATTGTTAGTGTGAAACGCGGTCTGAACGGTGCAATGGGTTATGAACTGCGGTGAAACGAGGGATATAATCGTACCAAAGTCAATCCGATGATGGCTATGATTGCTTGGAAGATGAGGAACGGCGCGCGGAGCATGTACTTGTCACTCATCCACGCTAACGAAAAGGAGAATATGGCGGCAAAGACGTATGGTGGTGCGGTCAATAGCTGGGCAGCCAATGTAGTGTAACCCATTCCTTGAACGAGAATAATGGGGAGGAAGTACGCGAATGCCTTTGTGGAGATGAAAATAAATTGTGAAGACGAGAGGGAGGATCTACTTACATAGGTAGTCGTGCAAGCAGCTCCGAACATGAGAGCGAACGACCACAAGTGGATATCTGCCATGTACGCCCAGAATTTGGACATCGACCAATGGTCATACTCGGCGTCGGAGCGGTCCTTGTCGATGCGCGCAAGGATCCACTTCGTTTGCTCGGCGCTCAGAAACTTGTTCTTGTCCGGGAAGTCTTGGACAAAAATGAAGGCGCACACACCCGCAACAACGGTTGCCAAGCCCAGGAGGATCTAACACAATGTCAGTCCTGCGAGACTTGTGCACGAGAAAGGATGCCCACGAAAATCCATTGCCAGCCACCGAGGTCAGCAATGCCGGCCATCTCGGAAATACCGCCAGCGATGGCAGAAGAGAAGCCCGAGATCATAATAGACAGGACATAGAAACCCGTCATGCGCTTTTGGATTTCCCTGCGAACATACCATGTACTGATGATGTATGTGCAAGCGGGGAAGAATCCAGCCTCGAGGACGCCAAGTAAGGCGCGGCAGATAACGAGTTCCCACCACGTCTTAACGAACCCTACGGTGAGCGTCAGTAAACTGAGTAGAGGCTCGACAAGATGCGGTCCCGACCCATGCCAATCATAACAATCCCCCACAAAGTAGTGATGCTACCAATCCAGCGAGCTGCACCAGCTTTGCGAATCAACACGTTGGAGGGGAGCTCGAAGAGGATATAACTAATCCAAGTGTCAAAGACAAGTTGAGGGGCGACCAAGAAAGAGAGCATACGGGACGAAGAAGATCAACGTCGCTATCGAGTAACGGGACCCAATCTGGAGTTGGAGGTCCTGGGCCATGCCTGCAACGTACGCGTTCCTGTGAGGGGGTGTCGGTTCAATCTTTCTATGTCATTAAGGAAGCCACAGATACTCACGAGATATTGACGCGATCGATTAACGAAATGGAGTAAAGGATGGCTAGGATGGGGAGGAGGTTGGAGTCTACGCGACGCAGAGTCCTCTTTGCGAACGCTGGGTCTTCATTGACTTCGGGATCAACGTGCTGCCCCTTCTCGTAGTGTTCAATAACATCGTCCGAGCCCTTTTCTGAGAGCGACATAGTGAGCTGGAGGTGCGCTGGGTACGAGGAATGCGGGGAGCACGAAAGAATATCCTCCAGATGTGGGGAAGTTAAATAGTCCAGATGTGGGGAACTCCAACTCTGAACATACCTTAGACGCGGGTGTGGGACTGTGGGACTCATGCAGGGAAGCGGTAGTTGTTGAATCTCTGATCGAGCCAGGCACGCGGGCAAAGGTTTCTATCATTATCTTGGCTGAGGCATTGACTAGAAAAGGCGATCATGTTCAACCGGATGCCACCATAACCGAGATATAGGAGGCGATTTCAGATGTTGCAGAGACGAACAGGCAGACGGTCGAACAATATGCGGATGTGGTGTTCGTGTGCTTTGGATCTGTATCTAACCTCGAAGCTTGAACCGCGCTTGACTTCTGAGTTATGCTTTGGTGCACCGCCGTGGTCAAATTTCAAGCTTCAGAGTCTGTTATGCAGGTTTCTCATCCACAGAAGGTCGGAATGCCGTGGCCTCAGACGGGTCACCGGTATGCTCCTCGGATGCTAATAAAACATCTTGGCAGGACCAGTCAGACACTTCGAATATGTAGAATGCACCACTCAGCACGCACCGATCTCTGAACCTTCGTCGCATTGAGGAGGGGTCATGCAGTATATGCCCCGCGAAAGACTAGTGTCTTTTTTTTTTGGAGTAGCCAAGGACGGTGCTTTGGACTTACCGATGCCTGTACCCTGACATAGCGGATGAATTCATGGCTAATAAGGGCAGAAATGTCGCGCACCCTCATTTATTGAATACCGACCATCGAAGAATCACGCATTTACCATCGAGTGCCGGTAATGTACAACGCGGCACCGGTACAAGGCAGGAAAGATGATTGTCACCTGAGGGGGTTGTGTGGCGACTACCTGGACCAGAGCTTCAGCCCAAGAATTCTATGGCCCCAGCGAGTAAAGCTTACTAAATGAAGAGGTTATCGGATGGATGAATCAATCCACCCCAGGTATGTATAGCCCAGTACCAGTAGGGCCGTCGTTATCAAGGAGGGAGGCGGGGCCCGTGCGAACAGAGAAAAGCTATCGTTGCGACGACACATGCACTGTGGATGAGGGAGAACAGAAAACATATTGTCTTGCAGTTTATAAGGATGACGGCTCTTTCAAATTGATTCGGTCGTAGGGCTTATTCGATGCCGACTGGCCGAGGCTGACATAGCTTTGCTGCACCATGATTACTGGTGCCCGAATTAGGTTCATCATTGTACCTTAGATGAGCCAATACGATAACAGAAAGAGGGCGGAGGATGTACGCCCGGTGGCGGTCAAAATGAGTTCAAGGTTACTATGAACTAGGCCTAGATGGCTGTCTCGCGGTTTCACTGTATCGTTGGATCAAAAAAGACTCTGGGAAGTAGAACCGTACGACACTACCCACAGGCTAAGCTTGTTTACTGCGCCGTCAAGAGACTCTAGACTCCAGCGTACAGTCACCATGTACGTTAGGCAGATGAATTATTTTTCCTGTTTGTTGAGGCTACATCAGCGCAATCAGCAATCGACTGAGCTGACAGTACTCACTTTCAACGGGTCTGTTCCCCCAGAACCAAACCAGAACGTAAATGATTGCCAAGACTTCCGTTGCAAGCCTTTCGCCTTCGTGTACAAACAAGCAGGATTGAGACTACGCAATATACATGTGGTCTAAGTACAAAGAAGAAAACAGGTATCAGTGTCTATTGCAGAATGCGAAGGATAACAATCAGAATATGGATAAAACGTCTGCAGAATGGTAATGAACAGCGAAAAAAGCGGTAGCATTTAGATTTGCATCTGAGCTGGTATATAGTATGATGGAATGCCGGGAAATGTGATTTTACACATTATTCAACCAGACGCAGCCTTCGTGGCCAATGCCAGAAGCCGTCTGAAGAACCAAGAAAAAGCTTAACATATATCGGATGAAAACCATTAGACGATTGCTGGGGTACGCAAGCGCCGAGGAATGTTCAGTGAGGTAGTCGTGGCGCGATTCAAGGTCACCGAGCGGAGCAAAACATCAGACGCGCCGCATACACAAGATCGCGGACAGTGGGCCAATTATTCGAACCCAACCGAAGATGGAAAAAGAAGTTAAAATGTCGTATCGGTCGTTCGGATGTACATCAGTGCCGTCGATTGTTGGAAGACTGAAGTCGGGAGACAACGAGCTTCGTTACGGAGGGACACGACCCGGTTGGTGAAATGGTGCGGGAATAACGGGGGAATTGAGGGACTTTGCATTCGAGTTTAAGCGGTGCCTGCGGCAGGCCAAAGTGCAAGATATGACGACAACATTCCTGCAGCTCTACCAAGGGTCGTCGGGCCCTCAAGCTCTACGGCGCTTCGATCTGACTCCGAACAACCTTGCTCCTTGGGCACCATCCCTTGGGATGCTGATGGAATGGGTACCGAAACGGTTTGGTCGGATGTCGGAGGCTTTACTGTCGCGACAGAGCTGGCCTCGGAGATGGTCGAAGACGAGGACGAAGATGATGATGTCGAAGCTTTTGGCCATAACCCGGACTGTGCGGAGTTGAACTCCTTCAGAGTAGAAGGCGAGGGTCCAGCAGAGGACGCCGACGAAGCGGCGGCGGCTAGAGCCGCTTCGACGAGCGACGGTGTGCCTGCGTCCCTTGCACTAGAGTCAACGGGGCTGACGCTCGTACTCGAGCTCAAATTCCTCCCTATGCGAGGACGTCCTCTCTGCCTCTCTGTACCCTTCGCATCTCTATCACGTTCCACGCCTACTCGTCCATTAGCATAAACACCGTAAATGGCTGTACCAGAGAGACCTATCGAAGATCCCTCTGGGGACGAGCTGCCTATTGGAGAGCTTTGACAGCTCGACCGTTCCCGATCGCTGAATGAAGACGATGGCGTTCGTGTAATTGATCGACCTCTCGACTCGCCGCTACCCGCACCACCTATTGATCGTCCTCGTAGCGGTGGCGACAGCATAGCAGGTGGCGACGTCTGACGCAGCTCGAACGAGCCCGACCGCTTTGGCAAATTCACCGGTGATATCCCAGGCGAGGCTGACGGCGACTTATTCTGACGCGCGTTCAGCGTCTGTTCAGGAGAGGTCGATGAACTCGTGTTCGCCGATACAAGTGAAGGGGAAGGCGTCCGTGACCGCGATCTCGATCTCGACACAGATAGTGATGCCGAATTCGACCGCGAGTTCGACCTTGACCTCGATCGCGAACGTTCGCGTTCTCTTCCTCTTTCATCTTCTTCAGGTGGAGCGACTTTCTGCGGTGGTTGTGGCTTCTTCGTCCACCTTCGCCCGGAGGAAGTAGAAGAGAAGTCCTCGCCAAGATCTGGTCCACCGAAATAATCATATGGATCATCTCCGTCAACACCATTGCCGCCGACTTGTATCGCAGGAGGAGTAGGGACGCCGTTATCGTTAGTGTAGACTCGACTTGTTGCGGATAGAGTGACTGATGATGATGGAGAATGAGTGGGTGAGGCGGGGGTTACAGTGACCCTGCCCACTAACTCCGGTGGACTTTGATAGTCCTCGACAAGATCGTCCGGATCGCCCACGCTGAATTGCGCTCTCCGGCGGGGCGAGGGAGCGCTGTCGGCGTTCACGTCCTCCCTGTGCACGATCTCCGGGTTCTCGTAGCGCACGTTGTATCCGTTACCAACACGCGGCGCGTAAACGAGTTCCACAGGTGTTTCAGCACGCACCGCTCGGGGGATATACCCATCTTCTTGCTGCGTCCGTTTCATATTCCCACCTGCCCCGGGTGCCGACCACGCTCCAGTGCTGCCATTCTCAGGTACCTGCCCACCACCAGCAACCCTTCCTCCATGCATGGAACCCCAGCCAAACGGATCACATCCGTACCCGAAATCGTTATCGAACCCAAACCCACTCCAAGGATATCCTTCTTCTACGGATTCCTCCTCGCCGAGACTTGACGTCTTCAGAAACGTGGGCGCGATGGGTGCGATTGTCACATGGATTGGATGTTCGCGATCTTTGCCTAGTTGTTTCTCGCTCGGGCCAGACGTCGAGCTACTGTCTGACGTTCCTCGAATCATGGGGGCAGCGTGAAGGCGCTGATGCGAATCAAAAAGAGCTGGCCCAGTCGGCAAGCCTAAACTGGCTCTTCGTCGCGTAGGAGCCGAATTTCGTCTCGGTATTCTTCGGGAAGTAGAGGATGAGGAAGATGAGGAGGACGTGGAGGCGGTAGAGTTGGAAACTGACGTGGATATAGAGGCATTCGTGTCCACAGACGTCGAAGAGCGGACGGAAGATTTGGATGTTGACCGAATAGGGTTGTATTTCGGAGATGGTGTCCGTATATGTAGGATATCTTCGTCTTCCTCGTCTTCGTCCTCATCATCAATGGCAGACTCGCTCGTGTCATAGATGCGTCGGTCATCGGGGTTGTAGTCGCTGTCGCTATCACTTTCAATGGCGCAGACTCCCGAGAAACCGTCCTCATCGTCTTCGTCGTAACTAAAAACATTGATCGTTAGCTGCACTAGGAAATAAGCGAGGGAAGCACACACCCTTCGTCATATTCCCAGCCATGCCCGTATATACTTCCTGTCCTTTCAAACGGTCGTGGACTCTCACTCTTCGGTTTATCAATAGCAATGCATTGCTCGACATATGTGTTGAAGCTAATGTGCTTTTTCTTCTGATGGAAGCCAGTGCCGCTTGCCGTTGAGAGAGCACTCTGGGGTTCATCATACCGAGCGAAGGGAATAGCAACATGTGGGTGAGAGCTATGAATAGAGTTAGGTTGATACAATGCGCGATCTCAGCGGAGAATTTACCCAGTCGCATTGCCTGAATGGTGCAGGGGCGTATCAGACCCTTCAGCATGCGAGCCTGAGCCACTTGGTGATTGCGATGTCGCCGATACCGCCTCACTGTCGGCACCGTCGCCAGTGTTCAGGCTGTTTGACACAAATCGAGGGGGAGAATCCTTCCTGAATGCCCTACTCGGCCCCCAACGCGTGACGTGCGTGTCAGATTTCGTATGCATGAGCCGTGGTCGTGAAAGGGTTGCATGGGGGAACGAATCCGGATCTGCCAAAGCATCGTTGTCGGTGAAATCGTTGACTGCGAGATGCTGCAGACTGGGTTCCGACTGTCCGTTGTCCTCTTCTTCGCTTTCCGCAGGGCTGAAAAGGGGACTCGCAGGTAGATCGCTGGTTAGCAGCTCGCTGATACTTCTGTGCTTGAGGATTGGCTTGTGCTTTGGGTTCAAAGAAGGGGATTCGAGATCAAGGGGGGTCGGTTGTGGGGAGTTGGCATTGGGGTGGGAATCGGCGTCGGCGTTGGAAGAGCAGGGCGGTGGGCGTGAGGGGGGAAACCAGTCGACCGCTGTGTGCAGCGGGCCATAAAGCCATGTAACATCTGAGTCCTTCAACCTGAATTTTCGCTGGGGTGAGTCCGCCACACGGTCAGCGACAGGACAAGGACGCACCAATTGAGAGTCTCTGGCGTGACGGTCTTTAACTTGTTCCGCTGCTTCCACCAGGTCCTCCAGCTGGCGTTCTCTAGCCTGACCCCGTTTGCAATCTCCTTCTTCTGCTTTGTCATATTCCTCCATGATTTCCAGACGTCCTCCTCCTGCCATTCGTGCGAGAGATAGTCGACCTGGGCGGTGGGCAGCGTAGATAAGCTCGAGTCGTCCGGAATTGCGTTTGTCGAGACAGAAACGAGCAAAACAGGCAGATAATTTGCCATTAGGGAGGGAGTAAAAGTAAAATGAGGAAAATGACTGGTAAAGAAGAAAGAATAATATAAGCAGGCAAACGGAGAAATCTCGCGCAAGGGCGACGGACTGGTCACGTTATATTCAAACCCCGGCGTCCTCCGAGTGTTCGGCCCGGTTGCATTGTGGGTCGAGCACAGTATATCGCCCGTCCAGAACAAGACTGCCGATTTCATGTTCCGCCGTCTTTCTCTCAGCAAGCTCCGTGCTATCTCACCGGACCACAGAGACGCTCAACATAGAAGCCTACACCAGCTCAATACAGCATGCCGCTTTCATGGATCTTCCAAATCTCCTACTAAACCACGGTCGTGACGGCCTTGTCTACTTCCTAGCTGGTACCGTGACAAAACATGTTCACATGTCTGACAGTTCGCCACAGAGTCCCCGCCGGCCCCAGCTTTGCCATTGAGAGGAGAGCAAAAAAACACATTGTCTGGGGTTCTGGTGCAGAGGCACCACAATAAGGCTCCCCGCCCATTCCTTCCGTCCCGCAGCCAATCAGATCGCCCGTTTTGAGGGCAATTTTCAATTCTGGCCGCCTTGATCATCACTAATTCTGGACTGCGATCATCAAAGTGCCAATTGGCCGGGCAATGTCTGGCACCGATACTACTGCATGCCATGCGCCCCCTGGCCTGATCAAATAGCCCCTAGGGATTCTTCGACTCCGGCGCAAGAACTCGCAACTTCGTGAGTATGACCGCACTCAGTGCGCTGCAAATTATAGCAGCTCACGTTGGCCTTTCGGCAACCAACCTGTATCTTCCACGCCAGCTGTCTCCGAGCGTGTGTCACCATTTCAGATTATTCGGTACACACTGTCTCTTCCTTCCCATGTCCTACAAGCTAAATTGCCAGTGATCGCCTAATCTATTGTGTATTCCCAGAAACATGTCTCCTATAGGGCAAAAGGTCTCCACGCGGGTGCATTGCGACCGCGAAGATCTCCTGGGATAGCGGGTGGCGGAAAACAGTCCAAATGCGAATTGTGCCTGCATTTTTAATCCAGATACTCCCCCTCATTTGACCTCCACGGCGCCCCCACCCAGGCTCATAACCGCGGCTCATACTCATACTCTCCATATTATTGCTCGTGTGCAGTCCATGCAGCAAGCCTGGCCTAGCACTCGACTCGGCACTTCTAGTCTGTAATCTGCTGGGTGTGGGCCTTATACACCTTAACTTTAACGTCGATCCACTGTACTATGACGCAGTTTGTCAAACAGCCTCCCGTATTCCGTGTACCTTCCGTGCCCCGACCATCTAGCGAGCTCATTTCGTCGGCAAAGTAGTCGAAGTGGCAGTCTAGGACAGACTCAGGCGCGTACCGGCCCTCGTCTCGGCCTCGTAAACTTCGGAGTCGGATCATCGTGTCATCTACCAGCAATCTCTCACCCTCCGTAGTCCGTTCACAAGATTCAACAACATCCTGCATTCAGGCTGTTCAAGTTCCAGAGACAATGAATCATTCATACAACAAGTTCCATCCGCCGATTAAACAGTATGTCCACCTGGTTACTTGACACGAATCCATTCTTCCGAAGTCTCAGCAAACATGGGCCGTGGATCTTTCGCTCTTCCGCCAGGCTGCCGTTACCTAAAGCATAATCCTAAGCTTAATGAGGCACGTTGAAAGCCAAGCCATGGCAATCGCCCTCCGGAACCCCACACGACAACTTATAGTTAATCAAAGTTCAAACAACAATCATCAGTATATATACAGCGAGGCTCGAGCAACGATCATGCGCTTGGAAGCACTTCATTTCTCCGGACGAGGAAAGCACACGTATCCTACGCGTTTCTTCGGTGATGGCGACATCAACCAAGCACTTGGTTCAGATTCAGACGTCGCGTAGTGCCTATGTTCCGCATCACTTACGATAACCAACTACGCGGACTTGAATGTCACTTAGACTGCGCGTGGGTTCGCCGACGGCCTTGCTTATTGTGGGTACTTCTCCCCAGTGTATGTGCGCCGTCCGGGTTGCTAGCTGAGTTCGTGATACGTAGGTTATGAGCTACGGAAGGATGTCGCTGATTTCCGAATTTATCATGCTTTCGACGTGTAACTCACTTCCGCTCGCACTTGGCTCGCACAGTGATTATACTCCGTTGACGACACAGGGCTTACCCCGACAAAGCAAGATCGGCCGTCCACATCCCCGGGTCGTTATGCTAGTTGGGCGCGTGCACACCCACTGGGTCTCCGTTAGGCCAAACCTAAACTGCTTCCGCAACTTCCCGCAGCAAGTATAGCTACGCTCGGTGCTTTTAGTAGCACATCACTGCTGAGCGGTGAAGTGATAAACAGATCCGAATCACATTGCCTCCACGCACGCATGAAACTAGTATGGGCTGGTTAGTGTTGTAGGTATGCCTGAGTCACGCTCAGATGCAACAGCGCCTCAATCCCTTTGCGAACACCTGGGATATGACACTCGCCACGACTACGACCTCCCACACTCCCCCACGTTGTATTAATGGATGAGTGCGTAGTGCTCTACTCTCCCGGTTCCCCACATTCCTTCTGGGGTAATTACCCCGCATTCTATTCCTTCACATTCATGTGACTTCCATGGTATTCATTTCCCTTCATTTCCCAGACCACCACTGACATGGTACTCACAGGGGAAATAGGTTCCCTCGGAGACACCACATATGTCAGACTTACTATGGACAACAAACAAAGCACCCACCGCCGGCGCCCGGGGCTTGTCCACTCGGCGTCGGTATGTATAATTCTGTCGCCCTCACCACATCGTCTGGGAATCATTTGATCATAATGGATCATACGCTATCATACGTACAGCTAGCTTCTAACGCCACCCAGAGCCTCCACCGCGCGCCCATCTGCCAACAAACAGTAAACTGTATTGCATTACACCCTTTCTCTGTATCAGGTCCATCTTGTCCACGGACGCGCCGCCATATTTCGTGGGACGATTGGACCTAGTCTAGGACGCATTGGGCTATTGACGGACCATGATCCTCCCGTTGGGTTCTCTCGGATTTGCCAATCGCGATAAGTAGAAATCGCGCAACAGCGTCCTTCTGCAAACCAGCTGCCATTGGACAGCCCGAGAGAACGTTGTTCACCCTTTCATCTGGGTGTACCTTGAGGCAAAGGGCGTGTATTCTCCCTTCTGCTATGACTACTTACCTACAATGCACCCCAAATTGTACGGAGTTCTTCAAGCTTCTACATCAGTCTACACCCTGCCAGTTCATGTTGTCCTGTTTTTGGTTGTATCCTTGTACAACATCTGAATGCATTCACCATGAGGCGCGTTTGCATGTCGTCCTCCGACCCCATCTGCATGATCCTGCACAAGAAACCAAGGGTCCTTCTCCGACGATGACATCCTCATCGTCGCGGACTCCTGCGCATTTTCCATTCGAAGGGGACCAGGCACTACCTAAAATGTCGGACCGACGCACGACTTTGCGTTCGCTTGGTCGTTTGCCATAATTGCGTGATGGATCTATCGATCACCTCGAAAGTACTCCCTGGATCGTCGTTACTTGCAAGTTCCATAGTGAAATTCTTCCCGAATCGATTGTGATCGAGTAAGTACACCCTTGGCCCCCTGCTCCAAGGATGGACAGCGGCACCTGGGGCACGAAAATTCGTCGACCGTCTCTCCTCTCTTCGCGTCTCAACTTTAAGCCGCCTCTCTTGGATTCAATGATGCTGCGGTCGTTGATGTAGGAGTATAGGCACGTACCGCACAACTGCATGCGAATATTGTCTTGACACTATTTGGCCAAGTCGAACGGCGGAGAAGGCTTCATAGCCTGCTGACTCCTGACTCCTGAGTTGCTTAGGGGGAGTACAAGCGCCTGTTCGGCGCTTGTGTTCCTCATCCCGAAAAGAAGAAAACAACCTTGTCATCCTCCATCGTTCATTGGGCGCGATGCCACTGGCGCCGTTCACCCCGCAAATTGATTGGGGACGGCAAACAATTCTACTCCGCTTCGCTCTCACATTCGAGGGAAATATGATCATCCACCCTACGGCCACACTATTCCTGGCCGACGCTATACTTAGAAGACAACCTCCATGTGGGGCATCTTCCAGCGCATCAGATTTCATAGAAAACGATGTATTTTGAGGCTGGTTACAATGAAACCCTCGCTGGCCCACTCACCGCGTGGCTGGTGGCCGACTCGTATTTGCTGGATGTACTTTGATATCATATCTTGCGACGAAGACGACTCGTAGAATTTTGGGGCCATTGACCCGCGATCAAATACCCCTTGCCAGTACCCCAGTCGTCCTGCCGGTTTGATCGCTCGACAAATCCCCATTCAGGTGCTTACAAGGCCTAATCGCCCTATCATATCTCCTCCGCGTACTGGCGAGAACGAACTTTGCTCTATGCCCAATGATTACTGGAGCGTAATACCTACACGTACTCCAGCTGTGTCAAATCTTTTGCCTTTGTGGCCCCTCAAGTTCTGACTCAAGATGACCTCCCCGACGTACTTATCTCCAAGCAGTGACCCCATCCACCCTCACCGTGTATTATTGTGTGCTAAATGAGGACCTGCCATCTCTTCACGTGTCCGGATGCACCTTCATTACGCTACGTACCAAGAATGCGTGCCGCAAAGCCGGCTAGGATTGATATACAAGTTCGTCGAGCTGGCGGCGAATTATGCCGGTTGGAGCTCATTTCCTCCTCATCTCTTTTCATCTGAGCCTGTCCATTGTCAACCGTCTTTCCTGCGCACGAAATGGCTGATAAACGATCATCTGCGTCGACGTTAGACAAGGAAGCCTCTGTCCGGGTTGAGGAACTGAAGAGAACACCGATTTACAACGCTCATGTCGATACGAGTGGAGTGGACGAGCGCAAGCTCATGAGGAAAATAGACCTCCGTCTCATTCCATGGTTGTCTTTTTTGTATCTACTCAGTTTCCTTGGTGAGCGACTTGTCGATTCTACGCCACCTACGAGGCCCTGACCATTACTATTAGATCGAACTTCAATCGGAAAGTGAGCGTCCAATATTACTTTACTAAAGGTTTGATCGCTAAGCAATCAATGAACATGTAGTGCAAAGGTCCGCAAAAAGATAGCATCTACAGCTTCTTGCTTACACTTGACATACAGTTGTATCACTTGAAAGATGATCTCCACTTGAACGATACACAATACCTGCTCTCTCTTACAATATTCTTCTTCTCTTACGCAATATTCGAAGTAAGTAATGTGATTCCTTCCCAATGACGTTACTCACCCTCCATTTAGGTTCCCTCCAATGTTTTCCTGAAGCGATTGCGCCCATCTATATGGTTGTCAGCACTCATGTTCCTGTGGGGCATCATGATGGTACGTTTCTCTAATGTGCTCCACAGCTAGATCTGACAGCGGTCGGAAAGACTGTACAAGGTCTCGTCCATAACTACGGAGGTCTCCTGGGTAAGGAAGCCTCAGCGTACTTCGATCATGCCGCATTCTGATCATCGATTTCAGGCATGCGGTGGATGTTGGGAGTGTTCGAGGCTGGTCTGTTTCCAGGCGTGAATTATTATCTTTCCTGGTATGTATGTTCGTTTGCCTGTGTTGTTGCACTTCTAATGAAGTTGGATAGTTGGTACAAGCGATCTGAATTCGGCTTGCGTAAGTTTCAAGTAGCTACAAGATCAAATGGGTCGCGAATAACTGGACCACGTATTATAGGTGCCGCCCTATTCTTCTCAGCCGCGACAGTATCGGGTGCTTTCGGTGGTTTGCTTGCAGTACGCGCGACCCTCAATGTGCGATGATTAGTCGTTCATGATTATGCTTCACCCTTTCAGGCAGCTATATCCAACATGGAAGGCATCGGGGGCAAACCAGCGTGGGCGTGGATATTTATTTTAGAAGGCCTAGCCACCGTCGTCGCAGGCATTGTGTCTTTCTGGATTATCCAGGACTTCCCCGACACCGCGAAGTTCCTCTCAGAGGCTGAACGCACGGTCGTCGTACGCCGGCTGCAAGGGGACGACCAGTTCAGTGCCGCTGGGGAGAAACTTCGCTGGAAGTACATCTGGCAGAGTCTTCTGGATTGGAAGACGTGGGTTTCAAGTGAGTGTTTCGCGTCTTATCTTCATGTAGTACATCCGTCAATGCCTCCGTTAAAGTGATGGTCTACGCCGGAAGTGATATGCCTCTGTACGCGTTCTCGCTATTCTTGCCCAGCATCATCAATCAGGTATTTATACTGCACTGTTCTCAGGTTAGCTTCGATACTGACGTGGAGATATAGCTAGGTATGGTTATCGCGCGGTGTATCTTTTCATCCTTCCTCACTCAAGGGTAATGTCAACTCCAGGGTACCAGGCCACACCAGCCAACCTCCTTACGGTCCCAGTATATGTCTTCGCCTGCATAGTGACCTGCTGTGTTGGCTTTGCTGCCGATAGATGGGGCCATCGCGGTCTTCTCAATATGTAAGCCCTCCAGCGAAATGTTCCCATGCATCTATGTTTAACGGCGAATCATTTTAGCGGCTTCTTGTGCCTTGGTTTGTAGCCGTTATTCTTCTAGTTCTACTGTCATTCACACATCGTGCGCGAGATAGGGGGTGCCGGCTACATCATCCTTATCGCTTCTCAGAATGCCGCGTTATCTTACTTCGCCGTATACTTGGCTACATGGTGAGTTTAGTATTCTAGTCTTTAGGTGCGTAATTTTAACTGCCGGATAGTGGGATATACCCTGTAATCCGTACGTTACTTTTCCTGGTGAGATCGACGATTAGTTGACGGTTTGATTGTGCACTCTAGCCAATACTATGTGAGCACCCACCGTTGTTCATTAGAAACATGTGCTCATCCTTTGTAGTGCGTGGGTTTCGAACAATGTCGAAGGGTCTTACAAGCGAAGCGTCTCTCTTGCCATGACCATCAGTTTGTGAGTTCTATTCTTGTTGCTCCCTCGACCCCTTTCGCCCCCTAACTATCTTCGTCGGCAGCGGGAACATCAATGGAGCTGTCAGCTCTAACGTAGTACGCATCCTCGACAATTAATCTTGTCCTCCCCTCCGTTAACGTACTCTTCTCACCCATGTAGTATCGCGATGTCGACAAGCCATGGTACCGCCTCGGCCATGGCCTAGTGCTCATGTACATTGGCTTTGGGATTGTGTTCTCTGTGATCTACCGCGTGCTACTCAAAGCTGAGAATGAACGGCGCGATCGTGGCGAGCGTAACGAGATCATCGGAGACACGAATACCGATGGGCCTGTAAACGAAAAGAATGGGATTTACCCGACGGTGGACGAGGCGAAGAGAGACAAAGGCGATAGTTGGAGTGGATATCGCTACACTTTGTAAGAGTAGGGAATTTTATGTCTTAAGAATGCATTTACTACTAAGAACGGTTCATTGGATATAAGAGCACGTGCGTGGGCATTTCTAGCGGAAGCGCAGCTTCATCTCCACCTTGACGTCGCATCTCCATAGTTAGTACCGTTGCAGGATCTTTAGGAATGATGGGTGCTTTACCTTGGAGATGGCAAGATCGACCGCAGCTGCGAATTTCCGGCTGAACTGCCTCAATTCTGAACAAGCCTTCGGGCCGCATCCTCGACACTGGCTCGCCTTCTCGAGCGTAGCTCTCATGAGCTCGGGACATGACACTGTCCTCCCGATAGGCCGTTCCGTTACTGCTACATCTGCCTTAGCCAAATAATCAGCCATCCATTTCGATACGACCAGCATCCGCCGATTCCCAGAGATCGTCACGTAGGAGCTGCTTGATCGCAACCCCACGCATTCAACACAAGTGAACCATGTGTAATCATCTCGGTCGACCCAGGAGAGGTCGCTAGCGATGCTATGAGCTATTTTGCTGCATTGGAGGTGGTAGGCCTGGAGTCGATGCATAGTGCCCCCTGTTATCAACTCCAATTCCTCCACATACTCGCGCTCCACCAACGGAAGCCCCAATGTTTCCTTAGCAGCCAGAGCGGCTTCCTCTGGTAAGTGATGGTGTACCGCCAACGCGAACGACTTCAGCGGCATCTTCTCCATGAAGCGTGGCTCGCGTAACACCATGCGAAGCTTCTTCTCAACGCCATCCATCCCGTATTTCTCGGCCGCTCGACGGACTTCGTACAAGCCCTCCGCCTGATCGAATATTGGCTCATTCACCATGCTGTGGGGGTAGCAGTAAGCTAGGAGCTTTCGCAGAGTAATGTTGTCGTCGTCAACGGTAATGACGTCTGCACCGTCCCTGGTCTCATGTTGGAACGACTGTATATGGCTTGGTTGATCTAGGCGCAAGATGTCTCGAAAGTAACGCGAGCTCATCGAGAGCAGAAGGCCATGTACGCGGAAATCAACGTTATCATTTGATCGCAGTATGACGTTGGCGTCCATGTCGTTGAACGGGTAATCAGCGTATGACTTGTCGAGTGAGTCCAAGTCGCGCGGTGAGTTGATTGTTACCATTGGGTGATGCCTAGCCAAATTTGAAGTCTGGGATTTACTCGGTGAGTTGAATGAATGTAAGTGAATGACCAGTACCTCTCAGCAGTCTCTTCTTAACTCGCAATCGGATTACCGTACCGCAGCAGTGGGAACTTGTGCGTCTATATAAGCTCTTCGTGTCAGATATATTAAGAGATTCATTGGTATATATACTTGGATTTTGGGCATCCATTTTATGTGCCATTGCCCTTTGATAATTATCGTTAACTTTGAGTATCTTACGCTGGGCCGCTTCTTTATAATAGCAGTAGGCTAACCGTACTTCTGTACGTGGAATCTCCCTTGAAATTCGATGTCTTCCATTGATGGTCCTCATTGTGAACACGATGTAAAGTTAATATGGCATGCCTCCTAAATCTGTCTAGGGGCCTAGATCACAAGTCCCACGGCCTAAATGTTTCTGGTCCCCTTCAAAGCTCTACGTTGCGCTGGTTTCTTGAGTTCAAGCTCAGGGGTGGGCCATGATCTCGGCTTGGTCAATCTACCTACCCCATACGAATCGATCTAGCCGGAGACCTACCAACCAACAATATCAGCCCTTTCTTCAGTTTGAATATCGACCACTCGCATGATCATCTCCGTGATCACAGCTTCTTGTTCACTCATTCCAGCATCGGGCCTATATTGGCGCCTCCGCGTTGAAAATAGATGGAAGGTGCATGTGTGCCAGGATGGCCCTTAGTAGCCGGTTTATCTGATGAATTACCGCAACCTTTTCATTATGGATGACGGCATCGTGTCCATCAATCATTTGCTTGCAACCACGAGAGGGTAGGGCCTCCATCAACGAGTTAACACGAGCCAAGTATTCAACTGACGGAAACCTCGTCGGAGGTGAGATGCAACCTTTGCAAGGCTGAGCGCCCACTAGCTCTTTATCACACCCGACGAGGAGAATGTCTGACCACACAATCACCCATTACTGATGTTTATATTGCAGTCTGTAGGATTATTTCGCCTGTGCTTTCTGGTAGCAGCTGGAGTCGTCGCGTCCAAGGCTCGGCGAAACGTCACGATCGACGATCTATACGGGGATGACCTTACACACATTGCTCCGACATATCTACCTTCTGGTAGATGGAAGCTCGGTGGTGCCGTAGGGTTGGCGAAGCTCAATGCAACGTTAGTCCATAATCAAACATGGCACGATGCAATACATAAAGTTAAGGATGAGCCAACAACGGTCAACTTTGGTTTCACAGGTCCGTAAAAAATTAATGAATCTGCTGGACGTGGATTCACAGTTTGAACAGGGGTGGCGATATATGTGTACTGCGTTATCCCGAACAGACCATCTGGATCCCTTACGAACGCCTTCGCCGACTACAAATTCTTCATTGATGGAAACCTCGTCGGCAGGTACATACACCTCGCGGAGAACGGGCCAGCTTATTTCTACAACTCATCTGTCTATGTCAACACAACCATGGATAATGCATTCCATAACTTCAGTATCGTTGTAGATTCTACCGATAAAACGGTATCATTACTATTTGACTATGCCATCTACACTACGATGTGAGCAGATTCTCGTTTTGCCTCGTGCACCAACTGATTCATTGTAGGGGGAAGGTTCCCTCGGGTACATCTACGACAATGCTAGCCTCTACAAATACAAACCCTCAGCCTACCAATACCCTCAAAGACGCTTCAGCATCCTCCCATGGAGTCGCTGTGCGACTTGGCGCCGCTCTTGGGGTGTTTGCGTGGTTCGTACTGACCGGTGCTATTGCCTACGCTCTCCGCACGAAAATATGCAGCGCCTGTCGGCGAGTAACGCTGCTGCGGAACCTTTCTCGTTTACTCAAAAATTGGGCGGGGTATACTGTCGGCTGCAGGTCAGGGGTACCAGGGGCTTTAAGGGGGAAAGGGCGGGCTGCGCCAGAAACGTTGCCTCCGTACGCAAGATAGTGATATTTATTTGTTGAATATATTTATCTGTTTCATATGTATATGTGAAAAATGGAGCGGAGAGCAGCGAACTGATCCCCGTTGAACGACACGATAAACATCCACGACCATTACAAATAAGTCCCAAACACAACGGTTCACCTTCCTTACATCGTTAGAAAATTGGAGGACCTCTTTCGACTTAGTGGTTTGAATTATGCAGCAAGAAGTTGAGAATGTCTACATTTTCTTTATCATCATTGGCGTGCGAGGCTACTGACAACAATCAAAGGGTGTAGAAAAGTCTGTCCAATGGATGTGAACGAAGAATCAGATACACTGTTTCACGGAACATATTCAGGCAGCGGCTCGTCTGGCAAGCCGTAATCGGATAGCCAGTCGTTTGTGTCTGTGTTATAGGGCGCCATAATGGCTGGTGGGGATGGTCGATCCACATTGTTCGGAGCGACGACGAGTGACTGGTCCAAATCCCTTGTGGCTGGCGGGCCAAGAGCTGGCACAGAGGGGCGTGCCCCCAGCTGCTGCCCAAGAACCTCGCCTTGCGCGTTGATCGGGGGTGGACCGAGAGGAGTCGTTGCATCTTCTGGATTCAGTGGGTGGACACTCAAGCGATTAAGGAGAGATAACGACATGAAGTGGCCATAGCGCCGCCAGGGGCGCCACACTTGGAGGGGGTCTTTGGTAGCCAATGTACGACGCATGAGGAGAACTATTATCATCGCCAATATGAAAAGGACAATGCTCCCTAGAGTGCCGCCCACGATGACGACGGTGTCGTCCGATTTCCCGGTCTCTGGTGCAATATTCTTATCGGATCCGGACCCGAGAGAAGGGGAAGGTTGAGATGAGCTTGTGATATAGGTGGGGGTGATGCTCGCTGAACTTGTATAAGTATAAGTTGTCAGTGCGAGCTGCGAGGACGTAGGGGAGGCGGGGTGTTGAGATGTAGGGAGAGAGGACGTCACGGCGGGGGGTGTCGTTGTTGCGCTTGGCGTTACGCCGTTCCGAACTCTGTTGAGTAGATGAACCGAGTACCAGCCAAAGGACGGGATGGCTCACTTTGATACCACTTCGCCGATTCTAGTAACAATGCGTCGGCAAAGACGTACAAAAAAAGCAGGAGGCCTCACATGTTCGTCACCACTGAGAAGATGTCGTCCGCAACACTGAAGACATCCGTTCTAAGGGAAGGGAAGGACACAGATGGCGTGGCGGAGGGGGAGCTCATCGTTGAATATACAAGATAATCGAACAACATCAACGCAGGCCGGTCGACGGAGTCGAGCAGGATAGTGAAGCGGTGGTCTTTGTTCGGCAGGCTTGTGTTTACATAGACTGGGGTGTTATAGAAATATTCAGTTGTGTCTTCTGCTTCATGGCGGAATTCACCAACGACAACATCGTCGATGAGGAATTTGTAGGCCGCGAAAGTATCGAACGGCTTCTCGGGAGCCTGAGGGGGTTGGTTAGCCATAACGCAGAATACATAGACCGCTACGCCTCAAGTAAGTGACGTTAGTCCATGATCCCTATGCCGTGGACGGATGTAGTCCATACCTGTGAAATTAAGATGTATTTCTCTGAGGCTTGTATCCTGCGGATTTCCCGTCGCACCATGCCAAGTGCCCGCAGACAATTGCAAGGGATCGAGCTGTAGGAACGGGGTCGATCCCAGTGTCCAGCTACCCTCGGGGAGATACTGAAATCTAGTTGAGTTGTCGTCTATGGTGAAATTTGTGAATATGCCCATAGAAGCCACTGGCACCGCAGCAGATGCCAAGGCCAGCCATACCACTCCCAATAGTGAAAAGCGGGGGATCTGTACGTGGAGGGCGTTCATGTTCGGGAGCCCTGCAAGTCGAAACATATTTAGCTTTCGGCATGGCGCGGTGCGATCGCGTATTGCAAAATAGTTTACTGGGTTTCATGTGCTCAGCACTGGTGAACGCCGACGTCAAGCTTTGTATGTTAGGATGCGTATTCGGGGCCGGCGTGTATGGAAACTTGCGCGGACATATCATCAATCCATGAGCTGGGCTGAAGTCGTCAGAATGAGCAATAGGGACGCTGTTTAATCAATGATTCTCAAAGCTGTGAGCAGCGGCACGATCCATAGTGCGATGAGCGCGTGGGGCAGAAGAGGTGAACTTGTTGATCGGCGGCGGGGCGGCGGGCCGCTGGGCGTGGTGAAGTTTGTTAGTTCAATTGAAATCCGGCTCAACCCAACCTTCGCGCGCATTGCGGCGAAGTGAGCAACGAGACCAGAACGTGGCAGAAATGAGGTGAGAACAGGAAGGGAACATGTAGCAGAGTTCTGACCTGATGCACGACCATCAGTATCTGCATCAGTTCCAAATTGACGGTCTGAAATGTCTGGACACAAGTCTTGAAGGCACCGCGATTTCTGCTACAGGCTAGTTGTGGACCACCGAAGTGATGACGCTCAGCTCCAGCGACGGAGGGAGACCACGGCAGTGCGTAGTAGGGCCGTGTCAGGAACATCACCCGGAAACTCCCAGCGCGTGTGCTTTGATCTCGAGATGGTTTGATGCGACCAGGCATACGGGTGACTCGTCGCAGGATCTTTTGATGATGCTCCGTTACCCCCACCCCCATGCTACTACCGAGGCTAGTTATCGCTGGAACAGCACTCCTCTCGCTGCTGGAAGGCGTTACTGCAGGTCAGCGGAATGTGACAATCGATGATGCAGAGGAGGGAGTCCCGGTGGGCCATACTGTCCCTACCTATTCCCCTACGGACGGGTGGTCTACGGGGAGTTCATTCACGCAACTAGACGCATCCAAAATCCACGGCGGCACATGGCACGATGGCACTTACCATCCAGGCGATGCACAACCGAAGGAGGTTAACTTTGCTTTCACAGGTACGTCGTGCTCTATGCGGACCCCAATTTCAAGACATAGAACCCGTTCCGTGACTCAGGTGTCTCTTTGTACATATACTGCATCATTGCCAACACGCCGCCCGGCCGCTTTTTCGACGCATTCGCGGATTACAAGATCCTCATTGACGGGGAGCTCGCTGGCGAGTACAGGCATGACGTCGAGAAGATACCGGATTACTTCTACAACACCACGGTCTTTGCTACCAACACTACCCTGGAGAATAAATCCCACAATGTCACCATTCGCATGGATTCCACCGAGAAACCTGTTCTCCTGCTATTCGACTACGCGGTTTATACTATGATGTGAGTCGCCCTCACTTATGTCTGCTGTGCAACGGCTCAACTGTGCGCTCTCTTGCTGCAGTGAAGATGATGCTGTTGTCGTTCCCTCCACAACAACAGCGCAAGTCCCGACTACAACGCCTGGTGAACCGGCCCCTACGTCCGACCAGCCGTTGTCCACAACAGATACCCCAGTGCCTGACCAACCCTCGTCCAGCGACCATGTCGGGATCATCGTCGGTGCCGTTCTCGGAGGACTCTCGATTTCCTTGATCTCCGCCATCGGTGTCCTCGTCTACATTCGAAGGCGAAGAATGCAGAGAGCCCGCAAGCAAGCGGCTCTACGAAGTCAATGGCGCGGTAGCCGGTTCCTTGCACATTCGAGGATCTGGCGGTGGATCCTCAACCTGCCAACTGAGCCTGAGACTCGTATCACGAATGCTCCTATTCCTGTGCCGTCCATTCCTGTCCCTCCCGCTATGGTATCGACATACCAAACCCCCACATCACGGTCTTTCACTGTGTCTCGGCCCCCAGAATCGGCCACGGATCTCGAGTCGGAGGGAGGTGATTCCTCGGTTGTAGCGGAGATCAGGGAAATACGAGAGGCACTAGTGCATCTACGCGTCCAACAGCGGGCTATGACAGAGGCGTTGGGCGCACCTCCGCCGTACGCGCCCTCCTCGTAACAGCCCTTATGGAACGTGAGGTATATCATGTATAGCTTTCGTTTGCGGCCTCATATTCGTGTTCTTCTCAATTGTTCACTTGTGCGGTTCATCTTTTTCATTTCATTATTCCTTAGGTGGCGATATAGGAAGAACTATGGACTACGATAAATATATCTTGTTCACTCTCGTTCAGGTTACGTTACTGCAATCGATCATTCAATTACTACGTAGGCGTCGCGAGGCTGTAGGTCCGTTGCCTTTTGTCGCAAAGTCGTATAACCAATCATTTGGCTAAGATTGCCTCGTGTTTCCTTCCACTGTGCTTCTCAAGCAGCCGTGGATCAATTAATTAACATCGTGGTCGGTTGGTGTAGCGTGGCACGAGCAGAACGTAAAGAGACCTTCGTCTGCTTTAATCTATTGTATGAGGTCCGGTATCATCTGAGTACCACGAGTTGATGGCAGCACACAGTCCAGGCAAATGGGAGCATTTACTACAGAACAAGACATTGGATGTATCTACGATGGATTAGGATTCGGACAGACGTGGCGGAGCATGTTGTTCTACGGAAGCCCCTAAGTCCCTGTACTCGCCAGGCAGCAGCGCGCAAGTGGCGCCAGCCTTTGGTTTGTCTCGTGCTTCCAACTGGAAGAATCGACGAAATTTGGCCGAAATTCGGATACCATGTGTCTCGCACCAGATGCCAGGAGGATGAGCTATCTCCCTCAAATCTAAAGCCCTTGGGGAACCAAGCTGATGGAGACGGTGGGTACTTTGCTTTCGGCCCTAGAAGCCTTCCATTTCTGACACGATTCCTGCTGTAGCGCTGTATCTGCTGCGGGACTACATATGCAGTAAATTCCGTTCCAAGACATACGGAGGTTTCGTGCCTTTCATTGTTTCTCGCTCCACGGCCTGCGGTTGGGTAGACATCTGCTATCCTGGCGAAAATTCCTTGGGAAGGAGTGTTAACCATCTTGATGTGCTGTTTCACGCGTACCGAAAGCCTGCCCGTCGACCGACCTCCTTTCGCAGTGATAGGATATGACCAGTCGATGCCTATCACTGTGTGCTCTTCAGATAAGAATCGGTCGTTTATCAAATATGCACCGTGAGTCTAGAGTCGAGACACTACCACATTGCAGGGTGTGTGGTAGGGCCAGCGCTCCTCGTTGTTTTACGCGACTCTCTTCGCTGGCAATTGCATATGCCCCTCTCAGCCCTGGGTCGTATTGGTCGGCCTATTCAGATGTCACCAGTAGCCTAGTACAGGGTGTGGAGGTCTCAGGAGTAATTTTATTGTCGAGCAGAACGGTAGACAACATTTTTGAGACAAATTGTAGTATATCAAACTTTGTATAGTACTTGGCGAGCCAGCAAACCCTTTGGAAAATGAGCCAATGAGAAGGAGGAGGGGAGATTGTGCAGACGCGAATGATACCCCAAATCGTACCACCTTTTGAATTTTTACCTCCAGATTCTGGTCCAATTTTTTTGGTTCCACCTTGCGCGGTACCCTATATAACCAGTTCTGTTTCAGCCACCACAGAAATCCCAACTTGCCCCCAACCAGCTCACTTGTCGCATACTCCTCTTCACCACCAACCATGACCATCCCCATCGTCTCCACCCACGTCGCCAACATCGATATCCCCCGCCCCAAGGATGTCGGCGTCCTCGCAATGGAGGTCTACTTCCCCCGCAGAGTACGCGTCGAGGCTACTACTGTCATTGAGGTTTTTCTGACACATTATGTCCGCAATAGTGCATCTCCGAAGCCGAACTAGAGGAATTCGACGGTGTCTCCAAGGGCAAGTACACCATTGGTCTTGGCCAGGAATACATGGCTTGGCCAGATGACCGCGAGGACATCAACTCTTTTGCGTTGAATGGTGAGCAGCGTGGTACTCCCTGGCTTACAACATGTCTCATATTTTATAGCTGTCGCTGGTCTCCTCGAGAAGTACAACATTGACCCCAAGTCCATCGGTCGTATTGACGTTGGGACTGAGACCATCATCGACAAGTCCAAGTCGGTGAAGACCCACCTCATGGACCTTTTCGCTGAGGCAGGCAACTTCGACATTGAGGGTATCGACTCCAAGAACGCCTGCTACGGTTCGACCGCAGCCCTGTTCAACGCCATCAACTGGATTGAATCGACATCCTGGGATGGAAGGAATGCCATCGTTGTTGCCGGTGATATCGCTGTCTACGCAGAGGGCGCTGCTCGCCCTGCTGGCGGCGCGGGTGCCTGTGCCATTCTCCTTGGCCCTAACGCGCCAATTGTTTTTGAACGTGAGTATTCTGGACTATCATTCTTGCCACGCTTCACCGCTTCGTCATTTCAATACATTTTCCCCATTTTACGGTCCGATCTTTTTATGGCATTCGTTTCAATTACTCATTCCGATTCTTCTTGATCCAGCCATCCACGGCACTCACATGTCCAACACATATGACTTCTACAAACCCAATCTCTCGTCCGAATACCCGGAGGTTGATGGCCCCGTCTCCGTCGTCACCTACATCGCGGCTCTTGACGAGGCCTACTCCCGATTCCGCGAGAAGACCGCGCGTCAGCTTAAACTCGCTCAGATCAACGGTTATTCCAATGGTCACGTGCATAACGGTGACAAGCCTGCTGATCCCAAGGCAGCTTTCTCGCTCCAGGATGTCGACTACGCCCTCTTCCACAGCCCGTATGGAAAGCAAGCCGTCAAGGGCCATGCTCGCATGCTCTTCAACGACTTCCGCTCAGCACCTAATGCACCCCAGTTCGCCGACATCCCCAACCCCGAAGCTTTCCTCGCTGCCTCGCAAAAGGAGTCCCTTTCTGACAAGAACGTCGAGAAGACCTTCATCGCTGCATCGAAGAAGTCGTTCGCCCAGAAGACCGACCCCGGTATGGCCTGCTCGAAGCGTCTCGGTAACATGTACACAGGGTCGCTCTACGGCTGCCTTGCTTCCCTCGTTGCCAACGTCGAGCCCGCTCAACTTCGGGACAGCCGTGTCAGCATGTTCGCCTTCGGTAGTGGTTGCGCTGCCAGCTTCTTCACCTTCCGCGTAAAGGGTGACACATCAGAGATCAAGGAGAAGATGGACTTGATGAACCGACTTGCTGCCATGAAGGTTGTACCATGCCAGGAATTCGTTGACGCTCTTGCTGTAAGTCGCGTTTGATTCTTCCTAATTTAACTAGTTCTTGACGAGTTTTCTGTCTCGTAGCTTCGCGAGAAGAACCACAACGCCGTCTCGTACACGCCTGAGGGATCCATCGACAACATTTGGCCAGGTGCCTTCTACCTCGACAGCGTTGACTCAAAATACCGAAGGAAATACGTCAAGGCTCCTTTGGCTTAAACGCCTTTGTATTGTCTTCGCGCTGTACGATTTTACTCACCTGTTAGAACACTCGGGCCTTCGATTAGATAAACTCACATAGACGTAGTCATCATTTATTGTATTTCATACATGGTATAATCAAAACTATTGAAACACTTGAAGTCTTGCTTGAGTTCAGTAAACGAACTTCCATCGCGAACTTTCTTACTTGTTTTACTCCCGCCACGATGGTGTCTCCAACGACCGAGAGTCGACATGCGAAAGTAACAACAGGGGACGATCCTGATGATCTACGACACTGGGCGTCGTGTCACCCATCCACCCAGCAGGTGCGTATCGACCCCATTCGTGTTAGCAAGGGCAGCGAAACAGACGCATCGAACTGGTTGGAACTACGACTGCATCTGGCTCAAATTTCGCGAATGGAGCTCTCTTAGGCTTCCTATCCTCAATGATAACGAGATACGGCAGTATCTAGAATTCCCGAGCGTCGGAATAGGCCTAACCACTCTGGAGTCTGCATGAGGAATAGCGTTGTGGATCCGAGTGTGTCCATCGTCGCCTGGACGTTCCGTGATTCCATCCATTCCCTTTTGTCACTTTCTGCATTTCTCCTGTTCCTGCGCTAGTGCTCCGTTTCACCACAACTCACATCGGGTCAATTGTTCAACTATCTTTGCTTGCATCCATTTGTTTTGCAGATCGAGGTGATAATACCGTCCTCCGACCCCGATGAGATCGACAAGGCCGGGTTGGGTGCTTTTGCTGGATTTACCTCCGAGTGGTGGAGCGGAAAAGCGAGGTTATCGCAGATTGTCGAGGTCGCCGAGGAGTGTGCTAATCGTGGACAAGAAAAGTGCGTTATTCATTGCGTGTACGAACTATCTTTGTCCTGTTTCGGAGCCGGCGAAATTGGAGACATTGCTTATGGCCGTTGGTGCTGCAACTCCCATGGGGAGTTGGAATACAGAACGCGATTGAAAACCCCTCTGTGGCACTCACGGGCCCCTCCTTGTATCTTCTCGCTCAAGCTTGAGTGACGTTTGGGAAGCTAACCAACTGTGGCTTGACAGGACTTTCTGTGCTCTGAATTCAGGACCTCACGATGACGACGTATGGTGTATCGATCCCCGAGGCATCCTCACGTTCTGTTTGTGCAAGGAGACATACGAAACCCTTGGCTTGGTGGGAAAGAAACTCCCATTCAAAGGGTGTTCAGAACGATATGGTTCGTGCCACTCCCAAGAATAGGTTGTCGGTTGGGCTGGGTTCTGACCGTGCAGGTAATCAGTGCAGTCATAGCTCTTCCGTTGCGGAAGGACGTCGTCACGGTGAAGAGTAGAGCAAAGTGTCAGGCCGCAGTCAAAACATGGGACGCCAGCCGGGGCGATAATTTGTTCGACGTGCACGTTTATGCTGAAGATACGACTATGTTAGGTTCGTTCACTGACATAAACTTTGTCTTGAAATGCTTGTTGACTGACGTCTTCACAGAGCGATTGCCGGGTTTGAAGAAAAACACATCGCTACCGCAACTCACAAAGACAGATAACATCCACGTTCCAGCCATGCAACTCACCCACCGACCTCTCAATCCTCAGGCTAAGAACTATACCGAAGAATATGAGGAAGAGCTCGAAGATTGGTCCGCAGAAACATCAGATTTGTTCGAGTGGGTGGGGCTAGCATGCCTCGGCTCTCAGCGGTTAGATTATTCTCTATCGGTCGAAATATTTATCCAACGTCCCAATGATGCTCATGGTGCTGCAGCTTGCAGGCTAACGACCGTGCTGACCCATATATCGCGGTATATGAGCCGCCGTCCCCGTCACATACTGGCAATGTGACGCATCTACGCTGGCGGGGTCTCCTTCCCCCGCAATTCGTACAACAGATCATAGATGCAATCCTGTCAGTGTCCTTCCCTCCAACGAATCAGTACATACTCAACTCAGTGCTTCCAGGAATTGGTCAAAATCATCGCCTCCTACGACCTCATTACCTTTTGTATCAATAACAGCCCACTCATTCCTAACGAGCCCTACCACATATGTGCCCCCAACCTCCAGTTCCGACGCGACTAAACGACCTCCGTTCCGCTTGCCAAGAGCTGATGGTGAAGATACGTACTGTATCATAGTGAAGCCAGTGGGCGGGAAGGGCCAGTCAGATGGGAAAACTAGAGGGGAGGGGACAGGCGCCGTCGATGGCTCTGAGAGTCTATCAGCGCAAGATCAGTCTCTATGTTCATGGACGATGATCGAAAGCATTGGTCACTGGGACGCCCGCTGGGGATAGTTGACTCCAGTCCCTGATGCGATTAATACAGAAAGCCGAGCATTATCGCCCTAGCATAGATTGGCATAGATGCAGCATGGTACAGACAAAATCTAATGTACATAGCATGGGACGGTAGTGAAACAAGCATATGTAAGTGTAGTAATGGGTCATGTAAACCGAGAAAAGACAGTAGCGCTTAAGGGAAGCGCAGGAATAAATCAATGTTTGCCCTCCTTTTGGGACGATAGGTAGATATAAAGATAAATGGTCCCATCGTAGAGATTGTGGAGAGAAAACAAGTTTTCCGTAAAGAGCAGAACCCAGGTAGATCAAAACAACCTCAACGCCCCAGCACGCTCGTCGTCACATCATCGACCTCGACCTCCACATCTCCGCCAATGGTCAGACTCGAGCGGGTACACGGAGAACGGGAATAGGATGATAGGCCGGAGGGGAGGCAGATTGCCAAGTGTGCGAGATGCGGGCGTTCGGGTTTGGTAGAGGCCCACCAGACACTGGTGCATAGTCAACACCAAAGACACCATTTCCCATCGAGCGCCGTACAGCAACGGCGCGACGTTCCGGATGACTAGCATTGCGTTGTTCAGATATAGACGGCCTACGTTCGGAGATACTGGATCGCCGTCTTGACTCCGATAGTCCGTCGATGTTAAGTAAAGGAACGTAGGTCATTGGGATAGCATTGGCAGAGGGAACGGTGCGCAACTGTTGCAAATTGTCATATTGCCGGGTATCGGGAGGAATAAAAGGAAGTTGTGCTGAGGGTGGCGGAAGGGGGGATGCACCAGTGTCCGCGCCCAGTGATGTGTTTTCTGTCCACATACGAGACGAATTCATAGCTTCTGGGTTCGGCGTCGCGGGCGCACTTGAATCGGGGCTCGAGTCATGACTCTCCCGGCGCTCCAGCCGCGGCCTGTGGGTTGCGACATGATTGTAGGCGGCCCAATTGAGCATAGCCGAATTGACCAAGCGTGCATTGGATTGTTGCTCTCGCACAAGCGACTGGTCTAGAGGAACGAGCGGTGGGAGAGTGGTTGAGTTGAGCGCAGAGACACTGGCCGAGCGAGTGCGTCGTGCGACACTGGCCAGAGCCTGGCGCTGGCGAAAGGTGAGCTGTTGTTCAGGTCCAGGCATAAACCTGGTCCCAGGGACAGCATCCCGGTCTCTGCCAATTGATACAGCCCGGGCTGTGTCGAAAAACCAAGTTAAACCATCTGCGCCCGCCTCTGCTCCCACACCCACGCCGGCATTTTGACGATCGCGATCGCGAGAGGGTGGATCGAGCTGGTCGAGGGTAGCGAGCTGAGTCAAGGTGTCGGCAGGGATGACTGCCTCGTAGACTGCATTCGCAAAGAACTCGTCCGAGTCAGGGTCGAAGGCGTTGATACGCGACCAATTTTCGAGTTGCTCCTGGGGTTCTGGTTCAGTTCTGACCTGAACATCAGGCTTGCTGACTGGGTGGGAGATGGAAAATAGTGCTCTGCCCATGATACGGATTTTTGGGTGAATGAGGGTATTCGGGAGAAAAGGGTATACGGCGGCGGATTTGCGTATATATACGAGATGAGAGAAGAGAATGAGGAGAAGAAGGTCACTGTGGCGAAAGCTGTCCGATTCAGGCGCGCTGACTTTCGTGGGAATCTCTAATCAAGCGGAGCCCCTTTTGTTTACCACTTCAGGGCAGGCTGCGGCTTTTAGCGGTGTTTAACGAGTTTCACTTCTCACCAGCAATACTTTCTCTTGCATACTACTACCATCATGGAGAAAACCGCAGTGTTATCATGTATCTCGTGGGTCGACCGCCACGATCTTATCCCATCTTTGTCATTCTTCCGTGTATTTTTTTCCTTCTTCGGCCAGTTGGTGGCTTCACCGAATACGCGACAAATTCCCGGTATCCAAAACCGTGCAACGATCCCTACGCTTCGACGTTCGACAGCCTGTTCTTGGCAACACCCTCGCTAAGCGACGTTCAAGTTACATTCTATCAGTCTCCAATGATATCGAAGCTGCTGGATCCTCATGGAACGCTCTCAGTCTTCAGACATTCCCCGCCGAAAGGAGTTAAGAAACTTAGAATATGCTTTTCGAGCTCACAGATGCTCGCATGTCAGTGGCCTTCGAAAAAAAACTTGGCGTCCCATCACCGTACGCGAGACGTAGCCTACACGTTGGTCATAGAAATAAAATGCTGGCCCCGCCTCGAGCGGCGGCTCCGGATCCTCGCTTGCTATCACCTCAGTTCAAATTCCAGATTCTGTACGCTATGAAGTATACTATGCTACTCTTGAACGCTTGAATCCCAGCGCCTTCATTCCAGCGGTCGTCCCAACCCAAGGAAGCGACTCCCGATAGAAGTCTACTGTCATTTCATTGAAGTGTGTCCTTGGGCATTCGATCGAGCTAGCCCCTAATCCACTGCTTGCTCCTACTTCCGAGGATCCACGATCCCGAAAATAAACCATCTTCTACAATGTCAGAAGTCCGACCAAAATCTTGCAAAACTTGCGATGACTCGCAATCTACGCTTAATCATAACATAGGTTGCTACACCGACGCTCATTCAAAGGGAAATGGAATACTGCATAATCGATAGAGTGCCTAAAATAGTGAGCTTTATTTTTGCTTTTGCGTACGATAAGATGACCCGCTCCACATCACCCTCCGGCGCACATCCAATGGGCCCAAATAATTCCGTCCCGATCGTCCAGCCTCGATCGTCGATCATGATCGTGTTGAGGTCCCTCAGTGCTTCCAGTACCTCTCCATCGTATACTTATCCTTGGGGTACCTGCTCACATCCGAACGCAGTTCGCGCAGCACCGCTACTTGTTCGGGTCTCTCGACGTGATTGCGACCCATCCACTCGCTAGAGCTCGCTGGATACCTCCCATCCGTGCAGCAAAGCTGCAATGCCGTTATCATCGTCCCCGTCCGGCCCCACCCATATCCACAGTGCACCAACGTCGATCGGTGGTCCATGAAGAAATCCCATGCGTCGTCTATGTCATCGAGAGTTGGGGCGTGGAAATCCTTGATGGGTATGTGCTTGTAATCGATGCCGACAGAGTAGAGAAGGGATCGTTCGCTGTACTTGTATGGGAATGCATTCAAGCTGATGATTCCGACTATTCCGTTGTCTTGGAGATATCGAACGGCGGATACCGTTAACTTTTGGGATGCGTCCTTGGGGTCCGGCGCACTTTCGTTGTAGTTGGGTGCAGAGGAACGGAATAGACGTTTGCCTGTTAGGATGTTTCTGGTGACGGGCTCGAATCTTTGCCACTCGCGGCTCATGGTTGAAGGGGATCTAGGGGCGGGATGTGAGACACAACGGGGACTGCGATGAAATTACGAACTTTGAAACTTGAGGGCGTTCAGCTATGCGCTGGCATCGTTGTGACCCAGCAATGTTCTTTATACAAGGCGAGAATCGCGAATTTCTTTGCTAATGCTACATACAAGTGATTCGTCCTATTCAAGGTGTCTACTAAGCACAGATAGTTCCGTTCCATCATTGAACTACAGTAGCAGTTTCTCAGGGAGCTGACAGACGATTGATACACTAGGAGCTACGTTGAAAGTAAACCGACTCGGACGTGCCAGTCTGTGAGAATTCAGCCAAGCCTATTCTGGGATGCAATACAGCTGTGGAATTTACGGCGGTAGTATATCTAAAGCCAAGTCATAGTGTCGCGCCAGACACGATCGTCAGTGCTCTCTCATCCTTCCGACGCACGGTGGATGAATTGCCTGGGGAGAAGAGTCGTGAGTAATCTCGTTGCTGCGCCCTAGGTTTTCTCGTTGTCAATGTGAGACTCTCATACACTGAATCGTCAGGATATAATCACTCTAATCCTCAGCCTTGAGTCTGAGTGTGTGGGAAAGCTGCGTATATACACTACTATGGAATGTATGGCGGTGGCACATCTCCTATAATCACTCCCTGTCAACCCCCTGTCACCCCTAATCTCTCAGTCGCAATGCGAGCAACCTTTGGACGTCTGATAGGCGGGGTGGATACGGCGTGCCAAGTGTCCGGGTGCAGGGAAATTATGCTCGACCTCCATGGCTTGATTGTAGACATCACGGCCCTCGTACGCGCTTTTCTGATGCGATGATAGATGATGGCGCTGACGGCCACAAATGATAATGCCCCCAGAGTGACACTGACAATAAACTCCGTGTGAGTGTTTCCATACTCTCCCTTAACATTTGGATTGCTGAGAGGTTGGCTCTGTGTCGGAGGACCTATAGGCCCACTTGTAGTTGTAGATATGCCTTCAACTGCTGCGTCCGCTTCCCTGCAATATGTCCATTGGCAATTAGTTGGGTTCAAGTTCAATCTAAGTGGGGATTCATCTCACATCGTTGTGTAGGTGGCATAGTCAAATAATATCAGGACTGGTTTTTCGGTAGACTCGACTATAATGCTAAAGTTATGGTGTTTATTCTCCAACGTTGTGTTGACATAGACCGGTACGTTGAAGAAGTAATCGGGGATCTTCTCGACATCGTGCATGTAGACACCAACAAGGTCTTCTTCAAGAAAGAACTTGTAGTCGGCGAAGGTATCCGTATGTGGACCGGGTGGTGTGTTCCCGATGATGCAGTATACGTATAGTGATGTGCCTGTCCTAATCATTATTTAGATCGCGCGTGGGTTAAGCGTTTTACGGACCAGTGAAGCCAAAGTTGACTATTGCTGCAGCGTGCCCGGGATTCTGTGTCAAGACATGCCATGTTTCTTTATATGCTAAGGATGCATTGGGCTTTGCGTATCCCCCAGTTCCCGCAAGCTTCCACCCGCTGGATGGCGAGTACGTTGGAGCAACGTGTGTGATTTCGTCGCCGAACTGGTCGTCAATGGTGACATTCCGCGATCTGGTAGCCTTTGTCGTCACTGCTAGAAACAACAAAAACAATGCACCTTCACGCATTGATGCCAGCCTAAGTGGTAGTAGGGGAGTCAAGGTGATGCAGCCTTCAATCAAGACACGACGTTGAATAAGTAGCGTGTTGCCAACTTCACGCGATCGCATCTCGCCGAAGCTAACGGACACCTAACCATCGGAACTGAGTGCCGCCCGCGTTCATCAATAAACGGCGAATAATTTTGAAGTGTCAATTGCAGATATGCGCACTTTCTAGGGGTAACTACTCCGAAGATACAACTCCCAGTGCAGCCCTCATAGCCCACTTTTCCACGCGTAGGTCCTGTATTCCTGTCGCAGATCCATGATCATATCTTCATGACCTCCTGATGCAACTTCTCTCGGCCCCGGCTCATGCACGAGGGTTGGTGGAATTGGATTGAGAACGAGGAGAGGATTGTGGGGAATGGTGGTGTGAGTCTTGTTGCGGATGAACACCCGTAGCGTCGGTCCATGTTGACGAACGACCAAACCTAGTAGTCCGGTGCAAAAGAGAAAACGACTCCCAACGTGCTGCCAAGAATCACAGTCGAAGAGGGTTTGGATCTATCTGCTACATTTGGGGAAGGGCTAGGTTGACAGACTGGGGGTGTCGTCGTGTCCACGGCATTCTCCTCGCTGCAAAAGAAATCACTTGTGCTTGAGTGGATGCAGGTTGAAGCGAGGAGTTTGGTTTACCCGATAGTGTATACGGCGTAGTCGAACAAGAGCGAAACCGGTTGCTCAGTCGAATCTAAGACAACACTAGAGTCGTGGAGCTTATTCTCCAAGATCACATTGTCATAGACTAACGTGTTGAAGAAATATGGTGGCCCATTTGTTTCATCTGGGATGCGAGTGTATCTGCCGTTGTAATCTGCAAAGGGGTTATGCAGTAGACGTATAAGCGTATACCTTCGGGAATTAAACTTCATAATAAACGGTCAGAGTAGGGATCAACATCAGCGGACCTGTAAAACCGAGGCTGACTGTTGTCGCCGGGGTCCCAATGCGTTGAATTGTGCCAAGTTTTGTAAGACAAGGACCTATTGGGTATTGCAGACCCGCCAGTACCGGTAGTCCAATCGTCGACGAGTAAAAAATAGGGACAATGTGTGTGCGTTCGTCTCCGTATTGGTCGTCTATTGTGATATTTCGCCATCCCGCGGTGACACCTACGGTAGATGCCAAAATACATATCATAGCGAAGAGCTTTGATAGTACGAGCATGTGCGCTTGAGTAGAATTCGGTGGGTTGTGTGCGATATGGGTGGCCTCTCTTTTTGGGCCGCAAAGGTTATTAATGGCACAAACCCAATAAAGTATCCCAGTTTCAGACATTGTCTACTTCTGGGAATCCGAGGAGGATGCTCTTGAGTGGCGGTGTGGTCGGAAGTGAGTTGAATGGACACAATGGGACCGCAGTGGATCATATGGTGAACATCAGCTCGTTATGAGCGTTGTAGAAGTCACGAGGAAATTGCTATGAGCAGATATCTCACATGTTTGTCGACTTCAAGACTTCAAGTTGAAGAAAGGAAGCCACCGAGAGTGCTGGGCGGCCAATGGCTTGGCTATTTGATTGTAGCCATAATTCGCAAGAATAATAGATCAAGTACCGGAGAATTGTGAAGTCAAAATACTGACCGATATCGCCACGAAAGGCTAGGATGGCAGGAGATGATAAGGTAAGTTTCATTGATACAAACGGATAATACGTACCTATAGGGAGCCTTGCGACATGTCAAGTGTTAAGACACCACCGTAATCCGCGATGAAGAAAGTTGGCCTCTTGCAAGGATTTTGTTAGCTTACACACCCTGCGGCGATAACAGGCGACCGCATGCTCTGATTCATGTGTGCTAAGACTTTCATTTCACCTCGGGACCGAGTCCAAGGGGGACGAAGACTAACACAGCTCTGCGAGCCCGTAGATAACCACGGCCTAGCCATCTTGGCGGGGGATATTTAAAGGTTGCTAGACAATAAACCATTAATAGGAAGATCACAATGGCAGTATAATGGCAGAGGCAGCACATCACAATCCGACCCATATTGTCCCTATTAGTGTCCGACGGATCCGTGCCAGAGCGTAGTCAACGAGTCGAAAAAAGCCTCGGCTACGCTGCTACACATTGTATGGGGGCGGGGACCGTGGCATACTGATCGCCATAATCATCGTCCGCTGCTCTGCACGTAGGTTTTGAACTTCTTGTCTAATCTCTCTGAGTTCTTCTGAACGATCCCTTGTGTCAAGATCCCTGCGGCCGTGTGCTGGAGCCTGAGTTGACGCATCTACGGCAAGACTGAGACGCGATTGGTGTGTGGACTCGACGATAGTTGCTATATTCTTGCGGAAATCGGATACCCATCGCCGCGTCGTTTCACGTACATTAGCAAGGCGCCACCCGGAGATCCCTTGCGTTTTCTGCCGGCGGTAAACGACCAGAAGTAGCATGCCGAGGAACAACCCGAGGGTGAATGCCCCAAGTGTGCGTCCGACATCAGCGCCCACATTTGAAGGGGGAATGGGTGTGGGTATAGGGAATCGTGATGACGGTTGGTTCACGAGATCGTCGCTGCTGTTTTATTAGATTGAGATCATATAACTTGATGCAACTCACGTTGCAGTGTAGATGGCATAGTCGAATAGGAGCAAAACTGGCTGCTCGATGGAATCTACGACGATAGTGAAATTATGAAATTCGTTTTTTAAGGTCCTGTTGACGTAGACCGGAGTGTTGTAGAGATAACCGAAGGGCTTTTCTGCGTAGTGCGTGTATGTTCCGACGAGTTCCCCGTCCATGAGAAACTTGTAATCCGCAAAGGCAGGAAAATCTTGACTATTTGCGATAATGCAGTAGACATATAATGATACGCCTGTTCAAAGTCAACGTTATATAAGTTCGTACCTAGCAGACAGAATAAGGAGTCTCCAGACCTGTGAAACCAAAGTTGACCATTCGCTCTACCTCACCGACTTTATGAGTCGAATCGAGCCATGTCTTGTTGTACGCCAATGATGCGCTGGGTTTCGCGAATCCACCAGTACCTCCGGCGCTCCCAAGCCACCATCCATCAACCGGCGTAAATGTTGGGACAATGTGGGTGAGTTCGTCCCCGAACCGGTCGTCTATCGTGACATTTTTCAGAGCCAGAATGACTCCTGTAGAGCACCCCAGCATCCATATTGCAGTGGAGAGCTTCGCCAGTCGGAGCATAGGTATGGTGATACGTTCATCTGCGACATGTCCTACAACTATTTATGTGAATTGTGATCTCAACGCCACGGAAACTTGGATCGAGGCGCAGGCACAGGAACGAATTGCAGCTGCGGTTACTTCCTCGATGAGATCGCTGCGTCGGTGGAGGTGAGTTGTTGACGAAGCGTAAGATCAGAATTCGACGATCACATGACCGCGGCGTGTATGTTAATGTGCGAATAGTATGTGCGAGATTATTATGTGCTTACGCGTCGAAACGTCCAGAGATAGACAACAAAAGGCAAGGAAGCACGCAACTCGTGTAAACTTACGAAGGCGGACATAAATAATATCAAATATTGGGGCGTAATGACTATCTATAAGCTCTGATTCTAGTATCAAACAAGATTGATGCACTTGAGAATGTAGCCTCTCAGCGACACATAAAAGGCATAATACACTTTCAAGGCCTCTGGTGAGAGATTGTAGTGGGGCAGGATGTGCAACTGCGTGGCTACAACGGGTTCACATATGTGCCTTGTTCTGATGTCCTACACTAAGCTGCCCTGCGATCTGGTATTTGCCGATCCACGAACCGGCGACTGGATTGGGGTTTGGTCGACTTTTTCAAAGTCGGCGTGTCCGCTGGACGCAGGAGGCCAGGACTTCGGATATAGAAGAAATCTACTGCGACGCCATTGTTGGCTTATCAGTTGTTGTCCAGATCTTTTTACTTTCCACCAGCGATGATAGATTAGGGTGCCGATTAAGATGAAGGCAGCTATCCCTGCCAGAGTAGCGCCCACTATGAGCGCAGTGATTCGAGGAGGTTTTGAGGGATTCGCCTCATCTGGGGCGGCTACACTACTGGGAGGGCTGGAAGTCGCAGTGTACGTTGGTTGAGAGGACGTGAGAAGATCTGTAGTGGAGGTCCTTGTGGATGTGAGTGTGTTGGCCGAATCACTACAATAAACAACTATGAATAGGTACGACGATCGGGAAGTTTCATGAACTCACGTTATTATAGTGTAGACAGCACGGTCAAATATTAGTAAGACCGAGAACCCAAGATCCACAGTGATGGTAAAGTTGTGGGCTACATTCTCTAAGGTAGTGTTGGCATAGACCAGGACATCATAACCGAGTGTTTTGTCTGCGCCGGGTTTGTACTGGCCGACAGGAACTCCATCAATAGAGAACTTGTACCCTGCAAGGGAATTCGAGACCAAGCCAGGCAGCATGTTTGCAGCTATGCATATGCAGTATATATATATTGCGATACCTGTCAAACTGTGAATTCGTGTCCAGAAGGTAGAATGGGCTTTCAGACCTGTGAAATTGAAGTTGACCGTCTGCGAACCCACCAGGAGATTCGGCGCGTGCCAAGTTTGATCATGGGCTAACGATCCATTGGGCCACATCAGTGGCCAAGGCTGAGGTAGGATATTTCCTTGATTGACCCAGCTGTCGGATGGCGTATACGTTGGGACGGCGTGCGTCATTTCGTCCCCGAAATGATCGTCAATGGTGACATTTCGCCGACCTGGAGACTCTGTGGCACCAGCGACCAAGCACAGAATCGATATTCCTACAAAGCGTGATAATAGCATGACCAATGGGTAGTAGGGAAGCATGTCATTGTGCGTCCGGTGTTTGATAAAGGTAGTTGGTACTCAGCCTTGCCGGAGGCCGCATCTCAACAATGGGGTCGCGACGATCCAACCTGAGTATCTGGCTCATATACGCCACGGAAGTGAGTCCGTTGCGCCTGCTAACTCCTGCGGATTGACGAGAACTAGGAGTTACTTTGATCGCACACAGAGTTGCTGGACATCATAGATCATCACAACCCGTCAAATCATAGTGAGAGCTGGTTGCAGAGATATACATCACGTTTCCATGTCCAATCGGTCGTCAAATTTAATTATGGAGGGTAGCGCAGCATGTTTTGGGAGGCTGCCGTCAGGACAACCGTCATCTCGACGCGCAGACTCTGCATTTATGCACCGTATCTTCCTGGTTGCGCCTGTAAGTTTGAGTGATGGTGTGAAGTGCGAGGGGTATGAGCGATCGCGGCGGTCCTGTCTTTGCGGAGATAGCGCAACGTCGCCATCTGTGTGGAGTCCCGGTTCTCGCCTTCGGAAGTCTAGGCAGTCTCGACAATAGCGACGTACACGGGTCATTTAATGATAAGACAGGCTCCAAGCGCCGCGCAAGAAGACTGCCCAGTTCCAACAGCGTTTGGAAGTAAACGAGCGCTCGGAGCGGATCGGGCATTTTGCTCTCCTCAGCAGGAGAGGTATTTGGCAGCATCAGCTTGAACTTCATGTCCGTTCCACGTATATGCGACTGCAGAGTGACTGGCTCCGTGGAGATGCTGTATATTAGGTGGTCACTGTCTGGAAAAACTAACCAGCACCAAGGTAATCCTTTGCACAAAGATACCGTTGTGCGAGTCATTACGATCTCCCAGCGTTGGGCTCTCCGTTCGCTGGCAGAGGCTGCAATTTCTCGTATAGCTCCCGCTTTTGGAGAGAGGCCTGTAGATCCTCCTCTCGCTTCCGCATCTTTTCGAGTCGACGTTCATCGTCACGCAGGACACCTTTATACATGTTCTGTGGTGTAGTAAATTGAGTAGAATCTTGAGGGGAAGCTTAACATACTCACCTCGTGTTCCTGCTGCTGCTGGTAGTGAACCGCCCATATTATTAAGGACGTGAAGCAGACAGAGGCTCCTAACGTCGCTTTAGCCGTTCGCGACATGGTGAACGTTCTTGAAAGTTCGTTCCAGAACTCCTGAGCGTCCGTGTGACCGGAATCCACGTGGACCTGGTCCGGGATTTCGTAGGGACTTCGCCAGACCTCGACCTCGCAACAAACAGCTTCGTTCTCACCTCTCATTAACCTTCGGCGACACACCGCAACCTGGCAATTCGATTATGGAGGTCGGGCGAGAATTCTCATGCCGTATCGTGCTGACTTCGATACCAGGAGTTTGAGGCTACGCTGAAGGAGATCGTGAACGCGAAACGCGTCTCCGCGCGTAAAATGAACAATCTGACAGAAATAGCCATGAAATCTCTGAAGGTGCGCACGAGACTGCTCGTTTGCTATGGCTTGGTGCTTATTCCTGGCTTGCAGGAAGACACAAAACTGGTGTCAATCCTCTACCGGACGCATAAGGCCCTGCCACCTGCGGCCAAGATATCCAGCCTCTATGTGTTCGATGCGTTATCGCGGGCTGCGCGGAGTCATGCTAACAAACACCCGCATTCTAATGACCCCAGATCTGCCGAGGGGAACAGTGCAACCTTTCTATTGAAGGTTGAAGGTATCTTAGAAGGCTTGTTCTCTGACATGGTCGCGCTCGAACAACCCGAGGCAAAGGTTAGTGTTTATCCTGCGATGAGTCGTGGTCTCGTGCTGTCGACCGTCCAAAATCCACGAGTACCCTCTACGATATGTAGACATTGACTGGCACCGGCTAACGCGTTCAGCCTTCTACTTCGTTTCTGCATCAGTGTGATATATGAATCCTAACCTCAACGCCAGGAAAAGACTCAGAAGATCCTAGATATATGGATCAAAGGAAATACGTTTCCCTCGACGATTCTATCTCGACTGAAGGAGATAACAGAGCAGGGCAAAGGCAAAAAAGGTGCATACCGTTTCCGCATGTATTCGCTAAGTATTTCTCCTACCTATGTAATCCATCTGCATGCAATTTGGCCCGGCTTTACGCGAGTGGACGAGAAACTAAAATATAACTTGCGTTAGAACCCGAAGTGAACAATGCGAACGTGCCTGCACCACGTCCTGAACCGCCCACGACCGATAGTCCCACGAATGCTGTACCCGATCCCCAAGCCACGCTCCTAGCACTGCTCGCTCAAGCGGCCAACGCTTCTACATCGACAAATGGAGGGTGAGTTAGCGGCTTATCTCACCAAGGACCTGAGGCTCAACAGTTCCTCAGCCAAATACACCCAAATACAGGAACAGCACAACCACCGGCACAGTTAGCACTGATCCAGCAACTTGCACAGGTGGCCAAGGCAGCAGATAGCCCTCTAGGACAGCCGCATAGGCCAAACCAAGCCGCACCATTCAATGGCCGGGCTGCGCCTTTTGACGGCTCTTCATCTCGGTCACCGCCCGGCCGTGAGGAGTATCAGCATAATCGTAGACCAGCTAGATATGATAATTACGACCACTCTGACCGTGGCCCGGAGCCCAGTGACTACAATCGTAGTAACCATGCGGGTCCCAGCCGAGGTGCGAGAGGCTTTCGGGGGCGCCGAGGCGATACCCGTGGGAGATGGGACGATCGGGACAGAGGCAGCTATCGAGAGAGGAGTCCACCGCGGCGAAGGCAGAGTAGATCCAGGAGCCCCCCAAGTAGATATGGCGGCAGAAGAGACGTCCGGCCCTATAGTCCCCCGAGAAGACCATCAACTACATCCACGGTCGACGGTCCGCCCCTAGACGGCCAGACTTCTAGTCGCAAATCGCGCGAACCAGAAAGGGATGAGTTCGGACGTGATATCAGACCTCCATCACCATCTCCCGGACCCAGGGAACCCATTCCAGTGCCCGCAGCAGAAACGCACCACCCGCCGCCGGTGCCAGAGACTCTCAGTAGCGAACCTTCTGTAGAGCCCCCACCTCCGCTCAATCCTAATAATCAATCATCATCTGCGTCGGTATCGGTAGCTACCGTTCCAACTTCAGAGACAGTTGCGAAGTCAGAGAGTGCAGTACAGCCTCAGATGACCATGGAGCAGTTCGACTATACCAACCCAGCTTCGTGGGAAGCATTGGGAAATCAGTGGCAAATGGCCTATGGTTATACACCGTCCGCTGAGGAGATCATGCAATATGTCATGGCGGGTGGGATGGTACCTACTCAAATGGCAGCGGGCGTTCCGACGCAGGGATGGCCCATCAGTAGCTGGGAAGAGCCTGTATCAACCTTCAACACGAACGGCTGGCAGAGTGGGCGAGGACGAGGGGGGTTTAACCGGGGGCGAGGAGGACATGGACACGGCAATCCCCGAGACACACAGGGACCCATCATGCAAGACGGAATGGAGACAGACGCGATAGTCCTTGGAGGAGGAGAAAGTACGGGTCCCTTGGCGCCCCCTACGGCAGTCAAATCACCCATAGAGGAACGTCAGCATATCGAGCCCAATACCAATACGGGAGGCGCTGGAGGTAAAATGGAACGCGTTGGGGATAAGTGGGTATTTGTTCGCGGCACTGGCGCAGGATCATGACCCAAAGCATCAATCACCAGGAACCCAGTTAAATACCATATCCTTTAAACAGCTTCGCTTTCATCTACTTCGAATCTAGCCAATTCAAATGCACCATTCCTGTCTCTGTACGTGTCGTGAGTATAGGCTAATCGTGGCTCTGTCGAGGATCGTTGTTGGAAGTTACTGGCGTAAAAGGGATTGGGCCAGAACATCAGGTAGAATATGGTCGCCGTCGAGATTCCTATAAGGCTACCCACGATCACATCTTCTTTGTGATGTCGCTTGGGAAGATGGTATTAGCAGTGACTAGGAGTAAGTGACGGTGAACGGCCACTTACATAGTCTTCTAGTCTCGTTATAGCCACGTAGACCGCCCAAATCATTGGGGCTATGGTGATACTGAGCCTACCAGCTCGGCTAGATGTCCAGGACGAGGGCGGCAGTGGTGCGTGGAAACACCACGCCGCAGTCTGTCCCGCTAAATAAAGCGAGAGGAAGGTCATCCCTGTGAAAGCCGATGCTGAATGGCCTGATGGGAACGACCGTCGGCCGTCCAGGACATTTTCAATGTGCCTGGGGAGAGACAAACAGTGAGTGTTGCTAAAGATAGAAGTAGCGAATGAAAATATTACCCTGTGCACTCTTTTAGTGCTTTGTCCCACTTGCACCGTGCCAGGAAGTCAGGTCGCAGCCTCCCTAGGTGGCAGATAAGACAGCGACAACAGGGAATCCCGCGTAATCTTACCAACAGTGTTTTTGAGAAACTCTGTGAGGAGATGTGTCAGACCTCTGAGGTAGAATCAACAGCTGTTCGCGCTGGGAGCTATAGCGAAACAAACCGGCTACCCATGACAGCTATCGCGCCATGGTGAATGTCCAGCAAAGATCGTCGAAATGTGCCAAAGACGATCACCGTCGTCAATGGGAGAAAAACAGCAATTATGTTGTTCACCACGCCTGAGATCCTATGAGTATTTGCAGGTTAGCGTAGTAAGACCAGGGGGGTGTTAAACACACTGGCTATGGTGATGATGATGGTCAATAGCAGAGTCATGCAACTTGAATTCTCTTTCAAACGGCGGGATATTGGAGGCTAAATAGCCGAGCACCCATACCGCAAACACAAAGACCCTGGAGAGTCCATGGTCAACAAATTGAATCCCTTTTCAGCAGCGCGAGTAGGTTACCAATCGAAAAAATAAGACCTGTCCCACCAGCTCAAAGCATCACGGCCAAACAGAGCACGGAGCTGTGCGAAGAATGCCATGGCTTACCCTTGAAGTCGTCTACTTCAAACTCGACGCAGTGGAAGCAGTCTAAAAGTGCTTAAGGCTGGTATGAGCGCTTGCTGCACTTTTCCATGGGCTCACTCTCCAGGCTCGGTGTAAGGGCAACCTCAAGATGGCCGACAGCGCAGGCCTAGCAGAGGGAGAATCCAAAGATAATGAATAAGGCTAACTACAATACATGAGAGGGCTGCTCACCTAGCAGAGGGAGAATCCAAAGAGAACAGGATAAGGATTCTCCATGCTAGGAAGCGAAGTATATACTGTAGTAGCGTGAGAGGAATGCAGGATAACTGTACAGTACACCAGCCACAAGTCCGAACAAATATCACAAGGTACAAGGAAACATGTGATAATGAAGTGGAGGGTAAATGCACAGGAGTCGTGCCAGCGACTTGGGGAAGTAAGGGCGAAGAGTAATGAAGTGGGGGGAAAAGGATAGAGGTAACCCGGACGAGCCCCGAAGAGTATAGATGAGTCCGAGCGAGTCCGAAGTGTCCGAGACGAGTCCGAGCGAGTCCGAAGTGTCCGAAGTGCGGGAAGACTCCGGAGTCACCGGACGCGGCTCGGATGCGAAAGAAGTGGGTGGAAAGGAAGTGGAAAGGAAAGGGAGCGAAAAGGAACGAAGGGGAATGAAGGGAATGTAGGTAAGAGTCCATGGAATGAAGGAAAGGAGAGAAAATAGGAGTGTCCCCTTACACTCGGAAGCAAGCTCAAGTCGCAATCACGCCCTCTCAAGCTCAACACCTCATACAGGGCCATTCGCCGTTGCCAGTATAACTCCGCATCCGATTCTCAAAGTGAATTACATTCAGCAAAATTTTGTGTCGCAATTTCAACGAAAGTTGAATAATCTGCGGTGGTGATGCCCCTGAGTCCCCTAGTATATGCATCACGTGATAAACAATCAAACCTCCTGCCCTCCTCTAAGTCTCCTCTCAGCCACTAAATAGAGATAGTGCCGATGAGAAGGCCCGTGTATTTCTTGGGGACACTAGCTTAAGCGTGGTAGTTGTAGTCTCGCCGACTTTACGATCTAAGTGGCTAGAAGTTGTAGAATGTGCACGATGAGCGTGAGTTCTCAGCGTATCGAGCAATATGTTCGAAGCTCAATATATTCCTATACAAATACATACCTGTAGAATGTGCACGATGAGCGTGAGTTCTACAGTGGATAATCAATAAGTAAATGGTCTGTAGACGGTATGAATATGGGATAAGCCTACCTCAGCGTATCGAGCAATATGTTCGAAGCTGAGGAGGCGGAAAGGGGTCGAAACGAAATTTATATCTACGGAACTGACGGAAAAGGAAGGTTATAAACTAAATAAGGAAAAGGAAGTAGCGCTTAAGCGCTAAGTGGTTGGTGCGTGATCCTCTATTCTCCAACACTCCCCTGGATCAAGCAACGCCGCGACTAACTCCCATGAGCTCGAGTTGCCTTGCATGTACGGTTGTAGAAAGGCTTTTGGTGAGGATATCCGCCGGATTCTCCTCGCTCGCGACATACTGAACCGAGAGTTGCTTGATGCCTCTGGCTCCTGGATTTACGAGTTCGCGAATGCGATGATGGCGCAGCCCGATGTACTTGGTGCGCGCATGATATGTTGGGTTCTCTGATACTGTGAGTGCGCCTTTATTGTCGTTGTAGAGCAGCATGGGCAACGGCTGAGGATATCCTAACTCGGACATGAAGCTGTACGTCCAGATGGCCTGCTGCGAGCCTCGACTGAGTGCGATATACTCAGTCTCTACTGTCAACATGGACGTGATGTCCAGGCGCTTGGACATCCAGAACGTTGGCGCTCCTGCCATCTTGGTGAGGATTCCCATCGTCGATCGCCCAGTGTCAGGACATTTTCCCAAGTCCACGTCGACGTAAGTAATTGGGACCATCCCGTCCTTGACGTCTCTTCTGTAGGTGATGCCAACATCAAGGGTCCCCTTCACGTACCCCAGAACATGCACCAAAGCTTTCCAATGAGAAGGGCCGGGGTCGCGAGTATAGCGACTCAGAACGTTAACCGAATAGGCGAGGTCTGGCCGCATCGCGCCTACAGCAAATTGTAGGCCCCCCACAATCACATTGTACGGCTTGTCGCGCATGAAATCCCTTTGCGCATCAGTCACCGGCACTCCTTCCTTCGATAGTTCAGTACCCAGAGCGAACGGCGTCGCCTTTGGCTTCATGTCGCTGAACCCGTGGCGCTCGAGCAGACGTTCGAGGTATCCGTGCATGGATAGCGAAGCGATTCCCTTTTCTCTGTTGTGCTCAAGCTTCATCCCCAAGGAGAATTCCACTTGGTCCGTGACCTTAATCGCGTATCTCTCCCCGATCTCCCTCTTGGCGCGCTCTGCCTCTTCCAATGACGAGGACCCTCCCGCGGTGTCGTCCGTGTATGTTCCAGTGTGAGTCTCCCCACGTTCGTCTCGACGGGATCGTACGCATTGGTCGGCCTCTGATCTCTTGTATCCTAGGTCCTTATACGCGCCGTCTAATTCTTGCCACCAGTTATGGCCGGCTTGTACTGCTCCATAGAGCGACTTCAGAAGAGGAACGACGACAGCAGGGGAGTTTGCTCCTTGGAACCCATGAGGTAGTCGCACGTAGAGTTCTTCATCCATTTTGGCATTGAGGTACGCCGATTTGAAGTCTACCTGCCATATATAAAACCCCAGCGTGACCCAGGTTGCCAGTAGCATGCGAAGCGATTCTAATCTCATCACACCCGCGTACTTCTTGTAGTAGTCTCTCCCCTCGACCTGATGCTGTCCCTGCACCACGAGCCGCGCCTTTTCACCGATAATCTCCCCTTCTCCGTTGAACTTGTGCGCATACACCCACATCACGTTGAGCACTGACGCATTCTTGGGCGGGATGCAAGCAGGTCCGAAAACCTCGTACGCGGCCATTCGGCTCATCTCCTCGTCCATCGCAGGCCTCCACCGATCCGGGTCCTCCATAGCCTGCGCGTAATTCTTGGGCACGGGGGGAAGTCCTACTGCAGCAAGAGCTACATTGTCTGACGCGTCGAGATAGTTTACCGACTCAGGCAGGAAATCGAAGGGGTTTGTCTCTGCAAGTGTCATTTTCGCTTGCGCGCCAAAATGCTCCTTCGCAGGCACGTCCGTTGACCATGGTTCACCAGCATCCTCAGCGGCGGCTTCCCTCAGCTTATATTCCTCTGTCTCGATGGCCGCACGAGATAGAGCACGAGTCTTCTCCCCCGGCATTGGGTTCAATCGGCTAGAGCGACGTGAAGGTTCTGCGTTCACCACATTTCGCGTTCGGCGAGCAGGTCGAGCATCCAGTTGAGGTCCTCTTTCTTGACTAACGGGCACAACAGGGTGCACAACATCAGCATTCTCGGGCAACGGCGTTCCAGGAGTACGATCATGAACGAGCGTAGATGCCGGCGGCATATTTGCTTCCGGTTGAACGCCATCGACCACGTTGTTAGGAAGTAAGTCGACGTCGTCCTCCGTTTGTGTCGCGTGAACTGTAGTCGCACCTGAACTCTGTGACTCGTCGAAGACAACGTCTCGGCTCCTCACAATTCGCCCGTCGTCCAGGTATAGCCAGTATACCCCACGTTCGTTGTAACCGACCATTCTACCCTCGAAGACCTGGTCATCCAGCTTGCCTGGCTTTCCATCGACAATCTTCGCAAATCCTCGACAGCCGAACGGACGTAAATGAGTAACACTTTGACGCTTGCCATGGAATGCCTCCGCTGGGATGGAATTGGGGTGTCTCGACGAAGGAAGCAAGTTATCTGTGTATACGACATAGCTGGCCGCCCAGCACCACAGAGAGGTAGGGAGCTTGCTCTCATGGAGGATGGTGCGAACCCGTGCATAGATAGAGCGGTGGCGACGCTCCGCAACGCCATTGGCTGCAGACGAATGTGGTGGGACGATTTCAATGATGATGCCGTGTTTGATTCCCCACGCCTGCCAGAGTGAGTTGTCAAATTCACCCCCCCCATCCACTCGCACGACCTTCAACTTCTTCCCAGTCTGTCGCTCTGCTTCCACGCGAAAGCCCTCCATCGCCTTCAAAGTGGTCGCCGCAGTCTTGTCTTTCAAATAAAACTGTTTCGTGAACGATGTTCCGTCGTCGACAATTGGCATGGAGTAAAGGAACCCCCCACGGCCTGTCACCCTCATAGGTCCACACAAATCTGTATGCACCCTTGCCAGGGGCGTCGAGGTGGGTACCACTTCAGCATCAAAAGGCCGTCTAACTCCATTTCCATGCAGACATGGTACACATTTGAGGCCGCTAATCTCAGCGCTCACACTTCCCCCATCGACAAGGTGTTTCGCGAAAGACTGGCGAATGCGATCCACGCCGGCATGTCCATAACGGCGGTGCCACATGTCCATCGTCGCAGGCTTGTTAAGCGACCGTGTTGTATGCGCCTCTGGTCCTCCAGGCTTTACCTCGAACACGTACAGTCCATTCTTCTTCGTAGCCGACATGATCAGCTTATGGTTCTTGTCATAGACTCGGCCGACTCCCTGAGAGAAGACCACGCTCAGTCCCTTCCCATCCAATTCTGACACGGAAATAAGGTCTGAGGAAACGTCGGGCGTGTGGAGAGCATCGAACATAATTGTTCGTTCCTCCCCGTCTACTATAAAGGTCTTTTTCGCCCGACCTTTCCCTATAATTGTGAACTTCGATCCTTTCTTCGACCCGCTACCTTGCGTAGGCTCGATTGACTCGTATGTTTCAAAGGATTCGCGATTGGTAATGAAATGGTCCGTGGCGCCAGAATCGAGGACGGTCAGGACAAGTTCCTTGATCTCGATCATTCCAATCGTAGCATTAAGGATGCGAACTCGCTCGTCTAGCGGGATACCTTCCCATTTCGGAGGAGTGCCAGTCCACATCTCCTCGAACGAGTCTTCTGACCATTTGACAGAGCCTACTTCCAGGACAGGGTCTCCAGGGTCGTCCCAGGGATCACCTCCCAGGTCCAACCCACCATTAGGTGCCGAACCGCCAAGCAGATCGTCATCGGTCATCACATATGCGCTGAGTGCGTAGTGTTGGGACAACGACGATACTGCCATGTTGGACGCCGCATTTGCTCCAGCACTTCCTCCACCCGGGTTGCTCCCGTCACGTTTCCCTTGCCACCAGTCCAGCCACTGTCCAGCTTTACCACCCCCATCACGGAAGCAGTCTTCAGCCAGATGCCCTTTCTTCTTGCAATTGGTGCATGTTTTGTCCTCTTTCTTTTTACGTTTGCCGGTCTCTAATTGCGCAATTCTTGCCTGAAGCGCCTGAATGGTGGCCATGGTTGCATCAGTCGTGAGCAGCTGCTTCGAGCTCCCGGCTACCTTCGAATCGCGCTCTTCGACTCGAGCGTAGAAGAGTTCAATCTGTTGAATGAGGTCTGCTGGAGCCTTGATCCCCGCCATGGCTTGAAGCATAGTGTCGAACTCCTTTCCAGGTAGCGACGAGGCAATTACGGACCGGAAATCCTGGTCAGAGTATTGATTCCCGTAGTCCATCGCTTCCTTGCGTTTGACTTTGAGTGTTTTCAGGAATTCCGCAAGCGTTTGACCGCTGTTCGGGGCGAACCGTAGATTTTTGAACGCAGAATCAGCGAACGTCTTACGCATCTCATCACGACGGATGTAGGTATTCGTCAACTCCTCCCATATTTGTGCCGACGATTTGGTAGAGACGTCGTCAACCAACGAATGGAGGTCTTCGACATTCATCAATATCGTCGATTTCACCTTCTCATCTCGATAGAGCCATTCTTCGAGAGAGGGGTTTCGGGAGTATGATAGAGTAGGTGGAGGGGGAGTCCCCGGCATAGGGATTCTTGCTGGTTCGTTGCTGCCAGATGCGGCAGTCGTAGGCGTCTCGACACGCGGCTTAGGGATGTCACCATTCAGATACCCCTTTAATCCCCACTGTCCTGCCACGGCTTCGAGCTTCACCTTGAACGGGTTAAATGGCCGTATTCCGTCGAACTTCTCGTCGGCGGGTAGTTCCCATATTGTATTGATTACACCGGACATTCTTGCGATGTAACGATTTTCTTTTAGGGGTTAATTTTCAGTTGAGCTTTCAACGGTATTCTTTACAGCTTGTGCGCAAAAGTATACGTGTGTTGACTTTGTATATTGTAAGCGTTCAAGCAGGGCCCATAACCTGTAGAATGTGCACGATGAGCGTGAGTTCTCAGCGTATCGAGCAATATGTTCGAAGCTCAATATATTCCTATACAAATACATACCTGTAGAATGTGCACGATGAGCGTGAGTTCTACAGTGGATAATCAATAAGTAAATGGTCTGTAGACGGTATGAATATGGGATAAGCCTACCTCAGCGTATCGAGCAATATGTTCGAAGCTGAGGAGGCGGAAAGGGGTCGAAACGAAATTTATATCTACGGAACTGACGGAAAAGGAAGGTTATAAACTAAATAAGGAAAAGGAAGTAGCGCTTAAGCGCTAAGTGGTCGGTGCGTGATCCTCTATTCTCCAACAGAAGTCACGTGATATATTGATCGACGAGGCTAAGCTCACGCGACGCGACGCGCTTCTTACAAACTCTTCTCTAACCACCATGGCGAAGGCAAAGCCCGTGAAATCCGGCTCTCAGAAGGCCATTAACTCGTTCTTCATTTCGAAATCCGCCCCCAAAAAGCCCAGAGAACCTAAAGAGGAGGAACCTCAAGAAGAAGACGCTTCAGTCCACTCAGATGATGCTTCCGAGGCACAAGACGCGTCCGATGTCGAGATGGACGAACCCGAGACGAAACAAAAAAGCACTAAAATTGCAGCTGCAGAGTCTTCCTCTAAGCTCCCTCCTATATCGAGCATTCCTCTCATGTTCGACGACCTCGTGAGCCATATCCCGGAAATAAAGGATGTAGCGATTCAGATCGCAGGTCGAAAACTACGCGTCGCAACTATGTGTTCCGGCACAGAATCTCCTCTTCTGGCCCTCGAAATGATCACAAGCTCCATACGAGAGCAATACGACGTCAATGTCCAGATACAACACGTGTTTTCGTGCGAGATTGAGCCTTTCAAGCAGGCGTACATTGAACGCAACTTCCAACCACCCCTTCTCTTTCGCGATGTCTGTGAGCTGGGCGAGGACGAGGCGTAAGCACCATTTCGCAAGCGGAAACACACCATATAACCTATAATCTCTCTCGTCTTTTGCTAGGCACACTGCTTATGGGTCATTGGCTCCAGTTCCCGGCGACGTGGATATGCTGATCGCAGGCACTTCATGTGTCGATTACTCAAATCTCAATAACGAAAAGCAGGACATAGATGCCAACGGCGAGTCTGGACGAACATTCCGTGGCATGATGTCGTGGGTTAAAAGGCATCGACCGCCCATCGTCATCCTTGAGAACGTTTGTTCCGCGCCATGGACCAAAGTTAAAGAGTATTTCGAAGAGATCGACTATAGTGCGGAGTTCAGTCGAACGGACACCAAGTTCTACTACGTGCCTCATACTCGTACCCGAGTTTACCTTTTGGCCGTGAATAAGCGCGGTTCCAGCATCCCCGCAACGTGGAAAGACTGGGTCGTCAACAAGTTGAAGCGTCCTGCAACCTCTTCTCTCGACGCCCATTTGCTGCCTGCTGACGATCCTCGTATACATCAAGCGCGCCAGAAACTCGTTAGCGAGAGTGCACATGCTCTAGACCGCCGTGTAGGTCGAACGGATTGGAGCCGATGTGAGTCTCGTCATCAAAGAGCGAGGTTAGAGGAGCAACTTGGGGATAAGCGTCCGTTGACCAGTTGGGACGATGGTATGGATTTCCTTGATCACGCCAACTCGCATTACAATTTCATATAACTAGGTGGTTATTGCAAGCTTTCCGTGGATGGCTGGGGTGATTGGGCCACAGGTCAGGTTGAGCGTGTATGGGACTTGATGGACATCAGTCTTCTGCGTTCAGCTAAGCAAGGTATTGACCCCGCGTATAAAACGTACGTGATCCACTCTTTATTGCTGAACGACTGTTGTGAACTCGTTTGAACCATCAAAGGTTGGTATGGAACCTGTCGCAAAATGTAGACCGAACTATTGGTTCTAGCAAACCAGGCATATGCCCTTGCCTCACCCCATCCATGATCCCGTACATCACCAACCGCGGCGGCCCCATGGTCGGTATTGAGGCGCTTGGAATGCAGGGGCTTCCCGTCGACAAATTGTTGTTGACGCGAGAAAGCGAAGATCAGTTGGCAGATCTTGCTGGTAATGCGATGTCTACAACCGTAGTTGGGGCATGCATGCTCGCTGCACTGGTATCGGCCAAGAAGCTTCTCAAAGCTGGAGACGATTCTCGCAGTTACGAATCCAAGGCTGGCTTGATGGAAGACGTCGCTGAAGAGGAGGAGATGGTTGTCGACACAATTAACGAAGACATCGCTCCTGTGGACAAGCGAATCGTCGGGGAAGATGAATTAGATGAACGACCATTGGACCTTTCCGTTACTGGGAAGCTAGCCTGGTCCCAACTATTACTGGATGCGATGAGAAGCTCCCGTCTATGTTACTGCGAAGGCCGGGTAGATATGACGACTCAACCTCTCTTTCGTTGCGTTGATTGCCAGACGTCGTTCTGCAAGAAGTGCGGAGGGCGTCCAGAACATAATCCGGAACTCGCCAACGTTGGGGCTCAGCTGCGTCTCCCACCATCCGATTTTGCAAGGGAGCTCAAGTCCACCCTCCCTATGTCTATCACTCTCCGTGGCGTCACGATGGAGGTACTCAATGATCTTAGGGATAATTGCAAGGCACTCGTCCCGGAGAAGCGCTGGACAAAGTGGGCCGACGCCGTGCTTCGCGCTTCAACCCAGCAACTCCGTTTTGTTGAGCCCAAACGCCAGGAGATCTGGTCGGCGGTGTACGATTCGTCAGATGCCCTGCTCGAGCTCCTCATGCACCCCCAGCAACCCGAATGGCTGCTATACGCCAAGCCCAAAGCAGATGAAGCGGCGGACGCCGACATACGGACGATCTTGCGACACCCTGTAGGCAGGCTTCAATGCAAAGGAGGACTATTTGATGGAGAATGGCAATTTGCTTTCCCTCATGACTTCTCCGTCCCAATCACCATCACGGGCGAGGGTGACCTGGTTCCATCGTGGGAGCAACGTTTGGGCCTACAGGGTGACGAATTCAAAGATCGCAAAGTCTTCTCGAAGCTCGTTATTGACGTCCCAGAGGAGCTTGCAGAGCACATGGACCGTAATATTGCGGGGACATATAAACTGCTCGAGAGATGTGGTACCGCGAATGGCGCCTTGCATCGCAAAGAGTCAGCTGAGGAGTCCAGTTTGCCACCATTATTTATGTTGCTGGATCCTCATAGAACCGACGACACGCAGGATTCATTCGTCTTCTCCACTAGCATGAGGCGCTACGAATATGGCGAAACTCGACCCATTGTTTGCAAGCTTGCTCATACTTGGAGACAGTCCTCAAAAGCGGGCGCGCAGAAAGTTGATTGTATTCTGCCGAGCCAATGGATCGCCTCTAAGGTAGTCAAGTTAGAGGTGAACTTCGTCTTTGGATAGATTCGCATTTACTAACGTGTCTTGCAAAGCCTTTCGCCTTGGAGGGTGCTCGCTTCTCCATGCCGAACAAGGCACTCGATATTGCCTTGGATTTGGACGCTTGCCGTAGTGCAATGGCTTTCCTCGTCTGTCGAGTACCATTTGGATCTGACGCCGGACCTGAATGGCCACGAGGTACATGGAGAGAGGTGGATAGAATCAACGAGCGGAGCATCTTCCGAAGCCTGGCATGGCTACTGGAGCGTATTTGCCATGACGATCAGTCTTTCACGTCATGGCAAACAATCGACCATTCGGACATATGCGAGAGCTGCGAACGATGCGCTCCGAGTGCGCCGAAGCTTAAATGGATGACTGTTAAGCGGAAGTCGGTTGCGGTAGAAAACACCATCCAGGCCGGGGAATATGAACGAAGGCTCAAGCGGCGGCCCAGTCCTTTCGTCACCCAGTTAATGCTGAATGAGGATGGAGTAGGTACCGTCAAGATTGGTCTCAACGTCCCTACGCTTCTCCATAGGGCTGTGCCACGCCTCCCCAACGTCCATCCTGATAGCCAAGTCACACTCTCGTGGCGACTTGATACGAATTTCACTCCTTCCGTCCATATTGACCTACCCAAGTTCGTACTACGCAGTAACAAGCAGGACAAGAAACATGCCCAGCCGCCGCACTTCAAACTCAAGCTTCGAGTAGAACAACTCCGGTCTCTTGAATGGATGGTCGCTCAAGAAGCAAAGACTGCGCCACCGTTTATTGAGGAGGAGATATCAGAGGCAATGCTTGACGCTTTAGGATGGAGAGCGGAGGGACGGGTTCAGCGGAGCGTTAAGATTCGTGGCGGCGTTCTGGCTGATCAAGTAGGGTACGGAAAGACCGCCATTACACTAGCCCTCATCGACGTAATGGCAAACGAAGTCGAAGAGGAAATGAGCAAAGTAGACGATCTACCCGGAAAGATCCACACCAAGGCCAGCCTTATCGTCGTCCCGCCACATCTGACAAGACAATGGGCTTCTGAGGCAAAGAAATTCGCGGGCAAACACTTCAAGGTCGAAGTTATCACCACCGCATCGAATCTCAACTCCCTTACGATCGAGGACGTGCAAAACGCTGATTTAGTTGTCGTCGCGTCCAATCTGTTCAAGAGTAACGTGTACTTGGATAATCTACAAGAACTATCAGCCGGGGGAGATTTACCTGCACGAGAGGGACGACATTTCAATGCTGGCGTGGACGTAAGTTTAGCTTCGCTTCGAAAGCAAGTCGACCGCCTGCGAGACGAAGGTTCCGCAGCCGTCCTCAAGGAAATTAAAGACGCCCACCATCGTGGTAAGTAATATTCCTTCGTATTAACTCTCCACGACTGATGGTTACCTACGCACAGCGGAGGTAGAGGCAGCGGCAGAGCTCAAGGCGCTTCAGTCTAAACGACTCAAAGGCAAGTCGTACCGTGAGGCAGTGGATGCGCAGAAGAAACCAAAGCCCACGCCGATCGAGCCCAAAGCGCAAGCCCCGAAGCCAAAACGCGATGTGTGGCCAGAGGACCTTGTTGAGGTGGTCATTCCCATTGCGAGGTCAGACGCTTCCTCCGTTCCTCCTTCGTCCGCTCCTCCCTCTGCTACGGAGGATTCTGAGGAGGAGTCCGATGTTCCCCGGAAGCGTGTACGAACCAGGACGTCTGCCCCAATCATGGTTCTGTCCGAATCGGAGAGTGATGAAGAGGAAATTGTGAAGCCCAAGAAGGCTGTCAAGCCTGCTGCTTCACGGATTCGAAAGAAACCGGTTGAAGAATCCGACTACGAGCACACTTCCGATGCTGAGCCGTCCTCCTCCGAAGAAAGCGACTTCGTTGTCAATGATTCGTCTGATGACGATTCGAAGAGCAAGGCGAAATCCAAGTCGAAGCCCAAGTCGAAGCCCAAACCAAAACCCAAGGTCGTACGCAAGGCCACTTCAAGCAATACGTCTGGTGCCAGTTCGACAGAGGCGGAGACTGACGACATGGACGTCGATGACGCTCCGTCTAAGAAGAAGAAGGTAGCGACGAAGAAACGCAAGGCTGACGATGACGACGGGAGACCGACGAAGAAGCAACGGCGACAAGACTCGGACCCTTGGAAATTGGGCTCCGCTGCGAAGAAGGATTGGACGCAAATGCGTGCACCACCTATGGAGATGTTCCAATTCGCACGGGTTGTTGTTGATGAATACACGTACTTGGATGGGAAAGTCCATTCGTTAGTTACGAGGCTTACGGGCAACCGTCGTTGGGTTCTTTCTGGTACCCCGCCTATCCACGATTTCACTGCTGTCAAATCTATTGCAGCTTTCCTTGATCTGCATCTGGGTGTGGACGATGACGGTGAAGGACAATCTGCAGAAGTGAGGAAGCGCAGAAGAGAACAAACTGGTAAGTGACCGGCTTCTCGAGCTAGGTGCCATCGCTAAAGAGAATCTAGCGGTGGAAAAATTCCATTCTTTCCGCGAGGTGCATAGCTTGGAGTGGCATGCTCATAGACACCAAGTAGGACAGGCTTTCCTTGATCAGTTTGTCCGACAGGTGAGTTTTCTTTGCTCGATCAAGTAAGCAACTAATCGTGTTTAAATCTTTTAAGAACATCGCTGAGATCGACGAAATCCCATGGGTTGAGGACATTCGCAAAGTGACGCAGACCGCCTCGGAATACGCGATATATCTTGAACTAGAGCACTACCTACAAGCGCTGGAGATGACTATGAAGAAAACTCGCAAGAGCGAGAGCGATCGTGACAAGCGCCTTCTAAAGGCCCTGGGAGAGAGCAAGTACGTTGCCTGTTAGCTATCGCAATCTGGCTGTGTCTAATCAATCTCGAAGGACCGCGGAAGAGGCGTTGCTCAAATGTTGCTCGTATTTCGATTTGCAGACGGATCAAGAAAACTCCATGAAGGCCTGCGACGTTATTGTGAAGGAACGCAAGAAGCAGTTGCAAGAATGTATGGCCGAGCTCTTGCAGTGCCTCAAACAGGCTGTCGCTCGGGAGAAGGATCTAGTCGAAAAAGGCGACGTTGCCAAGGAATCTCTGTTTCATGAGTACGTCCGTGTCACCCGTGGCGGAGACGATGCTGTTGGCGACAAAGAGGCCCGGGAGATGATCGTCGATCTACTGGACAAAGCTGGCGCCAAAGTTACCAGCCGCAAGGGCAAGAAGGACGACTCGCAACTCAGCGAGAAGATGAAAGAGAAGGTCTGGGAGCACCGCGAGAAAACACATGAAATCCGTCGGTTAGGCAAGGAGTTGGTTGGACGTGTGCGGTCGCTGCGATACTTCAATGTGGTTCGCGATTTCCAAAAGCAGTCAGACACTCCTCCGGATGTGAGTTGCCCCAGATGCGAACGAGAGAATCTGCCCGTGGAGGAGATTTCGGTGTTGTCGTCTTGTGGGCATACGGGGTGCACAGCATGCGTGAAGCAATGGGCGGCGAAGGAGGAGTGCGTTTACGCAAAGTCTGGCGCCTGCAAGTCGGCCGCAAGAGACTACAATATCATCGCTGTCAAAGATCTAGGCGTAGACGATAAAGAACGAGAGGGTAAAGGTCGTCACTATGGCATGAAGCTAGAAAAGATCGTTAATATGATCAAGTACGTTGCTATCTCTTGCTTAAATCTTGCGATCGACTTAACGTCTTCTAGGAAAGATATCCCGAAGGATGAGCGTGTTCTTCTCTTCGTTCAGTTCCCCGATTTGATGAAGAAAGTCGCGGAAGCTTTGGGCGACCACAAGATCAAGTATCTCGAAATCAAGGGAACGGCTCATCAGAAGAGCAAGAACTTGGAGAAATTCCAGAACGACAGCGAGGAACGCGTGCTTCTTCTCAACGTCATGGACGAGAGCGCAAGTGGAGCAAACTTGACATCTGCCAACCATGCGATATTCATGTCGCCGTTGCTGGCACCGACGAAGGAGATCTACCAGATGTGCGAGACGCAAGCGATTGGGCGTTTGGTACGGTTCGGGCAAACGAAACTCGTACATGTCTATCGGTTCCTTGCCGAAAAGACCATTGATGAGAGGATCTATGAGGAGAGGAAGGACGTTATGATGCATGATCATTAATCAATCATTATAGGATGATATATTACCAGCTGTCTGTTTATGCTATCGTTTTACATGGAAACGCACGTATCTGTACCTATATAATGTCTATTCTGCACATGTCCGAGGAAATGATGCTATCTAAGAGCTCCCGAGATAAGCAGAAGGTCTTCCGTCGGTTTCGAAAAAAAAGTGATGGGACTGAGAGCCTACCATAGGGATAGAAGCAAGTGTACGGCAAGCACACTTATTGTTGGCTCAAATTGCTGAGCACGGAGGAGCCAACAAAAGTTGAGACGTAGAAGTCGTCTTGAACCCCTAAGCGCCCATACTTCGAGGATACCTCGTGGAGCAGGGATTTACAAATGTTCGCAGTAACGAATGGTGGCATTATGAGTAGTAAGTACACTATGATACATGCAATAGGAAAACCGAGTACACACTGTCCGAGGCCGTTCGTCTTCTAAATACTACTTGTTTGACATCGAATAACCCGAGGTGTCCAAGACTTTCTTGCCGCAGATAGAGCATATCCCTTTCTTAAAGGCACACCCTATCGTATAGATTCACAGGTGAGTCCATATGCCAAGGCTGAAAAACCGATGAAGCGCACCATGGCAATACTTTGCTTTGTTCTGGGTGACGTTAGACTTGCAGTCTTTGCACTTGCCCTGATACGGCTGAGGGGGAATGAGAATACAACCAAAAGATGATAAGACTATTGTTTACGCACCTGAAACCGATTCTTTGAGCTCCCTGGACGACTGAGGAGCTTATTCTCTCCGATCTTCCTTGACCCCTCCTTGATACTGGAGGTCGTTGACTTGAAAGGATCTGGGGCGGCTAATTTTGAGAGTTTCTATGCAAGACAAATGGCATGAGCGGGAGTAGCGCAACAAAAGAACAACAGCTGAAACGCCGCACAGATTCGCATTTTGTGCAGACCATTGGATGAGCGGTTTCGGCGGCAGCAGTTATGGGATATGTGTTGTGACAGAGTCACAGAGTCACGCTAGCCATGCATGTGTGGCTGTGCAAACGTGGCTTCTGGCAGCAGCGCCGATCAGTCAAGTACAGTGTGCTACTACTCCTACGAGATCTGGATCTTGCTGGCGCACAGAAACGACAATAATCCTATTATCAGTTCGGAAAAGGCGCACCCGACCCAAGATCTTGTACACCTCGTCGACGGCGAGTAAACAGAGCACCCGTCATTACCGCCTTTGGAAGGATGCGCCCCGAAGAAGGGCTCTTATTGTCTACCGCCACCGAATTCGTCCACCCGCTAGCTGATCAGCTCACCATCACTGAACTCTACCAGGACTAGATGGAAGCCAAAGTGTTGACATGACAATCTTTCGTAGCGTATGGAACGCCAGTCACGACGTTCACAAAAAGTGACCGTTCCACACAATATAGCCCCGCCTATCGACCAACACCGCTCTCCAAATTCGGGTATTTTCAGCTCGTCGCGGCTCTCCCATTCGCTAGCCTCTTTTGCAGATGCAGCGTCTCTCGACGTACAACAACGTTGCTTATTTTTCTTTTCTTTTTCTCCGATAGTTACTCGTCTACTACCGTCGCTCGTATAAATTCGAACGCACCGTAAGGTTGTATCTTCAGAATCACTCTAATATCCTCGAGCTCATCTAACATGCGCCGTTACAGAATCTCTACCGAAATCCTCATCCTCATCTTGGAAAACCTCGATCCACAGACCTTGTGGCGAGCCTGTCAGGCAAGTTCTGACTTCACACATAACTCTGTCATATCGCGGAAGTCAACACGTCTAAAGTCTATCATTACTCTTCTAGGCCTTTTCCCGTATTTATAATGTTGTCATGGAATTCCAGTCCTTACGGTACCGGTTCGAACTCGCACTGGCTGCGATGAAAGATGGACGTGCCCCACGTGCCCATGCTCCTGCCCTCGCACGTTACCAGCTCCTTTTGTCTTACAAGAAGGATTGGCCGCGGCTCCGCTGGTCCCAGGAATCTAGGATGCAGATCCCTACGCCTGCCCAGGTGGGCATGTCCGGAGGCTTCGTTCACAGAATTCTCACCGATGGACAACAATATTGTCTCGAATTATCTGAGCTTCCATCACACCGAACCGGTCGTCCCTTAACTCGGACCCGACACATCCGCTTCTCGACGCCTCCCATCGAATCTGTCATGGTCGATCCCTCGCAGCACCTTCTCGTGACCACGCACCTCTTCAGGTACATATATGTTTAAACACAAACAATGCTCTAGCATCCTACTTATTTCCCCGAAGCTTAGGAGGCGTGGTGGCTATTCAGATCCATTTGCGCGACCTGTGGACCTTTGCGAAACATAGATGGGCTCCCGCACTCGCTTACGAGTTCAGCACCCAATCTGCCGGTAGGGTCTCGCACATGTCACTCCAGATCTGTGGATCCAAACTTGGTATCTCCATGGAGTTTGCTACAGGACAGGTCAAGCACCTTGTTATGGACTGGCATACTCTTCACGCCCGCGTGAGTGACGGCGGGGATTTATATGGCTCGTTTACTTATTTAATTACTCCGCAGTGGTTCGAGGAGGGCGATATCTTATTCTTAAACGAGACTTGCATGCTCGTCTCAGCGAAATATCATGGCAGGCCCGCGCTCAATCTATACAACATAACCGACGTCGCGAACGTCACCAATATGCGCGATTACGAGTTCCCCGAGGTGTGGGCTAACGCGGCCATCACTTTCTCATCTAACAGTTCCCCGCCATCTGATGCCGTTGCCAACCCCGATGCTTTGTTCTACCCCGATCCGGCCGCTCGTCTTCTCATGCTCAATGTAAACCTCAGCGGGGCCTCTAACCCCCGGCAGAGTAGCCACACCAAAGGTCCCTCCGTCTGGTTATTCGCCAACGAGTCTTATTTCAGACCCCCAACTTCCAGGCGAGACTCGGTCCGCGTTTCCTGGAAGCACTGGAGCCAACACTGCTACATCCGCAATGTGCAGCCGTCCCCCTTCCTCCGTGGCCCGCACGTTGTTGGCACGAAGGTTCTATACTTAGACGCCGAGCCTGTCCAGCTTTCAAGGAACGAGATGGGTAGCAGGCCTGCTACCATCCCACGCTTGGTGCTCATCGATTTCAAGCCATTCTCCGACCCAGCCAACCCACCAGCGAAGACATGGACCATGGGCGGCAAGACAACTATGGTGCCCTACGAGTCTACGAGGGATATCCCCTACACCACTATAGATAATCTCAACATAGACGCAGTTAGAATGAATGAGGACAATATTGTATTAATCATGGTATGTTGCTGTTCTTCCTTCGCGGGGGCTTGACATTCATCTCATTATTACAGGAATTACGCCAAGGGATGCGCAATCTTAGTATCTTAACGTTTGGCACACCTCCGGTGCCTCGTCCCCGACACAAGTAAAATATAGCCGATAAGCCAATAGCGGAACAAGAAAGACAGTCAAAAATAAACCGCAGAAGATTCAGAACTTGTATCACCTAGCTCCGAGTTATACTTACTGATACCATTAGCCCAGCCCTCCTTGTATTCCCAGTACCTCCGTGACTCTACTCGTAGGTTAGAGAAGAAGAAAATGTAACCGTGTAATTGTATGTAGATATCAAAATGTCGAGGATCCCCGTTACCCGCATGTCATTGACATTCAAGTGGTATGCCACTTGACCTTGATCCACACCAACCACCGCCGTCGATCAAATTCGCCTTCCCCGTCCCTCTCAACAATCCACCCTCGTCGCTGATCGCCGTGCACTTGCCTTTCCTCCGCAGATTCGACATCGAATCCAGATGATTTCAGCCGATTGAGCATAGACTGGATAGTGAATCGACCAGTATGCAATCCTGCCACCAGATGTATCCTAGACTTGGCATCTTTCTTGAGAGTCTTTCGGAGGGTCTCGACGAAGATCGCATGAGTATCGGAGTTCCACAACGTATCAGCGGCAATGACTACGTCAAACCCACAATCCACAGTAGTTTCGAACCTGGGTAGCAGAGGGGATGCGTCTGATCCCCATGCGTAAGGAACAACCTTGCACCTCGATGCAACGCCATTCGTTTGAACATTGTCCTCCAAAGCAGAGATCAGTTGATCATCTGGGTAATCACTCGACGTAATGTGTATACGCGGATCTTCATATAACTTGCTGATGGCGATACTAGGGATCCCGGCACCTGCGCCGAGCTCTAGGACGTTTATCCGATTTGTCGGCGACGTCAGCGGCGAAAGATAATCCTCTAGATGTAGCTCTTGTATATGCTTGGTAAGGTATACCGATGCGACCCATACACTCGACGCATGCAAAGACCAATTTGACGACTGTGTATCAGGAACACGACACGAGATGGATATAGGTTTCCTGGGTTCAATCGATAATGTGTTGATGGCGTGGTTGCGATGATTGAGTTGCAGGACAAAATGACGGCCAGGAGACGAGAGTGAGACAGGTTGGCAACCGTATAGCGTATCCAGCGAGTCCGCTAGAATATCCTCTGGGTCTTCGTCTTCAACAGATTTCGGCATTATCATATTCGCAGCTGCAATGGGCGATGGGTGGTGCTGTTTGGTTGCATATCAGCGATGTAGCAGAAGGACTCATGCACTGACCTTTGGAATATGGCGTACCCCTTGATTTTGTATGTTAATCTACGGTAGGAACTATCTGGCTGGGTGGTATCTGATCAAAGACGATCATTACAAACCGACCACCTAATTTAGGCGTATCGCATCAATGTCGTGTTAGGAGATCCCCTCGAACTCCGCGCTTGTGTCTGGTGCCTTCAATACGCATAGTATATGACTACAAATACAAGAATCCCTGAAGGTTCCGTAAGGACAATTGAAGGTTAGCATCGAACACGCAGGCTATCAAGCGGACGCAAACTTACTATAAATTACACACGGAACACATTTAATCTGCTATCCCAGCCACAGCTTGCCAATACCCCCTGGTCGTATAGAGACCAACTACATCCAACGACGAACTCTGTGTGAGCATCATTGATGTACATTAACTGTGGCTGACCAGCCGGCGGCGCGGTGTTCCACCTAACAAATTTGAGCCAGTAAAGAGAAAGGAACGATAGATTACGACTTACACCCTACACGACATATCATAGCTCGCGGTGGCAATTACCTCGCCGCGATGAGGGCTCCATTGAACCTTCCTTACAGCGTATTCATGACCCATCAGTTGGGTCTCGCAGGAGCCTCCCACAGCGCCCGGCTCCGCTCCAGGTTTAACCATCCTACAGTCCCATACTTTGACTAATTTATCAACACCGCCACTGGCCAAAACAAATGGCCGGTATTTGTTCCAGTCTAAGCTTAGGATTTCGGTGTGCGAAGCGGGTACTGTTAACATGGACGCAGAAAGAGGATTTGTGAAACTATTTGTGTTGGGTCCAGAAGCGTAAGCAGGGGCGCGAAGGTCGAATATTCGAAGCGTTCCATCGGTCGAGCATGTCGCAAGTATGTCAGGTTGATGTGGAGAGAACAGAGCTTGGTAGACGCATGAATGATGTGCATTGAGGGTCATCAGCGATCGCGGTCGTTCTGGTGTCCACTGAGGTCAAATGAGACTTCTCTGAGAAGTCCACGACAAGCAGGACTACGCACTATCTTGACTGTGCCGTCCCAGGATGACGATACAAAGGTATCTTTCTTCAAATTCGACCAATCGACGGAGAATACTTCTTTTGTATGCTCTTGCCATGCACGGATCGGGTGGTCCTGTCCTGAATCATCAACTAGCCGCATTATTTGCATAATCTGGGCTCACATTGAGCATAATATCCCATAGCTTTAACGACCCGTCGCCCGACGCAGTTACTATCTGATTTTCGTGGATTTCAGACCAGGCGGCGTCGTACAATCCGTCTTGTGTGTCGAATCTAGACGTTCGTGTTAGGACCACGACTCTAGCAATGCCGAAGATCTGACTTGCTGTTTGTCTAGGCTCAGTGCCAGCATTCCCCCCGGGTTCGCGGACACAGAAGCCAGATGAAGCCGGCCATTGCCAACCAAACCAAAGTTGGCAGCAGATGCGACGGCCAAACGCGTGTTGTGGAAAGGTGACCAGGTGACCGAGTAGTGTGCAAAGCCTGGAGTCTGCAGCGTCGCCGGCGGTGGGCGTGGCCCGCTCATCGACATCGTTAATGAGCTGGTACGGTGGACGGCGCACCGACTATTGTTGCGGCGGTTGTAGCCAAAGTCGAACCGGTTGTTTGTCCTTCTTGCTTCCGCCCAAGAGTCACATGCGAGTCTCTGTTCCCACAATTCCTCAATTCCTCCTTGAACGGGTGCCGTCAAGGCCGCCAATATCTACTACAGCTGCTATAGAACGTGTTGCTGATTTTATTCGCCCAGGAAATGTCACCGTTCTCACGGGAGCGGGCGTAAGTGTGGATTCAGGGATTCGAGCATACCGTGGAAAGGATGGACGGTACATGAACCCCAACTACAAGTGCGCACAGGTTACTTCCAGGGTCGGGTGTATCTTGTTCATTCACTGGGTTGATATATGAAGGCCTATCCTATACCACCAGCTCGTCGACCGCACCGAAAAGGGCTTCCGATTTCGGTATGTCGCGAAATTTTGTTGTAGCAAGTATTAATTAACGTCAATCCCTGAAATTAAACAGCCAGCGGTATTGGTGAGCGATTGCAAACTTCATGTCCGAGACAGATGCCGTTACTGATCTGAGACACCAACTCTTTTTAGGCTACGCTCGTTTGTGGGCTATCCACCGGTGCGAGATTCCCAGCCGAACACGACCCATTTCGCGTTGGCAGCCTTGCAGTACAAGTCAGTGATATCACGTCTGATCACACAAAACGTCGACGGGCTCCACCACAAGGCCATATCCCACGTATGGGACGAACCTACTCGCCAGTCCCGTATTTTAGAGCTTCATGGCACTCTACATGTACGTGGAGACGGTCCGGATCATGGGGCTTTATCTTCATCTCTTGCTTTTCATCATTCCAGAAAGTGAGCTGCAGCTCAGGGCACGTCGTAGATAGGCAGACCTTTCAGGATTGGTTGGCTGATGCCAACCCTAAGTGGAAGGAATTCATGGCCGAATCAGAGAGGACAGGTATTCAACCTAGGACCAACCCAGATGGAGATGTAAGTAGCATCAGCAAAGTCCGTTGGCCTTCATGTGGTCCTCATGTGAGCGTGATGCCTCTCGGTAGGTCGTTCTAGAAGGAGTATCCTACGATGACTTTGTGGTCCCCGACTGCCCAACATGTTTCTCGGAGAACAAGCGAAATTGCAACGTAAGGGTTCTTTACATCAGAACATTTGATCAAGCACTTATGACCATTCTTTCCCCCCAAATATAGCATAAACCACACCTCATCTTCTTTGGAGAATCCATACCACAGGATGTGAAGGGCCGGTCGTGAGTCATATTGTCCTCTCCCCAAACCTCCAGCTGTTCTAACCGTTCCAACCCTTGCTGCGCGCAGCTTTACGGACGTCGAGTGCGGTGATAGGCTTCTGATGATGGGCACTACACTCGCTACGTTCTCCGCATTCAGGTGCGTACCACCATTTCTTAACTTCCGATGCACCACATATTTCATACCCACCGCTTCGTGCAGGTTGGTGAAACACGCTTTAGAACAACACAAGCCCGTTATGCTACTAAATGTTGGCCCCACACGCGCCGATGACATCCCGGAAGTAGAGAAAGTTGAGATCCCCACAGGTACGATCCTCAGACAGGTCGTCGCCGCAGTCCTGTACGTTTCACCCAAACGTAAGATTCCTGGCAAATCTATACTCACAATCTCTACTATGCAGGGGCAACGAAACACATGATCCCGCCGTCACGGAGATGCTGCGAAGCGGGGTCTTCAATCCCCCATCTAATGATTCCAATCAGTGAAGAAGAATCGGAGAGGGTATTTTACGCCGACGAAATACATAGCCACATAGAATCGTTATTCTGAGAAGTTGGAAATTCAAAGCCAGCGTATTGCTCCGTCATGAATTCTACGGTTCATTTATACAGGGATTATGAATTAAGGTATGTACACTAGCGAGGAAGGGGCGATGAGTGGGAATTATTTTTCTACAGTAAGTTCCAAGAATTGCTACATATGTTACAATGTGCTTCGATTCAACGGCTTCGGATCTACAACGGCAATGGTGGCTCAATAAAATACAGATATGGACAATGATTGTGGACGAGACGGGACAGTAATTGCAATGAGGTCTACCAAGATTTGCGACAAACGTGATGCAGGCAAGCGACTGTGAAAGGGAAACGAGGGAGACGATGGTGATCATAAGGGCAAGTCAAGTGAATATGGCAAGAAGGCCTGGATGTAATCAGGTCAAGGGCCTTGGCGCTGACTGAGAGAGTAGATTCAACGAGAAGATGGCGTCGCGGCGGAGCTGGAGCTCCCTGGGGCTCAGCGACTCTTCCCCAGGCAAAACACCGCCAGCGCTGATGGTAGATACCGTCGCCGCCTTCCCAGTTTCGCCAGCGCCATCATTGAAGTCCGGCGACTTGAGTTGTGACCAGTCCCATTTCTGCCAGTTATCTTGTGATCCTGACGAGGAGTCAGAAACAGACTTGCGGTGCGTCCTTGTGAGGTACTCTCTTAACGTGTGATCAGCGGTGCGGGATCCGGCGTCGGCGGGGGGCGGGGGAAAATATTGATCGTTGCTCTCGCTGTCTCGACGAGCAGGGGGGCCATCATCCTTGTCAGGTGTCAAGGGCGGTGTGGTAGAGACCGTAGTATCGGGCTTCGGGCTGACCGGAGTATGTGCGGCGGAGGGAAGTTCATTAACTAACTGCGGAGTACCCTGTTACAACAATTAGGCCCCACGCGTGAGTCGGCATGTCTAATCGAGGATAAAGGGGTGACGTACGGTCCTCTGTGGATTGGACTTCTTTGTGACAAGAGCACCGGGGGGTTTCTTGAGGCATCGCTCTTTGTGCGTCTTCCAATGAAAGGGATCATATACACTCTTGGGGGACAACTTGATCCTCGCGCCGCAACGTTTGCAGTCGACGAACAGCGGTCCTATGACATTCGCCATGGGGTCGTCCCTCAATCTCTTCTCCCTTGCCTTCTCGGCGGGCGTAAGTGAGGATCTGTAATTGGAAGTTGAGCGGGGGGAGGCTCCGGGATATAAGTTCTGCTAGTACCCAACGTCATCGCGAGACATGCTACTCCTCGAGGAACCTTTTGACCTTGGGCGGGGACCCGACTGAGCATTTATGTGGCTAGCGGAGCGCAGTGGGTCGGCTACACACCTTGAGCTCATCGCAAGCGACGAGGGGGAAACAGCAGGTCTCTTCTACAATGCCCAACACCTCTTCCAACCCTCGTTCCACGTCGGGCTCAACTCGGTGAATATGCGGCGGGCGGGGATGCGAATTCAAGTGGTAGTCACTGTTCAACGTCGGAAGTAAGTCATGGCAGTTGACAAGCAAAATAGACTCGAGCCCGACCCTGAGCGGCGCAGACAGGAAAGCGCGTGGACCAGATACGAGCCAGGGGAAAGCGAAATCGATTCGAAAGTGATGGATGAGGACAGAATATGAAAGCGACGTAGATGGAGCTTCGTATTAAAGCTTAAAGCCTCTGCTACTTCTCGGACAACGCCGAGACGGCCAAGGTATTAAAGCCCCGCGATCCAATAGAATTGGGAACAGGGGTGAAAGAGGAACCAAATCTCGACGATCTGCAGTTCAGAACCCCGTAAGGCTAGGGCTACATATGAGCCTTCGAAGATAAGGAGGAGAAAGTACACATATACAGGAGAGTATCATAATCAAGTATGCAGATGGTGGTATATAAGCAATGTGCAATAATATCACAACTAGGTATTCCTGGACCCCAGACTTTCACGGAACCCACGTACAAAGGCGGCAAATGGTAGCATAAACCACCCCAGTACGCTCGGCGGCTCCCGCTCTTCGGGAGCATATCCAGCGTCTCTTTGTCGGTTCGAAGGTCGACGATCTGGCTGTTCATTGTCGGAAGGCTCAGCTTCTTCCTCCTCTTCGCGCGCCCGCTTGACTCCATGGGTGGGTGAGAGTTCACGGGGCCCAGAACTAGGGCCGGTGGCAATTAGCGTGCCGTCGGTGGAGGATGACGAAGGTGGGGGTCGCGTGGATGGGAATGGAAGCGTATTTTGTTGATCGAGGGAGCCTGCATCTTCACCGTTATCACTAAGCGAAATATTGAGAAACGGGATCATCAAAATGCAATAAATACACAATATACCTCGGACGATTTCCACAGTTCAGTCCCTTATGTTTTATCCATTCCGTTAGTTCGTACTCGACGCCCTGCAATTGGATCGTGATGCCACAGGTTGCGCATTGAACCAATTCTCCGGTAAAATATTTCACTTGGGAGTCATTCACTAGCTGGAGCTTGCGCTCAGCAGCGGCGACTCGTTCGCTTGGTCTGGAAAAATGGTATAAGAGAATATTGGAGGTTCCCATGGAACGAAATACATACTGTATGTCGCAACGAGATTGATGCTCGTTCCAATGTCTGAGAACGTACTGGCGCCCCTTGGTCAACTTAATCCACTTGTTGCACTTTTTGCAAAGTATCGACTCTGCTCGAACCTCGGCAGCGCGAGGATCGGCCTCCAACATTGCCTTTCTTTCATCCGCGTTTTTCTTGGGCTGTGACGGGGGTGTGATGGGGGAAGGAAATGCGGCAGTGGTTGAAGCGTCGTCGCCATCATCATGCTCTTTATAGTCATCTCCATCACACTTCTTGCGATGGGTTATCCAGGGACGGATCGCGTAAGTTTGATTCGTGCCAAGAGATATGATCTTGCCGCACTTCGTGCACAAGGCCTTATGAGGGGAGACGTGCGCGTATGTGGGCTGATCCTTCAAGTAGGCGATACGTTCGGGTTCAAATCGCTTCCGTAGGGGCTTCGAGGATTCCCCCACCGAGGATTGGCCGACGGACGTTCCATCATCATCAGCCACAGAGGTCTCGGTCCTAGATACTGTCAACGCGGGCTAACAAAAAAGTGAACGCCCATCTACGTACTTAGACACGGGTGGACTCTTTGGGGTCGTTATAGAAGGTGCAGAGCCAGATTCAGAGAGGGAGGCTCGAGAAGATGACCTTGGGGGGCAAGAAATTTGGTTGAGAGAGGATATGGATAATTTGCGGGAATGTGGGGAATTCGGTAATTCGGTAGGTGGCGGCATGGCTTTCGCGTCCTTGGGACTTGGGAGTGGGGGAGGGCGTTGCATCTTGGGGGATGGTGAGGGGCTATAGCATAGCAAAACATTGTGAAGCGGATGACACTTTCTGCACCAAAAGGACACTCACGAGGTACGACGCTTCATTGTAGACTTCTTCTTCTGCACGTCCATTGCACGTGTAACGATCAACACACCAGCTATCTACGAGAAGGGCAGTTTACATACCGACGAGGACGGAGGCTTCTCTGCCTGAGTAGCATCCTTTGACGCGACATTGGCTTCTGCTCGATCGTGTACGGTGTTCGGTGCCGGTGATCTACCAAACACGAGGTTTACACAAGGATACAAACGCGCCATGGAATGCACCACGTACACAGAGTCGTGGGCAAACGGCCTTTGTCGCTATGAAAGGACCGGTATGAGATTCGGGGACATCCATGAACATGTGTTGCCAACCTTTGACTTGCCGGCGTAGGTAATCTTAACTGATGGTCTTTCACGGAGACAAGTCAGATATGAATTCATAGTTTGGACACGAGGCGCACCTTTCTGGGGACGAGGAATGCATCTTGCGTTTGTGAAAGGAGGAGTACGAGGAGGAGTGTCAACCAAAGCGCGACCGGTAAACTTGGGGTTTAGATGTGCTGAGAACAAAAGCGGGAGCAGATCATCTGAGGGACAATGCCACTGTATCCAAGCATGCACAAATAACATCGAAGCGCCCGGCGCGTAATAGGGGCTATTCATTATCTATATACAACACCAACTACTAATAATTAATAGAATCGGCGAGATGTCCGTACAAAGCGACTTGGAAGCGGAGCCAAAGAAAGCAAGTCTGGGACACTATATGTACAACAGTGCTGCGACGAGGCCCTACAAAACGATTCAGATATGGTCGTGTACGGTGCAACAGGTGTACGTACATTATCTAAATAAACATAAGTTCAGCCACCCATTGGATGCTGGGAGTCAGGCGGCGCACATGGGGGTGGCATCATAGAACCGGAAGCCTGAGAATGATGAACCACAGGATAGTGTAGATACGCTGCGTGCGGGTCGTGAGTCGCGTACATGTCCATGACCGGGCTTAAGGCCGGTTGTGGTGGGTAATAAAAGGGTTGCATGCTAGACATCGCGGGATAGTATGATAACTGCTGGGCGGACATATGCGGATGAGTGGTATGGGTAAATGGGTTCGGTTGGTGTGCGTCGATGGGAGAGATGGACGGCGAAGCATCGGAGACAAGCTGCGATGCGTCTGTGGTCTCATCTACACTGATGAGTACGATATGAGATAGATGTGGAGACTGTCGTCCCACCTCCGGTATCAGAAACAGAAGTGTCCTGACTTCGTCGATGGGTGCACTGGTCCCCTTTTCCGCATCGGATGCAGTCTCTGCAAGGTCGATCAACGCAGTCGTACCCTTTACGAGCACATGACCCGCATGGTCTACAAACGGCTCCAGCATTGGCCCCGAAGGAAACGTGGAAGACACATACCGGCTTCCATCACAGCGTATTTTGTCACGTCTATTTCAAGGATGGTCAGCGATGAGGCAGCGAAAGCGTACATAAGGCACATTACCGGCAACTCATGCATGCCTTGAGGGTCAGACTTCAGAACTCGCGCATCCAATACCTGAGCTAATGGATAACCTACTGCTTTAACCCGCGTCCCATGTCCCCGGCCTTTGCGGGGCACGCTGACACATTCTCTCCCAAGCTCTAGGCAGTGCGCACAAGGCCGAGCATCTTCGCAACGCTTGTTATCTTGTCGACACCCCTCACACCGCAGCTTGACTAGTTTCGGGCCCCGAGCAACGTGCACGCATTCTTCTGAACGTGCGATACAGCGTGAGCAGGGTCGTTGATCGTCGCACTGATGTACAGATGGCGGTATGGGAATCTGAGACGAATTTGACACCGAGGAAGGAATAAATACCTTCTTGTTGTCTCGGCGGCAGTTCTGGCACGCTAGCTTTGCCCGATCGCTTCCATTCGGACGCTGCGGAGGGGGAGCTCGTGTCGAACTTGAACTCGGGATTGCATCCTGGCCAGTAAAGCCTATTTGCTGCAGATCTTCAACACAGTCGAGCTGAAGCTGTCTGCATCTGTAGCAGGGTTTGCCTTCTTCGCAGCGTACCCGAGCGCGTCGGCAATTTTCGCAACCATCGACGCATTGTTCGGGGGGATAACCTTTCTTGGTGCAGTTGCTGCATGGCCTACGAGACATGAACAAAGTCAGGATTACATGCAAGGGGATACGTCTGGATGCATGGATGCCCAACAGCAGCGGCGTACCTTGTGCCGTCGCATCTGATTTTGTCTCGCCTGCCAGCGGTGTCGAGATGAGTTGGCAGCAAATTCGCAAGAACGGCGGCGAACACACCTGCAACTGGCGCATGCCTATCATACGATATTAGGTGGTTGCGAGGATCCCAAGAAATAGAGTTACCTTGGGCGTCCGTCGAGGCCATGGCAGCGCAGAATTGATGTCGGAAACCGGCTCGTCTAGTGTCTGGGAATTCATCGCCACCGTTGCAGATCCCCAGCCTTGTGGTCGGAGTTGCTCGAAACCACTCTGCTGCATCTGCTGCATGTTCGCACCGTACGCTGTCGACCAAGGCTCCATGCTAGGAATAATCCAAGACGTCGTAGGCCCTGACCTTTTGTGATTTCTAGGAAGTTTCTAACTTGTACAGGCTTTATATAGGTGTCAACCTTCTGAGAAGGGAATTTCCCCGTTGATCTCCAGATATCCTCGAAACATGTCATTTCGTTTGCAGGAGTAGCAGGGTGTGTTGCTCAGATATTAGTATCCCCAACATCTCTCCGGCTGGCTGCAAGGTGCGAGTGCCGTTTCCCTCAAGAAGCTGATAATTTCACTCTTCAAGGTCACTTCTCATCGAGATGCACCTTGCAACATTGATACGTCTGCTTTGGAAGCGCTCTCGGTCCTCTTACCTCCAAAGATACTCCGATTGGTGACACCACTTTAACATTGACTGGACACACCTTGATTCGCGAACCACGCCCATCGATTAATCCAAGATGTTTTTCACCACATGCGGAAGTAGGAATCCGTTGACGCTGGGATCACTGGAGAATCCTCGGACTGCCAAAGCACATATTCTGCTTGGCTGTCATATTCAAACGTACTATATGTCATCAGGGTTGCCTGATCATCGACCTTCAAGTCCAAAGACCACGTATGTATATGAAATTCGACCTCAACAACTCTTCAGTGAGCTTCGAGACACTTGTGATGGGCTGGGCAGCGCAGCTAGCAGATGGGATGAGTGGTTGTTGTTCCCTTCTCCACGCCGCGCCAACCTGTGAGTCTCGATTTCAATACGTAGTCTATGCTTTTAGCGCTAATACCCGTGTTTCGTGGACATGCCTGTGCCTTATTCCGATCTTCACCACTTGCCAGATACACATACACCCACCATATGCACCTGCGCTGGTTCCCGCGAGGAACGCCTTCGAGTTTCCCCGAGTGCTATTTGTGCTCATCCTGAGCTTCGTCCTGTCCGCTCCCACATTCACTCCTTGATCTGCTCGGTCCCCCCGGCGGACCGCGAAAGATTCGCTTCTGTTCTTTCCACTGCATACGATCATCGTATGCGCTGAACTTTGAACCTTTTTCGAATCAACGCTTCATACCGATTGGCTGAAATGCCGCCACAAAATTTCTAGGGCCCAAAATCAAGCGAACCTAGTCACGTAAAGCATGGAGCGGGCAAGGTTCAACATCAGTACCTCTCATGCGAGGGATGCTGAGCACTCATTCGTCTTGTGTGACAGCCTCGCTATCTCCGTAGAAATATGATTCTAGAATATGTTGCTCGTGCTGCGGTGATTTGCGTCGATATTCCAAGGTGACCTTTTACCGTATGTGCTACGTACACCGAGGGCTGGGATTTGGGACCTGATGCAAAGACACGCCACATAGTTCGCGTTCCCTGTCGCCTGGCCACGTCAATGCGAACTTGTTTTTGCACCCAAGAACATACATTGCCCCGACATCCCCCCTAGTGACACAGGAATGTCCCCCGATAGGCTCATCCTCGCAGTGATTACCAGCGGGGATCATTCGTCGTAAGCCATGCCTGTCAAACCCGCTCTTTGATTCGAGCCCATAAGGTGCGGTTGCCATCCAAATGCAATATATCTTTCAGTGTGATAATCGATAATATACAGCTTTCACGATAGAAGTGGGGTAGTTACTCCGACGTACATTTCCTTGTTAGAATGCCAGCTATTAGAAGCTGGCCCCCTCGGTAGCCTCGAAGGACACATCGCGATAGGTTCTCATCTGGCCTTGCAACCTCTCAATTTGACCGGGGGTGAACTCGGTCATGCAGGTGTCGTAGGTGTAATCCATGTAGTTGTCTGTGGGCAGGGCGTCAGCATGGCGATGGGCTTATACAAGACTTATTTAACTTACGGATGGGGTCGGGGAGACTGTCGGACTTGCAGGTGTCGCGGCCAGTCGGGCATCCAAAAGCGGGAGAAGACTCGGGAGCGGTGTCATCAACCATGTCGCCAGCGCCATTGCATCCTCCTTGGAAGGTGTGGTAGAGTCCAACCCAGTGGCCTGCCTCGTGAGTCAAGGTCTACAACAGGGCTCAGCATTCGTAGAAGCGCCTCAATCCTAATGTCGGTGACTGACCTGACCACCGTTGTAATCCTGAGTAGATCCTCCTGGGACCGAGGAATACAGAATGACAACACCGTCGTCCGCAGGAGCATCGGCGTACCACGAAGGGAAAGTGGCATAGCCCAACAACCCAGAGCTGGGGAATCTGAACCCTGGATTGAATACCGGATACATGAACATGCTGAGCAGAATATCTCACCCGACGGAGTAAACGTTCAGGTCAGCCGCGCCGCCTTGCCTGAGAGCCGTTTTCATTGCTGTCTGTTGTGAGCTAATATTTACAGCATCATTTGACGTGTTACATGTGATCTGAAGTAAATACTTACTTGGAGGGGCCGACTTTGGTGAACCTATAAGATTAGGTTTAAACATTTATAAGCGTCCAGGAAACATTTCACCCACCAGTCAGCGTTAAGCGTGCGAGTGGTGTTGGCGAGAAGCCATGAAAGGCCAGTACCCTCGTATGCCACGTTCAAGACGTTGATGGATTCTTCGATTTGGGAGTCGCTGGCGCGTTGTCAGCTCAAGGAACATGTGTATGTGAAGGAATAGAAGCCTACGGAATATTTCCGCCTTCGAGAGTGTCATCCTTGCTGACCACGTGCCAGTATACGTTCAGTTTTGAAGAGTGTGCCGCCCCGATGCCCGATGTGCTGAGGCCGCCAGGTGGGACCATGTTGGCACGGAAATGCTTCTCAGCTGCGACAACCTGCGCATCGCTCAGAACCGCTGTTCCACATTGCCTGTTGGTAATGGTTAGATGATAGATGAGGGCATATAGAACATCGTCGCCTACCTCGGAGTTGGCTTGCCAAAGGCAGAAACTGCGACGAAAGCAAAGACGAAGAAGGTCGAAGACAACATGTTGCTGCGAGAAATGCTTGAAGAGCCAGAGGACTGTTGATCTTTCAGTATTTGCGAGCCCGTATTTATACGTAGGTCGTACCAGGCATCTTGAGTACTAACGAGCGTTGGGCGTCACGACCCACATGATGGAACGACTAGCACAAGTCGTGTCGAAGGCCGCGCAGGCATACGCATGCAACGAAGAACGCCCCAGCGAAGTGAGTGCAAGGAAAGATAGTGTACGAGTGTGGAATGAGTTTCGATTAGGAATGTGTCCCTTTCCTTGTGTGGGGTACCAGCATGCCCTAGCTGATCCGGTTGAGCGTACTTGTTGTTTCCGACCATGGAGAACAGGGTCTTCACAGTAGAATACACAAGGTCACCTGCATATTTACGGACGCATTTTCGTGATCGCGGCAGAGTTGCAGAGATAATCAAGTAGACGATGCCAATGCGCTTCCCGATTTGTTAATCACCTAATCGCACGATGCGTTTAGAAGCATCGCCACGCGCCGGTGCTGTGGACTTAGTTGAGTTCAGCATGCAGTGATGAAGAGCACTAATGTACGTACCGTCATCCGCATGATCTCATAAAACTCGAAGCTAGGGTGAACGGCACAGGAAGGTAGCAGACCAAATGAAGTAATTACGAACACGGCTGTCTTGGCACGATGCTTCCGCATGATGCCCACAGATAGAGTGTGTATCATTGATACAATCGCCTCGTGTGACGCCTTAGGCCTCAGGAAGTTTAAGAAAGCTTCGTGTTCAAAGTTAAATGAAGCACGCTATCGCAAATCGCGATACCGACAAGCAGATATCGTCCTTGGTTTGCGGGTGAGTTGTACTTGGTACCAGATGGTGGTGGAGTGGCCTGAGAGAGAGCTAATGAGCGGTATGAGCATAGGGAGAAAGCCACCGAATAAATGGAAGCCCCAAGGAAGCCCCAACGTACATAGTTGGAAGTAAAGTGACCGCGGCGCAGGAATCGCGACGATATCTTGGATTCCGTGAGAATATCTTGCATAAGCAATCAAGCGCTTGTCGGCCCAGACTACTTAAATTCAGTTTCACAGTGAGTTGACTGTAGTGAAAGCTCCAGAAAGAGTGTGATATTGCGGCGAGAAATAGACAATACATGTTTCTAAGAATGCCATAAGCTACAGATACAGTTGATTGCAAAGAGTGGTTTTGTTGCTGTGAAAGAATGAGACGACCCAAGACCCAAAGGTTAGGCAAAATGCAAGTTAGTAATAAAGAAAGCTTTGTCGTGTCGTTTTTCACTGATAGACTGCGATATAGTTAATCTTCCATTTGGCGACTGAGGGAGGGCGTTCAGTTCCGGGATAAAGGTATCAAGGCCGAGGAGTGACTCACAGATAAAGTTGTTGGGATCAGCAACGGCTTCGGCGCAAGACCCGGGGCAACCAGAGCTTGAGTAGGTCGGGTTGCCAAGGTCGCCACAGAGGGTGGTGTCGATGACAAGCGTATGATCGTGGAAGTGCTTGTTGACGTCGCACGTATCGCTGGCGAAGAAAGCAGAGGGCGTTGGCCAAGTGCTGGGCTTAGGTTTGTTATCCTTGATATCCTGAGGGATCTCGTTTCGAGCGAAGTGCCAGATCTTGATACCGTCGCTTCCCCACATGTGGGCAAACACGCCGCCTCCTGCCCTGTTGAAGCCCTCGCCGTAGGAGCGTGCATCAGTGTCGCGGAGTCCGCATCCAGCATTGTTATCCCCACTCGAAGCACACTCCGTATTGACGATGGAGGCTTCAAAGAAGGTATTCCCTGGGTTGTTCGTAGATAAGGTGCAGCCAGGAGATGTGTGGAGGGTGTAGTGATTGGTGGGCGAATTATGAACTCCTTCCAACACGTCAATTTCGCCTCCGGAGGGCCAGTTCGGGCCAACGGTCCTATCGAGCCAATGAGCAAGTATACCGTGCAAAAGATATGTGAACCTACCACCAAGCTGGCCAGACGCTGCATCCATGAGGCATGGCGAAGAAGTCCGCGATAAACAACCCCTCGTTGTAGGTCTTCTTAGATTCGATCCTCACACTGCACGACAACATTTAATGGTGGCCAAGATGAGATGAAATAAACTCACGAAGCACGGTTGGTGCCAATGGGTAGATGGGTCTTATCATCGACAGCAAGTACAGTGGTTCCGTCGTCCTGGACGAAAGCTAGATTCTTGGCTTTGGCATCTTCGAGGCCTTGGAATTGAACGGAGCCGTGTGTGGGGTCGGCATGTGTAAAGAAGTTCCAATCACTGAGAAAACGTGAGCTGAAGAACCTCTCTTCGGCTTGAAGACGTACTTGAAGAAATCCTCTCCTTGATACATATCGACCAGCTTCATCGCTGCTCCCCCTTGACGCCTTGAGATATTAGAAGTATTACGAGCAGCGATATGAGAATGGCGTCGGCGACCGAGATGCTCCCCATGTCTTCCAGCCAGGGCAGACAAGGGGAGGGCGAGAGTGAGAAGTGCCACGACGAACATGATGCTAGTTGTCGGGAGCAAGGGGAATGAAGGGGACGGGAGTAATTCGCAACCAGGCGATATAGTATAGCAGGAGATGATGAACAGGCAGCTCTGAGCTAGCAGCCTTATATAAGATTCACCATGTCGCCCGGTGGTACCATTGCTGTGGAGAGCTAGCCACTTCCGCCACGAACAAGGTGCATTGTCCAGTGGCCTGGTTTGGTAACGGTGAAGAGGTAACCAGCCATAGTGGCCTTGGCCGGGGACAACGCTTTGGACAAGAGTCACAGTTGCGATCGGATCGAGACAAAGGGGCTACGAAATACTGACTGTGGGAATAGTCTACTGTGACTGTGAGAACTTAGTCAATGATACCTCTAATGAGACAATGGATTCACCCGTACTGTCGGTGAGTTCACTGCTCTTTGGCATACCTTCAGAAACAATCAGCATTGATGCCGGTTCCTCGTTCAGTAATCGAACAAATCAGGCAGCTAATACCACCACTGAATGGAACGCTGCACAAAGGACAATCCGGTGAGATCTTAGACATGACTTTGTGAATTCCAGACATATTAAACAATGAAAAGGTCGTGTGGGTGTGCTGGGTGGCGCATTAGAGTAAGCGGTCGGTCGCCTCCTGTCGTAGGCATAGTGCCAACCCACGACGTGATAGCTACACAGGAGCACCGTTCTTCGCAGCAATCTCCGCGTTGCGATTTGTGCGTTGACATGGTCACTGAACACTCGAGGACGGTGCAATGATATTCATTTCAGGGCGCTGACTTATCCCACGTAATTTGCTCCCCGACAGCCGCTGGCGCCATCAAGTCCTACTCACCGGACCTAATCGTTCATCCAATTTTAAGAGATGATTCGTGAGATTAGCCACCTCCTGCGCAATCCTCGTTGTGACTGACAGTGCCTGAAACTTAGAACAACGGATAAAGTTCGTCCGGAGCTAGACTCGCTTCTGGCTCGCCTGCACGTTCTCGTTATTGGGCCAGGTCTTGGCCGTGAATCATACATGCAGTCCTACGCCCGATTGGCTCTGTCGCTCGCCAAATCGCGGGGGATGTTCGTCGTCCTCGATGCTGATGGTCTCTATATGGTCGGCCAAGATGTATCTCTCATCAAGGGTTACCGTCGCGCCGTCGTAACGCCAAATGTCGTAGAATTCAAGCGTCTAAGCGAACAAGTCGGTGTTGACCCCAAAACTCCTGAGCAAGAGAGAGCAGCATCGGTGTCCAAGCTGCTTGGAGGAGTGACAGTCCTGCAGAAGGGTGCCTCAGACCTGATTGCGGCCGACACTACCGGAGACCCCGCTAGCCTCGCGGAAAGTCAGCTGGAGGGACGTGACGAAGCAAAAGAAAACACGAAAGAGGTCATCGAGGTTGATGTGGAAGGCGGAATGAAGCGGTGCGGTGGGCAAGGTGATATACTGAGTGGCTGTGTTGGAACGCTCCTGGCGTGGGGCAAGTGCTACGAAACGGGTGCCTTTGGGTACGTCGTACTTGGACCATCGTAGGCTGTTGCGTCCTCACTAATTCTCGAAGGGATCAATCTATACCGCCTTCGCGATTCCCTTTACTCGCCGCGGTAGGTAGCAGCATGGTAACACGCACTGCTAGCCGGCGTGCTTACTCTAAGGAGGGACGAGGCGTCGTCACTCAGGATATGCTACCCGAGATAGGAAAGGCCTTCGCGGAAGTGTTTGGGGAAGAAACGCAAGGTCAAGACAAAGGCCGTCTTTGATAAGATGGGTATGGGCGTTGTAGGCTTTCGATATAGATAGACATTTGAGTTCATCAAGTCGATTCTGAAGCGACAAAGAGACAAAGCATCGCAACAAACTGATAGTCCGTCTAAAAAATGAGTTTTATGTGTTACAAACTGCGTTTAGCTTCTTCTACCTCTCCTTCATGCTCGTATTCATGCGCGATCACTGAAAGGTGCTGGTCAGTGGGTCGGGATATCTGAAAGAGTCGCTTCACTAACCGTGATAACGGTAGGCTTCTCGCGGCCAGTGAATTCCTTCAGCTTGCTGAGCTCCAGGGCAACTTCAATGAGGCCTTTGAGACCCTCCGCTGCGTCCTTGGTAAGAGCGGCGGCACCAGCATCCGCCGCAACATATCGTTCTACATACATACGAACGGTGGCACCTTGGCTACCAGTGCCACTCAACCTGAACACAACGCGCGAGCCATCAGAGAACGTAATGACTTGTCCCTGGTGTGAGGAAATCGAATGATCGATAGGGTCTTTGTACTCGAAGTCATAGATGCTAGAGACAGTGAACTCTTGGGAAGTCGAGGCGGAAACGTGTTTCGTGTTATTGAGAGATCCGGAGTTAAGAGCCTCGTTGATGTGGGCGACCATAGCATTGGCGCCATCCGAAGAGACTTCTTCGTAGTCGTATCGACTGAAGAAAGACCGACCGTACGTCTCGTAGTGGCGGGCGAGAATATCATTAATGCCAATTAGCTTATTGGGCGATTCCCTGTTCGCAGCAGCGAGGATGTTCAGCCACGCTAAAAGCGGGAAATCAGCCAACGCTATCACATTGATGCGGAGTGGAACTCGCCGACAACAGCCCACACTCCGTCCTTCTCTCGTATGTGATCTGAGCCCGTCCCGAAAGATTCCTCGCCGCAAATGGAGAGTCTCCCGGCATCCATCAAATTGCCGAAGAACTTCCAGCCTGTTGGCACCTCAAAGTACTCAAAGCCCTTCTTCTTGGCTACGAGGTCGATAGCCTTGCTGGTAGGCATACTCCTGGCAAGACCCTTAATTCCGCTCTTGAAATACGGAATAACGTCGGCCCAATCTGCGATGATTGCCACGGAGTCGGATGGCGTCACGAATGCACCTTTGCCGTAAATCATGTTTCGATCACCATCACCATCGCTGGCTGCACCGAATTGAATGTTGTTCGCTTCCACCGCTTCCACGAGGGTGTGCGCGTAGGTGAGATTAGGATCAGGGTGTCCGCCGCCAAAATCTGGGAGTGGGACGCAGTTTTGAATCGAAGATTCGGGGAGACCAAGCGTTTCCACAAAGATCGCGCGAGCGTACGGCCCGGTGACACCGTGGAGGCCGTCGAACAGGACTTTGAAGTCATTTGAATGAGAAGTGAGGAAGGATTTGATGAGAGCGAAGTCGAAGATCTCTTCAAGGAGAATCACGTAGTCCTTGACCGAATCGATGATGGATACTTTGGACGGTCCGTACGTGAATTCTCCAATCTTTCCAAGATCAACCTATGCCCGCCTGTTAAAGGTATTTGAGTCACTGATACTTAGAAGCGTACCTCGGGTGCTTCGATGACCTTGTAAGACTGAATTGTCTTCGTCTTTTCATAGATCTTATTGGTGACATTCTCAGGGGCGGGTCCACCATTCGACACATTGTACTTGATACCGAAATCGTTGTTCGGCCCTCCAGGATTGTGACTAGCGGTCAACAAAATTCCACCGTAGGCCTTATACTTCCTGATAACGTTTGAGGCGGCGGGGGTGGACAAGATGCCGTCCTTCCCTACGATGAACTTGGCAACCCCATTTGCTGAACCGATTTTGAGGATGATCTGTACGGCTTCTGGTGAAAAGTAGCGCCCATCGCCCCCGATCACCAGCGTCGATCCTTTCGCGTCGATAGAGTCGAAGATGGCTTGAACGAAGTTCTCGGTGTAGTGCTATAATCCATGACGGTCACTCTCCGGAATCCTTGCTGAAGCTGCAATCGTACCTCCTGCTGGAAGACCTTGACTCTAGAAAGGGAATTAATAGCGGTTATGGAAACGGAATAAAGGGGTTAACCTTTTCCTGAGCCCCGACGTACCAGGCTTTTGGCCATCGTAAGGCTTGGTGGGGATGTCTTTGATGGGGAACGACATTTCGACGGTGGTGGTCGTGGATGAAGCCTTGTGTGAGGTCAGGATCCAGCAATGATGTTAATTATGGCCATACACCAATCTAGGCACCTTCCATTGCAGATAATCAGTTAGGCTGATACCGGTTGAAACGTTCACTGATGTTGGAGTCGATAAAGAATCAACGTTCGAATTGGGAGGGTGCGTCGCACTGGCGTTGGATGTCCCCGCCCCCGCGCCCAGCACCCTCGGGAGCCATATCTCAGTGAGCTTGTCGCCATCAGCGTCGAAGTCAACCCAGTTCAGAAGCACGTGATGGATGGGCTTCATCCTCGCGCCACATGCACAGAGACCGGCCCCGGATCCCATTTGCCCAAGAGCTGAACCTAATGACCGCTCCTTCCCCATAACAAAAATCAGGCCATCCGATGATATTCAGATCCCTCAAATCATCGCCTTTGTCCCCCCAAATTCACTGTTTTTCCCGCTCAATGTCAAGCATGATACCGCCGTCGAAATTTCCGGTGTTCACGACACTCGCTAGCTACAGAGAATGGCGGCAACGCGCCCGCGATGAACACAAAACAGTCGGGTTCGTTCCGACGATGGGAGCTCTGCACGATGGCCATATTTCGCTTGGTACGTTGTCCGTCGCTGCTCGCCGCGTCCGGCTCATTGATCCGAATCAAGTTAAGAGATCTCTTGCGGAGAATGACCTGACCGTCGTATCAGTATTCGTGAATCCCGCACAGTTTGCCCCACATGAGGACCTCGCGACGTATCCCCGGACGTTACCAAACGACCTCGAACTGTTAGGCGCACTGAATGTCTCGGAGCGGACAACGTCGGCGTTATTCTTGCCCACCGTTGCTGAGATGTATCCATCCGGGATCCACCAAGATACTTCAATGCAGAGGGGGACTTTCGTAGAAGTCAAGGGCTTCGGTAACTTGATGGAAGGAGCCAGCCGGCCGACCTTCTTCCGGGGAGTCGCTACCGTCGTTACAAAACTATTCAACGCGATTGAAGTAAGTCGCATCTTTCATTTATCTACTACAAAGGTTTTGACCAGTAGTCGATAGCCATCCAACGCGTACTTTGGGCAAAAGGACATCCAGCAAGGCCTACTCTTGAAACGAATGTGCCGAGATCTGTTGTTGTCTCATCCTACTCCTGAAGGCCTGCACATCATCCAAACGGCTCGAGACCCCTTCGATAACCTTGCACTATCGTCCCGAAATGCTTACCTTTCACCGGAAGAAAGAAAGGCCGCGACTACCCTGTACGCCGCACTCAACGTCGCGAAGGAAGCTTGGGAGGCGTCTCTCCCGAAGTCGCAGTGCATTAAGAACGCAGAAGCCATCATCACCGCAAAGAAGGACGAAGTCTCCGGGTCTGGCGTCGACATCAAGCTTGACTACATCCAGTTCAACGACTGGCAGAGTTTCGAGCCCCTCGACGGGTCGGCCAACCAGGACAATCTAAACGAACCTGTGATACTGAGCGGAGCGATGTGGGTAGGAAAGACAAGGCTCATCGACAACATCATCCTGGGAGATGAGAGCAAGATACTCAGTTAGCCAATATTGAAATATACGCCCCTTTCTCGTGAGAACTACGCTCAGAAAAGTCATGACATCTGGCATGTTTTCGACCTCAGGCTGAGCAGCTGCCGGCAGTTCTCCATACTTATGGCAAGTGCTTAACTGCTTTAACCGTCCGTTGAAATGAATAGGTCCCGATGAAATGTGTCGATGATATGTACTGCTGTGAAAGCGAACAGAATCCATTCCACCCACCACTATGACTGGCATGGTTTCAAACCCAGGCAACCAGGCAACCTATCGAACTAGTCGGTTTATGCGCTCCTCTATCATCTGGAATGGCTTGTCACAAACGACTTCGGTTACTAGTGCGACGTGTTGACTCTGATTTAAAACACTATGGCTGGCGACTACTTTGCTTCCGTCGATCCTTGACGCTCTCATGGCTCTCCAGGAAGTCCTCTCCACCTTGGTGTCCAGCACCGAGCCCATGACCAACGCTACGTTCAAGAGCAGCGAAGGCCCGTCTCCGGCGCCGCGCCATGGGGCATCGCAGTCCGATCTGAAGTCTCTGCTCCTGACTTTGCTGTCGTTCTCTGCGTTGCAGGACTGGATCAAGCTCATCATCATTGGTGGATTCTTCGAGGCTTCCAGGCGTGTGGCCATGTCACTTTACTCCCAGCTTGTCAACGCGTTCTTCATCACTGTGTCCTTCGAGGAGGACGATCCAAGCTACGGTGAGTGTTACGCCGCTACATGGGACAGTGGATGCTCATGTGCACCGAAGACTGGATGATGGTCTGGCTGTCAAAGCAGAAGACATGGAGTGAGTGGCACCTCAAATGTCGGCATGTCTGGCTAGCGCAATACTAACGCCAAAAAGACAAGGCTCGTCAGTATCAGGTTAGCACGAAGAGCTTTGGGCTGGACAACCTCGCCATTGCTATCCCTGGAGACGACGATGAACACACGGGTAGCTCCAATCGAAAATTGGCATATTTGCCGTCTACATCTTCCTCATATTCGCTGTGGTATAAACGGCACTGGATTACCGTTTCTCGACAGCGCACGGTTGGAAGCTTCACGGAATCGCTCGTCCTCAGTATTTTCGCCCGATCCCATACCGTTCTCAATGAAATACTCCGCGATGCCAAACAGCAGTATACATCTTCCCAGGAGCACAAAATCTCCATCTATATCTGCGATAAGTATGTATTTCTTGGATTGTAGGCAACATTCGGTTAAACTTGGCATTCTTGTAGGTCCAATAGCTGGCGCCTTGCCGCGACACGCCCCAAACGCCCCCTACACTCCATCGTCCTCGAGCCTGGTGTTAAGGAGCTTCTGGTCGATGATGCCCGGGATTTCCTTGATAACAAATCTTGGTATGTCGACCGTGGTATCCCCTTTCGCCGAGGTTACCTCTTGGTTAGTCCTCCTCCGTCCTTATCAACCACGTTTGCTCAGACTCGTGCCTTCGGCTAGTACGGAGCTCCCGGCTCAGGAAAAACTTCAACGATCCACAGCATAGCAGGAGAACTCGGGTTGGACGTCTATATTATATCTCTGTCAAGAGCGGGGTTGGACGACAGCTCTTTGAACGAACTAGTTTCTGATTTGCCGTGAGTCCGCATCTACGGCATTAAGTGGGCCGGACACTGATCGAGGGATACTTTATGCGTCTAGTGAACGCTGCATAGCCTTAATGGAAGACATAGACGCAGCCTTCCACCATGGCATCAACCGAGAAGCAAAAACTAATGTCGGCGATACCGATAGTCGCGACTTCTCAACCAGCCGGTGCGTTCCTTCATTATATGTCAGGCCTAGACACAACAGCTCTAACATGATCAATCGTTCCTCGAAGTTTGAGTCTAAGTGGTCTTCTAAACGCACTCGATGGGGTAGGCGCTCAGGAAGGGCGTATTCTATATGCGACCACGAATAAATACCTCAATCTGGATCCGGCGCTGTGCCGGCCAGGTCGCATGGATATTCATGTGGAGTTCAGACTAGCGAGCAAGTTCCAGACGTACGAGTTGTTCCGGCGATTCTATCTACCTTCTGGCGCGGAGGACGTTGATTCAAATGATGAAGAGGAAGACGAGGACGAGAAAGGCAGTGATGGGGAGGGTTCTGATTCAGGGTATGGAGAATCGTTGGACGGAGACGCGAATGACTCGGAGATGTCACTGTTAATGAGTTCGTCCGGCCCAACGTCTACATCGCCTTTTGCTCAGGGGAGGCCCCCTGTCACTGGCAGTGCGCATTGCCAGCGGGCACCCAAGCTGTCGCGTCGCCGGCTGGCAAAACTTGCCCATTCCTTTGCCGACGCAATACCAGAGAGGGAGTTTTCGATGGCGGCCTTGCAGGGCTACCTCATGGGGTACAAGATTCGTCCGTTCGAAGCTGTTAGAGATATTCCGGGATGGTTAGAGGCGGAGAAGGAGAAACAGAAGATCCATCAACGGGGAGCTGCTCCAAAACCTTTGGCTCGATTAGCACCTGCCTTGCTGGACACCAAATCAGAACCGTATCAGCTTCCAACTCCTCTGACCCCAACATCACCGGTTCGACTGGATCATTGTATAGATGGATAGATAGACGCGAAGGGGAGGATGTCACATTCGAATACCTTAACAAATCTTATACCAATAATACTAGTTGCTTTTCTCTTTGCCAAATTTTGTCCACTCGGCCCGCCACCGTAGCCATTCGTCTTCTCGCCCACCATCCGACCACACGGCCCATCCATCCCGAATGCGAAGCCAGATGGAAATAGGGTTATTGAGAAGGGACACACGAAGTCTTCCTAACAGTGAACGAGGGCGTCTCCGGGGGATCAGTTCCGTGAGGAGGAATAAAGCAAAGCCAAAGATCGCGCCAATGCCGAAGCCCCAAATTATTTGAGAAGCTGTATGATACTCTAGATGGTATCTAGACACAAGAGGTCATGAGGCTATACGATACCGATGTACGAGCCTCATACCTCGAGTACGCAACTGCGCCTGCCCATCCCAGGATCGCCGAATATACGGCGTAGCGCCATAGAAGATCAAGAATGGGGTATCCGGACGAGGTAAACCGGTGATGAAAGCATAGATGGCAGACCAAAAACGCAGCAAAATATCCCATGTACTGGCTGTGGGACGAGGGAAAGCCATATCCATTGCTCACCTTCCCCGATGCACCTCAATCTTTCTGAGCAAATTTGCGAGCCTTAACAAGAGCCACAACTCACCCACCGGTCGCTGTTGCTTCACAGCCCGTTTGAGCACCCAGTTCAGCCCCTCGCAAGCCCACTGACCAGCCCACATCACGATTATCGTCAGTTCGCGCGTCTGTACGCAGAGCGCGGCATATGCTGGCTTCCAATATAGCGGCTAAGGCCTCGCTTCTTGTTCCGACATACATGGAGGCGTACCATGAGGAGGATGGGACTGAGAGTGATCAGCGCCAGGGCCAGAGAAAATAGCGAGGAATCGTCATCTGACATTCGGGAAACAAAGGTCGTTCAGAGTCATTCAAACGAAAAGCGAGCACAGCACGTACATAGGACATGAGTCAGGTCAAGCGAGGTTTCTTGGCCAGACATATTTATTCGAATTAAAATCAGAAATTGCGGTGTTCAGGTCGGAGAGGAACCTTTAAGGTTACGTTGATAGCAAGCGCCCATTTGCTCCGTTCAGCCAGGAACCTTCAGTTCTTGGCTCCAGTCTCCTGGCCTGACTAGCGATGACCTGCCATGACTCGGTGGAAATGCATAGCAAATTTACCTCAGCGTGCAACGAGGTGCAACGAGGCCGTGGCTCGGGACCGGGTTCTCAAAAAAAAAAAATTAGAGTATAAAGAGATGCGAGAAGACATCTAAGTAGACACCATCTCCTCGCACTATCCAGCATGGAGTCTGTACAGGGGATCCTGGCGGCCCTGGTAAGCCCCCTTGAAAATGCTTCTGGTATCCAGAACGCCACAGTCGCAAACTCGACAATTTCGCAAGCACCTATGGCCATCCCCTCCGACATTGCATCCTTAATCACCCTGCTTTTCTCGTTTTCTGCTCTGCGGGATTGGATCAAACTCATCGTCATTGGAGGTGTTCTGGAAACCGCTCGGCGCAGCGTATTCTCGGTTTATGCAAGGCTCATGAACTCTTTCTTCATCACTGCGACATTCGATGAAGATGACATATCTTTTTGTGAGTGATGCTGAATATTCCCTGACGGCTGTTTATTTATGACATTGCCATGACTAGCTTGGATGATGGTGTGGCTTTCGGAGCACCCTACTTGGAAGACAGCGCGTGAAGTCGAAATCAGCACACGATCCCTTGGTCTAGACAGCCAGGCCACTTTGCTACCAGGAGAAGAGGAAGATGTCGCCTCCAACTCGCGCAAACTTGGATTCTTGCCGAACGTTTCCAATACCTACACGTTGTGGTACAAACACCGTTGGGTCTCTGTCAGACGTTTGAGGTCAGAGCAAGGATACTATGGGCATAGGCAGGAAACCTTGATCATCAGGTAATAAATAAGGCTCTACCTTCATCTATATCGTCAAACTCATTCACATTGTTTAGCATCATGGCACGATCACATTCGGTACTCTATGATCTACTAAAGGAGGCAAAGGCAGCCTACCTTGCTGGACAAGAAGACAAGATCTCTATCTACGTCTCTGATAGGCAAGCTACACTTTGTCTCTACTCACCGAATGAGTACTGACTTTGATTTAGCCAAAACAGCTGGCGTCATGTCGCTTCTCGTCCCAAACGGCCCCTCAAGTCTATCGTCCTCGACCCCGGCATCAAGGATCTCCTCGTCGAAGACGCGAAAGACTTCCTCGGCTCAAAGCCTTGGTACCACGAACGAGGCATCCCATTCCGACGTGGCTACCTTCTTTACGGCGCACCCGGCTCTGGCAAAACGTCCATCATCCACAGTCTAGCCGGCGAGCTTGGGCTGGACGTCTACATCATCTCCCTTTCCAGAAGCGGACTCGACGACAGCGCACTCAACGAAATCATCTCGGATCTTCCGTGAGTAACTCTCGTCCTTATGAGAGGGTGGATGAGGCTCACACGCGATTGAACAGGGAGCGTTGTATCGCGTTAATGGAGGATATCGATGCGGCATTTCACCATGGCTTGAACCGTGACAGTGAAGATCCTGCCGAATCTGCACCAGGAGCCGATCGTAATGCGCCTCCCAAGCCAGCACAGGCAGCCCCGACGACGACCAGCAAGTCCGTGTAGTTCTCTTTGGTCTACTAGAGCCTTACTAACATCACCTCTTCCAGACTTAGTCTCAGTGGACTCTTGAACGCATTGGATGGTGTTGGTGCCCAGGAAGGACGTATCCTCTTCGCTACAACGAACAAGTACCTCGCTCTCGATCCCGCGCTCTCGAGGCCCGGCCGTATGGACATCCACATCGAGTTCAAATTGGCTAGCAAGATCCAAGCACGGGAACTGTACCGCTGCTTCTACCAGCCTTCAGAAGACATGGAGTCTGAGAAATACGACGACGTCCCCTCCGAGCTTCTCGATGACGTCGACGCAGAGACCTCCTCTCAAACCTCTGACTCCTCTGACACCCTCGTCGCGCCGTCCCCCACCCTCCCTGAACCCAAGAATGGCAAGGCGCTGTTGTCGATGATGCCCGACCACCGCCGGCGCGCGCCAAAGCTAGAGAGGGAGCAGATAGGAAGGCTTGCGCATGCATTTGCAGATGCTGTGCCAGAGCGTGAATTCTCGATGGCGAGCTTGCAGGGGTATCTGATGGTGTACAAGACGAGGCCGTTCGATGCTGTGAAGGATGTCAGAGCGTGGGTTGAGAAGGAACGTGCGGATGCGGCGAGGAAGGCGAAAGCAAAGGCGCCCACCCCCTCTTCCCCAACTCCAGAATCCGAACCCGAAGCCACACCGACCCCAGAGGCCGCAACACCTACATCCACATAATGCAATGATATCCCAAACATTAATACCCATACTACATGAAGATATACAGTAGATATGAATGTATCAATAACACGTTTAAGTAGTCTTAAATTCATTCCTTGTTCCCTCGTTTGCAATAAGGAATCCGGAATAGCGGGCGTTCAGGAGCATGTTAGGAGCATGCCCATCACGTGCACAGCGACTCTTGGACTCAGCGATTGAGCGATACTCAGTACTGAGCTTGAACACGACCACGACCGCGATTCATGGACAGTGCAGCATCGCCTCCGACGGCGGACGAGCCAGCGACATCGTCTGCTCTTCGGTTATCAGTCGACCCCGATGGTACTGGATTGAAATCACGACCGGCATCGCCGCAGCTCACCCAAAGCACCCCAGTGCAGTTACGACCAGCTGGCGAGATTCTTAGTGAATTCGACCCCCTCGCGAACTCTGTGGAAAAGGAGGCGCGAGAAGCCTGGGGGGATGCTGAAGGTCACCCGCCGCCGTCGCCGTCGCCATCGCCGCCACCGGAAACGCCAGAACGACCCCCCAGCCCGCCATCAAAGAGTAAGGACGCTACTACTAATGCCCCACCAGCAACACCTCTTCCCCCTTCAAGCTTGAATATATCCGCGTTTCCATCGTTATCCGCTTTAGCTCGAACCTTCTCAATACCGACCCCACTGCGGCCGCGTCCCCTCTCCATGGATTCAGCGAAACCAGTGCCGTCTCCGGGAACACTGTCATCATTCGCGGCGCAGCAAGAGTCTACTCGATCGTCAACAGACCAGGGTGATAGGCGTGAAGCAGATGAGAACGCCGCGTCTGCCTACAACACCGCAAATGCACCGGCAAGCTCAAACGATAGTACCGCGACGCCAAGCGCGGCAACTAGCACTGACGCAGCTTCATTTGACTTCCAGAAGTTCCTCGATCAGATGAAATCGAGGAGCGCCGAGCCCGTTGCTAAGTACCTCCGTTCGTATGTGAAGCGTTCATGTTTGTACCCACATCTATGTACCGGAATAACAAATTTGGCTGTCCAGATTTCTGAGCAATTTCGCGAAGAGGACGTTCACGATTGGAGACCAGGTCAAGATCATAAATGATTTCCTCAATGTATGTCTTGTTGGGAATACGTCTCTAAGTGAAATAACGTCTACCATCAGTTTATATCCATCCGCATGAGAGAGGTCGATGCATGGAAGACTACCTCAGATGTAGAGTTTGATTATGCTATGGAAGGAATGGAAAAACTCGTCATGAATCGGCTCTACGAGTTGTGCGTGCCGTCTATTCGTGATATTTGTCGTGGATTGACAGTTTGCTACCGTTAGCACCTTCACGCCCCAAGTCGCCCGCGCAGTGCCCCCTCGTCCAATAACATCAGACGATCTGGAAAAGGATAGAATCCTTTCCCAACGGATAGGACTTTTCGGCTGGATAGAGGAGAAACATCTCGATATACCCGTTGGGGAAGGGAGCAAAGGTTTCTTGATGTTTGCTCAACAAGGCATGCTATTCATCTACAACGTGCTCTACGATCACTTATCACCCTTTCTAGAACTGCTGAAGATAAACCACTATAAGGCCCCGCGTGATAAGCTTATATGTATCCTGAACTGCTGCAAAGTCATATTCGGTTGGTACATCCCTTCTCAATCGGAGCCGAGATGTTTAACCCACATCTTGCTCGTAGGGCTGATACGGCACTTACGCAAAGAAGAGGGAGCTGACTCGTTTGTGCCGATTCTGATCTTTGTCGTTCTGAAAGCCAATCCCGACCATCTGATATCCAACGTTGAGTAGGTGACTTGTCATTTTCTACCAAGGCAGTTTTCCATAACCATGTAGATTTATTAACCGGTTCCGAAACCCTGCGAAGTTGCAAAGCGAAGCGGGGTACTACCTTTCTAGCTTGGTGAGTCCGCAGTGCGACTGTGGCATCTCTGGTAACTTACTCCTGCATAACCTCGCACGTTTAGATGGGCGCCGTCTCCTTCATTGAAACCATGGACCACACATCATTATCAAATATCACTCAGGAAGAATTTGAACAGTCAGTCGTTAATCTGCTAGCTCACGGAATCCGTTGCTAACGATACCTCCTTCAGGAATGTTGAAGAAGCCATCCAGTCTCTACCCCCTTCCCATCCACATTCACCTCCTATGACTCCGTCTAGCGCCTCCATCCCAAGCTCGACACCGAAATTCTTAGGACCTCAATCACCTCACAATCGTTCGCATTCACATCCTTCTTCGCCTTCTCTCCCCGCGTCAGAACCTTCCCCGCATGCAGGCGAAGAATCTGCCCAACCCCTCTCATTACCTACTCCTACTATCCCGGCTTTGCCAGGTCAAACCATACTATCTGATGATGCTCGACGTCTCCTCCAGAAGACGGGTGATACAATATCAAAGCCTCTAAACGCCATCGGTCGAATATTCAGCGAGGCCTTGGACGGCGCGGAAAGCAAACTGACGTACCTCCCCGGTCCTTTCGCTCCATTCGAACTCGGTCGCGAACGGGATGGACAAGCGCAACAGCCCCACTGGTCACATCCTGACCAAATATCGCAACACTCGCACGGTCCTTCAAGGCAGTTCCCGCAAACACCTATTAGTAACTCAGATCCGCACATGGCGCCAATACAGACACCGTATAAACCTCGCGTTCGGAAGACGCCTTCGCCATATCATTCCACTTCCAACTCTCCTGACCGATCACCAAGGCTTGGGTACGCTTCCTCGCCTGAAGAGACGCCCACTCGATATGGAAATAGTGGAAATGCGCCATATACAAATTCGCCGTTAGCATTAGGTCCTTCGCAAGCCATCCTCCCGCCTCGTGTACAATCTCTGGCCCAGCAAGAGTTCGGTACATCACTCGGGCCAAATTCAGAGGGGGCGCATCTATCACGAACGCCTACCCCTGCTCTTGATCTATCGGCCGTCCAGGAACAGATTGATAACGCACACGAACAAGCTGCGGCGGCGTCAAAATCGACGCTTGTCCAGATCTTTCCCACTGTTGATACAGAAGTCGTGCAGTGGGTCCTGGAAGCCAATGACGGCGACCTTGGTAAGAGCATAGAGGCCCTCTTGGAAATGAGTAGCGGGGCATGATTTGGAAGGCACGACATGGAATATACTCGATCTCTAGAAGGTCTTCTTCAGCTGACGCCTCAGTGTAACATATAGGTTCTGACGCCGCTTGTGCGGACAGAAACAATGGCTACCCACGAATACTCTACGACACGTTACAACGGTGTATCACATAATTTGCCTATGGGATTTTTCACGTCCAGAATCCAGATCCAGGAAGTAAGGCTACCCCCGAAATCCCCATTTCGGTTATACGCCAGAAGCACGCCACTCATCTGCTCGGTTGAACTCCAGAGTCAATGCAATGCCTCGTAGCTTGCTGCTCCCCTTCCTATTGTTGCGCCTGTTCCAGGCAATTTGGAACAGTTCTATCAACTCTATATCTCCCACACATTGACCTCTATTAGCTCCGTGACGGCATCGCAGAGGCGTTTTTCGTTCTTTGGAACTTCTCCGTGAGATGCAAGCTTTCTTAAGGTAATAAGCCGGGTAATGAGCGAGGGTTGCTGTCATCGCTTACCAATTCAGCTTGAATCCCGGTGCCATCCCCGATGCGCTATAAATCGCCAACACATCAACTCGCCGTTCACAGATGAAGAGATGCTTCCCATTAGCAAATCTGCCTTCCCTACTTTCCCTCCCTTCCCTGACGATTTTGCAACACACCCACTTGTTATAGTCGACTATGAACTGATCAAGGCGGGCGACAAGGACGAGATCGAGCAGTTATGGAAGGCTGCGACTGAGCTAGGCTTTTGGTAGTAAGTCGATATTATTTGGATGTTGGTAAGGAAGAAATTGCTGAATTGCCTCGCAGCCTCAAGAACCATGGCGTTGAACAAGAAGCCAACAATATGTTTGACATGGGCCGCGAAACCATGGATCTCCCTCTCGAAGAGAAGATGAAATACGAGCAGGGTGATGGCGGATCCTCCTTTGGGTATGCTATTAGTCCCCATCAGGGTTGAAAGCCGATGTGACAAACATTTCTGCAGATACAAGGCAAGGGGGCAAGTGGCCACTGATGCTATGGGCACTCGCGATAATATTGAATTCATCAACGTCGCGAAAGACGACGCTCTCGCGTGGCCCAAGCAGGCACATAGATCCTATCCGCGCACGGTGAATGCACGGATGGAATCTACTGTCATTCCGTTCGTCCGTAAATCCATGGAAGTCAACGCCACATTGCTAGACGTCTTCAATGAGAAACTCGGGCTCCCGGAGGGTGCGCTGGCAAAGCGACATTCTGTTGAAGAATTCAGCGGAAGCGAGGCGAGGTGTACGAAAAGCCCGCCTACACCCACTGAAACGAGGTTAGGCATCGGTGCCCATACAGACTTCGGTTCCCTGGTTAGTCTCAGAACCTTCTCTCAGCTAGCTTGCGCACATGCTAACTTTTGATAGTCCTTTTTGCATAACAGACTTGGGGGGCTACAAGTCCTCCCTCCGAACAGCGAAACTTGGCAATATATCAAGGTCCGTGTGTTCTTAAGTTGTCGAGTTGTCTGTGCATGCCTGATTTATTATTCGCGGCGACAGCCTATAACAGGATACGCAATCTGCAACCTAGGCGACGCAATGGCTATCTTCAGTGGTGGCATTCTTCGATCTAATATTCATCGCGTCTGGTAAGTAGGTCTCCGAGGAGTCACAGCCGAGTCACTCACATCTATGCAGCCCACCACCCGGTGCTCAGAAACACCGGGAACGATGGTCATTAGTTTACTTTACACGCCCGGGCGACAGCGTAAATCTCCATGCATTGGTCGAAGAAAGTCCATTAATTGCGGACTACGTGGCGAAACATCCCGAAGGTATCCATGAAACTGGGGCAACGTCCCTAGAGTGGTTCACTCGAAGAATAAAGAACCAAAGAATCAGTAACCGCAAAGTTAGTAACCAATTTCTGGTTCCTACGAGTAGTCAAATTTGATACTTACTTATTATCTCCAGGGACCTGAAACCTGGATGGCGAGTCGAGGGACGGAAATACGAGTTTAAAACCCATATCTGAGGCCTGAGGACTGGAATTGGGTGTGAGTTTATGATTAGTCTGCCTCGTAACTAATCATCTCCTTCAACGGATGCAAGAGCATACTTGGGGTGGTTGTGATTGCTACATTCTGTATTCTGTGTACATATACAGGGGGCGTATATTAACAGGACAGGCTACTTTAAACGACGGGGGGCTTGGTGCCAGGCTGGAAGGTGTAGGTCAGGCCGCACTTTCCACAGTATTGACGGTCATTGTGGAAAGCCATCTGGAAGCCAAACATTAGACGATAATGAGAATCTCAAGCAGTCATAAACTTACGAAGATACCGGCACCACACTCAGCAGAAGGGCATTCGCGACGGAGGCGCTTGATCTTGCCATCCGAGTCCACCTTGTAGTACTTCAGGATAGACATCTTGACCTTCTTGCGCTTGTGCTTAATCTTCTTGGGGGTCTGCATCGAATGACTCAGCATATGATCTCGAGCAAAGCAAGGGGAAGACGAACGTTGTAGGTCTTCTTCTTGCGCTTCTTGGCACCACCACGGAGGCGGAGCACCAAGTGAAGGGTGGACTCCTTCTGAATGTTGTAGTCACTCAAGGTGCGGCCATCCTCGAGCTGCTTGCCAGCGAAGATGAGGCGCTGCTGGTCGGGGGGGATGCTAACCGATTTATCAGCATCAGATAATATACTAGTAAAATCCATCAATCTTACCCCTCCTTGTCTTGGATCTTAGCCTTGACATTGTCGATAGTGTCGGAGGACTCTACTTCGAGAGTGATGGTTTTGCCCGTGAGGCTGGTAATCACTGTCAGCTCGACAGAAGGCTTCAAGATCAAGATAAACCCACGTCTTTACGAAAATCTGCATTTTGGTACGGACGCTTTCGTCTGTCCAACGAATTCAACGATGGAGTCTTCGAAAAAAGCAAGAGCCGAGAAGTTCAGAGGAAAGAGAGGAGCGACCGCTGTGATGATTTTAAATGATCTGCTTTGTCAGCATGCAAGTTCTGTTGATGGTCTGTGCGTGGTAAAGTCCTTCTGATTGCGTCGCGCGGTCAGCCACAGGCGCGTCGGCAAGCGCGTCTCACTTATCCCTCACTTGTACTACCATCACCAAACTTAAAATGAGCAACGACGACGACGTTCAGATGGACTCTGCTTTCAGCTCGAGCTTGAAGGGCAAGGGAAAAGCGACCGTGGACCATGATCATCCATACGACAACGAGAATCTTCCTTGGTGAGGTGGCTTGTTTATGAAGTTTTGCGGTCGATGGGCTTATGGAGATCGAAGGGTAGAGAAGTATCGCCCTGTCACTCTCGACGACGTCGTGTCGCATAAGGAGATTACGGGTACCAGTGCGTGCTATACTACTCTGAAGTCAATTTATCTCAAGGGGCCGTAGTCGAGAATTTCATTGCAAAGAATCGACTTCCTCACTTGCTCTTTTACGGACCACCTGGCACAGGAAAGACTTCCACTATTCTTGCTGTGGCTAGACGAATATACGGCCCCCAATACCGAAACCAAATCCTTGAGGTGCGCCTCAAGAAGAAGCGTAACCATACATGCAGCTCACGCTTCCGTAGCTAAATGCGTCTGATGATCGAGGAATCGATGTCGTCCGCGAGCAGATCAAGCAGTTCGCCGAGACGCGAACGCTCTTCTCAAAGGGCTTCAAACTCATTGTCCTCGACGAAGCCGACATGATGACGCAGCAGGCGCAAGCTGCTCTTCGACGGGTCATCGAGCAGTACACGAAGAATGTACGGTTCTGCATAATATGCAATTACGTGAATAAGATTGCTCCGGCTATCCAAAGTCGATGTACGAGGTTTCGCTTCTCCCCTTTGCCAATGAAAGAGGTGGAGAAGAGGCTTGATACCGTTGTAGAGGCGGAGAAGTGAGTTGCGCGTGGATTATACCTGTCACCACCACTGATATTGGCTCAGGGTGAATTTGACGGCGGATGGAAAGGAAGCACTGTTGAAACTCTCAAAGGGCGATATGCGACGCGCTTTGAACGTCCTCCAGGCGTGTCACGCAGCCTACGATGTGACGAACGAGACAGCTGTATACAATTGCACAGGAAGTCCACATCCATCTGACATTGAAACTATCATCAATGCAATGCTGTCCGAGGAGTTTACAACAGCTTACACTAGTACGCTCAGTGTCAATTGCGTGGAATCCTGACAATTAATCCTCCCTCAGTGCTGTCTTCCATCAAAACGGAAAAGGGGCTGGCTCTTCAAGACCTGCTGGCCGGCGCGTACGAATACGTCGAAACGCTTGAATTAAAGCCTCAAGCCCGTGTCTACCTGCTAGATCATCTTGCGACAACTGAGTAATATTGTTACGCTTCTATCTTGTCAACGGGGCTAACTTTGTTCGTAGGCATCGACTGTCCACAGGAGGCAATGAAAAGATACAGATGACTTCGTTGTTAGGAGCCTTCAAGAATGCTGTGGAGTTAACGGCGTAATTGTTTGAGCAGCTGGGTATTAGGTCTATGATTTATGATGGCGTCCCAGGAGTGACTTTAAGTATACTCTCACACAACCAGCTGCATCGAATGGACTTCAAAGAAAGCGACTTCAACGAAAGCTAGTAATACATCGCGTGCGACTAGAGATGCTACCACAACAAAAGTAAGATAGCAGCGAAAGAGACTGTCACCAATGTAGCTAGCGGCGATGACAACGTCGAGGTCGCAGATGATGATGCATTCAGCGGCGCGACGGTAGAGTTTCCGCGGAAGAACTGGTCGGACTGATCTGGCCACAGGACCACCAACGCCGCCCCAGGTCCCGGTACCTCAATCGTGCACCCTCCCCCACAATCTACCCTGATCGTCTCTTGCTCTCCGTCCAGAATCCCATTCTCCCTGACCGTCTGCCCCGCCCACGTAATCTCGTACTCCTCCCTCACATCTGGCGCCGTCAGTACGCGATACTCCACGAAGTCCCCGCTCGTGTCCGCGGGGATGGTGAAGTTGCGCGACGCTGTGTTCTCGTAGTTGATGAGCGCGAGCTTGCCGCGTGACGTGCCGCCGTCGTCGTAGATGCCGTACGTCGCGACGGTGGAGTTGGGATTCGTGTTGGAGCCGTCGAGCCCAAGGTCGACGATGACCGAGCCGTAGACGGACGTTACTTCTGAGAGGAAGAGCGCGGAGTAGTACGGCGACCCTGTGCGCCAGTTGATGTCCATCGGCGTTTCGGGCGTAGGTGGGTCGAACAGGTTGTATCGGATGTCGTGTTCGCGGGTGTGCACTGTAGGACGTCGTCAGACGGTATCAAACACAGCGAATGACGAAACGTACGGAAAATGGCACTGTAATTGGAGGCTCCCGCCTTCAGCCCAGCGTCGATGGCCCAAAGCGTGGCGGCGAACTATAACCAGGTTGAGTACAGGTATACACACGTGGAATAAGGAAGCGACGTACTGTGGAAGAGATATTCGACCCGCCACATGCGACGGTGTTGTATTCGGACAGCAAGACCGGTATCCCGAGTGCTTTAGCGCGATCGACGCCGACCTTGTCCCAATGGACGTATTCAGCGACTACACATACAGAATGAATGTCAATATGAGGGATGTCATGAAAACGCCGGTAAAAGATCACTGACCGTTGTTGTGCGTCAGATAGTAGGAGATGTTCGTGTTCTTCTCATTGAAGCCGGAGCAAGCGTGATTAGGATATTGCTGTAAGCTGAGGAGTAGTTCCTGATGAGGATCAGGGCAGAGCGGAAGGGGGCTTGGAACGTACGTATAATATTTAAAAGGGTATTGAGTGTAACCAGCGTCCATGACATCTTCCAGGCCCCTGCAGCAGGTAAGTAGACTGCTAAGTGAGAACAGACACCGACGTACCAACCACAGCAAATTGTTGGGCCACCGATGTGTTTTTCCTTGAGGAGCCCGTCTGATTCCATTAAACTGATCATTTCCCCGATCTCGGGAATCTAAGGGAGTCTGGTCACCATGCTCGCCATCTTGAAAATGAGGGTATACTCACATACATATCTAAAGTATAGTTGTCTCGTTTCCCGTGACCGGCGTACAAATCGGGTTCCTGGTCCTATGAGACACGCGACCTTAGATGCAGGAGCACAGACTCACGTTTCCGAGAAGTAAAGCGTCTAATCGGCTCCCCAGAATCTCCTCGGCGTCCTTTGCCAATGCAACGCCATTCGAGAAATTATCGGGGTCTCGCATGCTCACCCCTACGATGAACTGCATCGGCCCCACCTTTTCGTACATCCCGTTCATCACCTCGAACAGCACCGGCCCAAAGTCCGTCGGGATGTCGTTGAAGTACGCCTCGGGATCAGTGAGTTCCAGCATTTTGTCTTTAAGGTCGGGCTTGTAGATCGAGGCGTCCATCCCGTTGCCGCCTACGCGGATTCGGAGTGGGCTCGTCATGCGCGCGCGGATATTGCCCAGGTAATTCTGCATCGCTGTTGGGATCGAATCCCCGCGATGACCCCCTAATTGTGTGGGCGATTAGTGCTTGCAGGAAAGGGATCCGCGAATTAGAACCCACAGAGCGTGTCGAATGAGCTCAGTTCGAAGGAGATGCCGATGAAGTTGTCGTCCACGACATTGGTTTGCTCGCGGGTCGGCTGTTCCGGGAACGAGATATTAACGGGTGGTTTTGCTGCGGTAACAAGTGCAGCTGAAAGAGCGACTAGAAGGAGAAGAAATGTCCGGGGCATCGTGCCTGCCAGAAAAGAGGGAACCGTGGGGGTGCGAGAACGGCGATGTGGTGATGGTTTTATACTCGCAGCCGTGCTCGGCGCTGCATCGGCATGGGCAGCTTGGGTACGGTTGGCATCAGATGCGCGCAAGACTTCTTCCCTTGAATGAGAGTGGTGATGAACGAGTGACTGGGATTGTTGCGGCATGGCAAAATCCTGAGCGCAAACTCAAGATGAGAGGAAAGAAGAAAGATTACTTTTCAGTTTTTACGACATTTGCCCAGTGACGGCGCCCACCTACGGCGACTGGCTCGGCGTTGCGCAGTTTTGCTCTCTAAAAGCCAAGCCTTTTCGCGTGACATAATTGAATTCTTAAACGCACAAAAAATGCCTTGTCCATCTTGAGAAGTGGAGCTCACTCGATGCACGGTTCGAACCCAAGCAAGGACCACTACTTAAGTACCAGGCACAGAACAGTCCCAAGACATTAGTTTTTGAGTGCATGTTTTTCATGTTGATCGACTCCTCTTGCGAAGAACCTTCATAGTTAGACGCGTAAAACACATGTGCATAACGAAGCGAAACGGGTCACCGATTAGCGACCCACGACCTTACAATTGCATATTTGAATATCCATAATCCATTGAAGCAGAAATACGGCGTGAGTAACAAGAAAACTTAATGGGTAGAAATATCCGGATGGCCAGCGAGAATCTTCGTGATGGTAGCCGAGCGTAATGGAGTATCAGCAAACAAAGCTCGAACGAGTCGCACTAATTCTTCAATATCGAAATCCACTAGGGCACCCTCTTCGAAAAGATATGTAATATCCGCCATGGAAGCCTCCTGTAGTATCTCGTGAGACAAGGGGAAGATAGATCACAGGAAATGGAAGGGCTTACCAGAAGTTCTGAGAGGTAAGAGAATTTCAGCCAGGAAGGGACATACGCGGCAGTGAAAGGATGCTTATAATAAATCAGATCCGTAAATTATAGATGCCTCGCTGAGTAACTGTCTCGCTTACCTCGGCTTGGTCCTCAACGAATAGTCCTTCGAGGGAGTTAGGTATCCTACAAAGTTCACTCAGCCGATGGGATTCCACTTCGGTGATATCGGGCAAGGCCAAAATATCTTTCAGGACCTGGGATAGAGCTGCGTCAACGAGTCGACCTATCGCACTGTAATATTTGGTTTTGGACAGAACATTCTAGGTGGAATACATCAGCGGATGGCGAACTTAAAATAAGGAGATCAGTACCTTCCAGCCTGCAGCGAGTCTGCGGATAAGGGAAACAACCTGCATCAGCGCCCCTTCACATTCATCGTATCTGTCCTGGTCCGTTGTCTGGACGAAGCCGTCAGCACCAGAGACCAAGGTGTCTTCGACAGCTTGGCAATGCTTCGCCTGTTGACCGAAGTCAGAAAATCACGATGGAAGTGAAAGTTATACCCTTACAATAGTATCGCTGTACCAACTATCGCCCAAAACTTTCAGGCAGTTCCTCGATCTCCCCAGGCTCTCATTGACGCTGTCGTCCAAAACCGCGAGTTTCTCGACTTCCTGACCAAGATACGAACAGTCATTGGAGAACTGCATGGCACGCGAAGGGTGGGTCTCTAAATCTTGTTGGAACACAATAGGATAGAGGGCGCGGAATAGATCCAGTGTCTCAGGGGCTACTTGAAGAAGCAAGCTGCTCGTTGAAGAACTCGACGATATCAGAGGCATGTGTGTCGAGGCGCTGATGAATTCATGACCTTCACGAAGAATATCTTCCACCATGGACAACACGGATCGCATCCGCTGAGTAACGGTGTAAATTTCCTTAGGTGCAACGGTGACGAGATTAGGCGGCCGCTTGTCGGACAAAGAGGATGGATCTGGGGACTTGTTAGGCATCGCGGTTTTCAGCGGCGATGATTCAGGGAGAGTACTTGAAGAAGAGTAGTCCGATATGATACCCAGGGGGGAAGAAACCAGGGGGGAAGAGACCGCAGGCGAGGCTAAGTGACTTGCGTGCTTCAGTTTTTGTTTGGAGAATTTCTCGAGGCGAGTGGCGACTTTGGGGGACGACGTAGAGGGCGTTGAATGTGGTACTTTGAGAACTGGAGGGCTGGGGGGAATCGGCTCAGAAAGTTTTGGTTCTGAGGCAGACGCCGAGTCGTCCGTCCATGGATCATCCCAGACACTATCGTCCGTCGGCGGGGACCCGTCGTCGTCGTCGTTCCACCCCCAAGCATCAGATGGATCAGGTTCGGGATCCTTAGGTCCGGACTTGTCAATGGAGCTACCTTGACTTGGCAGCGAGTAGTCGCTGTCTATACTTGGGCTCGCGTCAGGTTCTATATCAGTGCTCAAGTCTGCGGTAGGTTCGTCGTCGAGTCCCCAGCCGCTTTCGTCAATACCATCATCATTGTGTTCAACGTCTTCATCAAGACCCCATGACGCTCCGTCATCACCAACGTCGGTGATATCGTCGACGGCAGTGGTGGTCGTACGATTGTCGGTACTTTCAGGTAACGGAGATGTAACATCTTGAACCAGGACGACATTTGTGGGGCCGCTGTTGAGTGGGGCGTCGATTTCGACGTTGAATGTATCATTCCAGTCCACCTGAGACGTGATCACATTCCTTGTGAGATCAAGAAGGATACTTCTCCTTTGTCTCTCGTAATGTCCCCGGAGTCCGTTTGACCACAACCGTATAGGCCTTTCCGAGGCATCAGTCTCGAGCAACCGCCCCTCGAAGTCTATGCACCGTTGCACGAGTTCGAGATATGATGGTAGAGGGCTAAACGATGTCGGCAAGTTTGGAACTAATAAGTCATTCAGAACGCTGCTGGTCATGGCTTTGTTTAAGCTCTTCGTAAACGGCGCCTTCCGTTCCTCGGGCAACGCAAGGAATAAATGTGCAGAAAGGAACTCCAGTACGGCAGACAGGGATTCAAGCCGTTGGCCGGGCGAGGAAGTACTCGGCGGCGTAGGAAACAGTGTAATCTTGTGTTGTGAATTTCCTGAGAAATCAGAGGTGGAGGAGGAAGTGACGGACGTTGGCTGGCTGAGGACAATTTGAATGAAGTGGTGGGTGAGATCCCGGCGTAACGTATCCAAGAGGCTTGAGAGAGAAGCCGAGTCGATGGAGGACAAGATGGAGGGGAGCTGAAGGATAGTGGTGGATTGTCGAACTACAAACAAAGAAGTCAAGAAGGCTACAGAAAGATGTCAAATGTAGAGCCAACCTTGCACAGAGGATGAGATTATCATTTCTTCCGCGGTCACAGTGATACTCCTCGAGTATGCCTCCGCAAGCTGCTCTCTGGTTCGGTCTTTGAGCACCCTGAAGTTGGACTGTGTGGCAGATGAATGATTATCGCTGATTGCAGTAGTCATTCACGTTCCAACTTACCTTCAACTGGCCATAGATGATACTCCTCTGTAGAGCGTCGGGGGCCTGTTCTAGGTCATATTCCAGTATTCCACAAGTGTGAGCCGCTTCGCATAGCTCCCCTGACTTTACTAAGCCTTCGAGAAGCGTGAAACGTTTCTTGAGCTGCAGTAGGTGCGAAAGAGCCGATAAAGATGTTGATGCGTTGGCAAACTCCTTCGCGAGCTCAGAATGCGACGTGAGTGTTTGTATCAGAGTCGGCAGTAGACCCGTCTGTATATTGGATTGTCAATTTCCTGAAGCCATTGAGCAGACAAACTCACATTTGAATCATTAACCGTCCTCCCTAACGCGTCGACATTCGAGCGCAGCGATTCAAGGCGTGACTGAATTGACTTGGACGAAGCTATATGTTTCTCAACTGTTGGCAAGTCCTCGCGTATTCGTTCATGGATCCTTTTCTACGCAGAATCGCTTGAGCTACCAGGCACAGCCAGACAAAGAAGCTCCTACCTACTTGTGTCGATTGAATGGCCGCGTCCAATTCTGAGACCCACGAAGCAGCCAACGCCGGGGTCAAGGAGGCAACATTAGCCAGGTCGACTTTCGTCAATATTTCGGTGGCAACATCCCTGTGGGCAGGCTTGCGGGGGAGATGGGTGGGGATGGGGAAGGCCATTTGGCTTGCAGGTCAGGTTCCGCGCTCGTGTCACGCTGTTGGCTGTGAGACACGTGGACTCGGAGACGGCATTGGCCTGCCGATCCTATTTTAGAGCTCCGCTTTGCCTAATATGGACATAGCGTCGGGTTTACAGAAAGCCATAAAGACTCGGACACCGAAAAAAAACAAGCGCCGCGACTCTGTCGTGACAGGTGATGCATGATGTGTGACTGACACAGAACGTCACAGTGAACGACGACGGTAACAATGTTAGGCCGCATTTTCCTTGTCCTTGCAGTGCTTCTGGTCCTTCATGGTGAGTCCTTCATCCCTCAATTTCACAGTCAAATCAGATAACTGACCACTCTTCAGCTGCCTTCTCATCGTATGAATGTCAGTGATTCAGACCACTGAGGTGCAAGCCATGCAACTGATACCTTTGGCGCAGACCTATCGCACTTGAAGAACTCAGGACGACTGGAGGGATCACTACCATTCGATGTACGCACAGACGTTTCATGACCGTCGGCAGTATCTCACAGAAATGCTTCGTAGATCATGCTAGAGGCGTACGCTGCGCTGTTCGTTGGAATACTTGGTGCTTCACTCAGTGCACCTACTTTGAAACAAATCACCTGGGCTAGTGAGATGCAAACCCGGTACGTCGCGTTGTTATATAACATGGAGCAACGTCCCAATTACATGATAATTCTCAAGTTCAATCGACGAGATGGACGCGCGAGCAGGATTCGCAAATTATCTCAACCGAGGAAAGTCAATATTCAAAGTATCTCAATAGCACAGTCGAAGTACGTAGTTAACGATGATATACTCGCCCAAGCAGCTATGAACTACCTTTCTTCGCCTGATACGTTTTCAACCTGCAAAACTTGAGCGAGTGCGAAGGTCAGCAAGAGGGAGGACACTCACCGCTTGTAATCCCTCTCTGCTCGCGCTTCAGCAGTCATCGTACTTCCCTCACCCTCGCCACCCCCGCCTCCACCGCCAGCTTTCTTCTTCTCCTTACGTTTCCTTCGTTTCGCATCTTTCTCAGCAGCCTCGTCCATAGCCAGAAAGTCCTTGATAGAAGGTAAAGCAGAAGATTCCAAAGGCTGCAGTCGCATTGGAGCCCCCTCTACCTCCGCCTCTACCTCCGCCTCTCCTTGTTGTCCAAGAGGAGCAGCATCCGCGATCGGCAATGGTGGCGGCCGCGAATCCTGTGGAAGGGCGGAGGATTCGCCGTCCTCTGATACGAACCAACCACCAGGTCGCACAGGGGCGGGCGGTTCCTCGCCTGGAGGCGGGGAAGCATGGTGCTCGCCTTCTTCATCGTCGTCACCTAGGTCAATGCCTTCGTACTCACCCACACCCTCGAAGATGTCAAAATCATCTGGGGCAAGCTCTTCCTGTGGAGCTACTGCGACATTAAGAGCGGGGGGCTGAGATGGAGTAGTCGATTCGAGGCTCTTTGTGCTTTCAGAGTTAGCAGATTGCGCTGTGGGTGTGGAAGTTGTGAGGTCCTCGTTGCGCTGCTCAACCTTTCTCTTCTTCTTTTTCCGCTCTCCGTCCTTGCCATCTTTGGTAGCCTTCTTCCTCTTCGCTTTCTCCTCCGCCTCACCTATTGGCTTGAATCCGATAGGTTTGAACTTGCCTGCTTTCTTCGCTTGTTCGAGTTTCTTCACCTCGTCGGCAGGAGTAATTACTTTTTCCTGACCGCTAGACGCCTCACGCTTCTCCTTGAGCTCGCGAAGTAAGTCTGCTCTCGTACGTTTCTTGGAGCCGTCAGAATTTTGCGCGGCGTCGGCAGTGTGCCCTATCGTAGATGCCTCGGCAAAAGCAACCTCTAGAGAGTCGTCGTCCTCGGTCGAGAGCGTCGCACGAGCTTTATTTTGTTCGAGCAGAGCAAAATCGAGACCCTTCACAAGAATGGAATGGTCGCCATCACCACCGAGGTACTTCCGCTGTTCTTCGACCTCATAGACTTGGCATTAGGCAAGGGTATCGAACACGATATACTTATACTTACATCATCTTTATCTGCATCAGCGTTTCGACGTTCGAAGTCTTCGAGAAGGGCCTCAACCTGACATGGGCATTACGGGTCGGTCAACCTATCACCGAGCGTACTGTTCACACACCTGAGCGTAATCGTTGCCCTTTCCTCCCCTCCGCTCGGAAGCTCTATCCCTGTACTCCGCATTGGATGCTTTCTTCACCTTCCGCGGTTGGAATGCAGGTTGCGAGGCGTCGACTGTTTTACTGAACTTGCATCAGTAGATGTCGTAGTACAACACCCGTACCACTTTACTGTTTAGAGATTGATTTTGGTCGTACGCCAGGCCTTGCAGCGTCGCCGCTCTTGCGAGAGGTTTCTAGTAATCGCCTAAAGGATTCCTTGGTCAACATTGCTCAGCTGCACTCCAACTGTGCGAGCGAATAGCACTCACTTGGTCCATTTTGACACCCAAACCTGAAAGTCAAGGCAAAATGGATTGAAGATCGAAATATTGCGACCAACGAACGTTCAATATTTCAATAATAACAATGATGACTGTGGGAATATTGATGCCGATTTAGGCTCATGACTCAGGGGACTCAGAGCACTTGGGACTCACTTGGCCGCTGCGATTACAAGAGAAACAACGGAAGACTGAGTAAAAAAACGACAGAGCAAGCTACGGAAACACCACAGCTGGAAGTACCCCCGACCGAGCCATTAGGCGGCGACGGACTCCGGAACATCATCTACTAGCCTCTCCTCCGCCTCATCCCCTCGCTTCTCCATGTCGTAGTGGTTGTAGTAGAAGCGTCTCTCAGCTGGTTGCTCGTTACGCTTTTGAGCTTCGTAGTTGTTGTAGTAGAAACGTCTCTCGGGCTGCTCACCACGCTTTTCCAGTTCGTAGTTATTGCAGTTAAAACGCTTTTCCTGAACAGCCCGAGCATCGGCTATGAGAAGTAGACATTAGATCGTCCCTTGGACGCGTTAACACTGGTATTTGGGGACTCACTCTAATCGACGGGTGCCGCGGTGACGAACAGGCCACAAACGAGAATGGAGAAGAGGACGAGTTGGTTGGATAGCATAGCTGCTGATTGGCGACCTGAAGCTGGACTCGGAGAGCCGTTGCCCTTCAGCTTTTATACCGTATTTCTTGGGTGGGCATCAATCGTATCACGGTATGCCCCAATGCTAGCACTCCAATCGAGCGTCGAGCCCGAAGAGAAGGAAGAGAAGGATAGTTTAAAGCGCCACTTTTACTTTCGTATCATGGTCGGTCGTCGAGAAGTGGTTAATGTCCATCCCAATGACAACTGCCCTCCCATTCGAGAGGTCTAGAAGGTCTTGACCCTTTGGAGATGGTTCTCCTGCGAGCGTTCTCGGGAAGTTCTGGCTCAAATCCAACGGTCTTTCAAACATAGTCCTACGGACAACACATTACCATTACTAGTCAACGCAGGCGAGCAGGATACATACAGGGCAGATGCAACTAGTACCATAAAGACGTCAATTCCAAACGACGATGTAGTCGGGTCCGGAGGACGCTGCCAGTGGGTTTCTTCTCTGGTAAGAGATGAACTGATTTCGCACTTAAACAAAGTGCTTAGTACCACTACTCACTTGGATTTGGTCTTGCATGCGTAGCTGATGCATCGCGTCGTTGAAGTCTGTGCAAGCCTCGTCCGTCGCATCGCATCAGTCAAAGAGAATAGCATGACTTTCTGGAGCTAATGACCGACAAAAGACACTCAGGGGTCATTGAACTCACTACTCAGAGAACTCGTGGCTCAGGCCCATACGACAGTCCAGTCGGCGGTCAATAGATCTCAGATTGTTACTGCGACGACGCGGACATTAACGAAGAATGGAAATCAAGTACAGAGCATGTCAAGGACCCCAACGCCAACAAGACACCCCTGAAGGACTTAGGCAGCTACACCATCTTCGGTTTCCTCTCCTCGCTTCTCCATGTCGTAGTTTGTATAGTAGAAGCGCTTCTCTGGCGACTCTGCGTCTCGTTTCTCTACATCGTAGTGAGTGTAGTAGAAACGCTTTTCTGCGGAGGCATCGCGTTTCTCTGGAACGTAGTGGACGTAGTAGAAGCGTTTCTCCGGGGCATCGCCACGTTTCTCTACATCGTAGTGAGTGTAGTAGAAGCGTTTTTCGGGGGAGGCGTCGCGTTTCTCTACATCGTAGTTGTTGTAGTAGAAACGTTTTTCGGGGGAGGCGTCGCGTTTCTCTACATCGTAGTTGTTGTAGTAGAACCTCTTCTCAGGCGCTTCCCGAGCAGCGGCTGGAAATACAGAATATCAGGAACATTGTCAACAAGCATAGCTGAAGCTACGCGAACTACCTTGGTCAACAGGCGCAGCAGCGACGAACAGACCGCCGATGAGAACAGTAAAGAGGACGATTTGTTTGGAGAGCATGGCGGATTATCTCAACGGTGACTTGAGGACGGGGTGTGGCATTGCGCTCAGTGCAGCTTTTATAGCATATTACTAGCATTCAATACCAAGCCGTAAGTCCCGATGCGAATATTCCAACCGAGTAGTAGACCATCCGAAAAGATGCTATTACATGACACGGCGCCACTCTTCTCTATTCTTATCTTTATTCTATTCGTTCCGGGTCCAAAGATGAACGACGAGGGGTCATATGTGTCAATCTCATATTGGCATGTAACTTACAACATTACTCTTTTAGGCTCAGGCTGCATGGTAATCCACTAGTAGATAACTTTCCCGCACGCATTCAATTAGGCTCGATTCGCGGAGTGTCCCAGTCCAAGAGTAAAGTGAAAACCGAAATCACAGTAGCAGTAACAAGTCGATAATTAAAATCTATTATGGCCGTTGCCGTGGCCATGATCCGCATGAGGCATGACACTCTCCAAGCCGTCTGCATCCGGAGTCCTGGATCGCGCCCAGTCCCTGAGGCCATCAAAGTCACGGCACATCCTCGTCTGGTCGAATCGGGGAAGTGGCTTTGGTGTGTGCTCTGGCGAGGAAGCCTCCGGCATGTACCAGGAAATTACGCTGATATCGGCCGAACACATGAGGGATTGGCGAATCATGTCGATGCAATGGGAGACGTGCTCGGCATCCGATACGTGTGGAAGGTCTTTGGAAGCTCTGCGTTTTCCGCGCAAGGAGTGCTTGCTGTGGGAGTTCCCATAGCGTTCTGGCTCAATGGCCATTCGAACATAATCCTGAGGGCAACGCAAATTAGTCAAGATGAGACAAAGTAGGTGAGCAGAGTATACCAAGCAGTGCAACTGGTGAAATACATCAAGCCCGCCATAAAGTCGGGACATGTTGCCGAACGATGGCACGGTGGGATCCGGAAGATGCTTGTTCTCTTCTTCGGTGAGGGATGAAATTGCGTCTGACAAAGGGTTAGTAAGATTTCACCTCGCCCACTAGGATAAAGCCCACATGTGTAAATGTCGTATAAGTCTGTCCAAGCCTTGTCCATTGCGTCGGTTGAAGGCCCATCGAAGACGGAAGGCTCTTCATCGTCGAAGAAACCAGTGTGGAATTTCTGGAGCTTGTATCTAACAAGATGCTCGACAGGCGCTATAGCGGTGACAGAACGTCGTCAGTTAGCTGTACTCAGAGGCAAATGGCAGACAAACAGTACAACAGCTCTTGGAAGATCTTGGGGGGTTCTATCGATGGTGCTGGCGGTGTCAATAGTATGTGGAGGGTCGCAAAGCACGAGAAGGAGAGCAAGATGATCCCAGCAAAGTACAGTATAAGGCGGAGGGGAGATAGGTCGTTGCCAAAAGACTCCTCCGCCTCCTCAGTTCCGTTGTCTTTGCCTGGTGGATAGAGGAGTGGTTCTTGCTGCTCGAGCTCAACGTACTCGCCGACGTCAGAGTCCTTAGTGTGACTGTAGTAGGTGCTTGTCATTTCAGCTCGGAAAATGGTGTGCTCGTGGATTGTGGGTGGTGAGCGAGTACTGACGCGTCGACGCCTGAGATTGAGATTGGGAGAGTCCCGAATAGCTGAGCTTGAACTTGGCACCTGTGCGATTGACCATAACGTTATGTGACCAATACGGGAAAGAACTCAGGAACCGAATAAAGCGCGCTTGCGATCAATCGATCACAATCGGCGATTGAAATTCGATCGGGCGAAAGTCTGTGGAAGCGGCAAAGTCACCACGCATGCACTTTGGAAGCGGCCGAACAGGCCGGAAATTACCCAGCTAACTATACGCTAATTCGACCTACTTTGACGGTTGCCCTTATCGCTCCCACAACCTGTCACTTAATACCAGTCTATACCCACAATCGCCGTCACGCATCAACCAGGGACCCCGTCCAGGGGAATAAGACGGTTCACTCGTTCGTTGTTTGCATGACAACCTATTTTATAGCGTTGTTGACTTCAATTTGACATCGAACTTTACTCTACATAGCTCACGCTAATTCGAGGGCTCAATCTTTCCAGACGGCCGTAGTTCGGGCAAAAGCCCATTCTCGAAGCTTCCCAAAGTTCCTGCATGTGTGAAGCTGATCAAAACGAGGGAATGGTCGCCTTTCTTTGCGTGGGTTGTAGAATAAGTTGATGCTAATGTCCGAGGAACACATGAGCGATTGTCGGACGCTGTTGATGCAGTGACGGAGATGTTCTGGTTCCGAGATGTTGGGATGTGCCATGCTCCCGCTGCGCTTCAAGTGCATAGTATGGTGATGCCCAGATGGGTATCGCTCTGGATATGCTGCCATGCGCACCATGTCCTGTACATGAGTCAGCTCCAACATCCACAGACTGACGATAAGGCTGCTCCTTACCAAACAGTGAAGCTGGTGGAACACATCTAGGCCTCCGATGTAGACATTAGATCCTGGGGCACGAATGGTCGGTTCTTTCAGTTGGTTTGCTTCCTCTGGAAGGAGGTAGGATACACCGCCTGTTGGATGACTAGTGAGGACCATTGAATACCAATCGTTGAAGGAACGAACTGACGCTCATAAAGGTCCCTCCATGCTTCGTCCATTGCATCGGTCGGAGGTCCTTGGAATACGGTGGGTTCTTCGTCCATGAAGCCTGTATTGAACCGTTTGATCTCATACTCAACGATGTCCTGAACGGGCGCTATGCTATATGTGAGTGGCTTCCTGTTCGAGATTCATAAGCCTGACTTACAGTATATGAGAGCATCCGTCTTCTCCAGTGCACGGACAATAAGCATGATGAGTAGAAGGATGTTAGCCATGCAAAGGACGCGTAAGATGAGCCATGCGTAGCGAGCAATCCTAGCCCTTCGTTGCCTTGACAGGAGTACTTTGAAAGGTGGTAGGGCCGCTTCAGTGATACAGTTGGGCATCGACATGGGGGCAAGGTAGAATTGTAGAGTGAGCGGCGAGCTCTGGCTCGGGGTCGACCATCCTGCAAGATCACGGCTTGATCATCTATGTCGGAGTCAATAGTCAATAGTCAATCCGCTTCCACTACTCGGTTTCCCACTAGTTTGCACCGCACGTAATTATCTCCCGAATCGGACACTGAAACTTCCCGCTGGATATTCCTTCGCCGTCTGCAGTGGTGTAAGTAACCAGGATGGAATTCGCCGATCGATCAAACCTTTCGAAAGCCACACTCCGAAAGGTTATCAGTTCGGAGTCTAATCAGTATTCGGCCCCATTTCCTTCGTGGGAGGAGCACTAGTTGGAGATGGGGCGGACGGCCATGATGCAAGAGGATACTGCGTGGGGCTGTCTCGGGTAGTCACAAGCTCATGCAGTCACAATGAGGCATACTGGCCATTCATAAGTAACCCATAAGGCTAGTGACGCCTTTAGTGACATTGCGGGTTATACTGATGGTCCCATCATGTCACCGGTTAACTAGAGGAGAGATTAAGTATTTGAGCTTTCTCAACAAATCGCAGGACTGGCACATCTAGCCGAGACGCCCAATAATCAAGGCCCTGAGTGTATGATGTATACGTAGCACAGCAACAATTGTGATTTCGATTTCGAGATCTGAAGAGGTATATTCATTGGTAGAGTACTGCGACGGGGGCTCTATCTCCACATTTAGTGGTTCTCGCTGTTGTTCAAGCAGCAGGTCCAGCAGTGATCCTCTGTATCCATACTCTCAGAGTGCCAACCCTCGGGGCAGGCAGGCTCTGTTTCCCAGCAGACCAGCCAGCAAAGGGAAGGGTGTTTCGGGTCATCGATCCCCTTGAGAAGCGACTGGGACACGCGAGTGTTCTGGTTCTGGTAATAACCGCCGCAAGAGGGCATGGCGGCGACGACCGTGGCGAGAGCGACGAAGGCAGTGATAAACTTCATTGTTCTACACAAAAGGTCAACGGTTAGCTTGGATCATAGTACGGTTGGTGGGCCGACTTACATGATAAGGAGGCGACAGAGGCGATGAAAGCAACGAAAGCTAGTGAAGACTCGTTTGATTTGTCTAGGAAACGGTTGTAAGTCAGCATGAGCGAGCGGGAGTGGCTGGGAAGGACTGACTTGCGAAGCGAGAGCGAATGCTGGGGAATCACGCAACAAAACGCCTGACCTTTATATCAATCCGAACTAAAGGGGAGGTCGTACGTGATGCAGAGGAGGTGTTGGAGTTGGGGCCCCAGTTCTTCGACATCCGAAAGAGCCAGCCCCATTCTGAGGAGCGAACATGGCTTGTTGTGGAATATGCGATTCTAGATTAATGCGTTAACTCAATTGATTATCGAATGGATGCAAACCTCGAGTGGCGCCGCCTGATTCAAGATGCGAATAAGCAATGCGGGACGTAAGTGTCCCTAGTTCTATCAAAAGTGGGGAGACGGATCTCTGGATGTGGCTCAGATGATCGCCTCTTTTTGCGGGGCGTTATATCGCCGTTCTCACTCTTGCTTGTTCGGTGGCGTATGTGGAATCGTGTTCGTTCTAGAAGGTGGACCACAAGGTGACGATGATGGATGGACTTTGGTTTGGGGATGGAGTTTGGATAGCAAAACAAAGTCCAACTCCGCAGCCGGTCTTCTTCGTGGCATAGCATATGCAAATAAAGCGGCGCAAGGTTGGGTTACGCCTTATAAAGGTTCACCAGAGGTACGCCTGAGTCCCCAGGTTTCTCTGCAGAACTACCTGGTAAGCTGGGAGCGTTCATAGCACCTACTAAACCACTCACCTTGTTCCGCGTTCAGTGCTCTCAACAACCAATCAGTTTCTCTCAAACACCATCCCAAATCAAACCTCGGTTAGCACATGCTCTGAACAGTATATCCCGGACTCACTAAACCCTCCACAGTATCCACAATGAAGTCTTTCTTCGTCGCCATCTGCGCTGCTGCCACCTTGGCCGCTGCCAACTGCGGGTCCATGCGCTTCCAGAAGCCGAACGTTCAGTACGACGCCGCGTACTTCACCTCCTTGGAGAAGTCCGTCCCCGCCCTCGACTTGTGCTTGAGGATGTGTGCGGACAAGATCCCTACGTGCCCCGAGCACTGGTACAGCAACAACTTGGGCACTGCCGACAAGCCGTGCTGGACCTGCTGCCAGGCTCCCAAGTACAACTAATACTCGGCGGCACACGTCGATCGTCGGTGAATACGACAGACAGTCGTGAGGCATAGTAGTTGTGTATCCTTTGAAATCAAATATTTCGTTGTTTCGCTACCCCCTACGTTGAGTGATCAAAAGTAAACGGGGCCTTCAGAGCTAAGATATGACGGCTGTGCTCATTGAGGAGCAATCGAGGGCTCTGAAGAACGACAAGAGTCCCGTCCGGGTGTAGCACAAGAACAGAAGAAGCCGGCCTCGTTTCGTACGTCAAGACTCGCTGCGAGCCTTGCCAGAGGCGCTGACGGCTCGACGTTCGGAGACCGAGAATCAGAGCACTAAAGACCTCGTACATGTTTTGACTATATCACCTAGGCCAGAAATGTTAGTGCGAACTGCACAATTAGAAGCGACACAATTATCTTACCAACGTAGGAGCATAGGTTAGAATACCCCATTTCGAATGCCAGTAGTCGGATGCTCACTAGACCTCTTCCAGTAGCAAACACGATGAAATATGTCATCAGGACATGCATTAACGTCGTGCGAGCTCCGCACGATACCGTGCACATTACTTATGGTAGATGCCAGGCGACCCACTTGACCTATGCTTGAACAAGGTTTCATGTGTGCCCATTGATGCCACGAACACTACTTCACACAGGAGTAATATGAGTATGGGGAGCACAGTGGGGGTGTCGTATTCACCGCCAGCCTCCCGAATATGTTTGATGTGGGGTTGACAACCACGAAGCTCGAAGCTCGACCAAGCGTGAACTCTTGGAAAGTTTTTTCAGGCGAAATCTATCGCATTGAAATTGTCTCAAGCGAATAGGCCGACAGCTTACGAAGATGGTCATGACCTTCAGACGGCGCTGAATCGACGAGATGGTTGGGGAAGATATCAGAATGGTTCGGAGGAGCGTTTTCGCCGTCTAATTAATTTCTGGTCGTGCCAGTCCCTGGATATGTGATTCAGAGCGAATTAGATGTAGATGGGTCGAATCCGGACGGTAAAACGAGGGTGCGTACCCAATATTAGCATACGAATGGCAAAGGCCGAGGCGACATCCATCGAATACTTGGAAGACAAAAATTTCAGGTCGGCATCAACGTCGTCGATATATCAGTGGAACATGCATCAGTACGGCTCCAGGAAGAACTTGGTTTACGACTTCATCTGATGTTCCTTGGGCCTGGCACTTCACCGTCGCAGATAAATTAGCCACTGACCAATGAGTACTGGAGAGGTGAACACGGTTTCGAGAATATGAGCTCCGTATGAAGTTCCAAAATTTAACTTCGGTTCTCTCCTGGAGATCACCGAGGGCGGAAATGTGGGGAAGGGGATCTGAACAAGCCGATACAGTGAATCTACCTTGATGTCCGAGGCCATCGCCGTAACGGTCAATGGCCAACACGTCGGGACGAACGCCGTACACCCCCAGAGCTGTCACCATTTCGTCATCATGCCCGCGCGAAGGCGTTCTGGCGTCGGTGCTGTTCAGCCCTAAGAATAAGTCAAATATGAACATATTGGGCTCAACGAAGCACACTTACTGCATGACCCTTGCCGTCAGCTAATAGCTTTCCATGAAAGAAACAAATGCTGTAGGCCGCCGAATGACATTCAGGGATCAGCACCAATAATAGTTTTCATTGTCGTGTAGCAAAAGTCCCTCACCGAGTTTTACGGACCAGAACAGTGCGCGTCGAGGGGGGGGCCGAATAACTTCATTGGAGCACGGGAAAGAGCGTTGGCTTCGTGTTGTGGTCCAGCATTCCTCTGATGCTGGGAACGGCTGTCGATATCCCAGTGGAGTACCTCAGGTCCTGCCTCTGCCTTCACTCCGAACAAGTCAAGTGAGCACGGCGACGTAGCCAAGGTCATGGTCGCAATTCAACCTGAATCAACCGCTTTTTCTCTCTCCTCCATCGCTTGACCTAAGCCGATACTTAGCGTTGAAACGCTGTAGCAAAAACAAGCGATGTGGTAGTGCCCATGGCGGACCGTCCGACTTGTAATTGATTATCGAACGAAGTACCCCCCGGTCCCCGAGCGACGTTCTAGAGATCCACCCTGCTGGTCGCTCCGTTACGGTCAGCACTTCCTCTAACGAGCATGCAACTCAGGTCCACATACCGAGCTAGATCCCCACGCTGAGTCTGAGACTTTGAATCCTCGCCAAGTCCTATGCTCGCGCAACCGAGGGTCGGTAGTAATCACCTACTCTTACGAGGAGATCAGTATGGTCGGCGGCATGGTTATGAAGTTGATGATTGAGAGAGCGCTAGCGCTCATGCCTGGGTTGTGCGATGGATGTGGATGGCGTTACGACTTCCCACCCCTTGTATCTCTTCGCCCACACTACTATGTTCTTGGCCCCGCGCCATCTTTAAGCCAACGTCTCTTACAGTGGCGACGAGCTCAAATTGAACAGCACCAACATGTTAATCCGCTGTTCGAGGACAAGCGATTGGAACTCTCGTACTCGAGAAGGAAACGGCATGGGAATTCGGTACAATCTTCTTTCTGGGTGCTCACGAACCATCTCTCTGGATTGAATTCTTTTCAACTTGTGAGGAGGCTGACGCACTTCAATAGGTCGATAATACACCTCCAGCCTTTAGCCGTGCTACTTGACCCTCAGAGCCTCTGAGTCTCGCATTTGCGCTGGAAGAAGAGGAACTCATCTCTTAGTTGGCGCAAAGAATCGCCCTCAACGAAGCGTGGAAAATAGCGGAAAAGGTCACAGGTGAAGATTTTTCAGATTACTACGAGGTTGGCACTCCTTTCGAGATAAAATCGTGTAAGCGACTCATTATTTCTTGGGTGTCTATTACATCTAGATTCCCGACGAGGAGCTGGAGAAAGGCTCTCAACAGATGCAGAATATGCTGAAGAGATTCGTATCCGATTTTCTCAGGAGTCTGTACGCTCGCGGTGATAACACCCTGGAGAAAGCTGAAGCGATGGGTCGCCTTGATGCGAGGAAGCTCTACGACGACGTGCCATGCGCTAATGTCGAAGAAGAGGTGAAACAGCACTACGCGTCCGGGGTTGTTTCTCTCGACATCGGTCTGCCTGATGACATTATGTTGGATGTTTTCAAGAAGCCAGAGTAGGGCATCGAGCCGCCGTATGGGGTGTGTTGTAACTCTTGGAGGATTGAATCTTTCTATTATATCTAGGATCAACATATATATCCCTCTTCAACTGACTGAGAGATACCCTAGCACACATTCTCCCTCGACACGGTCACAAGTAGTTCAGTGACAGTCCATGCGCGCGGCTGCTTCGATCAGGGCGGCGAGGTAGGGCGACATTGTCTCCTTGCTGCACTTTGGGTTTTCCGCGATAAGTCCTCTATCCCTCAGTTTCCTCGTTTCAACCTAAATGTCCAAGGCGGAAGCTACTCGCCGCCTGCCATCTCTCTATCCACGTGTTTCTGTAGCCGTGATGGTCTCTTCATCGTCCCCGCCTCAGATACTATGCTGGCGCTTTCGTCACTGACAGCGAGCCGTTGTCACCGTTAAATTTGGACTTGTTGGGCCGCTAGCGAGGGTTTCTGTGTCCTGGCTCAGATTGAACGACACACCATTTTCTCCGAGTCGATCGCACTACTCGCATGGAAAGATGTGGAAAGATGTACGTTTGACGTTCAAACGTGTAAGGTTCTTCATATGACCATGTTTGACTGAGACCATCGCCTATGACGCTTGTCTAAGTTGGTGATTTGCGCGGGGGCATATGGCGTGCGCTTCAATATGTCAACCACAGCTCCTGCGAGTACCCTCTGCCAACCTCCCGGTAACCGGGGCTCTTCTCCAGTTGCCATACGTAGAGGAAAGGGACATTGCCCGGAAAATGCCCACAAAACCGCCGGAGTGGAGAGGAGGGTCTTTTGAATACGAGCTCGATTGGTAAGAACTTTCTGGCTCAACTCCCTACGACACTGATGAACTTACGATAGAGCTGACCTGCGCCGCCGCAACACTCCTCCTACCCACAGATGAAGAGGACATGACGGCAATATTCGCCCCAGTGCCAGTGAGGCCACGGATTGCTTTCTGCGGTATAAGTGACAAAATGCATCTCATGGCCACTGAATTCGGCAGGATGCTCGCAAGAAGTCGAGCACAAGATCGATCTGGCCATCAAAGATACGGGTATGTCGTATGAGTCCGCAACTGAGCACGCCAATTATTCAATCTGTTTAGGAAGAAATTCGGCATCGTTCACGATATCTTCCAGCCTGGCAATGCCTTGTGGGATATGACTGCCGAAGATCTGATTCTGATTCTTATTGACTGGGGAAGAGCCGAGGGAGTTGCAGGAGTTACAACCTCAATCGCTCGTTCGCTGGTGCGTCTCTGAGTACATTCCTTGCATTTGCATTGCAGAATTGAGACTGGATACACTACACTGAACGGTGAAACTTGTCCTCTCGTCAAAACGGTTGACCAGGACCTACACGGTAGTCACCTGCAGAGTTGGAGGTATCGGTTGGCTTGATTCTTCGGTGAAGAAAGATATGACAGCCTATACCGAATCCAGGAAAAGTGATCAACGATACCTTCATACTTCTCGGCGCCACGAGTAACATAGAATGAATCGTCCCGCTAGGACATGGGCAGACACACGACGAAGAGATCAAATGGCTAACGAACATCCACGAGCTCCTCGCATCGTCACCGCTCCATACAACCACACAATCCTCCAACAGCAATATCTGAGCAAGGGAAAGTACAAGGGTGCAAGGATTACCTTGAGCTCAACAAGATTCCTTTGTTCGTCAAAGAAGCGAAGTTCTACGTGTACGCGTTGTGGTTGCCTCTGTATGCTGTAATCGTTGACGCAGTGATTGGCAGCGACAAATACGAGGCCCTTTACCGCTCTCACGAAGACGATGCTGTCTGATCTCCCTGGTCCGTATTTCGTCTTCAATGGACCGCCGATATCGGTCATCGCGCCAAGCTGTATTCTCCCACTTGGAAGGTGGCGAGCAGATTCGTGTTCCCTTCTAGGCTGCACCCGCCTGTATTAATGTCGTGAAAGAGAAAATTGGCACCCTCCGGCGCGCAATGCATCGACAAGACTCTTTCCTGTGATTGGGGCATCGAGCAGTAACAGATCATTCCAGGAACTCCGCCGCTGCATAGCAGTAACCATGCGTACCTATCTGTTCAACGGACCGCTAGGAAGTTCCCCTCGACCGCATACCATCGTAGAAGTAAGCGGAGGCAAACAATAAACGTGCTCCTTCCTTTCTAGGCATGCTCTCCATGTACCTCAGTGCTCAAAACTCAGGACCTGATGACCTGAAGTCTCATCAGCCTCTTGCGGCATCAAGGTACCGCCGTCGAAATACTATTCAACACGAGGAACCGGAAGTGGACCATACCGACCGTTCCTGAAGTATGCCCGTATGGTAAACGGGAGTAGAGGAAAGTATACCAGCCATTTATATTCAGGCAACGTTGGAGCTACGTTGATAAGTATTGATCACTCGCCGTCTCATACCGACACCCCCTCTACTTTCAGTGGCGTTCCAGAGTTGTTTACGAGGATTTATCATCGCGCTGTTGACTTGCAGCGTTGTCGCAGCTCCCATCGCCACGCCGCCGAGCAATGGTGCTTCCGGGGCCAGTATGTTCGGAGGATGGGCGGAGGTGAGCGCATCCCCGAGCTGTCCCTAATCGCGACTGAGGAAGATTCCGTCGTCTTTTCTAGCAGCAGATTGTTTTGGAATCCCATGACGGTTCCAACATATGGTTTGCGGGTGGGTACTAAACCGCTGATCCCGAACATAAATCGTCTTCACATCTACGGTCATTAGATACACTTAAACTGGGGGGCATTGAGCGTACGTTGACGAAGGTCGACGACCAAGGCAATTCCGCGATCACATACAAAGTCAACGAAGGTTGGCCCGATCCAGCTACGCACGCAAATGTTGTAGCGTTCGCCAAGAAGGGAAAGAGTGCGTATATCATATCAAGTCCTCTGCCGTATCCAGAACTGACTCTCGTTGATGGAACATATCTACAGCACTCCTCGAGAAATTCGAGGAAGAAATCAAATGGCTGACCAGAATAGGCGACTTGTTGGCAAACGGGGTATATGAAAGCTATCATTGGATCGTCCTCCGGGGTGTGGTCGACAAGGTGGACCTTGCATCGACGCCCTGGTATTGGAACCATGGGCTGGCCGGCAACTACAACAACTGTATCAAAGAAATAGAACCCAAGCTGGATCTGGTAACCGCGGTGGTGAAGGACTACGTGTACGTCCAAATCCTGGACGTAGGGTTTGCGTTTTGTCGCTGTGGCTGACTTGTAGCGGCAGGGAGAAGTTCCAGGTTCTCCACCTAGATCTCCAACCTGGGAACATCCTTTGGGACAAGGAGGCTAAGTACCCCTCACTCATTGATTGGGGCAGAGCCAAAGAGGTTGCACACGTGAGTGTATATGCCCCCAGCATATCACGACAACCTGCTGACAACGATTGTGTATTAATAGTGGTCCGACGACATCCAGAAAGCCGTGAAGACGCAGCTGGAGTTCGCTCATTTCAAGGGTGAAACCAAGGTCTGCTTTCAGTAGGATTATACACGGCATGCGTGCAGAGTAAACGCGCCACGGTGTGGGGAGGATTGTTGCTAGCGAGCTTGTTGTAAAGTGGCGATACTGGCATCGCTTGCTTCCATAGTTGGTCTTCTAAATGTGTGAAGCATACTTCTAGATCAGTAATTGTTTGAAAACGCCCAACATTGCACCCACCTTAATTGATTGTGCCGCAAGAAAGTTATAACTAACGATATTTTCAATCGTTTCCCTCGAAAGAAGACTGTCCCACCAGGATACGGGATTCCATTACTCCAACGGCCTTCAACGGTTATCCCCTCCATACCTAGAATCGATACGGGAAACAAGCATAATAAGGGCTACGGCGGAGATTGTCACTATTCCGCACAGCTGTTCAACCTCACGATGCCTAGAGGCGGGGAGAAATCGGTGAGCTTGGTGGGCTAAGAAACTGGAAACAATGCCTTCGGTTATATCCTCGTAACTCTTGTATGAGCCGCGCTAGCCGGATGCGTGCGATGATCCAGACCTCTGACACAAGCTTGATCCAGATTGTTGACTGTTTCGAACTTCCAGGCCAGCAGGCAATCGGACCAGTGGCCATGCAGCGGACGATCACCTTGCAGCACCTATCCACGGGTCTGGCACCTCGTCAAGTCCAGCGCACTTGTTGCGCAATATATAGTCAACGGACTAGTCTAGTAGTACAGTTGTAACGATAATATGATCTCGAGAGCCATGGTGAAAGCAACGACGATGATAATGGGGGGCGTACATTGGGGATGGGGAGGAACATCGTAGGAAGAATGAGTCCGGGTAAAATAATTTTAAGAGCATCCTCCTGCTGTGCCTCTTCGTCTTCTTTGTCGTCGTCTTCGGGCAGAGGTGGTAGTTGTTGGATTACATCGTGATGTACATCGGGGGAAAGCAGTGGTTGAAATGGAAGAGAATGTGAGTCTGATGTTGGGGAGTTGATGATAATTTCGGGAGATTGGGCGATGGGAAGGGCTTGGGATGATTCCGAGATAGAGTTGGTTATATTATCCGTATCGGGCGTCGAGTAGGGTTCGGCGGTAAGGAAGGGGTCAGGCGGTTCCAAGTCACAGACACGAGGGGGAGTGGATTCCAGCCCCTCGCCCTTTGGGAAAGCTATTGAATCCAAGCCCTCCGTCGCTCCGTCTTGAGTCGCGTGAGCTGTCGTGCCCTCCGAGACGAAACTGTGGTCGTCTTGTTCTGGATGAATAGGAAGAATTTCCGGCGCGCTGCATTCTGATCCCTCCAGCTTGTGCGCGGCGCCTTCGATTACGGATTTGTGGAGATGAAGGCTGTCAACTGACAGCGTGGCGCTGCTGGTTCTGGACCGCGAGGATGCAGGGAGCGCAAGGGGGGATGGGGGACCGCTACTGGCATCGGCGTCGTGGTCGATGTCGAAGGCATTGCGCCTTGTACGAGGAGGAGATGATGATGGTGAAAAGGAAAGTGCTCCGAAGAGAGGAACGATGGAAACAGCGGCTCCCTGCGCTGGTGTCACGTGGTGCCCGAGCCCGACAAGCTCTCGCATTTCTTCCTTCACATTCTTTGCCAGACGTTTGAAGGACTTGCTGGATGGAAGGCGCATGCTGATTTTGCGCTTGCGAGGCGGCGGGGTCTGTGGGGGGTTCATTTCTGTTGTAGCCATGGTGGAGAATGAACCAAGGATCTTAGCAACTAGCCCTCGAGGCTTTTATAGGGACAGCCTCGCTTCTGGGCCCGCGGCATCTCAATCGATATCGGACCCGTCGAATCAAATAGACTTCATCTAGTTGAACCGGGGACGTTCTGCAATCTGATCTACGGGGCGATTCGGTATGTATTGTGCTGAAACGGCGTTGTTTCCTTCCCGTGTCGTTACGGCCGCAACACAACTCAAGAATATCATAGAATACAACTGACACAGTGGGAACCCTCTCGGATGCATGGAACGCCGGTTGCATAGCATTTCGGCGACATGTCAAACAAGCTAGGGTAATTAACCGAGTATGTAGTCCCCTGATACAACTCGGATATTGGGTAATGCGAGTTTCTCTGGCACCTAATGCCAAATTGGGCAAATGGCGGGACTCGGCCCTCGAATACTCCTTGTTAACGGCGGGGTGGTGCGCCCCCTTGACTGGTAAAGAATAAAGAATGAAAATTCACTCCTACCTAATGAGGGGGACACAGCGGGGCTGTTCTGGGAGGATGTATGGAATATACTGAGGCATTGTCATAACCTGAATGTTTTGCTAATGTGTCGAGCTCAAACGAAACAAGTAAAGTGGGTTCTCAGCAGCCCAATGTTTGCAACTCCAATTATTCCAGGAAGATCAATAGCGCGATGTGTGCGGGTCGCGACAAGCAGTTGCAGCACTGACCTGGTGTTCGGAGTCCAAAGGGTGTTCTGCGCCGTTCCCGATCTCTATTACCCAAAGCGGACCCTCGGAATAATGGCCGACGCGCGGAGTTGTATCAGGGGACTCAAGACTGTAATTAACCCCTCTGATCCAAGCTCAAGCTTCGAGATATGCAAGCGAATACGCTGTGATATAAGTCAAGTAAAGTATTGATTTATTGACGTCGATAAGTCATGATCGACAGTCAAGAAAACGTCGCGCACCTTCAAGCACCACTTCGCGCCGTTACGCACAGTGCGCGACGCATGGCAAATGTAGAGACCAATGCGAAATACAACGTTTCTTAGCCGCTTGTAACTTGTTTGATTGCAGGGCCTGTTTATAGCAACGTGCGGTATCCAATGAGCAACCTTCTACTCACCGGGAACACAAGTGGTGATGGTTGATACCAAATGCTCCTCAAACGTACCTGCAGCAGGAACAAATGAATTCTTGTTTTCTGGTGACAACGGCCGATTTCATGCGAATATGCCGCCAAAGAGGGATACGACGATCGTCGCTCCTCCCCTGCCTTCCAGAGAGCTTGTAGATTGTGTTCGTCGCGGCGTAGGCGTCAGACGCAGGAGGGAGATGCGTTTTAATTTATTCCAGTGGAATATCGACGGCGGACGGCGAACCCTCCTAGCGTTCTCAAGCACATCGAGACCCAACGAGGTCGAAGTCAGCTAAGCTTCCCCATGCGTAATAACAAGCTCCACCTATTAGAGTTTACCTTGGCTTAACGGTAGAGCTACAACTGGATTGTCCACCGCGGCGAAGTTCTTTTTAATATCCTACAAAGCTGGTCACGACCATCGACTTCTTGTTTCTTGGCCATTTGAGCGTACCCCGCTTGGAGATAACTTTGGGCAATCGACTTCAGTGATCCCGAAGAGTTGGCATGCTCTTGAAGATATAACGGCTTCGGCATATTGGCAGCAAGCCTTCATCAAACTATAGTCGAGCATTGAAACAAGTTTGGTTGTGCCACAAGACGCCAGTGATGGAAACAAGGATGAGGCGTGATATGGCGACTTCCGAGCTCAGATATTTGATCTGAGACACTGTATTTCGGGCATTAAGAGAGGAAGCGACTTGGTGGTACGAGTTCAAGCTGGGTAAGTCGTTGGCAAGTCGTCCAGCTTTGAATTTCGCTGTCACTGTCACGGTTTGTTGACATTGGGCGCTTACTGCGATTTCGAGTTGAATCCGAGGGCATGTCCTTTGGATGAGATTAGGCGGCATGACTCTGTAATTGTATACCATGGATTATTCGACGCTGGTCATGAAGCTTGATACCGTTCTCTATCTCAGCACTCCACTTTGTGCCCAGGAGAGCATGCGCGGCGTGCAGGAGTTGGAACCCAATCACCCCACGGCGAATCGAACGACGAAGGGCACACATGAGGGGGCGCTGACAGGCATTGAAAAAGATGAGGTAGTGGTCATTGCTTGGAAGTTGAGCGCTGGACCAGGCCACGGGTGCATGCCATTAAGACATCATAATTTCCGTTGTAGTCACCCTAGTCACATAAAGATAATTATACATCCGTTGAAGAGTAAAAGTAATGGATACGACGGAGAAAAAGACGATCAAAGTTACTCTAGCTTGTTGGCATCTTCAAGCATGCCGTCTTGAGTCCATCGCCACTCCATTTCGCGACCTCGAGGAGGAGCTCCCGCTTCTTGTCTAAGGCGTTACCGGAACGAAGTTCATAGAGGGTCGCTGATATCAGACGTCAGTAGTATTCGGGAAGACAATATTGCGATTGGAGTGCATACATAAGTTGAAAAGGAAAGGTTCGGCAACAACTACGGCTGACGGCGAAGCCTTCATAGCGGTCTCAAGCACATCAATGCCCTACCACATACGAATCAGCGAAGCTCCTACACGCATGATAACCAGGCGTCACCTCCTTGAGCTTGCCTTGGCTTAGCAGAGCTACAGCTAAATTGTTCACCGCGGCAAAATTCTCTTTATCTCCCGACAGAGCTTTCTTCAGAGCGTTCGACGCAGCCTCCCATTCGCCGTTGGCCGATGCAAGAAGAGCCTTGTTCATATCCTTCAGCGCTGACTCGGCCGTCGGGTCCTTTTCCACCATGTCAAAATGCTTCGCAGCCATTTGGACGTACCCCGCTTGGAGATAGATTCGTGCAATTGATGACCTCAGCGCAGGACTAGACGTGTTGGAATCCTCTTGAAGACATAATGGCTCCAGCAGCTTTGTAGCCGCCGCAAAGTCCTTCATCTCAACCAACTGCGAAGCGATGATAAGGCACATACGAGCGCCACGTTCCTTCCACATCGACACGGTAACTTCGTCCTTAGCGCCCTTAGCACTGATGCGACATTTTTGGAGGAGCACATTCAGAGCGTCGAGGTAAGCCATATGGTCGCCAGTCCAGTATTTCAAGCGAGCTTGCATGACCTCCAGCTCGAATGGTAGAATGCGCTCAAAGACATACTTGCGTATTGAGGGCGGCTCGATCGCATTGAGAACCGAGAATAAATTAGTGCACTCCGCGGACGTTTGATTGAACAAGCGCAATCGGGCGAGACTAGCGAGGCGGATGTACCAGAGCTAATCCAGAGCAGGTGGTCAGAAACACGCGCTACGCCCGGAAACGACGGGTGACCGTACTGATAGGATGAGGGCTATCTCTTCCGGATCAGTATTGACCATACGGTCTCGGGCCATTCGAGCCAAGGCTCGCCAGCTGTTCGTCATCTATTACAAAATGTTTCATATTCCCCCGTTAAGTGGCACGTAGTTATAGAGACTCACGACCAACGTATGGAAGTCACTGCGCTGCCACTCACCGGTCAAGTCACGCACTGGCCTCTCCCCCGGAGGAATGTATTTGTTGAGGAGGGTAGTCAACGGACTAGTCTGCTCCTAAATTTGTAATGGAAGCCAAGACAAAATCAAAGCGGCGTACATTAGGGATAGGAAGGAACATTGTAGGGAGTATCAGCGCAGGTAAACTTATTGTAGGGGCTTCTTCCTGATCTTCGACTTCTTCCGGTTGAGGCGGCGGCGGCGGTAGGTGTTTGTCTGGTTCCGAGTGAGGGGATTTGACGAGTGTTTCTTCTGATCGCATGGTGGTAAAGACCTGGGATGATTCTGAAGCAGAGCTAGCTTCGTTTTCCTCTTCAGACATAGGATCCTCTGGGTCGTCAACAAGGAAGGGATCTGGTACCGGCGGTTCGACATAGACTCTAGGGGGGCTAGTAGGCATTTCCGCGTCCATTGGGGCTTCCATTTCGCGTGCAGAGTCGGCTGAGAGGTAGATTTCGGTGTCGGTGTCGGTAGGAAACCACTGCGAGTTCGAGGGCGAAGCTAAGCTGTAGCTGTCGATTGACGCGCTGCTGGACCAGGGTCTCAATGGTACAGGAAGTGTGAGACGGCGGGGGGGCTCGATGCCAGCAGCAATGTCGAAGGCGCTGGTCTTGGACGGCGGTGAAGGTGATGGTGGAGGAGGAACGAGGGCGTTGATCACGTGGCAATGATCGAACCAAACTCCGATAAGCCACCGCTCCCGCTCGTCCTTCACTTTCTTACTGAACCGTTTCAAGAGTTTGGGAGACGGAAGTCGCATCCTGAGTAAAAATTGCGATGTACCTTGCGATGCGAGCTCTATTATGATGGACTCGCACTATGGCTTCCTCGAGGCTTTACAATTGCCTCACCTTGAACACACGCAAAGAATTGGCTCGCAAGGCGAAAACGGCATTCCGGAATCAGGCATCATATAATGAGCAGAATGTCTCGGTGCTGAGTAAGTGTCGTATTGCATTGCATGTGCGATACTTCCACTATGACAGACACGCTTACAGGTCCAAGGGACACACTCAAGGCATACCGTCATGCGACTACCATAGCAGTGCTTCACAGCATCATATCCGCTGCTGTCAATGTTTCGTGCCCTCGCAGCAACGTGTAGCTTGCCGTATTATTGGTGACCACAAGATGAATATATAAAGGTAAGTATGGCACTCTGCATGATGATGTGTCAGAAGTGTACTTGCTGTGAACGAACATTCTTCAGCAAAAGGCCAGGAAGGATATATTGATTGCTCCTCACCGCGGTCGATGGCAGCACGATCAAGGCGTCCGTATGTATAATAACGTAATCCATTGGCTGCACCGTCAAATTATAGGACCTTCCATTGAGGGTGACGGTCGCGGTTTCTGGGCCTTTTGACCGACCCCAGCGGTTACGAGCCCAAGCGTCAGGTAGGTTCGCGGGTACGACGTAGTTGGCAGCCGATCCTCCTGGGTTCAACAACTTCGTGATGGAGACATTGGCGTCAAGACCAGATTGATTGGAGACCCAGACCATAGTTTCCTGTAGCAATGGGTAGTAAGTGTTTGCGACTCGTGTATATGGCGGGGACATTACCTAGCGGCTGAGTGATTAGGTGCGTACCCTCGGACTGTGGAAAAAATGCCCATTTATAATGCTGCGACCTAGGGCAAGTAGCACTGTCGGCGGATGCTAAAATAGTGTGAATGAGCGACTCGGCACTGGCAATCCATCGAAGTATCGGCTCAAGACCGAACGAGGGATAGCACTGGTACAGCGCCACGACACTTTGAATGTTTTCTGCTTTTGCGACGCATGCTTTGTAGAGCCATTTACTTAACTAGCCTCTCTGCGTCAAACTAATTCCATTTTGAGCCGCCTTGGTCGTGTCAGTGACTAACCGTGAGTTGGCTTGGCCCCATCTCACTCTCAACAAGGACAGCGATAGGTTGCTTAGGTTTCTGAGTAATTTCAGTACTAGCACTGCGGGAAGCCATCAGTATTTCCGTAGATAAAGTAATTAATTCAAATGTACAATTTTCCAATTGATTCATCCATGAATATATTTATTATTGGACTGTTAACAAAGTGTTGGATAACTAAATTATTTAACAGCATATTTTTCCTGTGACAAATGAAAAATGAAAGCAAAGATAAAGTGAACACCAAAGATAACATTTGGCCATTGCTTTATCTGCTGGTAAACCTTTCCTATAGGCCATGTTTTATCTCTGGACAAAGCAATCCCTTTGTTCAAACAATAGAAAAGTTTGACTTTGGAAGAACCAATTGACAAAGCATCTCTTTGCTTAAATCTAAAGAGATTGACAAAATGGTGATTTGTATGTCTACTTTGACCACAGACATATTTTTTACATATCCAGAAGATGTTCCATTTGTTGGATAAATAATTTCACTGCAACTTTACATGAAGGCGAAGAAAAGGAATATCAGGGGACAAATATAGGAGTAATAGGGTACATTTATGTCAGTTGGCTTTTCTCGTGACAAAGCAATGGTGATCCGCAGTGTAGGGTCAGCTAGCGTAAGAAACATCATTCATTACAACATCCAACATCATAACAGACAATCGCGACTTTCTTTTTTTTCGTCATCGTAGAGTACAAGAAGCAAAAAGCACATATAACTATCACGGATGGATAAACTAAAATCTGATACAAATCTTCTCTTGTCCCTCCAAATGCGAGAATTCTGCTTGCTTCCTGACTTGCTCCTCGATAGCGGCAGTCCACTAGACATGATCATCGTATATAGCGATGCCGCCATTTGGGATGTGTGAAGGGGCGTACCTTTGGAGTATCTTTAGCCCTGCCCCAGTCGATGAGTGTAGGGGAGGTAGCTGCCATATCCCAAAGGAGATTACCGGGTTGGATATCGGTATGAAGCACCTTGTAGTTGTCGCTAAAAACTGAGTCAATACGGGCCACAAGGGGGTTGGCAAGCGCGTCATGAAGACTTACACATAGTACTTCGCTTCTTTTATAATCAAGGGGATCTTGCTTTTCTTGAACTCATCCTTGCATCCCTGTATATTACCCTGGCTGAGATATTGCTTGTAGAGAACGTTGTTCCAGTAGTCAGTGACGGTGATATGGTACTTGTTATCGACGCCACGGAAGACGATCCAGTTGAGGTTATTGAACTTCCCCTTGTCGAGGAGTTGTTGGACCTTCGTCAACCATTTGATCTCTTCGTCGTGTGTTTGCCCGGGTGCTGTGTGTCATCGTATCTCTGTCAGGAACAGTGCAGAGGCATGCTGATGAACCCTCACTCTTTCCAGACTTCGCGTAGGCCGTCACGTCCTTCTTGGTTGACGGATCGGGCCAACCGCCACCCCCCACTTTGTACGTGATCGCGGAGTTTCCTTGGTCATCTAATTTGGTAATGGGGCGAGTGACGCCGTTGAGAGTGAGCGTGTCTAGAGGGGGGACGTCTGAATACACAAAGAAGGATGCCCAAAGCAACGGCATACCAGCAAAGACGGCATATTCTGCTGCGTTGATGACCTGTTGGCTCTGTATGTACTCGACCGTCAGCAATCGTTCATACATCCAGAGTACTGGACTATACCGGTTCCGTGGCAAATACCGCCTTCATATTCCCTTCATCAGTAGGAAGGGAAAGGGCTGTGACAGCGCATGCAAGCAATAGACCAAGACTCTGTCGTAGGTGCATTGTGATCAGGAATTGGGATGGTCGGGTGAAAGCACCTACAAGTCGCCCCAGTATTTAAGTGAATGTTCTTCCTCTGTTCGGCGGATTTGTTGCTCGCCCTCCGAAATACCGATGGTTCCATTTTTGTGGCTGTAGCATACGCGCAACTCGGTTCCAGTCAACGGGGATTACTTCAGAGCGGGGAAAGGGGGAAATAGGCGACGATCGCGAACGCTGATTATATGATGACATTCCACCAGAGCATTCTGACAGCCGTGAGGTCGGTATATAAGTATCGAAGTACACGCCGCAAGTCGCTTCTAAAGAAAGAAACTCAACAGCGAGGAACGGTCAGAAGTTTTCTCCTAATAGAATACCAACTTTCCGCATCGGAATTGATGTTTCAGCCCCATACCGAAAGGCACTCTTATAGAATATTCGGTCCTAAGGCGAGTGACGTTAGTCTTGGTGAAACCACTGAACAAAGGTAGGAAAGTGCTATGTCAGTAAGTGACTGAGTCCTTCTTTGATTGCAGAGACGCGTCTCGTTTAGGGGTGACTATTGGGGAGCGCGGGGAGGCAGCATTGCTGCCCTCATAACCCTCTTCTCCGCACGTAGATGCTGTATGATCTGTCGCAATTCCCTGATTGTGCCTTCATCATCTGCTACCATTGTAATTGGCAGGTGCATAAGATTAGCGCATGAGCAAGGGTTAATCACGTACTGTGAGTGATGGCAATGGCTTTCTCGTTCCGGTAATTTGAGAGCTGCCGTCCGCTCGTCTTTTTTGTCTGTTGTTGTTGTCGTCGTCGGACTCGAATGACGAAGAAAATCCCGATGCAAAAGGCAAAGGCAATTCCCCCAAGAGTGCCATGAATGATGACGCCCACATTTGGATGGGATTTGGGTCCATTTTTGACGTCTGGAGTATTCGTTGAGGTGTATAAGACCCCCGTCGTATGTGACGACGGTTGGGGATTTTCAACGGTCTCAGCCGATGTATGCAGGGCTTTCGCTTTTTGTGAGGACACTGTAGCGCTGTCAAGGCTTTCCTCGCTGCCATTGGGCTAGCGATTAGGATATAAATTGTTTTATGACCCAATTTGACGATGCTCACATTGTAGTGTAAACAGCATAGTCAAATAGCAGCAAGACCGGCTGGTCTTGAGAATACGCAGCAATGCTGAAGTTGTGAGATCCGTTCGTCATGGTTTGGTTGACATAGACTGCCACGTTATAGAAAAAATCGTGTGTTTTCTCGGCTTTGTGTGTGTAAGTACCGACCAACTCCTCATCAAGGAAGAACGTGTAATTTGCGAAGGCGTCGAAAGTGTCGGAGTGGGGAGGCGGTGTGTTTGCGATAATGCAGTATACATATAAGGAGACACCTATTCAGGCGGTGGTACACGTCAGGACGGAATGAAGATTTCACGGACCTGTGAAACTAAAACTGGCTTTGTGGGGTGCGTTTTTGGGGTGGTAAGTTGCATCGTGCCAGGTTCCGTTGTGCGCTAGAGACGCGTTGGGCCTCGCGCTACCGCCATTGGGACTCCATTTGTTGGGTGGGATATACGACGGGACAACGTGCGTCATGGCATCCCCGAAACGGTCGTCAATAGTCACATTCCGCAGCGCTGCGTTTTCGGTAGCCCCGACCAATGACAGAAAGGATGAAAGTAGCATTACTGCGCTGAGCATTGGCGTCGGCATGAGTGATGAACGGGGGAATTAACGTGTTATCTCCGTGGTTTTGCTAATAAAGGCCGCGGTACCCAGCCTCTTGAGAGCTTACATCTCATGACCAGGAAAGAGTCCCTTCCGTGTTGACGGTATCGCTTCAATTGAGTGTATAGTTTGTTTCAGTCCCACCTGAGTGACTGAGTCCTTGCCGCCACTTGGAGCCCAGGAGCATGGGTGGAACAGAGGAGCCAAAGAAACTAGATCATCAATGGGTCACAATAATATTTTGTAAAGGCGCGTACATCACATTGCCTTTCTCCCAGCATGCCTACGGTCGTCTACAGCCCCAGGGATAATACTGGCGGCTAACGCTGCCCTCATACACCTCTTCTCCACGCGTAAACTGGTATGGTTTGTGGCAACTCCCTGGTTACACCCTCATGATCTGCTAATTCAGTGCGCCCCGGCCCGTTCCTTGGAAATAGCAGGTCTGCGGGGAAGGCTGGGCGTGGACCACGAGCCATGTCAGCATCGCTCTCGTTGTGAAATTTGGGATCGATCCTATGCTTTCGTTGGTGGCGGACTCGGACGACCAACAGAGTGCCAAATGCAAGAGACAAAGGCAATCGCCCCGAGTACGCTGTATGAGCCTGACACACTTGGAACCGTACCGACGTTTTCCTAGAGACGAAATGAGTATCCCCGAGCAATGGTTGCATCCAGGCTGGCTGAAAACGTTAATCATTGATAGAATAATTGGGAGACACGTACTGTACATTACACTGCCCTTGTGCACAGGCTGCCCACTGCGCCATCCATGGCTGAGTGCCCGAGCCCACGAATGTCGTGCAGCGAGAAGCTGAGTATGATAGATATAGCTGTGGAGGCGCGTACTCTTCATGCTGCCCTATTTGACGGTTAAACTTATGCACAACGGAGTTATGTTGTGTATGAATATGGCCCCACCCTGTAACGATGTCGCCATCAAATTCTGCTGCCGTAGTACTTACTATATCCCTCTGATATTTCGGCCAGCCTTCATCTCTCCCAGTTCCCCAGGATACACAGCGAGCGCAGGAGTACAAAGGGGATACAACGACCCCGCCTCCTCATGCAAGCTCACAAACAGACCGAACAGCGAATGATGGAACCTTGCGAACCTTATGCGTGGCTTGAGGCTGATACGCGTCTGGAAAATGCCCGTGACGGTCGTTGAGCTCGGCTTGCGGAGATGGATCCGCCAGTGACGGACCCAAAGAGGCGCCCCCAGCGCTGATTGGGGTGTTGGTGGTGTTGTCGTGGAGGATAGTACATGGGCGGGATCGGCGGGCACAAACATGGCCAAATATGTTCCCCGCCTCCGCTGTCCGCAAATAGCAACACCGTACTGCCATGCGTCCATTCAATTCATGGATAGTTAAAATGAGTGGGGCTATGTCATAACAAGTCTACCATACACTGTGTAATGCATAAATATCGTAGGGTGATAGAAACACAAGAGAGTGAAGTTCTCAGTGACCCACGTCGGGACGTGCGTTGCTGCTGTCGTGCGCCACAGCATACGCCGCAGTCTGAGTGTCCGCGCTATAGCCCTTCTCTAGTCCATCTCCCCGTGCCAGTGGTTCTGAAGGAGGGCATGTTTTCGATTGTACAATAAATCTGCTTTGGCGCCATAGCTTTGCTTCTTGTCGGCTGCTCTTTGTTTGTCGAAATCGATGCAAGAGAAAGGTACCCGAGAGGATGAAGACAGCTAATCCGGCGAGAGTTGCGGCAACAATAATTCCCACATTCGGACGAGGTTCTGGGGTACTCGTTACATCCGAACCGGATGTGGGCAGGTTGGATGTTGGCGCGTCCATTGAGTGGGCAGGTGTGAGAGTACGCATTGGGGTCTTGATGGATGTGGGTGCATTGTCACTGACGCAATGGCCTTCGCTGCAATGATGACCGGCAGTAAGCGGATGAGATCATCAACGACTGGATCAAACTCACCATGTAGTGTAGACAGCATAGTCGAATAGCAGCAAGACAGGCTGGTCTCCGGGATATGCAATGATGCTGAGGTTATGAGATTTGTTCTCCAAGGTGTGGTTGACATAGACTGGCACGTTATAATAAAACATGCGCGTTTTTTCTGCTTTGTGGGTGTAGGTACCAACCAACTCCTCGTCAAGGAAGAATGTGTAATTTGCCAAGGCGTCAAAATATTGCTTGTGCATGGGTGGAGTGTTTGCGATAATGCAATATACAAACAAAGCGACACCTATTGGAGTCATGATGATGTTGGATGGAGGGAGTGAGCATTTCACGGACCTGTGAAACTAAAGCTGACGTTGAGTGCGCTTTCTCCAGGGTGAACAGTCGCGTCATGCCAGGTTCCGTTGTGCGCTAGAGATGCGTTTGGTCTCGCGTGTCCTCCGGAACTCCATTTATCGGGGGGAAGATATATAGGAATGTTATGCGTCGTTTCATCCCCCCCGCGGTCATCAATGGTAACATTCCGTAGTCCCCCCGCCGCGGTCCCAGCGGTCCCAGCCATTGTCATGAAGGATAGAAACAGTATCCTTGGAATGAGCATGAGGAGGGCGCAATGAAATGGAAAATTATATTCGCTATCTCCGGGAGTGTGGATGATAAAGGTTGAGACGCCCAGCCTCTCAAGAGCTCGCATCTCGTATCCGGGCAAAAATCGGGCGTGCGTCAGCATTATCGCTTCAGTTGGGTGTTCACCTCGTATAAAATCCCTACCTGAGCCCTCACCTCCGCCTGCTGATAGATCCAATCATGAACACTGAAGGCCACGAGCTGGTGTACGGAGGTGACAACGTCAATGCTGCCTTCGTTCGTAATCTTCTTCCCGGCACGTACATCCTGCATTCTGGCCGCAGTTCCCTGGTCGTACTGCCACAGTTTCTTCATCCATCGACCCCAGGCTCATGTGTTCAATCAGAAGTTGGACATTTTCATCAAAAGGAGGAGTGAGATACTGCACAACGCGCCGACGCGAGGACGAAAATGGTGAGCATAGTGCAGCCTGTCGTACTCTTTCCTTGAGGGAGGGATGTCACAGTGTGGGTTGAGCATTTGGCTCAGATGCGCCATCGTTGAGACCACGCCGCCGCACGCAGGTCAGCAAACGAGTGCGCCAGTGAGTGTTTAGATGTGGCAAGCCCTTGCTCAGAAGACCGATAAAGTTTGTTGCATATTGTGGCGTCGTATAGTCTTGGGGCGCCAGATCGTAGACTGCTGCAACATTTTATTCACGAGGCTCGCGTTGTAGCGTATGTGACACAGCCGATCATGGGAGAGATTGACAAATGAGTTCATCACGAGGCGAACATTTCCGAAATCCAAGTTACTGATCCAGTAGACTTCGAACCTTCGGTGTATAGGGCTTTCCGAGGGAGGCATGCATTGTCAGACCCTACCTCCAAAGTCCGTTGATATATGAGTACTGGATGAGTTGCAGGCACTTGTCCACGGTTCGCGACCACTAGCGTTCGTTTACTGAGAATGCGGTGAGGAGACAACTGTCCAATGTCAAAGTCAAAGATAGATTATGTGGGATCCAGTGCAACGCGCAGGGACTACTCGCCTCAAGAAGTGGAACGCTGAGGGACAGTGCGGTCCATAAGTGTCATCGTTGATGATGGTTAAAGTTCACGCGCACGTGCGGCGAGGGCGGGTTGTCGGATTAAACACCACCAAACATCGCGCTCCTTGTTTCCCTTCCCGCTGGTCGTGATCCAGAATCAAGTCTTGTCGAAAGCACATCGACGCTTTGAAACATGGAAACGCGTACGCGTCAACACGGAACCAATCAGGCCATATTTGACCCTGCCTTCTCGAATCCCCTGATATTAATGGCCACATTTTGATGATTCTCTATACGACCATACCTATGGAGCTAGCTGGACCCCATCATCTAACTCACTCCCCAGATGCGGTCGAGAGCATTCTATCAGCACTTGGCAAGACGAGAGTTGTTTAGCCTGAACTTTCACGCGAGGTGTCTACTGAATGGTGTCGAATTTACGGTTTGAGAAAATGGGGATCCCCCGTAGGAGAAGAATCCTCATATGACACACCCGCACACAAATTGCATTCTAAAGTTATGTCTTGATCTTGTATCCCCTCGTGGCTCCACAAGGTTCGTGCTTGCTGTTCTCACTGTTTACACCTACTAAGTAGTATAGGTAACGAACGACTGTTATGCGAGGGAAGACCTCGCGGCCGGGCACAGCTCGTGGTGCTTTCATCACCGGCTTACTCCTCGTAAAGATCAAGTATGGTAACTTGGGCAGTCGTTAAGTGAGAGAATCGGAAATTTGCATAATTCCGTATGATTATGGTGAATACATCCACATGGACAACTGTAGCGTTTCGAATGAACGATATTCAAGCCCTAGGGGAGTACACCGCTTGTCTTACCATGTGTAATCCTCACTTAGCCTCTCCAGAGACGACTCCAAATATAAAAGGGAGCATGCGTCCACCCAGAATCTTCAGCAGGTCTCTCCTCCTCCCGCTCTACACTCCATTTCCTACGTGGCTGGTCCACTTCTCTCTTTAACTCTCCTTTTGCTTGACGTCTCCTTTTACGACCCAGCCGCCATGCATTTCCGACAATTGTTATGGACGTTCGTGTTAATGGCTTCTGCTATAGCGGCCCCCGCCCCCATCTCTGAGCGAGACTTTGATACCAAAGTCGGGACTCGACGCTGGGGTGCCCACCCGCGCTACGGCGGTAACGATGCTGTATGTGTCTGCCTTTGCCCCTGCCCCCGGTTCATTCACTAACTCATCACTAGTATCGTGTTGCTGTACTTGAAGCGAGAGGACCTCCCAAGCCTGCCCCAAGGCCTGTAGCGAAGCCCATTGCAAAGCCAATTGCAAGACCGCCTGCTCGGCCAGTAAAGCCAGCGGCCCCGGCCAAGCTACCTGCAAAAGCCGTTGCACCCGCGAAACCACCAACAAAGCCCCCTGCAAAGCCAGGCCCCGGTACACCGCTCCCGCCCCCGCCCATTAAGCCTGGACAACAATGTGGCGTCAGAAATGGGAAGGGTAAACGCGCCTTCGATGTGTCTTGTTGTATGTCATTATGGTCTCGTGCTATTGAGAGGTTATCTGACCGCTATGTTTTCGTAGCCGTGAACTCACTCGAACTCGACGGTGTCACTCGGTCAATCACCAAGCTTAGCGAAGAAGACCAAGGCAACTCGGCCATAACCTACAAGGTCGACGGTGGCTGGCCTGACCCAAGAAGCGGGCAAATCTACACTGCGTATGCGAAGACAGGAAAAAGTAAGTCTTGTGTCTCCACTTGAGCGGATGCGTTGTTGAGTGCTGGTTACTCAGAATCAGGCGTAACGTTCGACGATGAGATTCGTTGGCTTCGCAGAGTCGATCAACTATTAGCCAATGGGGCTTGGGATGGACACAACTTCATTGTGTTCCGCGGCGTGTCCGGGAAAGTCAAGATTCAAGACACCTCGTTCTTCATGACGTTGTATCCTCTCATGCAAAAAGGCGACGTGAAGGGCTGTGAAGCCGAAGTGATGAAGAAAATTGATTTGATTGTGGAGGAAGCCAAAGTCTATGTGTAAGTCCCATTAGTGAGCCATTCTCCTTCGTTAAATCGAGTATGCCGTGCATAGCAAAAAATTCAAGACCCTCCATACCGATATCCAACCTAACAACATTCTATGGGACAAGGCTGGTAACAACCCTACTCTCATCGACTGGGGCCAAGCTACGAACGAAGAAACCTGGGATTCTACTGTCGAGGCTAAAGTTAGGAAACAAGCGGAATTCTCGCATTTGAAGGGAGGGGAAAAGCTCTGTCATGATCTCAGCAAATAGATACCACTGCCTACATGCATATATCTCTAGTAATTCCATCTATACGAGTTGATGTTCTGAGTGGGAAGTATGGCATCTTGACAGGGCCGCTAAGGAGCGCAACATGTTCAGTCAGTGCGTCCAGAGAGTCAGTAGGCACAGCACTACTTCATTTTCCTTCCACAGTCAGCATGGCCCCAAGGAGCAGTTCGGATATGCACTGACGTCCAACATCCTGGGCGTTGTCACCTTGATAGCGTTTGCACGCCACCTCGGTCTCACTTTCGTGTGGGTGGGACACTGGAATGGTTAGGTCATGTAGCCATGGTTTGGAACGACTTCCGGGCTGTGTATTTCGACGAAGAAACTGAGAAATACACCCCTGCACGAGGTGGCTTGATGGCTTGACTCGAGTATTCTACATAGTGTGAAGATTAATGTGCGTGAGTAATATAGGAGCATCTGGACGTAGCTACTGAGCGGTATCTCGATCTCTTAGCTTCACCCTCGGGCCGCATCTAAATTCGCTTCCCGTGACTGCCACAGTTCGGGTATTGGTGCCTTTCCCAGCCCTTTCGCTTCCTTAAAATGATGATTGTGGGACCAGGACGAAAGTGACAACGTAATCTTTTTCGGGGCAAGTGCTGCTCAAACTTCGAACCGCACGCGACTGAGCGTGGACCGACGCCACCATCGCTCCAGCGTTCATTTATCAGTGGAGCATGACATCTGGGCGAACTTGACAGCTTCCTCTGTCGTTGCACGGGCCTGACTTTTCACCGCATCCAAGCTATCGCTGCCCAATGGGAAGCGCGTAGGCAACGAAGGTTCACGAGATAACTTTACGATCATCTGTGCGGCTTTCTGGGGGTCGCCCGGGACCGGGATGTGATGTAGGTGGGCCCGCACGAGAGAAGTTGGGGTGTGAGGACTCGAGTAGGCTGGATGCTGTGGGCGAATGGTGATTGACGAGGTCCTGTTTGGTATGGCGAATGCACCTGGCTCAACGATGCACGCCCGGATATTCCATTCGGGGACCATTTCCTTCATAAACGTTTGTGTAAAACCTTCAAGCGCTGCGTTTGCCATCCAAAATTCAGTATTTAATGTTAACGATTTGTACAGCGCATTGAAGGTTGTGATGTCTTACCGAATTTTGCTGCGCAGAAGTATGAGAAGCCTTGGGTAGCCGTATAGCCCCCAGCAGCTGTGAGGTTCATTACGAGGCCCCCATCACCGGGAGGATTCACTTCCCGGAAGAAGGTTGCGGCCTACAGGAAAGGGCATGAGCATGATGGCTTGCGCTCACTCACGTTAGATCAAACCTCGCGCGTGATATTGGCTGGTCCCCAGAACACTACATCGAACTGAGATCTCGCATCTTCGTCCGTCATGCCCTCAATCTCCCCCAGCACAGTAAATCCAGCACAGTTCACAACCACATCCAAGCGACCGAAATGGCGCTTAGTGGTCTCAAAGGCCTCCTTGATTTGTTTGACGTCCGTCACGTCGAGACGTTGCACTAGTAGCTGAGTGCTAGGGTATTTGGTTTTGAACTCGTCCAAGTCAGAGGGTTTGCGGCACGTTGCTACCACGCGCTCACCCTCCTCAAGAAGGTGTTTGAGAAGTTCGTTTCCTAGCCCGCGGGTCGTTCCTGTAACTGGAAGGAATACCGTTCGGGCTTCAATATCATCGTAACTGATCACAGTTTACGTACCAAACCAGACACGTCCTTTTGATTCAGAGTTCATGACTTGGGGCGAGGCTGGCGCTGCGCTTTCGGGCGACCTGAAGAGGCTCCAAATGTAGTTCATCATGAGGATGCTTCGACGTTCGGCTTCAGCCTTTCAAAAGCTTCACTCCTCGAGCACTAGTCGGTTCCCCTCCATCTTCGGTTCCCACCCCCTATGAGTAACAGGAGCTACTCATGGTACACTGAAATCCGGCCTAATCCAGTGAGTATGCATTGTACGTAGAAATACCTGGTTTACATTATATTTCACCTGAATATCTACTCCAGGAGGTCATTTCGCCTCCGCGGCCGCGGCCCCGGCAAGCCTCCCAAACACCACCGCCTCCAGCAACGACGAGCCCCCGAGCCTATTCTTACCGTGAACTCCACCAATGACTTCCCCAGCGGCGTACAAACCAGGTATAGGCTTGCCTTCAGCCGAGAGGACGCGGGCAGAAGCATCGGTGTGAATGCCTCCCATCGTCTATGATACATGTCATAGTCAGATTCACGATTATCACTAGATGCAAGAGAATGCCACAACGCACGTAGTGCACCACAGGAACAACCCATGAGGCCAGCAATACACCGTCTGGGCTGAATTGACCGTTATGGAAGTGGACTGTCGATAGAAGTCAGTAATACAGTAGTCTAGCCCTCATATCGAGGCGCACTTTTGCCGAATGGGTCCTTCAGTTCGCCTGAGGCGTATTTGTTATGTTCGGCGAGCGTTTGAATCAAGGCTGCGTTTGGTACACCCGTGTCTTTCGCGAAGTCGGCGGCGTTTTCGTATCTCTTCATCAATCCCTTAGAAACATAGAAATCGCCTGTGTTCCGTCAATAACTCTATCCCATAACGACAAAGGTTGCCCTCACAATGCGATTTCAACTCCTTTTCTGCATCGGCATTGAGTAATAACCTGATCGGCCCCTTCCCCTGCTCAATAATTTCTTGCATCGCCTTTGTTACATTATCTCTTCTCTCCATTTCATCAACAAACCTCTTTCCATCTGCATCAACAAGCAGTGCGCCAACGCCTCTCAACGCCTCCGCTGCAAGGAACTTAGTCTTCGCGCCCTCATCCTTGGGATCAACAAACCCAGTTGGATGCACTTGGATTTCGTCCATATCAATGAGGGACGCGTGCAATGACGAGGCTAAACGATGACCGTCCCCCGTTGCGTGGTCCCCATTTGTCGTAGGCAGCCCAAGGAGATCTGGCCGATACTTGGCGAGAAGCCCCGAGGGAGCGTAGTCAGCAGCATATCCACTGAGTAGACACATTAAGGTAGGTTGAGACAAGAGAAGCAAGCGAAGCATACCCTGTGGCGATAATAACAGCGTTCGCTTGTACGCTTGTGGTCTCCCCGTTGGTTTCATATTCCACACCAGTGACGCGTCCGTTTGCTTCCAGCAGTCGGACGACATGTGCGGACTTAATTACCTCCGCAGCAGGGAGAGTGTCCAGTTTCTTCATCAACGCGGATGTTATAGCAAACCCGGGCGGCGGTCCCCTGCCTCGATGGGTGCGCGCGACGGAATGACCCCCGAGTAATGATACCAATGAAAGGTCGATAGAGAAGTTGGAGCTTAGCCATGAAAGAGACTCTGCAGAGTTCGATGTCAGGGCGTGGATGAGATCTGGCCGCGCCAGTTGTCCTGCAGATGATGTAGTGTCTGCCGTGCTGCAGATGACCATCTATTTACTGGGACGGATTATGAAGGAGAGGATCTTACAATGCTTCAACGGTGTCGGAGACCCCCAGCGACGACTGTGCTTCCGTCCCGGCTCCGTTTATCCCAGAGCTTGCCTTCATCGAGTTTCCTCCCAAGCTAGCACCCACGTTAGCTGCATAGTTCAATTGCTAAGGGGGGACTCACGAGGGCTTCTTGTCCAACAACAAGACCTGGGCACCATGCTGAATCAGTGTATGTGCAGCGCTCAATCCAGCTAATCCACCCCCAACGACGATGGTACGGGTCTGCGAGACGTTCATGTCGATTTCCTTCGGTTGTAGCCAATTGACGAGCAGAACAGCGAGTACAAGGGTGAGTATGAAGAATAGCGACTGGTTTCTGGAAAAGGCCATTCAGGTGCCGCTGCCTTGGTATTCCTGGATCCAAATTCTGTCACCGGGCCCAGTTCTTGGGTGTGCGCTGGGAAAGCCCTCATGCATCTGATCGAGTCCTACCTCAGGGCAAGCCGAGATTCCCATTTCTGAGTCTGGCCACTACTAAGCCCGTATATCAGGGAGTAAAATAGAGAGAACAACAAGGGCAGGATGCGCCACGCATGGTGATCTGCCTGGAAGTTGGAGGCAAGTGTATGTTCCCACGAGCAACCCACATCTGCATGAGAAGGAGCTTGAAAGGAATCTGAATTTCTGAAAGTCGTTTCTCGCATTAAGAATGTAGGAGATTATCTCTCGAGGGGATATAATACTCAGGCCAACTAGCAGATCCACTAGCAGAATATGAGTGCGTAGGATTGGGAATGCATTGAACGACCATAAATGTACGAAATAAATACAATGCTATTTATTTGCTGAGATCGTGGCAGAGCTTTTCCTCTCCCTTCAAGTGCGAGAATTCCGCTTGTTTCCTAACAGCAGCCTCGATATCAGCAGACCACTTGCCAACTTCCTTGGCTCTGCCCCAGTCGATGAGAGTGGGGTCGTTGGCAGCCTTGTCCCAGAGAATGTTGCCGGGTTGGATATCGGTATGGAGGATGCCGTATTTGTCACTATGAACGAGAAACTAGATTTAGCGGGAAAAGGACGACAACTCAGAGAAGGAGACTTACACATAGACTTTAGCTTCCTTCACAATCAAATCAATCTTCTTCATCACTGCGGCTTCGCAGCTCTTCAAGTCGCCTTTTTGCATGAAAGGGTACAACGTCATGAAGAACGAAGTGTCCTGGATCTTGAATTTCCCTGACACGCCGTGGAACACGATGAAATTGTGTCCGTCGTAAGTCCCTTCAGCTAGTAACTGGTCCGTTTTCGCAAGCCATTTAGCCTCTTCGGCGAATGATGTTCCTGGCCCTAAAACAAGCACTCTTAAGGACGAATCCTCCCGGGTAGAGAATGTCCAAACTTACTGCTTCCTGTCTTGGCATAGGCGGTGACCATTTGTCCGTTGGTTGGGTCGGGCCAGCCACCGTCGACTTTGTAAGTCACGGCCGAATTGCCTTGCTCGCCGACCTTGCTGATGGGTCGGGTCACGCCACCGAGTGTGAGAGTGTTCGAGGCTACGAGAATGTAGCAGTTAGGGCTGCTATCGATAGCAAATGGCAAGGATGACATACGACAAGTGGGATCAAAGGCGCGTTTGCCCTTCCCATTCTTGGCTCCACACTGCTTGTTGGGTCCAGGCTTGGTGGGCGGGGGCGGGCCGCCAGGGCCTGGCTTTGCAGGAGGCTTCGCCGGGGGTTTGGCGGGAGCAGCAGGTTTGGCTGGTGGTTTGGCTGGTGCGGCTGGCTTAGCTGGTGGTTTAGCTGGTGCGGCTGGCTTCGCTGGTGGCTTCGCTGGGGCAGCGGGCTTTGCAGGGGGCTTTGCAGCTGGCTTCGCGACTGGCTTTGCGGCAGGCCTTGGAACAACCTTGGGGGGAGCCCTTGCTTCAAGCACAGCGGCACGGTACTAGTGGTGAGTCAGTGAACGGTTCGAAGCACACATGAGAATGGTAAGACATACGGCTTCAGCCATCAAGTCGTTGCCGCGGTAGCGCGGGATCATGTGGGCATCCCAGCCCCGAGCTTCGATTTCATTGTCATAATCTCGCTCAGCGATGGGGGCGGGGGCTGCGAACACCGCGATGGCGCAAGCCAGTAACACGGACGTGCATGTCAATTGTCGGAAATGCATGGCGTTGGAATCGTAAAGGAAGACGTCAAGAAAAAGGAGAAGAAAGAGTTGGAGAGATGTGGACCAGCCACGTAGGAAATGAAGGGTAGAGTGGGAGGAGGTGAGACCTGCTGAAGATTCTAGGTGGATGCATGGCACCTTTTATACCCCGAGTCGTCTCTGCGAAGCTGGACGAGATTCCGTATGGAGCGAAATGCGCTTGGAGTCCTTCCAGAACCCAAACATGGGTTCATCTGAAACGTTGGAGTCGTTCACATGAACGAATGCACTGGCATGAAATCATAGGCGATCATCCAAATGTCCGAGCGTCGCGCTTGGCAAATCCCTCGATGGCGTCTTCTACTCTGCACGAAGAACAGATGGCGACGAAAGTGTTGAGCTCTCTGGTGTCCAACACGGCGAACATACACGGACTTACACTGGAGGTTGGATTACGGTTGGTGTAACTCCCTGGTTCATTGCTTGAAAATGAATCGTCGGCATAGCAAAGTGGTCCCGCGTGGGCAGCAGTTCAAACCGGGAGTCCAAACTTGTTGGTGTGGAGAGCACATGGCGCGTTGACATAAACGTTCCATTCTAGGCGGCTGATACGCTACTAAGCAAAGTTCTCGGTCAACGAGGTCGATCCAGCATATCCATTTGGGGTCAAAGAGTTACCATGATGATCGCCAACCACTCGATACCCGTTGAAAACTTGATGGAGTTACGAATCAGGGAGGTTTTACTATTTACACTGCTTTCCCAGCGCCTGTGTAACTTGGAAGTATCAACATTAGGCAGTGTGGCGGAAGCGCATGTCCGGTTTCAGATAGACAGGCAGCGCTGTAGCATTCAGTTCAGAATTTCTTTTATTTCTTCTTCTTCTATACTATACTTTCCGCGGGGAGGGGGTAGGGTAACGGTGAAAGGGAGGGGGGAAGAGCTAAGATTCGACGCGAAAAAAACACGAGCACAGAACAACCTCTGAGAGAAATGGATGAAAGCGTGGAATAGGTGGAGGAGGGCGTAGACCCAACTGAACAAGAAAGAGGTATTGGTTATGAAAGCAGTTCAAACGATTAATGGTAAAGTGGCTGTACAGATAGCATTGCACGGATGATGCAGTTGCAGAAGAAGAAAAGTAGGGAGCGGCCGGAAGTACCAATACCAAGGAGTGTGGAATAGAAGGGTTCGCGATGGAGACTCCAGGATGTTGTGTAATTGTAGAACGTGTCCGTGATCATGTATGTAAGAGTGAAATTGCCGTGTGCTGCCGTTAAAAAGCTCTAACCCTCCAGAGGGTGTAGATCGTATACGATGCATGAGTCATTGGGCGGACATGGGTGACTGATGGTAGGTAGGGAGTATGACAACGGATCTGGAGCTTCATGAACATTAAGCCGCGCTATACAAAAACAAGTTGTTCGTGGCGGCAATCTATCATGCGAACGATATGAGCGGTTAAAGCAACGGTTACCATAGGCAAGACTTACGGCAATCGTGTTCTCGTTCGGATGCCAACTCGCATGTAGGATCTTCTTGTTAAAATCTAATGCTTCGAGCTGCATCGCATCCCGCAGCGTCCCCGCCCCTTTACCAACACCATTCTTCCCGGCTTTATTGCCAGGCAATGGTCCACCCATCCTCTTCGCTTTGAAAGCGGATTTGTCAGCTTGTAGAACAACGTCGTTGGGACCATCGGTATCGTATATCCGGAAGTAATTGTGGTACGACCCGGTCAAGACGTGCCTAAAGTGAACTATTGGAACACACTATGCCAGGCAAGCAAAAGGACGTACTTGTCGTCGCCTCCCCAGATGCACTCAAACTTATCGAATATACAGTCATTCTCGTACAAGTCACATAGTTTGCCCCGTAGATGGTCATGAATTTGGATTGTTCGTACAGGTCGACTCTCCATATTGATGTCCCAGATCTTAAGCGAGAGGTAGTCTCGCGACAAGATGTACCGACCGTCGTGGCTGAACTTCACGTCTGAAATCGACGAAATGATTTCTGAGAAGAACGATCGCGTTATTGGGTCTTCCTCCTCCTCGAAACCTGGACGGATCGGAATGTTAGCGGGATGACTAGGGACTATCCGTGATCGTACATTTTGCATGTCGATCACATAACGCAGAGTCGCGCATATCCGCCAGCTTTATATTCGACTTGGAGCTCGAATACATGAATAGGTTGCAGTGGTTCGGGTGGAATTCAGTAGCGGTTATGACTTCGGTCAGTTCCTCCATATTGACAGGTTTGATGTCTACAATATCTGCAGGAACCGCCGATCAGTACGCTGAAATACGGAAGACTGTGGATCGTGGAGAAGGTAACGTACTGAAACTCTGATCGCTGATATTCAAATTCCACAGATTGATTCGGAGGTCATCAGCGGAGATGTACGTCTCTTGGTCCGAGTTTACTGAGATGGAGTGTATGTGATACGCGTGGGCGTTTGCGTACACTTTGCGAGGGACAGCGGCTATGATGTTGTCTTGAAGCGACATGCGAGGAAGGCGGAGATGAGAATGTGATGATGGAGGGGGTAGGACACGTTGACCGTCATGGTGATTGGACTCTGAGACCACCCGTAGTGTCTTTTCGAACACCTTCCAAAGCTTGATTGTCTTGTCTGGACGAAGATCAGTCGTCGGAGCCGAGAAGATAGAGAACACGAGCACGTACCGTTAGTCGATAGAAGAAAGTGGGCCGAGTTCTGTCGTTTGCACCATTTAATCTTGTTGATCTTCTCCTCAATTTCTAATGACTTGAGGTAGTCGAACTCCGGCTCATGCGACTGGAATTCAGTGTAGAATTTGTACTCGCATCCCTTTTTCTACTCGATCATTAGCTGACCATGGCTGGATCGATCTTAGAATAGAGACAAGGGAAACGTCGAAGCATACGAGCTTGCCATGAGAGACACGGCGACATCAGCCCAAATCTCTCAGACCGGCAGCACGAGGGCGGTGCGTGCACGTTTAGGCGCGTGTGATGCATGGCAGCAGTACGCACCATTTCATTGCGCTCGAAGAGAACGACTCGGCCGCCCTTGTCTCCCGTAGCAAGGTAGTTGCCAGTCGAGTCGAATTCGACAGTTGAGATGATGTCCGCTGTTTGGTAATCAGAATCGGCGTCGGTAAGTCCTCGACATTCCAGACTGATGCGACATCCACATCACTTTATGAGTGGAAATGAGGGCATACCTTCTGTGATATCCTCTACCTCCCCCTTATCGCCAAAACACTGTGCAAACCGCCAGCCGCCTGCAGATAATGGGTCTTCCATGATGCAGTCTACTTAAGTGATGTTCTGGGACTCAGAAATTTGCGGTCGTTTTCGAGAGAATCGCGGATTCACTGATGCTGTAGATGATGGCGGTGGCGATGGCTTTGGAATCAAAATGTCTCGCAAAATCTAGGCAAAGGATATTTGGGTGGAATGGCGGTAGTAAATGGATAACAAGGGGGAGCCTGCGACTCTGATCTCGTGTTTGGTCCGGCCAAGGGCACCAAACAACCCACGAGCGCTTCAATCCCCGACTCTTTCCACAACACCCACCACCACCAACCCACCACCGCTACTTGGACTTGCAATTTATCATGGCCATTGCCCCCATCACCGGAAAGCTCAGAAAGCGTTTGTGGCTCGATGTTGGCTGCGCATTCGGCCTCGGTGTCTCTGCCGCATATGCCTATTGGTGAGTTTCAATGACAATACTATCGCCGTCTCTTGTCTCATCTTGTGCCAGGTATGGATACCACTTGAAAGCTCGTGAGTCACTTGTGGCCCTTTTGTTCTGTTTAAAGCGTCGTGGGTGCTCATTCTTGTCTGTCTAGTGGAACACCAGGAGCAATTCTACGTCAAACTCGAGCGGGAGAGGGCAGCTGCTAGGCAATAGATGCTGAAGCGGGGAGGCTCGGGCGAGAATCAAACGGATCAGAGGCTTGCTGGGATGTCGAGCGTTAGGGCAGAATTCTAGAGTGACATCGACTGGTCGAGAACATGCCCATGTCGGGTCTCTGCCGTAAATTCATTTCTTCCTCGCATCTGCAGAAAAAAGGACACTTGCATCGAATCGCGCACATCTAATCTGAAAGCACTGGCGCTCATTGAAAGACATTTCTTGCGCGTGCAGCGCCCAACATTCTATCTATCGTTGCGGATGGCGAGAACTGCACGGACAAAGGTACAGTCCAATGCAACACATCGTAAGGAATTACGTTCGAACGCTCGCGGCATGATGAGATGTTAGTTCAATTCCTCAGGCCTCCGCCCTCAATCCAAACGATGCCGTGGTCACTGTTTGATTACACTTCATTGCCCCAGGGATGATGGATGTTGGCCAATCATGCACTTTTCGGCATTTTCTTAATGCCCTAATTAAAGCATTTATCAAAGCAACCCCTCAAACGAATGTAATTAAGCATGCCGAACCATAACATGCAAAGCTGCACAGCAAGCCAGGCGCGACTCCGCCAACTCACGCATACGATCTAACCTTCGAGAACCAGAACGGCCTCTCCTGCTTCAGCGCCACAGGCTGCACATCCCCCGTCTCCACATTCACCGTCGAATAGTCAACTATATCCAACTTGTTCCACTTCCCGTTCACAGGGCGCGAGCGCAGGGAGAGCGTCATGGAGAAGACGTAGCGCGGGGCCTCGCGAGCGGTGGATGCGTGAGTCGTTTCGTGGGCGTGGTGGCGCTTGGAGGGCTTCAAGGTGGAAGTGACGGCATGGTCGTCGAGGAGGGCTGCGGGTATTTCGCCGTCTAGGGGGATGAAGTTAGAGGGGACGCTTTGAGAGTCTATCAAGTTAGAGAGCTGGATTGTGGTCCCCTCGAGTGCCCATTCGCCGACGAGAAGGCCCTATGAACGAAGACGAGTAAATGAGCAGCTGAGTGATAGTTGTACCGGCAATAAGAGAACAATGGATACCTTCATGCGGGAGTTGTACTTCAAGAGGGGAATCATTTGCTGTGGGGTGTATTCCTCGTTGACAAGGAGGGAAAGCACTCGACCATCGGGAAAGAACCGTCTGATTTTCGCATTAGCTACCCGACGCTATACCTAAATGAGGAGTACTTACAAGTATCGGTTGTAGGTTATGAGATGGCTGATCTAAAGATAAACGGTTATAAGAATAATAGCGAACAAATGGACCAAACATACATTGACCCAGTGGTTCTCACTCAATCCTGGCCGTCTAAAATACGATCATTAATATTGATTTGAGTATTCGGTCAAGAAACTTACACATAATGGCACACTGCGATATACAAACCGTCCAGCCGGACTCTAGGTTGTTCGATATATACGCGGCGGTAGTCATGTCCATGTCGCTCGAGAATCGGGACCAACTCGGTCAGCGACGAAATTTGTGGAGGTTTATACGTCGAAACGACCAAGTCCCTACAACGTATATATTGGCTTATGATCCCTCACAATGTCATATAATGGCAAAGCTCACCTCCACCGACCGGGATCCAATGCAAGCAAGCATGCCTTGCGGCACACCTGGGAAAATCGACCTATAGTGGTATTATCCATCTTGTGTACGATGAGAAGTAGGACTTCATCCGGCAAGTCAGAGAAGAAGACAGGTAGCTTCTCGTCCTCGGGGGCAAAAGTCAGGTCGCTGGGGAACGCCTTAACTATCCCCGCGAGGAGTCCAACGAGGTTGCCGCCTGACTCCCCCTTGCGCAGAGTTAAAGACAGCTTGGATAGAGCCAGAGAGACCGCTTCCACAGCAACTCCCTCCGTCATTTGCTCTGCATTTGCTTCCACGGGGCGAGCTAAGACGGTAGCTAGTCTCTCCTCTTTGTCATACGCTCTATCGACGTTCGGGTCCATGCGAAATGCCTGGCGGTACAGGACCATCGCCTCATCGAGCTCTCCGCGCGACTCGCATTGCACGGCGTTGCGGTAGACTCGTACAGCAGAGAAGAGTGCGCTGCTTGCTTGCGCCGTCAACGCCGGCCTGGTAGCAGGCAATCCCGAGATGGTTTCGCTGGAAGGGCCCGGCTGGCTCGAGCCCACTACATGATTCGCAGGTCGTACACGAGGCTGAACCCGAATTGGAAGCGGGGAAGTGGGTTGAGGAGCAGTAGCAGCAGTAGTAGCGCTAGTTTCGGCCTTGGGCTTCTGGATATTCCTGCGCACCTCTGCCTTCCACTGCTCTCTGAACCGTGCGAGCTCTTCAGGCTCTTCTTCTGGAGGAGGAATTGTGGGTTGCATTAAGATGTGTAATCCATTACCTCCGCCATGACTCCATTTCCTTATCTGCTAAGTCCTAAATCTGGGTACTGATAATCTGCTAAGCCTAGCCTGACAATCTGCTAAGTCTCTCCACGTCGTCTATTCCCTCACCGTCGCGCACACACGCACATAGCGCACACGTCGGCTACCCGTCGTCAGAACAGCAAAGATGGAGAGCAACAAGGACGAGGCGAAGCGCTGCCTCGCGATAGCCCGCAAGCACAAAGAGGCGGGGAACTTCCCCTCTGCACTCAAGTTCTGCCGGAAGTCAGTGGCGCTCTTCGAGACCGACGAAGGCCGCAGCCTGCTCAAAGCCGTAGAAGCCGCGATGGGCTCGTCGTCAGAGGACGCACCCACGACATCGTCTTCAACTTCGACAGAGACGCACCCCTCAGCAAGTGGAGCCCGACACCGACATACAGCTGCACCGTCAAGTAGCGGTTCCAGCAAATCGAATGGCACGGCTGGTGGAATGAACGGAGAGAAGCGGGACTATACTCCGGAGCAGCATGGTGTGGTGAAACGGGTTAGGGCATGCAAGGTCACGGAGTACTACGAAATTCTGGACTTGAAGAAGGATTGTGAAGAGGCGGAGATCAAGAAGGCATACCGCAAGGTGAGTAGCACCCACAAACTTTCGTGTAAGACTGATGGACTGGTTACAGCTTGCCCTGGCTTTGCATCCTGACAAGAATGGCGCACCCGGCGCTGATGAGGCGTTCAAAAGTATGTTATATACTCATTTGTTACCGTTCAAGTGCTTATCGCGTTCTAAGTGGTATCGAAGGCATTCCAAGTACTTTCAGGCAAGTAGGCTTCGTAGAATAACGGACATATGCTTATCGTTCCCCGGGAACAGACGCAGACAAACGTGCCGTGTATGATCGAAGTGGAGGGGATCCCGAAGATCGTTATGCTGGGATGCCTTCTCGTGCTTCAGGCTTCCGCGGAGGACCATTTGGGAACGGGAACGGAATGGCCTTTGAGTCTGAGCTCAGCCCCGAAGACTTGTTTAACATGTTCTTTGGTGGCGGCGGCATGGGCGGTGGCAACGTCCGTGGATTCCAGTTCGGCGGTCCTGGTGGTACGTCTGTTGATTCGCATGCATTTATTACTTGATCATGCAACGTCTATTTCCCCAGTTTTCACTGCTTCGTTTGGGCCGGGAGGTTTCCGGACAACAGGCGGGCGAGCACACCACCATCAGCATGCCCAGCAAAACAACGAGCGCGCCGAGCCTCGGAACGTCTTCCTCCAACTCCTCCCCCTCTTCGTTCTCTTCTTCATATCATTCTTCTCCTCCCTCCCCTCCCTCTTCTCCTCATCACCGTCCCAAGCCCCCGATCCCCATTTCTCCTTCAACCCGACCCAACGCTACTCAGTACAACGGTACACATCTAAGTACGGCGTAGCGTACTGGGTCGATCCCAAAGAGTTCTTGAGCCACCCAACCATCGGTCCAGAATTAGCTAAGAGCGGAGAGACGCTGACCAAGTGGCTAGACGATTTGAAGCAGTGGAAGGAATGGGAGCTTAGGGAGGAGACGGCCGATCTCAGGGCTGACCAGGAAGCCGAAGCGAAAGAAGAAAAGGCAAAGACCAACGTCGTAGATCCCAAGAACACGCCAGAAAACAGAGCCGTTCGCAGAGCCGTAAAAGCCGCCATGCGTCGACAGCAACGCGTTAAGAGCATCCCTCGTCCTTCATTACCTACGTTATCGCGATTCGAAGCGTCCGTAGAGCGCATTTACTCAGAGGACCTCTACGCCCAATGTAGACGCGTCGCGGAGCGCAAGGAGCGCAGAAAAGACTCTGAAGTAGGTATCTTCGGAATCGGCGCCGACTGGGACAAGGTGCGGCGGATTGAAGCAGAGGCGATAGAAAGCTGCGAGATTCTACGTGGTTTGGGTATCATACGATGAGCGATTTAGTATAATGGGAGCTATTTTAGATACGGATAATTTATTCTGACATGTCTACATCTGCATTGCTTTCAATGATGTTATCATGCGGTCCTCAGTCCTGTATGTCGCTGCATATCATCCACAATTATATTGAACCATAGTACTTATAAGTTGCATGCATAGGTGACGAACTAACGAGAGGGTACGTATGATGGACAACGGAGTGCGAGTCGAAGAAAAGCTATGTCTGAATGTATGTGGATACAATGGTATCTAATGAAGAATCTTCCGCAACGAAGATGTCGTTATGTAACTGTTATAACTGGGACACCTTAATGATTGTACAAAGAACTGTTGACGAGGCGACGGATACGGAACATGCAGGGACATTACATCCCGGCTTGTCGGTTAAGGATATAGAGTTGCAAGTCTTGCCACCCTAATGCCGTCATAATTAGGAGGAATGTCCACTAAAAAGTTTACAAGACTTACCGCCACCGACACGACACATGACCTTCTTTGTTGTAGTGTCGCCCGCTTTTCCTGACCTTGTCAGCGTAGTCAACTTGCATGTAACAAGCTTTCTCGCCAAGGAGTTCGAAAAGGCGTATTGTGCCTTGACCTCTTCACCTTCCTTAGGTGCGCTGCGCAGAGGAGGATCGACGCGCTCCACCAATAAACCATGGGGGATAGAGTTAGCGATAACAGCAACCTCGATGTCGAGGGGATCTTTCGTGTTGGCGGGAACATATTCATGCACTGGGCCTTGGTCGAAAGTGGGCGTATATGCACCATTTCGAGAGCCAGGACGCGACGGTGTGCGACTAGAGTTTGATCCGTCTCGGAAACTCGATGGAGGAGCCTTGACTGGTGCAGAAGCTCGCGGACCGCCCCGAGGCGCAGGCGGTTGATACACAGGTACCTGCTGTGCACGGGCACGCAAAGTCGCTTCAGGTGTTTGTGCCCGCATAGCAGAGCTCCTGAAGGGACTTGCTGTAGATGGATCATCGTACCTCGACATTGCTGACCCCGGGCGGGAAGCCGATGAAAGATGGAGACTGGGCACAGGAATCATTGATCGACTAGGTGGGCGGGGGTAAGCTCGCCCAGGGGAAGAATTACTCGCGCCAGAAGCAGAGAATGTCGGAGAGAAAGCACGCTGAGACCTCGTCGCCGAAAGATCATCGTCCCAAGTTTCCGACTGGCTGCTTGAGAATGATCGCCACTTTGCGGGTGCTGGGATGTGGCTGGGAGTATTCGGCCGAGGTTTAGGTGTCGTGGCAGAAGGACCAGGCGTAGCACGTCCAGCATTATTGGAAGGTGTTTGAGCGCGAGATGGCGGACGGAAGGTTGGTAATGGTGGGTGCGAAGACTGAGAAGTTGAATACGACGTAGTCATTGGAGACCATGGCCTCGAGGATGACATCGAGGCTCTTGAAAGACTTCTCCTATACGATGCGCCTAAGGGGGGAACTGGCGGTATTTCATCGCTCGAGGTACGGGCATAATACCCAGTCGCAGACGGCGGTCGTTTCTGAGGTGTGCCTTTGACCGTTGCACCTTTCTCCTCAGATTCTATCTTCGTCGAGCTGTTCCAGCGTTGTTTAGACGAACTACTCGAACTGGTTCCCTTGATAGTGCTACAGGGTGTTTCAACAATCTTCGCTATCCTGGGAGATGGATCCGGCGTCAGACTGTGACTATGTTTGTGGTTGGGCCGATCTGGCGTAGAGGGGGTTGCAGGTTGATTTCCCCGAACACCAAATATGGATGTACGCTGCCGCCTGATGACCTTGATTGGTTCTGAGGCTGGAGCGCGAAGAGTCTTTTCAACATTAAGGGGGGTGACTGGTGTACTAGGCGATTGCTTGGAAGATCCTGTGATCTTCCGTGCAAACCTCCTCAACGGAGATATGGAACCCGTAATGCTTGATGAACTGGGAGCTCTTGATGCTCTCGACGCGCTCGGCGGTGTCGCGAGATATCCGCCTCGAGAATGTGTGGTGTGCCCAGACGTACTCGATCCACCGTCACTCGGAGCTGAGTCACCGTTCAGAAGGAGTCGACGGACCGATTCCATTTCTGCATCAGTGCGAGATATTCGGTCACGCAGGTTCTTCCATCGTTGCGCTGACTCTGCGTGTCTTCGTAATGTCTCGCCATTCTTCGTGACTCGGTCGCGGACACCCTTATCTATTATGGATAAAACCTTAGAGGTTGCCGGCATGTAATGTCTGATACGCGATACAATTGAGGGCAAGTTCATAGATGAAGCTCCTGAACTTACTTCTTCTTTGCTTCATACGAATCGAGCAAAGAGTTATAAACATCGATGTTGATTGACGCTCTCGGCTTGTCGCTCCGCTGGGACACAGCAAGGGAATCGTCAGCACCACGCCGGTGGACCTGCCAGATAAACTCCTGGACACGGCCATTAGTCGGGTTTACGATAGCAATGAAGATAGATAGCGCACTTGACACCGATTCACGGCCTTCTCTAGGCTTGACATCATCCCATCTGCCTGGTCCGTGACGGTTCGGAACACCGTTAACCATTTGTCCTCCTTGAGCTCCTCTCGAAGAACCTCACTCTCATCCTGCACGGCGTCCCAGTCCTGCATAAGGGTCGCGTGCTTGCGAAGGATGATAGCGTTCGCATTCTCGTTCTTAGTATCACCGTTCTGTGCTAGCGTGGGTGTGGCGGTGGACTGGAGCCATGGTTCCAACGACTCATTTACGGACTTGATTCCTTTGGATACCGCATCCAACCGCTCGTCCAAGCTCATCAGCGACTGGTCGATGATATTCGTGGTGTTGGTGTTGTCACCTGGGAGTTGAGACTTATGCCGAAGTTCCTGTATCTCTGCGACCCGCCCATAATTAAGATGATTTACTGGCCCAAGAGGATAACGCACCAAAGATACGCGTCTGAATATCCGATATGTTGTACGATAGCTCTGTAATATGGGTCGATATGGCGAGAATCCTGAGATCCCTGCTAGCTGTGTCGGAAAGTGCACACGGACAAAGATATATCGGAAACGCACTCATCCTGGCTCTTTCGCTTTCCCAGCTTCTTGCTGGCACTTGCGGTGATTGTAATGTTCTCTGATGTGTCTGTTCAGTGGCCATGCCGTCTGAGTCACCGCGGGTACCTACCTTCATCGGCCATTTCCAGTGAAACCTTGGACGACGAAGCTGAGCTCCCGAGTGATGAGGTGGGGGGCGAAGGCGGTACATAGTACGCCGAGTTTGAGGGCGAGCTCGACAATGAGCTGCGAGAGGACGAGGCCTTGAGTGAGGACATAGTGGAATGCTGAATAAACGAGGGAGCGGCCGAATTATTATAAGGGGGCTGGCTTGGGAACGAGGTCGTGAAATGAAAGCTAAAGTGAAGGTTGAGTGGAATCCTGCAGAATATTTCTAGATGGTCATGGTAAGGTAGAAAGAGATGATTGTCACGGTCGACGCGGTTGGCGTTCAGATGGTTGTTGCCAAATCAAGACAGCTCACACGTCGGTGGCAAACGCGAGCACATGACAGTTTGAAATTCCCGAAAGCAATTGTACAAGCAAAATTACAAGGTGACTATGGAAATGGTCCTTGACATGGTTAGAGAAATTCTACGGATCAACGTCCATCTCGTTCGACGCCGCTAAATGCGCAGAAATGCTGGTAGGTTCGTGTTGTTGAGTTTGCTGCAACTCGTTTTCGATGTCCATGCCGTGGGCCTGTGCTATGACAGTAGCGAGCTCCTCTCGCGCTTCCTTATCAGCCTCCTTGAGCATCGCTTCTCGACCCTTCTTGCTTTCCACGGGGTCGACGGAATTGTTGAATCCGGGCGTGAGTCCCTCGAGGGCCCATAGGTAGGAGTAATCAAGCAGACCGTTATTTTCGAGCGCATTTGACAGGGCAAAGCCAACAGTTTCACTGAGGAGCGGGTGGTGAAGTATGGATGGGTAGTATCGCCCACCGATCATGGTAAGCGACATGATGGCTTCATAACCGTCTTCGAGAATCTGCCGGAATCTATACCCATCGGGGGGAGGGGGCAGAAGGGACGAGAGTTCTTGTGGCAGTGGATGCTTCGGGCGATTTGCGAACAAAGAGCCGGTAGATGAAAGGCCGGCGATAGCACTCAGCCTCGGAAGTGGCTGCGACGAAGTAGGAGCAGCGGATGTGGATGTCCCGGCGACGTTGGGTTGGACAGCGGACGGGTCCACCCAATCTTGGTCGACCAACTCATACAACATCCCACACGCACGGCATTCCTTTTTCGGCCCACTACCGTTCCGTTGTGGTATATCTACCAACAACAGTCCGTTCAACCGTAGAAAGAGACCTCTCGAACCCGCATCCACCTCTGACGAATCTCGAATACCCACACCTCCCAGCTTCTGCAGCAAGGATGTACCTGGACCCGCGGGGGTAAAGATGTGTTCGGCGCCTTGTGGCGCGATGCAACGACGAGCGACTTTGAGCCTAACGAAATCATCTACCCATATGCGCTCAGCACCCCACCAAACTCCCTGGTACCTTGTTTGTGTTACTGTTTGCGATGGCGGAGCGGCACCCATGACTTGCGTGTTTAGCGAATTAAATTCAGATTGCGACATTTGTGGATCTGGTGCGGATGTATTGGGGTATGGTCGGGACTGGGGTGCATTGGGTGCACTTTGGGCTCGGACAATGGCGGCGGCAAGTGAATCTGGGGTATTTCGGTTGGGTTCTGAAGGAATGGTATACGTGTATTCGTAATCATCTGTTAGCGACCAGTACGCAGTCAGTCTGGCGGCAATCTGCAGCGCGACGGCGTATGGCGAAGCCGCGTCATTAAATGAAGCAACTTGGTTCGCCGGACATGGATCGAATTTCGTTGTATCTTCGGGCTCTATCTTTAGATTGACGCGAGGAAAGTTTTGCAGCGTGTCTACGACAGCAGCTGGCGCGTAGGCCTGATATGGGAGTACTTGATCGTCACGAAGGAAGTATTCACGATTCACGGCGAGGAGTTTCATCACATAAACTGTGGATTGCTGTACCGTCCACGGTGGTGAGTCGTCTTCACTTTCTTGCACAGTAGACTCGCCACCCTGGGAGGATGGTGGCGCCTGGGTGGGATCCCGAGGAGGGGGCGTTGGCTTTTGTAGAACAGTACTCTTCAGCTTCACATCTTCCACAAGTCCCGGCCAGAAGGTGATGCTGTCTGTGCCGTTCGGGCCGAGTATCGGTGGGTCAAGGGCACACCAGAGCAGTTCACCAGGCCTAAACCAGCGCTTGAGCTTCATGCTCGTCTTACAATTGATTGCCCGCAGATCAGAACTCCTGTCTGGGACGGCAGGAATCTTTGAAACTTTGGCCCCAACATGGGCTCGGGTAACGGAGGTGAAGACGCTCAGGTTGGAAGGTTTCTTGGGCTTCTTGTCGCGTATGGGACGACGAGACGGGCCGGGGGACTGAGTAGGCGTTTTACGCAGGGGCATTATATCGGCCATTTGGTAAGTTATGTCTTTCTGAGCGCGTTTCGTGCAGTATTTACAGAGGCACTGAGCATTGCGGTCGCCGTCTTGCAACTTCGTGAGCCAGACAGCGTGGGGGATGAATTCTGGCACGGAACGAAACCGTTTCCCCGGGGCACCTAGACGGTGATACGACGATCAGACGCTGCACGGCTTGTATTGCATGCGAACGCACCAAAGAGATAAATATCGTGACGTGGGGTGTCTGCCTTTCCCTTGTGGTGATCGTACATTGCATAATTCTTCGGCCATTTTTCGAGGACATAATCCTTTCCAGCTAAGCAGCTATCTTAGTCGAGGAGAGTAAACGGACAGTAGGCAGCTTACTTGGAAGTTCCTTTGCAAGTGCAATTGCTCTCCCTACTTCAACCTGCCACTTCTTGCATATCGGATGGTCGTAGTCCACTGGGTCCATGAAATTAACATGGCCCTCGGTGTCGACCACTCTTGTGGTGTTTACGGGCCAAGTGCTGCTGTCCCCGTCCGACGCAAGTATCTGCACCCATTCTGGGTTTGGAGGCAGACTATACTTCGCAGAATGTGTACGAATCCGAGCAGACATGGTACAACGAGAAGAACAGCTTGTAGTGATGCTATTTCCCAATAATCCTGATTATGACCGTGGGAATACTTATACTGACTCAATATATACCGCGAAAAATACTCGTTCCTTTTCTCAACTGATCTCATTTGAAACTTCTTGAAATTGTTGGAGCCTCACATTTCAAAGTAAGGAATCATAGATTCGCCGCACTTCATCTACGCCTTGGACTGGGTAACCCACAGACTTGGTGTTAAACGAGGCGGCAATAGCGGCCAGCGTCTTTGCAGATCGTCAACCATCATATATTTCCATAGGGCGACGTTTTGAAAGTTCGCAACATTCTTGTATTTCTAGAATGTATCTTTGACAATGGAGTTTCACGACCGTGAAGCCTCTGCTTGAAATCGGAGTCAATTTCATCGAACACAGGACAGACATCTTTTACCCCCCACAACGATCACCACCAACCCCCTCATAAGTGAAGAATGATGAGGCCAAAGTCGAAACACTGGGCTGTCTCTTTAGGTTTAACCGTGGCGACCTACTACACCTCGCCTGGAGGCGTGAGCGTACAGACGTTCCGTAGATCAGGTACACCTCTACCTGGGTCCATGGCGCTATTGACGCTGTCTTTGACTCTGCGCAAGGAGGAGTCAGGCAGTAACCTCGTCGGACTACTCGCAGGCATAGTGAAGGCATTTCCCAGTGACTGTCTTCTTGCTCCGGAGGATGAGAAGCCGCCTGTCTTCTTCTCTGACTTGCCGGATGAAGTCCTACTTCTCATTGTACACAGGATGGATAATACAACTATAGGGCGCTTTGCCCAGGTCTGCCGCAAGGCATGGCGGAGGTGAGTTTCGTCATTATAAACTGTTGTGAAGAATCATATATACATTGTAGAGACTTGGTCGTTTCGACGTATAAACCTCCACAAATTTCGTCGCTGACCGAGTTGGTCCCATTTATCGAGCGACATGGACATGACTACCGTCGCGTATATATCGAACAACCTAGAGACCGGCAGCCTGGGTTGACGTTGAGCGAGAACCACTGGGTCAATATATGTTCAGCCCATTTGTTCGAGCTACCCCAACTATAACCCTTGTTTTGTGCGTAGATCCGCCAACTTATAACCTACAACCGGTACTTGTGAGTCCCTCTCATTCGCGTACAGCATCGCATAGCTGATGCGACTACAGACGGTCCTTCCCTGATGGACGAGTGTTGTCCCTCCTTGTGAACGAGGAATACGCCCCACAGCAAATGATTCCGCTCTCGAGGAACAACTCCCGCATGAAGTGAAGGTGCCCATCGTTCCCTTATTCCCGGCAAAACTATCACCTCATCTATTCATCCACTCATCTTCGTTCATGGGGCCTTCTTGCGGGCGAATGGGCACTTGAGGGGACCACGATCCAGCTCTAGACTCTCAAAGCGTGCCCCCCAGACGGCGGTATATTCGCCGCCGTCCTCGACGACCATCTCACCAGTTCTTCCACCATTAAACCCTCCAAGTACGAAACGTCCAACACATCCACCGCCCGCGAAGCCTTGTGTTACGTCTTCACTATGACTCTCTCCCTGCCCTGTCACTGGCAAGTGGCGGGGGATGTGCAGCCTGTGGCGTTGAAGCAGGAAAGGCTGTTCTGGTTTTCTGAAGGTTAGATCGTATGCGTGAGTAGTCGGAGTCGGTCCTGGCTTTGCAACTCAAGTATGCTTGAGCGCGCCTAAGTACGTTCGTTTTGGGAACTACATTGCTTCAATAAGTTCTCCAAGCAGGGCATTATGGAGAAAATGTCAAAGAGATTGCAACGAGTACATCTCCATATGATGATTGGCCGACACGCATCATAAAATATGCAGCGTGGTGCAAAGAAGTGACATTTCCCCACATGTGCGATCAAAGATTGACCATGGCATCATCTGAGTTGACGCTCGGGGTGGACGTTGAGTTGTACCAGCATCTCGCCATACCAAGCTCATGACAAAATGGCGCATCAAGGGCGGTGGATGGCCATATCCTCTTCCTTGGACGGGGAGGCGGCTGGCAACGGGGGTCCCCTGTCATGGCCCTGACTCACGTGAAGACGCCCCTTTCATGCTGTATGTGATCGGACCGGCGCTATCAGCTCGTGGTCTTTAATGATGGAGCCAAGTTGAGCGACTGCCTTCTTTTTAGATGCCTCTAGTCGCAATCAGCCTCTTTCTTTCTTTCACGCTGTCTTTCACCCTCTTTGACCTGCGCTGGACATAATGTCTTCAATCAAGCTTGGGCAGTCCAGCGGCGAGCGACCTAGCAGAGGAAACTCGTACTCTCCAGCGCCCATGTCGACGAGGTATGTGCTTTGCAATGTACAGTGCATCGGGAGTGATTGACAGGAATTCTGTCGGCAGTCGTTTGGAAGTGGCTCTGCAGAGGATGTCACAGGAATCTTCGCAGCACGAGTACGATATCAAGCGTCTCGAGGTGAGTGCTTGCAATCGTTGTCGCCACTGTGGTACTGAAAGTTTTGCCAGTCGCAGCTTGCTGAGAATCTGAGTAACTTCCGTGCTATTAATGGCCTTCTCCAGGATGCGTTCGGGAGCATTCAGGTAGGTGCTCATCAATCATTCCAGGCCCTGTCTACCTTTCTGCTGCGAAGTTTCTGTTGGCTGACAGCTCCAATCATAGCGGACCACCAAGCGGGCTGACACGGCCCTCAACACACAAATACCGCGCATTTCAGACGAACTCGACGAGTCGCTGGACGCACTGGCAGAACTCGCAGAAGCGTTACCAACGATACGTACCCAGGTAGCCGATATACGGCGTGTCTACACTTCTGGTCGCCAAAAGGTACATCATCTTCCTCTCCCATCCCCGTCCCATCATCTTCTCGCTACACGTTGTCTGATGCTTCCTTTTGCGTTTCCGATAGGCACAATCGCTCGTAGACGACCTCACATGGCTTAACACCGAATTCTACGAGCGCTGGCGGACCATCATCTTCACGCCCAACAGCCCCGTCTCTTTGCGCTGGAAGGCCCTGATGCGGCTGGTCTTTGCCATCTCGTTCCTCATGTGCACATGGCTCGCATGGATCGCGCTGTCAGGCGCATACCGTGCGCATCGACAACGACTTGTATGGGGCGACCGGTTGATGTCCTGACCATTCCGTCCACTTGTTATCACGTTTGCTTCCGCTAATTTTACTAAATCCCGATACGGGAGGACCTTCGTTTGTGTTTGCCTTTTCAATTTCGATTTCTCTCTAGTACTCCAGAGCTTCAATGCGAGTTCCAACTGACGATTTTTACGACGGTATTGCATAAATCAGCGTTCGTAGATTCTACGACATAGCATTGTATCATTATTCCATATATCTCTCTAAATAAACTCAGCATATGCACCCCTGAGTTGGAACCTACCTACCATACACGGTCGTACCTGCAACCTGTAACCACACAATCCATTATCTATTTAGTATTATCTCATGGACGGATTCGACGACCTCCTTGCCCCGTCACGCAGCGTGCTCGAAGAGAACCCATTCGAGGATCCATTCGGGAAACGTTCGAACTCGCCGGATCCTTGGGCAACACCTTTCCTGAATTCCGTGCATGGAGGTGCGCATGATGATCCATACGCTGGCTTCGGGACGTCGAGTGCAGGAGCATCTGCGGCAGCGCCGGGATCAAGTGCATACGATGAACACGATGAAGGCCACCGTACGGTAGAGGAAGAAGCAAAGGCGGAGGTCCCCACTAGCCCTGGTGTGCGCGATGTGCGCGAACCACCGCTCACTATCGAATCAGCAAGCTCTGCGGACCCTTTGGAGTCGTCGCGGACGAAGGAGGACGCGACAGATGTTGAGGACGCTTCGTTGCTGCCACCGTCGGGTTCTACTCAGCCCCGTTCTCCAGGCTTCCGAGAAAGCGTCCCACAGTTCTCAGAAACGGCGACGATACGGCCGCCACAAGAGGACGCATTCCCTTCGTCTTCGTTTTCGCGGTCCCCTCCGTCGTCTACGACCATCGTCACTTCCCCGCCGTCTGATATACACGGCGACGGCGCCGACGCGAATAATGCCGTGTCGCCAATCCCACCGACGCCCACGTCCCCGTCCATGATCGGCAGCCACGCGCAGCCGTCGCCTGTCGTCTCTAATACACACAGTGCGGGAGCGGATTGGGGGACGCCGTTCAGCCAGTCGTCGAAGCCCGGGCTGGCGTTTGAGCAGTCGTTCGCGGGGCTGGGTCTTGGTGCAGAATCGAGTGGGTGGCAAGAGAATGCAACTTCCCCTACTGCCACTACCACCATCACTACCACGAAACCTAGCCCGAGCGAGGACGATAGCGACGATGATACACCCATTGGGCAGACATTCGGGAAGCTTGTCGCGCAGGCTGAGTCTCAGCAAAAGCGTCAGGTGTGTATTGTTTTGCAGTTATTTTTGTTACGAGACTGAGTACTGAGTGTTTTTGCGGTCTGGATGTAGTCATTGCAGAGGAACGACGCTGGTCTACAGCCGGTCTTCGTGATCTCGGTCGACGATCCTCAGAAAGTCGGCGACCCCATACGCGGGTACACGATGTACACCGTCCACACACGCGTGAGTCTCATTCTTCTCCGCCCCATTCCCAGAATATCAAGTTGAAATGTACTCGCCCGCAGACGACCTCCCCCATGTTCCAGAAATCCGCCTTCTCCGTCCTGCGGCGTTACTCCGACTTCCTCTGGCTCTACGAAACCCTCTCCTCGAACAACCCCGGCGTGGTCGTGCCCCCCGTGCCCGACAAGAACCCCTTCGGACGCTTCGACGACCAGTTCGTCAAGCAGCGACGGTTCGCGCTGGAGAAGTGCATCCAGAAAATTGCGAACCATCCTCTGCTGGGCAAGGATGCGGACTTGAAGATCTTTTTGGAGAGCGATACGTTTGCGCTGGATGTGCGTCTTTATTTTAATGTGGATGTGGATATATGCATATGAGTGTACTGATGCTTTGGGTAGATCAAGCATCGGAAAGCTGAGCTTGCCCATGAGAGGGGAGGCATTATGGCGTCCATTGGTCAAGCAGTCGCTGGTCCGAGGTTCTATGAAACAGACGAAGTTTGTCGCTTCCCCTCATCTTCTCCTATCAGTTGCTAACTACTCCTTAGTGGTTCGACAGGCAGAAGGTCTACCTAGACAGCCTCGAGTCCCAGCTACGGGGACTCGCCAAGGCCATCGATGCCGTCGCCAAACAACGCTCAGGTATGTACCTTCGAAGTCATATATAGACTATCTATCTTTTTGTATACGTCACTCATCCCGCAATACGGCAATATTGTAGAACTAGCGGCTGCCACGGGCGAGTTCTCGCAGAGCGTAGGCGATCTATCGGCGTCGGATATAGGGAAGGGGTTGTCCCATTCGTTGTCTGGGCTTGCGGACGTCGAGCGGATGGCGCAGGAGATTCAGAGCACGCAGTCTGAGCAGGATCTAACGACTATCATGGGCACTGGTGCGTTCCTCTCTATCCTGTATGCCTACTTCGTGCCGTTGCTCATGCTCTCGTGTTCTTGCAATGCAGTGGACGAGTACGCTCGGTTGATTAACTCCGTTAGGGTGCGTCCACTCTCCCTCAATTGATTAGTCAGTAGTTCATTTCTACCCTGCTTATTCGTCTAGATGGCATTTAGCTCTCGCATCCGCATCTACCATGCGTGGAAGCAGTCAGAAAGCGACCTCATTCGTGTCAAGCAATCTCACGAGAAGAACCGTGCCCAAGGACGTATCGCAACAGACAGGCTCAGTTACAGTCTAAGCCAAATCGCCGAGGTACATTTTATTCCTCATTCCTCACTCTCATCCTTTGATATAACTATCCTGAAATGATGCTCATAATTTGATTTGTAGGCAGAGAAACGCGCGGCAGAGTCCAAGCACGAATTCGAGCACGTCTCGAAACTGGTGAAATCCGAGCTTGCACGGTTCGAACAAGAGCGGGTGTCGGATTTCAAGGATTCCCTGCACGCGTTCCTAGAGGGTATGATTGAGAGGCAGAAACAGCTCATCAATGCTTGGGAAGGGTATCAACAGATGTTATTGAAAAGGGACAATGCTCGCCACCCAGCAAACGGTCGAGAAGCTCCCGCTCCAGCGTAGATTACTGATTAGGTTTCTGGTCCATGATCCAATGCGTTATGCGAATCAATATATTGAGATCGATAGAAGTGATTACTACAACATGTTAAGTAGAACGATGCGTCCAAGTGTCAATGATTGTTGATGTGTTGTTTTCTTGTCAGTTACCTTCCCGTCACTCACTCACTCCCAATAGCGAGGCATCTTCTCATCGCCCGCCACCTCCAAAAAGTCCGACGGTCTCTCCCGCTTGATTCCCCTCCGTCTATTATTGACAGGTAACCTCTGATACGCCGAGTCCTGCCCCATAGCTTGCTGATTCTGATATTGGTTGTTCCAATTTTGATACCCGCCTTGCTGCAGCATATTCTGCGCCGCCTGCAATTGCTGCTGCTGCTCCTGTTGCATCGACGTAGCCACCGCTAGTGCCGTCTGGAAAGTCTGCGCATGCGAGAGCTCCATCTGTAGCTGCTGGTACTGCATTTCGGTGGTTTGGCGGACGTGCGCCGGGAGGGAGGGGTTTTGGAGCATGACGGAGATCTGGGCAATCTGGGCTTGGAGTTGGGGAATGCTCGCGGTGATGGCCTGCGACATGTCCATTTCGCCGCCAGGTTGTTGCTCAGAATATAGATCCTGGTCAAGATTCGTCGCCTCTGGGTTTGATGCCTGCAAAGTAGTGGATAACCTTTTAGTAAATCGATACACTAGAGGTATGGAATGGGATCACCTGAGGGTCTGATGCTGTTTTACCATCTCCCTCGCCTTCCACTTTCTTGCTCTCTTCGATAGCACGGTCAATATACTCAGTAACCTTCGTCCGCATGGCCTGGTCAGGCGCAAGTTTGTCGAGTGAAGCCACTTTCTTGTCGCAATTGGGACACATGAAGTCGCGTTCGAGGAGATGCGTTTGTATACATTCTTCGCAGTAGACTTTTGCGCAGCACGGCGTCTTTACGGCGTCGCGGAATAGCTTACTATCAATGGGACAGGCGAGGGAGGAGTCTGTTGGAGCCTTCTCGCGAACTTCCGCTACGGTCAAACCTTTCGGTCGTGTTACTCGTTTCTGCCATGATGCCCTATGAATGGCTTGAATTAGCACGTCGTTGGAAGCAAGTGTGCGTGAAAGGTAATGCCCACAGGTCGGGTTGGGCGACGACATAACCTCCTTCGGGAGTGACCATGACGTTCTGCCCGGCATTCGGGTTCTCAACAGCTTTGAGCATACTTCGGGGAATACCAGTCGTGCGCTTTATACGAGGACGGTTGTCGAATTCCCGATCGTTGTTAGTCGGACAATCCTGAATCCAGTGTCCTTCGAGGATTATAAATGAGGATCAGTCTAATGAGCGGACAAACGGCGGCAGACCTTTCTGTCCACATCGATAGCACACGTAGCTCGGGGGCAGAGGCCGGTCATTCTGGGGCGCGGTGAACGGCTTGCCTCCGCGCGAGGGGAAGCCAGTACCACGCGGATTAGTGTAAATTTTGGTCGCACTTGTAACAAAACATTTATATGAGACAAGATGCTACAATACGACAAATAAGAATGCCGGTAAGGCGACACCAACTGTGACATCTTTTCCTGGGTTTCTTCCCAATTGGCGGTTTGTGCTTGGAACATGGCCGCCATAGCTGCGGCCTCATCCTCCTTGGTGATATTGTTCTTGACGAAGACAGGCTAATCCGAAGCGTCAAATCGAGGTATTGCTCAAGAGAATGTGATAAACGCACGGTCGCGGGTTTGGGGGGAGTTGACGTTGTTGCTTCCTCTTTACCATCGAAGCGCTTGGACATAGCACCTCTATGCCAGGCGTTGTGGGTGTTTGCACCGGGCCGTTGGACAGCATCCGAGGTTGGATGCTGGGAATTTGCTCCTGCAATATACATGCCAGCTCTGCCTTTGCCGGGTTTAATGGCAGGCATCCGCTTGACGACGACCGAAGACGACCGAGGAATTATGTGCGAGTCATCCTTGTACTCTTCGCCTGGTGAGCGTCTCCCCTTACATCCCAGGACTTGACTATACGCTCACCTTGGTTTGTATCGGCATCGAAGACGAACAGATCAAAGTCATTCGCCTTACCCAGATTGTTGGCTAGGATGATCTCTCTTTTGAGGTCGAACACTGATATTCCCGTACCGTCGAAGGTCACCCGAGACTCGGCTTTCTGAGATTTGAATTTGTAGAATATTGAAGAAGCCATGATATTAAACAAATATCATATAACTAAACAAACAGAGAATTTGAGAGAAAAGCTGGTGGTCAGTGATGGTGGTGGTTGCGGTTGCGGTGGAAGTGGTGGTTGAGCGTGGCGTTGTTGTGACTGAACGACAATGTCACAGTGTTGCGTGTGGGAAAGTGTTACTTGGGGCAGCCCCTGTCACTAGGAACATCCGAGCGCTTACCGGAGGCTCCCCTGGAGCGCCCTCGGAAAGCAGCGGATCGTCCGTCGCGTTATTGTACCGTGTTTGCAGCGGCGCCAGGTTCGGTGACCCTATATATAGAACCGTGTAAACGTACGATTTCTGCAGCAAATTTTGCGACCAACGCACGACCATGGGTGTTCAGCACGACGGCGCTGAACTGCGCCAGCGCAAAGCCAACGGTGACACGCAAAAACTTGTCATTACGGACGAGGGGAAGAAAAAGGACCAGCTTTTGGACCAACATACTACGTGAGTTACCACTGCCTTCTCAGAAAAATGACTGTTTTGACATTCGTTTGGTAGATATGAGTTTGGTGGACCATGGGGCGTCGTGGCAATCATGACTGGCTTCCCAGTGCTCATGTACTATCTCTGGATTTGCTTGTGGTTCTACGACGGCAAGCTCGTGCACCCTACTTCTGTTGAAGATTTCAAGCCGTTCCTCCTGAGGATGTGGGATCATGTTCGCGTTGTATGTTTCAATTTAGTGACCGAATCGTGCATAGACTGACATGCGGGTTTTAAGGATGCTTATCCAAATGCCTACGCTTGGAAGGTCTACTCGGGGAATATCTTCTTCCAGCTATTCCTTGCCTGGATCATGCCTGGATACAAGCAAGAAGGCTTACCGGTGCCCTCCCTCGGCTACAAGACGCTCATGTATAACTGCAACGCCCTCACCTCCATGTATGTTACCTACATCACCGCCGCCGTCCTCCACTACACTGGTACATTCCGCCTCACGGAGATTATTGACAACTACGGGCACATTATGTCGGTCGCCATGATCTGGGGCTTTGGCGTCTCGTTCGGAATGTACTTCTTCGCCATCGCTACGGGTACGCAGATGAGAATGTCGGGCAATTTCTTCTACGATGTGTTCATGGGTGCTTCGTTGAACCCGCGCATTGGCTCCGTCGATCTGAAGATGTGGGCTGAGGTCCGTATTCCTTGGGTCATCGTGTTCTTCCTCGCCGTCTCCGGTGGCTGCCAGCAATACGAGAAATACGGATACGTCACACCCGTAAGTGACCTCCGTCTCCGTCAATCGTTTCTTGCCTCAGCCTTTCGTTAGAATATGGCGTTCATGATTCTCGCAACGTGGTTCTACTTGAATGCCTGGTGAGTTGGCCTTTCACATCGTCGTAAGAACGCAACTGAATACTCTGCAGTTGTAAAGGTGAAGAATGTATTCCCCAGACTTGGGATATGTATCATGAGAAGTGAGTACTGCGATTCCCTGCTTTCACGGTCGCGTGCTCATTGGTTGCAGGTGGGGGTTCATGGTTATCTTCTGGAACCTGGCGGGTGTACCCTTCGTACGTGGTTCGGCTCCGACGTTTTGACTTTGGCTCACAATTCCGTTAGACTTACGTCTACTCGGTTGTCTACATGGCGTCTCATGATCCCTCCAAGTACCAATTCTCCACTCCTACCTACGTCCTCATCTACTCTACGCTACTCACGGCGTACTATATGTACGTTTTGCTCTTCAAAGCCTCATCCGTCAATACTAATCATGCGCGACAGCTGGGATACCGCAATGGCTCAGAAGAGTCACTTCAAAATGCAGACTCAGGGTATCCACGAATTCCGCAAAACCTTCCCCCAACTCCCCGGCTGCGTCGTCGAGAATCCAACATACATTCAGACCGAACACGGCAACCGCCTGCTTACTAGCGGGTGGTGGGCGTATTCCCGCAAGCCTGTGAGCACCCTTTACATGTTCTCACCTTCTGTGACTCAAATGTCTGATAGAACTACGTCGCGGACTGGACTATGAGCTTTACTTGGGGCGCCATCATCGGCACAGCTACTCCAATCCCCTACTTCTACTCAGTGTTCTTCATCACCGTTCTCATCCATAGATGTAGCCGTGACTTTGAGCGGTACGTTCTGTCTTCTGTAAGCTGTATTTGGGTGATTCAACTCATCCTTGTCCCTTGTAGATGCTCTATCAAGTATGGCAAGGACTGGGAGCGTTATTGCGAGGTTGTCAAGTACAAATTCATACCTTACATCTACTAATGCAATATGACTATGTTTGGTTTATCTATGTTTACCAAATGACCGATTATGGACTGTGTGAATGTGAATGAGTCATGTGACGCTCGGCGTTGGGTTTCTGACTGTGGTGTGCCTGATATAGCAAGTGTGTGTTTTGCTCCGACCACGTAACGAAACCGTCCACACGACGCACCAGTGCGTTCTCCGCGCGCCTTTGCTGCTTCAAAGGCTCGCATAAGCCCAGCTGCCACTCTTATCTCTTTGGCTCCGTGCCAGCGCGATATCAGACGACCTTTTCACGACTCGGCCATCTGGTCTATCCCCTCGCATCCACAGCTACGCCATGATTTCATCCCGAAGGAAGACGCGGACGCACAAGCGGTCGGCTTCAATGTCGAATGCCCCAGGATATGATGATGATGAATTCAACGAACCCCCTCCGCAGCACCCGACCTCCTCTTCACCCGCAAAAAAGTTTGTCACCAATGTGAGACGGACACTCAGCCAAACGAGGCAGAGAAAGAGAGACGCAGAGCCAGTGAGTCGCGCGGTCTCGTTGTGCTATCTTCAGTATGCTGAAGGCGTCGACCATGTGCAGCAAGAAGCAATGCCGCCTCCGCCGTACGCACCGTCCTCAAGTCACTACCGTTATCACGACCCCTCTACAGTGCCCTCCACATTTCCTCCGACCCTTGAGCAAATAGCCATGGGCTTACATATCTCACGCACGCCTCACTTACGGACGATGACAGTTGGTCTCCGAGGAAGGGGAAACTCTTCCGTCGGAAGAACCCCCAATACCCCTGACGTCGCACAAGTGTACTATTCGCCGTATCTGTCGCAGAGCAATGGCAGCACGATAGTCGGAACCTCGCGTTCCCATTCCAGGTCCAGCTCGCGTGCTCATGCGCGAACTCCCCCCGTCCAAGCTCCCCCAGTTCCTATCTTGCCACAACGCTCCGTATCTCTTCCGCCCCCGCCGCAACGTTCGTCCCTCAAACGCCCCTCTAGCCACACTCCCGAACCCACACCACGGTCTACATCCACGACACCTGGTTTGTCCAACGGTTCTGTCACATCCGCCTCGACCGAGTCTAGTCTCAGCACTACCCGTTCGTCGCTACGAGGACGCTCACTCCTTAACTTGTCACTCAAAGGTAGAGTGGGTTGGCTCCTACCGGGCAAGGGCAAGCAGGCAAAGAACAGCTCTGACACACGCTTAGCTGTGGCTTACGAAGGCGACGAACAAATTATTAGGAAGGCCGTGCGATTTGATGAGCGTGTCTCAGTCGATGCCCAGCGCGACAGCGAGGAGCTTGCACACACAACTTCTTCTACCCCGGGGACAGGCCGTTCGTAATCGACGAACTCGCTCTTCTCTTGCAAACGCTAAGCGCGTCTTTGCTTTGGTGATATACGGCTTCTTACTCATCTCTCGTCTGGGTCGGATTACGGAGCTCACTTTCCGGCTCCTATGCTTAGGCTTTTTCACCCTGTGCCATTTTGTTTCTGCACCGCGACACCTCCCCTCCCCCATCTACACATTTGCATGCTCTTATATCTTTATTTCACAACTGCGCATTACTAGGCAACACTATTTTTATTCGTCAATCACATACATACACATATTGCATATCATTACACTCCAGTGCACCCGCGAACGCTCCCGCCTTGCTGCACATAGTATTACCCAGTGTAGATGTTCAATACAATGTCCAACTTGGTTCAACTTCGGTGGCTGGCTGACGGAAGTATAACGGCTTGTCGGCAGCGGGCAGGCGCTAGGGTTCGGCATTTCCCCTATCCAACTTTCGAAGGGCTGCGCCCTCGGCGACAGCTTGTTCCCTCTTCCACCCTCCACCACCTCCTCTGCGCATACCTTCGACGTCGAGACGGCTAGCTTGAAGGACCTTCTCAACGCGTTACAGCAAAGGTTCAGGTTATAGAATCCGGCATTCGCGCTTCACGTGCGTGGCGCTAGAAATTAGAATCCCAAGAAACTTCGCCCTCCCACCCCCGCGAATCGTTCACATCGATGGCTCCAGTAGAGACAGAGTATTATGACTTGGTGCGTCGGTTACTTTGATCCTTTGGGATAGAAACTGACGTTATATCATGTTCATCCGTGTCCGTCGCGATGTAGCTGGGCGTGCATACTGATGTCGAAGATGTGGAATTGAAGAAGGCATACAGGAAGCAAGCCATGAAGGCGCGTCAGAATATACAGTGTATGCCAAAGACTAACGCATTGCTGTCTGTCATTAGTATCACCCCGACAAGAACCCGTCAGCCGACGCGGAAGAGAAGTTCAAAGAGATCAGGTGAGTCATATTGCCCTCATGAATGTCCAGAATTTAACTGTTTAAACATTATAGTGTAGCCTACCAGGTTCTATCGGACTCGGTGCGTATCATGCTTTCGCTTTGTGTTACCTGGCATTGACATAGGCTGAAGAATTTGCGAGCCGTTTACGATAAGAATGGGAAAGCAATGGTGCGTCTAAGCGAGTTTTCTTCCGATGATTGGTGGCTGACTCGCGCGAATTTCTAATCAATCGGAAATGCGTATGCAGACGGACAAAGAAGGAGCGCATACAATGGAGGATGCGGCTGGTTTCTTCGCAAATGTCTTCGGTGGCGAACGGTTTATGGACTACGTGAGTTGCACCGAGTTGACTCAAGTATGCATTACCTCACCTACGCCCGTTAGATCGGCGAAATATCAATCATGAAAGACATGACATCGACCGCTACAGCAATGATGACTGAAGAGGAGAAGACAGAGATCGAGCGACAAATGAACGAAGGCCGGGATGGTGCTGCTGCGACTCCAACTGTGGCTGGTGCACCCGCTTCTCGTACGCACCTAACGCTTTCCTTTCTGTCGTATTCCTGAGGATGACGTGTGGACTCGAAATATAGCGGCGGATGTTCATGTATCGCCTGCTCAACCTTCCTCTCCTTCAAAAGAGTCGCAAACGCCTTTACCCAGCTCGAATCCTCCGTCCGTCACGTCCAGTAGCAACATCGCTGCTTCATCCGTCCCAACCTCCCCATCAGCACCCGCCGGCGCCGCCGTACCTTCATCGTCGACATCCAAAGACGCCGCGAAAGATGCGGCCGATGCTAAAGAGAAAGACAGGAAACGCAAGCTTACGACAGAGCAGAGAGAGGCGTTGCAAAAGCAGGAGCAGGAGCGGAGAAAGCGGATGCAGGAGAGGGTCGAGACGTTGACGAAGAAGCTGATTGAGAGGCTGAGGCCATTCGTGGAGGCGAAGAAACCTGGAGATAAGGATGATGCCGAGACCGTGGCGTTCGAGGCGAAGATGAGACGAGAGGTGGAGGATCTGAAGTTGGAGAGCTTTGGTATTGAGGTGAGCTCTATGTCTTGTTATGTCCGAATACCCCGGCGCATTCGGGCAGGATCGAGCCAAACTGCGGCCGCTCGAGTTGCTTTGGATCGTTCTACGGCTGGTTCTTCGGTTTGGTATTCTGGTTTACACCGACTATCGCACCGTTCTCATCCTTGTCACGCGTGCCCTGTCCGGACTGGGCGCAGAGTTCCCCAGCATACCCCAGCATCTCTAAGACCTCCATTCTCCATGGAGTTTTCTCAGATCCTTGATCTCGTCTGTCACCGCCGGTCTGTGACAATTACACAGCCTGTCTTCGCTGCGCTCCCGCCATTATTCGCGACATCTTTTATGCTGTGATACTAATAGCACATTGATGTACAGCTGCTCCACACCATAGGTCATGTGTACATGATGAAGGCGACCTCATTCCTGAAGTCGAGGAAGTTCCTAGGCATGTACGTGCTTCCTCTGATTTCACGACATCACTCTCGCGGGATCGTGTATTGCGTCACTCCCTTCGATTGTGCTCAGCTGACATGAACACGCCTACCTAGACCTGGCTTCTTTTCCCGCTTGAAGGAGAAGGGTACCCTCGCGAAGGACGTTTGGGGCGTGATTGGGAGCGCGTAAGTGTCTGCATTTTGATAGCCCTTCTCCCGCTGAAATGTCAATCAATACCGTTCTCAGGTTGAGCGTCCGGGATGTCATGTTGGTAAGTGTACCCCCAATTAGGGCGCATATGCAATGATTTGACGTATGCCGACTTTGTCTTGTGCTGAACCTAGGAAATGGAAAAGTTACAAGCCAAGGGCGAAGTAGCTGAAGAGGAGCTGAGGGCGCTCGAGATGGACATGACCGGTAAGGTACGTGCTCCGTCGTTGGCATGAATATTCGGTTTCCTCGTTCCTGGTGCCTATACCTTACTATGCATTATATGCAATGTTCGCCGCCATTCTTGGAACACCGCATTGATGTTTCCTTCTTTCGCAATGCTGACTTGAACATCCGTTTGTAGATCATGCTGGCGTCATGGCGGGGAGCACGTTTGGAAGTCATACAAGTTCTCCGCGAGGTTTGTGATTGGCTCAACTCTCATTCCCCGATCGTTCATGAAATACATGCCCTCATAGGTGGTGGATAAAGTCTTGAAAGAACCCGGCGTGTCAGACGTAGTGTTGGTGAACAGAGCAAGGGTACGTGTTCCAATCATCTAATTCACCTTCCGGATACGCCCCACTCAGATTTATCATCACCGCTTGTTGTTTCTTATCTGTTCTCCTTCGCCATGTGCATCCCTTGCTAATCTGATTGTACAGGGTTTGCTCTTCATCGGCGCGATATTTAAAGCGGCTGTTCCAGATGAATCTGACGCAGAAAGGCGCGAACTAGAACGGTAAGTGGTCTTATTGCTTCCGCTTATATTGTTCTCATTTCTCCTCTCCGTGCCATCTAGAATGGTCGCTGAGGCTGCCCAGCCCAAGTCAAAACACCATCCGTCGAAACTCGCAGCCTTACGTGCGAAGCGTGAAGAAGCCGAACGTTTAGCGAAAGAGAAGGGAACTCCTGCTCCTGGTACTTCGCCGACCGCCGCACCTTCTACACCGCTCACCGAAACCCCTGCCGCGCCTGCTTGAGACTGCGAATTTATGCCCCGTTGCTTTTTGCTTATAGCTAGTTAGACCCTCGTACACTCGCTTCATCTATCTACGCGTACATATATAGGGACTTGATCTATTTTCATACTACACTACAGTTAACTCACATAATAATTTGCCTTAGCTATTTAACTGATGCCTCGTTAACGACGGAGTATCCGTTCGGAACAAGGGTTCGCTCATTTGCCGTTGACCATTTGGTGAGCACACTGCACCTATGTGCGTCTCAAAGTTTAATACAACGATGTCTGCTGCTCTGGATAAATGATCCTACCTGGGCGAAGAATGCGTCGTCGGACAGAAGCCGCAAGCCTGTATGTGCTAGACCCTTTGTGATGACAATAGCGGCATCATGGGCTGCCTTCGTACTCGCCGACTGGGCAAATGCAGGCGTATGGTTGCCACCACCAGGCGAAGTAGGTATCGCTGTAATTGTTCAGATGCATCCTGACTTTAGGTAACGATAAACGTACCGAACATTGGGTGGAGAGAAGGTAGACCTTGAATCGGCTTTAGACATGGAAGGAGGCAGGTTGGTAGAAGATGTACGCACGATATGTCACATTACCCTAGAAGCACCGTTGAGTTCAGCATTTAGAAGGAGAAGGAGATCTAGACGAACGAAATCTGTCGATGCAGTACTTCCGTCGGTGCTTGTAATGAAGCCATAGCGGTGACCCACTATCTTGGAGAACTCTTCACCTATCGAGTTGAGCTTGGGTTAATTGTATGATCCCGAAGCCACTGCGCGTAGATCTTACCCATAGCAGGGTTCTGGTGTAGGTCATAATACGGCAGGCCATACGTTATTTTATATTCGCATCCTGTCGCCATCGCCGCCGCTCTATTTTCATTTATCAGATATGAACTGCGTTGGAACCATGAAATCACGAACTGAAGGCATGCCACCACTCTTTCTTGAAATACCTTGAGTTCTGGATATGTTGCCGTGCGTATTATCCACTGCATGGATGCATAATCAGGTATCACTTATTGATATCGATTTGTTCTCAGCGATTAAACGCACAAAGATGAATGAAAGCTACTCACCGTTCACTGCCCAGTCTTTACCTGGGCCGATGATGCCGTGGACACGATGATCAGGTTTTATCTGCTGCCGAAGTACGGAAATGCCGGAATACGCAAGGAAGGCAGCGTCAAGCGCATTCGTTCCTTCCCTATAGAATTAATCTAGGCTCAGAAGCTAAGGATCAGAAAAGAAAAGAACCTACCACGGCGAGGCGCCTGCGTGTGCACTATAATTCGTTAGTCACATTAATTATCTTCGTTCAAGGAAGGAAGTAACTGTGATACCCACGCAAGACCAAAATACTCGACATTAATGGGTTGCATGGCATTTGTGCTCCCCGTGCTTGCTGACTGCTGTGGACCGGGACTGGGGTGACACCTGCGAAGCCGAAGCAAGTGAGCCGATGGGAAGAAGCCGCCATGTCATTTCGTGGCCGTACATCACACACGCGTCCATCTCATCATAACCACCTCGATCGAGCAGAATAATCTTCCCCCCTCCCCCTTCTTCAGCTGAATGTGATATACGGAGAGTCAGTGAAAGTGTCAACCTCAAAACGATGCCCCGAAAGGGAATGGAAGTACCAGGTGTTCCCAAGAGAATCACTTTGCCAGGGATGTCGTGAGCTTCCAAAGCCGCTTTGACTGCGATGGCCACACCAACTCCACTCATGGCAATCAGATTATGCCCACAAGCATGGCCCATTCCAGGTAGGGCGTCCATTTCGGAGTTAATCCCAAGGACTCGACCTCCTTCAGAGCGCTGGAATTCAGCTCTCCATGCAGTGTCAAGACCTAGGTAATGTCGGGTGACAGTAAACCCATGGCTGAACATAAAGTCCGTCAACAGGTCATGAGCGAACCTAGCGCAAGTCGTAAGTTAGTAACTAAATGGGAAACAGACAGGTGTTAGTAACGTACTTCTCCTCGAAACCCAATTCAGGATGTCCTAAAACAATTAGCAACGTATCAGTCAAGTGTATGGAGGCTCGTTACCATGTATTTGAAGGCTCAAATCCCGCAATTCAGGGTTCAGTTCATCAAGTTTGCGTTCGATAGTCCGAAGCACGTCCGGTCGATAGATGTCCTTTAAAGAGTCCGAAGGAGAATACGCTGGAGGCTTTTCTTCCCCTTCACTTGGCCACCATTTCTCTGGCGGAGCGTAAGAAAAGTCGCAGCACAGATTCATTTGGCGACATGGCGGCTACATCCAAAAGACCATTGAGCGCTCGTGTTTTGATCCATGCGAGAATAGATATTAGGAAGCTGCATACCGTTAGATCGGATTTGTAAACGTCTTCATATTTGGGAGCTGGGCTCTTGTTCGTGGCGTCCTTGTTAGCCTTTCCAGAAGGCTTGGACGACCGATGAAATAACGCGCTGAAGCATCCAGGAAGTCGAGGCGGGGACATCTTGGGCTTCAACTGCAACTGTGGGGAGGAAACGCTCTCACCCCTTGTGCGTACTTTATACGAAACTGCACGGGCACCGGCGGTTGAGTAAAGCAGAAGAATCATTAATCGCTTCTCATGTGGATGGCTTTCAACTTCCCGTAGAAGTCGGCGTTTAGATAACCTCGGACGGGTCACAGCCACTGAAATGCAAGGCCAGGATAGTATACACAGTCTGGAAATGGAGCGGAAAAGTACTAGAAATGATGGGAAACCTTATGAGGTGCTACCGTGACTATTTATCGAGACAGATGATGAGTTCATGTGCACACCGAGGTACTGCGCGAACTTCGCCCACTTCCCAGGTTCTTTGGGAAGCAACTTGTCCTCGCCCTTCACACCAACGTATAGTTTCCCAAACCGCGAGTAAAGTTGGCAATAATTAGCCGTTGATGATGATGCCGCCGTGCGTGGGTTAGCGATCATGAGAAGAGTCTCGGTTTCGGTCTCGTTCACAATTTTTGCGATCTTCAAGAGGCCAGGTAGAAGCTCCATTGACCCTCGCCGAGTAGTAAGCTGGATGACACCGGAAAAGCTTCGAGGGATGAAGAGGGCAACAGTCCCTAGGATATTCTTTTTAGTACGCGTGAAGAAGCAGTGATATATTTCATACCTCGTCGGGAGGTCATATCAACATTGATGGTTTGGTCAGGTTGCGCGTCGGCCTGTAAGTTGTTAAGTAAAATATATATCGTGCAGAGTTATTGATTTACGCACTAGTGTGACAGTTATATCTCCTGTATGACTTGATGCTCTGGCTATGGATTTCGCCCGCCCTTCGTGCAAGCACGCAGTAGAGAGTTCGACGTTGATGGCACCTTGGTGAGTTTCGAACGAAACATTAGGAGGGGCTCGCCAGCCCTTCGGTGGGCGGTGGGTGTCTGACGCGGGCAGACATGGATCAACCCAATACGATCCTTCCGCGAAATGAGTGGGGTGCTGTGTTGATTATCAAGTATCGATTTACCTGTGATGTCTTCTTTCCGTTTCTGTAGGTGAAGCCCATTTACGGGCGCGCAGTCCGAATCAGCACGCCGTATAGAAAGCGAAGGCGGCGGTGCTAGTGAGGCTGCAGGCGCTGCTCTGGAACTTGTACTGGGATAGGCCGGGCCATACGAACGTTCAATGTCGCTGTACGGAGGGGGGTCTTGAGCCTTTGGCTGGGTGTCAGGTGAGGCATCATCCATCAATGATTAGCGTTCCGTTACTCGGACGCGAAAGTGTACTTACCTCGTCGTACTTTCGAACTAGCACAGAAGATCTTGCTTCAAGTATCATGGTAGTGAAAGAAGGGTTTGAGAAGAACTTCTGGTAGGGAATCACATATATATGTCGAGACACCGTAACACTGCCCTGATCAAATTGCGCGTGCGATGTGCCCGTGGCGACTGCGCAGTCTGCGCCGCTAGTACGGCAATGATTTGACTACAGCTTTTGATTATGTTCGTTGCCATGATCTTGGGCGTGTCGCCGACGGTCCCCTTCACCCGCTGTCTGCGTTCTGGTCTATAAGAGGGCGTATCGAACCCGGGCCGGCCAGTGACTTCTCTCTACCGTCACCCAATGTGCCCAAAGCCGCAACCAAAGTACGCAATTCAGAACGTCCAGCTGCTGACACGTTTTGGATGGCGCTAGAAAATTTAGCAGGTGAGTAGGCAGTGTACGGCACTCCGAGTATGTGAATCTGATATAAAACTATACCAGCGACGAATGAATATTGAATGGCCATTCCTGCACTACAGCAGGTTGGGCGCGCGTCTGCACCAGGACTTCTCTTCTCAGGCATGCGCACACCGTAGAAAGAATGGATCGTACTTGGAGCATCATGGATCAGATAGGCTCAAACTGCCAGCCACTGGAAAGCCGAGTTCGCAGCCCTTGGCGACTCGGTGCCGGCAGTCTCTGGCACCTGGTCTTCCAACGTGTACCTCTGCAACGTTTCAACCTTTTCTGCCATGGCGGGGATGCTCTTTTTAACCCTCCAGTCCCTCGGCCTCGTCCCTGGCGTCACGTATCTCGTAACCGCCATTGGCGTCCTCCTGCCTTCTCGAATACTTCGAACCAGCGCGTTCTTGGTCAATTCAGTCATTGTCTACTATAGTATTCGGTCCACTGCGACCAACGTCCCCGCCCATGACTACTCTGTTGGTTCTGGTTACATAACGCTGTTGATTCATTCATCAGTTCTTTTGCTTTTGTCTTCGCCACGCTCCGATTTTCGACAGCTCAATCAAGCGGAACCGACGACGACGTTATCGTGGTTACAATGGGCGTTCGCTCTTCTTACCAGTCCTCGTCTGATAGGATGGACGACGGGGAAAGACAAAGAAGGCGTTCGCAATTGTCCCCCTCAATCATCGGCTCATCTAGCACCTCCGCGGCCATCCCTGACAGAACAATTCAAAACGGTGGGCAATCGAGTGGCCGTTTTGGCCACCGTTCTAGCCATCCTAAACACCAGAACCTTTCGCCTGAATGTCGAAGGGGGTCCTCGACTCGTTGACCTGCCATGGCTCTGGAAATCGGTTTACGTTGTCATTTGCGGCTGCGGGACATACGCAGTGATCGACGTATCACACAGACTTTGGATGTTGCTGCTGGTGCTTGCTCGCGTACGGCAGCCGTCGGACTTCCACCCCGTGTTTGGGTCAATGGCGGATGCGTATACACTGCAAAGGTTCTGGGGGTAAGTGGTCTTTGTACACACACGTAAAAATCAAACAGCATGCTTACTTCTCACAGCCGAAGTTGGCATCAAATTCATCGACGAGTACGGGCCCTTACGTCCCTGCCACCAACCCGACTGCTGACAATCCTCCCGTAGAAATTCCTTGCCCATGCGGAATTCATAACGCGGGACCTTCTCGGACTTCCAGAAGGCTCCACCTCAGCGGCAATCATCAAACTGTATACTTCGTTCTTCGTTTCTGCCTTGATCCACGCGGGCGGGGACTACGCATGTCTGCGAGGTAGTTCAGTGGTGAAGACTAATTACTTCGGAGGCGGGGGGAGCATACCATTTTTTCTCCTCCAAGCGCTTGCCATCCACGTCGAATCCATGGTGATCGCCGGTTTTCGAAGAATGGAGCGTGCGTGGTTCAATCAAGGAATGAAAGAGATAAGGGGAAGGAAGGCGCTGAAGCTTATTGGATATCTGTGGGTGTGGGTGTGGATGACGTGGACCGTACCAATTGCCCTAGGTCCATTGCTTGAGGGAGGCCTGGCGAGTATAACTGTATACTAACTGGAGCGAATCTGCGGGCACAGGCTGTGTTCTTGTTTCTTGGTATGTCATTTATATATGATACAGTAAGCGTCCCACCCTTTTCATGTATATGTTGTACCTTCATGTTACTTATACCTATGTGTATGGTGGATGATGATCTAGCATTCTGGCGTTGTCGCCGAGCACCTTTGAGTTGTTCAAGTGGATGGCCCCTTTGCCTCCTGTGCACCCCTAGATAAGATAAGATGGTTAGCAATTCCTCTCAAAAGGGGTTGTTTGGCTAGCGCTTATCACGCAAACAAGTCCGGAACGAAGCACCTTCCAGACTCACTAAACGCTTACTTCAATGCAATGGCGTCCACAGTCCAGGTAGCTCAGACGGACGACCTGAGCAACATCTTCCAAAACCTTAGATCAAAGAATACCGATCTCAGAGACAGGGCAGCGGAGGACCTACGACGATATGTGCGTTCTACCTTACTCAGTATGTTGTGCATGCACTCACCAATAATGTAGGTTGTCACCAAAGTCTCAGAGATGACCCCGGACGCCGCTGCGAAGATATGGGACGACACAATCAACCGAAATCTGTTTGACTTGATGCACAGTCAAAGCAATACAGACAGATTTGGTGGCTTACTGGCTATTGGTGCGTGGCCGGCCTACCAGTGGTGCATATCACTTATTGCGGATCAGACCACCTTCTGTATCCGAATGGGGAGGAAACAATCGAATCAAAACGACACTTGTATCGGTTCTACAACTATGTCAGGCATCAACTTCCTAACCATGATATCAATCTCATGCTCGCGGCATCCAAAACGCTCGGTCAAATAGCCCATGCAGGTGGCGCTGCGTTTGGCGACAAATTCATGGACTACGAAGTCCAGGGTGCGATAGAATTGATGCAACCGGACAAACAAGAGTCCCCCCGCTATGCTGGAGTCCTCATCCTCAAAGAATTGGCGAAGAACAGTCCTAGTCACTTCTCGTCACATATTGGCGTCGTGCTCGACAATATTATACTGCCACTGAGAGATCCGCGGGTCATAGTACGCGAAGGAGCTGCTGAACTGCTTGCAGCTTGCCTGGAAATCATTACCAAACGCGAAAAGCAATCACGAAACGCTCACCTACAGAAGATCCTGCAGGATGCGCAGCTTGGGCTAAGACAGTCGCAGCCGGAAGTCATACATGGCTCCCTCCTCACCTACCGTGAACTGCTGATCTACGGAAAGATGGTCAGTTGGCTCGGTTTGGTGTTTGTCGGGCTAATGATTTGAATAGTTCTTCAAGGATGCGTTCGTAGATGCCGCCGAAACTATCCTTCGATTCAAGTCACATAGGGACAGCCTGGTCCGCAAGATGGTTATAACGCTGATACCTACATTGGCCGCGTACGATACGGCGGCCTTCATCGAGCATTTCTTACACAAGGCCATGGGACATTTATTAACGCAACTAGACAAGCCAAACGAACGCTCTTTTGGCATGTACATATTATTTATTACCACCCTACTTTGCTAAAGCAAACTTCACCAGCATTTATCGCAATCGGACATACCGCCGCCGCCATCAATGGTGATATGAAGCCTTTCCTGGAGCCAATCATGTCGCATGTTAAATTGGGCTTACAAGCTCGAGGGTACGTTTGCGATCCCTTTGACTGTTTCAAAGTTAATCGATGCGCAGAAAAAAGAACGCCCCTTCAGAGGAACCCATCTTCCAATGTGTCGGCATGCTTGCCAAAGCTGTCGGCCCCAACTTAACGAAACTCCTTCATGATCAATTAGACTTAATGTTCGCCTGCGGGTTGAGCGGAGCGCTGATCAGTGCACTCAAAGAGATCACCACCAATATCCCCCCGCTCCTGAAGACGATCCAAGGTTAGTCAAAGTATCTACACGCAAACCCAAGTCTCATATTGGTTGTAGATCGCCTGCTAGACATACTCTCTCTGATCCTCAGCAATCAGCCATATAAGCCACTCGGCGCTCCACCTTCACTCGGTCGCGACGCCAACGTCGTTGCGCGGGAGCTAAGCACAACCCAGGTACGTGGGTGTGTTCCCTTCGCATACGCGTGGCTCACGCCCTTCAGATCAACGAGCATAATTCCGACCGGATAACTCTTGCTTTGACAACTCTTGGCGACTTCGACTTCAGTGGTTGGTTCTATTACTTCTGTTTGAGTCGTCCTGTATCTGATTGGAACTACAAGGTCATGTTTTGAACGAATTTGTGCGCAACTGCGCTTTACCGTACCTGGAAAGCGATAATGCGGAAATCCGGGAAGCTGCAGCTGTTACATGTTGTCGACTTTTCGTTCAAGACCCGATATGTTATCAAGCCAGCAATCACGCCATCGAAATCATCAGTGATGTCCTGGACAAGCTGCTCACAGTTGGAATCGCTGATCCGGGTAAACAACTTCCCTTGTTTCTTTTGCATCGGTGTCTCTAATTCGGTCTTGCCGTAATAGATGCTAAAATTCGACATGTTGTCCTATCGAATTTACACGAACGCTTCGACAAACATCTCGCCCAAGCAGAGAACGTACGATCTCTCTTCATTGCTCTAAATGACGAAGAGTTCAAGAATCGCGTGACGGCGGTGGGGCTTATTGGCCGGCTTGCTAGGCACAATCCTGCATATGTGATGCCGGCCCTTCGCAAGGCTTTCATTCAGTTGCTGACTGAATTGGAGTATTCTGGCGTGATGTAGGTAGCAAATCAAACCTTCACTTCCACCATTGACCCTTCTACAGGCGTAATCGCGAAGAATGCACGCGGCTGCTGACCCTTCTGGTTAGTGCGACTCAACGACTCATTAAACCATACGCCCTCTCGATGCTCCGCGCCCTTCTCCCGAAGGCCAACGATAGCAACCCTACGGTAGCCTCAAACGTCATGACGTGCCTTGGCGAACTGGTTTGCGTTGCTGGTGAAGACGCGATGCCCAACGTTCCCGACCTGATGCGGGTCATTATTGATAGACTTAACGATCCAGCCCTTGTAAAACGAGACGCGGCTCTACACACCTTGGGTCAAGTCTGTTCCAGCACCGGATATGTGATCCAACCCCTCGTCGACTATCCCCAGCTCCTCCCGACGTTGGTGCGGATCTTGCGCACGGAGAATACGGTGTTTGCAAAGCGGGAAGTAGTGAAGGTCCTTGGGATTCTTGGCGCTCTAGATCCTTTCAGACGCAAGGTAATGTCGGATTCCTTGTTTAAAGCCTATTCACTGAGCGATTGTTCGAAGAGCAAAACTCAGGAAGAGCCACCACCAGAGCCCGCTGAAGCTCCAGCGGGCTCTGCCTCCGCCGTTGCTGCTGCCGCTGCCGCCGCACAAGCAAATGTTGCAGTTGGGACGGATGATTATTTCCAGACTGCGGTCATCACGTCTTTGCTAGCTGTCCTCAAGGATCCTTCTTTGAGTGGTCATCACCACACTGTGATAGAGGCCATTATGTCTATCTTCAAGACTCAAGGACTCAAATGTGTGACGTTTCTTCCTCAGGTTTGTCGTTTCCCAAAATCACGAACCTACGCGTCCAACGAATAATGTAGATCATCCCTGCGTTCTCGCTTGTTGCCAGAACGTCCACAGTTCGAATGCAAGAATTTCATCTCCAGCAACTCGCCATCCTCGTTGCCATTATCAAGCAACACGTTCGCAACCACGCGATGCGGTTATATAGGTTGATCATCGAGTTGTGGGACAACCCTGCCCTGCACCTTCCTCTCGTTTCGCTCATTGAAGCTCTGGGAAACGCTTTAGACTCCGAGTTCAAGCCTTTCTTAGCCACGCTAATCCCTTTGATCCTAAAGATCTTCGATCAGGAATTGACGGACAAACGAATGTTGACCCAGATCAAGATATTTGACGCATTCGTCACATTTGGAACGAATATAGAGGAATACCTCCAACTAGTGATCCCGGTGATAGTCCGCACATATGAACGGACCGACGCGTCGTCGGCGTTGAGGAAGAAGGCCATTCATACCATTGAATCGCTCTCGGCCCGTGTCAACTTTTCTGACCACGCATCCCGAATAATACATCCGCTTGTGCGGGTGTTAGACACTGCTGGTAATGACATTCGTCAAACTGCATTGGATACATTGTGCGCGTTTGTGTATCAACTGGGCTCTGATTTCGCGATATTCGTGTCTACCATCCAGAAGGTAATGCCGTTGAACACGTCTTTGTATCCATGTCTTATACTTATACCACAGGTCATGGCGAAACACCGTATAACGCACCCCAAGTACGAAGGGCTCATAGCGAAACTTCTGAACGGCGAACATCTCGTCCAAGAAGCGTAAGCCTCAGTGTTAAGCGAACAGCAATGAATTCTCACGTATAAACGAGCAGAGATAGTTCAAAAAGCCAGGACCTCCCAGCCCCCGCTGAAGCGACGAAACTCACAGTGAACCAACAGCACCTTAAGCAAGCATGGGATACGTCCCAGGTATCAACTTTAGAGGACTGGGCGGATTGGATGCATCGTCTTGAGGTCGAGTTCATGAAAGAGTCGCCATCCCATGCCTTGCGAGCTTGCATGAGCCTCGTTGATAGTCATCCTCCCCTGGCTAAGGAATTATTCAACGCGGCTTTCTTGTCATGTTGGGGTGAGCTGTATGACCAATATCAGGTTCGTGCATTCAAAGCCCCCATTTCCGATGCTGAAGAATCTAGCGATTTAGGAAGACCTGGTTCGTTCCATTGAATTTGCTATTACTTCGAGTACGGCCTCGACGGACTTGATACACCGACTGTTGAACCTGGCGGAGTTTATGGAGCACGAAGAGAAACCGCTCCCCATCGAGCATAGAACTCTCGGAGAGTACGCTATAAAGTGTCGCGCATATGCGAAAGCGCTGCATTACAAAGAGCTTGAATTCTTCTCGGAATCGTCGCCCACTATCATCGAGTCTCTGATCTCCATCAATACCTGGCTGCAGCAACATGATGCTGCTTGGGGTACACTCCTCACAGCTGGGGAACAATACGATGTTACAAAACACGAAGAGTGGTACGAGAAGTTGGGACGATGGCAAGAGGCTCTACATGCCTACGAAAAGAAGGCGGAAACTTCTCCATCGGCCCCTGGCATAGCAATCGGTAGAATGAAGTGCCTCCACGCTTTAGGAGAATGGGATCAGCTAGCAGCTTTGGTAGAAGACCACTGGCCCAATGCGAACCCCGAAGATCGTCGAGAGATCGCGCCAATGGCTGCTGCTGCTGCTTGGTCACTGAGGGAATGGGATGCCATGGAGGGCTATATCGGTACCATGCGTGCTGATGTAGCCGACAAATATTTCTACCGCGCCATCCTCTCCGTCCATCAGAACCAATTCCCCAAGGCTATGATACACATCGGAAAAGCAAGAGATCACCTGAAGAATGATATGTCTAGTTTTGTAGGAGAAGGTTACGGACAATCCTACAAGTGAGAGATTCTCCTTTGCACCCCTCCTTCGCTAATTATCCTGCTGATAGCACTATGGTTCGGGCACAAACGCTGTCGGAACTAGAAGAAATTATTGCTTACAAACAGTTCGCTGATCAACCTGAACGGCAGGAAACTATCCGTGCCACATGGGTAAAACGGTCAGTCCACTGTATCCTAAGCCAGGAACTTTTCTCAAACCCACTCTTAGGCTACAGGGATGTCAGCCGGACGTAGAAGTATGGCAGCGCATTCTTCAAGTACGAACATTGGTTCTTGGTCCAGAAGACGACCCAGTTATGTGGATCAAATTCGCCAATCTATGCCGCAAATCCGAGAGGATGGTGCTGGCAGAGAAGACCATCAATTCGTTGCTTACTCCAGAAAAGGTATATTCCTGCATTGTTCGACTGGGAGATTAACGCCGCTTATGTGTATGGTGAACTAAGGCACCTCCTGAGGTAGTCTATGCGCAGCTGAAATTTATGTGGGCAACGGGCGCTAAGGAGGCCAGTTTGGAATTTGTTCGCCGGTTTGCGACCAATCTCGCTAAGGATATCGAACACGAGTCTGGTGACAGCGTCCCCAAGTCCTCGGTCTCTAAGACCAGACTTGACGAATTCAACAAGCTCTTGGCTCGTTGCTACTTTAAGCAGGGTCAATGGCAGAAGGAGCTGAAGGAAGATTGGAACCAGGTAAGACATATTCATGTACACCCCGTTTGCGATCTAATAGAAAAATTTGTGTTAGAGAAACATCGATGACATACTACGTTCTTTCCAATCAGCAACTCGCCATGATCCAACATGGTATAAGGCTTGGCATACTTGGGCATTGGCTAACTTTGAAGTCATCGGCTTCATGGAAAATCTCGAACCTCGTTCTGGGAGCACCCGAAGTAACAAGATGGCAGCGCATGTTGTTCAGGCTGTTGAAGGATTCTTCCGGTCAATATCCCTTCGCAACGAGGACGCACTACAAGATACTCTACGTCTTCTTACACTCTGGTTCAAATACGGGGCCCACGATGAAGTTAGCCATGCCATGGCAAGCGGATTCTCGACCGTGGAGGTTGACACTTGGCTGGAAGTTATTCCTCAGGTTCGTAGTTCCTTCCTCGTGTACAGTACGCCCCTGATATCGCCCCTAGATCATCGCTCGCATTCAAACGCCTCACATTAACATTCGTCGCAATATCAATGCTCTACTTATTGACGTCGGAAAGCACCATCCACAAGCCTTGGTGTACCCCTTGACGGTGGCTTCGAAGTCTTCAAGTAAAAGTCGCCAAACCGCTGCTGCCTCAATAATGGAAAGAATGCGTGAACACAGCGCGGAGATTGTCAATCAAGTAGGCATTGCATGCCATCCATTCCTCTCAGAGTCTTATGCCGGAGTTATAGGCGCTGCTAGTAAGCCGCGAACTCATTCGGGTCGCCATCTTGTGGCACGAGTTATGGCATGAAGGACTGGAGGAGGCTTCACGACTATATTTCACAGAAAACAACCCCGAAGGCATGATCATGGCATTGGAACCACTCCACGAAATGATTGCAGCCGTAAGTTTGAAACCAAGGGCATGAATACTTCCTCACCGTTCGCAGGGTCCGACGACCGCCCGAGAGATTTCGTTCGTGCAAGTATTCGGGCGGGAACTACACGAAGCACGAGAAGCTTGCCGACGTTATCATGATTATGGTGACACTGCCGAGCTTGATAAAGCATGGGATATATATTACGGTGTAGGTTCTTCGTTATCTCCAGAGGCTACATGTCTGAAAGATATCTTTAGGTCTTCAAGAAAGTTGAGAAGCAGCTACCACAACTCACAACACTAGATCTCCAATATGTCTCTCCCGCTTTGTTGAAATCCAGAAACCTTGAGCTTGCCGTTCCTGGTACGATTCTTGCTTCCTACTTTTCCATCAGTGACTTGATAGAATATTTCAGGAACGTATCAGAGCGGTCGTCCAATCATAAAGATAGTCAGCTTTGCGACGAAGCTTACAGTAATCTCTTCTAAACAGCGACCACGTCGTCTCTCATTGGTTGGCAGCGACGGCAAGAATTATCACTATGTCCTTAAAGGTAGGTTTCCTTGTCTTGAACTAACTTGATATTGATCAATCAAAAATAGGACACGAGGATTTACGACAAGATGAACGAGTCATGCAGCTATTCAGCCTCGTCAACACGCTACTCTCTGCGGACACTGATAGCTTCCAGCGACGACTACATATTCAGCGATATCCGGTTATCCCCCTTGCCCCTAATGCTGGTCTCCTAGGGTGGGTCCAAGACAGCGACACCCTCCATGTCCTAGTCCGCGATTACCGGGAGTCCCGTAAAGTGTTGCTCAACATCGAATACCGCCTCATGCTCCAGGTAGGGTTTGCTGCGTTCGCATTGGTTTCTTCTGTTTACAGACATAACAGATGGCCCCGGACTATGAGAACTTGATCCTACTTCAGAAAGTGGAGGTCTTCGAGTACGCCTTGGAGAATACTACAGGGCAGGATCTATATCGGGTTCTTTGGCTGAAGAGCACCACCTCAGAACATTGGTTAGAACGACGTGCAACTTACACGCGTTCCCTCGCTGTCAATAGCATGGTCGGACACATTCTTGGCCTGGGTGACCGACATCCTTCAAATTTGCTTCTGGAGCGTGCCACAGGCAAGGTAGTCCATATTGACTTCGGTGATTGTTTCGAAGTCGCCATGCACCGCGAAAAATTCCCGGAGAAAGTCCCATTCCGGCTTACGAGGATGCTCACGCATGCTATGGAGGTAAGGCGGGGCGCCAGATGGGATGATAGATGGAGCCGCTAATCGATGACGTTTTCACAGGTCAGTGGCATAGAGGGCAGCTTTAGGAGAACTTGCGAGATTTCGATGCGGGTCCTACGCGATAACAAGGAATCACTGATGGCCGTTTTGGAGGCCTTTGTTTATGACCCCTTGATCAATTGGAGGTTGATGCAAGCCGAGGTTGACGTGCGCCGACAGGAAGGTGAGCCTGAGAGACATGCACCTTGTGGTGTTTACGAGCTGACAATTCGTAGACTCAGAAACTGATCCGGATCGTGCAGCCGAGTTGGCACGCTTAGCAGCTCATCCCCAAGGACCTTCAAGGAAGCTTAAAGCAGATGAGAACGACATTTTCAACGGTGAGTTGTGAATCAATATCAATTCCGATAAAGCTAAATGGACCATTATCAGAAACGATGGGTGGTCTGGGTGCTCAGGAAGTTCGGAATGAGCGTGCTTTGGCTGTATACAACCGCGTTCAGCATAAACTCACTGGTAGGATCAGTTGCTTCTTTGATGGAGCCCGGTCTTAGATATTTGATGTATAGGCCGAGACTTCAACCCCGACGTCGCGCTCAACGTATCGGCTCAAGTTGACAAATTGATCCTTCAGGCAACGTCCTTGGAGAACCTATGCCAGTGCTTCTCTGGATGGTGGGTTTTTTCGCCCACATCATCGCTACGCTTGCTAATGCCTCCGTTTGCTAGGTGTGCTTTCTGGTAGTTTATTTCTTTGCTGTCCTGCTTTCGTTACATTGTGGACTTGAGTTTATCTATTACATTTTTATCTATACGATTGTCCTCTGGCACATACCCGCAACATACCCGTCACTCAACCAACTTTAGTCGTTCTGATACATATACACGATAGGCGCCAAGGCTGACTTACGTTCGTTCGTTCAAATCAAATTCAACTTGAACAATTACACTTTGCCTGATTCCCAACTGCGAGAATGCCACGGGGCGTCCCCAATACCAAGCGAGATGACACTGGAATGCGGTACACCACGTTCCATGTCCCATTGGCGTTCGTGAGCTTCTCCTTAGTTCATACCACCATGTTCGAACCTTCTCCACAGGCTACCCCCGAAGCAAGGAGCTTCAACCTACTTGAAGTACGATTCACAGTTCCTATGGACTAGAAACGCCATACGGAAGAGAGAAACCCAAGCCGATGAAGCAGCTCCCCCGCAGGATCAAAGGTGCGACTGTGAGGTTTCCCTGACAGCTTCTCCGAGACAGAATCTGAATTAGCACAGACGAGGCTCACAAGTCATTGTGATACACCCTGGCTCGCGCAATATTCGAATTGGACGAGCTTGCGATGTGAATCCGGTGTCAGTTCCAGCAATTATCGCTCGCAAATGCAAAGGACTCGTAGCCGAACCTGTGTTTGCGGAGGGGATCTGTAGACCTCAAGACCCTTCCTTGGGGGCTAAGGCTTCCAATGGAGATGATCATACGACAGCAGAGCCTGCTGAAGATCCAGTATGTCGAATTCGTATGCTACTCTTGTTTTTCTGACCAGTCTCGTTTTCCATCAAAAGTTCGAGAAGAAACTGGCAGCAATATCTGTCTCACTACGCGACCGTATGCGTTTCTATAAACTCCGTGTCACTCCAAATGCCGCTACCATAGCCTCACAATTCAACGAGCAATTCAAACCTGAAGTCATCGCTGACCACAATGATCTCCTACAAGTTGAATGGCTTGATAAGGCAAACCAAGAAGACGTGATCACCGGCGAGAAGGTAATAACATGTACCATTCGTTGTGCTGATGCTTGCTTGCTTAACTGGATGCGACAAAGATATATCGCCTCCCGGATCCTTATTCCTCAGGCTACACTATAAAGTCTCCCATTCACGGCACAGATTTCAACACAAGAGATTACAACTCCACCCAACTGATCCTAAGCGACCTCGAAGCCATTATCCAAAGGACTCTGAGCGACTCCTTCAAAATTAGCCCTTCAGACTACAAAGTGACTATCATTACTGATTATCACTGAACCTGTGCTGACGATCGTAGAATTATTCCGTGGTCCTCGTCATCCCAGACTTCTATGAACGTGCATACGTCAGAGACTGGGTGAATCTTCTCTTGGTGTCGATGGGGTTCAAGCAACTATGTGCGCAGCAGGTTTGTTCTCTCGTTCATGGCCTGGAAGTATCGTGATCAAAAGCAATAGGAATCTTTAGCTGCGACCTATGGTGCCGGTATTTCCAACGCTTGCGTAGTTGATATTGGTGCTGCAACCACAAGTGTCGCTTGCGTTGACGAAGGCCTTGTGATTCCTGACTCAAGGTGGGTTTGCATCGCCTAACAAGCCTTGCGTTGGTGACGAAACACGCGCAGGATGCTTCTCAACATCGGTGGAAACGACGTCACGGAATTCCTGCTCGTCCTCCTTGAGAGAATCAATTTTCCATATCGAGATATCAACCTTGTGCGCTCGTACGACTGGCAAGTTATGGAAGATCTTAAAATTAGGCTATGCACTTTGGCAGAGGTGGGCTGATCAGATTGCCCCCGTGCTTGTCTTAGCTTGACCACTTATACTAGGGCGACGTAGCATTAAATCTATATGACTTCACTGTTCGAAGGCCAGGGCGGGCTGAAAAGTATGGTCTACGTGCCTATGACGAAATCATACTCGCGCCCATGGTACGCCCAGTCATCATATATAGCCAGGCGTTGGGTTGAGGTGTCTCGTAGTGCCTTTTCGAACCACGCGTTATTGAGTTCGACAAAAAGCGGGCAGCGTTCTCCCGGCCCTCATCTAGTCAGGTGGTCGATGAAATCTTACCTACTGACCGCTATGTAGGGATTCCCTCTTTCCTTGCATTTTACGAAGTACTGAGCACTCCACTGGATCTAGACTCGAGCCATGCTCATTTCCACCGAGCACTTGATGGCAGAGGCGCCTGCACCGGTGGAACCTGCCGCGAATGGGGTTGTAAATGATCAGGCTGGTAAGTATCTCTGACGGGCTTCTAGGATGTTATTGAACTCGCGACGCAGAGAAAACTGAGAAGCGAGAGAATGGTCCTGCATCCCTCGCAGACGGTTCTACCGATACGCCGATGGAGATTGTCGACGTGGAAGATGAATCGAAGCCTCCTTTAGCGACTCCTCCAGCCTCTGCCGAGACTCCCAATGCGTCATCACAACCACAAGACGTTCATCCCCCGTCTACGAATCCTGCTGTGCCGCCAATTGATGTATGCTTCGAAGCAAGCAAATTGCCACTAGATGTTGCTATCTTTAACAGCGCTCGAGCGGCCGGAGGAGATGAGAAGATTAGGAAGTACTTGCAAGCAGTACTGATTATCGGTGGTTCAGCTTTGATTCCAGGTATGAACCATGCGCTTGAAAGCAGGTGAGCGTCTGTTTACTGTTAAGCTGTTGGCTGTCGTTTAGCCGACCTACTCTAATTTGTCACTACTAGGCTGCAAGCAATCGCGACGCCACTAGTGCCCAACATGGAAAAGGTACAGATTATTCCGCCTCCCAAGGATGTAGACCCTCGCGTCCTTGCCTGGAAGGGAGCGGCCGTACTTGGCAAAATGGACGGCGTGTCTGATCTTTGGATTACCGCTGCTGATTGGGTGGGTCTTTTCATTTCTACAACCAACCCCCATAATGCTGAGGATACATTCTCAACAGGACATACTGGGCATCCGTGGGCTTAAAGAGCGATGTTTCTATTTGTAAAACCAGCTAATACTAGTAAATGGTAGATGATGGAGCTTTCCGTATGCAATGCTGTGATGATTACAATGATAGATGGACTACAGTGACCGTAATATAAATATTCATCATAAACATGAGGGGGGTACACAGGCGCGTTTTACCCTAGAAGAATGTATAGGCCAGGGCACGATTCGTTCGTGCCTCCCGACCGACGTGAGACTTCGTGAAGGAGCGCTAGAGATGAGAGGAGGCTGGGAAGCTACTCGATGGCAGGCTAGGCAGTAAATCGTTTAGAGTGTGTTGAAAAAGGCATAGCGGTGTGCCTCAGAGGCGGGCAGCAGTAAGGAGCGAAGCGGGATCGGGCTCAGAAGAAGCTGACGACGCATAGAATGTAAGGTGCCGGTGCCGTGCACCGTAGTTCAAGGAGCGTGTGAAAGAGTACGGAAGGCGGGACTGTCACCAATTATAGGTGTTTGATAGGTGGATTGGGCGATGAGCTGGCTTTGCGAATTAGACGCCAAGCCTCTGTTTCAGTTCAACGAAGTATTCGGTTTTGAGTGTAGTCCAGTTGCTCGCCAAGTAATTCATTTCCTTGTATCCTTCTCTGCAAACCGCACTATGATGAGCAAGGTATAGTACAGAAGCGGCGGGGGATACTCGCCTATCCCGTTTAAGCCACTCAACGTAAGACAGTCCTTGCCTCCAGGCAGATATACCGGAGTCCGCGTCGGAGTCGTCTTCTTCCTTCGTTTGAGCTTTCTTGGAATGAGATGCGGCCCCCCAGCTCAGCTCGCGCTCCTCGGTCTTGATTACAGAACCAGAACCAGATGGATCCATGTGTGATACCTTCTCCACTAAGGACTTGATAACAGAATCGGCGGTACGGTTGGGGACAAACGGGAAAGTGACGTCCAGACGAGGAGTGCGCTCAGGCGTTATAACCAGAAGGCTGCGGCAAATGGGACAATCTACGGATTCGTGCCAACCGCCACAGGCTCTGTGGAGACGAGAGAAGAACCATTTGATGATACACAGAGAGCAAAACGTGTGGCCGCATTGGCCGGGATTCAGAGTATACGGATGCGCCATAATTTCGTAACATCTAGCAAAAGCATGGCGTCAGATTGATGGTCTGTCAGGAGGCATTCACTTACAGCGGACACGTAAAGTGTTCTTCCAACATGGCTAGCGCGGCCTTTGCCTCTCGCTCTTCTATACATTGTGCCATGGAAGCCACTTGGTCTTCCTTCTGTTGAAGCCATCGAATTCGTTTCTCAATCTCGTCCGTTCGCTGTTTGAGCTCCTGTTCTCGTCTCGTCAGGACTTCTTCTCGATTCGCAACATCCCCCGGTGCTGCGCGTTGAGATCGGCGAAGAGCGGTGGCACTCGTGGCAAGCTTGCTGGCCTTCATTTCACTGTTACATGGCCTGGAAGTGTCTGAAACGGTTGGTACATCCTCCGCCACCCTGCGTCGTTTGCTCGCTCGCTCTGGTATTTCTACATATACATCACTCTTCCCCGCCACAGCGTTGGTAGAGCCTGGAATATGTGCTGTCAGCGTACAATTCACGAGCGGCGTTATACGACAATTGAATTCACTTTTCTGACTGTTACGGGTTGACCGTCGCGTCGTTGGCCTTGAAGTTGTCGCCATCGGTTTTGAGGCTTTGGGCATCGTGGCGAACAGTGAAGAGACCAATTAGAGCTGTCAAGCTGATGTGCCACCGGGGTCCAAATCAGTTCATCGGTGATTTCGAAGCCGCATGGGCGCTAAAGCCATTCATTTTGAGTATGCTTTATTTGGCCATGTATGCCAACGCCATCTGGAGGCATTTCCTTCCACGAACTTTCCTCGAACCACGGTTGCTTCAATAATCTCATGTTCTCCTCTAATTGGCTCGCTGTTTCGAAATCGTCGCCTCGACGTCGCGCCGCAGCCACAAGCCATGTTTTTGACACGGTGCCCGGCCCCCCGTCGCGTCTTCTGTGACAGAATCATCGTCTAATCAACCTGGAATGCCGCACTGCAGATGTCGGACGAGACAGTGCTGCTTTACGCGACGTGTGTACATCAATCAATTCTGTGGCATATGCTCTGGCGTATGTATGGCTTTGCTCTATGATTATCTCTTTAATGTGACCGGTACCCATATATAGGTCTCCTTAATCGTCACATTGGCGAAGTATACCCGTTTATCTATTCGTGCACTCGTCTCATGACCACGGAACGTAGCAAGTGGAGAAATATTATCAATTAACGGCCCAATCCATCTCTCAACCCGCATCGCTTCCCATAGCCGTTCACAAACTTAGTTTTCTGGACCGTTTTAAGACCAAACTTGCCCTTGCCACATGCAGTATTTGGGATTTGGTCGCCCACCAGCCCCTCACGACTGTCAGGCGGCGTCTGTATCGCTCCATCGACCTGCTGTAAGGATCATTCGGCGTGCCCTGCCAAACCTATCGCAGGGCGAGACAAATATGTCTCTCACCTGCAACAATTCCACGCACGCTCTTGAAATGACATGCTCGGTCAAAACCTCCTTTGGTTTTCTTTCGTGCCAATCGGCGTCAAGGTTGAACGATACCATCCTATAACGCGACGGCACTAGGTTCGGCATCAACTTCAATAGCTTCGCCTACTCTGTGGTTGCCTTATTTACTTGTTTCTGTACCTGCTCTGGATCTGTGTCTACCACGATGCCCTTCGATGCCCCCCGAAAGTACCATGCTTACAGGGACATCCTACTCGTCGTTGGACAATACAATTGCCCTGGGGATGACAATCCTCGTGCCTTGGATTTCAGGTACGGACAGGACTTTTTTGAGGTAATGTATACTCATGTACATTTCCCTTCTTCCTTTCTGATCACGGAAAGCCTTACAGGGGGCGGCTGGAGCAGCCAAGTATGGCGTATACAAAGTAATTCGTGTCTGAAGACGGTCTCTGAACACGCCGCAACGATCTCTATATCAGGATGTGGCGATCTCTTTGCCTGCGGCACTCTGCGAACCGCACGCAGTTCACTATCTGGTTGCTTTGCCTAACAGAGGGTCTCGCTTCGGATCCTGGAATAGGCATGTTTCGTACGAGCGCCCGCCGGCAAAGATCAACCGCGGTCGGAGTTCCCGCAAACCAGCGTGGCAATCGAGTATACAACTGTGTTCTGTATCAATCCGCCATCCATGTGAACTACCCATGGTCACTTCGTCGGCAACCACTCAAAGAAAGCATTTCACTGCATAGACCAGTGAAGGCTCCATCGTCGCTGTCTTCGAAAAATTTGGTCATATCCATTTGTTCATCCACGACTGAACAGGATCTATCACCGCGGGCCCTTGCTTAAGGTCAAGGTCGTTGCATGCCGTGAATCGCAGGTACGTGATGATCCAATATCAATTTTGCCCCCTTGAGTACGCCCCCAATGTCGATGCGCGCACCGACGACGATCCCGGGCGTATTGCTCGGGATATTCGCCCTTAAATGGCCAGAAATTTTACTTCCCTTTCGATGACAGGATGCCAATCGCGTTCGTACCTCACCATGCCGTCGCGCCCGAGACCGCAACAAGACCCTGCAGTCATTTTTGGCTTGCGATCGGTGCAGACCTCGCAGATGATGTGTTCGTATTCTGGATGTCCGACTATATCGCTCGACATTTGTATGCATAGGTGTGTATTATTCATTCTAGATTGCCGATTGGGAGCCTACACCGGCCTACATGTATACACGTTGCCACCACCTGTGCTTATGCCAATGGAGCCGTTGAAGTTGCCACTCCTTATGTGAGTAAGAAATGAATAATAGGGACGGGTACCGACTTCGCGGGTCTCGGGAGGTCCCGATTCTCGGACCCTTCTTTCCCTCAAGCCCAGCACCTCCTTCGTCTTGGCGTGTCGCTGTAAGGCCTGTGCAGCGCGACAATCGGTCGCGAACTGCTGTGCACGTTCGGTACATCGGTATGCGCCCACGTCTACAACATTGTGCGACAAAGGGCACCTTCTTTGGAGATAGATATCGCGGGTAGGCAAGGTGCCGAAGCGCCCAATTAATCGACCTTTGATGCGCCTGCATCCAATTCTGTTTTGGGGCGATGGTGAGCACTTGCCTAATCAGTTTGTTTGATGATTGATCTGATCACTGTCCCACGTTCCGTGATGTCGACGCAACGGCTTAGGGTCGTGATAAGGAAGTGCGGGGGAAATTGACAACGCAGGTTCAACCGCGATTCAGGGTTAATCACCATATGACGCAGAATTCCAAGGTCAAGCCGGTTTGCCTTATCGCTTTCTCCTATTCTTCTCCAGTATTCTCTCCCTTGGACCTGCGTGTTGCGCCCGGAAGTGGAACATTCGACCCTCTTTCGATCTTTCGATAATTGGAAGTGCCCTTCTGGTCCGCCCATGGGAAATTACCTGACCAGCGTGACTTTGTTGGATGAAACAGCCGAGCCATCGACCCCTTCAAAACATAACTGTGGGGCGGTGTCCCGAGATGATAGCACGATCTACACCCAGCGACAGTTCAGCGGCTCTCCCGAAGTCCAATCCCTGGGATGCTGTGGCCGAATGCAACAAACCCTGACATCACGACATTGAGTCTCCGATGTCCAGCACTCAGCGCATATTGATCAGTGGCGATCTTTTTTGGGCAATGAAGACGCCGTGCGTGGAAAAGACACGTATATGGCTATCTCAAAGACAATAAGAGTGACGAAAAGAGAAGGTTGGGTTTGGGATGATGGATGATTGGGCTCTCAGGCAGGAAAATCAGTTTGAATAGGTAGTTGTGAGGTGTGTATATCATTTGGAATATGGAATGAGGTGGCCATACTGACGTACTTGGCGGCCGCAAACAATCCAAAATCAAACAGCTCCCGCAGCAACATATCAAATAAGACATGCGTGGTGTGGTGGTCCCAACACGCCCTAAACACGTTTTGTGGTGAGGGAAAACAGGGAAAACACTTCTTCGCACTCCACAACTGATACCATTGATTGGCCTCACGTCAATCCTGAAATCCGCATCGCAAATACAGCTTCTTCAATCAAACAAACCTCTGTCGGGAGCCGAGCGATGTCGCATGGAAGAATGTCTATTGCGGTTGAATGTATATTGCTCAGGATATATATGTCAGAGGGGAAATGCGGGCACAAGTGAGATAGAATGCCGCTTCTCTGTTTGACATTTTGCTTCGCATCAATCTTCTTGATCTCCTTCCGAACATGATGGGTACATCCTCTGCCGCCAAGATTCCTGTGACCACGGCGCTACCTTCGATTCCCCAAGCGACGAAAGGGCGACCAGTGGACACGGCTCTGGGTTTTTCTCCTCTCAACGACTTCGTGCACGTGTAGCGCGATTTGGAGCCTTTTGGAGCACACAATTCTCGGCGCACGCGGAGTTCGGGTACTTAGAAGCTGGAAGAAGCTGGAACGGTGAGTAAACGTTCACCTTTCGCGGTTGAAAACGAAAACAATCTCAAGCCGCCATGGGACGCAATGTATCACAGAAGCAATGATAAATCGGTTTCCATTCTTCGCTGTCGAGTATTTCTTATCTTCTTTATCAGCCTTTACCGTTATATGGGAAGGAAGTGACATCGCTATTGTCCGTGACACCGACCTTCCGGCCTTGCAATGGGCGCATCCATTTCGTGTATGCTTGTCGCCCACAGCAATCCACGGCAAGTCACGACATCGTCCAAGTTCAACGATGATCGCATTTACACATATATATGGTGCAGGGTAAAAATACCACTCAGGCTCAGCAAGATGTTCAGGTTGTGGTTCGAGGGTTGAGTTTTTTTTGACTGATGATCGATTGATCATGTAATTCAGGATCATGAGCAGATGCCAACGGAGACTCCCAGAGACTCCCTCGGTGTGACTTACAGACCATGTGGGGCGTGAAAGAATATCATTGGCATACACCCATACGCTGCCGAAGTACGTTCTCTATCTTTTCTCCCTTTATTGATTCTTACTTTCCTGCTTCTTCAGTTCCCGGGATGAGTTGATATCACTCCGTTTTCCTTCTATCCGCCTCGGGAATCACCAGCGTTTCCATATTGCGGGGGATGCAAGCCGCTCTGCCGGCTATTGACTGCGGGTCTTCACTGGCAGATCTTGCCCCAATCCCGAGGTCAAAGATGTATCAGATATCAATCAACACCCATGCCGTATACATAGCGGTGTTTTTCGAGGCTACCGTAGCCAATGGTTGGCCGTTCCGCTTGCTGGTGTAGGTGATAAACCGCTCCCTCAATTATGTTGGCGTCATCATATAGAGTCCGCACTGCGGACGAACGCGTCGAACACCCGGGGACGTTGATCCCCTCCATCGGAGGCGATTGGGCCAGGATCGTGATGTAATGCATACGACTTTGCGTGTCATGTAAGCTCTACGTACACAAAGTTTCTTTAGATGAAATACTCTATCTGAATCAGACTTTGCGAGTATAGCAGCGTGGGCGGCTGTATACGCGCATATCGGAGGCGGGCGCCATACAGCAACCTTGAAAACCTCACGCTGCTGACGTTTACATCACCAGCATCGATGATAATGCGCGACGGAATCATTCATTGCGGCAATTTCCCCAGTGCTTCAAGGGTATCGTGGCTGCGTTTCTGTGTCCGTGGGCGGTGAGTGGACATTACACCGTAACGACGATGCCAGTAACAATATCATTGCCAGGACATGCATACCGGCGCCTGCCACGCTGACAGTTGAACGTTAAGTCAACTGCCAGGTTGCTTGTTTGACCCACTGACTGTTGATCGTCGCGTCGACCGGTCACGCCGTCATCCACAACCCTCAACATTGTTTATGCTCGAGCTGGCATTGAACGTCTGAAGCGTACGTTGGCTGTATCCTATGATGAGTTCAGTTTCAAGTCAATCTGATCCAGATGTCAGGTACTGTCTTTCTCCGTTCCGGATCAGGGCTTCAGAGCGCGACAAGCAGCGACACATACTGTTGCAATTTCCCACCTCAATATCTCCAAAGTCCACAGCGGACCGCGAGGGTCCCAAACAGGATGTAGGTGGTATAACCACCGGACATGCGTTTGCGATACAGGTACGTTTGGCTGCGTTTGTGTGGCCTGGACTTCTGATGTCTATGCGTCACGGTATGAGAACGGGCGACGAGGCGTACCAGCTTGTCGCTTGGGTGTGGAGGATTCAAGAAAGTGGAACGAGATCCTCGGTACAAAGTCCCGAAGGTGATCTTGGCTTTCCCAGTTTCTGGGACTCTTGTGCCACGTCCGGACTCGCTTACTCGTAGGATGGAACGGAGCATGTCTTTGCTGTCGTATTCTTCCTGTGTACGGACATTGACTGTGCATTGCGTAAGATTTGGGCGATAGCGAGCTCATAGCAGGTGCGATGGCCCGATGGCTGCTCCGAGCACCGGTCTCGGGACCCAGCCTGCGCCTGTTTAGTCATCCTGTACATCGCTGATCGCTGACATCAAAAAACAAACATATTGCGGCGTTGCTGTTCTTCTGCGCCCGTTCCATCATATGTTTTCCCACATTTCTCTGCGATTGTTGATGGATGAGTACTGGGTTTTGACTACTGATGCCGACACTGATCGCAAGCCAACCGGGCACTGGACTGGTGGGCACGCCTTAGCGACGGAGGCCTAATTAGGCAAAAAAGGATAGGATAAGTTTTGAACCGGTGTGATTTGATCATGAGTTCGAGCTCGATTTACTGGGACGCTCTCCTGGGTCTGGGATGGGGAGGTTACCAACAGCTGCTGGTGTGAACGCGCAAGAAGCAGAAATTGCAGTTGCATTGGGACCATGCTGTGGTGGGGGTCTCGTTGTTCCGAAAGCCATGGATCTACCTGTTGCCAGACTGCAGATGTTTCACTGAAGGGAACCTAGGTGATGAAGCCACCCACGATAGCGAGGACTCTACGCATTATTACCACTCCGACTCGTTGACCCTATTGTGGGGATTTTGACTTGTGGGAGGAACAAACACACCTGAAATTTTCCTGGCGCTCGCTGCGCCGAAAGATAAGCAAAGAGAGATGGGAATAAGGTGAGAATAAGGTATGGGTGTGCCATTTAGCGGTTAATCATTCATTTCTTTTGACCGGGGGATAAATTGTTTAGGCAGGTTTGAGTGAGCGTAGGGCCCGAGTGGGCGTGTTAAGGCGTGTTGCTGGGAAACTAATTGAGTCCCTGCATCGACGTTCGTAATTGCTGGATTTACGAGTAGGAACGGGCTCGGTGGGAAACGACGCCCTCGAATGCACAATGTCAATATCTTTCGTAGGAACACTCTGGAGCGGTGTAAGGGCGGATAAATTAGACGCTGTGCCCAACGCGGTGAGTCTCGAGGGCGCCAGGCCACAGAGTCTGCCGCAGAATGTTTGTAAGGGCAGTTAATTAGTCCAATCGGGTCCTGGATTCTTCCTGCGTCGGAGGGCTAGGCAGCCTTGACGCCGGTGCTAAGTATCTGATTGAACTCGAAGGTTCCTCCCCCTTTTCACCGACTCCTTACCCCTTTTTGCCACTTCTGTGGACGAGGCTGGTATTATTGGCATCACAGTAGGTTACTCTCCCGGTCCCTCGCTCAGTCACCGACTCAGAACACACCCGGCGAATAAAAGGCTCGTGCTGGCACAGCACGCTGCCCGTCACCGTGCTTGCGTGCATGCATGCGATGTATGGCTGAGAAGCCTGCGTCACAGCTCCCCGAGTCGAGGCCTGCCAGGCTTCGCGCACACTCGCGTTCCTGGGCCGGGGGATCTAAGGACAGACAAGCAGTCGCCTCACGCCTTCCATAACGCAAAGGCACACCACAGCCCCACAAATCAATATCCTAGGAAGTCCTTCGAGTTCTTCAACCCATACTCCACGCACGACGGTTTACCGCCTGGTAATCGGGCACCTGCCACGTTCATCGAGGGAACGACCGAAGCCGTTGAGTCATCACCCGCGGTGCCTGCGACCTGGTCAGCCTTTTACATAACCGCATACCTCACGAACGATTAATGATGACGAATTCGCGATGATTATCTCCCGCAGCGGGTCGACCGATGGCGCTGCAAACTTCATAGGCACAAAAGCCCGGTACTATCCGATTGTATTGGTCGAAGACTGTGGATTACATTACGGAACGAGCAGATTAACTTACCTCTTTCTTGTACTACGTATGGAACAGGAAGGGGCTTGAAGGAGAGGAGGAAGTGCTGGCGACGGGTGCAGAGCGACATCGACGTCTTCTTCTCCTTCTCTTGTCCCAACATCTGTCGCCCGGGGGATGTCATGAGCTTGACGCCGCACGCAGTCCATCAGAAACAAGTCAGCGAGCGAAAACTTGGCAAGCAGACAAAATATACTCATGCTAGTGCGCATGGGCTCACGAATGAATTAATGAGTAGGTGAGCCAAGGCGTCGACGCTCATCATACGCCTGGAAGGACATCGCATCAGGTACCACCTACTTGCGAGCTGGAAGTCGAAGCAGGATTGGTGTGCAGGCTTCCCGATAAGGGCGACCCGCATCAGGACGATAGCCACGGGAACAACTTTGGAAGGCGGGCAAGTAACCTGGTGGGAAGGAGAGAAATAACCGGAGGAAGGGAGTGAGGGAACGATCAGCTCCAAGGGGAACAAACGACAGCTGTAGAAGCCTGAGGAGGGACGGGGGAGTGGGAAAGCGAAGTGGGTATCGACGACGACCAAGGTCGACTCGGCTAGCTGAATTACTCAGTTTCGTGATGGTTGACGAGTGGGCCGGATGGCTGAAATCGTCACTGGCGACATAACTTGAGACTGGCGAGTTGGACCGCACTACCCACGAGAATATCAGTGCATTGTGTGGGCAATGTGCTAGTAGCCACGTACCTCCAACTGGAATTTGATCCCGCGAACACACATGCTTTGAGCCAATGCCCAAGCGCAGCGCCGTGTTCGCCCAATCGCAAGGCACTTCTCCCTTGTCCCGGCAAGCCATTATGAAATGAACGGGTACTAGAATAGAGAAACTTTCGAACGACGGCGTAGAACGAGGACATGCTCTTGGAAGGAAGTTATAATAGGCGAAACAAGGGAATGAATGATGCGATCGATTAAGGGATATTAAGTGTCCGCAACTTAGGTGCACGGGTGTGCACTGATATCCGTCGGGATGGGTGGCGAGTTCGGATGGCATCGAGGATGGCTGCCTGCGAGTGCGAAGGTGGAGCAGGCATCAAGACAAATGAGCACACAGACGGCGTTGGAGTCGCGGAAAGTTTGAAAACAATCGTTGATCAGTCGAATGGGAGAAGCAGTATGACATGCCGGTAATCGCATGGCCAAGCAGAGCTGTAATTAAGGTAATAATATAAGCAAGATTCATAGTTCGCCGGGGAGGAGTTTTTCCGGTGGCTTGACTTTACACCGATTCAGACTCTAGACCATGGCAAACCAATGATCAGTAAAGAGAGTAGTGACCGATTGGCTCGGTTGAAGACTTTAGACGTTGAAGGTGGGAGGCAAGCGAAAACCTTGCCTCCTGATCTCCCCCGGATAAATCGTGCAAAGGGTCGCAGGAGGTGCCACTGGTATGGCCATTTGGGATGGTGTAGTATAAGGTCGTACTGAAGAAGTGTGGACGCTGAGGCTTGGATCAACTCCCTCTCGGGATCGTAAGCAATGGGATCAGAGGATCAAAGGGGGTGGCAAGGGGATCAAACGTAGGCTCAAGTTCGGCGCGATACTCGCATGGCGCGGAGGGGAGAGATTTGAAATTTGTTGTATTTTCTGTTGTATTCTTTCCGCGTCAAGTGGGTGGCGTGGCGTTCGTGCGGGACCGACGTATCAAGCAGGTTACCCAGTATAGCAACAACGACGGCCACGCCACAGCCACTGGAAGTGTGACTGTTGAACGTTACAAGACGACGAGCGTCGGACAGCTTGGATGACGAGGCATAAACGCTGGCATGACAAATCAGCAGTGCCATGTTTCCCCGCATCCTGGATAGATACAGGATGGATGGTAACTGTAAGTGGCGGGGCACAACGCGACGGCGACAGCGAAGATGGGGAGGGTTCTTTGAGCACATGGTTTGGACGACTTCGAATTCTTATTACGGATTACCCGCGCAGATATTGATTCGAAAACGGGGACGCGATTGTATCGTACGATATACACGGCGGTAAATTAGCTCGGGGTGCTAGAAAGCGGGCGGGAAGGCGGGAGGAGATCTTCGGGGGCGGGATGTCGGGATGGAAGTGTGCGAGGGACCTTGTGTGAGTGAGTGAGCTGGAAGTGTGCTGGCTGCTGCTGGCTCGTGTTGCTATGGGGTGGATGATTGAAGGACGGCTCAGAGCGGTGGGGTGAGCCGGCTCGCGAGATGACGACTGAAATGGAGATATTGCGCTTTTGTCGGTTCAACGTCGTTGAATGGTGATTTGCCTGGAAAAAGGAGTTTGAAGTTCCATAGAGAAAGGCATGGCCAAACGGGGCAAGGGAGATGGGATCTGGGGTGGACAGAAGCGAGAGTGTGACGGTGTGACTGGGATCTGAGATTGGTGATGTGATAGATATATGTAAAAAGAAGGCGAGAAGAAGATAGACTGCTGCTAAATTTCGCTCGCAATGCTGCCTCAGCTTGTAGACATTCACCAGGATTTCCGCCAAAGAGCCTTCGACCCCGCAGACGACACCAACGACGACTCGCCGCTGACGCCCCCGGCCACCCTGGATGTGAACAACTACGCGTACAATGCAAAGGACCAGCCTCAGTTCATGTACAATCCCCCACGAGACGAATACTCCCCGTCCCCCGTAGACTCCCAGTACTACCCAAACTACCCGCCCTACTACTCAAACCAGCCCCGCCGCCCCGCCGTCTACCACCATCTCGACCCCATAAACACCTCCGCCCTCCCCGTCCCCCTCGAGCACCCGGACCAGCTCTCGCCGTTCAACCCAAACTTCTCCGCTTCCCTCTCCGCCCCGTACACATACTCCCCCGTCAGTCCCGACGATCACTACGGCCCCTCCCCGCCGAACACCGGCACGTCCTCCGCCAGCGCGCCCGTCACCCTCACCCTCTCCCAAGCCCCCGCCACTTCACAGCCCCTCCTCCTCCACCACCACTCCTCCTCCCTCGGGCCCTCCCCCACAGAGTCCAATTCAAAAACGTACTCGTTTATCCCCCTCCCCGGAAACGCTGTCAAGAAGCGTCCCCGCAGGAGATATGACGAGATAGAGCGTCTCTACCAGTGCTCGTGGCCCGACTGCTCAAAGTCATACGGTACGTTGAACCATCTCAACGCCCATGTTACCATGCAAAAGCACGGTTCAAAGCGAAGTCCGAACGGTGTGTTGCGTATCATTCCCCCTTTCAACACAGTGTCTCATTCAGCCGTGCAGAGTTCAAGGAGTTGCGCAAGCAGTGGCGCAAGGCGAAGAAAGAGGCCGAGCATCAGGCGCATCAGGCTGCGTCCGCGCACTCCCTTGCAGCACGGCGGGTGGCGAGCATGCAGTCGCTTTCGACCGCTGGCCTTTCCCCCCTAAACACAGAGCTCAGACGGACGCATACGCAGGAGCATCTGTACGAGATGCAGTATCTCGGTTCACCGATACACGCAACCCACCTCGATCTGCGGCACGATATGAGGGACATGCGGGATATGAGGCATGACATGCGAAATGCTTATCCGAGCAGCGCACCTTCGAGTACCGCAGGAGGGCCTCTGGCTTTCGCGCAAATGGGGGGCACCCCGCCCACCTCTGCACACGCCCTCGATTCACCCCATCATTACTCCCATCCGCTGCCAAATCACCAATCACATTCCGGCTTGTCCATGTTGCACTCGGCTGCACCAATACCCATCGCCCACCATCACCAACACCACACCCACCACTCCCTATCTCATCAAACGCAATCTCATCACATTCCGGGCCACATGACGTCTGATGGTCGCTATCCTCTGAGTCTGCAGCTCGCCGATTTCACAGAGGCCAGTAATTCAAATAACCTGAACGGTCACGGTCCCTCGTCGAATGATGCGTCGCCGAGATCAGTGGCGGCTGATGTGAACGGAATGGACGGGTTTACCGGAAGGCAGAGGTATGGCAGTGCGCCAAGTATTCTCTGGTCATCTGCCCGCTCGACATACGTTTCGTCCGTGCCAACGAATAACAACGACGATTCGGCGTACGGCGAGGAGGGCGGCGAGCGACAGGAATACGCGGTATCGCAGCAACAGCAGGATAACGGCGATGGGCAGATAAATCTCAACTTCAACGGCATGGTCGCCGGGATGAACATAAATTTAATAGGCAATGTCGACGGCCACCGCCTTCCCGCCGATAGCACTCTCCTTACCCCCCTCAGGGGGTACGAGCCACCCAATCTCCTTCCCCCATTAGCCTCGTCACAGCAATCACAGCCCTCGCAGTATTCGGGCCAACAGGAGATCAACTTGGGCGGTCCCGAGATGCTTAACGTCGGTGGCGGCGACAATTCGGAAACGCGGCCGAGTACAGGACATGATAGCCTACGGAGTGCGAACGAGGACGCCTACTAAACGCACCCTTTCCGCTGATCGTTGATCCCTACTCCCTTCCTCCGTCCCTCCCTCCGAATCTCGCTATCGCATCATCTTCTTCCGTTTTGCTGTTATTCCTTCTCCTCCAGCCGCCTCTCGCATTATCAGAAGCACTAATCGCCTTCCTGCACCCTCCCGCGCCTTCTGGCTTCTGCAATACAGATGGTACAGTGGCATGAAAGGCATACTCGGCGCCACAGAACTGGCCTCGACCCGACGGCTCTCCCCGCCCGCCACATCGACGTGTTCTCCTCGCTCCCCCTCTATCTCCTCCTCCCTTCCTCCTTCCTCGCCCTCTTCCTCAAATCGCAGCCACTAACGCACTCCCGCAAACATCCCTACTACTCCATAATGCCTCTCCCCGTCCTCTTCTTGATTGACCCGATACTGATATTCTTGTGCATACTTTATCATATATATTCACCGCTCGCCCAACCCGCTTCCATCAATGGGTTTGTTCCTTATATGCTTTTATAATCGATATGATTAGCCTTATATTTCCCCTCCCTTCCCCCTTACCCTTCCCCTACCCTCTATCCTCCCCGAACAATGGACTGTCAACGCCGCTGTTCATACTATGTCTGTCCCTCCGTGTACCACCCCCGCGATCCCTTATCTCTATTCCTCGTGTTGTCTTGCTTATCGTTGCTTTCTAACATCTATTACCCATATTGTGTGTCACAGTGTCCTATAGGTACTTTACTCGGTTTCCTTATTCCTCTCATCGCAATCATCATATTCTCATTCTTGGTACATACTTAGCACTTAGCATTGTCTCTCCTACATACATCCTACATACATATGTTTCCCTCATAGTACAACAACAAGAACAACAACAATCATACAGAGCCTATGCGATACCTCCTAGTTCTAACGTAAAATGTTTATATGTACATACACCATCCAACTGCAACCACTATCGTGTTCACGCAGCCATTTCCACCGTACGATCTCCTGAGGCCTGAGCGACCATCGTTATCAGATATCCATTCTTCGTTCTTCATTAATCATTCGAATCGCTCGCAAGGGTGCAGGTGCTTCCCGCGCGCTGAGTACAAGCTGAGTATGCGTCTGAGGAAGCTGCAGGTTGCAAGTCCGCTGACCAAAGGCGAGGCTAAAAAGATACGGCGACTGCGGAGGAAGTCCGCAAGTCTCCCAGGCGAGGGCATTAGGCATAGGGAACGCTCGAGAAAGAATTCAGAATTCAGAACGCACCCTCGTTAGAACGCACCCCCAGGCTACGGACCTACCTCGAATTCCGGGTCTGGAATCCGTATTAATCAACACAAATAACGCAAACACGTCCGTGCATGATGCATGATGCATGATGCCGATGCGTGAAGCCTCATTCATTCGTCTGTCTTCACGAAGTTTCCCGGCGCAGGAATCAAGAACCAAGAAGCATCATTATTATCAAACTCCCCGCGCCTCAACTCCGGTTCCCAGTGCACCATCGTGCTTCTTCTCCGATCTCCCAAGAGAATAGGAATATATACAGACGGTGAATGATTGAATCGTTTCGCGTTTGAATATTAATACATTGACTCGCTGAGAAAGGAAGGCTCAAATGTCGACATCGACATCTACAGCGTACACACAGTAACACACGGGTGACGGAGGTGAATGATCGAAATTTTCTGCTGTTATAATGATAGCTGAACTGGATCTATCAGATAACTGACGGTTCGCTGTTTGACCTCAATTGCATACACTGCACGGATCACCACTGCACCCACTGCACCTCCACAGCCATGCAAACGCCATATAAATATCTCCTCCAGCGTCCCGTTCAAATCTGTCCTCCCTTTCGCCGAAAATAAGTCCATCACCAAACGCGAATATTATTCGCATCGGGAATCATCACGAAACGGTCGCGTTCTCCGCATCGAACGATAAGTCAATTGACCCGTTACTCGGCTCGCGTTCGTGCGGTGGTAATCTGTCACTTGCACCGAGAACTCGACGGAATATGGCTAATTGCTATGTCACATCGCCATCCGGAGTGCACTCTCCATCCCATCCCACGCATCACCCCAGCTCCGAATTGGAGGTGGCCACACTCCCGGATGCACACAGTGACAGTATCATCGACACCTCGATCGTGTTTTCTCCTCCTTTCCACCATCTTTCTGCCATCCATCTTCGGCGATTGAGCCCGGCATCATATCTTGATGCTCGATGTCCAAGACGCCGACGCAATCGTCCGCTCGACGTAGACGTTTGACTGGAGTTTGGAGGCTGGGGAAATCGGAGAGTTCTTCGTCGCCGGATTAAGCTCCGCTTTTCGAGATGCCTCTGCCTCGTCTTCTGCCTTCGATTTCCGCGGAACATATATGGAGCAGTAGATCAGTGCCACGCCATCTCGGGGCTCCTTGCAACATGGCTGATCTCCTTTGCCTATTTCTGTCGCGTTCTATCATTGCGCGGATAGTACTGAAACTCTCCCGGGGCGATGCATCCCTTCACGCTCCAAGCCCTACAACTAGGATCGCTGAGCATAAGTGCTGGGCGCGTACTCAGGCTTAGCAACCGACGCGAAAATCACTGGTGCGCAGTAAAAACGCAGCTCTACCACCACTACCATGGTCCCGAGCTTGCTAAGCGGTATGAACTTGCAAATCGACAAGTCTCTCAGGGGCTTGCACCCCTAGGCCACCCCTATCACACTATCCGCTGGCGCGTTCCCCGCAACACGTCTCTGCGTCACTGGCTGGATGTAGCGTTAGAAACGATGCATGTATCTATGCATACGATTTAATGTGGCTTCGTAGCATGCTGATGAGTACATGGTCCGTGATGTGATGTGTAACCGATGTCGTTGCGTTGCATACCACGAGCAATGATGAAACTGACGGTTCCATCCACCCCGTCTACCCGTCAAACCCATCACTCGCAGAGCGACGATACCTCCCGTACGTGCCAGGCATCAATCCCGAGTAAATGAACGCCTGCAGCTCAAAACGTCTACAACACCGAGCGACGAGCTTTGCTGTCCCTTGCCCGGTGATTCGCCTATGGCGGAAAGGTCATCCCCCGTGCTCTCCGCTGCATTCAGCCTCTCTCTTGGATGCGTCATTAAGGAGGGCATAGTGTTATAATTCCACAAGATTCTATCCAAATGGCACATTAGTCCAGTGACTTAATTTATACCAAAGCAGGCAAACCTTTCAATGAACACTTTATGTCGTCGATCCTGTGAACTATGACGAAGAGGATAGATATCTTCCCGTCACACGAACGCGTGTTGGCAATCCCTCGGCCTCCATTAGAGTTTGGGGGTGAAGTGTAGCGAATGTGAACCGGTGGTCCGTTCAATCGGTCGGTCGAATAGATATACGGAGGGTTCGCAAACTCTGTGGTCACCTGGTATCCATTAATACAAAGAACTTGCCGGCGCCACTCCATTGATATGTCCTACCCCAAGGACATCCACAACGACTTGTATTCAGTGCTCCATAGATCTCGACTGGCTGAAATGGCGCGAGGCATGACGTTGTCGATTCTAGGCGGTTCCGTTGTCGCTTGGGTAAAATACACAGATGTAGATGGTGAAGTAGTCGGATCAAAAATTACGAGAAAGTGAGCTAAGCCGTTTGTAGCCACCACGAATCTTGAGGCGTTGAGGATGCTGCTTTCGTGCTGCTGAGCAATGCAAAACCTCATGTTGTTACACGTAACGGTTATGTTTTGCAGAGACTGTTATGTTTCCGCATCATCAGATGACGCAGAGAGTCCTAACGCAGGTGATTGCTTACCCCAGGGTTGTCTCAAAGACTTTGGAAGTGTGTCCATAATTGATATATAAATTGATAAAGCGAGCAAGGGAACACAAAGTGTATCCATCATCGCATCTGTCAATCGATAGGACCCTGCAATGTTCGAGCAAAAGCGAAACAAAAAAGATCATCTGAGCATCAGAAGAAGAAGACTCAGCGACTCAACTGAGCACACCGTTCCGAGTCGGAGATACGAAGGGCAACGTTGCCGCAGTGGCCTCCGTAATACTCGAAACGACGCCCATGCTTCTACAGGGCGATAAGCCGTATCCGTAGGGGGATTCCCAGATTGTCTATGCCCAGAGGTACTGTCCCGAATGTCGCTGCAAGTCCTGGCAATCTCCCTCCATTTGCACCTTGAACCTTCTCCTGGTATGATGAAAAAACGCGTTTTAAGCGCTCGTCCCACTCCGTCACAATACCAATGCATTGGCATCTCTTCTTTGCAGGGTTCGACGATTGATCTCATGAGAAGGCCCATGTTATCATCGGACCAAAGGGCTGACTTCAGGCATGAGGCTTCGCCAGAATCGGTTATTCCTGGACCCTCGTCAAACGCCGCAGGCAATCGCGAGCTGGATCCTTAACTCACCGTGACGCGTTTTGCCTAGCCAAAGCTCGGCTTCATGGAATCGTGATTCCGTTTCATTAAGGTGGCCTTCGGAAGGTTGTGGCTTCTTTTGCACAGCCTTGCTCGTAGCCTCGCTCACTTTTCCTCCGCATCAAGAACCCAATCGACTTACGTCTCGGCCTGCACTCGATGTCCACGAAATCTTTGCTTCGATCTAGTCTTCGGCCTGCCGTATCCAGGAAATCTTCTCTGACAAACGCTGGTGTCTTCTGCGGCTCATTAAGCCATATATGTCGTGCTGGGGGAAAAAAGTCCCAGAATCACCCAACCTCCTTCGGAGACCTCACACTCGTGAGTTACGGAGCAAGTCTACCCCAGTCACATGACTGACGAAGAGTTAACCTAAACACCACTTCGATGGAAGCGAGTAGGAAGGGTGCGTAACGGATTTAAATGGACTACGGGATTTACTGACATTCCCGTTTACCAAAGGAAATCGAATTTGCTCCACCTAGGACCGTAGCTGACCACCAATACAGCATCGCGGGCATCCCCCTCGACACCCCTTGCTCTTGTTCGTTCTTCAGCAGCAGCCGGGGAGGAGATACCAGATACTTCCAACTTGAGTCGGAGTTACCGCCTTGCTGTGTTTGACACCGAAGCGGGCATGCTTTTGTCGACGACTCTTTAATCTCCCACGCCCAATTATTGTTTACGACGTCAGTCGCTTCTTCCTCAGGTTCGGCATCCTCCAGATAAGTTTTGATTATAGCTGCGAAGACCTGTGTCATGAGAAAAGAGAGGTGGGAGTACTTCTCAGCGTGGGGAAGAGAAGGCGCTCAGACGAAAAAGAACCTCAGGAAGTGGAATTCGAACAAACATAGACATTCCATAAACGCAAAGAAGTTCGGTGTCGCGGGCTCGGTTTGAACTGGTTTCGTTGGAGCACATGTGAGTGTGGTGACTTTGAGTCGGAGTCGAGTTCTGACTCTGCAGCGTTCACCGCTCATCAATTTGACATACAGCTCGTTGTATAACACATCGCCATACTCCAGGTTCCCAATACAACGCAGTAGCACCTACGAGCGCGATCTCAAACGAGTATCTCCATCGCTTTAACTACCGCGACCTTCTCGCGCGGTTTCATGTTTTCCATGTGCTGCCTTGAGCTGTCGCAGGAGTAGACTATTGGAGAGACTAAGGAATAAAGGGGCAGATACAGTGGTGAAGAGATATGTGCATGGCGATATAGTCCCATCCTTGGTGCGTTCTGGTGTACAATCGCCGGGGACCACTAGTCTGACGCCCAGAATGGGCGCTATAACAACAGGATGTATCTTGCCACTTACCACTAGCTCAAGTCCGGGGTTCGAACCACGCCTTGTCCACGCTCATGTTCTACGATAAACACGACGGTTCGAGGGCTTGGTTCTGTGCGTCCAAGACTTGGAGATCACATTAGACCCATTTCACAGCATACTTTCCGCGATCACGCAACAAATTCCAAACAACGGGAATGCTTGCTATAGCCATTTCTGTTTCTGAGGCTCAGAGCTTCTATGTCACGCCCAAAAAGATGGAAGCTCTTCTCGTGTCCGCGGGTCGCATCATCATGTGAACGATCCACGATCCAAATATAAACCCACGGCACAGATCATGGCTGATGTGTGGGATGCATAAAACACACGCGGAGACGAATGGCAACATAAGCGCATAAGTTGGAGCTTTCCCATGGCAAGACCGAAGGAGGCCGACCATGAGAGTTGATCACGATCGGTGATGAGAGGATGATCATCCTCGACCCGTTGGAAACGAGGCCTGCGGATTGCAAATGCGAATCAAACATAGAACCGACGTCGCATGCTGGCCGACAAGCGCCATAACTACATATCCTTAATTGGTGAAAATCTGCAGAAGTAAGTGTCTTCTCGTAATCGGGAGCCTGTTGGAACCATGGGCGCGATGTCTCAAGAGACATTCACACGAATAACGTGTCTCCCCTGTAGTCTGTTGTCAGTATTTCATATTCCTGCGTTCAGCGTCGTTGGTTTCCCTCTATGTGGTATCCAGTGGATCAATTTGCATCGCATCGACAGTGGTGTACTGCGCCGCAAAAGGTCATATAAGGTTGGATACAAGATTGCAGCCGGTCCAGAGTATCTATGTATCGAAGCCGGCGAAGAGGGTAAAGTAGTCAAGAGAAACCATTCACTATCCAGATACTTGGGAGGGAGATGAGATCCGAGCCCAACATGTGCCAGGTTAAATTGTATGAATGGAAGAGTTCATCTAAATGCCGATAAACTCGAGGGTACCGAATCTACGTAGAATGTATGACTATGGTTGAGCTGACCTGCCATGCTTAATCTTGTAGATCCCACAGCCGGCCGGCGAATACCTGCGAGGTGAGAACTTGAAGGCAATCTAAACAATGCCCAGTCGCGTCGGTGATGACCACAGATCCATATCAATGCACTGGCAACCGCTGCGCAAGCCCTATCGCGGTCGCAAAGGAGAGGATGCCGAGGTGCGAACTAAGCGAGCTTCCTCGAATGACAACCCAGGACGCGGGGCCATAGCTTCCTTGCTAGTCAGCAATTTTACACTATACCCATGAAGGCGGTCTCTGCTCATTGGACGTCCAAAAATCGGCGAATAAAATCCATTGATGTGGAAATGACAGAGAAAGGCTCGGGTAACACCATCGCCTTCAAGTTTAAAAGGGGTTTAAAGGGAGATTGGGCTGGCATCTTGTCCAACCGCCAACCAACCGCAGGCGATGGGCGTGTAAATCTAGGGCGCTGAGGTGGGTCGTCAGGGCCGAGTTTGGGAACATTTTACAAGGAGTCGAGGCGCCCTCTACAGCTTCATGGGAGAAGCTGGACACGGATTGGTCAAGCTGGTTGGATTTGATTATAGCTACCAGACGATTCAGAGTCGAGACTGCTTTGATCAGATATCCCACTCAACTTCAACAGTACCCTAAGAAATTACTCCAACCCAAGCCTCGCCTGGACAACCGACAACATTTCAGCGGCTGCTTCGACTTGAACGTTGGCTCTTTGAAGTAAGAGGTAACTCTCAGGGGCGGAGCGTCGCCCCACGTGACGCCAATTCGAGGATCGTCACAGGAGCCTGAGGAGGTCACAGCTTGGGGCACTGCGGCGCGCCCTCAACAGAAACCACCATGCCATCTCTCACAGATGTCCCAGTCGAGGTTCTCATCGACAATTTACTTCCTCAGATATCTCTTGTGGATCTTCTGAGCCTAACTTGCACGAATCAAGTGAGAGAGCTAATCATGCAGGCATTCAGTACGGTAGATTGACTTCAGACTTCACTTTGCACCAAAGTTCTTCGCGATAGTATGTTCAGATGAAACATTCTGGAAGAGGAAACTTGAAAGGGACTTCAACTTTTCTCCCACTGCAACTGCTCGCAAAAGTGGATTCAAAGTCCTCTACAAGGGCTTGCGACGTCCTCATCTATTCGTTTGGGGGTGAGAGTTCAAGTTCTCAACAATTTTGACCAATGAACTCATCCTCTTGCTCTCAAGTGCATCGAAGGACGGCCGTTTGGGGCGTACAGAAGCCCTCCAAACACCTGGCGCACCTTATCCTGAAGAACTCCGCATCCCTAATGTTAGAATTGTCTCCTTGGTTGCTGGTGGAATGTGGGTCCTGATGCAATACATCATTCCCCGATGACCATATGTGCCAATCTCTGTCAGGTCGTTCCACGCCCTGGACTCCGAGGGCAATGTCTATGTTTGGGGTGAGGAACTTGGGCTCAAACCATCGATAACATGATTTGACATGATTCGACTTGGTTCAGGAACTATGGACGGAACCACATTTGTACTGGACCGTGATGGCTACTCTGAGCCGGGAAAGATGTCTTCCACACCTCTCAGGCTACAAATGCCGGCTCCAACTCGAAACATCAGGTGTGGATGTTTGTTTACAAGTCGTCGCATCAGCTGCTCTGAACGCTTATGGCCCTTGAACCAGTTGCGGCAGGCTACACTCAGCCACGATTGATGCCAACCAACATGTCTGGACATTTTTAAGCTTTGGAACGCCCTTTAGGTTGTCTTCACCGTTACTAGACAACGACTCGCCGGAAACGAGCCCTCTCCAGGTTGAATGCGGATGGAATTTGACCTCTGTCCTCACTAAATCAGGCGATGTCCTTGTTTGGTGGCCTTTCGGCGGCCCAATGAAGACCCTCATAGACCAGAAAGACGACGAGATACACTCAAATGGTAACATCGTAGCGCCCGCAGTAGACGGGACCATACTCTGCGCGCCATGGGAGCTGTCTTTTAATCCCAAAAGGCTGCCCCGACTACCACAACTGCCCGATCTATCTGAGGAATCGAATGAATCACCTCCCAAACTCATTCAAATCGCGGCCCTCGATTCGCAGATTATTGGACTAACAGACCAGGGACATGTGGTTAAATTCAGTTCATTGGTTGACGAACAGGTTACCGGCGAATGGAAATATGTGAGCTTTCAGCCCGCCGAACCTCGAACTCTAGTTGAGACGTTTCAGTTGCCAAATTTCAGTGAGGTCGATCAAGTGCGGTCACATACGGTATTCGCGGATGATGGCAATAATAGACTCAATGCACCGTCCTCCGTCAAAATCACTCACGTAAGCATTGCTTTTTCATTCAAATTACCGTACAGGCTTACGTTCGTATAGATCTCAGCAAATTACCAACGTTTCTTTGCGTACTCGACTGGATCAAGTTCATTAGTCCTTATGGGATCCTTGAATACGGGCCCTTCCGAACAACCAGAGATCATTCCAGCTCTTCAATACAAATCAATCATTTCCGTTGTCGTGGGCGATTATCACTACGGCGCATTGACATCGACCGGAAAGTTGTTAACATGGGGGGCTTATTCTTCGGGTGCTCTAGGACTTGGAGATCCGCTCGAGCTGCCAGCAGGCGCACCTGGCGGTTTCCCAAACGAAAGGCTACGTTTGCATGCTTTGGAACGAGGGTGGGGTCAGCCACCTGACGTCGAGGTTCCCTCGGAGGTTCGGTTCGACCACAAACTGAATCATACAAAAGACAGATTTTGCTTCGCTGTAACGGCTGCGGGATGGCACATGGGCGCATTGGTTATAGACTTAGAAGTAAGCATCATCGACCTTTCATCTCTGATCTTCCCATAACGTGCAAACCTGCGTTTCTGCTTCTCAAGGCTTCTGAAGATGACGACACAGTCGCTGATCCCCTGACTCGCCCTGAACACCGAAATGAACCCCCGTCGCATGCTCGTTTCCCAGTGCCTTTACCACGGCCGCCTTATCATACTTCTGGTCCTGGCCAACTTCCTATTATGCCTCTCGCCCCTGGCTATGATGCTTCATCGTCTGTGTTCCGTGTGGGTTTCCCTGGCAGAGGAGGCACGCCTGCCAATTCTCAGCAGGGTCCCTCGACATCCACATTACACCCACAAGCGGAACCGCCTGTGCCTGGCGTTTCTTTCCCAAGCCTTGGACGTGGCGTGCGTATTGGGTTTGCGGGGCGGGGCCTGGGGAGAGGACCCAGTGGTAGGGGACAAGGGGGCGTGGGTCAATGATTGAACGGATGGTTGAACGGATGGCGATGACGATAACAGCAACCTATGGCATTATTGTATTACGCCCTGTATATGTATTCGTGTACTTTATTGGCTTGTACTATTTTGGTCTTGGAGTCTGTTCTGTTGAAACTGTAAGAATTACAATACAATCTTTACGTACCGCATAGAAACTCGGAACGAGCAGGCAAAAAGGATTCATCTGGGCCTGACCGGGAATTGAACCCGGGACCTCCTCGAAATGGCGCGATGCGTCCCTAACAAGGAATCATACTACTAGACCATCAGGCCGATGAAAGCTTTTTCTCTACGTGTTCATAGATAGATACAGTGGGGTATACTGGAGTAAACTTCTACTTGAATCTTGTAAGGATGTTTCTAAGAGGGACAGGCATGCGACTAGCGCCTTTGCCTTTACTTCCCTTCGAGTCATATTCATCAACTGACATACTCCTCTCCTTCCGAGCAGCAGTCTGATTACCACCGTTATGGAAACTGATTGGCGAGGGATACGCGAGTGATGCTCTTCCGAGTCCTCTGTTTTCCTTGTCGCTACTCCGATAGTCCGGATCAATCGTGGGGGCCATAGATTTCCGACACAGTCGGGGTGTCTTCTGCGGGGAAAGTTGAGAGCCAGTTTGCCTCATGACAGGCATTTGTTCCTCGATAGTCATTACGCTTTTTCTCGGGGTGATAGTAGTCGTCCTTGTCGAACGGACGACTGGAGGAGGGCGATGCTTGGTTGGCGTGGGTGAAGTGACAAAAACGGATCGGTCGCTCCGAGTACGTGAACTTGGATCTTGTGTAGCATTTGACGGAGGCTGTGATCGTAGTTCGGGGGTTGGTGTAAACGTGTGTCTCCTCCTAGGAATAAGTTTCTGACCGTCCGATGTCGCACTATTGCGCGACTTGAAGGATAATGATGTCGGGTGCGAAGGAACGGACGAGGGGTGTATTGTTGAAGTAGCTTCTGAGGTAGAGTCCTTTACCTGTCTGCATGCTTTCCGTTCCCGGGCTGAAGATAGAGTTGGGAGTGACACTCTGCCACCTCGTCGCCTGTCCTGAGTTTGATCCTGATGCGAATAATCGCCGCTGCCAATTTGATCTATACTGGGTCTGGGTGCACATTCAACACTGTTACTCTTGCGACCGGGAAGAGACGCGAAGCGGACGCTTTTCCTGTTCCTCAAAATACCTCTAGGGGCGTAAGTTGATGACACGCTGGACGCCCTAGACTGATGGCTGGGTTTATTAGGGGGAGGGCTTGAAGTGTGGCGGAGCGCAGAACGAGGCACATCAGGGACCTTCGAAGGGGATTCAGAGAAATTTTGCGACGCTGCCCACTCGCCGATCCTGTCGTCGCCAACGATGGCCATGGTTCTTCTTCTATTCTTCTGCTGCTGATTGGGGGAAGGAGGGGAGACCGTCGAGAGACTAGCACGAGCAGAAGAAGCACCCTTTGACCGAGTTGCATTGTCGAGGTCCCAGTGGCTAGAGCGCGAGGACTTCACTGCATGAAAGGAAGCTGTTGACTTGGCCAGGTCCTGCCCGAAATATATGTTGGACGAATCAGCAACACCAGCGTCCAAACCAGCGCCAAGAGAAGCTAAAGTGTCTTGTCTAGTTAACGAATCGCTTTGACGGGGTCGATATTTCTTCGGGTTAGCAGCTTCAGACGCACGCCTTCTCTTGCGTTTTTCGGGCTGGGCTTTCGCATCAGAAGGGAGGGGAGGGAGGGGCTCAGAAGGTGTTTGCGTTGGGTAGTTAGGCGTATTCGGAGTAGCAGGAAACGCGGCACATTGACCCCTGAGACTTTCTATCATTCCTTGGATATCCAGTCCATTGGGTGGAGCAGGAGGAGCACAATTACCGGCCGGGCCTGATAGCGGCATGCCTGAGTGAGGCGAATATGCGGAGGGTGTTCCCAAGAAAGCAGTTGGCATGCCAGGATACATAATATCCGAGCTGTCGCCTATCGCGGTTGATTGGACAGCCAAAGGAGCAAGCATTTTTCGTCCACGGCGGGCAGCAATAGCAATCGGTGTTGTACCTGACGTGTCTGTATTCCTACAGGCAGATAACGGGCCTTTCAGCGAGGCGTCCGAACCAGGTCGCGAGAGGGGAATGGGGAAGACCGAGTGAGAGTCAGATAAAATCAGAGTTGGTGCCTTGGTGTCCTCCTCGTTCGATCGCGGAGCCTTCTGCGGGGGCTTACTGTTAGGTGCCTTCGCCCCTCCCGGTGGTTCCTGGAAAAAGGTCTTGAGGTTATGCAGCTCCAGCATGAGGTCCACCAGCTCCGGGCTCATTGTAGCAGCAGGGATTTGTAGAGATAGACGCTCAGTCCGTCCGCCAGAGCCGGGGGAAAGGGATATCTCGCGCTCGAAGAATAGCTCATTGATAGGTTTGTTAGTGGGAGCGCGGTTGCGCTTTCTGTCGCGGCGAATTGTGAGCGGAGCGGTAGATCTAAGGTAGCTGTCAGACGAGTCTCCATTTTTAGGCACTTTCAAATGGAGGCCATCATGGCGGGCTCGAAAGGGTGATGGCGGGTTTTCGACAAGGATATGGGGTGCTCGGAGACCGCCTGGCGCATCATCAGCATCAGCAATTACATACGCGTTGTCTTCGCCATCGCCCCAAGGGACGTGATCAGGAGGGTCAGAAGGCACAAGCGATTGCTGAAAAAGTAAGATCGCAGAATTCAGCACACACCCGAAACCAGCTATACCAAACGCGACTTACCGCCCAGTCCTTAACGGACAGGCCTTCCGGAGCGTTGGGCTGGGCTGGCGCGCACACGCTTACAGTCGCAGCGGGGGTGATCCTTTTGGCTAATGGGCGCGATGCGTATATACTGTGCTTTCTGAAGGAATTAATAGGCTTTGGCGTGGCTCCTAGAAGGCCCTGATTGATGGCGGGTGAATTAGAAGAAAACGAATCTGTATCAGAGAGCGTGTCCAGAGTCAGGGTTTCGTCGAGTAGGCTGTTGTCGCCCCAAGGCAATTCCGCCAGCAGAATGCTTGAGACGCTCGAGGCGGGGGAGTTCATGGCCGTTCGAAGCTGGAAGTAATCGCGAAGCGAGGGAGCGGGTTCGAACGGCGAAAGGGCCCAGGGTGCAAGCGCCCGTGGATAGGGGCCACTTAGGGATGCCCCCCAAACGGGATTCGTGAACGACGCGTGTCCTGGTGTCTGCAGAGTACGGCATTTCCGAGGTTGCTTTTGGAAAGTATACAAATATAGAAGATGTAAATTTGCTCCGGGCCGTGCTAATACTGCGGCGACACGAATGACCAAGGGAGATACGAGGCGAACAGAATGCAAATGCAATCGCGTTAGATCTGTCCGCTTTGAGTATCTGCAACCGAACTCACCAAAGTGGTAGAAGGTGCTGGAGGGCACTGGCTGACTTGACGTCGATCAATTGTGATATATGAATTATCCCCATCATATGCATGTTTTCCTGTGCAATTAAAATGATATGAGATATGTTGACGCATCTGATTCGCATGCCAGCATCGCCCATCGCGGGAAGGTATATTCGAGCACATACCTTACGTAGCACGAGCCGCGATCCATGAAAATTTCGTGTTGATATCTCGATGACCATGGTTCGTTGTGTCGTTTCAGCTCGAGGTTCGAAGAGTGATGCCAGCCTTATGTGAGGCGGGGGATTACCTCCTGGTTCAATATAGGGGTGACAACGTACACATACAATATATTTTACATGGCAAATACAAGTGACTACGAAGTCAGCTCTACCGCGAAAGCTACCGCGATCTTCGCAAACTCGAGCGAATGAGCCCACGAGAAGCCCGACTGCGAGATGGTGTCGCTGCTGCTGTGGATGCGGGGGTTGTCGTTGCCCGTGACCGCCTCGAACGGCATCGACGTGGGGATGCCGTACTTGAACCACGACGCATGGTCCGAGCACGCGTAACCACACTACAGAACGGGCGAGGTCAGCAGCACACCGGCGAGGCATCGGATCAATGCGCACAGGGGTGTCCATGGTCACAGGCAATCTTGTGTACGTCGTGACCACCTGCTTGAGGAAGTTGTTCAAGCCGGTATCGATGTAATCGGCCTCCAAGGCGACTACTTCCGTGGAGCCTGGTCTGAAGCTGGGATGCGCCGCGTGAGCTGATACCCTCGTGATGCGAGAGAGAGTGGCTCACTATCCGGTCATGTCTAGTTCCATGAAAGCTTTGACGCGCACGCCGTTGTTGGCGTAGTTTGCGGCAACAGCATTGGAACCTAAGAGACCACCTTCCTCGCCAGAGTACCAGTGGAACTCTAGAGGTGTTGCAGGCGTAAATCCAGCCGCAACGAGCGCTCGAAGGGTTTCAATCAGATTGACGGTCCCAGTGCCATCATCATCTGCACCTGGCGCGCGCCCACTGGTCGGGCTGCTCAGGTTGATCGAGTCCATGTGTGCGCCGAGGATAGTGACAGGCGCTGACGTATCCCGTCCGGCGAATTTGACGATAGTCGAGCTCTGCCCCCAGCTGTGCGCGAAGTTCGAAGCGCTAATGCCTGATTTCCCGGAAATGATCTGAGGGATGGCGACCATGTGAATCCCATTGGTATAAAAATAGACACCGGGGAGAAGCACTCACAGATCTGACGGTGGTGAGGATCCATGTGCTGGCATCGGCACCGGTCGACGACCTGTAGTATCTGTTGTTGAAGTTGGAGAGTGTGGTCAGGCTTGCTTGCATGTTGGCGGTCGAGAGCGTGGCGATGATTCTGGTAACGGTGGTTTGCTGAGACGGCGCCGGGACTGTGATATCATCTCAACCTCCGGTCATACAGTATCAGAAAGAACGGGACCGTACACGTCGCTGCAGGTGCACGCAAGGCCGACTTGGGAATCTGCTGTTCAATCTCATAGGTCTCTGTGACGTCGAACTATGAAGGCGTTAGCAAATGAAGGTACGACTGGGCGATGAGAACTAACGAAGTGGACTCCTGCGCGCATTAGCTCGAGCTTCTCATCTTCGGTCTTCCAGACAGGTTCGGCGTCCTCTGCGAGGTCGAGCAGCCGAAGGCCTTGCGCAGCTTTGGAGTGAAGCTCTGTTGGCTCGATGGGGGCTGCTCGTACGAGCGCGAGTGCAAGAACGACGAGGCCAGCGAGGGAGAGTCTCATAGCGACGAAATGCGAATAAGCTCCCTGAGAGATAGACGAGGGGAATCGAACAGTAGGAGAACCCGTCTACTCTCGCATTTTAACTTGCCTCAGCGATTCTAGCTTCGCAGAGATAAGATGACATTGTGCTACACCATGCGGCATATTGTGTAATGCCTATCGAGAAGCAGCGAGGTGCACGAGGGCAGAAGTAGGCGCGAACAGCATGATTCGAGACCCCGGCGTTGTGAAAGAAGACATTAAGCCCTGAGGCCACCAAGCTTGGTCTTCCGAAGCTGGCTGAAAACGGAGGTGATGAAGAATGATCGATATGTCTTCCGCGAGGTGGCAGACGAACAGTGCTTATCTCCACCGAAGCACATGAGAGGCAGGCAACGGTCGATGGAAAATAGCAACGATCCACGAGGATACCCTCGTTGATTCGGCGATATAGCTTGCTTCTGAGGCGACAACCGCCTGATTCGGGTTCGTAAACGCAGGCCCGCCACCGCGTCGAGGGCACTCGTAAAGGTTCTCTACATCTTCTGTTACGTGAGCTGCGAACGGATATGAGGTAGCCAAAAGCCTTTTGGCGAAGGGGGGAATCCTGAAGCAGTGAAGTAAGGAGTAATCTGGCTGCATCAGGAACTGGTCAAAGAACTTGGCAAGTGAGCACATGGAATGAATGTTGTCCATGTCGTACACATGAGGATTCAACATGAGGTCGCTTCCGAAGAACGGTTACTGTTGCGGAAAATAGGCGGCTGAACTTTGCAAGGGCTAATTTGCAGATGAAGTCAAAGTCGAAAAGTGGCTACATTGACTTTCTGAATAGAATGCATTCTCCCGTATATCAATACTCGATGAAATAGTCTCCTATGGGTAGTACGCGATCCTTCGGAGAGTTTCGTGAAGTGAGCTGATATGCTACCCAACAGCTGTGGTTACTCCTAGACCGGTGGTTTCGAGCCTATATCTAACATCGCGTTGGCTCAACCCTTCAGCTGAACCTCATCCCAGCCCAATTCCAGCTGTGCCATGGAGATATTTCATTGAAGCCGAGTCGTCGAGTATTCGGGCAGTTGGATGCGAACAACGAAGGTATAGGCCACCAATGGACGATCGACTTGTACTTTCAAGCAAGCTACTTCGTTTGGCATTTTACTGTAGGTCTCACGGATGCAGTTTCGAAGTCTCGAGGAGTGGCGTGAGAAAATGGTCGTACGCTCTGTGTGCAGTACCGACGAATAGCCATCATGTCTGTTTCTGAGAGTTACGCCAGTTCCACCAACCCGACGCTCAACTCCAAGAGTCCTTTACTTCCATCATCTGCAGCCAATGGAGCTCAGACACCCAAAGGCACGCTCGTGCCGACCAACAGCGTGACGACGAAAGAAGGCCTTACTGTTCGAACCCGTATTGATCCAACACTCACTGTTGACGACGTCGTGCGCCAACTATGCATCAACCTTCAGATCAAGGAAGCGCCATCCAACTACGCTTTGAGAGACGACAACGGTGAGCTGGTCACAAATGACAACCTTCGCAAGAAAGTCAAGTCCAAAGCCAACCTAAGGTAAGCTGGGCCCTCCTCCGACGCCGTGCCGTTGAAGGCGATTCCAGAGACCATTAGGGAATGTTGATTTTTGTATTGCTGGTGCTTTCTCTGATCCAGGCTTGTCAACGCACCCGCTCGAGAAGCGAGGGAACTTGCCCAGAAACTTAGTAGCATGACAGACGAAGATTCAAATCTGCGACTCACAACATTCACGCTAGCCAAATACATTCGCGTACGATGCAAGCTTACCCCGTCATTTCCTCTCTTAACTGTGGCATTAGGAAGAACAATTCGCCCAGGAGTTCCTGATGCATGACGGATTAAACGAACTAGTGGACGTAATATTCAACACGCACGGCAACATACTCTGCGTCCGTTGTCGTTTCACATCCTGTCTGGAAGCTTGCTAAGCCCTCGCCTTTAGTACGCTCTTACATCAGTCCAGAATCTCATGGATTTCGACTATGGCTGGGCAACTCTTTCCGATTCATTCATCTTGAAAGTTGTCCAAATCCTATCTTCCCCCTCGTCACTCATCAACGTCTGTCGCCCTGCTACCGCTATCCTGAAGAAGCTCGTTGAGGCGGACCCCGAAGCCGCTCCTAATGTCCAACCCAGCACAAGCACCGCGTCCCCCGTCGCCGAACCAGGCTCCGTGTATCGGTATGGCTTTCAGGTAGTATTTGAACAGATACGGAAGGAGCCGAAGATGCTGGAAACTGTTGTGAATAGATTAGGCAGCGCAGATACCGCCATGGCCCAGTATAGGTACATACGCGTCTCGGTGTCGATGTTTCATGGTTGTCCTGATTCTCGTTACAGCATGATGCTCATCAATTCCCTTCTGGCCCACGCTAGCGAAGCACGGTGGGAAGAGTTCATCATAGAACTGGAGAGGCTTAACGTTCGAAAGGCCGTCGCCGTTCGTGTTTCATGTCCTTTTCGTAACTATAAACTGACGCCTCTCACCATCAGAGGTTGATGACCTCGCACATTTTCGAAGACTTGACTTCCTGCGTGCTTGACTTCCAGGCGAACCTCGTTCGCGTCACGTACAGGAAAATGATGACGGACATCAACTTGAATAACCAAGTGCACGATTACATGCTTCGACAAATCTGGCAACGGAGTAAACTTGAAGAAACGGTGGATGCTGATGGCCAAGTTGTTAAATGGCGGCAGCTTGGTTTCGACGACGAGGATGTGGTGGAGCAATTCGGCGACGTCGGCGTTCTTGGAGTGGAATGTATGGTATGTATAGATGAGGATATATCCTTCGGACGTCATGCAGCATACTCATATCGCGCGTAGTTACGCTTCGCAAAGCACTGCGACCCCGAATTCGACAAGGTGCGTTCTTCACCGGTTGTCTGAGGATAGATAGGCATATGTTACGCGTCTAGCTTGTCCTGGAACAATTAAGTCGACCAGCGGATAGACAATGTCCCATAGGTAAGGCGTCTAACGAAGTGGTGGAGCTTCTCTCCGAGCATTGGTCAATCTTCGCGCCCGGTTGTACGTCTCTGGTTCATCCAATTTTCCGTAGCCGAAGCCTAATTAACACGCTAGATTCGACATCAACAACGTTTCAACCTTTCTTTTTGGACTTCTATCGAGTCCACACATTAGCAACTCAGTTCTTCCTCCGGATGTGGGGCGAAAGCGGAGCAGCGACAGGCGATTTCACTCGCGTCGTCGCCCTTGTTCGAAGCCAGTGAGTACACCTCGTTACCCTCCACGAATACAGCTACAGTTGGCGCTGCAGAATCAAAGTTGCTCTGAGGAGTGAGAACGTCCGAGAATGGCACGAAGTCGAGCAGGATTTCCTTGGGTCCGAATACCGCGCAGTGAGGGACCGCCAAATGAAGGAGCTAGAATTGGAGGACGATCTGCTTAGTAAAGTTCCAATACGGTGAGCGATATCCATTGACCTCCCTCATCCCGCTTACCGTCCATTTAGGAACCTACGGGCCAAATTGTACAAGGAGTCGTACGAGTTTGTGCGACAACAACGGATTCAGTGCTTACTCCAAGGCGGATGGTTTGTCAACGCTCTGCCTCAATCTGCTATCGCTTCTCGAGAGCCTCCAAGACGTCCCTCGCGGCCTTGGCGTTTCATGAGACTGGTCAGACAACTGCACTCCATTTGGCACTACTAACGCTGATAAATTACAATTACCCAGGATAATGGCCTGAAGTACATCCACTATGTGGACAGCGCGGTGAAATTTCCCGTCCGTAATGGATTGGAAGATCTGCCAGAGCGGTTAGATGTATCACAGATCAGTGAGATCGCAACAGGGACTTGTGCTGCGCCTCCGAACGTAGGCCTAAGCCATGGGAATGGGAACGACCTTCCTCCACCAACCAACTCCCTCATCGCCTCCCCGCTGTCGTTTTCGCTTATCAGCGCCCACGAAGGTTCCTTAGCCGATCTCATTGCTCCGGATCCGTCACGATGGGCAGATTGGACCGATGGACTGAACATGTTGCGGCGAGACGGAGGACACGTAGCTTCTAAGGAGACCGCAGGCTTCGTACAGGCGTTGACGGAACTTGGGCTCAAGATCAAGTTGCTAGGTAAGCACATTGACGGTCTGGCGACATTGTTCGGCGTTAAAGAACTTCTACTAGATCTGACGGGTGACGGCGTTGAGATTCCAAGCGGTTTGGTTGCTGGTCCGCCTCCAACCAATACGGATTTCTTTTTCTCTGATTTAGTATGATGAGTGGACTATTATTGTATTGTCTTTACGTTATCTTATTTCAAAATGTTTTTGAGTAATTCAGATTGTATTTAGATGATGAAGCACTGATGCTATGTACGTCTTTGAAGAATCCTGATGAAGTGAACTACAATGACGGGGGTTGAACCCGGTATGACTATGAACACAGATGAGTGATATTGTACAATGGCCAATATTTCAGATGATGGTATATGGAAGCATTATGGATCTATATCTATACGGGGGACCCTGGGGATGGGCGTAGTTCTGGGGTGACGATGCATGTTGGAGCATCAGTTATGCAGAGTTGTTCACCGAAGTCTTAGTGGTCCGCAGTGACGGGGGCCTGAGATTGGATCTTGGTAATGTACTCGGCACCAGCTTGATAGAACGGCCGGAAAATGGCTTCAGGGTCTTGGAAATCATTATGGACGACGTTGACCAGGAGGTACGTGTTCATGATATCGGAGACAACCTTGTTTGGAACGGAGCCCGATTCGTAGATGCGAGCCCATTGTTGTCCAAGTTCATATGCCTCATCCTATGGTGCGAGTCAGTATGTGGTAGAAGTAGTGATACGAGAGGACCGTACCTTCCATGCCATGAAGCTGACTGCCTCGACGATGGTGGGCTGCACGATCTCCTTACCAGGGAAAACACCCCAGGTTACAGCATTAGGACCCTCTGACTGCGTATTTGTCCGGAGATCACCGCGCTTGTTAATGACATGGTAGGTGATATTGCCATCCCGCTCTATGTGCGATAGCAGAATGTTGAGAAGTGTGGGGTTGACGAAGAATTCCAAGTACGCCTATTTATAATTCATTAGCGACTCATGAAGTTATCAATAGCTTTCAGGGCGAGACGCCTACCTTCTGGTATACGTAACCATTGCTGGGGCCCCATCCAAACAGTTTGTCGTCGCTGCGAGCGCCATTGACAGCAGGCTGCGAGTTGATGGTCAAGAACCCGAGCTCGTTGACCTTCGCTAGGTGTTGGGCGATTGCAGTGGTCTCACCAGCGACAGGCTGATCTGACCAAGGCAAGGCGCTCAGATCACCGCGGCAGAACCGGGCAAACAACGATGACACATCCGCGACTGTCTCTGGTTGTCCCCAGAGCTTCAATGCATCCTCTCTCTGTGATTCAATCAGCGCGGGTCAGCACCGGGTTAACGAGTTCAAGCACCGAGGACAAAACTCACGGTCTGCTTTAGAGAAATACCATAGCCGTCCAATTCACCGTAGGCGGGAGAGCGCGCATCACCAAATCGACCGTTGGGGTATTCATCCCAATTCTCCGTGCGGGAGATGTACGATTTGGCGCGGTTAGCCCAGAATATAGGTCGGATAGTCTCTTGTCGCCTAGTAGGCGTAAGGGACTGTCGAGACCCGGGTTAGCATCCACTCAATGACCCGGACTGAGGGGCGCGCTCTTACCTGTCGCCACGGGAGGGGTTTGATGGTTTCGATACGGGGTACGAGGTTCAGCTCCTCTAGGAGCATCTTGGTGGCCTTCTCCAGGTTCATTGTGTAGAAGTGGAGTCCTCGGATTCCAAGGTCTTCATCAAGGATGCGTCTGCACATGTCGGCGACCAGACGCGTGCCGATAGCCCTGACTTTCTCGTCGTCGTTCTTGTAAGGCTCGAGAGCTTCCGTGAAGGACTGAGGAATGATAGTCTTTGCCAGACTGGTTGCGCGAACGAAACCGTTCCAAGTTTGAATGGGGGCAATACCAGGAACGATGGGGATGGTGATACCAGCAGCACGGACGGCCTTGACCCACTCGATGAAGATTTCGACGTCGTAGAACATTTGAGTGAAGATGAAGTTGACACCAGCCTCAATCTTCTCCTTGAGGCATTTCATTTCGAATGCTAGTTCGTCAGGAGGAAGCAACATGTGTTGGGGGAATCCCGCGACGGCAATATCAAAGTAGTCTCCGTAAATCCGCCGTATGTGTTTGACCAGGTCGATTCCATGGACGAAACCATCTTCAACGGCTTCCCACTCGTCCTTGCCCTGAGGTGGATCACCTCTGAGGGCCAATACATTGCGGCAGCCATGTTGCTTGGCTTCCTAGAAAAGGTTGACGCCGAGTTAAGAAACTATGAACAGGAGTTAGGGAACCTGGCACGCACTCTCAATGCAATGTCGACTTTTTCTTTCGGCATGTTCGTGCATGTGAGATGCATGCATGTCTCGACGCCAATCATGCTCTGGCACGTCTTCACCATCTCTGAAGTCAAGTCCGATGTCCGTCCGCCGGCATTCCTGGCACGCGACTCAGCCACTATTACAGGATAATGGGGAGAGATCGAACCATGTAATGTCTATGAATTCAGGACCAAGAGCTCTCATGCGCTCTATACGGTCCAGCAGATTTTGGAGACCCTGGTAAAGTCTGGGTAAGTAGGAATTCAGCATTTGAGCATACGCGCACGTTACCTGGGCCGTTCTTGGTGGAAAATACTCAAAGGACCACCAGACCTTACCCTCTTTGGTCGACTGCTGGATTTTTTGGCTAATCTTCATGGCGAAACGGCAAACGAGAGCAAGAAAGAAAGAGAGTGGGTCGAACAATTTCGCTACAGAGCTTTATATGATCGGACGATATACCCAAATCCGGGGACCACGTTTACCTGGGGTCATCACTACTTGCTTACTTCTCTCTCCATCACCACCACCTTCCCTCGCCCTCGATGCGTGTTTCTTGACACAAAATATAGCCTTGCGGCAGAACAGTCGTCTCAGGGAGGCCATGGTCTTGTTTGGGGCCGCGCCACGACGTCCTTGAAGCCAATCCAGAAACCTGCAGGGAACGGTGCCCACATCGCGGCCCACAACGTACTCAATTGTCGCAATTCCTGGACTGGCTACGTGAGATATCCCTAAATGCTCCCGGTGACCTCTCTGCGTCGGCCCTTGACGGCACGCTCATACCCATTCGAAGGAGATCTGGAACTCGGACGAAAACTCCCATGATGCGTCAATATGAAATCCTGGCATGCAGTCAACCTCGATGCGTGATGACTGGAGGCTGCTATTTTACTCCACCAATGACTGAAGGTTCTCGGGATTTTTGGTCCGTTATCGGCCCCCCAGGGTGATGACTTCTACAGCATCCTTGTCCCCTTCAGGCTGATATAGACTGGATAGAAGCACACTCGACTATTTACTCAAAGACCAGACTTGTTCAATCTGATGCGTTCTCCCTTTGCCTTCGCCGGTGGCTTTGGTCTGACGGCATCGCTGTTTACCTGTGCCCTGAGTGGCTGAATTGAGCCCAAAACTCAACCAGCGTTAAAACAAAGGACGGGGGATTCATGCCGCCGTACCTTTTCTTAGAGCTTTCGGGCGAGGCTAGAAGTACCACGTTGCTTTGCAGGATGTTGGTTTATAACCCTCGAAGTGTCGCAATCATAATCCTCTGTCAGACCCCCTCCATTAATTTTTCTACATCGGCACGAACGACCACGACCATCATGATAATCGACGCGTTTCTGTGGATTTCTTTACTCTCGCTACTAACCTCGACCGTCTCTCTTCCTATCCCATATGAATCCAATGCTCAGCGACTTGCGCGCGGACTTCCCCCGTTGCCTCCAGTATTTAAACGAACACTCCCCGGATATACACCCCAATGGAACCCCACCCCAGTGTACAGTGAGTGTCAACAATATCCCGTATCAATTAATCAAGCTCACCATCTCCAGAGGGCCGACGGGCTGCTGCTCCGAGCCCTTCTCCATCTCTCCCACTTGTACCGAGGTATTTCGCTCAGCCCAGTACATCTACGCCCCCCTAACCGCATGTTTGAAGCCTCGAAGGGCGACTAGAAGTTCGAGGCGTAGACGATAAACGGGTCGGATTCATAGGCCGTCCTTCTGCATCAGAGCCAGTGTGGGTGATATATTTGATAACACATGTCTTTGTTTCTTCTAGTTAATGTTTCGACATATAGTGGAGGGATCAATACAGGTGCCGGTGAAGACCTACACGTGGAGTTCACACCGAAGTCAACTCCCTTCGACATCATTGCCACGGTATGTCAATCCTTGGCCCTTTCCATTTCAAAGCTGACCAAAGCATACCTTCGATTTTCATCATGCCTATTTCTATTCATCTTCGGTCTTCTAGAACGAAGGCCTTCTTCCAAATTTCTTGGGAGCAGACGGCGCGGAGGATATCGATGTCGATTTGTCTAGGTATGGAGATATTGGAAATAATCCCCGATCAGATGAGCTTACGACGTCTACAGCTCCATAGAACTGTCTAACGTCGACCAAGGGACCCAATCGTCGGTGTGGCTTTTTGATAGCGCAACTCAAGAACTTACAGGTATTTAATTTCCGTGACATGTCCAAATCGCCTCTTCACAGCGGTGCTTCGTTTTCGTAGCACAAGTCACCAATTCCGATGGTTCAACCCCCGAGACAAGTATCGGTTACAGCAGCGCCGTCAACAAGCTCTTTTTCTTGGGTGACCTCGACGCTTACAATGCCGAAAATACCGAAGTCCCGGCGTCTAAAGTGGTGAGTCTTCCATATCTTGCTGTTTCTATCACATATAACATATACGTACCTTCCCACCAACCTTTTAGCGGCTTTTCCTGGTTTGATGATTGGGGATCTATTATCGATAATCGACCCACGGACCTTTCTTCCTTCCTCCTCTCTATCCGAGTCGGACTTTCATTAGACTTCGACATTTCTTCCCCGCTGTGTCAACACTGTTACGCGTTGCTGTTGGACTTGTTACGATGAAACCAAAACCAAATTCTGCTATAAGCACACTTCTACTCTCGTATATTCTCTGTGCTTAGTTTGTATGGACAGGCTCTACATATATAGCCAAAGTGTATCTAAAGCTACAAAACAAATACATTACTCGGGGAATGCCTGAGACCTTACGTCCCGAATCCAGGACGCAGCGGCGTCGGGGAACTATTTTATCAGCGTCGAGTCAGTGTGTTAAAAATAACATGTTCAGGTACTGATTACTACTTACTTCCCAAACCATAACACCTGCATCTGTGATGTAGAAATGGAACGTAAGTGCCAGAATACTTCGTATAGGCAATGGTGATCGAACGCACTCCAACCACGGCCCTTCGCCTGTTGCAGACAGCCGGCTAATGTTGCAGTAGACATAAAGCCGTTGCTGGCATCGCCTGTTGTTGCTGGCTTTCCGATTACTAACTTCGAAAGAGGGATACCAGAGGCAGCGATTTGGAACAATGCAGAGTTCGGCCAGGTGCTAGATGAAGTCGAAAGAAGGCCGTCACATGTGGTGTACTCGCTAGTTCCCTCTGAAATTGTGTCAAACTATCATCAAGGTCGGAGGAGAGACAAGACGTACGGTTGTAGAACTATTTCAAAAGGAATAGGCTATATCAGTACGTATGTCATTCCCATTTAGTTCCGGGGCGTACCTGGACATTGTACCAGTCAATCAAATTGCCCACTTGCTGATCGACCGTCAAATATGCGCCCCCGCCAAAGCGACCGGGGGAGAACCTATAGTACAGTCAGACCCTCAGAGGTAGGTTGCACTGCTTCAACATTACCAAGGTGCAACGGCTACATATCATCTCCATCAGAGGTTCCGATAACCTGGATAGTTTTGTCACTTACGCGCATGGGTGAGAATGAACGTTCCCTGGGGAAGTTGTGTCCTCAGCTGCCGAGTGAAGCTGGCAAGCCAAGCCTCCGCTTTTCCATCACCAGCATTAATAGCGTTGAAGTCCTAAATTATATCAATATCAGTATCGTCTTCACAATTAATGCGCAGAACAACTGACTTCATAGTCAACGTCGATACCATCGAGATCGAACTCCTTTACCCAAGCAGCCATAGTATTGGCAGTAGATATTGGGTCGGCTCCGGTGGAAGTAGGAGCATCGGTCGCTCCAAATACAGAAACAATAAGCTTGATCCCTGCTGCTGCATATTCAGCTTTAACGGAAGCCCGTTCAGCAGCGCTGAGCCAGGTCCATTCAATCGCCTTGTCAAACGCCCCTTCTATCAAGAGGAACGAAAGGGCGCTGGATGCGACATGTGAGAACGCATGTAGTAGGTACAGGGAGGAAGCGTAGCACTCACAAGACATTGTACCCCTGTCACATAGGAGAAGCCCTTAGTTACACCCCTAGCCACCAATTTTGCCTAAGAAAACTCACAGTAACTTGTGCAACGGGTGGCGGGCCTGTCAGACCCGAGACAAATTTGTCGCTGTAGATGACAAAGTGCTGTAGAATATTTTAGCCCTTTCGTACTCCTCAGTTCGCGTCAAGATGCCTACGGGTGCACTAGGGGTAGCGCGAGCCAATATTTCGCGTGCTTTAGGGCTGAGGTCTGCCGAGGTGGCATTGGAGGTGGGAGCGGAGGAAACAAGGGACAAGGAGGTAAGAGCGATTAAACTTATGGCCAGGCGAAAGATATTGAGAGCGACCATGACCAGAATATTGGACGGGTAGCAGTGAAGGCTCAGCGGGAGGCTGGAGGCTTTCTCTGTGCTAAACAAGTTATCGTCGCTTCGCTTTATATCAGCCTTCGGCAATGGAAGCATATTTTGTTGGGTAGCGGATAGTATTTCTTTGCTTCGTATGGTCAGGAGAGGGAAGCCGTAGGTTTCGTATGGTGCTAGGTCATTCATGGGAGAAATTTGAGATCAACTTAAGTCAGAGTGTGGCCATTCCCTCTGTGCTTAACGAAAGTAGCGAAATCGTGGTGAGGCAATCGTTTGAGAAGAGGCGAGTGACATATGGCGACTCCGCTTCAGAGATATACCGGAACTGCTATGCACAATACCTCCTGGACTTCAATCTTCCCTGTATACTGAGAAGCACATATCGGCATATATTCCATTTGATTCAGGTCGGATGCATGACCTAATGTGAATGATTGAGTATGTGAGCCGCAGTGAGTGATTGCTAGCCTCGTGGAAGGGTAGTAACGAACCTACCTGGTTTATGGTGCCGTGTCCCGAAGAACCAATATAGATTCATTTTTATGGAAGTCTTTGTCGTATCGCACAAGACACACTCTGACTGGGTGCGGCAGCCGTTCTTGGATGGGAATGATATTTCGCACGACCAAGTCATCACTCCACAACCATGCATTCAGCTGGATGAGCTGGCAGTGACCGTTTAAAGTTGACCAAAGGCTCAGCCTAGTTACCGAAGTTTCTTTCCCAAAAATTCGGCCCGTGAGTAGAATGAGCATCTATGCCTAGCGATGTGATAAAACGGGAGTAATTCCCAAAGTAGATTACCCCTATGCGAGTGGTAGATTACACTGGGAACGCCTTCGATCTTACTGTTCGGATCCATGAGGCATTGGCGTTGGGGAACTACGTGGCGAGTACTGGATAAGTAGTAAAAGGGTGAGGGAACGGTTCACTTACTTCCCACACCATAACGCCCGCGCCTAGAGAAACAAACGGGGAACAAGCAAAGCGTTAGATATGTTGCTTATCCGAAGGAGTAGCAAGTGACGAAACTTACCCCATCCTAGTCTTTTAGCTTCTTGAGCACAGGTAGCTAATTCTGAAGTTGACATGAAGCCGTTGCTTGCATCGTCGGAGGTGGCTGGCTTCCCGATCACTAGCTTGGAAAAGGGAATACCAGATGAGGCAATTTGGAATAACGCCGATTTGGGCCATGTCTTGGATGATGTGAACAGTAGGCCCTCGCAAGTGGTGTACTCAGTGTCACCCTCTGTGGGCTAGGTAAGTTGTCAAGAGTCGCTACACCATGCTGACCGTACGTACGGTTGTAGAACTGGATACATAGGAGAAATTAGTCTGAGGGTAAGCTGAAGATAGAGGCGTACAGACCTGGAGATTGTACCAGTCTATGAGATGGCCAACAGCTTTGTTAATGGTCACGTATGCGCCACCACCAAATTTGTTGGGGGAGAACCTGTCAGAGAGGTCATCAATCGAGCAAAATACATGCAATTTCAAATGAGTACCAAGGCGCCACAGCTAAAGGTGTTCTGAGCTGGTATCAATCAAAGCAAAAGACTGGGTACATACGAGCATGTGTGAGGATGAATTTGCCTTGAGGTAGCCTTACTCGAAGTTGACGAGTAAAACTAATCACCCAAGCTTCAGCTTCTCCATCCCCTGCATTTACCGCATCGAAGTCCTAAATGACTTATATCAATACGCGCGCCCCGTCGACAAGGGCAAGACGAACCTCGTAGTCTACATCGATGCCATCGAGGTCAAATTCCTTTACCCAATCTGCCATTTCATTAGCGGTTTTTACAGGGTCGGCACCATTAGTGGTAGGTGCGTCGGTCGCTCCAAATACTGAGACGATGAGCTTGATTCCCGCTGCAGCGTATTCAGCCTTGACCCTAGCTCGTTGCGCGGCGCTCAGTCGGGTCCACTCTTTTGCCTTGTCGAATGCACCATCGACGAGCAGGAATGCGAGGGCACTACCATTGCGAGATTAGTGGCCACCATATTCATGAGTGAATCACCCAGCTACCACTCACAAGACATTAAACCCCTGTCAGGGAGAGGGGATTCAATTCACCCCTGACACTAAACAACACAAACGACTTACCGCAATCTCTGATACCGGTGGTGGTCCCAGCTCTCCAGAAACTGGCTGGTCGCTGTATATTAGGAAGTGCTGGTATACTTGTTAACAGCACGTTGTGTCCATTTGAATAAACTACTCACAGGAGGGGAAGGAACAGCCCGAGACAAAATATCGCGAGCTTCGGTGCTGAGGTCGAGAGAAGTAAGATTTGAAGCTGGGGCAGAAGTGACAAACGGGAGAGCAGCAAGGCCAAGAAATGCTACTACGATACGTGAGAGAGCGAAGAGCATCATGAATAGAGCTTTGCCTGTGCGTAGCGAACTGTGACGATCTTTGCCTTTATACCAGCCCCCAAAGATACGTTATTTCCGTCTCACCAATACATTGCGTGGGTTGCTGTAGGTCCCCGCTTCGCTAACACACAGAGAACCTGCACGCTGAGGACGGCGCCAGGTCATTCGCGGCAATTTGGAACAAGCAGAATGAACAGTAGAACGCGACTATGCCCTCTAACGAAGTCGAAGAGAAGCCGAGTGTCGTATGACACCGAGTCAGAGGATGTCGAAATCAAATGGCCCATGACGGCGCCTCGTCGAAATCACTGTTCGTCTTGATGAAGATTATAAGTTTAGATTGAAACCATATGCCTACAGACCCCTAAAGTTCAGTATGTGGGTAAAATCATGGTTGGCTGGCAACGAACGGAAACTTATGGAACTTATAGAACCACTTGCACTGATGAACGATCCGAAAGAGCCGACGTGGCCAGCGGAAGGCTTGTGGTCTCTCATGCAGTTGGATTCTGCGAAAGAGGAAGATTCTTCTGGAGACTTTCGCACGGCAGAGTCCGATAGACGATACGAGTCTTCCTTGGAGAACTTACTGCAGAGGATCCCAGGCGGTTATCTCGAAGGCCGTGTATATTCCCAATAAAAATACATCCGTTAGTTTACGCGCCCAATTTACACAATACCGCGAGGAGAGAAGCATATTGATTGATAAGAAATGATGATGAGCGTTAGAAGGGCCACGATGAAGCTCTGACCGTCTTGAACCACGAAGACGTGGCATGGGGATACTGCGATAAGAAGCGAAATGAGCAAGCAAGCCCTTTTCGTTGAAGGATAAACTGAATTACCTGCCAAACCATAACCCCTCCGTCTAGAAAGTACAAATGAGAAACCGTATACAAGATGATAAGCGAATAGGGCTTACTCCATCCTTGATTCTTGGCCTGAGACAGACAGCCTGCCAAAGTAGATGTTGACATGAAGCCATTGTTCGCGTCCCCGGCGGCGGCGGGCTTTCCGATGACGATCTTGGAAAGAGGGATCCCTGATGAAGCGATCTCGAAAACAGACGACTTGGGCCAAGTGCTGGAGGATGTGCTAAGCAGATTGTTGCAGGTGGTGTATTCGCTGGTTCCCTCTGAATCGTTCGGAAGTTAAAAGACATTATAATTGATATCAATGAATAGTGCATACGGTTATAGAACTGAACGTTATACTAGGAGAATAATCAGTCGATGTGCTTGAATCAAAGCGCGATGAATGTGCCTTACCCAATCTATCAAGCTACCGACGTTCTTGTTGACCGTCAAGTATGCACCCCCTCCGAATTTATTGGGCGAGAACCTGAAGGGTGATGTTTAGGATCTAAAGCAGGCTCAATGATTGCAACGCTCACCAAGGTGCGACGGCTAAAGAGATAAAATTATTTGGCTGACAATGTGAAAGAATACGGGTAACTACTCACGAGCGTGAGTCAAGATGTATGTTCCTTGAGGAAGTTGAACCCTGAGTTGCTTCGTGAAGCTTGTGAGCCACGCCTCGGCTTTGCCGTCTCCTGCATTGATGGCGTTGAAGTCCTGTATCGCCACAAATTGTTCAGATGGAATGAAGAACTCAACCGGGGAACAAACCTCATAGTCTACATCAATACCATCCAAACCATACTGTTTGACCCAGGCAGCCATGGTGTTGGCGGTGGCAACGGGATCGAGACCAACGGAAGTCGGAGCATCCGTAGCTCCAAAAGCCGAAACCATAAGCTTGATGCCAGCGGCAGCATATTCGGCCTTGATCGAGCTTCGCTGAGAAGCGGCGAGCGATTGCCATGCCTGGGCTTGATCCCAAGCACCCACGGTCAACAGGAACGACAGAATACTAGAAACGCCGTCATTTGCATAAGTAACCGAGCGGAACGGGTGATCTATTCGGCAGGACATACAATGTGTTCACACCCTGCGAGGAAATTCGTGTCAGCCACGCAATCATAGATAGATGTGTTGAAACGCGAGAACTCACCGCAAGCTGAGAACTAGTGGGGGGCCTTGTTTGTCCTGAAACCCACATATCCGAGTAAAGCACGAAATGCGGAGCAGCGGGAGTGGCGCGAGCAAGAATGCTCCGAGCTTCCGGGCTCATCCCGTCGAAACGATCGGTCTCGTTCACCGGAGCTGCGCTCACAGCAGCGAACAGAGACATAGCGCGAATCGCGATCAACAGGGAGGAGAGGGCGAAAATGAACATCTTGACGAGGGAAGAGGGATAAGGATAAGCAAGCTGCGAGGCTGTCGGGTGTCCTTCTCCTGTGGAGGCTGACCGTTGCTCAGACTTGATCTGAATTTATACAATTTCATCCTGGCCAGCCACCTTCAGTCCAACAGAGTGTGTACGACAATTAGCCGCGATGCATGCGGATTCTCGAGGTTCTCAAGTGGCTTCGCTTCAGAGAAAGAGGTTTATGGTCGATAAGAGAATGTCTATCGGCGGGTTGAGCGGATAAACTGCAACATAGTCGAATGCCGACATACAAACCACCTGCCTCAGAGCACACGAGCAATGCCTGCATTTGTCGTTTGCAACACAAGATAGACGACCAGTGCCTCTGAAGGGGTCGACAGTAATGCCGTATGGTATGGGAAAGAATACGCCTGTCCTCGGGGAGAGCTTGGTCGATTCAGCATCTAATTCGTCGTATCACCGAGCAGTCCGCGTGAATTTGCCCACTAAGGCCAGCCACCCAGACAGCAGATAAAGTCCAGAGCAGAGCGTACAGGAGCCTATCAAGACAATAGGTGTTCTGAAAATTCCTTCGGAATGGCCGGCTATGGCAAATGCATCGTAGAAAGCTTTCGTAGATGGCTTAATGGGCGACACGGCAATAAGCCCAGAGACGACTCAAAGAGTTGTTATCTCCATTGACTTGCCACGTCAACAGGCAGTACATGAGGTCGTTTAGACGTTGAGAACCAGGATGTCAAGGCAAGAGGCTCAAGGAGGTACCGGGGCGCATGGTTGCGAAGCAAACATTGTCGTCGTATCAAGTCCAGTTCTCCAGAGAAACTTGGCGGTTGGCCAGCGTATCCAAGTTGAATGAAAGGGAAATACATAACCGGTCTCGGGTCGGTCAGCAACGAGCCACCTGGCAGCTCCTGATTGCTCCTGGCGAGTCCTTCGAAAGAAGCGCTTCATGATGAGGCAGCGGTGTACATCCTACGTTATCTAGAAAGCCGATATACCGAGAGCCGAGCGATATGCACACCACCGGGATTCGATATTTAAAGCTAAATCCGTGCTGATGAAGGGGTTTTCAAGAGGCGGTTCTGATATCGATAGTCAAAGTTAGAGCCAGGCCAGATACCCGTTCCTGCGTTAGTAATCGTAGCATCGAAGAAGCTCGCATTGGACCTTGATGTGGCGGTTACGAAAGTTCTTCAGGATTCTGTTAGCAAGTAGCCTGGTGAGCACAGCTGAACCAAAGCTATCGTGGTATTTTCGTAGGTCTACAACAGAACTCACCAACCTGGCAGCTGCCAAGCATATGTGCACATGACCGACAGCGAGGGGAACCTGAGAGCCTATGATAACTGGGTAAATCGTAAATGATCGTAACGGTATATCGATGGCTTGTGGTTCACGATAAGGTACGTATCGTGTCTAAAGCGGGATAGATGTGTAGTATAAGGATAGAATATGTGATATAAAGTACAAGTGGTATCGGATGAGGGTCAACGATCCAACCGTTGGTAGGCCTCAAGAAAGATTGACGCGGAGACCTTCCACGGCATGCCACCGGCCAGGCGTGCCAGGCTTCCTCTTCCCATCCGGGCTGCGCTCATATTCCCTACAAAACACTCTTCCAATCAAAGGTCTTGCATCGATCTCGCCAGCCTTCGCCTGGGACGAATACGCTCGAATGGTGCCTTGGTCCACTGGCAGACCCCGAATGGTCTCGGTATTGTCGTCCGAGTGCGGCGCTGCAGATGCAACCTTGCTAAGGGCATCCGAGAGCTGCTGAACAGGAATGCAAATGGTTTCCTCGTCGGAGTCGGTATGCTGATCGCTTTCGCTAGGCTTGAAATAGTGAACGATACTGTTTGCAGAGGGATCCGAAGAAGAGACGTCGTGACAGGGAGTCGGTGGGGCTGAGAGAATAGACTGAGATTCTGAAAATGTCTGGCTGAGTGGCGAGTGGCCTGAGGAGGGCAGTTGGGTTCGGTATCGCCAGCGCGCTGAAGAGACTCGGATCGTGTCGTCATGGGAGAACGTATTTCCCTCGGATCCGGTTCGCTGTCTGGGGTCTTTGATGGGCCCAAAGTCGGCCGCCACATCAGATTTAGTGCATGCCGAAGGGAAGGAGTGTAGTGATAGAGTTGGAACGGACGCGGTGTTGAGTCGACTGAGAGGCGTCGGCCGCTGACATCCACAATAAACCTCCTGATGTGAGTACGCGAGAACCTAAACATACCTGTCTCCGGAACCGAGTCCATTTGATGCCGTCTAGATCGCTGAACTCCGTCTTGACGGACGACAACGTTTTGACTAGGTTCTCGTGCTCGGACTGTGGGAAGTCAGTGTCCGTTACCAACAACGACGACAGGATTACAACAACGGGAGTTGTATGTAATGCTCACCCTGTCCATGAGCTTTTGTAGTGCCTCGATTTCCTCGAGCTTCTGTTCCTTCTCGATTTCAATCTGACGTAGCTTGCGAAATTCGGCACGCGACGAGTCTGATATCAGCCGGGCGCGGCTGGCTTTCTTCTGCGCGGCGGGAACATGGGCGGCCAACATACTTCAAGGCTATGCAATGGGCAGCGGGCGTGTGGCGCGGTTCTCGTGGCGCGGTGCGATGAATAGAGAGAGTGGAGAGCAGCTACTGAACGATTCCAAAGTAAAGCAATGCGATAGATAAAAGGGAGATGTGGTGCAAACGAAAGCAAGATCAAGGAAAGCAGAGAGTCGATAGCGAGAAGGAAAACAAGAAACGGGAAATTTATAAGGAAGGTAATGGATGGGGGATAGGAGACGGTGAAGGGGCCACAACGTTAGCCACTGCAAGCCACCACGGCCACGTGCTGCTCCCGCCATTTCCCGCGCTCCTCCAAGTTCCCGCCACGCGCCAGACCGCCTACCCCGTCGGAACCGTGGATTGACCGTGGCGCGTCCCAGAGCTACAGGGCGACATCAAGGGATAAGCCTTGTTTCAATGCCTGGATGCTGCGTTGATAAATCTTCCATCCTTGATTGTTGTTTTATCAAAGGGTTCTCACCGATTTTTGCTGTTCTGGCACTGGATCGATCCTGGAACCGCTGTCACCTGTGGTCTCGCTTAATATCTATCTTCTAGTCAACCTGCTTCTAGCTTCCTGTCTCGCCAGGAGCACTCTGTTCTCTGTACGCTGTCGAACGTCGGCGCAGGGCACGGACGATCATTAGTAATTACTAGTAGATGCGTTGGTGCGCTTGCCAATTCATTCATTCTTGACATAAATATGTGGCTGACCACTCTTGCTGCCAGCACAAGGCTTGGGTGCTACTAACTGGATGTTTGAACGCGCTTGACTGCTATGATAGAAGCATGGATGGAAGCGAGCGCCTGATCTATGACGCACAACGAAGGCGGTTCCATATGATGGACTTGTCTACTATAGCGGCTGCTAACTGGGCGCTCACGCCGACAGCATCCATGTCTCGCGCTTGTGCATCGGTTGCCAAAGCCCTCCTTGACGGAATAGATTTACTGCAGGATGGGAACACGCCCAATAGCACATCCCTCCTCTGTCATCTGCACTAGAACCCCCATCGCAGTGAGAGTTCGTATATAAGCCACGACGTACAGATATCAAATAACGGCAGCTCACTCTCCTTCATTCTACTCCAAAAATGACCTCCGCACGCGTTCTCTGCCTCTTCGCATTGCTCGTTGCTATCACCGCTGATGCAAACTGCCACAATCATGCAGCTCCCCCCGTCATTCCTAAGGTGGCTGTCGCCGAGCCGGAGGTGAATCAGGCATCAGAGTCAACTGCTACAGAGAACTTCGCGAGTGCGCCACCACAAAGTTGTGCTGCCGATGCTGTCCAATTCATTCTGCCGGTGCGATTATACTACGTTTCGACGCTAATCAACAGCTTGATGAATTGGCGTTTAGGCTGATCCATCCATGACACTGAACTGCTGCGCAGCGCCTCAGAAGGTCACTTGGCTTGACGAAGCTACCAAAATCGGACAGGTATGTTCCAAATCTCCTTATCCACACTTTAGCTCACGCTCGACACCACTTGCAGTGCTGCGACGCTGATAAATCCTGGTCCGGAGACAAGACCACTGGCATCGGAGGGTGCTGCGACGAAGACAAGCATTGGTCGCAAGATGAAGCTTCGGGCTTGGGAAAGTGTTGTGCGCCGGGTCATGAGTTCGCGGGGGATAAAGCAAGGGGTGTTGGATCGTGCTGCCCGAATGGCTACCGCTGGAGTGCTGGCCGATGCAAGCGCGTACCGCAGGGCCAGGCTGCGCCTCAGCTTCGCAACCAGGCTTCTGCAGGTGAACTCTGACTTGATGTCACCAGCAGTGACCGTTGTTGATCATTAACCAGGCCTGTAATATATGAGCCACCTAAAGCGTATATCCTATCACTAATAAAAGGCTCGTTCATTTAATCACCAATCCACTTGAACCTTGCAATGCTCCCTACATTACTCCAGCTTTTGTTCTCGTACCTTGGGAACAGGAATACGTTTCTAAACTGCACTGCGGTATCTCCGAGACTTACAGGTGATCACAGACAGCCTCTCTTCGAGAGTACGTTGAATATCAACGCATCACAAGGTCGGGCTAAAGGCGAGTCGTTAAACAGCGAGTTGAACCCAAAGTCTGGGCGCGTTGTACATGCCTCTCCCAGAAGTCGGAGGGAAAGGCTTCCGAACGTGCGACTCGTGCAGGTTATGGTTTTAGCATAGGCTGACCTCCTCGACATCCGATCGGCGTGGTTGGATTCCCGCCGAGACATATAAATACCTTACCACCTCACCATCCTCCCTTAGCTGCTGTCGCAGGTGGGGTTCTTCCTTACCACCACCCCATCGCACGTATGCGTACTGGCCCCGCCCCTCCCACCTCGCCTGTGTTCTCCTTGCCGCGTTCATCGCGCTGATGTGGGTGTTTGCTCTTCAGTGAGGATGGCCGAACGTCATGATTAGGTGGGGTGGTCTTGATTACCATCTCGCATTGGGCCAATCTTCTCTCTTGGGACGTCGATGATCCACATGGGGCGGGCTCCCTACTCGGTACGTCCAACGCATTCCCGGCTTTAGGGATAAATGGCTGAGTCGTGGTCTAGGCTTTATGAAAGTGAGGTTGTCCATCGCCCAATCGCGGTTTAACCGACACGTCTTTTTTCCTTGTTGCTATCTGACTGTAAGTGTTCCTTCACATGGCGTTAACTGACTCCGGGACTCTGGACAGATTCACCGGAACCATTGATATACTCGATGGTGAGTACATTTGCCAGTTAGACAAGCAGGGACTCACCAGGATGCCGGAAGAGGACTGTCCAGATGAAGGATGCTAACGGCGCGAAGAACCATAGCACAGTCATGGAATACAGCGTTGCTCACGGTGACCTAGTATCCTTCTGCTTCCTCAGCTTGCGTCTTCCCCGGGTCGACTGTCGTTAACTCGCATCATCTCACGAAAGGAACAAAGGGATCCCTACCATGTTGACGGCCAAGTCAACGTGCTGTTGGCTGGACTGGTTGAGTTCGACGTTTGTTTTCATGGGTGAAGAGAGCGATGCGTCACGAAGTGTGGCGTCTGCTCCAGTCGAAGACACAGTGTCGCCTTGGGCATGCTGAATTCCCTGCGTCGCTGCCTTCGGGCCCGTCAGAGCCAGAACACGAGTATACGTCGATTCGGGTGCAATGTATGACGGGGGCTGCACGCTGTTTTGCCAAGAGACTCCATACTCGGACTCTGGTATCTCGCGGCCCAAGAGGGCAGCAGGCTGTTGGATTACTCGGTGGTGAGTACATTTCCTAAGGTGACTTACTAATACCGTGATGGAATGGCTTGCGTAGGAGGGTTTTTTTCATAGTAGTCACTCCTGTAAAATACTATGGCTGGAATCATAACTTGTAGAACATTTCCCTTGTAAGTAGTTACCTTGACAAGTTGCGAAGATCGTCGACCGAGGTCAAACCGAGATGTAAAAGAAACGTGATCAGTCGCTTAGGTAATCGAAGTCGTGGCATGCGAAGTTGAATCCAGGGAAGCGGAAATTCGTTGGCGTGTAATTGCCAGGCTTTCTTTTCTTCCAACACTCACCATCCTCTCTTCTCACTCATGTCAGGCTCCAGCGCGGGCAGAAGTCAACCTCGCCTCAGGCAGACGCACAAATCACCGCTCGCAGGCTCAAGTGGTGTTGATTACGACCAAGAGGACGAGCATGTCACTTCAATTTACCAAAGAGCGGTGCGTCAGATGCTTTTGTGCCCATGCGGTTCCCCAGGACTCACGGGGATGCTTGCTCTCAGGAGGATCGAAGTCATCTCGAACAACTCTTGTCGACGCAGAAAGCCAGTGTTGCCGTAGTTTCAATATTGACGCTTCTGGCATTTGCTCTTCGCTTCTACAAAATCAACCATCCAGACCAAGTTGTGTACGTGTCGTGGTTCCTTAATTCTCTTAACACCTCCGATATTAACAATGCTGCGCGCCCATAGCTTTGACGAAGTCCACTTTGGCAAATTCACATCATATTATCTTCGACGAGAATACTACTTCGATGTTCATCCACCTTTTGCCAAGATGCTTTTCGCACTGGCAGGTTGGTTTGTTGGCTTTGACGGGAACTTCCTATTCGAGAACATTGGCGACAGCTACACAGCAAATCACATCCCATACGTTGGTCTACGCGCGCTCCCGGCTATCCTGGGCAGTTTGACAATCCCCGTGGTTTATGCAATCATGAAAGAGAGTGGTTATTCGACCGTTATTGCCGCATTTTCAGCTATCCTTATTCTATTTGGTGCGTACCCTCCCCGATCAGCTCTCACCGCCTTTGTTGAACCGTTGAACCATTTGCAGATAACGCTCATGTGACACAATCGCGTCTCATACTTTTAGACGCGACGCTTATATTCTTCATGTCCCTGACGATCTACGCGTATGTTCGGTTTAGAAAGCTACGATACTTGTGAGTCCGCATCCCCGTATAGTGCATCCCCTTAGGCTAACCCTACTTCAGGGAATTCACTACCGAGTGGTGGGGATGGTTGATCGCTACCGGTGTCTTCATGGCTTGCACATGGGCTTCTAAAGTCAACGGAATCTTAACTGTTGCTGCCATTGGCTGTGCTGTGCTGATTGATCTTTGGGACATCCTCGACTACCGCAAGGGATACACCATGGTAAGTACCTTGGATCTTGAGTTCGAGTAAAGGTTGATTATTCCTCGTTCAGGATCATTTCGCAAAGCACTTCTTTGCCAGAGCCATCGGTCTTATTGTCGTCCCCCTCATCGTCTATCTGTCATTCTTTTGGATTCATTTTGCCATCCTCACTCACTCCGGCCCTGGAGATACCTTCATGAGCCCCGCCTTCCAGGAGACATTACTCGGAAACGAAATGTTGCTCAACAGCCATGGTGAGTTGTCTGTGTCATATCCAGTGGTGGTCGCTGACGTTCTTGATATGGGCAGAAATACATTACTACGATGCTTTGACCATCCGTCACAAAGACACCAAGGTGTTCTTGCACTCCCACCCAGATAGGTATCCCTTGAAGTACGACGACGGCCGCATCAGTTCGCAAGGTCAACAAGTGACTGGTTACGGTCATAACGATACCAACAACCACTGGCAGGTCATCCCCACTAAGGCCCTTCCTGAGAAGGGACGCGGAAGAATTGTGCGCCACAACGACGTTGTTCGCCTCCTCCATGTCAACACCCAGACCCACCTCCTCACACACGATGTTGCTTCTCCTCTCATGCCAACAAACCAAGAATTCACCACTTGGCCTAAGGATGATCACTCCCGGTATAATGATACGCTCTTCTATATTCAGTTATCAGACGGTCGGGATGGTGAGGCTTGGAAGAGCAAGTCTGGCCACTTCAGATTGGTTCATGGATCGACCAAGGTGTCAATGTGGACCCACCCGAAGCAGCTCCCTGACTGGGCGTACAAGCAACAGGAAATCAACGGTAACAAGAACCCTACTGAGAAGTCCGCTGTCTGGTTTGTAGATGAGATCGTATCATCTGAAGGTGAAGATAGCTGCTTAATGGAAAGTAATAAACGCTGACCTTGAATTCATTCAGACGAAGAAGAGGAATCGCAGCAAACGGAGGTTGTCCCACCCAAGCAGCCCAAGTCGATGTTCTTCCTCAAAAAGTTCGCTGAATTGCAACTCTTGATGATGCAACATAATGCTGGTCTCACTGCATCGCATCCTTATGCGTCCGGACCCATTAACTGGCCGTTCTTGATCAGCGGTATCAGCTTCTGGACGGAGAGCGAATCCCAGAAGCAGATCTACCTCATCGGTAATTTGATCGGATGGTGGGCGTGTGTCGTAGCACTTTCTAGTTATGTTGGTATCCTCGGTGCAGACTTGTTGGCCAGGCGTCGTGATACATATCCTCTCACTGATGGTACGTATTCTGCTTTGGGTTTACTCTGATGATTGCTCATCGCTTCCGATCCTGCCACAGCCGTACGCAATCGCCTATGGAACTCGGCCGGTTTCTTCCTCCTCATTTGGGGTGTCCACTACGTTCCGTTCTTTGTGATGAATCGTCAACTGTTCATCCATCATTACCTCCCCTCGCACTTAGCCTCCGCTCTAGTCGCCGGCGCGGTCTTGAACTTCGTTCTCTCGGAAACAATCAACTACCCCGCATCTATTGCTGGCCCACAAACACGGAGACGGCCCTCGCAATACGCGGATTTGGGAGCTAAGGGACCTGTTGTGGTCGCTGTTTTCGCTCTTCTGATGTTCGCTATGTTTGTTTACATCGCACCATTGACGTACGGCACTCCTGGGTAAGCACCATCGAACCGTCCTACTTGTACATGCCTGTCTGACGTCTAATTTCAATAGTCTTACTGGTGATGAGGTGAATAGCAAGAGGTTGCTTTCATCCTGGACGCTGCATTTCGCAGCCAAAAAGACAGCTGAAGTGGTTTAGCGAGAGAGCTAATTAGTAGTATACGGGTTGTCGTGGATTCGTAATATTCTGTATATACCGTTATGCTATCTCTTTCCCCTGGATATTGTGGCCACTATCGCATTTATCGTAGCGACGGTGGTAGAATGACGCCAGGTCCGAGTACCATATATGGATAGTCCTTATTGGCCTGGGTGGACCGCTTCTTCAACCGTAACGACCACCATGTTCAATTCCCCGAGGCCTGCCCAACGATATGCGGGCGCGACTTCAGGAAATTTCGGCGGGAGCTTTGTAGATGATAATCCGCTGGCCTCCTCTGTATACGACGGTCTTGACCCGTGGAGTGCTGCACCGAGCCCATCCCCTCCGCCAATACCGCCCGCAGCTTCAAATACGGTGTTCAGCTCAGTAATAGGTCAGTTTCTAGGTCAGGTGCTCATGTATGCTCGTTTGCTGAAGGAATTGCATGGGTTAGCGGATGCCACCGTTCCGTCTATCTACAATAAGGCCTTCACCGCTGTGGACCCAGATGGTATCGGAGAGACGTCGGTTAATGCGTTGTCGCGCGTATTAGGGACCTCGTCGCTTCCAGCTGCGACAATTGATAAGGTGCGTTTCATTGATTTCCATCAGTGCCGATAATAATCATGTAATTCGGTATAGATCGTGAATCTGGTCAGTTCACGGCCTCGAGTCTCTAAACTTGAGTTCTTTGTCGCGCTGGCTTTAGTTGCATTAGCTCAGTCGGGAAAGGGTGAGTACTTTGTGTTTGTGCCTTGTTCTACGCGCTGGACATTACTGGTGGACAGATGTAAGCATCGAACAAGTCGCAGCATTGTCATCCCGAAACGACCTCCCCGAGCCCAAACTCGACCTCAGTTCGCTCGTGCCGTCAGTCTCGACATTTCAACCCCCACCCCCTCCGACGTACCGGCAAAATACTACCTCTACTGTAGCTGCCCCTGGCCGTTCACCTGGAGGCATCACCGATGACCCATGGGCGACTGGCACTAGCAATGTGCGCTTCGGAGGCGGACTGGGGACCACACCAAGCGGTAGCGGTTTTGACGGCGCACGAGGAAGTCTGGCGAATGGTGCACCGTCGAGTTTAGCTGGAACCGGCCTGCCGAAAGAGTGGTGGAAGAGGCAGGAAACCGTTCGCATCACCATCCTAGGCCAGCAAGGATTTATCCTAAACCGATATACGGTGTATGAAATCAGCACCGATGTGAGTATTCTCGCTTCAGCCTCAAGGCTGTATTCTCAAAAGTTGACCAACTCATCAGAGGGGTAACCCAGTAACAAGACGATATTCTGAATTTGTATTCCTATGGGAATGTTTGACGAGGCGGTATCCGTTCCGTCTGTTCCCAGCGTTACCTCCAAAGCGCATAGGCTGTAAGTTCAGGCATACGTAACAATATCGCTAAATTTTTACTTTGATTCAGCCGATGAATATTTCCTTGAGCAACGACGGTATGTGCGCCTGATGAATATTGAGGCAGAACTGATTTCAAGCTATCTCATAGGCGTGGCTTAAATCGCGCACTAAACTTCGTTATGTCAGTACATTCTCGGAATACAAGTCTGATGGCCCTTATTTACGCATCTGCTAGAAATCACCCAGTCATCAAGGAGGATGGCTTATTGGCAGTTTTCCTTACTGAACCCTCTTTTGAAACATGGCGAAAGCACACATCCGTATCTTTGGACGAAGAATCTGCCAGCAAGCGAGTCGATCGTCTTGAAGAAATGACCATACCAAGCGACTTGGAAGACAAATTGGCGTACGTCTTACTCCTCTGTAGTAAACATATATGCTCATTGCAAACTATAGCATCGTTAGGAATAAGATTCCAGCATTAATTGAACAATGGCAGCGCATATGTATACTTGCTGAACGGATTATCAAGAGACGGGAAGCAGCAGCGGTACGAATCCCATTTTTTCCTATTGGCATTGCCAGAGGAGACGCTCATGTTAATGCGGATTCCTCCTTCGGCGTCCCTCGTCTATTCAACTCTCTTGCTTCACCTCAACTGGACTCCTCCGTCGCTTCTGTCGCTTCCCTGCCTGGCTCTCCTCGTATCGATTCCTCCATCTACGGTGGCCATGGTGCCATGCCCAACTCCATGTACATATCCACCGCCAATATCAATACCTCTGGCACGCAACAACAGGGGGATTTATCTAGGTTGACTAACACGTTGCGGGCTGTGACCGAAGTCATGGAGCATTCGTGGAGAGGAGAGGAAGATGAACTTTCATCTGGGGTGCGCCAGGGGTTAGGTCAAGTTGCGATGCACTGTTCAGTGCAGGCCGAGATTGCCGAGCTTAGAGTGCGTCGACCAATTTGCTATTGACGGCCTGCTCATTTCTCCCCCCCGATGACTAGACACGGACGCTTTTCGACACAACATTGGAGTCTTTGAAGGTGATATTTTATCACGCTTGAATGGGAGTGGATGATTTCTGACCCCTTATAGTCGCAACGTGATCTATACATTGCTATGCGCGATCTTTTCGTGCGACAAGACCGGTTGTCGATAGACCAAGTGGACAGGCTAAAAAAACGAGTGGAGACAACATCCGTCCGATTGGATGGCATCAAGTCTGCGCAGAAGGAGGGGTGGCAAGAGGAGGCCGAAAAACTGGTTTCCGCCATCGAGAGGGACCAGGCGACCATCGCCGCTCAGTTAGCGAGGAGAATATTCATCCGAGCGTGGTACGTACTTTAATTCGTTCTAGCGGTGAGTGATTATACTAATGATGTCGTGTAGCATGTGGCACGAACTTCGAGTGGTATTCCACAATAGGGAGAACACAATGTTGACCGTGACGGCGCAGGCTTTTGCGAGGGAGGAGCATGCATTCGCCGAGAGGGTCGTCGACAATTGGGCGTCTATGATAGATGGTATAGAGAACATGCCATATGAGTGAACGATACCGTCTCGAGTAATTCAATCTTCTCCCCTTCTTGGTGCCTAATTCTGTACTTCCAATCCCTTGAATCCGCGCAACTTGCTTCCATCACGCCCTCTCACGAACTATTTTTCTTGGACCATCTTCCTCGCATATCGATACCAGCTTCTAATCCTTGCTATGTGCTCCGCTCGGAATTGTGCTACGAACATTCATTTATTTTATTCATGATTCATGTCCCCACATACTCTATCAACCTCTCAGTCCCTACCCCAGCAAAAGTCCCCCGGAAGAACATAACCCATAGCAACAACTAGAGACAGTATTAAGTCTCAGTCAGTTATTTGCACCTTGATCGCGCCTTGCGACGGGTCAGCTGCGACATGGAAAGCGGAAACTGCGTCTTCGAGCTTGAACCGATGGGTAACCAAGGGCTTGAGGTTGATCAATCCACCAGCAACGAGACGAATTGCTTTAGGGTACTAGAGAGTTGAACACAAACGCGGGAATTAATGTATGGCTACCATAGTCGTACGAGCATAGCGTACCTGGTTTGCGTATCGGTATTGAAGACTGAGGTCAATCTCGTTGGCACTTAGATGCATGAAAGGGAACTATCCTCAGAGGTTAGCATCATGGCTCTTAAGGCGCAGCGCGTCACATACCGTAAGCTCGCTCTTCCCAACGCCGATGATGAACACCTTGCCACCAAACTTCACCGACTACAATGCTTCTTTGTCAGCATTCGGACCTGCCGTTGAGGTTCATTTCCACTTACGTAGATAGCTGTGTGGATACTACTCTCCACACCAGTACACTCTAAAGCAAGTTTAACATTTCCGTCGGCTACTGCTTTGATCTTCTCAGCCTGTTCCTTCGGTCCTAGACCACGCTCGATGAGGACGGTACGAACGCCTGGCACCATGGATTTAGCAAAGTCCAGACGTGATTGGAAGAGGTCAGTGATGACAATTGGTTCTGCACCGGCTGCACGAGCAGATAGGAGGGATACCAGCCCGATGGGTCCTGCACCACTGATGATCCAATTCAGAATATAGTAGTACAAGGGCGGATGGAGAAGATATACGTACCAGATGAGGACTGGGTCGCCTAGACGCAGGTCTGAACGCTCAATCCCGGCCAGCGCGACTGCGAGTGGTTCGCACAAGGCTCCCTCTTCGAAAGACACGTTATCCGGAAGCCGATGTAACCACTGGGCTGGGTGGAGATGAAATCGGGTGAGAGTTCCTAATCAAAGACAAATGAGCACGTAAGCCATATTTATACGAAATTACTAGAGACTGACCATGGAACGGAGGCGTAGAGAAGAAGACCACATCAGGACAGGCGTTGTATCTTCCGGTGCGACAGAATTCACAGGACGGTTGAGAACACGGAACGCCAGCCTCGATCGCGACTCGATCGCCAACCTTCCATTGCGTAACGCCCTCGCCTACTTCGAGGACCTCACCGGCGGATTCATGGCCAGACCCACACTGACACGGTTAAGCTTCTATGATCGCAGTAAGAAACAAGCGGAATAACTCACTTCGTCCGTCACGATCATTGAGTCGCCAATTCTGCCATGCTTCCAAAAGTGAACATCACTCCTGTAATGGAATTATGAATGAGCGCTTTGACTTGGTTTGGACCGAGTTGCACGTACCCACAGATCCCCGTTGCTCTTACGTGCACTAGCACTTGCCCAGGGCCTGGCTTCAAGCGCGGTTTCTGTACAAGATGAACTTCGTGTTTGGGGTTGTAGAAAGCCGCGATATTAGCATCCGGAGCAGGCTTCTCCCCCTCCGCGAGAACTCTAAAGTCCGGGTGGTCGAGGATCTTGCGGGGATCGTACTCTTGAATGAAGGCCATAGGGGAATTTACCTAAGTGAGGGTGCACCGGGAGCTCTTTATCTGACTCCATTCTCGCTTGGGAAATATAAATGTCAGCTTGGTTCCGTCCAGACGAGTGACCTCAGAAAAGGCCCGTAGCTGCCGTTCGCCATACGCGGGCCTGTCGGGCCGGGCCCACTCTACCACCAGGATGGGAATAGGAGCTTTGGTGTGGAACGATAAAAATACAAACTCGTATTTCGTTTACAAGGGAGCGACTCTGAAACGAACGATGAAACGAGTACTTTGTGTTGGGATTTGTTGGGACTGCTACGACTTGTAGCGCCTGACTATTCCATCATCGCCTGCATACCATATCTCATCACCTACTGACCGCAGACATCTGACTCCATCACAATGGATGCCGATCAGTTCTTTAGCAACGCTGACTTCTGCGTCATCGCTAACAGACGCAATGAAGGGCAGACCATCGGATGTGGCAATAGCAAGCTCGATTGATGAGCCACCTGTTCAATGCCACGATAAACGACGGAATTATTGGTAACATTGGCATATTCACCTTGACCGTCACTATTCGATGATGAAAAACATATGTCCTCGATGGAGGCGTTGTTTCTCGTGAATGACACCAGTGGAGCCGAGCCTCCGCTGAGTCCGCTTCGCACGTCATATACGTCCACCACTCCGCGAGATGATCCAGTTGCAACCAAGCGGTGGGACGCCGAATAGCTAATCGTTTGTAACGCCGCTGACGAGCGTTGCGACTGGAATACACAGCGCTTGGAACCGACATCGAAGCATTCGAATGTGCCGTTTTGCAAAGAGGAGAATACTAGCTTGTCCTGCGTCTCAACTTCACGTTCGTCGACCCCACCAGCAGCCCCGTTGATAGAAGGGGTCCCATCAGTTCTGGGAGCAGAACCAAAGGCTACTCCATTGCGCTCTCCTAATGACATGCCTAAGATCGGACCGCGAGCAGACGATAGAGAGCGAATGGTCTGGCCACTGCCGACGTCCCACAAGCGGATTGTGCCGTCAAGAGAAGAACTCAACACATTACGACCCCGAGCAATGATAGCCGTATTAGAAATTGCCCGTGTGTGTCCAGAAAGCGAGCGGGCTGGCTGAAGGCGAGTCGGGGTCGAGGAAGAGGACGAAGGAAGCTCAGCAGGCAAAATATGAAGTGTAAAGTCCGCGCCTCCAGACAGCAGCACCTTCGACGATGGGAAGAATTGCAGAGAGGTAACGCTACTGAGATGAGCCCGCGAGCTGGTATAAGGCGAGGCAGAGATTGGCTGTGTTGTAGATCGCGTTTCAGGAAGTATTGGATAAATTCCGACCGTTCCATCGAGGAATCCAGTGGCGAATTGTGTCTTATCGCGTGACACGTCGAAGGTGGTTATCCGTTGAGGCTATTGGGCGACCGTTACTAACTGGTCCTACATATACTTGCGGTAGTCCAGACGTACCCTTTCTGGATTGGATTTCTGAGGATCGGCATACTCTTGATACGGTACCGCAATAGGCGCATCGTGAATAGAGAGTGCAGGGCACGATATCGCGTATTTGGGGTTCTACTTCATTCCAATAACTGAGAATCATCATTCATTCCCATCGAAAGATTTGCCCACTCACTGTGTAACCAGGGCCCGTAACCTCTTTCATCTCGACGCCATCCTGACCGGAGAGAGTCACCTTTTCCCTGGCAGAGTCCTTCTCATCCAGTTCGACCTTTACCTTCCCATGAACGGATGGTTCTCCGGATTTATAACATGAGACCCAGAAAGTGTCGCCAGGGGTCACTCCCGAGCGCGTCTCAGTGATTATCGTCGCGAATTCCGGATGGATGGTGGAGATTGGGAGAATTCGTGGTCTGCTTTCTGCCATCATTTCTGAAACTGAAAGACGCTCTCTCAAGTTGAGAACGATCTTCGATCACTGAACGAACTCCCCACCCCTATTCCCATCTAGTTGGGGCACGGTGTATATCATAGTCTAAGAGATACATGAGAGGCGGCTACATATCCTACTACTCTTTGCTCAGTGTACGCTGCTGGCTCATGCCAGCCACGACTTGCTCCAAAAGCCTTTCTATCCGCTGCTGCCTCTCCTCAATCTTCTCCAATCTCGAAAACACTTGCGACGACGTGTTCCCCATATCATCACCCTCATCCTTCTTCATTTGAGAAGCTGTCTCTTCCAGTTGGCTGGGACTCTCCGACATAGGGTGTTCATGGTCCGTACTGGCACTCCCACTTGTACCAGGGAACTTCCGCATGCCTGTAGCGTGCGTCTGAGCGTGGCTGAAGTCGTGCCCAGTAGGCCTACGCGCAATGGACGACAACCTCCGGCGACTGGCTGGGCCATAGCTGATCTGGGGTATAGGAAGAACTACGTGCGGCTGGTGTGCTTGTCCGTCTTCTGTGCATGTCTCTGATTCTTCTGGAATGCTGTCATCCACTATCAATGGCTGGAATAGCTGCGCCAGCGGGCTAACAGCGTGTGCAGCGTTGTGCGCTGCATCGCTGAGCAAGGATGCTACGCGGGTTCTGGGTGCATCCCGGGCAGGACCAGTGTGTTGCCGGTTGGCAGACGGCGGACTGGGGAGCTTGGTCCCCCGCTTAGTCGGTGACAGACGTCTGTCTCGAGGACCCTCAACGGGAGACATGGGGTAGTCGCTGGTATCAAGTGCACTTTCTGACGCTTCTTCCTCAATTTCGAAGATCTAAGAAGGATATTACTACGGTCGCCTCAAGGGACGTAGCAATGCTTACAGCGTCAATATCTGCATCAGCACCAGCCAGACCATCGAAGAAGGCTAGAATTGTTCATCAGATCCACTATGCAAGTGACACCGAGCCGTAGGACTTACTCAGACGCTTGAACTGGCGTGGAAGTGTATCGATAGCTTTCTCAGCAATTGCAGAGAATGTGCTATAAAACCCAATCGTATGGTTCTTCTTGGCCTGCCGTTCATATACCGCAATACCAAGTAGTATAGGGAAACTCGTCAACCTGTCAACGTATCATTTAGCACTTATCATTTTCGGACAAATCGGCTTCAAGCTTCATGACCATGGGAGGAAGGAAGGAAGGATCGCTCACCTAATCATAAAGACGTTGACTTTGTGGAACCACCGTGGACTCAAAATATAGCTCATAGGCAACATTACGAAGAGGGCGAACAGGTTTATGGGTGGTTGATACGAGAAGAGGGAGTCTGCTTTGACGCTACGATGAAGGAGATGAGCAGCTAAAGGAGTGCAAATTCACGGTATAGCGTACCCTTCGATAGTAGATACGGCTTTGCGGAACATGGCCTGTCAGAGGTCAATAGACAAAACTTTCGCAAGGAAGACAACTACTAACCTCAGCTGCCGCATCCTCGTTGATGGTTGAAAATGTGTGAGATAAGATCTGCAACCGAGTGAATTCCCTTTCTCTACTTAATGATGTTCGATGCTTACGGATACAAGGACTGAAACGACAATTCAGCGTTCCTTTCCTTATATCAACGCGAAGAGAAGAAGCTCACCAGTGAGAAGTAATGTATTGCTCAGGCAAGCATAGGTTACCATAAGGACTGGGCCGAAGATCGGGTGGAATGTCGCTATTGTCGCAACGTCAGCATCTCATCCAGATATCATAGGGGGAGTAGCTCGCACTTGCTCTGTCGAATCCGGTCGCATCCAGCCCAAAAAATAAATCAAGCATCCACCAAGCTATATGCCTGGTCTAAGTCAATAAATGATCTTAGACTATAGCTGATGGGGTACTGACCCGACACTATACCTACGAGATGGTAAATCAAAAAGTCCTGCAAATTGAACGTTGGAACTTACTGTGCTTGATTTCGACTCAACCTATGCGAGGGCAAGGTAGGTATGTGATTAGATCTTCAGTGATGCCAAAGAAGACGGAGAAGATGAACGTACGTCCACAGGGCATACAAGAAGCCACAAAAGCAGAACGCAGCGATACACATAAGTACCACGAATTGCACCATCATAGCACGAAGGGAGAGAACCATGAGATTGTCGCGGAGTGTTACGAAAGCCAGCCTATGCGTCGGTTGACGTGTTAGTGATTGAGATTGGACCGTTAGGAGAGACTTACCGAGGGAACATCAAACAAGCGATAATGGCAAGGCAATCAATCCCCAGGGTACGAGCCCACAGCACTGTTCCGTTCTTGGTCAAAATATGACACACAGTTTTGTTCAGACTCTGGCTTACCATCGTGGTACATTCCGTAAAGACGCAGGAAGCCATAAATCCAGAACGTTGTTACTATTCAGCAATTAAACTCACGGATTATTAGCGGGGATGTATGAGCTCACCAAATGCAAGGTCGAAGCCATTCTATCCGACAAGTGTCAGCGCGCGCAGATCGGGGAAGAGCATGTAAACTCACCCAAGTGCCCTTAAAGTACACTTTTGCGGTATTAAAGTAACAATAAGTCTTAAACAAGCTATTTCTCACCTTTGATGCCGTGCTCTTGCATGGCAGCCACTTTCTCCAGAGTGAATCCCAGGGCGTAAATCATGAATACAAATTCCGACACATTGATCGTATCCCGTTCGTTGAACTCTATGGCTATCACGAATAGGATGAACAATCCAAGGAAACTTCCCGAAGTCAACATCAATTGTCAAGATAACAGAAGGTAGCACGTACTTCATGTACTCGAGCACCGAGCGGATTGCTGGTACTTTCAATCTTGAAGTTGAAGAAAACTGCTCAGTAATGACGTCATGAGTGATATTTAGACTGCATACCGATAGTGGTCGAGCAGCGGTGCTTTGTGAGGGTCGTAGAAGTGGATGGGAGTTCGTTTGTAAGTCTGGAGAATGTGAGTACACAAATTTTGCACTCGAAATCGAGGAACTTGCATCAGAGAGGATTGAGTGGCTACTCTGTGCTTGGTAGACACATTTGCCCCTAGAAACCAACAATTCGATATTGAGATAGTACAGGACGTCGTGTAGACACGCACGACCAGATCCCGTCGATGACCTTCTGGCAAGAAGAACTCTTGATGAATCGCTTGGCCTTGCTAATGATGGCCATCTCAATGGCATTTCCGACCCTTTCCTCCAAGTCGTCGCTGCGTTCAGCCTTCGCACGTTCTATCAAGTCGGGCTCAGCACCGGAATAAACAGACCAGCTAGTTGTTGCAGTCATAGTAAGTCTCAGCATGTCATTGGCATTTTCACGCATGATTCGGATGGCGAGAATCTATGACAGCCATATGAGAATAGGTTCACAGAGCATAGTCAAAGTGTGCAGTTACCTCGCAAAGTGTTGCTCTAGACTTCGAAAGTGTGGCAGTAGCGAGATTGCGATCTCGGACAAAATGCACACGGTTGAGCAGAAAACAGAAGACGACTGAGAAGTTTCCGTCCTGTTGTATCGCGACATACTTGTCGACGAGTGGCCGGATGAGTGTATATGTGAGATCAGGTGCTGTAAGCTGCCAAGCCAGTCAATTCCATAACTGTGAGCGCAATAGAGGCACCAACAGCTTCGTATGTCAAAGGTGTGTCGATGAAGTGCTTTGGGGACAACTTGTCAACGACGAGGGCATCTTCAGCTCAAGTTACGCTCACAATAACATCCTTTCCAATAGAAATGTCAGAGATGGGCTATGTAACGCGTCTTTGGCCACACACCGCTCTAATCATGTGGATTAACGGGTACACCTCGGTGGCCTCTACTTCCTCTCTGTCGCACTTCTAAGTATGGAAACGACCACAAGAGACTCGACATACGGTGAAAGCAAAGGCCTGAGCTCGCTCTGGGATTCCGATAAACTTGAATTCATGGTGGAGTTTGCATCACGTCGGAAATTGGCCTGATATGGTGATGGCGTATGTTAAAGGGTCGTAAGCGCCCATACCAAGGAAAGTCGGCGCGTGTCGCGTCAAATGCCACTGCGGCGCTTGTTCTTCTTCCTCGCTGTCGACGACGTCCTCCACTTCACCATCGACAACGATGCAGTCGGGCCCCAGAGTCCCCAACCAGCCCCCGGTCAAGATCTACAATGCAGTCTACTCGTCGGTACAGGTAAGGCGCCTCTATCAATTATTCTGAAACCGCCTCACCAGGTCGCGTCACAACCAGGTCTACGAATGCATGGTCCGGGGAATTGCAGTGATGCGTAGGCGAAACGATTCCTACGTGAATGCCACCCAAATTCTGAAAGTCGCGGGCGTCGACAAAGGGCGCAGAACGAAGATTCTCGAGAAGGAAATACTCCCAGGCAAGCACGAAATCGTCCAAGGTGGCTACGGCAAGTACCAAGGGACCTGGTACGCGTTGATGACCGGGTCAAATGCACCGCGCTGACCACAAGGTTATCAGGATCCCCCTGGAACGGGGGAGAGACATTGCGTTGCAATACGGTGTAGCGCCACTCCTATCACCTCTGTTCGATTTCACACCGAGCACAAATTCACTCAACTCTCTAAGTTCACTCGGCGTCGGCGGCGGAGCAGGGTCAGCATCACCGCGTCCCCTCTCCGCGTCTTCTTCCTTCTCTAGCATCGGTGCCCAGGGGGGATACCTCAACAACGTCCCTTCCACTCTTGCGCCGCCCCCGATTATGCCGGGCTCCGCCTTGCGCCTGCTGAACCAAGGCCGAGCGCAAGGTCTCTTTACGCCGTCTACATCAGGCATCAATGCAGCGCGTTCCTTCCACAACTTCTCGCACCCCCCTCCATCGCAGACTCCCCCACCGCCCACAAACTCTCTAAAGCGAAATCGCTCCGACACCGATGTGGAGAGCATGCACGTCAAATCTGCATCCCAACCACCTACCCTGGAACCTCCACCCGAAATAGTCATGTCAGACGCCTCTCGACCTTCCTCTGCCCCCGCTCAAGCCAACGGGGACACCGACGGACCATCCCCGACGAAACGCGCTCGAACCGATGCGACAATCCCGGCCGCTCAGCAACCTCTCCCTCTATCGTGGCAAGTCCCTATACGAGACCGTGCGCTCACGCCCGTCGACCACTCAACACCACAACCGACTTCGAACGGTAACTCGCTTCCTACGAACGGCAAAGCTTCTGTGTCAAGTCCGACCCTAGAGGTCTACGACACGCGCTTCTCAACTAAACCTTATATTCCACGTAACATGCACCCCACTGCTCCACTGAAAGACAACCGACGCATTGCTGTGGTCAACTCGCTCTATCAAAGGGACGATCCAACAGAAATCATTCGTCTCCTCGAACAGGTGACCCCAGATACGCCTGGTTTGAATGTCGATCTTGATGTCATTCTTGATGAACACGGGCATACAGCGCTCCATCTCGCGGCGAGCCTGGCCCGTCTAGAGGTGGTTCAGAGACTCATCTCTGCAGGCGCCGATATACACAGAGGCAACCACCTAGGAGAGACCCCATTGATCCGCGCGTGCCTTGCAACACATAACTCTGACCAACAAACCTTCGACCGCATAGTCGCGGAATTGCACGCTTCCATTCGAACCCTGGACACTTCAAAGAAGTCCGTTGTACATCACATTGTCTCTGTCGCGGGAGTCAAAGGACGGGCCATCGCTGCCCGATATTATCTAGATCAAATTTTCTATTGGATAGCTAATCACCAAGGTGGTGATTTCCGATCGCTGGTTGACTTGCAAGACGAACACGGCGATACTGCATTGAACATTGCCGCTCGCGTAGGCAGCCGAGGGCTCGTACGCACTCTCTTGGACGTCGGTGCCAACCGAAGTTTAACAAACAAATTGGGATTACGACCAGGTGACTTTGGTGTTGAGACTGAGGTCGGTTCTTAATCCCGCGATGCTATTTTTGACGCGTTATATTGATATGCATATAAATAGGAACTGAATGCTGGCCCACGCGCGGATGATATATTGAATTCTCTACGCTCAGGCCCGTCTGCGCCAGTGCAGAAAAGCCGAGATGTAATTGCAGGTGAACGCTTCGGTTAATGCATTCTTGTTCAGCCTAACGCCCTGCTTTCAGATATGACTACAATGATTCAAGGCCTCAGCGCCGAATTCCAAGGCGAGATCAAAGCTAAACAAGACGCCCTCGATGTCACCACCGTCCACCTCCGCGCGGCAACCCGTGAACTCTCTGAACAACGCAAACACATGCAGCACTGGCAGAGTCGGTTGGGAGAGTTATCCCAGGTTACTCAACGCATTCGCAACGTCGAGAAAGCCACGGCGGACGAGGATAATTTCGATTGGACTGGACGCACGGATATCAATGGGGAAGATGCAAGGGCGACGGCTGGTCCGTCCTTCCAATGGCGCGGACCAGGATCGACTATGATTGGACACGGGAGCGCGTTGGAGGTACCCTTCAACGTAGATCCGGAACCTCCTGTGCCGACGACTGATTCTGTGGCCAACTTGATTCGGCTGAGAAGGATGAAACTATGGCACGCAAGAGTGGAGGATATGATGCTGGCTAGGCTGAAGGGCCTGCAAGGTGCAAGTGCGGAGAAGGAGTTCATGTGCAAGAAGATAGTTGCCCTATGTACGGGGATACCAGTGGACAAAGTAGAAAGTGTGAGTACAAACCTTGCCATTACCTTGCCCCCTTCATGTTTTGGGGCTGATTTGGTCGCTTCCAACTAGATGCTTGAAAATCTCGTAGTAGCCTTGGAAAGTGAATCATCCATGTCCGATATCGGGCGTATATCCGGTTTTATGCAGAAAGTATGTCTCCGCCTTCTCACTTCGTCACGACCACTCAGCCATATCTTCCCTCACTTTCCCAGGTTCGCGATGGGATAATTTAGTTGCTTATTACATTGGACGTGGACGCGTTGTATCCATAGGATTGTACACACTCACATTGCTCTCCATCCTCTGGCAATTGTAACTGGTTCTCTCTCATCGTGTTATTCGTTAATATTAACAGATATGTATTTCCCATCACGCATAAATATGCATCGTGCATCAGAAACCCAAACGGCCGCGAATGTACGTACTCACAGGATATCTTCCGGCGCGAAGAGCTGGAAGTTCCTGTTGTACGTCCCCGAAGCAAGAAGCTTCGCGTCACGAGACAAGTCCACCGACATCACCTTTCCTGCATCGGTCGACAACGTCCGAAGAAGTTGCCAATCGTCTGCGCTCCATATCTTGACGAACCCGTCATATCCCGCACTAGCGAAATAGAGACCGGAACGATATTTCCATTCTTCCTCCAGGTCTCGTTCTGTTGTTTTGTCGTTGGTGATATCCTCATTGCCATCACCATCAGGGTTTGCCTTCTCCTTCTCCGTCCCCTCCATCGTTACTTCCGGCGCTGCGGCAATTGAAGTAACAGTGGATTTGAAGGAGACGTCGTCACCATAGAAGAACCGCACGTCGGCAACGTTAGAGGTATGGGCTGGGATCGTGTATAGTGCTCGTATGGAACGCATGTCCCATATTCGGATGGTATCATCTCCTGAACCTGTGGCGATTTGGTACCTGCATAGTAAACAAAAGGAACATGGTGAGCACGCGTGCGGAATGGGAGGAACATCCGAACCCATTGGGGGAGAAAGCTATGGAATAGATTGCTTGGACGTGGCCATCGAGTACCATGGCTGTACGACCCGTCCGTAGGTCCCATACACGTCCGATTGCATCTAGGCCTCTATTATCATCGTCAATATAGTGCATTGGAATGTAAATGAAACTGTGAAAGACGCACCCCGAAGCCACCAAAGCGCCATCATTTTGAAACTCGACAGAGTACACTTCTTTGGAATGTCCTTCCTGGAGGAGTAGCTCCTTCGAAGAGGCAACATCCCATAGGCGCCACGAGGTATCGAAACTTGCACTAGCAACGTACTCCCCTGAGGGGTGGAATGCAACTCTGCAGACACGATCCTTGTGGCCTTTCAATACAGAAAGCGGTGTTTCACTACAATCAAGAGCAAGAGAGGTTCTCAGGTTAACCAGTTCTCGGGTAAAGATCGCACAAGCTTGCTTGTCAACTGGGAAGCTCACCTATTCAGCGACCAAAAATTCAGATTACAATCTCCGGCGCCACTTACAAGGTTCACTGCGTCTGGGTTCTGGGATAGTGTCGCTTGTGGATGCCATGCTACTCCACCAACGCGGTCACCGTGTCCTTAAATAGTGCCCTGATTAGTATTAGACATCACGGGGCGAACAAGAATCTTACCACGCAAGACTTTAGTATTTACACAGGATGGTACTGACCATATTTTCACCGTTCCAGACCAACTGCCCGTAGCCAGGAACTCGCTATTCGGCGAAAATCGTACTTGAGAGATAGGTCGTTCGTCACCAATTTGTGAACCCAAGTTTCCGAATTTCTGCATGTCCTCGTGTGTTCAACCATTGGTCATGACATCACACACACATACGCACCTTGACTTCCGCAAAAATCTTTTTCCTGATGTCGATTATACGCTTCAGAGGCATTTTACAATCTATTCGCTGTTGGGCGACGCGCTTTTGAGCTCTGAATGGGAGGGGGAGCAGAAGAAATACAGTAAGCACCTTGAAAGAGATGTTCATACCCTAGAAAATGTCCAACCTAGGTAGGGAATACTCGGCCAGGTGTCGACGTGCTTCGAGGAGTTCCATTGACCCAGGGGTATAGAATTCTTCTTCCTATACGACATTGTGTCACTATCAATCCGATACCGATTCGCGTGGGGGTGCGCACCTCGTCTGAACTTTCTGACGATGAATCGTCGTCGACGGCCATAGCATCATCTCCCCGTGCAGCATTGATTTGCGAGAGCACATAGATGAGACGATCGCGTCGGTCGGCAGCCTGGCGAGATGTTCCGTATTTTCAGGTGCATGCCCACAATTAAAGCACAAATCAACGTACGCGCTCTCCGAACAGCGTAATGGGTTCTCCAATTTCTCGCAATCGGGCCTTTACACGGTTATCGTCGGTCGGTACAGCCAATGTTCTTGCCTTCTTCTTTCGTTCAAGCTCGTCGAGGATGACCTTGTTCTCTTGCCTGGCGCGCTCGCTACCAAGATAGTTGCCATCGTCAATCAGGTTGTCTAGTGTCAGTTCCGACATCTTGGGTAGCGTGCACCGAAGCGCGTCAACGTTTGGAAATGCGACACTGCTTAGCGCCCATGGACGAAACTTCATGGCATTCCCACGTTTACAAGCCACGCTTCGAACAACGAACCCATAAAGCAGCAATAAAGAAGAATAAGTAACGACATCGCAGGCCTACTTCTTCTGGGATCGGCTCACTACGTCCTCTTCACAGAGCCTATACACCGACACCAACCCTTCGTAGATCTGTGTAACCTCGTCCCTAGGCTCAGCAACACAAGTCATTCCAGGCATCTCCCCGCCCGTCATTGCTTCGAACGTCCCCTTGCCACCGTTGATCTGCTTCCACCACGCGTACTTTGCCAACATCGCACCCCCTAGCCCAGCTGCCTCCTTTGTCGCGGATACGTACGCTTTCATGCCGAAGAGGTCCGCGGCGAGTTGCCGAATGGTCTGATTAGCGGAGGATCCCCCAGTCAGAACGAGACGTTTGAGGTGAGGCGCATGCTCCGGCAAGATGGCCTCCACTCTTGAGAGTATTGAGAGAAACTGTGATTCAAGTATGGCACGGGGATGCGCATTGTCGGGCAGACTCTCGACCAGTGCGGGGGTTGCCCCATCGACGTTGTAGAAAAATTCCCCTACCACGCCAGGGGGTATGATTTCCGGGAGCGGAAAGTAGAAGCCCAGCAAACCGTTATTTCCAACGGGTGCTTGCTCCAGAAGAGTGTTAAATTTCCCCCAATCGTTGTCAGCGTAGCGATCACGTATTTGTTCTCTAGCCAGAGCACCGTTCTTATAACACAGCATCGCAATCTGCGCGTCCAGGTTGGTCGGGTGAGATAGTAAGTGTGAAGTGGTAAACCGCTTAGGAGGCGTGTCTGCGGGCGGGATGGAGAGCAAGAACGTCGTAGATGTCCCAAGCGAGAGTAACGCATCTCCCGGGGCCGAGAGAGAGACAACAGTGGCGGGATTGTCTCCAGTGAATGGAGCGACAATGCAATCTGTGTTTTGTGTAGTCGTCTTTGACGACAAATAGCTTATTCACCCACCTGGCTGAAACCCCCATCTCTCGACCCACCACTTGTGCACCTTACCCAAGTTTGATCCTCCAGACACGGGTTCAGGTCCTATTTTGGACCGTAGGGCAGACCCTCCACAGGCTTCCAATAGTCTATCGTCCCATTTGCATGTTAAGACATTCATCAGGTTCATCCCACTCGCATCAGATACTTCTATTGGAGCGACAGAACCCAAGAATAAGGACGGGATGAACGATGAAACCAAAGATATACGGCTCGTGGCCGCATAAACCTCTGGCTTGGTTTGGTGTATCTGCTCGGGGTAAGTTATATGAGACTGAGAAGTATTAGGGACGGAGGAACCTTGGCGATTTGGGTCCCCGTAAAGCGTTCGTAGGCTCTGCTGCCGGTGAGGTCGGCAAGGGCCTGTGGGCCGCCAATACTTTCTTCCAGCTCCAAGCATTGCTTCGTGGTAGAAGAGTCCTGCCATATCGGCGAGTTCATCAGTGAAAACGCCGTCGGTGATAGCTGTTCGAGCAACGTTCGTGAAGGATCCAGAGATGATAGACGAGACTCCGCGTCTTTTGACCAGAACACTGAGCCGTGTTGCTACAAGCTGTCAGCAAGAACCCTTGGCAATTATTGTAGCCACATACCTGGCCAGCACCGGAGACAGCAACGATAGCAGCGAAGTCCACGCTCGCCTCTTTCATCCGCGCCAAAAGCAGATCCATCGCGTCTACCCACATCTCAACCGGAGATGTGACTTCACCCTCATCTGGGCCTTTGATAGCTCCGTTCTCTGTGCCGTATTGTGGCAGATCCCTGGCGAAATTTACCGCAGACTCGTGTACGATATCGAGATCCTGGGTGATAACGACTGCCTTGAGTTGTTGAGTGGAGAGGTCCAGGCCAAGGAAGAGTGGTTGCGACGATGTTTCAGCCATATCTGTGCGGGGGGAGGGGGATTCCAGGAAATGGCAACTTGATCAGTGGTACTTTATCAAGCTTCATCCAAACGGCCCGAAAGATCGCTCGGGAAATCCTGGGGGAAATGACTGGCAAGGCTGAGTCAGCATCTGTAGCTACCAATAGGCTACGGTGGTTCTCTAGTGGACGTTTTTATGTTCCATATACTTGCAGTAGAAGTGAACCAGATAGCGGTCGTGGTAGAAGTTCGACCATTGAGGCGCCTGTGATCGGAGATGCAGTTACAGGGGTGCCCCTCGATCCCTCCCCCTATTCTTTCCCCCCGCCATTAGAGCGAACGAAAGTGCGAGGGAAGCACAGGAAATTCAGAATATCTTAACAGCACCTACTGCGTCGTTACACATTTTCTGAATCATCTGATAATCCATTGTGACTGCAAAACCTCGATCGAAAATAAGATACAGCTAGTCTCAAGTGTACAAATTGCAATCCAAGTAATCCAGGCCCAACACACTATGGAGACCCGCCTTCTAGGGTGAAATTACCGTCCATAGGACTAGACCACGAGGAATGCTGTGATAGTTGACTAGAGGGCTCCCTTGTACCTCTTCGCTCGGATTTCAAATGATTTGGTTTTGATTACTCAAACGGAACGTTTCTAGCGATATGAAACTGCGTCCCGTTGGTCGCAATTTCCCTTAGGTCTGTCGGTAGGATTTCGTCGCTGTGGTATTTGACTCCTTGATTCATTGATGACTAGGCGTTGTGTATGTTAGGCTCAATCAAGGGCTGGAACCCCGATACTTTCGGATGCCAGAGGCTTTAGGCATTGTTTGAAATTACGGTTGATGTTAGGCTTTCAGTTCAAACCTGGAAGTAAACCTTGTTACCCCGCTCACGTGGTCTGGAATCCCTTCCCCTTTCTCCACCCCTACCAAACGAACACAGCACTTGGAGCCACATGAAATGTCGACAAATAATATGTATAGGCTTGTTTTCAAAACTGGAAAGATCTCCCTCCAAAATTCGGGTAATAAATGCACGAGATGGCACAAAGAAGTCAGAGCGCAATTGTACCTCCGTCTACCCTAGAAAGTACGTTTACACCATATATATGCGCCTCTATTTGCGCTAAAAGAATGTGCACATGGCAGCCTACTGACTTCATTGATTTCCTACCGCCACACTGAAAGTATCGTGCATCTACCTGGGAGACCTCGAGGCAAGGCCCCATCAAGTACTGTAACCCGACCAATACCGCTTAGGATCTCATGGGAAACCAGCTAAAGGGCCATCAAGGCAAGTTGTTCTATTCTACCCTCAAGACCCTAAACAACTGATCATCCGCTGTGAATTTAGGCACTTTGTTGGAGAGGATGTTGGTCATGTTACGCTCGTCGGATTCAAGAGGTCTATCTATACAGGCCTTTCCCACTCAGCGAATTCCTTCATTAAATTACCGCGAGGGATGCATATGCGCCGAGTCGCCTTAGGGAGAGTTAATAGAGCCAAACTCGTGTTATTCTTTTGCCGCGTCGCTCTCTACGAACACTAAAAGTTACTTTCTAGATTGCCCTTGCCCGCCGAGCTAGTCGTTGGAGCCTCTTTGACCAAGTCAAATAAAGCACCACGAGCGCTCGGTGAATAGAGATCAGATCAAGTCGCACGGGACATGGATCATATGCTCAAACCTTGGCCAGCATGTACTCCTCCCCGACTCGGCTACTTCAAACATGACGCACCCTGGGTGCTTCTTGCTGGTGGCGTTGCCTTGTGTGATCAATGCTGCTTCGGTGCACGCGGCAACATTTACCGCTGCAGGCGCCAAGTAATCCGTTCAATGGGGACCGGAAACGATGCGTGGGTCGAGGAGAACGGCATGGAATCTCGGGCCAGCGGGTTGTGTGCTGTTGTGTGCATCTCAGCCAAGGTTGACATCATGCAGGTACCGATCGCTTCCCAGGGTCCAAGGCAAATGCCTGGGCTGCCGCTCGTTTGTTTTTCGGCACTGTGAATGTCTCTCAGAGTCCATGCCCAGCTGGCTTTTCGAACATGGGCACTCGTCGTCGGCTAGCACTCAGGCGGCAGCGATGACCCCCTCGACGCTCCCCGTCGTTGATTTCGTCGACGACAAGCATATCCATCACCCGGCCACCCCTCCGAACAATAGCAAAATTCAGTTGCCTCCCCCCGTTCTGCAAAAGCCTCGCTCATATCTCTCGCGAACGAATTACGGCTACTTACGAGCTCTCAAGTCTTTTTGGGCGAGGACGAGAGGTCCTTCGAATCCACAGTACCCCCCGTCTATGGTCGCATCGGTAAATGATAGCCTTCAGGAGAGTCACTTCGAGCCATTTCAGCTGGATTCCGATGGTGGCAACCAGGAGGTCGACGAAATTGTTGTCGATCAACCATGGTCGGATACTTACGAACCCATTGTCTCGCTCCCGAAAGACACTGCCGGCGACGTTGCTGAACCAATCGTGACCAAACGCCGTCCTACAAGCTTACTGGGGAGGACTTTGCGATGGATGATGGAGCGGTATCGGGATTTTTTCAGTTCGAGATTTGATGATGTGGAAATGGAGCGACGGTTCTCGGAGGAAAATTGGGATTCACAAAGGGTGAGCATGGACAGGTAGCGGTACGCCTGACCTCGCTGAATGATAGGCAGCGCCCCGCATTCTGGTCGGCCATATTCATGATCATCAATTGGGTACTTGGGTGCGCGTTTATTGTGCAGCCTATGGTGCTGGCGGACAAGATATTCTACTTTCTGGTATGTCCTTAGGGTATTGTTCAAAGCGCACTAATAATGGTGTCTGCAGTTCGGACCACTGCTCTCCATTCCTTTGATATGGATGATAATGATCGGCTTCCCGCTCAAGCATCCCATCACTTATCAGATTTTCCTGTGTGCATCTATATGGTCCTGGTGCGCATAAGCTCCGTGGCGTTATCGACGCGTTCTGACACGAACTTGACATCTGCAGGAGTTTCTATCAAGTCCTTTTCTCGTGCGTATTTATCCTCGTGTTAGTGGCCATCCGCAGCATTTCTCACCAACTAATAGATTCCTTTGCGGTTACTACGGTGTCCCTCAAGGATCATTCTCATGTGGCACGAGGGATTTCCTAACGATATTCTAGTACGTTCTGTTGGTGTATGTTCCCTGGGTTTCCCATCTGATGATAACAATGAACTGCGCAGCTATACATCAGCCCTTCAAACAGTGGCACTCTTCGGCCTCGGACTGAAGCGATTTCCAGCCGCCCTTGGTGCACTGATTTTTTTCGTCGTGTAAGACTTCGAATCTAGACTCACGATGTCACAGCCCTATTAACATCCTGGAACGCAGGTCCAGCGGCATGATTCTCAATTTCAAGATCAGTTGGATCCGAAGTGCGTCGTCAGCTTGACTGCCCAAGCCTAGTAACTGACCAATCGGAAAGACTCCATCAATTTTGCGGTCTATGAAGCGGCGCTCATCTATATGCACTGGCAGCGAGAACATGTAGGTGGCACATCATCTTCTCCGCCGATGAGCCCGAATTAATTATGTTTGTCAAGCACGAACGTCGGCTGTTCACCTTGCGTCAACAAGTCAAGCTTCAATACAAGGTGCAGAGATTTCACCGATTACATACATTGCGATCATTCAACGTCATTTTTTCGTTCCAAGGAAACTCAAAGGGCCCAGATGAACGAACGGCGAGAAGCCGATTCCAAACGCAGACTAACCTCGTGAGTAGGCTTTTCTCGTTGTTCTGATGGACCCGGTCCTAATCTTCCTCCGAAATTCCCTAGATATGTATTCCATGATAAGTCGATTTTTCGGTCTCGCTCTGTGACCTGAAAATTAACTCGCGGTTCTTCTCCTTTACAGGTCCGCGTTCCTTTGAATACAGCATGTAAGGTTTTGTTTTTTGTGTCTAGCGAATAAGATGTTAATTGAGTTTACAGTGTTGGCCGTTCAAAACATGGAAGCCTCTGGTGCAATCACGAAGCGTTTCGAGATTGAGTTTAACGCCCTGGAAGGCAGTTTATCGATGATGAGCAAGGGTAAGATGCTTCGCTACTCAGTCGCTCCTCACCCTCCTAATCAGTGGATGACAGTTCTTAATGATGTCCTTGATTTGTACGTTTTAACTTTCACGGACTCAATTACACCGGGCCGGCTGTCTAACACAAGGTTCGCAGCAATCGGATGGATAGTGGCAAGTTCGAGTCCTCGTTTCGACCTTACCCTTTACATCAAGTCATGCGGTCTCTATTTGTCCCTCTGCAACTCGCGGCGAATGCGCGTCACCTGCAATTCGAGACTAGTTTGGATCCGCGAATCGATACGGTACGGTCTTTTCCTTTTTGATGTACGTGTATGAACCGGACTCATATATTATGTTACCGCTAGGTTGCACGGAGGGAAGCGTATCGGGCCATGGGCAGGAGCCAAGAAGAAATCAAGCAGCTTCTGGAGGAAGATACCGAGGCTGCCGGCATGGTTGTTGGTGACGAGACTCGTTTACGGCAAATTGTGACTAACTTAGCGAGGTGGGTATACTTGCTCCCTTTCGTGTCACCACAAGTCCAATTCTCTCCACTTCAGTAATGCTTGCAAGTTCACACCAGCTGGCGGGCGGCTCGGCATCAAAACACGACTGATATTCCCTCCGCCCGATGAACATGCTGGAGACTCGGGCGACCGGTCTCCTAGTAATCGACGATCTACTGAAACCAACCGTTCGTCGAGTTTGGCGAGCCGTATCGTCGTTCGCATAGAGGTGTCTGATACAGGTGAGCAGTTTTTACCTCACGTCAATGCTGAGCTGATGCAAGAGGTTAGGCTGGGGTATCAGAGCCAAGGATATGGCAGACGCTAGATTATTCTGTAGGTGTATCAATCCATTAAATCAGTCGACATCCCTAACCGCTGAATAGCTGCGTTCACTCAGACCGAGCAAGGTCGACAACAGGGTAAGTAGACTCAAACCCTCCTGTTTTCTCAGGCTAATGCAGTCGTCCATATCACCAGGCGGCAAAGGTACTGGACTAGGCCTTGCTCTAGTACGTCAGATCGTTAATCTCAGCGGCGGCCGGCTCGGTGTCAAGTCCAAGGTCGGCGAGGGATCGACATTCTGGGTCGAGCTGCGTAAGTCAATTCACCTTCACGTTATACATTATAATTAACCCACCAATCACAATACGTGTCGTCATTTGTAGCTCTTGGAGTGGGTGCGGAGACGCTCGAGTTGTCTTCCTTGCCTCCAGTCCCGAGTCTGACAGGCTGTGGGCGTCAGACTCACAGGGTTAGCAAGGTGTACGACTTTGTCGAAGATGGCACAAATTGCTTTCGGGATTCGGCAAGCGTTCTGTCGGGCGGGGAAGGTGGAGGTCCGTCGGCAAGACGCTCCTTGCATAGCATAATGGATCAAGGTATGTATTTACTTCTTGACTTCTATGAATTGAACCTTGTTGACGAATGGAGTAGTAGGCCGTGTGGAGCTTAGTTTGAGCAGCTACAACCCAAGTTCTTTGCTCCACAAACCTAGTGATCCATCTCCGTCCTCCGAAGACGATGCTGGCAGTGACGTTGAGCTTCCAATTCCCGCTGCGATCGATGTCAGCAGAACATCTTTCCAACATTCACCGTCTGTACAAGACATTTCACCCGAAGCAACTAAGATCATTCAAGAAGCTGCATCATTCATACCCGACCCACCGTCTCTCACTCTTATTCCTCCCACTCCCGATCCTGCTAACAGCACTCCCCCTACGCCAACATTTTCCGGGCTTTCGGTCCTCGTTGTCGATGATGATTCAATTACTCGCATGTTAATGAGGCGTATGCTATCGCGCATAGGATGCACAGTCGAAACCGCTGAAAACGGGGAAGCTGCTTTGGCGATGATCCTACGGTCTCAATATTCCGGGGATGCCCCAGAGAACCCAGAGGACGAGACGTCGAACGGCCCCTACGATGTTGTCTTCATGGATAATCAAATGCCTGTGATGTCTGGGTTGACTGCCGTGGCTAAACTGCGAGCGTTGAGCAGGCATGACTTCATCGTTGGCGTCACTGGGAACGCACTTCTCACCGACCAACATGTAAGTCCTCACGTTGAAACATAACCTTGTGCCGCTGCTGAAGCTTGTTCTCGTCCAGGAATACCTGGAAGCCGGTGTAGACAAGTAAGTCGACATGATCGTTTGCAGTCGCTCCTGGAATACTGATTACATGTTGCCACTTACAGAGTCCTCACGAAACCCGTCCTTGAAAAAAGTCTCAAGGAGATGCTCTCCCTGGCACTTGGCCGTTCGGATACTTCTAGGCCCCATGAAAAGCCGCCATGACATTGGTGCTGTCGTGACATCGACGTCCTACGCACTCCCCGTGCATCCACAGTTCGCATCTCTTAATCATCTTACTATTATATATATCCTTGCATCTACTGATCATATACATCACATACTTGCCCATTGTATCATAGACATCCTTCCAATCGCAATTAGATAGACCTAGCATTAATCAATGATATTGATCACCGTTTGGCTCTGCATATACATTCTTGGGTTGACGGGAGCCTGATGGAACGATTGGGGCACTCGGTGCGGATGATCTGGGGCAGCCCGTGGAGCCTGAGTTCACGGAGGGCACCCGAATGAATGATCGGTTGCTCGGAGGCTGCTTGCGCTGGAGGATGTCTCCTCAAAAGCTTTGTTGAATTCCATTGACAAATACTCAAGGTGGGGAGCAGATCCAATGCATTGAGAGGCGCGGCGCAATCGTGTAGGTGAAGTTACTTAAGACACACGGTGGAAAGCAGGAGCTCGATCAATCCCCTGAGCGGCCAGGAGTCCGCAACGCGGTTGCGATCGTCAAGACGTAGCGCGCGCAAATTCGTAAATCGCTTGAGGCAGTCTGGGATCCACTCTGGAGCTTGCATGTGGGAGGGTTGAACACTCAAGGACAGGACCAGTTGCAGAGTGTATCTGCAGAGATGGGGAGATGTGAAGCGCAGGAAGGAGAGCGGCGAGTAAAACGATTCCTGGTCCCCTTCAACGAGAATCGTGCCAAAGATGTGAAGCCGACATAGACGATTCCAACCAGGTCTGGAATGTATATCGGTCGCAGGAAGAAGGGATCATCATAGCCCCGACTAATCAGGTACTCTTGGGAGAGGCAAGCAACAATATGGCAGACAAGCTCGATGGGGAGCTCGATGGCAACCTGCATGTCACACTAGCACCTAACTTGTATCTGAGTCATAATCCGTTACAATCAGAGTGGATCTACTTACCTGTAGATAGTGGTCCTTTGTTAGACTGAGAGCTGTTATGGGCCCTGGCATGGAGAGTGAAGAGGTTATGCAGTCTAGATGAGATGCTCCTGACAAAAAATAGAAGCAGAGTAGAAGTACATTCTCCAACAACGAAAGCAATATGTATACATTGAACTGACATTCCATGCATTTCCTTAGCCTGGAAATATAGTAAAGAGCAATAACCATTGACAAATTAATTCCTATTCTCTCAACACCAGTTGACACTGGCACTGTACTCGCCAGACTCCCCGCCAGCAAGCCGCGATAGAGTACGCATGATCCCGTGGAGGGGCGGATGGGGGTTAGTGTAGTATGGACCGCTTGAACGTGAAGCTATGATAATGACAACGATCAGTGACAAGTTGGCGAGTGATCAGCAGGACACATTGCAGCACGAGGAGGGGTAGAGACATACTTGAGGAATGCCAAATCCTTCTCCGCGCCCACCGCCTCGACCTTCTCTAGCGCGTTCGGCAAGTTGCCCAGATCGTCCGTCGGGAAGTACGACGTATCCGTAATAGATTGAAGCCGGGGGACGAAGGGTGGCTCGATCATTCTCAGAGAGTTCCAGTCGGCGCCGTAGAAGAAGGGGTGCACTTTGAGCTGGTTGACATTGAGGCGCTTCTCGGCCCAGTTCATCAAACTATCAATTCAACAATTTAGCGACCGTTGTTTCTGAGCAGAGATCGCGAGGGAATGAGTTGACCTTCGTATAAGGTCCTCGCCCTCTCTCGAGATATACACCTCCTCAGGAAAGTACAGATAATTCGGCCAGTCGATTATCTTTTTATACGTATCGCCGGGGTTGTCTGAGCAGAACGGGGCGTACCCGACGAGGCATTCGAAGAAAATCGCGCCAAGGGACCACCAGTCGCATTCCTTGCCGTAACCCTTCATCAGGAACACCTCGGGCGCGATCTATTCGTGTGGGCATGTCGGCGTGAGCGGGGAAGGTGAATTCATCTTAAACAAAAATGGGGCAAAAAATGGAAAGACACCACGTACATAGTCAGGCGTCCCAACGGTTGAATATGCCTTTCAATAGACAAACGACGATTCATTTTCAAATGCATACGGTTAATGTGGAAGAGGACGCACCAACTTCCGCCTATTCGCTTTCCATGTGCTGATTTGCTCGCGGCTGATCGTCAGGTTGATGGGGTTGACCTGAACGCTATTCCGTGCGTTGTCGCGCGTCTTCTCCTGCTCGAGGAAGCGCTTGTAGACCTCGCCGTCAGAGGCTTTGTGCAGCCCCGTAGATAGACCGAAATCGGAGAGTTTTAAGTGTCCGTTTTTGTCTATGAGGACGTTATCGGGCTTGATATCACTGTTAACGGTGAGGGAACGATGCCAAACGGATTGAATAAGGTGCACGCACCGATGTATGTATCCGAGATTGTGCACGGCCTCGATGGCCAGTATACACTCTGCCATATAGAATCTTGTCACATCTTCCGAGAACACGTCGTATTTCATTAACATGGTCATAAGATCCCCGCCGGGGAGGAATTCCATGATGAGGTAGAGGTACAGCGGGTCTTGGAAGGAGTAGAACAGTTGCACGACCCACGGCGACGTCGACTCGGCGAGCACGTCTCGCTCGGCGCGTACGTGTGCCAACTAGAGTGAGGTTATTAGAACTTGAGATGAGAGAGAGAGCGGGAGTCGCACCTGATCTCGTTTCAACATCTCTGCCTTCTGCAGGGATTTCATAGCATATACCTTGCCCGTGTCGACTTTCTGCACCAATCGTACCTAATAGTATCGCCCATGGCAGTAAGATCAGTGGCCTAGGGTGTCTAGAACGAAGGTATGTACTTCGCCAAAAGCACCCTTCCCGATGACCTTGACCGTGTTGAAATCGGAGAGCTTGATCTTCGTCCTACGCAGGCGCAGATGCTGCGACTCCTGCTGGCTGAACCGCCTGATCTCGCGGTCCTTCGCATCTTTCGACATCGGCTGCGACAGCTTGCTCGTCTCCAGCTCAATGCGCCTGGCGTTCCGCTCAATGGCAGCATCGACAGCAACCCTATAGTATGACTCGAGCTTGAGCTTCGCGGCGGTCGATCTCGCTACGGCATCGGAGGAGAAGCCAGAGGTGGAGCGTTCGAAGTAGACGTAGTCTTCTGCGGGCTGCTGGTGCTGGAGATTATCTGGTATGGATACGGGGGCAAAGTGCGGCTGCTGTTGCTGGTGGTGCATGGTAGTGTGCCCTGCGCTCGAGGGCCCCGGCGACGGTTGGCGGTACATGATGGTCAGGAAGAAAGAAGGGACTAGGTGAGTCGACTACCTTTGAGAGAACAAGGCCAAGATTCGATCGTGAAGCCAGTCAAAAGTTTTGGCTGCAACACGCTGCTTTCATATATGCCCATCAAATGCGGTAACAGTTACTATACAACTCCATCGGCTAATTCATCACATGGAAATCGGCCGTACATCACAGAACACGTTCATGGAACTCATTTCAACTCAGTGGCTAGGCCACATTTCAGCGTCCATGGCTGATTCTTCGTTCTTCTTCAACAGTGATGCCTGCTCATACGTCCAAACTTCCAACATTCACGTCAGAGTCTAGAGTTGTATGTACATGATGGGAACAGATGGGAAGATGAGGTTTCCAACGAAACGCGGAACCAATTGCGGCATATAGGTACTACATCGCCAAAATCTTCGTAAATCGCGACAGATTGCGACCAGGGCCGAGTGAATTCTGTCTTATTCAAGTCGATCGCTAACGCCTACAAGGTAGAGACCAATGAAGACGGAGTGCGCCCCTATGCCTGAGGGCCAACGCCCTACGATGTGAGCGCGTCTTCAGCGCAGGTGCCAGCCTCGCGAGCGGCGCGCTAGCGAATGGGGATCGGCTGCGAGAATAAGGCAAGGGGGATGAAGTGAAGAGGAGGTACGATACGACGAAACGACTTGATTCAATATACAACATACCTAGGCTTGCGCAGCGCAGAGTCAGTACTAGTGTTGTTGGACAGACCTGCAACAAATTAGTTTAACATACCTTTCATTTGGAACCTCGTTTGGGTTCAAATTCACCGACGCGATCTGGGCAGGAGATAGGAAGATAATAAGCGTGATACAGTCAGGGCAAGGTGCCGGAGCGTGTCGCCTATGGTCGCGACGACTACGACCAAGATAGATCTCCTCATCGCGAATTCCAGCGGCCGCCTACGGACCGAACCAGTCTTCCGGACGGGCTCCTGACGCCAGACAATTCGCGAGGATGACACTCTGAGTATGCTGTGCCTTCCCCGGTGTTGTTGAGAGAGTGTCCCGCCTACTCAGCTAAGTTCAGAGTGGCTCCATTGGATTGCGAACCGCGAACCGACTCGACGGTGGGCGATCGCAACGCCACGGTTCATCCCAGGGTACTAAAACGCGAGTTCGACGCGCACTTCAAGGCGCTCGGTCACTACTGTCCTCAATATTTTGGTTTGACATAAGTTTGTGAGGATCTTGTTTTCACGAGATCATGGGTACGTGTGACTGCGACTAATAATGAACCTTAGCAACTTATACCGCGAGTAGATGAGATGTCAGACGCCTACCTGCGTCAAGTTTTCCCCAGAGCATGGCGGATTGGGTCCAAGTAGAGTCCATGCAGTTTACACGCGATCAGTGGCCGATACTCACGTGACACAGGGTGGACACCACGCGAAATGTTTTCCTTCACGTCCTTCATTCCGTCAAGAATCAAGGCATACGATATTGGGATTTCCGATTCACTGGACCGCTGCCAGTGAATGACCCAACGTGCAGTCCGTCTGACCTCCACTTGGCTTCCACTCTTCAATCGTCGCAGCACGGTCTTGTTAGAAGCCAATATATCTCCTTGGAACTCCCGGCCGTTCACTTATTCCGTATTGTCGAAATATACCATGGCCGAAGACGACGTGCAACGACCTACCAAGAGGTCTAAAATAGAGCATGGATCGTCTCCCACCGCAATGACCAATGATGATGTTATGCAAAACGACGACACTGCCATGACGGGAGAGCCTGAAGCATCAAGCTCAAGCGCTGTTGCTGTCGAACACGCCCCAGCCGGGCAACCGGGGAAAAAAAAGAGACGGGACGCGTCTGGGTGGGCCAAATCTAGGCGAGGGAAGGAGTCAGACAAGAAGAACGTCGGGCGCAAGCGGCGCGGGACGCGCAACGATGAGACCAGCGCGGAAGGTGCTGAAGGTGCGGGTGAAGGCAGATCCGCGGCCCCGAAGGGCCCTCGATACCCCAAACGACAATGCGCGCTCCTGCTCAGCTTCTGTGGCACCGGTTGTAGTGGGATGCAGATGTACGATCACTTTGTTTACTACTCGGAATACAATCAAGTTGATTGGTGCCTCCTCGTACTAGTCAACCGAATGCGCGGACGATTGAGGGTGTTCTGTTCGATGCGCTCGTAAAAGCCGGCGCTGTTTCTGAAGACAACGCTGACGACCCCGTCAAGGTCAATCTCGCGAGAGCAGCGAGAACGGATGCCGGTGTCCACGCAGCAGGGAACGTCGTCAGCTTGAAGATGATCACCTCTAGACCTGACGTTCCTGACATCCTTGCCCGCGTCAACGAGGAATTACCTCCAGAAATTCGGCTCTGGGGATATGTCAGTTTCCTCCGTTCAAATAGTACATGGCCTCGTCGTAACTAACACACACACCCCGCAGGTACGAGTGCAAAATTCGTTTAACCCAAGGACGTGGGTACCGCGTTCCTCCTCATCCTACGCTGTAAGTGTTGCGCAACGAGTCTAATCCACTGTGTTTAGGCTGTGCGACAGTCGGAAATACACTTATTTCTTCCCGTCGTACCTACTCATCCCTCCCCGACCCGGGAGCAACCTCATGCGCTCTCTCCAAAGATACGCGGAAGATGCGAATCCGGATACTGTTACCACCACCGCCTCTTCCATGACTTCTACGCACCCATTCTGGGAAGGAGTAGACCTCGCTACGGAGTCGCTGCAGGATACGCTGACGCGCAAACGTCTCTGGCGCGTCCCGAGTGAACAGGTACACGAGTTGCGTAGCATCGTGACCAAGTACCTCGGGACGCATAATTTCCATAACTTTACGGTTGGTAAGGAGGTCAATGAAAGAAGTAATTTTCGGCATATGAAAGCCATCGAAGTCAGAATCAACATTCTCATCTGAGTCTAATGTAAAGCGAATGCTGACATTGATGTATGATAGATTGCTGAGCCGGCAGTATACGGGGAGACGGAATGGATTAGCGTCCTGTTCCACGGTCAGAGTTTTATGTTGCATCAGGTCAGTCGCTTGAGTCTATCAACGTCCAGGGGTACTCATCTATCCATAGATAGTAAGTTTTACGATTATGCGCCACCATTGGTAGATGCTCAACAATCACCAGCGTAAGATGATGGCAGCTCTCGTCCTCTCCTGCCGCACAGGTGCCCCCGCCAGCATCATCGACGAGCTGTACGGGAATCAAAGCGTCCTGATACCCAAAATGCCGTCGCTCGGCCTCCTCCTCGAATACCCCATCTTCGAAACATATAACAGCAAAGTTAGTAATGAGATCAACAAGAACCTCGACCCGTCGCACGAGGGCTACCGCCCGCCCATAGACTTCGAGTTGTACAAAGAGCAGATAGCACGCTTCAAGCAGACGCACATCTACGATAATATGCGCAAGATCGAGGATCAGTTCGGGATGTACGTTCAGGCTCTGCTCAATGATATATGGTGACTGATGTTGATGCAGATTTGACGCGTGGATAAGATCGGTGGATAAATATGGCGGTGATGATTTGCTCTATCTGAACCACCAGGGTATCATACCTCCAGAGTCGGTGGTGGCCAAGGGGAGGCGAAGAGAGAATCCGTTTAAGGAGCAAAAACGCTTCGATGCCACAGCATTCCCTTCAGATAGTAAGGATGGCTCCGCTGAGGCGTTTATTAAAGAGGGGGAGGAGAGTGGAGTGGAAGAAGATGGTGTCGATGAGGTTGGGCAGCAGCTCTCAGACGCAGAATGTTAAGTTATGCCAGTGTATCAATTGTATAGGCGTATATATGTGCAGTGCGGGTTATACAACAAACTGACAGTAGTGCGTAGATCATGTCTGGAACTTCCTCATCGTCTGTATTTCGTCCAACAGGGCCTGCAGACGATCGTCCTCTATTTTCATGAGACTGTGAGGAGATTCAGCAACCCAATTGCTGTGCAACGAAGAAGAGACTCGCCTAGGAATGATACTCTTCGCTTCTTCAGCATCGGCTGGACACAGATTCGCTATTTGCGCTGTCTCAAACTGTGTTAACGCTGGTTCCCTTCGTAACGTTCTTTTGAAACAAGTCAGCTTCTGTAAACGGTACAAATAAGATCCACAGCTCACTCTCGAACAGCGCTAGCAGAGTCTGTGGTGCTAAACTTCGTGAACGTCTTCACATAGTCAAGGGTCTTATTATACACCCTATATGTATACGTGGATCGGCACACCGAACTCAGTGATCTGAGGGAGGACAGTCCTCACGGTGTATCAGGCGCGTCCTTGTCGCGATTCTCCAGCAGGTACTTGACCTCAGAAATCAGCAAGCAACCGGCATTGTTGAATTCTGAAGGGGTAAGGGGAAATGAGCACGGGCGTTATTGTGACTTTGTAATATATTGACCTGGTCCAAGCTTCAGCGCAGAGGCATCTTCCTCTTCAGCCTGTGGTCTGTGTCGCAGTCTCGTTGTCATTATGATTTTGAGGAAAGAGTGGCGGCGCTTGCCAAGATGGGGGACCTAACCTTACCCTGGATTACCTAAGCCTCAAGCTCGTCTGCTACCACAGTGACGGAGCTACTCTAGAGCAAACCTCCACGTACAGTGACGACTGTCGTAGGAATCCAGGACATCTACGGCCGAAGGACACTCGACGGCGCCCACATTACTAGACACTGGCATCGTTTTGGTCGCTTGGTCCGACCAAGTCTAGAAGTGACCCGCGTGGAGGTGAAAGCAACGGCACCGACGCAGACGACGAATTTGAGATGGTGCAAACTTATGGAGTGGTGGCGGACGGAAATGCACAGGAGCCCGCTGAATATGTGCATGGAACAGGTCATGGAGAGTCGGAGTCGAGCGCGTTGCTGGGCGAGAGTGCAACCGGGACGAAACCCGTACCCCACGAAGGACACGCGACGATAGGAAGTTGTGTTAGCAACTTAGCGAATACAATCATCGGTAGCGGTATGAGGAACTCGACTTTATGTTGTCTTCATTATGCTGATGCTATTCGGTTATAGGAATGCTCACATTTCCTATGGTATGTGCTATGCAACCTTAGCCGTGGTCCTTTATGAATGCCACACCTTTGACAGGCCATGGCGTCGGCAGGTATACTACCGGGAATCATTACCTGCCTGTTCTCTGGTTCCGTCGCGGTGTTTGGGCTGTATCTCTTGTCTCTGTGTGCGACGAAAACACCGCACAGACGGGCATCATTCTTCGCAGTGGCCCAACTCACTTTCCCGAAAGCCGCGGTGTTCTTTGACGCCGCCATCGCCATCAAGTGCTTTGGTGTGTCCATCAGGTATGCAATGCCTGAACGCCCCGCTATTGTGTACTTTATAACCTATTTCTACCGCCGGCAGCTACTTGATCATTGTGAAGGGTCTAATGCCCAGCGTTGTCGCCTCGATATTCCATGACCTAACCTCCGCGGAGACTAATCCCCCGGAATGGGCGTTATCTGGCCGATTTTGGATAACCATCTTTATGCTTGTGTTGGTCCCACTGTGCTTCTTGAGACGGTTAGACAGCCTTAGACATACGAGTTATGTGGCTTTATTCTCTATTAGTGCGTCTCAGTCCGTTCATTCATCGAGGATATACCCACTAAGCATTACATACACAGGTTACCTTATCATCATCGTCATCTCGTGCTACTTCTTTCCCCCCAAGGGTTCCACTGAGCGCGGCGAAGTCCATCTCATCCATTTCACACCTAATTTCGTCTCGACATTCCCCGTCCAAGTATTCGCATTTACTTGCGCTCAGAACGTAAGAAAATGCTGCCGTTTCGGGACATCTGACTCATTCCTACCTATCACTGCGTACAGCTCTTCCCCATTTACAACGAAATCGCCAGTAACTCCCAACGGCGGATGAATATCGTTATTGGGGCTTCCATTGGTTCGGCAACGTTGACATACGAGATCATTGCTGTTTTTGGCTACCTCACATTTGGGTCCAAGGTCGGCCATGCATCCTGTCCCTATTTTTCACGGAGTGAGCTGAAAATTGACGGGTGTCCTTGTAGGTTGGTGCGAACATCATTCAGATGTATCCGTCTACATCGCTCTTTATTGCCTTCGGTCAACTGGCGATTGTCATTATGGTGCTATTCTCGTACCCGCTGCAGGTCCACCCATGCCGCAACTGCCTCGACAAGGTCTTCCATGCAGGCGTCCCCCCGCCCGCCAAACTCTCAGACGAGGATGATGAGGACGAGAACATCGACGAACTTCCCAGCGCTGACATGACGCCCATGAAACACACCCTCCTCACAGCCGCGATAATAGCCAGCGGCTTCATGATAGCATATTTTGTAGATGATCTTAAAATGGGTGGGCAGCATATTCATTGGCAACTGCTCGCTGTATACTGACGATCGGTGAAGTGCTGTCTTTCGTTGGATCTACGGGATCTACCACGATCTCATTCATACTGCCTGGTCTGTTCTATTGGAAGGTACGCCTGAGAAGACTTCCACACTGGCAATTGCTACTAATATCACCATTCATTTCAGCTTACAAGGAACGACCCCTCGAGCAAATTCCTTAATCGGGCAGCTCTCGGTCTTTCGCTGTACGGTGCCTTTATATTTGTGTTCTGGTAAGCCTGTCCGCAGCCGCTGCACTCCACCACGTCCGTGGCTAACAAGGTTTGTATTAGCCTGAGTTTCAATATCTACCAAGTGGTGTACCCCTCGCCCGAGGGCACTGCAGGCCATTGAATAATACAATACCAAGAATTCTTATAACCAATGGGTGTTATGGGGTTTAATGCCCTATTCCGGGTCTTTGCAGAGGCTATGAGAGGCCTGTTGGAATGTACGATTTAACAGTCGAGTCTCCTGAGGCTCGAAGACGGTCACTCTTCTGGCATTGCGGGGAATTGAACCGTCACCGGAGTGGGAAGGGAATCCCCTTCGAGTGTCCTAGGGGCCTGAATGTCTCTTCTTTTGTAGATTACGCAATAATACAGCTTCCACAGCGGCGGGTACCGTCCTAAGGACACTGATATGGCAAATCAAGTTGGCGAGACTTTTGCGCTCAATTCGGACCTTATACAGTTCATATTGAGCTTGAGATTCCTGCAAGAGAGTGCCTCAAAGGGGATTTGCTAGGAGATATTAGGGGTATCAAGTGAAGAAATGGTTCCTGCCGCATCAGAGATCACGATGAACCGACGATGAACTTACATATCTGATGCTACACTCACACTCATGCCTCACGGCTTCAGATTTCTTTCATATACCACTTATTTATGAATTGCTGGAGTGCTGTGCGAACCCCAGACTGAAAGCTTTTTGTCGCGCCGTCCCAGCACAGATCGAGTTAGCCCGGCGGGCCAGTCTTGTCGTTTCGAGGATAACGATTGAAAATATCGTACTCGAAAGGAAGGATCGACTCCATATATTGCGCGTATGGCCGCTGAAATCCCTGTGGGATCAAAGTAATGGCCTGCCGCCAACTTTCCTTCTATTCAAGTCAAGTAGATAGTTAAATGGCCATGGCAACATATATGGCGTCTCAACCCAATCAGTACTTGGCGTAGAGATGAACACCCTTTCAGATATAAAGCAAGGCCCTCTAGTCGCGATAAATGGTCTCTCGCCTTCCCCGAACATTCAGCTCAATCTCACGCTGGAGTGTGTGCCGAAGGACGACAGTCAGGGGTAGCAGTTACTCAGGCCCTTCTCATTTGAGTAGGTCGACACGGCACGGTACGGACCCTCCCACAGAGCCAGATAAAGCGTCGCCACTCCGGAGTGCAGTAGGATTCACGAGAACGGTCAGGGGGATACCTACAGGGGCCTCTGAACGTTACCGACCGCAAGTTCACAGGCTGCAATGACGGGCAGGGTAGAGTGGGAGATGGCGCTTAAGATCTTGGGAGATCAGCTAGGCCCAAGCTCGGGCGCAAACTGTATCTCAACGGTACCCACAGTTGGACTGCGCGTTAGAAGAAGGATTGAAGTCAATTCAATCGACCCGTAGTCGGTCGTCACAGATCCACAGCGCAGCGGATGATGCCGTACATAACTGCGTGCGCGTGCTATAGACCTAATAACGTTAACATTCTTGGAAGTATCTTGGTCGAGTATAAGTCCTGTCGGTTACCTTGCATGATTCTCCTCAACCTGTTCGACGTGAATGATAACCTTTTTCTTGCCGCAGATACTACTCGTCTATGTGGGATAACTCAACCTTGCCAAGGATCTCATGTACTAATCCACTCAGATAGCACATAGCACGAATAGCAAACTGGGTGTGTCCCAGATAATGCAGACAGGAAACACCGCATCCGGTCCCGATTCCACAGTTTATTGTATCGTATAATCGAAAGATCGGATACAATTGCGCAATATGTATATAGGGAGGGCTTTTGAATTTTTATCGAATCCAAGTTTAGTGAGCCGGATTTTGCGAGGCCGGTGCATACTGCATCGTAAAAGTCTTCGGACGCCCTAAAACATAGGATTCGAGGCATTGTGTGTACCACACAGACTACTCTATAGACAAAGTAACGCGCCGGGGATAATCATAGTCGGTACGGAGATCTGGACGATTGTGGCCGCACTGGAAAAGGGAGCGTATATTCCCACGATCCGTTCATAAGTGCCCTCCCTTCTCTCTTTCATTTCGTCCCCTTCGTCCTTATCCAGATGCCCTGAATGCCTCGACGCCTTCTCCAATTCTGACATACAAATTCAAGATTCACGCCGCCTCAACTTTCACGACATTATTGTCCAGTTTCACCCAATTTCGCCCACTGTAGACCCAAGACTTTACAAAAATGTCCCTTCTCGGTATGTCATGGCTGTACGACCTCTCCTCGACGCAATGTGCGGCGTGGGGTCACATCCAGCGTGCTGAAAGACCTCCAGATAAAGCCATGCGCCTCACGTCGTCGGATGGCATTCTACCAGCATCATCAATGCCGAGCTCTCGTCACTCATCGCCATCCCTAACGCCAGTCGTCGACGGCGCGATGACTTCAGGCGCAGTGGGCCCAGCAGCCTCAGTGCCGAATATTTTGATGTTGGCGAAGAACCCATCATCAAACACAGGAAGCGTAGCGACCAATTCTACAAGCAGGCGCTCGCCCTCGACGGTGTCGTCTGACAAGCCTTCTCTGTCGCCTTCGTTGTCCGGCGATCTCGACGGCACTGGTGGTTCATCAGCACAGGCAGTAACTGATGTTGATCCGCAAATTCTTGAGGCGCTCAAAAGCAAGGACCGTCTTTACGTGCTTAAGCTGGGTGAACTCATGGAGGGTCTCATAAACGATCGGCGGTGAGTTTCCCCTTCCCCCGCACTTTTCTTCCCTTTTGCGCGCCTTTTATTGGGGCATCAGCGTCGGCGCAATAACTGCCACGATATGCGCATGCTTCCATCAATATGTCGCAATGGAGCTAACTCAAGATTTAGACAACGAATCGACCTCACTCCCTCGACCACCTACCAAAGACTTTTGGTCCACCGCTGCTCAGCATACTATGGACTACGGCCAGAGAACGACCCAACGACGAAGGGGATATCTGTGACATACGTCGTTGAAAGCCAAATGTAGGTATCCTGTCCTCTTCATCGTCCTTGCATTTACACCGCCAATGATACTCCGTCTTTCTCGCTTTGACTAGCCCTTCGCGTCGAATTTGCGATCTCGTTCCAGCTGAAAACAAGTTTCAGCCAGCATTCAAGATCATGGCTCGCCACACTGGCGATCGAAAATCGAAGCCCAACTCCCAAGCAGGCTCCGTAACCGGCGAAGATAATGATTCGTCCGATATTGAACCATCTGAGGCGGGGAGCCTTGGCGGGCGCAGCAACGCCACTGGTAATAGTGGTGCTATGAATAAAAGGCGCACCATCGAAGAACGTGAGGCTGCTTACAACGAGGCTCGCTCAAGAATCTTCATGGGTTTTGAAGAGAAAGAAAAGGATAAGGATATCAGCGCTAGCTCCTCTACGGCTAGCTTGGTTTCTGGATCTGGATCGGCCAGTGGCGGTGCAAGGAGTGTTAGCGAAGTGGACGGGGATGAGATGCTCGACTCGCCAGTTACTGAGAGCGAACGCTCAGTTCCAGTGGTAAAGGATAAACAACGGCGAACCAGCTCTAAGCGGGGCTCCGGCAATAACTCTACCACTTCCTCTTCAAGATCTATTCGATCTTCTGCACCTCAGTTTCTGGGAAGCGGCCCTAGTAGTTCAAGAGAGTCCCGGGCTCCTTCACCTTCCATGGCATTCGGGGTTCACTATGACCCAACTGCCATGGTGTCTCCTCCTTACGAAACCCCGTACCATAGCCCGTATTCTGGCACTAGTCCTGGCTCTGAGTATCCGCCACATCCATATTCATATCACCCTAGCTATCCGCCACCCCCAAATCAAACGCAACCATACTACGCTCCCTACCCCCAATACTATCCGCCTTACCCGTACCCTCCTCCCCACAATCATACTTCTGAATCCGCCGCTCAAACTACCCCAAATGGCGAATTTTACGCTCCCCACCCTTCAGTCCCTCCTCCAATAACTTATGGCCATCCTCCATATGGCTGGCCTCCAAATATGCCCCCTCCTCCCGGCCAGATGCAGCCACCGATGCCTCCTCCCCCGCCCCCGCATCACATGCATCAGGCTCAGTCGCCCCAACACGGGCCAAATCCTCTCCCTCCTTACCCACAGCCTCCCAATCCACAAAATGATCAGCATGCTCAATACCAGGCACCAAGCCCACCCAATACATACGGCTATATGCAGCCGCCTTACCCTTACCCTAGCCAGTATTATCCCCCGCCCCAGCATCCACTGCCGCAAAATGCACATCAGCCTATGTATGCTGGTCCAAGGCCAATGAACGGCGTGGAGCCTAACATGACGGATCGAGTCACCAACGGCCAATCAAATCCATACATCCCTGGTAACATGGGCGGGAACTCAACCAATGGTTCTGTGAGCCATTCGCGAGCATCCTCACGAAGCAGCATGAGCTCAGGTCCTGTCAACGGCAACAAAGGCCGTGGGCAATCTATCCCTCCTCTAACGCGTGGTCCTTGGAGCTATGGACCTGGGGTCTCTGGATACCAGCAATATACGAACAACGTCTCTAACGACGCAGTCGGACCAAGGTTGACCAACCGACGAATGTCGGGCAACAGCATGTCAAGTTCTGGGTATGGTTCGCGTTCATCAGTTGGTGACGAAGCTTCATCGACGGCTGTAAGTCCTCTGTGTAGCTTCGAACGTCCATGTTTTGACCTTTCCATAGTCATCCTCTACTTCGTCTTCGTCGCGACGAACATACACGTCTACTTCATCTCAGCATCCGTTGCCCGCTCGCCCCGATTGGGCTGTAGGGCTAAAACCACAACCTACACTCGCCTCGCACGCAAGGCACCACGACCATGGAAATAACCGGAAGGTGTCACCGATTTCGCCACCACGAAGCCAATCCTCCAATGGCAATGGCAGACCGCACCAGCAACCCGTGCTAGAATCTACTGATTTTCCGCCGTTGTCTAATTCCGAACGGGAGACTCGAGCCCCGACAGTGGCTGGCGCGTGGACCAATTCTTCGGTCATCAGATCTGCTGTCAGCCCTCCTAAGGGCTCTCCGGCTAATCAAGGAGGACCAGCACTGGTTAATCATATGTCACCTCCCAACAACATTGATGGTCACGACATGAACTTCAGATTAGAAGATACTGATCGTGGATTCGAACGACCACCTCCCAAAGGATCCGCCGAACTGTTCAACCCCAAGCTGCCTAGAAAATCGCAGACACCCAGCAGCCTCCAGGACGAACGGTCACAAGTTAAGAACGACCACGAGTCTTTGCTGGCTAGCCAGACGGCAGGCCTGTCGCTCACTGAGTGGGTTGAAAATGTGGAGCCTACTCCTCCGAGCAGCTAAGCTGCCTGAACTTCGTTCGCCGCTCCACCTTCTTTACATGTTCATTCGTCTTGCCGTCTAGTATTTTAGTTATCACCCTTGTTGACGAGGGGGTTGTAGGTGCGATAAGGGTTATAGTAAAGTTGATACGCAATGTTGTGCTTTCAGTATACTACCAAATAGATATTATCCAGATGTTCCTCTAGCCACACGCAATTAATTCCATCTTAACTTATGTTCTGAGAGCTCGGAGGTTCGCAGAGAAATCAACTGGTATACTATCAATACAAAATATTTGATTTACTACGCTACTTAATTAATGGAATGGAAAAGGCACAAGAGATAGAAGGGACACTACTAAGTCCACTGCTCTTTTCGATAGTCATCTCCTCGGTAATCACCACGGTGACGCCTTGGCCATCCGGAATCTGAAGGTCTTCTGGTGAACTCATCATCGTCTCTACGGGCACGACCCCGTCCTCGACTCCTTCCCCGACCTCCACGGTCTCCCCGATTCCCTCTGTCAGCGGAGTCGCGTCGATCACCCCCGTAAGGGCGGTCGTTGTGATTACCGCGTATGTCATTATAAGGTGGGAAAGGTGGAGGTGGTCCTCCACCCTGCGAAAACGTTGGCACATTGTTCCCCCAGTGTGCGGGTGGCGCGGGTGGGGCAGCAGGCGGTGGTGGAGGCACTATGTCGGTCACAACTGGAATCGGAACGGCGGACCCAGAAGTGAGTGTCCTGAGCATCATTTGGATTTGCTCGGGTGTCAACGAAGCCACCTCCGCGGCTAGGACAGCGGGTTCGATTTGAGGCACGATTTGAGGCGCGACTGGGGGGAAAGGAGGAGTTGGGATAGCAGGGGAATGAATGGATGGGGCAGTGGAGGGTCCTTCGTGCACTGTTTGCGGTCGAGCGATGAAGGTGTTGATTGGAGGGGCAAGTTTGCCCTTTTGAAGTATCCATATACCAATAAGACAGTTGGTCGTTCGAACTTTCGGTAGCTTCAAGTCGTCCAAAAGTTCGATGTATTCTGGTAAGGGTTCAGTCGAGAGCAAAGGAATAATATACAGCTCGCGGCCGGGATGGTGATCCTTTGGTCGATGCCCCCACGGAAATATTAGGCCGTGGCGCCTGAGTGGTCAAGTTAGTTGATCACTCATCATACATAGAAGGATCTGAGAACATACCCTTTACCAATGAGGAAGTCAGAGATGATTTGCAAAGGAGCGGTATCTTGTTCTGTAGCCGGAGAGAAGGCCGCGGAAATGAGCTCTTTGCTTGCATTCATGCGCATCTGCAGTAGATACTCTGCGGACTTGTCTACAGGGACTCGGCCTTCGATTCTGAGGATGTCTGACGGAAACAGTGTTTTCCAAAGTAGGGACTCTGGTACCAGAGTTCGACCACCAACTTGACGAGCTACTACCGGCGTTTCTTGAGGTATTGTCGAATCAAGTGGCATGCTAATCTGAAATAATGTAATGCTTCAGAACCCGAAAGTGAACTACACAGGATAACGGAGTCTTACCTTCCCGGACCAAACCGGAGGCAGCGAATCCAAGTTGTACGAGGGTGGGTCGGCTACGGCGGGCGTCTCGGGAGTGGGCTCTTCCAAGAACATATCGAAGTCCTGGTCTTCCGCGACAGGTTCCGAATCGGGTGTGCTCTTTGCGCGCGCATATATCGAAGAATAATGTGCAGGAGGCGAGCCCGGGGGAGTGGTACTTGGTTGATCGGAGGCAGTAGACGTAGGAGCGGTCCATATAGCATTCAGGTCGAACGATGCTTGGTGAAGCGTGTCTGCTTTGGGTGCATTGGGGGAGAAGGGGGAAATACCAGTGGTGGGAACGGTAGGCGATTCGGTGGTGTGAGGGTCTAACTGAGATACGTCTGTCTCAGCGGACGAGGGTGGTGGTTCGTTCGTTGCGACCTGTAGGTCGTCGTCGATATTGATCAGATCTGCGAGGTTCAGCTCTGGTTCCAAAGGATAGAGGTTTGTGTCCGAAGCAGATATAGGAGTCTGATCTAATGGGGACGTGGTCGAGGAGACATGGCTAGGCAGAGGCGGAGGAGCACCCCATCTCGCGGGGGACTGTCCAGTTGCACTCAGAGGCGATTCGGGGGGTACAGACACGGACTGCGTTCGCTGACGCTGGCTACGTAAACGCGCAAGCCTTTCCCTTTCGATTCTCTCCTCCTCTTCCACCTGACGCTCGCGCTCGCGTTCAAGTTCTCGCGTACTCGTCAACAAACCATTCTCATCTTCAATATCCTGGAAACCCTTATGCGTTATCTTCGCACGGGGCACGGTTGCTTTCTGCAAGATCGAATGCTCCAGCGCTTCCTGCTCCAGCTGCTTGATAGATTGCTTTGTCTCCTCGTTCGCTAAATCAGTGGAGGACATCATAGATATCTCTTTGGGAGTGATTTGAGCAGAAGCTATGCGTTTGTGGATCACGACACGGTCATCTTTGCCTAAATTAAATTGAAGCATGCGGAACCGATCCCTACAAAGGAATGTCAGTATCAAGAAATAAAACACTGTCAGTTCGCTAGAGGGGACATACTTGTACTTTGCCCCAGCGTGAGGCCTTCCAGCCTTGTCAGGCTCAGAGTATATATCAAAAACACATTGCTCCAGCCCAGTAGAAAACTCTTTCGCTGCTTCCTCCAGTCTGCGTTTGTCATCGTCCGTCAATTCCTCCTGCTGTTTCTCCACAGCCACACCTTCGACATGCAAGTGAGGATACTTAAGGAAGACCTTGGAAAACAACTCGGCAAGTTTGCCTAGACAGTACTTCCTGGTGGGATCCTCTTCCGCTGGCGCTTCGGACTCGCTTTTCTTTCTTTTCGGTACAGGCTCTCGGATGGTCGTCCGCTTGCGCTTGAGACTAGGCGAGCCGCCTTGACGCGACAAACGACGCCTCCCAGGTCGTTCGTCCTGAGACATGCCATCGGATTCTTCAGACGAAGATTGCCGAGCAATACGGCGCTGAAAGTATCAGGATAATCAGTGAGACAGTTGCGATCCATCTTGCATGACAACACACCTTTCCTTTCATCGTACTCCTCGCAGCCTCTGACACATAGTCATCTTCGCTATCTGCGTCCCCCTCCGACTCAGAGCTCGGTATGGCAACGTGATTGCTCTCCGTCGCCCCATTCCTCCGATCACCATTCGTTTGAGGGGGTTTGTTTTGTCGTTTGGGAATTGTTATAGTGGGCTTGACTTCTTCCACTGCTTCGGCACCTTCCCAGTCCACTAAGCAAGAAAGTCAACAGTCAGCCGATACGTTCGGGAAAGAAAAGGGGGGCATCAAGAAATAAAGTAAAGCACCATCTCCGTAACGGCATGCACAGTATCGCAAACTACAGATCGTACACGATCTACAACTACGTTGACCATAGCGCCAGCGGCAACAACTTGAAGCCACGCTTGGGCGTGCTGCGCATGCACCTCACTCAAAATAGAGAAAATACTCAGGAGTAGGTGCGCCGTACCGAATGTGCATGCATGTACAGCGACGTAATGAAAGGCGCACACGAGCGTAATTTATACGTAATGCGATACGGAGGGACGACTTTATAGTACAGAGGGTAATGCAGAGCAGAAAAAACTCACTTATAGTACGTTCACTGGTTTTTTCAGTACATGGTGGGCAGATGTATATACCTGTAAAGATCAAATGAGTCAGACGGCCTTGTAATCGGTGTCATCAGTACTCACGGATGTCCTCAGCGTCGTTCTCGCTTAGCTGGATACATGTGAAGTGATACCTGAGTTGAGGATAAGGTAATCAGTGGTGGCCCTCTGTTCAAAGGCAACGTACACACCATTCACCGCAACGCGAACATTCTATCATTGGGGTTCCATCATCTTGGCCTCTGCAGGTACAGATCGCCTTGCCCTTGCCCTTCGCCTTACCATTGGTCTGAAGCTTGCGTTTTACGTTCCTTCCAGCAGCACTCAGGCCGTTTTCACGATCTGCGACATCCTTGCTGTGGTTTTCCTTCTCTTCAGAGTCATGTTTTTGAATCCCACGCCCCTCTTCTGTTACCAGAGCTTCAGTGGGCGCTGCTACCTGATTTCTTCGAGATCTGGGAGGGGGCTGTGGTGTGGGTACGTGCGATGCTGCTGTCGCCGACCGGGTTCGGGCGCGGGTGCTCATTTCGAGAGACTTGAAGGATCGATGGAAACAAGATGGGAGTGAGAAAGTCGCGTGCGGCGGCGATCCCGCCTTTTGTATGTACATATTTGCAACGAGCGCTCACACATAGGGGCTAAAGATACTTCCCGGTTGAAGAAGGCTTCATTCGGCTTAAGAACAACACTCAAGAACAACGATAGGATTCACTGTCCTTTGTAGCTGTACAGATATATTAGTATACAATGTCGCTTAGTACGTACTAAGATATCTCACATATATGTAGCCAATGGCACTTCAAGCTCGAAGTGGTCGATGTACTACATGACTACCGGCGAGCATCAAAGGGCCCGATGGCTGGGGGGATAAGTACCAGCACATGTGCTACATCTACGTCCCGACACCAACGGGAACGTTCGATGGTCCTCTCGGACCTGTAGACATTTTTGGTGTTAACTGTTCTAGGAGCACCTCTCGAAGTCACGTGCAAGTCGCCACGTTCGTCGCGATCGAAACTTTCGCGCTCTTCCGCCGCTCACCGCTCGTACCCCATCCCGCTCGACCCCGATTCCCTTGAGGCTGCGTCGCGTCGCGTCAATTGATTCCGGACAGGAGCCACGGAAATCGTGGGCCGCACTTGCTCGCTTGGGCTTTGTCTGTTGGCGGGGCTGCTCAGATCGAGGTCGAGGACTGAATCGGTTGTGTTGCTTATTATCTTCGGCCTCCGTTTACAGCCAAGATGCTCCAGGCCCTGATGTCGGACATGTTACTACCGGAGAAATTCAAGAATAATCTCTCCCGCCACTCGAAGGACCTGGTTCTCTACGCCTTTAATCGCCCTTGACGAATGGAAGTCCAGCGAAGTGCCGCTTTATCAACGGGGAACAACAGCACCGGCTGATACTATTGACGCGGTGGCAAGGTTTGACACTGACGAACGAATGCCATTTTGACATGCATACCCATGTCTTTCAGGTCTTGGGAACCGACTATCGCACCATATGGTTCGTCCTGTGCTTCTTTCCCCCTATCACAATAGTTGTCGTTCATCTCGACCCCCCTTGTTCGGAACGCGGCCTGGGTTAAACTTGTCTACGCAAGTTTCCGCCCCAGGATAAGGGTGAGTTATCTTTGATTTGTCATTGCCAGCACTGACTTACTGACATTGATCAGAGCACAAATTAGCTACTCGTTATACGATGTCTCATAAACTATTGCGATGCTACGGGCCCGGCTACCGATATCAAAGTTGGCCCGCCTTTGCATCGCCGTCGGGTTTCACAAGGTGCCTGTTCCAAATTGGCCTTGAATGATCGTTGTGACTCCCCTTGGCTGGAGTGATATTGGCGCAACTACATCATTATTGACGAGTCCTCGGCACTCGTCATCATGCAGATGCACCGGCGGCATCAATTGCCCACGCCAGAGGTACGGTCTGGTACAGTGGTACTGGCCGCTTGCGACATTCGGTCGTTTCGGTCTATTAGGCGAATATAGGATCCGCCGAAGACAGTTACGTTCAACGGTACGAGGAGCTCGATGTGCAGGCCGGACATATGTACTTCCAAAGGAGACTGTGCATGCCGGTCCGTGGTACCGCCTTGATGGAGATGAATGATGGATGCCTCACCTTTTGAGATAAGGCGGGGCAGTTGCGATAAGTGCGTGGTCTCTCATATAAGCTCTGAATTCGGTTGATCTTGTCGATGGTTTCCGCAAGACGAGGTCAGAGGAGAGCCGCTCGTTCGCTCCTACGGTGATGGGTACGTTTGAAATTATTATAAGAATATACACATTTTACCCAGCGTAATATTGCAGCGCAGCGCGCCTGAGCACGACTCGGGGATCTGTGAGAGGATTTACAGCCAAGCGAGAAACGAGGATGGGATTTATCCAAACCTCCGGGATTTGATATCATACATCATGTCCGATTGGGGCATCTATATCTGGATCGTGGGGGAATGAGATACTGAAATGGGGCGCGTTCGTCGAGCGGGGGGTACACGTGATGGCGTCTGCGTCCGTCAGCCATTGGACGGGGGCAAAGTTGCTTTATGGGGGCGTCTTTGGCTTGCGTGCAGGTAAGGGTATTGCTCTGAATGGTCATCTTCCCGGAGATCACTGATTCAGTCTTAACAGGCAGAGCTAGGGATAACGAGACTGACCTGTGGCGTTAATAATGGGCGAGGCAATCGGGTCGGCGTAAATGGATCCGTGTGGCCTGGTGGTCGCGATATGATCCAGAGGGTCTCATGTCTCGAAGTTCGTGGAGCGAGTCGCAGTGGGGCAGGCGAGGATGTCTGGGACAGGGGACAAGATGGAAGCCTCTTAGGGCCCGGTCTGCTCGTCGAGATGTTAGTCCCTACCTGCCAAATTTGGCTCCCACGGTTGGACCAAACCTGGCCCAAACCTACTCCAAACCGACAGTTTGGTCTGCTGTACCAGGGGGTTTGCGGGTGGGTTAGGACCTTCCTGTCACATTATTATGTCAGCGTTAATATACCTGGTGGCACCTTGTATCAACTGCATTATCTATTCCCTCCAATAAACAGTACTACAGCTTGTGGTGTTTATTTATTAATGAATGTTAGTGGTGAGATAGCAGGACGAAGAAGTGAAAAAAGGACAATCCGTGGCTCGAACCCGCAACCTTTCCGTGCTAAAAAGTAGTACTCAAGCGCGCAAACCGCTAAACCAACGTACCACATGTTAAACTCTTTTGGACTAGTATATCACCTACTGAGCCGGGATACTTCAGGTCGCCGACAAGAAATACAAGAAATACCGAAAGCAGAAGTTTGCATGTATTTACTTTGTATCTATTGCCGCTTTCCCACCATGATGTCTGTGACTTATTTGTGACGATTCCCAAGCGCCCTGAGCAGACTCCAGCGCTAGGTTTTGTCAAGTTCAATCTCCGCCAACCCCAGGCCCGAGGGACTGACATCTCGACGAGCAGACCGGGCCCTTATGGAGTTGGAGAATCAAAGTGGTTTCGCGGTGGCCATATCTCTGTGTTGTTGCGGAGCTGGGAGACCTTGTGATAGCCAACTGCCAGATTGGACAAACTCGGAACTTCGGTCGGTAATTGCAGTGTGTGTGATATGTCGGCATGGGATTGATGCAGAGATGAAGCGTCATGGTCGACGGCATTCCAGGAGTAAAAATGAGACTTTTATCTGCAGAGAAAGAATTCTGACAGGAATCAGGAATACTGTTGGCAGGCAGAGTCAGCGGTGGACGGGCGCCTATTTGACTCAGGGTACAGTCCGGAGGTTCGAGCTGGTGCAGCACGGCTGTCTCTCTTTAACCCTCTCCTCCTCCTCGTCCCCATCTCCGCCCCCGACCGCTTCCACCTTTTCCGCTCGTCCTTATCCGGCCAGCTCAGCTGCTGGCCAGCATCCGACAGGTCAGTGTCCGTTCCCCAGTTTCCCCCTTCTAGACCGGCAATATGGCTCTGAGATTCTTCTCAGCTTCTGCGATCCGAATCGTAGCTCGATATTCTTTTCTCATGTATCTGCCTTTCTAGATAGTCCCGTATCAAATTGAAGCGGCCTTGATTTGATTTCTTCTTCAACCCTTGCCTCGACGCCCTGACGCCAGCTTCGACGAGGCCGCCCTCGCAACAATATCACATTAAACATATCGTGCATGCCTGAGAATATTACATGGCTGCTGCTGCTGTCGTTCATTCCAGCGTGTCAGTTTCCACTCCTTTCCACATGCCCTCTCATCAGCGCGTAGCCAACCCAAAGCCTCTGCAACCTCAAGCTTCGTCCTCTCGTTCTCCACAACCCCCGGTGACTTCAAGCACGCCGAGCACATCAGACGCCTCATCAAAGCCATTTCAGCGAATCAGATCATCGTTGGAGCACAGCATACGGACCGCAACGCGGTCGAAAAAGTCAAGCTCGACATTACCCCCAACCGATGATTTTGCGACGTTGACCCCCAAGACTAGCAAAGGCAAGGAGAAGGAAACAGCCGATGATAGCACCACGAAGGGCAAGGAGAAGGACAAGGAGAAGTCGAGGGTGCTGAGAAGACTAGAGTCCAAGGTCACTTTCCGAAGACATGGTCGGGATTCACCTTCTAGTCCTTCCCCCGTCCCGCCCTCTCCCGCCCCCATCCCGTTCGCTGCGAAGGTGAAGCGTGGAGGTAAAGACGCAGAGCACGACGAAGATCTGGTGCGTATGGCGGGGTTCACCAGTTTCATGACCCCCTCCCTCCGTCAGGCTTCGATGTCCTCGCCCGCCTTACACCTGTCTTCGCAGGCATTACCTTCGCCTAATTCCCAGCCCGCCGTTGCTGCATCCTCCTCCACACCCCTCGCTGCTCTTGTATCCCCTGGAAAAGATCGATCACGTCGCACCAGCCTACAACCAGCAACAGTCAAGGCGAAGGAAATCAGTGCACCCGTCCCGCTGGCGCCTAAACGGGATCCTTCTCGCACGCGAAGCAGTGGAACAGTAGCCATGCCGTCCACGCAGTCGTCATCGACAGCAATTCGGGACACGGTCCCATCATCATCAACACCATCGTCCCCACGAATGCACAGATCATCAAAGTCAACCCCCGCTGCGCTTCCCACATCCATATCTACGACCTCCCTGCACGATTCTGGGCACCGCAATGGCGTCCTAGATTTAGACACCCCTCCGGGACGAGGATCCAGAGATCTCCATTCGCCATCCGCCGCTCCTGCGGCGACCTCGAGCTCTCGTAATGCCCAACTTTCCCGTTCCAAGTCTGCGGCGAAGAGCTCATCTTACCTTCCGCTTGGTAACCCTCCCCCTTCCCCATCCCCCACACCACGATCGTCGACACCTACTCGAGCACGGTCACCCTCGGCTACACGTACCGGCACGAGAGTAATAACACCTAATTCTCCACGACTCACCTCTCCTTCAGCGACTCACCTTCCGTCTACCCCTCCACCAAAAACCCGCCGTCCTTCAATGGATGCCCCACGCCCATTAATGTCAACACCCGAAGATCGTACCACTTCTCCTACATCGACCCCTCGACGCTCCTCACTCAATGCATCGCCTTCACATGACCGATCTCAATCCCCAGCCGCACGGCCTCGAGCCACATCACCCATCCAGCGTCCTTATGCACAGAACAGACATTTTAATATAAGTACCACGTCACTTGGACCTCCTCCAGATCCAGAGCATAGTGAAGCTATCCGGACCGCCGTTAACATGCTGTCTCGACAGCTCGCCAAAGGACCGTGGGTTGTGGGACGGAATAATGATAATGCTGCTAGAGATTGGGATGAGGTAGAGTTCAGAACGAGAAATTTGCTTCGATTGGAAAAGGTATGGGGGAAGGGAGCAGGTGGTACGGGTAGTCAAGTTAGTTTGAGTCTTCAAGCCGGTGCAGGGATAGGTTCAGGCGGCGAGGAGAGATTGAGAAGGGTGTTCTGTGAAGCATTGAGGGATGGTTACGTGTTATGCCAGTATGTCGCCGTCTCCATTTTCTACTCCCACCATTCTATTGTCCCCTACCCGCTCCTCTCCATTCTTCATTTGTTGATATCCGCGAACCCCGATATCCATCTGGTACTGACTGTGCGGGTGGCTACAGGCTCATGAACAAACTCCGATCAAGCTCAGTGGTTAGGCCGGATCCTCGTGAAGATGGTTTCGTGCGCACGGCCAATGTTACGAAGTTTCTTGCTGCGTGTTCGTCGTATGGTTTGGCTTCCGAGGATCTGTTTCAACGAGATGACCTGATTGAAGCGTCGAGCGAGTCTCTTGCGCGGGTGGCGAACACGATCCTTGCGCTCATCAAGTACTCCGAGTCCCCTCAGTCGTTGGATCGATCGAAAATCCTTACAGGCTCCGGTATGAAACAACGCATGGGCAGCACCCCGGCAAATGGCTTAGGCAACGGCGGGCCGTATGGCAGCGTTTCCCGAGCGGCAGCTTCGACGCCAAACCTGAGTCTAGCGCAACGGTCCACTTCTCCTACCAGCCAGAACCCCCCGCCGTCGCCCGTGACGGCTAGGAAAAGGTATAGCCCCCCTGCAGGATTGCCCCCAGTGCGTTCGGACAGTCCCAGCGAGAGTTCTGGACAGTCGAGTGGCGGGAAGACTGAGCAAGCTCGGAAACGAGGAGAACACAAAGCGGAAGGAAGAGAGCGAGAGAAAGCCGAAGGCAGGAATGATGTCCACCGCAGTCGGACCAACTATCAAGATGCGCCGATGACTCCGCCAAAGGATGGTTTCCAGCTTGCGACGCCACTTGCGACGCCTCCTTCGAGACCCCCTCTCCGGCCGCTGCGATCCCCAAGGCGTACAACCCGGGAGGAGGAGGAAGATCTGGGAATGTTCAATTTGGGGCTGAGCTCCGGGGATACCAGAGATCTGTCGAGCTCACCCCATACAGGTCGGTTGTCGGTTGCAGACTCCACGCGCGCATCTCTGGGAGACTACTCTCTTCGCGAATCTATTGCAGATTCCGTGTTCACGACGACCTCAACCAATGTCTCGTCGTCGCATGCCTACAGCATGGGCGTCCCCATCAATGGTGTTGCAAGTAGCACGGGCGCTGTGTACGGCGATCGAAGCAGCGCTGGCATGCGTCAATCGGTGGCATCTAGCGCCATGACGGATACGACGGGATACTCTAGTTTGCTGGATGCGGGTCTCGGGGGGAGACCGCACAGCAATAGTAGTGGGTATAACAAGTTTGGTACCATTCGGACAATAACCACTGAAGCGACCTCGGAAGCTCCCTCCTTTGGGCGCGAAGAGGGCAGCGCCATCGCTGCGTCCTTGTTCTACGGTGAAGAGCTTTCAAGAAAGCGCACACCAAGATCGAGCGATGGCCCGGTAGTAGACTTGTCGAGGGTTGCGGAGGAGACCGACGATAGCGAGGCGAGTACGAAGGGCGGTAAACGACTCAGTCGTGAGCGAGACAAAGGCAGGGATGATAAGGGGAAGGCGAAAGGTAAAGAGACATATACCGAAGCTGAAGATCGCGTCGAAAAGGCTCCTGCGCTGCGGCTTGGCAAAGGAAAGTGGCCTGACGATTTCCTTGAAGCACTTCAAGCCCACAATAATAGCCAAAGCTCTCGTCCTATCCCCCTTAAGTCCCCTTCGCCTGATGAAGACGAAGGATCATATCCTTCCTCACCGCTTTCTATCTCACCGCCGAGGAAGCTAGCTGTCATTGGCGCTACTCGGCGTAACGAAAGTCTCGAATCCATTCCTCAATTTCCGCGGCGTCCCACTCACCGAGCTCGACATAGCGTCGATTCACCAGCCTTACTACCCAAAGAAGGCATCCTCCGTCGCGATGTCAGTCCAGATAGTATCCCGTCGAGTAGAGTTATGATCAGAAGGAACAGCTCGAAACCTGGATCGCGAAGTGGTGTCTACCTTCCCCGTAATCTTTCGGATGACCGTCGTAACTCAGGTGACAGTGACTCCCTAGTGCCATTTCCGCGCACCGTTTCGGGGGAACACGGGTCTGCGTCGCCCGCTCCGCGACCAGCGACCGATGATCCGCTGCTCGAACGACCCCGGCTTGTTAGAGGTAGATTTCAGAGCGAGATCCAAGGCGAATCGTCCAGGAAGCGCCGACCAAACTCCTACGATGATTTGGGCGCGAAACCCCAACGCTCGAGATTCGAGAGCATGGTCAACCTCGGTGTAGCATCCAACAATCCCAGTGCTAGCGATTTAATATCTCGTGATTCTATGGATGGTAGCGCGGTCCGCAGGCCACTCATAATCAGAGAGGAAGGCAAACTTCCTACCCATTTCGTGAGTAACCCCACCCATTTGCCTTCTATTAATCCACCCCTGAGTGTTTTACTTTCGCCTAGCAACTTGGCAATTGCATCGGGCGTGGCCAGTTTGGATCGGTGTACCGCGCACTTAACTTGAACACAGGGCAGATGGTCGCGGTGAAACGCATCAGGTTAGAGGGGCTCAAGGAAAACGAAGTGACGCAACTTATGAGGGAGGTTGATCTGGTGAAAAGCCTTTCCCACCCGAGCATCGTTAAGTATGAGGGTATGGCAAGAGACGAAGATACCCTGAGCATCGTTCTCGAGTAAGTTCTCACTAGGCTGTATAAAACCCGTCTTATTAGCTAATGATGACTATCTATAGGTACGCTGAGAGCGGCTCTTTGGTCCAGACCCTCAAAGCCTTCGGAAAGCTTAACGAAAGTCTGGTGGCGGGCTACGTGGTTAAGATCCTGGAAGGTTTGGATTACCTCCATCAAAGTGGCGTTGTACATTGCGACCTTAAAGCGGCCAACATCCTTACCACGAAGACAGGCAATGTCAAACTCGCTGATTTCGGCGTTTCGTTGAACATGCGGGCAATGGAGCGCGAGATGACTGACGTAGCTGGCACGCCCAATTGGATGGCTCCAGAAGTCATCGAGCTCAAGGGTGCTTCACCGAAATCAGACATTTGGTCGTTGGGATGTACCGTAATCGAATTGTTGACAGGGAGGCCACCGTATGCGGAGATGGAAAACAGCATGTCAGGTATGCCTTTCGCTTCTTTACGCCTTCGTCTGTCGGTTTACCCCCCATCCGTAGTCATGTTCCGGATCGTGGAAGACGCGATGCCTCCGCTACCCGAGGGATGCTCCCCGATCTGTGAAGATTTCCTGAAGTTGTGCTTCAATAAGGATCCAGAAAAGCGCCCGGGCGCTGAGATGCTTTGCGAGCACCCTTGGCTGCAGCAAAACTATGCAGCCTTGAAGGTATGAAACTTTTGCATGTACTTACGACGCGTACTGACTGCTTCATCAAGGATCTACGTCCACAAGATAGCATACCGTTCCTGCGTCGCGTCAGCCAAGACATGCAATCCAGATCCGATGCCCTAAGATACCTGGCGAACCTTGACTCGTCAGACGCTCCTGTCTCCGAGAATCTGCAAAGGTCAGATGATGGCAGCAGCGCCAGCCCTGTTCTAGGGCGAAGGACTTCCCATTCCTCTGTTCGACCTTCCCTTCTCAGCGATAACGAGATATCTCCTCGTGAGCACACCTTCGTGAAGACCACCTTCAGTAAACGTGAGGTTACGTTGAATTGATCTCACGACTGAACTAAATCAATCCCGTTGTAGCGATGGTATGCCGTGTTTGCTTACAGAATGTCAAGAAGAGCGCCGTTCTATGTGCTCAGTGCAGTCTCATCGCCCATTCGAAGTGTGCACCAAATGCACCCCCTACTTGCGATCTACGCGCACAATTGCTTCTGTATGCGCATTACGCCGAAAAGGGAAACCCTGCTAGTGTCTATTCGAATCCAGTAGATATATCCAACGATGGCTACCCCGCTGGTCCCGCGTCGGATGTCCCTTACGTTGCCCATTCTCCTCGCACCAGCATTGACATTGCGACACCTCCTCAATCGCCGCCTGCGTCTTCACACAACGGAACTCCACATCCTCCCACCGCTTTCAAATTCATGTCGGCCTTCAAGCGTTCACGCTCGAGCTTGACTCCGGAACCTCCTGGTCCTCCTCCGACAGCAACCTCGTTGGCAGTACCCCGCGATGACCGGCTTGCACGAAGCAGGTCTGGCATATCTCGCAAGGATCGCAAAGAGCGTCCGCAATCTTTGTCAAGTATGAGCACCAATGCCAATTCAAGCCTTAGGAGCGCCGCGACCGCCGCTGAGAGCTTCAACAGTAGGCATAGTCGCCACGAGGCCACTCGATCGTTGGTGTCTGGTGAGGACTCTGTTGACGACGAAACACGTGGAAGTCGGTTCTCGGGCTCGCGGTTTACAACGTTCTCTGCTCCGTCCCAAGCAGAAGAGGAGCCTCCAGCGAGCATGCCGGGCGACATGGTTCCAGACAGCCGCAAGGGCAAGAAACATACCAAGGACAAGTCATCCGGGAACTGCATCGTGCAGTGATCTTCCTTTCATCGTCTTTCGTTTCATTTTGTTTATTTCTTATACGTATTACATTTTGTTATCATCAGGGGACGTTTAATACCTCAGGCATCTACAACTCTGCAACCACATGTATCATTTGTACTTTAGCTGTTCATGCAACTCACCACGGATCATCAGTACTGTTTACCATTCTCTATCTCTAATAACTCGGATGTCTTACGTTAGCTTAGCTACGTAGTATATGCACTGCTCAATTTAAGAGCTAAATACACGATTATAAAGAGAACGACGACGGGCGGCACCCCGCTTGAGTCTGGGGACGTATCCGTAACGCTGCTTGTGCCTTGTTCTTGGGCGTTACTTCAGTACTTCCAAGTTGACCGAAGTCAATCAAGTGAATATCGTGGCTCCTAAAGCTTAAAGTCAGATGTGCCATGGTCGCTAGAAGGCATGAGGCCCTAACCCCCAATTTGGCCTTTCATGCTGGCAGTCCATGCAGTCGTGCACGAGGACAAAGGTCGTCGTACTTCAGACGCTTTCCTGACTTATCTAAGGAAAGAACGTTCCAATGCTGGTATATCATCAAGTGCTAACTAGACTGTACGACTATGAATCTACACTAGCGCAAAGATCCTCGTAGCGAATCATACCCAGATTTGAGGGAAGTGCGAACAAGCGTCCAAGGATAGACAAACAATTGCTTAAACGCTGCTTGGATCTTGCTGCTACCACGAGGAGTCGCTTTGGGCTCTATTGTGACAGCTGAAGTCTCTTCCGGAGCCTTGGGGATCATGGACTCCAGTATGCTGACAATTTCAGCGGCGTCGGGTCGGTTCTCAGGGAACGTGTCCCAAGCCCTCTCCACGAGGACCCGAAGGGTCTCGTTGGATTGAAGGAATCCAGAGAGGGGTGGCCGCCCCCCCTCCATCACAATCTTGACGGCACCATCGTCGATGCGGACAAGCGGGTGTGTCCCTTCTTCATCGGTCACCAGTTGACCAAATGGAGGGAGTCCAGTGTAAACCTGTCCAAACGGTCAGTCGGCCGATTACAGAAGTAGGTATGTTTCACTGACTTCCAGAATAGTCATCGCATACGCATAGATATCGGTTTCCTTAGTGCGACCTGTAGGAGGACCGTATGTCTCTTCGTGTCTCCGGGTGTACATGATTTCCGGGGCCATCCAGCGAGCCATACCAACTGGCCTCGCAAATACATGATCGGGGAGGTCTGCGGGGGTAGATAATGCTAAGCCATAGTCACAGAGCACAGCATGCCCATTGTCATCAACAAATATGCTAGCCTGAATACTTAATATCGCTCAGAGGAGGGAAAATGTATCAGTGCTTACACCTCGAACGTCACCATGTATTATTGGCGGGGTGAAGCCATGTAAGTATTCCAATCCCCTAGCGACTTCTGTTAACTAAATAACGCGTGTAAGTAAGGCGTACTCGGAGGACCATTTTCCAAGCTCACAAGAACCAGTACAGTCTGCGACCTCTCCGTTCCCTCGAGGTCGTTTTCACTGGGATATCTCTGACCTAGATAAGACAGGATATTCCCGTTGGCGTAGAATGGATAGACTAGCGCTGGCATGTAGGCTAGGTTGAACGCAACCCCATAAAAAGGTACCAAGTTTGGGTGATCAACACGACACCAGGTCCGGGAAGACTCTTCCAACATCTATAGAGAATCATTGTCTAGAAGAGAACAATACTCGGGTGGGCAGTAATAGTACCTTTTTCATTGCGTTAGCGAAGCCAGGTCCTGGCAGGGAGGGTCCGCCAATGAATATCTTGATAGCAACCTGCATGGGACATAAGACCATGCATCAAGGTCGCGCGCGACTACATACCTTCTCTCTTCTAAACCGACCTCTGCTGATCGTGCCCAAAGACAGATGCGCCATGATTCCCCGTTGGACATTACGGCGCGTAACCTTGACTAGTGCTGTGATATCCTGATAGCATCTTTTAGAAGGAGGGACATAAATCTAGTTGCGGCGCCTTAACTGAGGCTGGCTTCGCAGATGCATCGCTGTTGGTAAGCAAACGTCGCATTCGGGGGGTTGGAGCTTGGTTGGACTCATGGAGAGACAAACACAATTCATACAAAAGTGTAATTCTGGACCCATTGAGCCAAACAAGGACAAAGTCCGTGTGGACGTATCGTAGAGTCCTACTTACGATGAATTGGAAATGAGTTTCGTAGTCTTCATGTCTCTGACCCTTGTCAGTCTCTTGTGTGCTGAGATTGTTGCTTTGCATTAGGTACTATTTTATATTTATACAAGTAGTAATTACATAGATGCTTGAAAAACTTTCGTCGGAGGATTCATACAAAGAGGAAAGTACTCGGCTTTGCATGCCAAGTCCTACACTCCCTGCCTTACGCAGGGATAATAGAGGGGGTAGTAGGAGAGAGTGCTTCCAGCTGCGTCATGTATTGATGTGCATTTGGTCGGCGAATGGGGTCGGCCGCCCATCCTAGGTCAAAGATCTCCCAGAGACCTTCGGACATTTCTGAGCAGTCGCGGTACGTCTCGATATCTGGTCTTTTTCCTTCGGAAAGGAGGCGGACGATATAGGGTCCATCGAAGGGATGGAACGGAGGCCGGTTTGTGACCACCTAAAGGGCGAGAGTGAGGATAGATCTCTGGAGGCAGGAAGCACAACGCACTCGCAACAAAGTTACCGTTAAGGAATAGATGTCAGATGGCTTGGTCAATGCCACTATTTGCGTCGGGGAATTGAGAAGCTCTGGGGCAGTGTAGTGCTGGGAGGATGCCAAAGCCGTCTCAAATCCGTCCATGCCTATGATCCTAGACCGGCCAAAATCACATAGTAGGGGCCTATACTCCTCGTCCATCAGTATGTTTTCCTATGCAAGCATTTAGCATGATACGCAGTTCGCATGTACGACCGAACATACAGGTTTGATATCACCATGAACAATGTTTTGTGCGTGGATGTAGTGTATGGCACTAGCTATTTGGCATGCCTACTCAGATGTTAGTAAGCATACGAAGGAGGGAGCATGCCACTTACAAGAGGTAAACGGTGCACAAGGGGGTTATTATCCAGGTACTGCCGCAAATTGCCATGAGGGCAAAGGGGCGATATGAGGGCTGGTACGTGGCTTGTGAGCTTTTTGAGACCGGAGCAAATCCCCAACAAGGCTAAAATGTTCGGATGTTTCAAGGTACGCCAAACCAGAGTCTCTCTGTGGAGATACTGATGGACCACGTCGGGAATTAGTTAAGAAATAAATGTGTGGTGGTTAGTACATGCCTGTGCGGCCTTTGCAGCCATATTGGGGCCAGATGGTAGTTCCAGGAATTTGACAGCAACCTGGCGTCAAATGTCTATGTCAGCCTGTGATGCTACTTCTGTTCGAAGATGGGATTGCGCACCCATATTTTCTTGCCCCGGCCAATTTTGTATATCCCTCTGTACACCTTCCCAAAGCCACCCTCGTCGATGAACCCCGGCACGTATGTTACTTTTCCCTTGAGGTCCTGTGGCTACATAACAGCTCGCTGTCGCAGACGACCTCAACAGACTATCGCGACGAACCAGTTCCGTGCCCAGTCCTATGTCATAAGTGGTTGGTTGTTGTACACCACGGGGAATGGACAATCTTGCGAAGAATTGGTGCAATGTCTGGTTAATATTTTCAGTATCTCATCAACTGCAGCGGTGTCGATGACAATGTCCTACCTTTTTGTAATCCGTGCGCTGCTCCTTGGTGGTTGGGACGATCAACATCGTGATGGGTATGTCTCGGTCAACGAGGAGCTACGATGTCTGTAGACAATGTATTTTGTGGGTGCTCAAGATGGAGGTGCTGCGGTATTTCAGTACCTCCAGATTCCAGGATCCCGGCACATATAGTGTTCCTTGTACTTTCGAAGCGAGCTTGAACAAAAAGCGAACAATAGCGGTGGAGGTAAGTTGACGACGCAGACCTGTGGGTCCCATTTTTCATCCAGCCGTAATCCTCAGGCAACCACGAGGTAGGGCCATCGACAATCTGATATCGGTGCTCACAACCGGTGCAGACGTGCGGAGAAGGGACATGGCTGACTGGCAGAACTACTGAGTTTGCCCTTACATAATGCCCAACAGTGAAACGCGGCACAGTAGGTCGACGAATTCCAATCCGCCCAATTACGTTGGTCGGAAGTACTCGGCCTCTGCTCGCGGAGCTTAGAAATTGATCGCAGTTTACACTCCGATCATCGATCATTGATGTCAAAGCGGTTCTGGTTTTCATTCACAAAGTGCTTTCCTTGTAATCTTATGCCCGGGTAAGAAATTAGAATCGTATTTGGTTGCCATCTGTCACACTTCAGCCGCGCGCTCTGGTTGTGGGTCCACAAACGTGAGTACCAATTGCTTTTAAACCGTCCATCTCAGTTCGACGAGTGAATCACATCCATTGTACTCGTTACCTCTAATGTCACTGTTGAAGCTCTTCGGGAAGCAGGACGGTAGCCCGACGTTGAAAGACCGCATAAAAAATGGTGAGTTAGGCCGTTTTGCAGGACCAATTACCCTCGGAGGTCATATTTCACAACACAAGGATCAACATGCAGATCTTTTCAAGGGCACACTGAATACATCCCTCCATGGCCAAAAACAAATTCTGTGTACTTTGGAGGCTCGGTCATGTTTTTTTTCTGGCTGAACTGGCCTCTTTTCCACAATTCTGAATCATGGGAAGTTGTTAAGAGCCACACTTGCGGGGGCTTGGGATATGCGGACCCACGGGTGCGCGGTTCCATGTAGAGGTGCGGAGGGGAACGAGGAAAGCAAGGATGTACGGGCTTGGCTTCAGCTACTGGCTGCGCCTCCCACACTCTTGCGTGCCCTGTATTTCCAGAGGGAGTCCTACGCGGGTACCAAGGGTACGGGTGGAGGCGAGGGGATGCGACGGGGAAACCTCAATAGAGAGGCGAGGATGTGAGTGCGGAAAGGAACTAATATTTGAACTAAGGTAGGTAACTGTATGTACTGTACAGGAATATATACTGGGGAACACGCGGCGTCCGCGTGTTCACAAAACAATAATGAGCCCAGTCATAGTAAGTACAGTGTGCTTGAATATGTAAGGGGACACTCCTATTTTCTCCTATTCCCCCTGTCCCGCCCCCTTCCTCCTCGTTCCTTTCCCCTTTCCTTCATTCCCTTTCCTTTCCTTTTGTCCCCTTACCTTTCCGCTTCCCTTCCGTTCACTCCCTTCGCATCCGAGCCCCGTCCGGTGACTCCGAAGTCTTCCCGCACTTCGGACTTGCTCGGACGCTTCGGACTTGCTCGGACGCTTCGGACTTGCTCGGACTCGTAGATACACTTCGGGGCTCGTCCGGGCTACCTCTATCCTCCTTTCCCACTTCATTACTCCTTGTCCCCACTTCCCCAGGTCGCTGGCACGACTCCTGTACATTCCCCTTCCACTTCATTATCACATGCCCCCTCGTACCTTGTGATATTCGTTTGTACCTGTGGCTGGTGTACTATACAGTTACCCTTCATTCCTCCCACGCTACTACAGTATATACTTCGCTTCCTAGCATGGAGAATCCCCATCCTGTTCTCTTTGGATTCTCCCTCTGCTAGGTGAGCAGCTCTCTCATGTATTGTAGTTAGTCTTATTCATTTCTTTGGATTCTCCCTCTGCTAGGCCTGTGCTGTCGGCCATCTTGAGGTTGCCCTTACAGAATATGTACTTAGTCCGTAACCTGAGAAGTCCGAGTGGCCGCGTGTACACATGGTCCGAGCCCATAGCCAGGAATGCACGTGAATGCGCCCCTAGTAGCCCTTAAGGGGCTTCTTGGATGTGCCTATAACAGAAGTGTGGATTTTGCTTGCCGTAGTTGGTTTGTGCCAAGAAAGCAGCACTTTTGGTAGAGATTTGATGATTTAAGACTGTAATTTGGTGAAGGTTGTTCAACTTCCATCAACTCGAGACTTGCTGACGTGGCGCGCGCCTAATTCTCTGAGCTTATGGTGTACACACTGGGTGCATATCGATGAGAACTCATATGCGCCCTCCTAGCACTCATAGATTCTATGCATAGTACGCAAGTAATAGCTAGCCATCTACCTAGTCTAGGAATATACACTGAATCCTTGCCCTAGCACTTTGAAGCAAGCTACCGCCGGCGCAGCCCACAGATCCATATTAGCTCATTATGGTGTGCTTCATCTGTTGTATGATGAGCACAATATTCGGACAATTGTTTGAGCAGATGAAATGCTTTGTTTACCCAGGGCATAGCTGTAGTATCACTGACACCTCTGTTAGAACGGGGGGTGGTAGTGTGGTCGATACAACAAAGAAAGGAATTGTATCAGGCAAGATGAACCGGAGAGTTCCCAAATGTAGGTAATCTCTCTGGAATGAACCCCACTGACTGATGCAGTGGGCCTTGTTGAAGACGAAATTGAGAATTGTCGGGGTAAACTTTCTATTCTTCCATAATAAAGTGTAGTATTAAGGACCGTGTCAAGGGGCCTCTTGACTCATCCGTACAGGGGAGCGGGAGCACGGACGTGCGGACGAGCAGAGCACATGGGACTTGGCTTCAGCTTTGATGCTGCGCCCTCCTAGCCCTGCAGTGTTCCGATTTCGGAGAGAGCAAGGTGAGAGGCAAGCTCCACGGAGAAGCCCGCAGCAAAGACTTTAGAAGACAAGATGACGGAATAGGAACCAAGATTCAGAGTAGAGAATACATGTCTACTAGTGCTACTATAAATACTGACTAACACATGTATGTAGTGAGGCTAGTATGTAAGTACACATGTAGGTGAAACATGTAACAGGTGAATCCAAGTGCTGCATACCATGCATAGGCCGCAAGGGCGGAGCCCGAGGGACTCCGAAGGTTTGAGTATCCAAAAAGGGGCGTAGGGGGGACCCCTAAGGGGGCGTGAGGACTGGTCTATGACACGTAGGTGGGGCTCATTAATTTCTCAGGATTTATGATAATGGCTCTATATTCTCCGGATTCAATGGCCTATCAACACAATTGACATTAGAATGCATCACAAGGTCACATGATCCCCACGCACCTTGAACATCTCTGGCTTAGCATTCTCTGCCATCACTAAGATAGTGGGTAGGCCAACTTTATTCAGATCTTCGTGTTATAGGCGCATCCAGGAGGCCCCTTAGGGGCTACTGACAGGCGTTCCGGCTACAGACTCGGGCCGTGCATATACATGGCTACACGGACTTGTCACGGGTTTTTGGACTTGTACATATTCGAGCATACTGTATGTATTCCTACCGAACTCATTGCCGTTTTGTGAATGCGCAGACGCCACGTGTTCCCCAGTATATATTCCTGTACCATACATACAGTTACCTTAGTTCAAATATTAGTTCCTTTCCGCACTTGCACCCTCGCCTCTCTATTGAGGTCTCCCCATCGCATCCCCTCGCCTCCACCCGTACCCTTGGTACCCGCGTAGGACTCCCTCTGGAAATACAGGGCACGCAAGAGTGTGGGAGGCACAGCCAGTAGCTGAAGCCAAGCCCATATGTTCTCGCTCCCCTTGTTCCCCCTCCGCACCTCTACGTGGAACCGCGCACCCGTGGGTCCGCGTATCCCAAGTGTAAGGGGACACTCCTATTTTCTCCTATTCCCCTGTCCCCCTCCCTTCCTCCTCATTCCTTTCTCCCTTCCTTCACCCATGGACTCTTACATACATCCCCTTTGTCCCCTTTCCTTTCCACTTCCTTTCCACTCACTCCTTTCGCATCCGAGCTTCGTCCGGTGACTCCAAAGTCTTCCCGCACTTCGGACTCGCCTCGGACTCGCTCGGACACTTCGGACTCGCTCAGACTCGTAGATACACTTCGGGGCTCGTCCGGGCTACCTTTATCCTCCTTTCCCACTTCATTACTCCTTGTCCCCACTTCCCCAGGTCGCCGGCACGACTCCTGTACATTCCCCTTCCACTTCATTATCACATGTTTCCTTGTATGTACCTTGTGATATTTGTTCGGACCTGTGGCTGGTATACTGTACAGTTATCCTGCATTCCTCTCACACTACTACAGTATATACTTCGCTCCCTAGCATGGAGAATCCTTATCCTGTTCTCTTTGGATTCTCCCTCTGCTAGGTGAGCAGCTCTCTCATGTATTGTAGTTAGTCCTATTCATGCTTTGGATTCTCCCTCCACTAGGCTCGCGCTGTGCGGCCATCTTGAGGTTGCCCTTACAGTAGCAACCTGGACCTGGAATATACACGGACACTTGCCAAACCACTGCCATGTAATCTTGTGTATGTCTTCTATACTCCAGACACAACGTGATGGTGTTGTCATTTACTGAGTGGATGTAATTAATTATACTACATATTTCATTTACTACATTTGGCTGATTTCTACGTGGGAATCAAATTATCTTAACAAGAGAGTGACAGCCTGCCGCAAGCTTGGCAGAGGGCATGGGAACAAAAACGGTAATCTCGGTGACACATTTTGTCAGCCGCTCTATCGAGAGTTTCAAGCTCGCTTGACGATGTACTTGTTTACATTGCGCCTTAGCGCGCATCACGTGCTTGAAAAATTCTCTCGTATGAGCGGCTGGTTCTAGGAGCCTGGGAGCCTGGGTCATGTGCGCACGAGTCCGAAGAGGAAAGTGAACGGATAGGGGATAGGGGAGGAACGAATGCACGGAACGAAAGGTGCAACCCTTACAGTGCCATGGTCGCTAGAGGGCATGAGGCCCTAACCCCCAATTTGGCCTTTCATGCTGGCAGTCCCTGCAGTTGTGCACGAGGACAAAGGTTGTCGTACTTCAGACGCTTTCCTGACTTATCTAAGGAAAGAACGTTCCAATGCTGGTATATCATCAAGTGCTAACTAGACTGTACGACTATGAATCTACACTAGCGCAAAGATCCTCGTAGCGAATCATACCCAGATTTGAGGGAAGTGCGAACAAGCGTCCAAGGATAGACAAACAATTGCTTAAACGCTGCTTGGATCTTGCTGCTACCACGAGGAGTCGCTTCAGGTTCTACTGCGACGGCTGGAGCCTCCTCCGGAGCCTTGGGGATCATGGACTCCAGTATGCTGACAATTTCAGCGGCGTCGGGTCGATTCTCAGGCAACGTGTCCCAAGCCCTTTCCACGAGGCCCCGAAGGGTGTCGCTTGATTGGAGGAATCCAGACAACGGTGGACGTCCCCCTTCAAGAATAATCTTGACGGCACCGTCATCTATCCGGACGAGCGGATGTGTGCCTTCCTCATCGGTCACCAGTTGACCGAACGGTGGTCGGCCTGTATAAACCTAAGGAAATGGTCAGTTAGTGCTCATCGAGTTTCGTACGGGGGCTTCATTGACCTCAAGAATCGTCATCGCGTACGCGTATATATCCGTCTGCTTTGTAAAACCTGCAGGCGGGCCGAATACTTCTTCGGGGGCTTTTGTGCTCATAATCTCCGGAGCCATCCAACGCGCCGCACCCACGGGTCTTGCATATACGTGGTCTGGAAGTTCTGCAGGCATTGATAACCTCAAACCATAGTCAGACAGCATAGCATGACCATCGTCGTTGATGAATACGCTAGCCTGAATACTTAGCATTACTCAGATGGCTTAGAAGACGTACGATTAAGACTCACACCTCGAACATCGCCATGTATTATTGTAGGAGTATATGCATGCAAGTATTCCAGCCCCTTCGCGACCTCATACATCTGGATGGCACTCCGTTAGTATGACACCGCCTGACATCTCGAAGCTCACCAGGGTGAGTATCGTCGTTAACCTCTCTGAATCCTCGAGATTAGCTTCCCCTGGGTATCTTTGCGCGAGATACGAGAGGATATTTCCGTTGGCATAGAATGGATAGACTAGCCCTGGCATGTACGCGAGACCGAACGCGACTCCGTAGAAAGGTACAAGGTTCGGGTGGCTGACGCGACACCAGACGGGGGACGACTCTGCCAGCATCTTGAAGAAGGAGCGTCGTTATCCAACGAGTTCAAATAGTGCGCTGATCATATCAATACCTTCTTCAACGAGTCGGTGAAGGTGGGACCTGGCGAAGAAGACCCGCCATTGAATATCTTGATCGCTACCTACGGATAGGTGAGTTGACTACTCTCTGGCCTACGCTGACTGACTACATACTTTCTCTTTTCGGAAACGGCCTCTGCGTATGGTGCCCAAGGACACCTTAGCCATGATCCCGCGTCGGATTTCAAATTTAGTGATTTTGACTAGACGAGTGACATCCTGCTTTGTCTTCTGAGGATGAAGGGAAAGAAAAGAAATGCAGGTATCTTAACTGAAGGTATCGTTACAGCATCAGTGCTGGTCGCGCGCAAACGTCGCATTCGGGGGATGGAGATCATGGACGTTTGCGACCATGTTGCGAGTAACGATAACTAATGGACCCATTGTACCAAATAAAGGCCAACTTGAGACAAACAACGCGGAATCAATCGTTGCCCATTGCCTTGTATTGTTGAGTCGAATTGACTGACGAATTGCCGTCCCTTTGTGACGCACCTCGCTAAGAGTCGCTAATGCTGATTTCATTGGCGTATAAAATAATACCACTGTCCAACTACAAGCAATATGATACAAACCACCAGCGGGAAAGGTCTACGCATCGCATTCAGGGGCTACGTATCAAATCTGGGAGGAAGGGCTTCGATATCTGACATGTACTGATGTGCGGTTGGACGGAGAGATGGATCGCATGCCCATCCTCGGTCAAAGAGCTTCCAGAGCCCTCCAGTCATTTCCGAGCTTGCCTCAAAATATGGCTCCGGAAGGGGTCGCTTCCCTTCCGCAAATAGGCGGTTAATGCGGGGACCAATCTCAGGATAGAAAGGGGCCCTGTCCGTGACCACCTAGATGTGTAAGAGTGAGTAGATCGCCTGGCCACGAGCAAGAGCCTGACGCACCCGTAGCAGCGTTACTGTCAAGGAAAAGATATCCGATGGCTTGGTCAACGCTACCAGCTCGGTTCGAGCGTCGAGAAGCTCCGGCGCGGTGTAATGGTGGGAGGATGCTAACGTCGTCTCGAATCCATCTATTCCAATGACTTGGGATCTGCCAAAGTCGCACAGGAGAGCTCTGAGTTCTGCGTCAACAAGTATGTTCTCCTGGGAGAAAGTGTGCAGGTGAGTGCGGGGTATCTATTGCGAATAACAAAACGCACAGGTTTGATATCACCATGGATGATGTCCTTTGTGTGGAGATACTCCAACCCCCTGACCACTTGGCATGCCTACCGGAGGACTTAGAGAAATGAATTAATATGTAAGTGCTAAAGTACGTACAAGAGGTAGTCGCATCGTATCGGGGTTAAGGCGCAAGAAGTCTCTTAGATTTCCGTGAGGACAGTACGGGGAGATGAGGGCAGGTACGCGGCTGGTTGAATTGTTCAGCCCAGAGCAAATCCCCAGCAAGTCCAGAATATTGGGATGTTTTAAAGTACTCCAGACAAAAGTCTCTCTGTGAAGGTACTGATTCGCACATCAGAGGTTAGCTCATCGCGTATAAGACTCATTGCAAACACATGCCTGTAAGATCTTCGTGGCCATATTCTCGCTCCATGGTACTTCCAAGAATTTGACAGCAACCTAACGTCAAAGATTTGCGTCAGGTTAGGTACCACTGTTCACAAGAGATTGACGCACCAATATTTTCTTGCCCCGGCCGATTTTATATTTCCCTTTGTATACTTTTCCGAAGCCCCCTGTGCCGATATATCCTGGCTCAAATGTAATCTTGCCTTTGAGGTCCTGAGGCTAGAAACGGTAGCGCGTTAATCACGAATGCCCACAATGGTTCAATATTGCGACGGACCAATTCTTTGCCTAGTCCGACTTCATAAATCACCGGTTGTTTTATACCGCGAGGGATGGACAATTTTTCTATGAGCCGGTGTAATACCTAGAGGATATGTTCAGTTCATCATCAGTTGTAGCGGCATCGATGACATGTCCAACCTTCTTATAATATGAGCGCTGCTCTTTGGTAGTTTGGACGACTTGCATCGAGGCGGTCATGTCTCGATCAACGAGGAGCGGTGGTGTCTTCAAGACAGTGTGTTTGGTGGGTGTCCAAGATGGAAGATACTGCCGTATTTCAGTACTTCCAGGTTCCCGGACCCCAGCATTCAAGTATGTATGGTGGTCTTTGTATTTTCGAAGCGCTGGCTTGAACAAAAAGCGAACAATAGCAGTGGAGGTAAGTTGACGACAGTAGACTTGTGGGTCCCATGCAGCCGTAATCCCCAGGCAAGGTACCACTTGCACGAGGTAGGGTTCCGTCGACAATGTGGCATCTGTGCTCACCACCAGCCTTGCAGACGTGCGGCAAGGCAGAGTTTTCCCTTACATAATACCCAGCAGCAAGTACGGCCAAAACGCGGCACAGTAGGGTCGAATTCCAATCCGTTGGTCGGAAGTCCCCGGCCTCTATTCGCGGAGCTTATAATTTAAGCTTACACTCCGATCATCGATGGTCGATGTCAAAGCGGTTCTGCTTTTCATTCACAAAGTGCTTTCCTTGTAATCTTATGCCCGGGTAAGAAATTAGAATCGTGTTTGGTTGCCATCTGTCATACTTCAGCCGCGCGCTCTGGTTGTGGGTCCACCAACGTGAGTACCGAGTGCTTTTAAACCGTCCATCTCAGTTCGACGAGTGAATCACATCCATTGTACTCGTTACCTCTAATGTCACTGTCGAAGCTCTTCGGGAAGCAGGACGGTAGCCCGACGTTGAAAGACCGCATAAAAAATGGCGAGTTAGGCCGTTTTGCAGGACCAATTACCCTCGGAGGTCATATTTCACAACACAAGGATCGCCATGCAGATCTTTTCAAGGGCACACTTAATACATCCCTCTCCTCCTGGAAGGCCTCTCAACAGACGGTTAGTACCTCGGTATATCCAGAGTCCTAATTGTAACCATTCTCTGTATAGGTTATCATAAAAACATACAATGTAGACAACAACAATACCTTAGAACGGGTCATCAAAGTGTGTACTGGCTTGCTGGACTTTCGGAGAAACGGCGCTCATCGTCGATGCTCGCAGCGGATTAAGCGTGAAGCAGATCTATGGAAATCACTGAAACATCCGAATATTGCAGAGTTCCTAGGGGTTTGCTATCACAAGAGCTTTGATGCAGCTGGTATAGTCTCGCCGTGGTACTCGAATGGGACACTATCGGTGTTCCTCAAAAACAATCCGGACATTGATAAGTTGGGAATGGCGAGCGTTTTCATCTGGTCCTCCGAATATCCTGCTAATAATCTCTAGGTCTATGGGATAGCAAGCGGCCTGGATTACCTACACCGATTGACCATCGTCCACGGCGATCTAAATCCCGTTTGTCTTGACATCTACCTACTTTGCAACCGCAAGCACTCACAATGTCTTCAGGAACACAGTATCATGGTCCTTGACAACGGCCAGCCGGCTCTGGTCGATTTTGGTCGCTCGAAGAATTTGAGCAGATCAGGTTATACTACCAAAGCTTCATCAACGTCCGACTTATACAGAGCGCCGGAGCTTGTTGACGAGTATGGCATCGAGGGATCAAACTCTCCGTATACCACCCAACAAGATGTCTACTCGTTTGGGATGACAATGCTTTTTGTGGGTGTGGTCTCCGTCCTCGGGTATTCGAGTTGTGGTGCTGATAATTGAATGTTTGTAGGTGCTTTCAGGACAACTACCATTCTATACGTATGGCCCTGTGAAGCTTGGTGTGCAGCAGGCCAATGTCGGGACGCAGCTCCGTCACACCGATTACCCGGGGATCGAGGCAACACACTGGGATTTGGGGACGAGATGCTGGGCGCACATCCCCGAGGCCCGGTGCTCGTCAGCGACCATCATGGAGGTGCTCGGTGGCGTACGCACCACTGGTTAGCGCTGGGTTAGCATCGTTGAACCTGCAATCCTCCTGTACTTGCCGTTGATTTATGTATAACACAACCGTAAATAATAATTAATGGACCCACAACTTGCCCACAACGCCAAACAAAGCCATCATGGTTCTCTCTTGCACACTCCGAGTCATGTCAAAGCGGTTCCCCGTTGAATTGGATCAACTCCCTCCTCATCCCTCTGGTCGCCGGCACCATCCGTAGAAGCTGGTCGGACCACCTAGATGAAGCCAAAATGGTTGAAGAAAGCTATAGCGAAGGGACGGCGTAAGCTTGGAATCGATTCCATCGACCGTCGTACGGTTGTGAACACCATCCAGTTCGCGTTGGAAGGGCTGAGTCAAACTCTTCCTGATTCCACCGTTTTCGCTCCCCTCAAAATTGTTATCGATGGGCTGTTATTCGTTTCAACGACGCTCGAAGTAGTTATTTTCATCGAAATCATAGTATATTTCACATCCGCTGACTCGCAAACCGCTATTTAGACGGTTAAACAGACGGAGGACGAGATGAACGACTTCGTGACCCATCTCAACTCCCTACAAAGGATTGTCTCGGTTTATCGGGAAGGAGAGTTCGACGCCCCATCGGTGGACGAAGCCATGAAAGAGTTGATCCTGTAGGCATCAGCGTCTTCCCTGATCGAGTACTGAGTACTTACCTCATGCCTTCAGAGCAGTCGCAGGATCTATGAAAGAAATACAAGAAATATTGAAACAAGGCCGCGGGAAACGTGCCGTCAGCAACAGCGACAACACCCAGACACTGGCATCCCAAAATGCTCTGATCGCTCGGTCATTATCAACATTTCACGTAAGTCGCGGCATGACTTTATATTGTTTTTGCACTTACGGGACGGTAAATTAGGTCGCCTCCTCCTTTCTAATGTTACGACAGGTACGTGTATGAGGACTATTGCGTCCTGGTTGGCTAACCTATTTTTTTGCATGCAGAACGCAACGGTTTTGGCCCACTCCAGAGGGAATAGTGTGTACTTTCCTTGAAGTTCGACTGACGATATGGTTGACTTCGTGTGATAGATGCGCAAGCCGTCTTAGACAAATTGCCGGTTGCCGAAGGTGCTTTGTACGATTCCGCAGACCGAAACTTCGCACCCAAGTGCTTGGAGAACACACGGGTTTCAGTACTCGAGCGTGTAACTAAATGGATAGCTGATCCCACCGCGCCGCACCTTTTCTGGCTCAATGGGATGGCAGGGACGGGCAAATCCACCGTGGCACAGACCATCGCAGGCTTCTGTTCGGAGAGGAAATGGCTTGCGGCAACCTTCTTCTTTTCCAGAGATCGTGTCGTGCAGCACTCCGCCGAGCTGTTTTTCCCGACCCTTGCGCATCAGCTGGCACTATTCGAACCGCGGCTCATTCCGTTTCTTGAAGCATCGATGAAGACGAATTCTGCGTTACCGAGGGCGACCTTTGTTGTCCAGTTCAACAAGCTCATCGTGGAGCCGTTCGTGGAGTTTGTCAAAACCGAGCCTGCGGGCCTGGATGCTCCGATATTGGTCGTAATTGACGCTCTTGACGAGTGTAAATACGAGGAATCGACGAGGGAGCTATTACATCTGTTGCTCAACGGAGGACTCCACCAATTTCCGACCCTCAAGGTCCTTGTTACAAGCAGGCCTGAGACCTACATCTGCAGTGTATTCAAGAGGCCGATGGACGTTCCTATTCCCTATCGTAGTCTGGCCCTGCACGAAGAAGACCCAGCGACGGCTCGTCAAGATATAACTGCCTATCTTGAGCAGGGCTTGGGCAGGATTCGAAAGGATCGCTGGGAATGCTTCTCGGGTTTGAGGGCGGAAGAATCCTGGCCAACCGAAAGGATGATCAATGACCTTGTGGATCGGTCGGCTGGCCTCTTCATTTATGCCTCCACGATCTTGAAATACCTCCAGGATAACCGACAAAACCCGAAGCGGCAGATGCAACTTGTCATCGAAATGAAGGCCAAGGGAGACTCATCAAATATCTACGGATACCTCGACGAACTGTATAGTCAGATACTTAGCAAGTGCCTGAACACGCCCGATCTCCGACGCGTCATTAATGCAATCCTCTTCGCGGTACGCCCGCTGTCACTCCACGACTTGGATCTTCTCTTGCGCCTTGAACCTGGAGATGCTCGCACCGCGCTGTATGATTTGTCGTCGGTGTTTGTCGTTCCCCAAGACGACAGTCGACCAGCGAGACTCTTTCATCCGTCCTTCTATGATTTCATCACTTCGAAGTCCCGCTCTGCTGGATTTTATCTCGACCCGCTAGTTGGGCAGTCGCAGATGGCTTCTGCGTGTTTGAAGCACGTGTACCGCTTTTGCGAGGCCTCGGATTCGCAGAAGGCTGAGTTTGTCAACGAGCAGCGTCCCCTCGTCACATACGCATGCCAACAATGGACTTCGCACCTGCGGGAATCACAACTGCATGAGCTCGAACTACTCGATGACACTCGTCGTTTCCTCAGTCTGCACCTCTTCTCCTGGTTTCATCTCTTTGTGAGATTGATGATTATGTCCGGCGTTGGTCGTTGTGTCACTGATTTGTTTGTCTCCGTCGAGGTAAGCAAGTTAATGATATCTCACCCGTGTGTCCCTTATAAACCATCAGAGGTTCTCTCCAGATGATCAACTGTTCATCGCGGAAGCCATTTATAAGCTAGCCCTTTTCATATACGTACGCCACCGTCGCCTCCACTCGTCTGTGTTGCTGTCTCGTCACCTTTTGACGCGCATTTGCGCAATGCCAAAGGTTCCGCCGCAGTATACATTCTACCTCGGCATTCTCGAAAGGCATTGTTTCCTATATAATGGCGACCGCAGAGCCATAAACGACGCCATTGAATATCATCGCGATGCCCTTAAAGCCATATCAATCGATCATGTGGACCGAGCGACATTCACTGTAGGCCTCGTCATCGCCCTCCGGCACCGCTCTCAGCTACGCTCCTACACATCCGAATATCGTAGTGACATGCCTGAATGCATTGATTTATGCGAATCTATGTTGAAAGCGCTAGCAGACCAACAAATACTGGAGAAGGCAATACTTCGTACTGCCTATGCCGCATGTCTTGAAGAGCGATACAATCAAACGAAAGACCTTCGGGATCTGGACAGAGCGATAGAACTATACAGACAAGCAGCACTATCATTGCCCCAAACCCACGATTATCGAGTAGCATATCTATGCAACGCCGCCGCCTCCATCCTCATTCGATCTGACATTGAACCCAATGGAATATCCATCATGGATGCCGCCGATTTGTATCTCGAGGCTTTCGACTGTTCTTTCGTGGCCCCATCTTCCGCGTACCTTGTTGCATTAGGTTATGCTCGATCTGTGGAGACAACAGCGGGCGCCTTCTCCGCACATGTCAACGCCGTCACAAAACTACGGAAGATTATATGGACATCTTTGGCACCAGACCTTGCTGAAGTAATTATACGTCAATCTACTCCATTTGTGCTGAAAACCGCTTCGTTAGCGCTGGAGGCGCACGATGTCTGGGTCGCAATGGAGTGCATCATGCAAGCATGCATTATGCAGTGGCGAGAGCCTTTGCAAATATGTTCTCCCCGCCCATTCCTGCCATACACTGAATTACTTGAAGAGATGGAAACCCTATCCAATATCTTGGAAATCAGGAATGATTTCGAGCCTATGCCTGCTCTCTCCGCCGATGACCCCTCCATCCACGAGATACTAAACTACGAGGATATTGCCTCGGAGTATGAGCATCTCTACGAGACTTTCTCACGCAATCGGACTGCTCGCCACTTTGAACTGAAGAGGTTCTTACATTCTGCCGAAGGGAGTCTGGGCTCTGGACGGATTGTTATCTTGAATGGATCACCTCTTCGTTGTGATGCCCTGGTCATTCGACCTTCCTCCGAATCATTGGATAAGGAACTCGTCATTCAGCTACCGATTAAGCATCGGGAAGTGGAAGAACTCGCAGGAGGGCTTCGCAGTTTATGGAACTCTTATCGTGTAGACTATTCGGACCCGAAAGAGGACTTGGACAAATCTGGAATAAAATTCCTGAAGACGATGTGGACGTCTATTGTGGAACCCATTGTATCGGGGTTGCAGGTACGTGGTAGAACCCCTGGCCTCGCTCAGTATAGTAACCGACATCCTTTCAAAAGCTAGCTAAGACTAGTGACCCACCTCGTATTTGGTGGTGCCTGACTGGCCCCTTCATAGACCTCCCTGTCCATGCGTCGGGAACATACGATGCCAAACGTCCTGCCTATATGACCGACTTTGCGGTTTCATCATACTTGCCAACCATCGACATCCTCCCTGATCTTATCGAGACCAATAAACAACACGAACTTCGCAATCTTCCAGCCAAACTTTTTTTCGTCGAGCCGGAGGTTTCGAGATTAGATCGATCCGCAGAATTGGAGTTGCAGTACATGCGCGAAGCCATTCCCAAGTCTCAATTTGTAACGACGGATGACCGGAGGTTGACAATTGACAATGTCATCGCCCAGCTAGGCGAATGCACGGGGGTACATATCGCCGCAACGTCACAACAACATGCAGGCAAGCCTGCTTGCGCAGACTTCGTGCTGCCCGCAACCCTGAGACTCAGCTATGAAAATATGCGCGATAACCCGGTACCGAAATTCGCATTCCTCTCAACTTACACGGTTGGTGAGTCGCGTTTCTAGTTGGCCATCAACCACCTATGACCCTAATCAACGAATTTTCAATCATATAGCCAACGAACACTCATGGGGCACTTGCCGGACTGCATATGACCTACTGAATCTAGGATTCACATCTGTGATTGGCGTTCAGAGCTCCATTCGGGCAGAAGGAGCAGCAAATTTCAGTCGTGCATTTTATAAGTCCCTGATGTGGCGATCTGGACTAGACTTTACGCATGCTCACCTCGCGTTGCATTCGGCTGTGGTGGAGATCAGAGAAGAAGGCAGGAAAGACATATACTTGGCTGACTGGGCTAGATATATCCATGTAGGCATTTGAACCATGTTGATGACGGACGAATACTTCGGAAATAAGCTATGGTATCAGTTCCGTAAGTTTGGTCTGAAAACGAGGCTACTCTGAGATCTTAACCGTCCATGTGAGTGCGTACCGGGCGGTAAGTTATTCAAACTCCGAAGGAACAATGAAGGAGCACAATGTCTGGAGCAAATACTGAATACATATCTCATGGGCGCTGCCGTTATCATTCGGCAATGGTTTCCAATGTTTTACTCCACGCGACGACTTTAGGATGTGCTTGCACCTAGGATTAGAATGTCAGCCGGAGCCGACAGAACTACGGTTCAGCCTTACCTTACGAGGATCGAAGCCCAAGACTTGAAGGCCCTCTAGGCAAGTTGCTCGCGAAAGTGCGACATAGGCTTGACCTGGAAGCATCGGTCATCAACAAGTCTGCATTCGCAACCGCAGCGGATTGCGACTCACCCTTCTCAAACACCTTCGAGAGATCTACCTTTACACGCTCCAGTGTTTGACCCTGCGACTTGTGGATACTCATGGCCCACGACAGAATTAGTGGAAGCTACAGGATCTGCGTCAGTCAGTCCCTCGGTGCAACGAGTGCTATGCCTACTTGTGACCGACTAGCCTGAACTTCGCCACTCGGAAGTTCCACCTTCCATACATCGGGAAGCACCAACATCTCGCGCCTCCCGCCGTTGGGGAGTAAGAACTCAACGACGGGGTAAAGCTTAACAACAGCAACATTGGCGCTCTTCTTGCTATCTTTCTTCACCAAAGCTTCCGTCGCTGCGTTTGAGCCTACGATCTGCGATGCGAAGGCGCCTTCGACGTCTTGGTCTGTTCCATAAACGGCGGGGTCGACAAAACGAGAGACTTTGCCTATACTACCGTTCACTAGCATCCCATCTTCTTGATTCTTGATGAGCATTACCTGGGCACCGACACGGAGCACCAGCATGGGAGGCGCCATGACATTCGAAAGTATTTTAGATCGTTGTTCCTCATCAGTTATCGCGCCGCTATCAATGGCCTTGAATACCCCTTGCTCGGCATTAAGGAGGTTCATGCGGCTTTGATTCGCCCGCTCGACATCCTCCCTTCGGGGAAATCTGTGCATAATGTGAGCTTGGGGAAGGCGAGGTAAAGTGATCCAATTACAGTTCAGTAGGAACCAAGTCATCCTGTATCGGAATAGGTCGTGAAAGAGAACGGAACTTGGCAATTGATTTACTGGATAACGTCCCAAACCGCATTTCGTTCAGCATGTCAACGAACTCTGCGAATAATTGGTCAAACTCTCTACACCATTCAATGGACGCCGGTGCTTACCTTGATCTCGCTGTCGGAAGACTTTCGTGAGATTGAATGTCCTTTCTATGGTCTTATGCCACATCTTTGCCTCAAAAGCAAACGTTGTCTGCCCGTTTCCCTTCACTACAGGTGGTAGCTGGAAAAAATCGCCAGTGACGATGATCTACACAAACAAAGTATTATGATTAGACACAACACGCTAAAGAATAATGGTTAGCTCACCTGTATCCCACCAAAAGGAATCGGACTGTTTCGGATGGTGCTTGCAATCTCTGAGAGCTTATCGAATAAATCCCCGTCCAACATCGAGACTGCAGCACTGAGTGAGTGACAATTCCACGGAGGTGTTAGTGAATACAGTATACCCTCGTCAATAATCAGAACTTTCGTTCTTTGCCACCGCGCGGTCGCTTTCCTGTTCTTGCGAACCTTGGTAGACAGCACTTTGGCTTCCTCAATACCCAATCCAATTCCAGAGAACGAATGTATTGTAGTTCCGCCAATATTACATGCAGCAATTCCTTTATCAATGGAGGGTGAGGGCGCATATATCGAGTATTTATTAGAACAGACCTGTGGAAGCCGTTATAGCGACTGCATCTGGGGACTTGGTATATTTCCTCCGAAGTACTTTGATGATTTCGCGAAGGAGCACGGACTTGCCGGTGCCTGAATAAGCGAGGCAGTATAAGCACATAAAGGCCCCACAAGATCGTCGTTACGCACCTGCACTGCCAGTATAGAACACGCTTGTACCCTTCTCGACCAACTTCAATATTTGAGTTTGCTCCTGACTGAGGGACATTGGAGGTGGTTTCGTAGGCTTGTCTCTGCCTGTTGAACGGGAGGATTCCTTCTTGGTTGACGTGAGCGCCTTAGAAGACTTGTTGTGCGACCATACTGAGGAAGAGGAGAGAGGATCGTCCTGACCCCAGCTTCCTGGCAGCTGCCTGGGTTTCTTGGAAGGCACTTCGTCGATTGACGTCGTACTTGGACGCTTATTGTTGGTCAGCTGAGTAGAAAGCGGTTTCGAGGACGACGAGCTGGCTGGTGCGCTCCTCAGGGCCTCTTCGATCTCCTTCAATCGACGCGACCTGGCGTCGTCTTTGGGTGGAGTCGGGTCCCATGGAATGTCCTGCGAACTGGGCGGTTTATCCGACCAATCTCGCTTTATGGATCGCAGTCCTGATTGCGACGACTTAGACATATTATAAGGAGAAAACAAGCTCTGGAGATGCCAGAGGTGGTGGTCGGAAGGGAGATTGTAAGTGGTGGCCTTGAGACGCGTGACAGGAGTGAAGGACGCGATCACCGTGGAAAATCACGTGAACGTAGCAGAAACTCTCCTGAGCGCGACATCGCGGATTTTGAGTACTAATGGAGTGCGAGTGAATATTATAGTGTACAACTTATATACTGGATGTTTTTGTAGCTCCCATTCTACCTACTAGCGCAGACGCCCTTGGCCTGTTACAGAAATCCGGGCATAAACAGTCTTGCACGAGTGTCCACATCTCGTCTTCCATCTCCACAGGTCGCGGTGGAGGAATCCCATCCAGTACTAGCATGACTGCGTTCACCTCAGAGAGGCCATCAAATGGTGGTTGAAGGCTGTATAACTTAAGAACGGACGCTATCAACACATATACGACCCGAAAGCTATGGAGATACGTACTTCCACACACAAACAACCGAAGCTGTAGATATCTCCCACCGGCATTCTTTTTAGCCTGCGTTTACCGTGTATCTTCGAGCGAATCACCTCGGGTGCCGTCCAGCGCAAAGACCCAGAGTATTCCGCCGCGCTTGTGAGTGCATAGAGAGGCACAAGGCCAAAGTCAGCGATGCGTGCATGTCCGTCGTTGTCAACGAGGACATTGGACTAAAGAACTGGAGTATCAGTAATTGAACTTTATACCAGAACACAACTACTCACTCCTCGAAGGTCTCCGTGACACACTTTCATAAAATGTAAATATTCTAAACCCTGTGCAACCTCAAATAACTGCGGAGTTCGTGATTGAATATCGGGTCAATTTCAAGTCACTTGAAAAAAGTGCTCACCAACTGCGCGACGTTAACGCCTTGATGTTTCCTTAGGTAGGACACCACCGTCCCATTCTCCATCCACGGAGAAACTAAACATGGAGTCGGATGAAACGTCTTGTTGTCAATCCCGATGAAAGTCAAGAGATTCGGATGGCTGAGATGTTGCCAGATCAACGCTTCTCGGCAATGCTTCTGTTCATACCCATCAACAACCTGCAGTCTGGAAGCTAGTCAAGCCGCTCACCTGGCGCATTGCCTCTATGTCGTCTGGATTTAAGGAAGTCCATATCGGCCTCATGCGCTTGAGAGCAACGGGAACGCCGTGCAAAGAAGCAAGAAATACATCGCCAAACGACCCAGAAAATCGAGGTTCGCTTGCATCGCAACTGACATCAGAAATCGAGAGGGAAGCAGGTTGGTACCCGCAGTATTGAGACAACTTTGTCACAAGATGCAAGAGACACAGCCTGAGCTGTGTAGAGGTTGGTTGCTGCGGATTTGGGTATGATAAAACCTTGATGTCGTATAGAAGTCAGACAATTTGGAGCGGGAGTGCAGTCTGACTCACGTCTTGAACTATATCCATAAACTGCTGTGCGCGCCTCCCACGGAGAGACAGTACCATTTCCGTGGCTGATGTAGAAACAGCAACCGCCTGGAGGAGCCGTAGTAGTTCGCCTTCGTCTTTCTCAAGTGCGTCGTAAACTCTCTGGTCAGAAATGTCCCCGACCTCTCGCCATATCTAAAGGTGTAGTTGTGTAAGTCGTGTGGTTATACAGGAATCAGCCTAACCTACATCCAATAACTCATCCCGGTAGTCCGAGCTTTCAAGAAGACTTGACACACAGTCGAGCGCGGCAACTGATCTGAATAATTCTTGAAGTCTGAGTAAAGCTCTAGATCTGAGGGGTGAGCATTCTCTCACCGCGATCAACGCTGTAAATGCGCACCGTTGTTTTGCATAAGACGAGTCCACGGAGATTTCTTCCAAAAGCAAAGCAAAGAAATTCTAAGCAGACCAGGCTACGCTTCAACCGACTGACAAAAGGATGATCTCTGCAGGCGCACCAACCTGATATATTCGTTGCTAAGGTCTTCGTCAGCACAACAACCAGTAAACAGAGAATACAGCCCTCACCTTCCGTGCGACGATGCTTTCCGTACGACTTCCATAGGCCTCGTACAATGATTCAGCTGCATCGTCACTCGATTCGGCCCACCGAAGGCATTTCAGCTTCCTGCCAATGTGCGACCTATGGCCTAGTGAACCATTCACAGCATCCAAGTCACCGTCGGATTTGGATCTGGCATGGCTACTGAAGAGGCCGCCGGGCGGCGGGTGTAGGCCTACGACATTGACTGACAATGTTGACGAGCGTGCCGGAAGAGACTCCAGAAGAAGATGTGCCCTCCACTCAGCTGGCAATCCCTGCCAGTGAAACCAATCAGTTCCACACTATCGAAGTCCCGACAGAGACTTACAACAAGCCTTCCACTCTTCGGGTCCTCTTGGCAATGAACATGGTGCACCACCGACAAGGGCATTGTACATCTCGAACTGAGTGAACTCGAAAGGTAGACGTCGTTCATCCATTCGTTCAATTCTTTGTCGCTGCGCAGCGATATACATACACGAGGTCCAAGTGCGTCAATGCAGAAGCACCATTGCGACTTCGAGCTCTCTACTCGCTCAATCCTCGTAGCGAAGTTGAGGTCAATCTGTGTGTAGTTCGAGGACTACGAAGGATGTGAGCCGATATCTGGGTTACAACAGATATACCGGAACTCACCGATTTATTGTATATCTTAAGGGTAGTAGGCGTGAGATGCAACCACTTCTTGCTCCACCCTCGCCAGGAGGAGAACGGACCACGACTTTTTACTAGGGCCCAGCCGCATCTAACTACACGGATGGTGAAGGCTATGTCTGATGTCATTAGCTTCGTTTCACGGCGCAGGCAGCAAGAATGAATGTCGCCTACCAGAGGGGCTGGAATAAGTAACGAAGGGACTGCTCAAGGCTATAAGCAATGCAATACAGCTCAATCATCGCTATGGGACACAAATCAAAGCAGTACCATCAAAGATGAGCGCTTTAATGCAAAGAGTTCCATAAATATCACACCAACTGCATCCAGACAAACGGTACTCGCCTTAGCTGTATCCAGGCGTTCTGATCGAGGATCGAGGAATGATAATCATGTTTTGCACGGTATAATACAATGTGATAGGAAGCAGCCTTTCGGGACACTGATCTGTCTAAACAATGGTTAACACCGTCCTTTTACAATGTCCCTTTTAAAGTACTTGATGATAGTGGTTACACTTGGTCGTTGATTGCAAACCTGAGACCAGCAAGATTGTACTAGCGTCCATAGAGCACTTGGCATGCGCCCTTTCCGCGGGCCATCATCCCATGTAGGGCGTCCTGGTCGTTCGCCCGCGACGACTTTCAGTGCGACGGTAGCATCATAGCGGATGTCCGAAAAGGGAACAAGCCCCGTATACAGCTATATGATCGTTGCATTCAGTTCGTGCGCCCAACAATGACAGCGACGGGAACGTACTTCAACACAAACACAGGCGAAGGAGTACACATCACTAGAGCGGGTTCTTTGGAATTTGTCATAACCCTGGGATGCTGGATATAGGAGTTCGGGAGCCATCCATCTGACAGACCCTGGGTACGTCGATGAAGTTTGCGTGGACATATCAGTCAGCACGGCCAGCCCAAAATCTGCGATACGGGCGTTGCCATCGTCGTCAACGAGAATGTTTGCCTATATGCATCAAAAGTTAGATATGATACGATCACTCAGGAGGAACAACATTGACTCCTCTGAGATCCCCGTGAATGACTTCTAGCGAATGTAAATAAGCAAGACCTTGGCCAATGCCGTACAACTGGATGCCAATGTCAGCGAGCTAATAAATGTGTACATAGAAAAGTGAGGAGTGCACCATGATATCCACATCATTATACCCATTCAGTTTCAAGTAGCTCAAGGCGGTGCCATTCTCCATCCATGGTGATACGATGCACAGCGACTCGAAGTTCTCTGGGTCGATACCTATAAAAGGCAAAACATTTGGATGTTTCAGATGCTGCCAAACCAGAGCCTCCCGACAGAATTTCTATGATGACTGCTTAATGAAAACAAACCATAGTAATTTGGTGAAAGCGTACCTGGCGAATCTTGAACTGTGCAGCCTCCGCGTCCGATTCGAAGACCCTCATCCGCTTCAATGCGACTGTTTGCCCTAAGTACGACGCGCGATACACATTGCTGAAGCTCCCCCAGTACGTCGCATCATTCCCCAAGACGTCCACCCCAGCGAGGAATAAGGATGATGGCAATATATGACAAATCTCAGAGAGTCGTATCATCACTTTCAGAAGCTTTATGCCGAAGCGTTTATCTTCTGATCGTTGCAACGAGGGAAAATGTAATATCTAAGTGTGATCGCACGAAGGTCAAGGGACGGCAAAGATAGATATGAATGCACGCGCCTCGTGAGCCATGTCCAGGAACTGCTGCGCGCTCTCCCCACGCAGACCAAGGACGGCCTTGAACCCGGACTTCGATGTGGAGATCGCGCGGAGGAGCGTCACTAAATCGGCTTCGTCCTTCTTGCGCGTTTCCCATGGTACGTCCCGGAGCCACTCTGGCTGTCCAAGAAATGTGGTGACGGTGTCCAGGGCCTCTATGGATTTGAATAGTTCCCGCATGACATCCAGCATACTAACAGACGGCCTGAGAGATAGGGTATAGGCATATGTGGGCTCAGGCATACCGGTCATCCTGTCGTAGGCTGTCGACTGTGGTTACTAGAACTAAGAGCGAAAGTAAATTCTGAGAATACATCAGAATGCAAATCACGCTAGATGTCATGTCAAGTACCTGGTAAAGTTTGTGCTGCGTAACAATGCATCGTCAGATTTACGGGATAAGAAGAACGACTTGTGTTGCGTACCTTGTTGACCGTCCAGCTTGGATTAGGGCGATGCGATGGCATAGGTTTGTCTTGAGACCTGCCTTCACTGCCCTTTCTCTTGCATGCCCGTTTGCGGACTAATTTGAGCGGGGTGCTGATGAAGGTGAAGGACATGGGACTCTTTGGCGCGTCAAAATACTCGCTCAGTATCTCTTCTCTCCATTCTAAACCATCGTTCTCTTCTGGTGAGCTAACTATCTGGGGTTCTTGATGCGGAAGGTCATTTATCTGAAGCGAAGGGAGTGAAGTGGTCCCAATATCTGGACTCTTTTACGCGTTCAATTCCTGTTGCGAAGGACGACAACGAATCAGTGGCTTACCGTAAGGAAAGAAGCAGACACGTCCGGACTTTCGACCTGCGTGACAGAGTCCTGCCATGTGCCATTCAGGGATGTCCATTGAGAGATATCGTCTATCCACTCGAAGAGCTCGCGTTCCGACCAGAAAGAAATGTAGTACTCCAGGCTCCCAGCGACTAGAAGGCAACAGTGCTGTGCACCATCGTATTCAAGGGCTTGTAGCCAAGATACCGAGGTCAAACTGATCTCGAGTGATTCTGAAGACTAGAGCGCATTGGAGGTGAGCGCTTGAGCCTTTGATGTCGTCGGTTCCGCACAACTTCGAGACTCACCTCCCAGTCGAGAATATGAAGTTCCTCCTTTAATAGCAACCACATCCTCTTCCAGCCCCGCCAGGAGGCCTGATGCGACTGAACGCTGGCCCATCCCGATCTGGTGGCATACGAAGGGCTAGTAACTCGTAAATCCGATGCGGCGGCCTGCCTCGCATGGAATCCCATCTTGCAAAGTAGTCGGCGCGTTAGCAGATTCCAGTCGCTGGTGCATCAGCCTTGACGCGTCTGCCTCGGATCCACTTGTATATAAAGCAGGACCCGGTCCAAGAAGCCCTGAATTTTGAACAGCCATCACTTCTATAGCGCTGGGAGTGTCATGGATTAGCGATTTTGGTGAACCCATGACAACATGGAAGGTGGGGAAATACCCTCAAATGTCATTTTTTGACGCTGACCACGCAGCTAGGACCAATCACCGCCCTCGTTGAATCGGATTTTGGACAGGATCAACTCGTGGTGTACTGCTCTCTGCTATAGAAACCAGATTAGCCTCCCAGCGTTTTGGGATTGCGTGAAGTTGCACTACAGCCGACTTTCAACTCGACAAATTGGATCATGTCTTTGCTTCGCTGCCTGTCAAACGTCTTGCGAAATTTTGGCTCTTTGCCACCGAATGCAATGGACTGTCCAAGAAAGATTCGTTGCGTCAAGGTTCTAGATGGCCGCTCCGTTCACAAGACCATCGGTTCTTCTCACCCAGATAAGTTTCCTGGGAGATAACGCACAAATCCTTCCTTCGCCAGGATTTGTGTTAACGGCCCAACATGTCCGCAGAATCAGACAAGACATTTGTAGAAGCAACGGCTCCTGCTCCATCGACAGCGGTCCCTTACCAATGGAGCGCTTACATGCTCGAAATCTACTTGGGACGGAATGGTCCGCAACCCCTGGGAACGGTGAAACTCCAAGAAATCGTGGATAAGGCTAGGGAAGTGAGCAAGGGACACTCCGGTATGCAGGTCGCGCGCCTGGATTGCTACTGCAGTATGTACTCATTCGAACTCTTTCGGGTGCCTTTCTGGTTGCCGTGAAGACGCCTTTGACTTCGTTCATGATGGCGCTGGAACCAATAGCACCGGCGAAGCGAACGTAAAGGCATTCGAGAAGTACCGCATCGTGCCTCGCATGCTTGTGGACGCTACAATTCGAAGCATAGAGGTCGATATACATTCTTAGCTCGTGTACCCCGCTCGTTCGCTGACATGTAGTGGTTTACAGACGACCATATTTGGTGTGAAGCAAATATCACCTCTACTTATCGCCCCGGTGGGCGTGCAGGGTATACACCACCCAGATGCTGAATTGGCCACAGCGGGGGCGGCGGGAAAAGTAGGCGTACCGTTTATCATGAGCACAGCGTCGTCACGCAGCATCGAGGAAGTCGCCCAAGCCAATGGACCAGGAAATACACGGTGGTTTCAACTATATTGGTGAGCAATATGAAATTTCGATAGCGAGCCTACAATGACCGCTGTGATTAGGCCGCGTACCAACGAAGTTACCTTATCGTTGCTTAAGCGCCTGAAAGACAACGGTTTCTCCGTCCTTGTCGTCACCGTGGATGCTGTAGTCCTAGGCTGGCGTTCAAAAGACCTGAGCAACCGATACACTCCATACCGGCACGGCTTTGGCATCCAAGTTGGCACGTCCGATCCCGTGTTCATGGCGCGCTTTGGAAAGCAACCCGTCATCGACTATCACCCGGGATTTCCGTACGACCCTGACACACTCGATAAGCGTCTTGAGGAGGGCGATGAAAACGTAGCGGAGGGAATGCGACTTGGACAGGCGTGGGGGAATGAGCATAATTCGGGGATTTATAGGACTTGGGAAGATCTCAAGTTCTTGCGCGACAACTGGGATGGTCCGCTGGTTTTGAAGGGGATCCAGTCGGTGCAGGTACGAGCTCCCTCATGAATAGTTGGTTGATAAGCCCGTTGCTGACTTTGTTTAGGACGCGGAGATGGCCGTGGACTACGTAGATGGAATTGTCGTTTCCAACCATGGTGGGTATTCGAGTTGTCGCGGCATGTGCGTTATCACCGGACATGTTTACAGGTGGTCGACAAGTCGATGGCGCAATTCCCTCCATAGATGCGTTGGACGCAATTATGCGTTCGCCGAAAGTACTAGAGGCACAAAAGTCTGGCAAGTTCACGGTATTGTTTGACTCGGGTATCCGTACTGGCAGCGATATCATCAAGGCAGTTGCGCTGGGAGCACAAGGCGTCCTATGTACGTGATCTACCATCACCTATCGGCCATACTCACAACAGAAACAACAAAAGTGGGGAGACCGTTTTTATACGGGTTGATGATCGCAGGTCAAGAAGGGGTCGAGCAGATTCTGAAGCAGACAATGGCCGACTTGCATATCTCCCTCGGGCTCTCGGGATGGAAGGAACTGGATGACATTCGTGGTCGACGCGACGATGTCTTGGTAAAGCTGGATTTCTAGCTCTCAGGAGTTTGTTTGTACAAGATTCAGGTAACCAAACAAATCAATATTTCCCACTGGGAATACAATGAGCATCAAGCAGATTCAAGCTCTGTCGCCAACCACAACAATCTGGAATAATGCATGCCCGTCTATTGTCCTGAGTACCGTGAATGTCCGTCCCTACCGACGATTGTTCTCGCGGAAACAATGAAACATGCCTCAACCTACTTCCTGCCTCGCTCCCCGCTCCGCCTGCCAAATTCTCGGTCTCAATGCCAACTGTCACGACTGGTATAAAGTCATGATGCTGGCCGCTTGCCGTTCCCCCAGCTCTGGATTAGCCAACAGCCTTCACATTTTGTATCCTTATCACCAACCTTTCCAACTTGCTAATACTCCTTGACGTCGGGTATCTGCTATCTCATTCTTTTAATCGCACACTCTCTAAGCCCGAGCACACGACACTTCCGCATTAATCCTACCACTGCTACCACCGCTACAACCATCATGGCCCCACGCGTCCACTACACCAGCAGTGCTGCTCGTCAATATGGCTCCTCCGATAAACTGTACGTCCTCTGATATTTTTGCATCTCGTGTCCAATGCTGACTTCGTACTGTGATTTACAGCAAATCCTGCACCGCGCACGCGTTCTCAATCCGTTCGATCGAACGTCAAGTCGTTCGTGCATGGAAGCATGTCACTCATGCTGCCCGTCACCGCCAAAATCGTATATCTACGCTTCCGTGTGACTTTGTCTACGTCACGGACCGTCGCCGTAGCGCAATCATATACACCCCTTCCATGCCACATGTCAACTAGGCCTCTATGATAATTTACTCAGACTCTCATTATATATATTATCTTATACACTCTGTATCCAGTATTGGATTTCTCTAGATATCATGGATGTTTTCTTAGTATACCCGCAATGTACTGTAGCATTATGAATGTAACAGATGCTAGGAGACAAATCTGATGTTCTACAACAAATATTTGAGATTATTGAAGGAATGTGGGCAAGCGAAGATTAAACAGCCGCTCTCGCTGTGAATCATGATATAATCAATGACTGAAAAATGTATGGTTTATAGGAACACTCACTGCCTCTGCTTCGATTCTAGAATAACTCTGCCAGAAGGTTTTGAACTCTGAGACCTCTTCTTGAAGTTTGTTTATCTGGGTCTTTGATGTCGCCACATCAGAAGACAGTTCTTCAACCTGGTGATGAAGGAGCTCGTTCTGGACCCGGAGGTTCTCTGAGGTCTCCTGCGAGTCACATAACTCCTGATTGATGTGGATGCGCCACAGTGCAAACTGTTGTTGCCGTTCATCAGTGTCGAGCTCCATTGCTGCCTTGTTGTTGTTGAGTTGCTGAATTTCTTGGTTGAGTTCTTCAATCCGTGCCAGAGCCGCACGATTGCGATCCTGGGAGTCGGTAAGTTCACTTTGCAATTGCAGGACCAGGTCCGCATGGACCTGGGCCTCTTCCTCAATATTCATAGCAGAGTTGTTGTCACGGCTCAGGGGGTGGGAAGAGGAGGAACCAGCATTATGGGTGCTGGCGCTACGGCGAATGCGAGGAAGTGATTCGGGAGTGGGGTACTGGATCATGGAGGCGGTTCGTCGGACAGGGGTAGCAGGGGGGCAGGGGTCGATAGGAGCAGGGTCAATACTAAAGTAAATATGAGACAGAGTCAATGAAGCAGTGAGTACATACAATTCAAGATCAGGATGACCATCCTGGCCAATAGGCTCTTCCTCTGCATGGGACACTGCATCCCGAAGCTGCTGCTGCAACTCCTTGATGCGCTTCTCAAGTGCTTCTACTTGGCGTAGGACCTATTAAGGGCAGTTGATTATAACCTAATGCGGAAGTACCACATTAGGAAGTAACTTACCTGCAGCATTGTTGGGGACTTCTTGCGAAGCCGCTGGGTGAACAGGGAGCAGATTGTCAGGAATTCCACCTGGTAAGATGAAAACTCATGCTGGCTAATCTGCTCCCTTGTCTGGGTCATTCTATAGGTGTAATAAATCAGTTCAAAGTCAAACAGAAATAGTTAAAATACTCACATTGTTACCATGTCCTTAGTGGGGATGATAATACGGCCATCAGCACTTTGCTCATCTATTTCAATATAGCGCCCATTCTCCTATACAATAATTTCAGAAGGCAAATAAACAAGATAATAGATTAAATGGCTCACTAGCAGCAATACTGCCTTGCGCAGCATGAGTGCCGCTCGGACACCCATTTCGACCCCCGCCTCTTCAGCAGCCCTTGCAACTGGATGAACAACTACATTAGGATCATATCATATGAGGAGGGACAAATAGGCGAACCTTGATCATATATGTCCTCTACTTTGAGTGGCACAGTGCCACCCCAAGTGGCAAAGCAGACATACATCAAAACTAATCAAATATATGAGTATATACATGTAAGGATACTATAGAACTCACTAGAGAGATAGGTGGGCCGCTTGATTGCAGGGGGGGCCACTGGCATGAAGCTCAACCGCCTGGATGCCCGATCAGCACGTGGAGTTCTGCGGATTGACGGCATGATGATATATAGTAAAGTGTTGTAGATTCGAAGAAACTCAAGGAAAGTTATATAAGAGTGGCTGAGCCAGCAGCAGTAGTAGTGGGGGTACTGGAATGAAGAAGAAGTATACGTTGAGCGGCGCCGTCGTCGCGACTTTGAGGGAACGAACACAAAGGTCCTTTGTGGGTCGTGTTCTGTCCCCCTGGCCCCTGAGGGTCTAAGCGCCGAACGGCGCTAAGTTGGCCAAGGCGTGAACGCAGACTTTAACTCTACACGTCAACATTATGGACTCTTCAGAACTCTACCATGTAAAACAGCAATTCATTCTGGGTACGCAAATCTGATCTTTACACTTAAATGTGCCCGTCTCATCGTCTTGCTCACAGGTGCCTACAAGACGCTCATCACGTCCAGTCTTCCAGATGAATCATCGCAGGATTACATCCCCATCCTTCTCTACCAAGTTCGCGCGCATATAGCTCTGAGCGACCCTCAATCGGCCCTCAAACTCATTCCATCTGGGACTGATAATGTTGCGCTGAAGGCTGCTGCATCACTGGCGCGATACGTTAGTGGAACCGACACGGACGCCGTTTTGGAGGAGCTGAGGGATTTATCGGTGGAGGTTGAAGGAGATGACGCAGAGGGTAGCGAGCGAGATCGCGCGATGGTACGCGTGCTAGCTGGAACGGCGTTCGCTAGGGCAGGAGAGGTGGAGGAGGCGCTGGAGACTCTGGGAGCCGATACGGAGGATCTGGAAGCGTGCGTGCCACTCTTCTCTAGTCCAAAGGACTCAGCTTAATTCGGCGGAATAATATAGCGTCGCTGTCGTCGTGCAGATATACCTCTCCATCAACCGTCCAGACTTGGCCAGGAAGGAATTCGAACGGGCCAAACGCTGGGCGGAGGACGATCTCCTCCTGCAACTCATCGAATCTACCATTGGGCTCGTCACTGGCAAGGACAGCTATTCAAATTGCAGCTCGTTCTACTCAGAGCAGATCGCCAATCCTTCTCTCTCCTCGCCGCATTTGCTGACCTCGCGAGGTGTTACCAGAATTCTGCGAAATGAATTCCAGGAGGCGAAGTCGGATCTGGAAGAATCTTTGACGCAACAGAAGGATGACGCAGAGGCTCTGGCAGCCCATGTCGTCGCCAGTGGTTTGGCGCCGTCGAAAAAGGGCGAAGCAGATGACTTGTGGAAGTAAGTGACACCCAGAGATGCATATCGAAGCCGTATTGACTCCATTGTTAGTCAACTTGTTTCTGAGCATCCTACCCACCCCATCGTCATCGATGTCGCCAAAAAGTCACAATTCTTTGATGAATGTGCTGCAAACTTCACTGTACCTCCGACAGCTGTGGCCTCGAGGGCGTAATGACGGCCTGTACTCCCTTATTCTACCGTAGAAGAACGTTTAACAGTGCACACTGATCAGTCTCAAGACTGTCCTCCTCTTAGTCCGCGTTACGACGTTCTTTATCTCGGTCAAATACGCGTCGAGCTTTCTTTCTGGCCTGAATGACTGCATCGTATAACACCGATACATTTCCATTTGATACGGTTCTGGTCACTGTAGTTGACTAACCACTAGGCATGCCACTGGCCGAAGCCATTTATACAGGTTCGGGAATGCTCTCCGACAAAGGGCGGGGATTACCAAAGTTAGGTGTCCCATCCGAATTCCAATTAACCATCTGCACAGCGGTATAGCGGGTTCCATCGCAGTTTCCTGGCGATGTTGGTGACGCGTGGTACACCATGTGGATCTGGTTGCCGCTGGGGCTGAGGAAGAAACCGTTGTGGCCGGGCTACGTGATACGTTAGTCGAATCATTGACCATCTACGAAGTGTTGACAATTCTCACCTGGTCCACGCTGAAAGTCACGAAAGCAAGCAGTTGATTAGTGGAAGACTACGGCGCACAAGACGAGAAGCGTACCCATTCGCTGTTTGGAACACGGGATTGGGGAACTTCGTCCACGAGCTGGCGCTCATCGGGTTCGAGCCGGTCAACTCGAGTCTTCCAAGCTTGTACCCAGTGCCGGCACACCCAGAGGCGGAGAAGACGATCCAAGTACGGCCTGACGGGCCGCAGCAGCATTTCAGCTCGCGTCACCGTTGTAAAGTATTAAGCATGGCGCTGCGCACCTCCGTGATAGATCGCTGCAGGACCTTCGTTCACGTTGGATCCGACTTGTTCCCAAGAGAGGGTAGGCGTCGCTATTTTGACGGGCGTTCCGACCGAGGTCGCGCTATTCATTTGGCTGTTTCGGGGGTCAGAGCCGTCCCTCACATCGAAGGCACGGGGAAACGACGTACGCGATCCAGAGGCATTGGACTACGGGTCGGTTTATGATTTATAAGTTGGACCTGGGCCGTGGATGGACGATTGATACTCACAAGCACCATCCCAGCTCGAGTATACTAAGTACCTGTTCGCGCCGACGATGAGGACGGTGGCATCGATCGACCAAACGTCTCTGTTCGGGATAGTGATACGCGCTGATACAGAGCGACTTCAGCGTAAATATGAAGACCGTGTAAATGGGTGCGCACAGGCGTAGCTCCAACTAGAATCCCATATGATGTTCGACGACCCGCGAAGGACGTGGATGCGTTGGTTGTCGAGTGTACCAGCCGTTCCAGCACTGTAGTAACTAGAAAGAAGTTAGACGGTGATCGACGCGTATGCAGGTATTATGCGAAGCTCACATGAACCATGCACCTTCATTCGGCATCCTGTTTCCCGTCGTGGGCTTAATTAATGTACACAGACTGTCGAGAAAGCACTGCGTACCAATGGATCTCTGGAGCCCCTACAGTGAGTGTTAGCTGACAATTCTTCGGAGATAAAGATGCGAGGACGCGACTCACAGACGTTGCAACACCTCGACGCGGTAGAATCCGTCCATATAACCTTGGGAGTGGCTGTCTTCAACCCATTGATGGTGGTAGCGCGAGTGATTTGTATATTCGACCACGTCGTGCTTGTTAAGTCTCCATTGCGACTCAGCATCGTACAGACTGCAATCCAATGGCGTCGAACTCACAGTAAAATCCTTCATGGAAAACCTACAACAAATTTGTTGATAATGTCGTCGACGCGCCATGAGTATACACTCACCATGAAGGGATCAGAACCGTCCGTCTTCTTGATGGGGTTAGTGAATCCGAATGCCACCATGCATTGCAGCGCAAGGATGGAAAGGAGAGCCCCGAGAATCTTAATATGCATACCCATGTTGAAATGCGGCCCTTTGAACCCTGTCCATCCCCATCATCTCCTTGTTCTTATACCCTTGGAATGGGCACCAAGATACTGACGCGGACCGAGCACTTAGCCTGACATATATATTGGCGGTCCGTGAACTTGAGAGACAGTGCATCCAATGATCATCCTATTGTCACTGGGTTTAGAGTCGTGTGTGTAGCAACTGACTCGGGAGGAATATAGTCGGAAAATGCGAGCGTATTGACTGTATCTCTCCAATACTCGGTGAATCGTCAAAAGATGGGAAGACACGGTTGCGGACCGCGGACCGACTCAAATCTCAATGTTGGGCGCTTGGGCGCTTACACTCCCATTCAATTATGACCATGCCATAATGTGCCATTGGCTTATTCGGCTGATATATCCACTGGGTCTCCACCGCTGCGAAGTTCACAGATGAAGGCTCCCCTCAGGCGCGCTGGAGGGTTTTCTTCCAATGTCGAGCTACAACAAACTGCCCTCTTCACGAAGTACTCGGGTGCTGAACTTCAAACCGACGCCAGGCTCGAATATTGACGACTACGAGACTCTCGGCGACCCCTCCCATGAACCAGACAATGGAGCTGTGCACTGCGAATGGTCGGTGATATCAGTGGACGACCCAGGTCCCTACTTTGCCCTATCCTACGTCTGGGGGGATCCAAATGTCAGGGAACACGACTTGATTTGCAACGGACGACTTATTAGAATCACATATAACCTCTGGGTTGCGTTGAAAGCAGTTTGGCAGAAGTTTCCGACAAGGAGACTATGGGTTGATGCGGTTTGCATCAACCAGGACGATATACCGGAGCGGAATCAGCAAGTTGCGATGATGGGCGATATCTACAGTCGAGCAGAATGTGTCGCTGTCTGGGTCGGAGAGGCAACGCCCCATAGCGATGATTTCTTCAAAATAGTCGAGGTCGTCAAAGCCGGCGACATGTTGACACCGGGCAATTGTCCAAATCTCATAAACAGTCGCAAGAAGACTCAGGATTCCGAGCGCGACTTCATGTATCACCTCCTTGACTGCGCTACCGATATCGTCCGCCGGCCGTGGTTCATACGGGCTTGGACTTTCCAAGAAATCCGACTCTCTAAGAAGGCGAGTATGCATTGCGGCTCACACATAGCTCCGATAGGAGACTTCGTCGACACTGTCACAGCGATCAACCGCTTCAGCACACTGCATGATTTCTGCGGCGCGCGAACCGTGAACATACCATTTTTCGCCGCTAAAACTAGTTTCATGTCGCTGTATCGTCTCCTCGCGCAGTCACAATATCGCGCGTCGTCGGATCCCCGGGATAAAATATATTCCCTGCTTTCGATGCTACCCCACGGCGCATACGACTTCATAAAACCGGACTACTCTTTGACATATGAAGAAGTATTTGCACATGCCTGCAGAGTGTGCATCGAGGTGGACAATGAAATGAATGTCCTGGGCGGCGCTGGGCTCCAATATCATCCTAGCGAAGGCGACCCCCGCAGCAATCTCCCTTCTTGGACTGTCGATTGGAGAGTTCGGAATGATAATATATCTTACTGGCAAAAGCTCTCCAGGACTATCAACATCGCCAACCCCGAGGCGCTTAGCATTCGCAATGAACTGGGCACGAAACTCGACCCGACCAGCAGAAAGATCCATATTCCGGGGACCGCCCTTGGGAGGTTCAGAGTCTACGAGACGAAAAGCTTAGCCTTCCTGACGCCTTTCCCCAAATGCGCAATGAAAATATCCCGAGGAGACTCCCCAAAGGAGGGCTTCCTGATGCAATGCGCTCGCAAACTCAAGGTATGTTAAACCATGCGCACCCCGCTTCCGTAGACTGAAGTACGTATATAACCAAGTCCACGATCACAAAATGGACACCGTCATCCGTTGTTAGACTTTCCGACAGCGACTTCGCTGCCCTCTGGCGAGGCCTTGCATTACACGACAATCAGCAATGCAAGTGTAGGTCCGCTACCAAGAGCGAAGCCTTGTACAAGCTCCAAGATATGCCCGGGGGGCTGAAGACAGGCGATTGGTTATGGACCACGAAGATCGAGGAAGAAATGGAGGAATTTAGCCCTGCAAGTAGAGAGCACAAAGATGAAATTCACCATTTCCATTATGGACTGCGCCCCGTCGAAGGATCCGAGCCGTGCTTCCAGCTTGTTGGAATGACGAACGGTCTTAGCGAGGTTGGCCCATATGTCGACAGAACAGGCAGAGGGGCTTCTGTGAAGATCCAGGCTAAATTCCTGTTTATATGACAGGCTCAGTGGTCTGGTGAATGGTCGCGGAAGGAGTACATGGAATTCTGAAAATACGTTTACACGGTTTATTAGCCTACATAGCTATGGTTTTCGTGCTCTCGTGCTACTCTTTCTCTTATATTTATATTTGCGTCCACTTCCAGTATGGCGGTGGTGTCGACCCCAACCGCATCCAAGTATGCCACCTTGAAACTAGCAGAGTCCGCATGGAGGCACTAGTCGCCTGATCCAAAACCTATGGAGATCAGCGTATCATCCCTATGATGTGCTCTATGTTCCAAGTTAAGACGGTGATTTAAGTACTACCGACATCTACCACAAGACCATATTACCAGATCCCATCTCGTTGACGAGTGGCTCTAACGCCTTCTAATATACGGATAAACATATCAACAGTATTAGAGTATTAGTTCGAACCCAATTACAGGGTGAAAGAATTAGCCCAATGCTTCAACACCCCTTCTCCCCGACGGTGAAAATCAAACCGCTTGACATCCCTACACACAATCGTCGCGTGCGAGTTCCTGACCCCGTCAATATACGCCAGCTCCTTCTTGATAGGTAGCTTATTCAGTGATGCGACGATTCTCTTCTGTACGGGAGAGAGTATAGGTTGTGCGGAAGATGGCTTCCCTGGCTTCCCTTTGATGTGGAGCGGTGGCGAGGAGGAAGCTTCGTTCTCATCGGGGTCGGACGAATCGATGAACTCCGCAACGGCGTCTTCGACTTGTTTCTCTAGTTGGGCGAGGACGTGGCTTAACCGTCCGTGGGCCGGTGCGTCTTTCTCCAGTAGTTTGATACGTCGGCGAGACGAATGTGTAGCAAGCGCAAAGTGGGTAAGAGCCGTTAGAATCGCAACTGGGATAAGCAGCGGGAGTGAGACGTATAATAACTAGAGAATCGTACGTTAGTAGCCGGCTGAAAGGAGCAGTTAAAGGCGCACGATGTTGAATGGGAACCTGAACTGCAGGAATGGTGGAAGGAAAGGACGAGTGCTACTGAAGCGCTTAAACCATGCCAGAGACAACAGGCGTGGACTTGGAGGAGGTGGAGGAGGCGATGGGGGGACGGTCATAGATTCGATTAATGGACAGTAGTTTTCCTGTAAGTCTCTAGATACTCAATTAGAGTTAAGTTGCATACAATGCAATGAAGGACGTACATTTCTAGGCCAGTCGTCGACATATCGGCAAAGGGATCTTGTAGCTCTATGGCAGCGGTTGTATACGGTACCGTCATATCATTTACACTGGAGAAGTGTTACCATGCTGACAATAGCGGCACCGAGATCATTACTTACGCATTAGCATAAATACGGATATTCTTGAATTTACTGAGTGCTTGGTAGAAGATCCTGTCTATGATCGATAATAAGCATCAACGCCAGCTCGGCGGGTTTGTTCCACTCACTAGGATCGGCGAGAACCTCTAACAAAGGCCTCCCGGTGCTCGACCATTTGTCCACGCAGTAGAATTGCTCTCCAGTTCGCGATAATAATCTCGAGCCCAGTGCAAAGGTCAGCGAAGACAATATCGACGAATAACGTAGCAGGCCGATATGCGGTGTGGCCACAGTATTGAAATTCACTGGCTGGACATCCTCGAAGAATTTCCGTTGATACAGTATTCTGTCAAAGCAACAATGAGCATTGTTTCGGCGAATCACGTACAGGTACGGTCTTACCCAACGAGATACCGTGAAACCAGGCCGCCAAGGCTGTAACCAGTGACCGAAAACCGAGCCACCCGTTTACCCTCGTTTGCAAGCTTTTCAACCTCCTGGATAACCTAACATGGAGGTAACGATTCACATGGTGGCCCTGGAATGGTGGAAACTGAAACGCCCATACGCACCTCTTCCGCCACACGCTCTGCGCCCCAGTCGATCCCATCGTAGGTAGAATCCTCCCGATTGGTTTCCGCTAGTAATACGTGCAACTTGATGCCATCTGGGCCGGCTTCTTCTTTGGTTTCGCGGATGATGCGAGCCATTTCGGCGAGGTGGCCTGGGTTGCCCCACATGCCATGGACGAGGACGAGGAGGTGAACAGGAATTACGGGGCTGCTATCTGCCATAGCGAGCAAGGAGTGTGTGGTTCAGAATAAAGAAAGGAAGGGAGAGCAGTGGCACCCATGCATCAATCATCATGCTGAAAGGCACTGCGGTGCCGTCGGCCAAATCCAGTCGTCACCTTGCCAGATTATGGGCGCTTAACCGACCACTTTCGACCCGAACTTCGACTGGCGCACTTTTGTTGAATGCCCTGAATGCGGTTCCTTACTAGTTACTTTTCAGCAACAAGGGAGGGGAGCAGGAGACCCCAAATCAGCACGAGGCGTGATAATTCCTCGTATCTATGCCCATTCGCGGAACTGTAACCACCTGAAGTTGTTTCAACTCCAACGTGACCGAATCCACAGCATTAACCAGAGGCTGTGGATGTGGTATATAAAGACTGGAGCGCATGATCTGCTGATCTTTAGGAATTTTAGCTGGTCTAGTTCTCCAAGATCTCAACGACACGACTTTAATGACAGGTAACCATTACTTTTGGGCTTCTTTTGCGTGATAGCTGAGCGCTGAGCACCATTACAATTGCGACAGTAACGACCCACTTAATCCCCTCCCACGAAGATGGTGCTTTGAAAGCCATTCGAGCGATTGACCATCAGCTGTCCCAACTCGACAACTCTGCAAGAACCCTGCGCGGTCGGCGCAATGCGTTGGCACCAATATCTACTCTACCGCCCGAAATACTCTCCATGGTGTTCATGTACGCGGAAGCCGCTAGCAATAATTCCCTTGCATGGATCAAGGTCTCCCATGTATGCCAGCATTGGCGGGCGGTAGCCCTCGACTCCCCCCGGTTGTGGACGAATATCGTGCTTAGTCGCCCGAAATGGACGAGGGAGATGCTCAAACGCTCCAAGATGGCCCCCCTCGACATCAAAGCAGACCTCTCCTTCCTGACGCCTCGCCTCCTTGAAGTTGCTCGGTTGATGATGAAGCAGATACATCGCACGCGCAGTCTCAATATCACCGCCAACCATTCCACATTAAATACTATATTCGCCGGCTTGCAAGGAGATGCTCCACTGCTTCGGTCATTGAACGTCCACGATTCCCAGCGCCATGGTCTGCTTCCAACAGATACCCTCAGCGTCCCATTTGCGATGAAAGCTCCACGGCTACAACACCTAGAACTACTTCAGTGTAACGTGGAATGGAACTCCCCGTTTCCCCGGTCTTTGACGCACTTTAAACTGCGCGACGCGACTCCTCCACCGATGGAGGATCTCCTTTCGGCTTTACAAGCCATGCCGTATCTAGAGGTCTTGGAACTTCAGAATATACTTCCTCGACCTGATCTCGGCCTCGCGAAGCGCGAAGTCCGTCTGAGCAAGCTGAAGAAGATTTCTATTAAAGATCCTCTGCCGTCGTGCGCATCGCTTCTTGGGTTCCTCGCGCTTAAACCCTCTACCTCCTTCCATCTGGATTGCACATTTGGTGGAGAGCCATCGGCATCATTGTTCTTGTACCTCGAGCTCTTACGCCAATTGCCGTTCAAATCCATCAACACGTTGGAATTGGCGCAGGATGGCCCAGCTTATATCGAGGTCTATGCCTCAGAGCCCGCTTCTGGCGGAAGCCCTCGGTCGACCAACTTGGACTTTAGATTATCCTGGGGGCAGGATGTCCCTGTCACACCGCTACAAGTCTTCTCTCACATCAGTAAAACACTCAGGCTTTCCTTCCTCCAGACCTTGTACTATCACCAGACCCAAGACTCGGAAGCTTCCTTCTGGCTCGACAACTTCTCGAAGTTGCCGAGGCTTCAGAACGTAACGCTTTCCGGATCCTTGGTGCCTAGCTTCTTGAACGCACTCGTTCATAATGAATCGCACAAAGCATCCGAGCCAGCTGGGAGGAGATCGCTTGCTTGCGTTGGATTTCCAAGCCTGCGGAGTCTGGCGTTACATAACGCCAACCTAGCGGATACAGTAGGAGACAAACGGCTGCTGACTACCCTGCGCGACGTCATTGGCTATCGGCTCAAACGAGGGACTCCAATCGTTGACCTAACCTTCGAATGGTGCGCTAACGTACGGGATGTTGATGTTGAATCGCTCAGCATGTTGGTGAAGAATGTTCGCTGGGACGGACAGGAATCGGTGTTGAATAGCGATGCTGAAGGACTCTTGTTCTTGGAGTTGGATTAGAAACGTAAGTAGGAACATTGTACCGAATACGCGGCTAAAATGTGGCTTGTCAATCGATGGGAGTGTCTGCCTAGCTCCCTGGCTAAACGTATGGGGATCAATACTCAAGCACTCAAGCACTCACGTCCTACATCAGATCCGAATCATGTCGCCTGCCCCAAGTTTAGTTGAACTTGGATCGCGAGGATCAAATCGCCGTATTGCTCTGAATCCGGCGGTGCGATAAGTAATCGATAGTAATTTGGCGACCACAATGCTCATTTTTTATGGCCAAAAGCCACCAGGTCCTCGACAGGGCGCCTCGCTGAGTTCCAAGGTTAACATGTGTTCCCGTGGAACGAGCGTAGTCTTTCATACTGACTTGCTGCTGAACCGAACAAGCTTCTTTAATATTGACCTTTTCGGTCCCCTTCTCTGTCAACTTCTTCTAAATGTGTTGGTCTCCCCATAAAAAGGGCGGCCGGGCTGCATTATGACACTATCTTTCCCTGTGCCCTCTGACACCGACTTGGGGAACAGAAATCAGCAGTCCAGATGGCCGAAATCGATGCATCGCCAACGAATCCCGTTAAAAAGCGGCTATCGATATTCACGAGTCGCAGCACGCGTAACAACACCATGACCACCCCCCTCGTCGAGTCCCCCGTCTCAGAAAAACCAAGGAATGGATCTGTGCTGAATCAGTTCCGCGATACGGTACGTCTGCATAATGATGTTACTCCAGTAAAGCTCATATGGTGGATGCAGCTGAAAAATAAGTTACCAATCACGGATCTCTCGTTTGTAGTGAGTACCACTGCTCTCTAGGTGGCACTTGTCCTCACCGAAGAAACAAGTCTGCAGCGGTTGATGCTATATCCAACACGGAATCCCTGGATGACCGGAAAATGCTGGTCAGTTTACTCAAGAGTCCCTTGGGTCTTGTGGAGCCTTAACTGATGGTTTCGCTCTGAATAGCTGGAACATGCCCTAACCTTCGTGTCACGTTGGCCAGAGGGTGACTTCTCCACCAAGCTCCAGGCCAAAATTGTTCAGCTACGTGAGTAGCCCGTCGGGATCAAATCACACTTTCTCATCATCACCAGTGTACAACGATTTGGCCCACCCTGCGCCTACCTCGATAGGCAACCAGTATGCATGGCGGACCGCTGACGGCTCGTACAACAATATTCAAGCTCCTGACATGGGAAAGGCAGGCACGCCTTACTCGAGAAGCGTTCAGCAGACACACCCTCTGCCGAAGAATCAGCTTCCTGATGCAAGCCTTGTGTTCGATACTCTTCTCAAGCGCGAAGGAGTGAGTACCTTGCGATTAAACGCGGTTTCTACGCGGTTCTGACAATAGCTTCTACGCTAGTTTGTTAAGCACCCTGCAGGTCTATCTAGTCTGTTCTTCTCGTTCGCAGCCCTCGTCATCCATTCGTGAGTTCGCTTATCTTGCCATATTCTTGTCATCAATGCAACATGCGCTCATGTACACGCGCAATTAATATAGTGTCTTCCGCACTTCCCACCAGAACGTGCACATAAATGAAACGTCTTCATATGTCGATCTTTCCCCACTTTACGGACACAATCAAGCGGCCCAAGACTTGGTCCGAGTCCGAGATGGTCGCGGCCTATTGCACCCTGATGTGTTTGCGGAAGACCGTCTGCTTCTACTGCCCCCGGCTGTTTGCGCGCTTCTAGTCCTCTTTAGTCGCAACCACAACGTCAGTCGGGAATTTACTTCGTGATTCTGAACCGTCAGCTGACAACTCGCGCCGCCAGTATGTCGCGCGGAAGTTGCTAGAAATTAATGAGCGCGGGAGTTGGCAAGATCCATCCAAGCTCTCTCCAGACAGACCTGAGGACCAGAAGAAACTCCTCGAGCAAGAGGAAGAAATCTTCCAGATTGCGAGGTTGATCAATTGTGGCTGGTTTGCAACCACCGTATTCTCTGGTAAGCAGCTGCCTGAGTATACGTCAGACTAGAAATCAAAAGTGACATGTGTGCCACTCAGATTACTTCAGCTGTATCTTGGGATTGGTCAGAACGGGGAATACATGGAGTTTACTGCCCTTCGGCGTAAGAAACCCCAAACCCCATTCTATGACGCGATCTGCTAACTATAAACCTAACAGGAAATGCGAATGGACGATCACACTACGTTCGAGCGAGGGCGCGGAAACATCTGCAGCGCTGAGGTTAGCTTAGTTGCCCTCTACCTTATTAAATATAAACCATTGACCTCCTTGTAGTTCAACTGCCTATACCGCTGGCACGCGACCACTAGCGAAGTCGACGAGAGATGGGTGAAGGCCATTTCAAATAAGATCTTTGAGGGAAAGCCCATTGAAGAGGTTACGCCCACCGATTTCAAGCTAGCTGCCCGCAAGATGATGTCTGCTCAGCCATCTATAACTGAGTGGACTTTTGGGACGTGAGTCATCGGTTGACGCGTGTTACAGGCTCTGTTGATAGAAGAGGCGTTCCTTAGGATTCACCGTCAGGCAGACGGGTCATTCAGAGATGAGGATCTCGCTCAAATTCTTCAAGAGGCGTGAGTACGGTGCTGATTAGTGGGCAAATATAGTCTGACGCGTTTCGTAGCACGGAACACCCTGCTGCGGCTTTCAGAGCACGCGGGACACCAGGTTAGGGGGCTACCACGCATTCTTGACTTGCGTACTGACACCTATTCCAGAGGTCATGCGTCTTCACGAAATCATGGGCATCGAACAAAACCGAGCATGGGGTGTCTGCTCATTAAACGACTTCAGACAGTACTTGGGACTCAAGCGTGAGTATCTTCCCATATATGCTCCCGCTAGAGCCCATATTAATAACTTATTGTAGCATACAAGACGTTCCTGGAGTGGAACTCTAACCCAGAGATCGCTGACGCTGCCGAGAAACTTTACGGTGACATTGAATACCTCGAACTCTATGTCGGACTTCAAGCTGAGGAAGCGAAGCCCGTTATGGACGGCGCCGGTCTTTGCCCAGGTAAGTTTTACATTTATCTTTATCTTAAATTATAGAATAACTCTAATCCTTTGTTTTAGGCTACACAATCAGTCGCGCCATTCTCAGCGACGCCATCGCCCTCACTCGTGGGGACAGGTTCTACACATACGACTACACACCGTACAACATGACCGCCTGGGGCTTCGCCGACTGCCAGCGCGACCCCAACGCGTTCGGCTTCGGCAGCACGCTCGGCCGCCTCTTCACGCGCACCCTTCCGCGCCACTACAACAACAACAGCGTCTACACGTTCTTCCCCCTGATGACCCCTGAGTCGATGGAGAAGTACCTCCCCGACATCGGCTGTCAGGGCGACTACGACTTGGCTCGTCCGAAAGTTGCACCAGAGGAAGTTGTGACGAAAAATTATGCGGAGGTTGGGGAAATTTTGCATAAGAAGGATGAATTTGTGCCACCATATGCCGCGCAAGCCGCAAAAATCATCAAGGGCAGCGGGTAGGCGTCGTGCTTCCTCCGTTCCTTGTTATTTGGCTAACATGCTTTTTAACAAGCTTCTTCACTGCTACGACCGACGACAAGGAACAAGCTGAGATTCTAGCTATACTCAATGAAGCGCAGTCGGTGAACATGACCGGGGAGTTCTTCCTCTCGACGACGAAACAGTTAATTGCTTCGAAATCGTACGCCCTTGTCGGAGGGAAGGTCCGATGCATAGACGTCGTGCGGGATATCTTCAAGGTCGTCCCTACCCTTTGGGCCGCAACGGATGTTGGTGGCATCCATGTCAAGGCGAAGGACTCCGACGATGGGGATATAACATCATCAGAGCTGTATGACGCCCTCTCAGATATCTACACGTAAGTAGACACTTCTGATGTTGCCTCGGGATCATTCTGATTGTTTGTTGGGATAGGTTCGTCTTCCTTGATGTCGACGCGGCGAAGTATATGGTCCTTCAGAAGAAATGCAGAGAACACGTCGAGAAGCTCACTACCCTCATCAAAGAGCATCTAGATCTCACTGCCATGTCCAAGGTAGGGCCTCACCTCTCCGCTCTGGTACTTGGTCCATTTCCCACTTACTAACGTCTTTTGCATACCTAGCTCTCTATCCACAATCTTGCCTCGTTTACCAGAACTTTGAGTGGCAAATCCAAGTCCGATAAAAGCCAGCACGAACTCGTGAAGAAGTTGTACGACCGAACCAAGTCGCTGGACCAAGTCGCCAACACCTTATTGGCAATCATGGTGTCGACGATCGACCTTTCTCTGGGTTCGTGCCTTTCTACCTTCAGCCGCGTCTTCTAACAACGCATTCTTCTTGATCAGCCCTAACGAACGTCATGAACGTGTACCTGGATTCTGAGCACGAAGAGGCGATGCAAAACATCTTGACTTCCTCTGATCCGAAAGCTAGTGTGGACGCGTACGTGTTGGAAGCGTTCAGTGCGTACTTTCTGTTCTTCGTTTGCCGCCGGCGTTGCTAACCCAACGCCTATAGGGCTTGATCCCCCCTTCCGCGGTGTCCATCGTAAGAACCCGACCCTTTCCTAGTCATTCCATTCCCTCACCTACCTTATTCGTAAATCTAGGCGTTGCTACCAAGGACAGTACAATAGGCTCGTTGTCGATACCCAGCGGGACTCGGTTGTTCTTGGATATCGCAGCTGCAAATTTCAATGTAAGAGCAATTGCATTTGTTGCCGGATGTTCGGTGCTGATCCGCAGTAGGAGGATACGTTCCCTAACCCGCACGCTGTCGACTTGAGTCGTAGTCGCGAGCGCTATCTCGGAAATGACGGTCTCTACAGGTGCGTGCATTAATTGTTTCAGGACCCCTTCCTCAAAGCTAATGTATAATGTATCTCTAGGGCTATCGGCGAGAATTTAACCGTCATGGTACGTCTTCCTTCATTGTCGGCAATCAGCATCACTAATTAATATCAATATCATCGAAGATTATCAACAAAGTGCTTCGCGGAATATTTGCGCAGACTAATATTCGCAGAGCCCCGGGTCAATCTGGCCAGCTCAAGCGTTTCAGGGAACACGCGTCAGTCATGCAGATATTTACATACCTGGACAAGAATCAGCTTCCGACAGCTTGGCCTAGCTCGTTCGTCATGCAGGTGAGTGATACCTTGGCTGTTCCACACGGACCGCATTGCTGATTTGTGTCCCCGTAGTATGATGTAGTACCCTCAGTCTCGAAGTAAGACAGGCGTGAATTCGATGTGTATATCTAATAAGCACCAATACTTCTCCTTCAATTACGGTCTCGGGATCCAATTGTAGCGTGTATTTCTCGAAATGACAAGGCTTTTCATCATTCGCGTGGACGATTTACATAACCGCCCCTCCCTCCCATAGGCCGGTCGTTTTAACTAGATGCATTGGGTTGATTGGCTGCCCAGGGTGGACTGACAGTTGTGAGTTGTTTCCATCACCACACAATCACCACCGGTATGATTGTTGGCATCTCAGTTGGCAACTGAGTTACGACCATGGCTGGTATGGGATTTATCTTTTGTGGGCCATACAGTACGTGTATAGAGTAGCGATTACAGCTGTAGTGGCGGTTGCGATGCATTTGATCCCAATTTGCGCCTGATTTGGGCATTTTGAGAGAACAAAGGGACCATCATCTCGCCTGCAGCTTTCAGAGATGACTTCCTCCAAAATCACCGTCGAGTACCACAGACCGTCGAGGGAGTCCATTCAGGAGTACAACGACCTCCTCGCAGACGCAAATATCCACGCCGCTCAGGCTGCAAAGTACAAGGATCCTTTTCAGCCATCGCGACAGGCCCCTCCTCCTCCAAAGACCCGCAATTCGCTGCAGAAACCGAATCCCAGGGCCAGGAAACACAGCTTGCCCTCCTCCAATTCATCTCCAACCATCGCGCATCGTGTAACTGACGGCGACCCGTTTGCATCCTCTTCCATCGCTTCTTCCAGGACCACCATCACCAACTCACCCCAAATGGCTGGAATGGCGACTTCACCACCCCAGAGGCCCTCGAGGGCGAATACGGCGACGCTGAACGATATCTTTCCTACTCAGACATCCCTGTCCTCAAGGCGACTCTCGACACCGGTTGTTGGAGCCCACGACGGCGGCCATTTCCTTGCAGACCCAAATGAGTCACTGCCCGCTCCATCAGAGTTCCAATCCACGCTGAGCACCCCAAATGCCGTCTCTGCGGGCTCTACTCGCTCTCGCAGCTCTACCACCATCAAATCCAAAAAGGGCATGCTGGGCTTCATGTCTGACCTGCTCACCACGAACAAGCGCTTGGAGATCAGCACTCCCTACGATCCGGTGCATTTGACCCATGTGGGCTTCAACTCGTCCACTGGCGAGTTCACAGGCCTCCCGAAGGAATGGCAACAGCTCCTCCAGGAGAGCGGCATCTCGCGCAGCGAGCAGGAGAAGAACCCCCAAGCAGTTATGGAAATCGTCAAGTTCTACCAAGAGGGACACGGCGATGTTTGGGATAAGATGGGGAATATGGGCCCGAGCACACCTTCTGCCCCTCCCGGTGCCATGGATGATGGTCTCCAGAACCCCGTACGTGTTTAACTCAACTTGCACTATATCTGCGGCTGCTCAATTGGCTGCGATGTCCAGCGATCACCACCTCAGCCACCGAACAAGAAGTCATCTGTTCTGTTAACATCCAGCCCCGTCCCTACGGCGCGTCGTGCTGCGCCTTCGCCCCCAAGCAACCTATCGTCTAACCTTGACCGATCAACCTCACAACGGACACCAACCAAGCCTTCGCGGCCTGCTGAGCCGCTCAATCGCGCGCAGACTACGCGCGACAAACGCCCGACACCTTCCTCTAGCACAGGCAGTGGTCAGGCTCACACCCATGTTACACACACGCACGCCCATGCCCATGTCAAGAAGGAGAGCCCGTCCTCGTCAAACGCTGAGCTGCCTTTGAAACAACATGCCGCGTCTTCATCACAGGCGCCAAGAGCCGCTCAGCAGACGTCTGCCTCCAGAGACCGCGACCCACGTGCTCAAGCTCAGGCGCAGCCACCCAGTGCGGCTGCCCAAAGTTTGGCCAAGGCGGCGGGCCCTGTCGCGACTCCAAGGCGAAGAGAGAAGAAGGTGGACAAGGCGAAGGAAGAGGACATTGTCAAGCGCCTGCAAATGATTTGCACGGACGCTGACCCTACGAAACTCTACCGGAACCTCGTCAAGATTGGCCAAGGGTGTGTACTTGTTCCTTCTTTAGCCCATTTGCTAACCGAGCGCGCACCTCGGTTACAGCGCCTCTGGGGGCGTGTATACTGCCTACCAAGTGGGATCGAACTCGTGCGTCGCTATCAAGCAAATGGACCTTGAGAAGCAGCCCAAGAAAGACCTCATCATCAACGAAATCCTCGTTATGCGGTCTTCGAGGCACCCGAATATCGTCAACTACATAGACTCTTTCCTGTACAAGAACGATCTGTGGGTCGTCATGGAGTACATGGAAGGCGGTAGTCTGACGGATGTCGTTACCGCGAACCTGATGACGGAGGGCCAGATTGCTGCTGTGTCGAGGGAGACGTGTCAGGGATTGGAACATTTGCATAGGCATGGCGTTATCCATCGCGACATCAAGAGCGACAATGTGTTGTTGAGCATGATCGGGGATATCAAGCTTAGTGAGTATCGGCGTTGATTATGTGTATGCTAAATTACGAGACTTTGTCTTACAGCTGACTTTGGGTTCTGTGCTCAAATATCGGACCCCAATCACTCGAAGAGAACGACCATGGTTGGGACACCATACTGGATGGCACCCGAGGTAGTTATGCGCAAGGAGTACGGACCTAAGGTCGACATATGGAGTCTGGGTATCATGGCCATCGGTGCGTCTATGTTTCAGCTCGGCTTTACTTCGAAGCTCATGTGTACCCATTTCATGCAGAAATGATTGAAGGCGAGCCGCCATACTTGAACCAGAACCCCTTGAAGGCACTGTACCTTATCGCGACCAACGGCACACCGAAAATCGCAAACCCCGAGAATTTGTCCGCAACCTTCAGTGATTATCTCGCCAAAACACTAGAAGTTGACCCCGAGAAACGGCCGAATGCAACTCAGCTCCTGCAGGTGGGTTCTTCTTAGCAACGTTTGTTCTCTCTTTGTGCTTGGTGTCTAACCCACATGGTTGGTTGTGTTTGTGCAGCACCCCTTCTTCAAGTTGTCGGAGCCCTTGAGGACACTGGCACCCCTGATCAAAGCCGCCCGTGAAATCGCCAAGTCAAAGTAGGAATTTGGGTTTTTGGCTTCGGATTGATCACTGTCGCGTCTTCCGTTTTCCGTCATGCGCGCGCGATGTACATACCTGGCATCTTATCATCTATTCCCATTCTATAGACCCTTTGTATACCGCCTCATCGTCATTCCCCGCAGCTCCACGGGTTCGCTGGTATACCCTCCTCGCGATCTTGTCGTCTCGCTAAAATCTCAAGATGTACTGCACGTTATACACATTTCCAAATTTCCTACAGAGATGCTCTCTTTATTCTCATTTCTTGTACGCCCCACGACCCACGTTATGAGCAGCGGTCCATATGGGCATGGACCCTTCATTTATCTTCGTATCTTCCGTCCCTCGAATCTATTGCATAGGATGTAGTATTCTGCTATAATAAACGCTCTGTAGTGATGGGTACGACGATGTCCGAGTGTGATTTGGAGGAATAGCTAAGTATGTCACAGATTGGGAGCTTATGTTACTGATACAGGCTTGTACGAGATTTATGCAGGGTATAGATTGATGAAAACTATGGTATAAAGATGAGCGCGTTAAAAGTATGGAGACCAGCCTAAGGGATGCTCAGTGTGGCGACTATGGCGAGAAAAGATATACATACCAACAAACATGGCTCCAAGGTTATTTGGATCCATGGCTTCTGCAAGGAGTTCGTTGACGGTGAACTCCACACTGAGAGACTTGTCGAGCTTTCGTGCCACGGAGCTCAAGGTGCGATCCGCCAACTCTTGTGTTACATTACCCTTGTTTGCTACCAGCACCGGCTGAATGGAGGACCCCTCGCTGGCGTCTTGTTCAGCTCCGGCGCCGCTTTTGTTCGTTTCCCGCTGGGCGTTCCGGAGTTTCTCTTCACTCGCCGTCCTGAATACAAGATTTAAATGTTCATCAATGTGGCATAGAAAAAACGTCTCCATACCATGAATATAACGGATCGTGTTTGAAGACTTCCAGCACAGTCATGATGACCTGGGATCCTTCTCGTAGAACTCTCAGCGTTTCTTCGGCACATCGCTGGAAGACACCTTGTGTTCCCGCGATACCCATCCCATCGACCATATCTGGGGTCATCCGGAATGGAACACGCTCTGGGATCGCTAATAGCTTCCCCTACAAAACCAATTCATAAAAAGACAAATAGGCTCTATGGACTGTCCTTACCTGTTCGAAAGCAATACCAAGATCGATGTGCACCAATTCGCCAGTGGTCTTCAGGATGAGGATATTCGACGCATGGCGATCTCCTAGCCCTAGAATATGGCCCACTATGGACGTGGTGGCTACGCTGCGGATGTAGCGAAGCCGCACAGCAAACCAAGAAGTAGGTATCTTGTGTTGCTCCGTGAACCAATGTCGCATGACCGGTTTGAATGGTTCCATTGCGCTTCGGTACACGGGGACTACCATTTCAGGGCGCCATCCCGGCGGCCGTCTGTCCGCGGCCTGGACATTGGCTATCTGATCCTTAACTTGTATCCAAGAGGGTTCGCCTTCCTTTCTGTATCTGATATACTATTCAATCGCGACGGACAAGGAAATGGGTGTAGATGAACATACTTTTGGTGTGCTCTCGAAAGCCACTGCTGAAGAGATGTTGTGTTACCTACAAATTCCAAGACACCTGCTTGAGGACCTAGTGGTACCACCTTATACCCTCGTACACTCAGAGCACGACGCTTCGTCTCTCTATCACGTTTAAGCACGACGTTCACCAGCTCGAAGACCTGTTCCATGACCGCGTCTTGTCTCAAGTCGTCGTCGCCTTTGAACTGTTGTATCGAGTTTAGTAAGGTCCCTACGAGATTGCTGACAGGATATTTACCAACTGTTTATATCTTTCCCCGTCGTCACCATAGCAATCTGTAATCTTTGGCAGATGAATCCCCCCGGCGAGGGTGAACTGAGTGTCGAACTTCGAAACCCATACGCAGGACTCGTAACGGGTGGTGGGATCCAAAGGTAAATGGGAGGTCAAGACGGGTGCGCGAAGGTTCGATATTTTGCGAATGGAGTAATGACTTGGAATGGCGAAATTTTTACAGTCTTTGGTGACTTTGTGCATGGCCCATTGTAGAGATGCATCAAAGAGGATTTGGATGGGTTTCAACCGCTGGAGTTGGTCTTGGTCGTTACGAAGGAGATCGATTATTGCATAAGCCGCTGCGCCGCGCTCACTTTGTGTAGAAGTGGGAGGAGCTGGAGCAGGTCGACCTGATGTTCTGCGCGTTTCTGGTGGTAGAATGCTGGGTTGAAGGCAAAGAACCTGGTACAGGCTGTGATACGGGTGTTCCTTGCACATGCGGAGCACGAGGTTCGAAAGAATAGTTTGACACTTCGATGGATTTGGCGACTTTGACAACCGTGCAGTAATTTGATGAGCGAGGAACATGAATTTGATGGCTGGCACACGCCTCAAGCTACTCGCTATGGTATTCTGCAAGTTATCGACTTCGAAGTTGGCGAACCAGAGGGAGCACAGTCGAAGGGCCGCGTCGTCGTCGAAATCATTCGAACACGCCAAGCAGTGGGAATACATATCCAAGGCGCGAGTCAGAAAGATGTCTTTAGACGAATTGTACTCCTCGAGGAGCATCTCGTCCGCCGCTAGTAGTTTTATAGCCTTGCCCAACTCATTTTGCAGTGCCAGGCTTTTACTCGTCAAGTTTCGTCGGGTCTCAACTTCACTTCTTTTTTGCTCCACGCGAGCCCTGCGTTCTTCACCATCAGGAGACGCACATATAGTGCGATACTGACGCTCGGCGAACATAGCACATCGATAATAAACGTCAGCACGAACAGGGTCCGAGGGCCCGAAATCCATCTTCTGGATGAGCTTCACGGCAGGAGTAAAATACTTCTCCAGGATAGCCACTGGCTTCTCCAGGCAGGCATCGGAAGTCCAGGTTCCCTGTCAAATAGTGAGCCTGTACCGAGAAAATAGAGCTAGAAGAAGCCTACAAGATGGGCGAGCAGCATAGCCTCTTGAAGCAGATCACTGGACTCTTTGTTCTCCCAAAGTTCCCGAAGCAATCGAACAGCAGCGTTCTCTTCCTTTTGAAGCCAGATGACTTGGGCGAACTCTTTTAAGACAGGGAAACGGGTCGTAGTCTCCAGGCGTTGAGCCCGAGTAATTGCATTTAGCGCAATTTGTCCCTGATGTGACTGCCGAGCGGCTTCAGAGAGACGCAGTAGACAAGCCCTTTCGAAATCAAGCAGAGATGAGAGGAAGGGCGTCCTCATATTACCAATTTGGCTGCGCTCCTCTTTGTATCGCACAGAGCGGATGAGGGAAACTCGGGTAGACATGATGTTTTCGAGATCCGAGAACCTGCGGAAGTCAGCAACTTTTCTACGGGGAAGGATGGATTTGCTCACTCCATATCAGTATCAATACTTGTAAAAGACCTGGCGAGGGCATCGTCGATGCGCCGCAACGCTAGTGACCGTTGTGTTTCCGGTTCTTCCCACAATCTGACTTGGTCAAGGCACATAAGATTTTGTATGACGCTATGTATTTCTGCGTGATTTTCGATACCGAGCCCCCGTAGCTTGTTCATTTCTTGAAGCATACTCTTGCGGACAATGTTTCGAATGATCCCAAAGTCGCGCTCCCGATGCATCGCACGAAGCGCTGCATAAACTGACGACCCTTCGCCACCCTCGGTAACATCGGGGAGGTCCCAAGCTTCTGTTCTCCACCCAAGACGGTAGCTCATGCTAGGAGAAGAGGTACCGTTTGGTGATGACTGCAGTGTATGAATTGCTAGCTGGTTGAAACCGAAGGAATGATAAGATCGCAATAAGCCGTCCATGGTGGTTTGGTCGTGCTGTTGGGCTTCCATAGCTGCACCATGGAAATGGAATGCCTTCTCCCATTGGCCTTCATGGTGGAATCGCCTTATCAAGAACTGACCCAAGTCGTTGGTTTTGATGCCGTAGAAGCCATCGGGCTCATCTATGTGACTGTAAATCTCAAAAAGTATTTGTTCTGCGCTGAGCGGAAGAGAGAACTGATTATACTCTGCAGCAAGCTCGAGAAAGAGGAGCGCGGTAGTGTAAGCACCGCAAGTGATACAGCTTTGCGCCAAAAGTGCAAAATCCAAGGAGAGCCATTCGTTGTGGCCTAAGGGCCCGGTCTGCTCGTCGAGATGTTAGTCCCTACCTGCCAAATTTGGCTCCCACGGTTGGACCAAACCTGGCCCAAACCTACTCCAAACCGACAGTTTGGTCTGCTGTACCAGGGGGTTTGCGGGTGGGTTAGGACCTTCCTGTCACATTATTATGTCAGCGTTAATATACCTGGTGGCACCTTGTATCAACTGCATTATCTATTCCCTCCAATAAACAGTACTACAGCTTGTGGTGTTTATTTATTAATGAATGTTAGTGGTGAGATAGCAGGACGAAGAAGTGAAAAAAGGACAATCCGTGGCTCGAACCCGCAACCTTTCCGTGCTAAAAAGTAGTACTCAAGCGCGCAAACCGCTAAACCAACGTACCACATGTTAAACTCTTTTGGACTAGTATATCACCTACTGAGCCGGGATACTTCAGGTCGCCGACAAGAAATACAAGAAATACCGAAAGCAGAAGTTTGCATGTATTTACTTTGTATCTATTGCCGCTTTCCCACCATGATGTCTGTGACTTATTTGTGACGATTCCCAAGCGCCCTGAGCAGACTCCAGCGCTAGGTTTTGTCAAGTTCAATCTCCGCCAACCCCAGGCCCGAGGGACTGACATCTCGACGAGCAGACCGGGCCCTAAGGGGTTTGTGCGTTTCTTCCCGGCGCCCGTAGCCTGACGTTCGAATTGGCGTAGATGAAGTACCACATCGATCACGCATGACAGGCAGCGTATAGCCACATCTGCGGCTTTGATGGTTGTCAAGAAATACTGGGATAGTAGCTCCTTGCTTGATTTGTCTGTATTGTCCTGTAGAATCGTGTGTACAAGGACAGGAAGGAGTTGCTCCGCAAAGTCGTGGTTGGAGGTGAGCATTGGTGTGAGCTGAGAGTAGAAGCTATTTTGCGAAGACAGAACTTCACAAATTAGCACGGCCAGTTGGGTGACCCATTGAGGAAAAGAGGAGAGTGTGTCGAGAAATGCTTCAGACTCCAGTTCCGACAGGTCACGCTTCACACCGGGCCGGGGAGGGGGAAGACAAAGGTGGAAGTGCCCTAACGTCTGGGAAATCTGAATAGGCCATGAACTGGGATGTATGGTCATCGGAGAGCACGATGCAACGAGTCGCAGTGTAGTATACGCGCTCTGGACTTCGAAAGGATCTCCGCTATCAAGCATGGTAACTAGAGAAAAGAGGATGGCGTTCTGTGGCGATCCTTCTTCATTTGGTCCGCGTTTGCTCGAAAGGTGTTTCGTTCGAACAGAGAAAGGGTTGGGATGGTCCATCCCTATGCCATCCACTTGTCCTCTGTGAGAAACTAGCAAGCCAGCGAAAGCATGTATGTCTTCTTCTTGAATCTGACCTGGCGGAGGTATACATTCCTTCAAACGCCAGAAATCTGCTCTTCCAAACTGCTCTCCACCTGTATCGTCATCTGAAGCTAGCTCCCGAAGGCGGCGAACTAATCGGAATTTGTTCGAGGAAATTCGAGGATCCCCAATTATCTCCGAAAGCGTCCCAGTGGGTATCGTCTCATAGAGCTCTGCCAATTCAGGGGCGAGGCGATGAGACCACGCCGGAAGTGCGCGAGAGACTTGCTTGCAATGAATGGGAGAACGATGAAATAGCATGGCCTGACCGTCGATCCAATCTGTAAGAGCATCACCAAGCTTTGCGAAACCTCCTTTTCCTGTATCTTTAGCATAGTCATCGGCTTGGAAGCAGAGTCGGATCAGGATATCAGGAAGGCAAGGGTCATCCTGGAGGTCGTTTCGATAGCATTCGAAACACCACTCGAGGATAGACTGGGAATCCCTCGCCAAATCGGACTGGACCATGAAAGAAGTTGCGCCCTGGGCCAAGGTATGCAACAACGTAAACTCTTTGAAATGTTCGTTTCTCAAGGCCACCCACAGCGTAAGGGCGTTGATCAGGCGAACTTGTTCATTCACAAGTGGCGATTTGTGAATTTCCATCAGAAGAGCTTGCATAACATGAAACGTAACGGCAGGATGTCGATATTCCGAAAACTTAGAGCACAACCAGATAATCGATCGGAGAACGCTCGAGGCTGGGTTGATTGGGAAGTGCGGTTCATGCGTGGCAAAATATCGGTCGTCTCGGTAACGGTTGAGAATTGCGAATTCTTCAGCAGCCTTAGAACCTGCAAGAACCTGGAGGCCATGATGTAGCGGTCCGGCTTGTGTAAAGTCTTGGTCTCCAAGAGTGTGAAGGATGCTGGTGATTATCGAGTCGGCGTTTTGTTCTAGTAAATCCCGAAATTCCTCGTCGTCCATGACATCGACATCCGTTCCCATTTGAACCGTCTCACGAAGGATGTCCTCGACTCCGTCAGTATCCTCATCCTCGGCAAAGCACTGGGCAACCCGAATACCAATAAGATCGCCAAAGCACTCCCTGATGCCATTTTGAGGCCGTTTCGACAGTGCACTGCAATGACTCTTGAACAGGCTGGTTCCCAGATCTTTAGGTCTGGCGATGAGGTTGGTGGGAGTAAAGGGACGAAATGCCGCTTCAGCATACTCTGACAAATTCTGATATCCGAGTACGTCAGAAGGGATCGACAAGGGGTTGTGTTCGCGAACGGAGAACGCAATTTGGGACGCGTATAGTTGGAAGAGCACTGAGGGACTGCCCAAACCCAACCTCTGGGCCACTTGGACCAATATTGCTCGAATGTGAGGTGAGTAATCATTACAGTGCAGGCACGTCTCAAGCATATGCCAATATGGCCCTCGTCGGACTGCGGAGCTGACAATCATAATGTTCCCCAAGCAAAGTGAGCGTGTCAATATGTGCTCATAGCTGTACAGAATGAGTATACGAGCATGGTGACGGGTGGTGAAAACTCACTGCTTTAGATCGGTGCTCAGTTTGAGTCTGATGCTGTTGTATTGGAGTTCAGGCCTTCGAGCGCCCAAGCGAACGAGGGCCAATAAGCGAGGGGCGAGAGTTGCTGTACGAAATCGGACGCGAATGTCTTCGTCTGCGATCATCATAGAAAGCAAATCCGCGGGCCGGGTCAGTTCGCGCCCATTCAACTCGGTCCAAGACACTTGGGTCGGATCACAGTCCAGATAGCGATCCAAGAAACAGGCCGCCGAATCCCGTACCCGCCAACTACCCAACAACCTTTGGGACGTGGTTGTGCAGAGCCACTGACAAAGCTGCGAGACTTTATCACGGATACCTTCGAGGAGATCTGATGGATCGAGCCAAATATGACAGGTAGAATCCAAGATTCGTATGACCAAACCTTGCAAGATGTCGTTTTTCGCATACGCGTACATTGGCGATATATGGCCTACACCGGCGAGGTACGCCTCCAGCGTACTAGGACTGAGGGTAATTGCTCCGCACCGAACGTGGTCGAGGAGGGCAGGGCAGACTTGGAGGAAGTTCTCAGGGTGGGAGGAAGTGGCACAGGCAAGCACGAGATCGGTGAGGTCCTTATCTCGAGTGGCTTCTGCTGATGCAGACTGAAGAATTGGCACGAAGGCGAGGAATGAAATGCACATTTTTGTGATATGCTCTGTGGACGAGGGAAGGACTGGTGGGAATCGCATATTCGTGACCTTCAAAACATTCGGTTGTGCTAGGTCGGAAACATCGTCCTGGTCGAGTGATTGTCCGTCTGGGCCAAGTTCTCCACAAAGTGTACGGAGGATGGTCCTGATAGAATTTGAGACATGCCCAAATGCGTCTTGCACCTTCAAACTTTCGTAATGACCGTGTTCAGAAGGAACATAAACTCAAAGTACTCACGTCGGCGCTTCTCCATATAAGCCTCCGGTATTGGTCTTTGAATACCGAAACTCGTGTCCTTCGCTTCGTACTCCTCGAAGTCAAGGAGCGAAGGACTTGTGAATTGATACCAGAGCCGAAACCTGGCAGCAGCATCGCCTCCATTCGGTGACGCGAGGAAACGTTGAACCCCGAATCCCATAGCGGTTCCAACCCTCTCAAAATATCCGCCTTTTCGTCTTCACTCCACTTCGTCGTTATGAGCAGTGACGACGCAATGCGACAAACCCTGCAGGCCAACTGGACTACCCGTCGATTTGGACGGACGCCATTGTAATTAAGGAGAAACTCGTAGCATATTGACACAGTCGCAAAGTCGATTGAACGCCGCGCGGCGTCAGCGGCTACGTAACCGTTCTCCTCGATTGATAGCTCCCATTCAGCGACCAGCGGTTCTAGAAACTTCACGAAGAAAGCAGACAGTTTGCGGTCCCGGCTGCGCGGCTGAACCAACTCTGCGTCATCGACGTCGGGGGTCGACTGCGGATTGCTACCGTCACCGATAGAGATCTTGTCACCTTCTCTGAGGTTTCCTAGTGTTCGGAAAGGAGGGAGTTTGGCTTCGAGCAGGAAGTCACGAATAACGGATGTTTCGACTTGGTCCACCAGCGTAGCTGCGGCCCAGCACTGGGGGAGCGGCAACGAGCACAGGAAATCGCTCTTCTTCGTGAGGCCGCAGATAGCTTCAAGCAGCATCATCACATCGGACAGTGCGTGTAGAGGCACCCGTGATTGTTTGCTTGAAGTCCGCCGCCCGCTTGACCCAGCTCCAGAGATACCGCCGGGTTTCCAGCAATCCACGAGCCAGTTGAGGACCTTGTCCTCGAGATGCATGCGGTAAAGCCTGACGTCTTGACTGGCCACCTTCAGACATTCGGCACAGAACCGACAAACTGAATCATACGGTAGCGATGGGCCTTGAACGTCTATGTCTTTGACGAGGACCTCGATCTCTCCAAGCACCCGTTGTGATGAGAGGAGCTGCCGTTTAGAAGGAGGCATGTCGGGAGGCGTAGTGGTAGGTGAGTTGACGGAGTGGATGATCAGAATGTAGGCGATGTGGCAGGCCGCGCGACAGACAAGGGGAACGCTCGCTCGCCGCATCGCGTGCGTCCAGATCGGGTCCCAGTGAATTTCTCGATCATCGCCGCCAGAATACATTTCTTCCTTCACCGGCGCAGAGCTGCATCCTTCCGTGTACGCAATCGCAGCCAAACAGAGATACACCCACGACTGTATGTCAACATCATCGAAGGATATATATTGGGTGAGCGTATTGAAGACATCACATTGAAAGGTACGGTGGAGACGACTCCAATGGCGGCTAATGAAAAAAAGAAGGAGCTGGAGGCGGTGGGCACGCATCGATGGCAGCGGCTGTCTCGTTATCGCAGAGAGCAGGCTGCTCAGCGGGTTATCAGTCTTCTGACGCTTACCGCCAGTCCTGAACCCAACAGATTCGGATAGATAATAGAGCTGACCATCTCGTTAGACAGGAATGTCACATATAAGGAAAGCCAGATACCTTCGCAAGGACGTCGGATTGGAGTTGGAGGATAACCCAGGAGAGAGCTTGGCCCGACTCAAAGCCAAAGCCAGCCTTAAACGTCTGTGTGGCAAAGGGGCTATCTTTGTCGCCCGATATTTCTAACCGTAAGTTTTCCAGAGCCAGTGAGTCGACGCTCCATCTATTCTGGCTGTCGCCATCGAGCGAGTTCCACAACTTCTTAAGGCCGACACCCCACACAGAAGAGTCATTTTTAGTATAAAAGGGGAGCAGAGTCGTCAGAACCGACGCCAGTCCTTCTTTCAGGGCTTTGCTTTTGGCTCCCCAAAGGCCCACAAGACTCGGCCAGGCGTCGCGAGCGAACTCCATGACCTCTTTCCTTCTGTTTAAGGCCAGACGATCCAAGGTGATTGAGAGCACTATGAGATAGTCGTTATGAAGAGAGCCGTCGGTTGGGTAGAGTTTGAGAAAGCGGCGCAACCGTTGGAGAATAGCCTCGGGCTCGGCAGAAAAGGGAGAGAAGGGAGTCTCAAGGGGGGCTATGGGATTGGTGTCGCCAGATTGGTCCTTAGAAGTGGACTTTGCGGAAGTAGATTTCTTGGGAGCAGGCTTCTTGGGCGGAGGGGGGAGCACGTTTTGCGATCCCAAGAGAATAGGTAATATAGCCATGAATTCAATCTGCTCCGTGGACACCTGTGACCCCCGGTGGGCATGCTGACTTGAGGCCTTCGGCGTTTTCTTCATGGCAGAACCCTGTTGAGAGGGACCGGCGCTCTGCCCTCGCTTTCGCTTCTTCAAAGGAGAAAGACCGTGCATGGGGAGCTCGTCTTCGTCGTCTGGGTCGTCCACGGACATGGCTTCATCGACGATGCTCTCCCCAGCAGGAACAAGAGTGAGCCCCCGACTCAAGTCCTCACACAGCACTACATTGAACGCGAGCGCAACCCACTCGGTCCATTTCCCTGCCTCCACATGGTCAAGGTGCGGGCGGTATTCGAGTAGGCACCTTAAAGCCTTGACATAGTCAGCGGACAGAGGTGTAAAAAGCGCACCGTGATCCTCGATGTAGTCTCTTATATGGTCAAGAATAGCGAAAGTAGCTCGTTTGTTCAAGACGGTGACAGAACGCTCGACCAACCACCGAAAGAAGGCTGCGGCCTCTTCAAGGCGTCGTGTTACGGTGGCGACGGTGCTCGTGTGTTCTTTCTTCTTGTAGAGGATCTTCTCGAGCTTGACTGCTGCGAAGACGGCTTGGAAGACGGCCAGCCATGCTCGAGTATCGGTCTCGCCTTTGCTTGTGATGTGAAAGGTGGCGACGAGTGTGTCGTCTGCAAATACGCGACGCAGGGTGGAGAAGCTTTCTTGCCTGTCCTTGATTTTCGCGCTGGAGAGACCCTCAAGGACCTCTCTGAGGCCAGACATGGCGGCAGTGTACACTCGTAGTCAGTCTCCTGGAGGTGGTACGCGATGCTTCGTACGAGGGCGCCGGGGGAATGGGGGAATTTCCTAGGGTGACCTGTAATACTATCAAGTAGTAAATATTACCCCCGCGCAGTCGTGGCTAACGGTGGTTTCGAACCTAGTGGAGGAGCGAGTGTAAAGTTAGTGTGGCGCGTCCAGGGTCCCGATGTTAAAGTTTGGATCAACAAACAACATGACTCGCTGAGTCCTTGGCTTGAGCACAAAAAGCCAGAGTGGCTCCTACGATACCGTCTACGTAGATCACAATCCAAGCGGGAACGTTTGAAAGTACATTCGAAAGCCGGAAACTCGATCGAGGACATACGCCTTCACCTCGCCGTCAACAAAGCAAACTTCTAGCTCGAATTACAAGATATACATCATGTTGAAGCTCGAATAGTAGTAATTTATGTAGAATGAGTGTCGAATAATAAGTTGGTAGTAACACAATCAGATACTCTCAGAAGTCCAAAAAATGATTCCACTTCTCCCCAGGAATTTGTTCATACTCTATTGCTCGCCGACATCTCAACAGGCAGCGGCACATACCCCTCCCTGTTACTTGACCTGTCTGCGCCACCCATAACGCCACGGAATCCATCGATCGCGCTCCTTGCAGTGTCCATAAACATCCCGCTCCAATTCATCCCGCTCTCTTCACTCGCGTTCTGCATCTTCTCATGGGGCATGATACTGTCCTTGGGCCTGACCCAGAACTTGAGCATCAACGAGCTCGTGACCACGCTAACGCTAGACGACGCCATCGCAGCGCCCGCCAACATCGGGTGCATGTACAGCCCAAACGGCAGGAAGAAGCCCATGGCGAGGGGGATGCTGAGGACGTTGTAGATGCATGCCCAGAGAAGGTTGCGTCGGATAGTGCGGAAGATGGATCGAGAGAGATGGAGGGCAGCTACAACATCCAGGAGATCAGACCGCATGAGCACGATATCGGCAGCTTCGACGGCGACGGATGTTCCAGATGACAACGCAATACCGACAGTAGCTGCAGCCAGGGCTGGTGAGTCGTTGATACCGTCACCCACCTGAAAGCGAAAACGTTAGATCATCATGTCTGCGGGAAGGCGGTAAAGAAACTAACCATAGCGACACCACCGCCGGTACCATTCTCCGTCATCTCTTTGATCTTGGACGCTTTCCCACCAGGGCTAACACCAGCCAACACATTCTCTGGCCGTATGCCAACCTGCTTCGCCACTGCCAGCGCTGTCGCCTTCCCGTCACCAGTCATCATGTGTACCTCGATACCCATGTCCTCCAGCGCCCGTATAGCATACCTACTGCTAGGCTTTGGTGCATCCGATAGCGATACTGCGAGGACCAACGTTCCCGAAACAGAGCCATATATAATACTTCTGCCCATGGAAGTCTCTTGCTCTTCAAATGTTGCAAGTGATGTGGGAAGTTGGCCGTCGTCGGTCTGCGTAACGAATCTTGCATTTCCAATGCGAACCTCGTAGTTTTTCTTTCCCTGAGATTTATCGGCGACGGAAATCGTTGCCTTCACACCAGCACCGGTGACACTTTCAAATTGTACGATGTCGGTGGTCGGTAGACCGATGGTTCCTCGAAGGAGGTCCTTGCCGTACGTAGCTATAGCCTTTGCGAGAGGATGTTCCGACCTCGCCTCCGTAGCACTTAGCATCGCTAAAACGACTTTCTTTTCCGTCTTGCCGTCTGCGCAGAGTCCTTCCAGAGTGGCGTCTCCCCCGTACATCTCCCGGTTGTCGCCCATCCCGCTTCTTCCTACCCAAGACAGCCCAACAACACTCAATTTGCCCACTGTGATAGTGCCCGTCTTGTCGAAGACGATCTGCTTGACATTCTTACTTGCCTCCAAAGCGCGTCCACCCTTGATCAAGATGCCATTCTTCGCCCCCATGCCGGTCCCAACCATAATAGCCGTTGGGGTGCTCAAGCCTAGGGCGCACGGGCAAGCAATGACCACCACGCTGATACACATCTGCAAGCAGACAGCTAGCCGCGTGGCGCCGTTCCTATGGAACATGGTGGGAAGCTTATCTTCACTCACGACATGCGAGACGATGATCCACGTAACGAACGTAAGGGCCGCAAGGGAGATGACGGTTGGAACGAAGTAGCCGGCGACGCGGTCGGCGAATGCTTGAATGGGAGCCTTTGATGTCTGCGCCTCTTCAACTAGACGGACGATCTGAGCGAGAGCGGTATCCTTGCCAGCGCGTGTGACTGTCATGTCGAAAGTGCCTAGGCCGTTGACAGTACCGCCGATGACCAAATCACCGACCTGTTTGAGGACAGGGAGGGCTTCGCCCGTGACAGCGCTCTCGTCCACAGTAGATGACCCCCGCAGCACCGTGCCATCAGCGGGTATCTTGTCACCAGGAACGAGCTTAACAATATCTCCAACCTGGACGAGCTCCGTGGCAACCCTCTTCTCCTGGGTACAAGCCGGTGCGTCGGTGTAGATGGTGGCCATACTTGGTGCTAGAGCCATAAGGTCCGTGAGAGCGGCGCTGGTCTTACCTTTGGCACGGTTCTCTAAGTACCGCCCCAGCGAGACGAAGAATATCAGCATGGTACTTGTGTCGAAGAATACGAATGGGCGGAAATCCGGCGCGGTGTTGAAGAATCCAGCGATAAGGACAAAGACAGAGTAGAAATATGCCGCAGAGGTGCCGATCATGATAAGGACGTCCATCGTCGCCGAACCATGTTTAAGAGACTTGTACGCATTCCTGTAGAATTTACCACCGACCCAGAATTGGGCTGGAGTCGTCAGGACGAAGATGAGCACATCCGATACAAACAGGGCCCGTCCTTCGAATACGCGTGCGTGCATAAGGGGGTCCAAGAAATGGATGCGCATGGCAATCATTGATAGGAAGAATACTGGGGCAGCGAAAACGGCGCTCCAAACGAGCCTCGATCTCCATTCCATGACTTCCTTCGCTCGTGTGAGTGACTGGATCTGAGTGGCATCATTCTCGTCTGAAAGCATCGCATCGTACCCCATGTCCCCAATTCGCTCGACTATCTCCCTCGGCCCGATCAGCGCACGGTCAAAGGTGACCTGGGCGGTAGCAAGCTCTAAAGAGACGGAGACCGACGAAACCCCGGGAACAGCGGACAGTGTGTTCTCGACGGTCGATGCACATGGGGGGCAGGTCATGCCATATACACGGAGGGTGATGGTGTCGGAGCGGGCGGGCGGTATGAGTGTAGCATCGAAGCCAATATCAGAGATTTCGTTGATGATCTTGTCGGCGTCCCATACGGACGGATCGTATTCGACGACACCTCGTTCAGCGAGCAGGGCCACCTTGACTGACCGAATCCCAGGCTGTTGTCGAAGCATTCCTTCTATCGACTGCATGCCCGTCGGTCACCGCAAATATGGCGCATGGAAGCACGCTCACCTCGACACATGCCCCACACGTCATCCCTTCGATCCGTAATTCACATTTGCCCTCTCCGGTCGGTGTATCTGGTAGCAGTCTCTCGGTGGAGTCAACGTCGTCCTGCAGTTCTACTGCCTGGCCTGGCGACGAAGGCCAAATGCTGGCGAGTAGACTGGACATGTAGCTGCGGTGGTAGTTGCGGTGAAAGCCCGATTACTGATGCGAGTTGAAAGTTCGTCCCTTGTGGGTATAGGATTACAAATGGTGATCTAGCCGAGTATTTCGCTTGCTTGGGAATTATTAAGTTCAGACAGAGGGATGTGGGCTACTTTGTGAGCGACCTGCGCAGAAAGTGGGAGAAAATGAAACCGAGATGGAGGCGAAGAATAACCTTGCTGGCCAACGCGAATCAGGTGAATTGTAACCATTCTCATTGTCCGTGGAGATGTTCGCACGGTTTTCCGAACAATGATGGAATGAAACATGGAATTACTGACCGTGAGACTCTGAGCTCTGTGATTGTGAGAAAGAATATCTACTGATGTTGTTGCAACCTTCCAAAGTCATGCAGTCAATTCTTAGAAACTACATCCGCCGACATGCCACGGCAGCGACGCGCCAAAATTCTTCAGTGAACGCGTCTGAGATATCCTTCTTCTCGAAGTTGTCTTCACAGTGGTGGGACGAGCATGGCGAATTCGCATTCCTACACAGAATGAATCCCATACGGATGCAGTTCATACATGAGAAGGTTCGGGAGATGGATTGGGAGGACGGAGCGACCAGTGAGGAGAAGATATCGAGAAGAAGTGCGCTGGACGGCTTGAAGGTGCTAGACATCGGTTGTGGTGGTGGGCTGCTTTCGGAGGTTATTTCCCTCTATTCTCAATCGTGGCCGTCCGTAACTCATGGATGTAACCCAGAGCCTAGCGCGTCAAGGGGCGCGCACCCTCGGTATCGACGCATCAGAAGCTAATATAGCGATTGCAACCTTGCACTCCCAAGCCGATCCCAACTTTCGTGTTTCATCTGCCTCACCTTCGCCATCCAACTTATCATACCGACAAATTTCGGCGGAATCGCTGCTGGCTGAGTCGGGCCCTGAGCAGTACGATGTTGTTTGCTCGATGGAGGTACTCGAGCATGTCGACAACCCGGCGGACTTCCTGAATTCGTGTGCCCAGCTAGTCAAGGTATGCCTCTCGTATGCAAGTGCCTGTGATGCGAATTAACGTGTCTGGTAGCCTGGGGGACATCTATTCCTCTCCACAATCGCCCGCACCCCTCTTGCTTACTTCCTCACTATCTTCACCGCCGAAACCCTCCTCCGTAAGGTCACTCCCGGCACGCACACATACTCCAAGTTTGTCAACCCGGGAGAGTTGGTAGAATATTTTCAAAACTACCCTACATCTCTCACCTCAAAAGCAACGACGTCCCGACCATGGATCACCCCTTCGAGCTCGGTTTCTGACCTACGCAGGACCGAGGCGGAAGTACGGGGCATGATCTACGCCCCTCTCCGGGCTAAGTGGCACCTCGCGTCACGTACCGCGTCTCTTTGGGGTGGCGATCTTGTAAATGGGTGTAATTATTTGTTCTGGGTCAGAAAGCCCAATGTTAGTCCATCACAATGATACCGGCACGGCCTATAGTATCCTTGCCATTTATTATAATATACCTTGCCACCAAGCATCCGATATAGAGAATAGAGGCTGAAATCGCATTACTCCCAAAACTGTCTATAGGATGCATGAACTACAGGATGAAATAACTAGACATTGGGGACTGAATACAATAATGCCCGCAATAGTGATACGCATGAAGGGCCCAAAGTTACACAATGATTAACAGTAAAGAGTTCATGAACGTAGAGAGATCGAGAGGAAGAGAAAAGGAGAAAGCAAAATATCGAGTGGAGAAGAGGGTAGCGGGTAGAGAAAAATAAGGACCAAAAGGAAGGGCTTAAAGTGGGAGGCATCAAAAGAATGAGAGGTGTCGTCGACGTTCTGAAAGACAAGATAGCAAAGATAGTACAGAGGATATAATTCCAAAGAAAGAGCGATGTGATATGATATATGAGAAAAAGAGGGAGGAATGCAAGCGGGGCACGGTGCAAGGGTGGAAAAGACGTGAGCAGACAGGAAATTTGAGAAGCAAGGGCATTGATAATCTATTTTCATTCGCGAGCGACCCAATCAGTACTTCGAGAGACCAGCTCAATCGAATTATCTGTTGACCAGAACAGGCGTTCTGTGGCGCTACGGCCTGTCCAGCTCTTCTGGTCGCGTAGAATCATAGCCTGTGCAATAATAAATTAGTACACAGATATGCACGAATCTAGGCATATCACGCACCTGTTGAGCACCGAAGTTCCTTTGATCATGAGCGAACAGTTCAACATTATCCTCCAGCGCCTCAGTAAGAATCTGGAGATCCTGGAGAATGGCCTGCATCGCCCGAACAGAAGAGAGAGTGAGGATCTCTTTGCGGTTCCTGGTAGTCCCGTTGCCGTTGCTATTCGGCGGTGGCAGCGATCTTGATATTGTCTGGAGGACAGTGTACAAAATCCTCCTTGTCTCGCCCATGATCTTCTGCGCCTGCGAGTAGTTCTTCCTTGAAACCAGCACAAGTGCACGGGTGATCATGTCTGAGGCCAGGAGTTCCATTCGCCGGCGGACAATGACTGGATCGGATATCGTGGATGGTGGCTTTGGCGATGAAGACATGGTCATAGGAAGGAGTGTGATGGTGAGCAGCACCGGGTGCGCCAGTCTAGAGACATGCTTGCTCGCTTGAGGGTCAAAGAACGATCCGTCCACTTCCACAACAGGAACCTCGTCGATCATCCTATCCATCATCCCGTCCGCAAAGTCCGGCGAGTCATCAATGCTCAACGCATCCAACCCCATGCTCCGCACGAATTGGTCTGTGGCGTTCAGCGCGCGCCCTTGGTTGCCCCTGCCCTGGTTCATCATCCTATGCATATCGGTGTTATCCAATTCCAGCTCGATAAGCATCTCCTTCCGTTCGCCATACCGCAGCTCGCCGACATCGACGTCTACGTTCTGACCATCGGATGATAGGATGGACGAAGGCCCACCCGAGACTTTGCGGATCCGGAAACGGTGCCCATCCACGATCTTCATGTGGAGCTTCATGTTAAGCAAACCGATAGACATCATCCCACCGACGCATCCAGCAATGCAGTCCCTGAGGTCGTACCAGTCCTTGACGAACGTGTACGTTCCCGAAGTGTGGTTGGACATCAACCACAGGGATGCAGGGTCGTGTGATCGCCCATAGCCAAACGAGTGTATAGGGACATTCGCTGCTTCCGCTCGTGCAAGCACGAGATCCATCTGTGCCCTTCTCGTGCTATCAGCAGCGTCGCTAACCAACATCATCCCAGAGATTGGGTTGCGCGCCTTCCGTTGCAACACCACGTCCAGACCTAACCAAGATAACCAAGAAGCACGCAACGAGAGAAAGAATCAGCTCCGCATAAATGTTTGGCGGAAGTACTTAACGCACCATGATTAACCGCGGTAACCACATCGGTCTTCTCGTCCTTCATTCCCTTGACCAAGAATTCATCCACACCTTCCTCCCTCACGCCCCCAATTTCGTCCACAAACTTCTCCAACCGACCGCGACTTGCTTCTTTCCCCACACTCAAGAAAGGAGTCTTTCGAACACGCCCACCGATACCGACTTCGAAGGTAACGAAGCTCAGGCGATCTCGGGCGCCCGCGGAGGCGAGCATGAAGTCCAGCGTTGCTTTGATGACACGAATCTTTAGTTGGGCGGTAGAAGGAACAGAAGTCGGCGGGGGAAGAGAGATAACGAGAATAAGATCCATGGGCGGATGAGGAAGAGGGGTAAGCGAGTTCGATGGGCCCGAAGACATGTAAGGCGTGACGAGGCCCGTTGGAGAATCATAGTTGGAGAGTTCGTCGTCCTCGCCAAGAGTGGAGAGTTTATGCTGCAGCTGGCCTCTTGATCCTTCCCGTGATATCCCACCACCGTTGCCATTGCCATTACCACCCATTGAAGCATTCGACGTCGAACTCGACATCGTAGACCTCGAGCTTCCATTTAATAGGCTGTCCACTGTGCTCACGCTTGTCCCTGTGCTCCCGCTCAACATCCTCAAGGCCTTCGCGTTGCTCCCAGGCGGTATCGCTCCTCCAAACTCTTCCATTCCCATCCCCATACTACCCGCGCCGCCCTCCAGCTCCCTTCGCTCACCCTCCTCTCTCTTCTCCTTCTCCGCCTGTTGTTGTATCCAAGCAGGATTCTGCTGCTGGAACATCGCTACCAACCCTTGAATGGTCGCCCTCCACGACTCCATCGATCCCCTATCCTTGAAAATCAAAATGAACGAGGCTAACTCATCTTCCATATCAATGGTCAGGCTCATCTCCCCAGCGGCACTAGTCGCAGTCACATTCTTGATGTGCCTGACATATATCCTTCCTTTCAGACGGAGGACGCCTTTGGAGGAATGGCTGGCGGATGTAACTGAAGAAGAGTCAGTCAGGCCAGAGGCGTTGGAGAGGAGACGGCCGAGAGAGCGCTTTTTCTCTTCGACGACGCATATAATGGCTTCTTTGAAAAGATAGACATAAAACTCGCGAACGAGCGAGTCTCGTCGGACAGAGAGGAGGTCGTACATCTGGAGCGGGCCCAGGTCAGATAGTGGGTGTCCTTTCCAGTCTATGATTCGGTTGCGGAGGTCTTCTGTGATGGCATTGAACGGTGAGTCTTGATCTTCTACCAGACGAAGAGAAGGTGAGTATGGCGCTGGTTCGGGGCTGAGAGGCTGCTGCTCCGGTGGACCTGGGGGACGAGTATTGTATGACTCAGATTGGAATCCTTGCTGACGAGGTTGCCGCTGTTGGGGAGGAGCAGGGAATGATTGTTGCATCTGGAGTTGAGGGGAGCGCACTCGTAACGATTGCTGATCTAGTGTAGGACTCGAATGGCCCGAGTTGTGGGCATCGAGCCGTCCGAGGGCATTCGCACTTCCTCCCCTGCTACCACTCCCACTGCCAAAGCTATCAGACATGACAGGACCGGGAACATTCCCAGTTGCCCGTTTCCCTGGCAGCTCGATGACCACGATACACGTCAACGGCTGGCTGACGTCGTTCGTGCGTGTGAGGGAGGAGAACTCGGAGCGGACTTGTATGGAGGGTGCGACGACGTATTGGGGTTGTTGAGATTGTTCGCCACTTTTGATGGAAGGAGTGTGTTCGATAGCGTCGTCTTCGTTGGGGTCGTATGGGCGTGGGGTAGCGGACTGGCCTCGGCGCCCACCGGGATTGTCGCGCCCCGGGTACAGTGTCGACGAACCGCTACGATCTCCAACACCGGTCAGGGCAGCGAGTTCTAAGCATGTTCAATATGTGGACAATGGGAAGAAGACGAGGTGAAGACGCACTGTTCGATTTTCCCCCATCCCCATCACCAACTTTCATGGGGCGTCTGCAGACGCCGCATACCCCCAGGTTCGTTTTTCGGGGGACCGCAGAACGGGATTGATTTGGTGGAGGGCCGTAGACGGCAGTGAAGCAGGCCTGCAAAGAACGGCACAGCGTCAATCATGAGGGCTGATCGTCCCCGAAGAGGAAGCATTTGGTTAATATCCGTACCTCGTGTAGAGCGTGTCCGCACTCCGGGACAATATGAGGTTTCTCGCCTGGTAATCTAAAACTAAAGCTGAGAGGTTCGAGGCAGACTGGGCATTCCTCCTCGTCTTCTGCATTATCGTGGTTCGACACCACTGGTAGGGGTGCTGGGCTCATGGTCCCGTAAGGATGTAGAGTGGGTGTGGCTGATTGATTCGCGAGGTTGTCGCTGGAAGATGTGGACGCAGAGTAGCCCGAACGGATTGATGGGGTGCGGCTGGAGTCTTGATGCTGTTTGCGGTGGAACACCGATTGGAAAGCCTTTGCTGTCGAGCTCTTCCCTGGGCTGAAGTCGAGCTGCTGCGGTGGTTTGGGGGCCAAACGTGGCGCAGTGTATGTAGGAGTGAGTGGAGGAGTGAGAGAATGATCTGTCTCGCGGTGATTCTGAATTCTCGAAATCCAGGACGTTGATGATCCAGCTGATCTCATGGAAGTCAAAATGTCAAACGGACCCTTATCTTAAAAAAGGAGTGGAAATGGCGGCGCTGTGGCAGAGAGGGAGCTGTCGCTTGTCGTCGTCGCCGCCGTCGCTGTCGGGGCCGGTGTCGGTGTCGGTCGTGGTGGTGGTCGCTGGTCAAGAAGGGTCTCGAGCCAGATGGTGACCGACCCAAATTTTGCCCTGCGCCTAGTCTGGGAACAATGGCCCATGCACCGCTCTGCCATTTCACTTACTACCAACTTTCATTGACAAACTCGCATCCAAACAAACCGCATCAAGGGATGCCTCTCTGGAGAACTCCATGTGCATCAGAGTCCGTATCTCAATTCAACACTCTTCTCTACCCACACCGTATCATCCTTTTAGCCAAAATACCACTCTTGCGACCGTCGTGGACGACAATGCTCCATAATGAGCTCTCAGACCACCCGAACCGGATTACTGGCTTATTAGACTGGCCAGCGACTCGCCAGCTGTCCACGCTGGATCGCGCATCGGCTGCTAGTGGACACACGAACACGGGCTCGGAGAACTTGGAGGGTTTTGCCTTGATGGTTGATGTTGATGCCGATGGAACACTCGCGATGGCCCGTCATCTGTTGCACGGGGACGTCTGTATACAGCGGTATGTTTTATGTTTTAGGCATGATTCTGCTTCTTAGTGCTGATTTCAGCTTGAAAAGGCCCGTGTGCTCGTTTGCGGGATCCCATGGCAAGTCACAACGTTGACCGTATCTTGCGTATGGCACTAGTACACGTCGAGATCACCATGGACGCCACACCTGATAAGATAGACGGACGTGCTGATCGCATCTACAGCATTCCAATTTATCTCATTGTTCTCCCACTACCCCACGTCGAGTCACCCAGAACAGCATCGTAGGAGCTCATAATACCCGCCACCGCCCCGAGACACCTAGTGCATCACTACCCATCACCACCTATCACCACTCATCAATGCATCACCACAGATCACCACTCATGAACAGTCGTAGCGCGTTTCGACCAGACAACGCCAGGATCCAGCCTCAATTTTGTCGTTTTCAATTCCGCTCAAGACTCTTCGGGCTACTACTGAAAATGAAATCATCATTTTCATTTTCGTTCATTGAATCGAAATCGATCATCAATTGTCGGAAGGTACAAGGAGAGAGAGAAAGGAGGTACGATCGACTTTTGGTCTTCGCGGAGGAACGACGAGGCCAGAAAAGGACAGAAAACAGTCGGGGTCGTCGATCAGATGCAGGGACTCCTAAGGACTGCAGGAGATACAGGGGACTACCACTTATCGTGTGCCTGTAGGGTTACGGGATTGTACGGAGGGTATTGATACCAATCGACGTATCTGATAGCTTGTGCCTGGCTTCAACACGACACGAGCATGCAAGAAGATGGACAATGCCGTAGTACATACGGCAACAGACCACACGAAACCGCGATCTCTGTCCAGAGGGAATACCGGTTTATCAGGGGCGCCCCTAGCCCCTAGTAGAGTTAGGATTGAAAGGACTACCGCTCTCGTTGTTGCAACAACGTTGTGCCTATGAAACCCGAATACGACCTCAGTGCGCCCTCATAGCTTGGTTAAAATACGGCTCTGTACACCGAAGTTTTAGCGCGGGTTGCCAATAACCAAGAACATAACCCGATTCAGTAATTTTCTACCATCCCATCCCCTTTTCGTCAAACTGATGCCAGGAATTTGAGCCTGCCGTTTGCACTATTGTCAATATCCACCTTGCTCAACCAGATGAAGACCCGGAGGCACTGTTGCAACCACCGTGGAAGGCGAGCCATCATCCACATCGATTATATGTTCTATAAGATATCCTTGATTAACGTGCAGCGCAGCTGAAATGAATGGGATGTAGCTCTGGCCTCAACTTTGAAAGTGATCTCTGTCGTGAGTTATATGATCGTTCCCAGATATACTCTCCGAACTAGATGAACGTAGATCGGGCTGTAGCGCTTCATGCGTTGGCCTTCCCCGTGTCCGGAAAGCCAGTTGGTACATGAACGTCTCCAGATGTATTCATAGAAACCACCATGCCTCAGCATGCCTCGTTAATCCGACAATCAGGTTTGGCGCCGGCACAGCGACAGATCCGTACGATCGGACATCATGATCGAATTTTGAATTCAAGCAACGTTCGTCCTAACTACTACATACACCCATTTCACATTTGTTGAGATTTATGCATGTTCTGCTAGACGTTCAATACTGAAGAATGTTTAGGCTAAACTAGACGGTTAGCCCATCGTCTGTCATCTGTGGGGGAATGCATTCACCATCTTGGAGGCGCCAGCACTGGTTACGTCCAGCGGCCCACTTGCCCCAGAGCGTCACCGGAGTACCAGGAGTTGGGTTGCCGTGATCAGAGAGATCCATGTTGTATTTAGTGCCAGGGACCCAGAGCCTGCATCCAATGTAATACGTTAGCCGAGTTCACCAGTGAGTATCCAAGGACTCAGTGGAGTCGAACGCACCTCCAGCTCTCGTCGTCCTGGGTGACGTGCCATTCGAAGGGGTGGTCGACAACCACAACAGGGGTATTTTCACCGGGTTCCCCTTCGATTCCGAGGTATTGCCCAGTAGCTACGTTCTTGAAGGTGAAGTTCTCCCCTTGCTGTTCTGCGTGCCACTGCTCACGGACATTCGACATGAGAATCTTCTATGGCAGTAAGAGCAAGAGGACTAACCTTCTGGTTGTCTCCATTGTGGTTCTCGTATCCAATGACTGCGCAGATCGTTCATGTGAGCATTGTGGGCATTGGACACACAGACGTAGACGTAGACGCGAGGGGGCTGGGGTAGTGTACTCACTGGACTTGTTGTCGCCACCGCTGAGGTCGGCGACTGTGCCAGCCTTCTCGTTGACGAAGATGTATGTGGATCCGGAGTTGACCATTGTAGTAGATGTGTGTGGGTGCGAGTGAGTGAAGCACAAGGTGCGACGATCTGCCATTTATATACGGATTGGGCGGTCCCCAATTGACCAAAAGGACGAGGCCCTCGGACGTCATACCCCGTCAGTCATGGAGTGGCTGCACCCTGTTCACCTGTCAGATGGATCGATATCGATGGCTTGCATAGCCTGTTGCATAGCTTGAGGTAAAGTCCTCCTGGAGGCCTTGTACACAGAGCCTTGTCTTCATTTGTAGCAACGAGAGTCGTCACCTATAAGTGCAGCGGCCAGCGGCCAAGACGGTACCAATTCTCTAGAGAAGGTAGTCTTGAACCATATGTGGCTGAGCTTGTTACGGATCGATCCAGTTGAGCCAGAGTTGCACCCTGTCTGGATCATGGGAGACCCAGATGTCCCCCAATTCGCTTCGCTTAGTGGCTATGGTCCCCTCGTTCACATGCTTCACGAACGAAGCTGGTCAATCGACGTCCTGCCGCAGCATATCGGACAGCCAAGGGAACGAACAAGTACAATGCGTTGATTGATATAGCCTACAATATTGCAATCCATCAGTATCAGTACAAATGCGGTGGTAGGAAAGTCTATGAAGATGGCATAGTATACATCGTGTGCGTCCGTCCATCACGATACGAAGTCCCAAGAGAATAAAGATAATGAATGGCCGATGGGGAATGGCGTGATCGATGAATGGCTACAAGACACTAGGAAGCGAGTTCGGGTCGCCGCTGACTTTCACGCCGTCCATGGGTTGCGACCATTTGTCTAAAACAAGATGCCGATTAGCGCAGTACTCAAAGATGATGCATATGGATAAGGAAGCACCTGGACAGGGCAGGAAGTACCGTTCTAGTGCGTTGACAAAGCGTTCCTGATATTCGGCTGGGGGGATGACAGTGACCTCTTTGCCCGAATTGAGACCTTGCTTTGCTTTGTACTCCAGCGTCTTCGCGAAGGTGTAACTTCCTGTGAGAGCGTCAAGACCAAGCACGACATGACAGTGACGGAGGAACCGACCAATTGTGTCCACGAGACCACACGCGATCTGCTTGTTCTCTTCATCAACCCCCAAGAGAAGCCTTTGCAGCCCAGTTATCGCCTTGTCCTCCCACAGTAGTCAAGTCAGACTCACGAGTAGTCCATGATGTTACTCTTGGCCAAGAACTCGGCATCATTGCGTATCGCTTCCCTCAGTATCGCCTTGGAGTGTGGTTGTACAAGAGTCAACGTGCGTTGCTGGCCTGCAAACGTAACGTCATCAATACCTTGACAAGTAACCAGGTTGGTGACCGTACCTTCGATCCATTCTCCGTCAAACAACGTCTTAGAGTGATGGGTGCCATCATCCCCAGGCTTTATCTTCCGACCTTGAATGCCTTTCAGATCGAAGGTCTTCACAATTTTGTGCGAATAGAAGAGGTTCTCCATAACAAGAAGATCGGCCCTAGCTTGCACAGTACCCGTTTCAAGGTTGCGTATTTCAATGGTGTAGAAGCCGAGCAATTTCGCGAGCACAGTGGCCCTTTTCGCCGTTGTGTCCATGTATCGGAAATACGATGGGGCGAGTTCAAGCAAGACTTGGCTATGACATAATATGCGTAAGAATCGACTTATCTCACCAGGCAGTCAGAAAATAAGAAGATACTCACAGGTCAGCGACATTCCACGCGTTCACCAAGGTCTTGATGATCAGTCTATCGTCCGACGTCTTCCAGAAGTTGGCGCGACTTTTCCCGCCTTCCGCGGCCCAATTCGCGCTCCTCGACAAACTATGCAGAAACCAATCCTCAATCCCACACCTTCTCCTCAGCAGATCGAACTGCTTCGCATAGTATGCCGTACAACTGAACTTCAGGCGCTTCCCCACAGTCCAGTCATACTTAATATGAGGCTTGTCGTCAATGTAGATCCCGTCGGTGGAAAGCAGACCGTGAGGCCCTTTTGACGGGAGGGTGGGCTTCTCTGGTTCGACTTGTGTTGAGATTAGTCGCATTGCGTAGCCGAGACCGCTCGAGAAGGCGCTGCTGAGTGATAAAGTCGAGTGCGTCGATGGGATGGGGGATGCGCCACTGGCAGTAGCACCATGTCCGGCATCTAGGTGACCATCCTCGAGTTCCTTTGGTGGCACCTCAGGCGGCGGCGCAGACTCCGCGGGACTGCTCCTCTCCTTCCCAATCGTAGCATCACTTTTCGTCGATACTGAGAGCGTCGACCCCGATTTACCCCGACGAATATACCCCTCCAACGACCCCAAAGCCCCAGACATCGCAGAGCCAGGCCTCGATACCTCCGCCGACTCAATTTCCTGCAGAATCCGCCCCGCGCTTTCCGCGTTCTCTGGCAGACAACTCACTATCCCATCCGCAGCTTCCATGCTAACTTGAACATCCGGCTTAGCCCACGCAGACGGCGGAGCCCCATTCGCAGACTTCGACCCCGCCGACCCTTGCCCCGCGGATGGAACGAACCGAGACGGCGACAACGTCGAAGGTCCATCTACAGCTGCCCGCTGTCGCAGCACCTCTCGAATAGACAGCAAATACGTCGCATCTTTGGGATGTTCCTTTCTGCTTATCACAGAGGAGAACGACTCTGGTTCGTACCAAACGACGTCTTCCTGATCAGGGTCGGGTTGGCTCTGTGTCGAGGATGTGAAGAACCGGAATCCTCGAGAAGGGGAGAAGAACGAGGTACCCGTACTGGTGGTGGTACTGGGAGAAGTTGAGGCTGGAGAGCTTGGTTGAGCTCGCGCGGAGCGTGGTAAAGCCATGCTGGCCAGTTCGTGTTGATAGTCAACGGTTCTGCAGAGATGAATACAATGAGCATCCGAATGAGAGGGATTCCAATGAAACAAGCTTACCCCAAAGTAAACGCAATGATACTCCCCCAGTCGTTTTCTCTTACGACGACATTACTCCCGGGTACAGCATGGCACCCTTTCGCCCACCACTCCGGTTCGACACATAGCACAGTATTCCCAACTGCCTCTGCGACGTCCGCAGGGAGATGCTTCTGCTGCCATGCCGCCAATCGCTTACTAGCGCCCATAGACGCGCACAGAAACGACCGCCTCACATCATTGAGCGATGAGAGCGGTGATTTGGATAATTGATAGTAAAGGGACTGTTCAATCCTTTGGAACGTGTGGCGCAGCCTCGAAAGTAACTCTGCGGGATCAGCAGAGGGAGCAGGGGCGGGAGCAGGGGCGGGAGTAGCATTGGTTGTAGTCGCCGAAACTGTCTGAGTGGACGTTGAGGAGTTGGATGAAATAGAGTGAGCGTGATGATGGACAAAATAATCGTTACTAGAGGATTGGGGGAATGACAAGGGTGTGAGTGAGATGGGTAACCCAGTTATAGTCGCTTTCGTCGGCGTTGCGACGTCCATATCGTCAATATCATCATCAAAGGGATCGTCAGAAGAGGGCAGCCTAGGCAGTGACTTGCGGAACGCATTTGGATCTTCCCCGTTGAATACCCCCTCCTAACGTAAACAATTAAGACAGTTGAATATCCATCCTCACTTATTGATAGATAATGTGATAGGCCGCGCACCAACTTATCAATATGATCCGCCACTCCTTCCCACCACGTCTTGATCTCGCGTCTCAGCACGCGTTTCTCCGCCTCCGTAGACCTCTCTTCCACTTCCGAAATCGTACTTACCATGCTCGTGCTCGTTCTCGTCCCGGTTGTCGGACTCTCCTTGGATGCTTTTTCGCCGTACATGCGGAGTATCTGCAGCCGCGGGACTTTGAGCTCAAATATCTCATCTATGGCAGTCAGAGAGAAGGAGACGGTCCCGGAACCTCGGCGGAAATGGCGGAGGATACTGAGGGAGGGTCTATTAGATGGAGGAGAGGTAGTACTTTTGGGAGACGATGGAGAAGAAGGAGAAGAGGGGGATGGGGAAGGAGATGTGTGGTCACAGAGGGTGGGATGCAGTCTATGTATTTCTGGTGAATAGACCAGTAGCTCAATGAATTTCGCAAATGAGAACAAGCTAGCGCCAGTATACCATCAACAATCGGCAGCTGACAGAGAACGCAAACTTACTAGGTGCCATCCGACATGATCGTCTGCTTCGTTTGCGCGCCACAAACGTCACAACTCTGCCACATCTCGATGTCATCCTCTCTCCACGGCGCCTCCTCCTCTGCCTGCTGCACTTTCACTGCAATGCACACCCCACCGTGTATGAACCGCATCTCATGCTCGCCACGTTTGAGCTTACACTGCGAACTCTCCGAGCAGTGCAGCCCAGAGCAAGATACCCATTCTGTGATCACCTCTCCAAGGCATTTGTCTAGCGATTGGTCCCGCGAGTAATACCTATATGATACCCAGCGGGGTTGCCCGCAAGCAATGAGAGACGGCCTGGCGTCCGGAATGACTAGGGAGGCACGAGAAGGCGACGTGGATTCAGATGACGACGGAGTTGTTGATTCGCTAGACGGGACGTAGAGGGAGTAAAGGGCACTGATTCCTTGGTGCCTCACAAATCCAGATGTCCCACTCATCCCCTTCCCGCGCGACTCCTTCCCGTCCCATCCCAGAATACTACTCAGCCCCGTCCTTTCGTCTCCCTTCAGTTTCCTCTCCGGATACTGCTTCTCCTTCTCCGCAAGGCCCACGATTAGAGTCGGCGGCTTTACGACTACACCTGTAGACGTAGAGTACAACTCTTTGCATTGCTCGATATTGTGTACTAAAGTTGCGAAAGGGAGCTCAGGGCCAGGCTTAGGGGATGTTGGCTTGAGAAATGAAGGGCGCACATCGTGGACGAAAGAAAATCGACGTGATGGAGTGCTCGACGTGTCCACGGAGGCTATCGGGCTGTCCTCTACTGTGGGAGGCCGGCTGAGGTCGAAAGATGTGCCGCGACTGGACACGGAAGTCGAGCTATTCGAACGGTAAAGACCCGCCTTCTTAGATAAGTACGATAAAATGCCGCCAGGTGTGGGCAAAAACGAGTTCCGTTGCTGGCGAGCTCTAGTGTCCTCTTGATGTGCTGTTTGGTGGGATTGGAACGACCGGTGTGTAGCGGCAACACGCGGCTTGGGAAAATGGAGTTGGACATGCGAAGAGGAGAGGAAGTGTTGTTCGAGAACCAGTGAGAGGTGCACATATGTGGCGACACGGAGGGCTTTTGACAGGAGAGCGTGTTGTGTAGACGAAGCCACGCCGACAAAAGAGAAGGTGCCGCCGACGAGACGTGTTGGTCCCTCGTCTGGGGATATGATACCTAGAAATTTGAATCAACTTGAAGGATGCCGAGAATGTATCGAAGCACATACTATCCCATCCGTCTAGACCCAACAAAATCGTTGACTGGCCTTCGTCTGGCAACGTAAACACCCCATTAGAGAATTTGCAGCTTGCAGAAGCCGGTAGGACGACACCAGCAGTTCTCGAGATAGCTAGCCTACTCCCCAGCGGTGCAACGCACAACAGAAGATGTTTAGCGACAGACTTGGGTGCGGGAGTATGGGACTGCGCAACCAGGTCCTTTACTTGGTTGAGTGTCAACTTCGAAGGACTCCCGCTGGAAGGTATGTCAGGGGAGCCCGTCTTCTGACTTGCCGACTTCTTTGGGTGCTTCAAGGCCTCCTGCGCGTCTTGCGCGAGGGCCTTCTGCTGCGCGACCCGTTTATGCGCCAACAGCTCTCTACCTTGCTTGATACCTCCCAGCCAACCACCACGAGTCATACTGGCGCTGAGCTCATCCAGAGCTTCTTCAATGCATTGTGCCCAGGTTTCCTTCGCGTTCTCTGAGATGGAGTCACTGGCGTCTTCTCGAAGGACTTGCCGTATGAAACGTAAACGGTGCCTACGAGCTTCAATCGTCAGCACCGTTGGCAACGGACGTGCTGTAGGGATGGCAGGCAACGGCTTGTCGTTGGGCATTGATGTCCGCGCGACGCTGCATGAGCTCGTTGTGGGCACGGACCAACCTTTGGCGACAAGCGTCATATACAGCCGTGAGAATATCATACCATAAACAGGAGGAAGAGGATCCATACGAGCGCTTATTGGACCTAATAAGGGAATTTTAGCTGCGCATCCAGAAAAGGAAGACTACCGGCCAGGTGACCATGTCACATTTGCCTTCGAACCGCGAATCAAAGGCCAGCGTTTATCAGTGACGGTTGAACGCGACTCACTGCGGTGTTCGACGATACCATTCACATTGCCTGCTGTATGTAGCGTGTTCTTGTTGCAGCTCAAGGGCACGACTACGCCCCAAGGTGCGAAACACCAGGGCCCCAAACCCAATCCTTTACGTCCACCAGACAACTAGCCAACCGAGCCTTTGGAACCTCGTCTAGAGCCTGGTTATTATTAAAGCCGAAAACATGGACCAAGAGTTCGACTTCCCCTTCGACGCGGATGTTTTCGAAGACCTTGACCTCTACATAGCCTACCAGCTGCAGCAGGAGCTGGACTTGTCGAATATCCACGACTCCCCGCCAGACCTAGAAGACGCTGACTTTGTAGGAGATGAACAACCCCACTGGGTTGATTCGGACTCAGATGGAGGCGATGGAGGCGGCGAAGACAATATCAATCTTGCCAGGTTCGCTTACGACTCAGACGAAGAAGCCAACGAGGACGCAGACCGATTCACTCACGAAGAGGAGGAGGAAGTGGACGACGATGAGAGCGATCAATATGGCCGCCTAACCCCTTACCCCTCCGATGATGATTCTCCATTGACTTTCAGCCCCGACCCATCGGCCAGAAATTCTCCTGAACCACTGGCACGCGGCAGCAAGGCTCATCCCATCTCCTTACCATCCTCCGAGGAGTCCCTCTTGCAAAGTGCAGCCAATCCAGAACTATCTTCAAGTTGCCGAGTTTACCCCTCATTCTCCTGTTCTATATGTTTGGATGATCATCCTGAGGACGATGTTGCACTCATCCCCTCCTGCGAGCACTCTTTCTGCAGAGATTGCTTGCGCTCCTACATCACGAACAAAGTGTCTGAGCATCGGTACCCTGTCTTCTGCCCCGTGTGCATCACAATCGCGGATCAGCAAAGTCCTGGCAGTAAGCAACCCGATCAGCGTAATACATGTTCATTACTGAGATGATCCAATGTGTGTAGTCATCGACGAGACCGTGATAGAAGGTATCTGGATCCCAGAGAAAGAGTACCGTATCTTTGAAGAGATGCAGTTATCCTCTCTGTCTATTCTGCTTCACTGCAGACAGTACGTCACTCCTGATTCCGCCCCTCGGTGTTCTTCTCTTCGTTTGTTGATCAATGACCTCGGTAGATGCGAACAAACGATGAACGTTGCGAGGGATGAATACCAAGAGAACAAAGTTGTCATATGCCCGCTTCCTACATGTACCTATCGGTGGTGCACGGCGTGTCAGCAACCCGTCCCTCTAGGTGGTCCCGACCACGCCTGCGACACCGGTACTTCCACCAACTTGGACAATATGGTCCGCGAGAATGGGTGGAAATTCTGCCCTGGTAAATATCCTATGCTCCCTACATCCGGCTTCATTTACCAACGATTTCTTCAACAGGATGTAGGGCCCCAATTCAGAAAGAATCGGGATGCAACCATATGACGGTCAGTCTCCTCCAGCTTCCTCCCCATCCCCAAATGCTTACCACCGTCTGTCATACTACAGTGTATTACGCCAGGCTGTAACGTGTGAGTGTAGATTGCACAATACTCGTCAGTATCTCAGAGTCGGACTAACTTCGTCATGATGTTTGCAGAAGCTTCTGCTACTCTTGCGGCGATACGATAGTACGCTCGGCGCTGGTTAAGGAGATCTACGCCGCCACAATAAACCATTATGGCGCGAATTGTCGGTTGTTCGAGGACATCCCCGACGTAGATGTACCACCTTGAAACTTTAGTATATCCCAATTGCACACGCACGAGTACACTTGAGTCCCCCTCACATGTGTACACTGTTTCTGATTTGCTGTAGACGATTGCTTTAGCTTTCTCACTTTCATCCTCATCTTGTATTATTTAACTCTGTCCTTCCCGGACAACCCCCGTCCAATATTTAGTACTGCTGTACCTATATCTTCGACGTTACTCAATGTTCACGTGTATCAATACATGCGCCAACTAAAACCAGAATCTATGTAGGATATGTAATTACTCAATAAAAAAGGCCATAGAATTGCGAGGAAAGTCTGATCAATGCGAAGGGACGGAGCCACGTTGAGCCTCGGGAACGGAGCTACGACTCATTGGCCGGATTTTGCCCAAGTCCTCGGCTGCGATGGCATGAGCCTTCCCTGGAGTAGAATCAACTGGATGCAAGATATCCTTGATCGTCTTCGCCAATGGCGTTGGCTCGGCCTCCAACGCTATCTTGAGGAACCAAGATTTGCTCATGTAATTTCTGATTCTGTACGAAGCATCATCAGTCATGCAGGCAAGAACTGGCAACGGGGTGGACGTACCCATCCGGGAGTACGACAACCACGTTTTTGCCTGGTGTCTCCGCAACGTGTTTGCCTTCGTCACCCTTTAACCACTGAAGTGCAGCGCTGAGCGAGCTACCACTGCTGCCGCCAACCAAAAGGCCTTCGTTCCTCATGATCATCTGCACGGCGGGGAAAGAATCTTCGTCCGACGTCTTGATCCACACATCGATATCGTTCGCTTCCCGAGACAACACGTCTGGGATGAAGTCGTAGCCGATGCCTTCGACAACGTAAGCTAAGCCTTCATCTTCGTTGTTAAGCTCCGCTGGGAGGGCTAGGATACTTCCTCTCTGTAGGACACTGAGCTTTGCGTGTCTATTTTACGGAAATTGGGGGGTCGCTTACGGGATCAGCTCCGACTACGACGCAATCTTTGTTATGTGTCTTCTTGATGGCCCGAGAGATACCGGTGATAGTACCGCCAGTGCCGGCACCGGCGACCAGGACATCGACCTTGCCCGAAGAAGGATGCGCTGGGGTTGAGGGGGTGGAGACGACAGCCTCAATTATCTCGGGGCCAGTAGTCAACTCATGCGCCAGGGGGTTGTTCGCCTAATGACGAAGCAAGATAAGATATCGCAAAGGAGGTGAGCAGATATGTGGACTTGCGTTACGGTATTGATCCAAGATGATACCGTAAGGTATTTCCCTTTGAAGTTTTTGGGCCACACCTACGGATCGTTGAGGAATTCAGCCACGAAGCAGCCAGAAAGATCATAGGGGCGGCTACCTATATGGCTCTCTGGCGAGTCCCAGGCAGCTTCTGTAGGGGTACGGATGACTTCGGCACCAAGGGCTCGAAGCGCGGCTTCCTTCTCCTGCAGGACGGCATGAGCAAGGATTTCGACTGAAAAGAAAGTCCCGTACGAGTGACATTTTGTTAGGCATGGTAATAATCACCGAATATCCCTTATCTGTCGTATTCAGTAACTATTCAGGCAACGAATATATCGTCTATTTCACCTTTATGGCACAAGCCATCGCGAGTCCGATACCTTTGAGATATGCATCAGCAAAGCTGCAGAGAAAGCGGGCGTATTCTTACCAGTATTGCCTGATGTCGGTTCTATCACAACGCTCTTCCCAGGTATCAGCTTTCCTTCTGCCTCGGCGGCCTCGACCATCGCTTTGGCGATCCTGTCCTTGACTGAACCTCCGACCGACGTGTATTCGAGCTTTCCCACTATGGACCGAGGTAGTGTTAGCACGGCATTGCCTGCTTTTGGATTCGGATAATGATTGCCATACATAGATTACATTTCAGACCGTTCAACTTTGCGATCTTGTCCAATCGAATCAATGGAGTATGGCCAACGGCGCCAAGAGCGTTATCGAGAATCTGGGGCGACATTGTGCGAGCAGGAGAGGATGGAGGTCGAGAGTAAGCTTGTGCCATCTGGTTGTCCAGTGCGTTGCCTTTTGAGGCGGACGGATCTCGTGTGAATTCGAGGCCGTCGGCATGGATTTGAGCTTGTTTCTTGATCTCATGCATCAACCACGACATCCAAAATTCACAAGTTCCGTTCAGCTGCCAGCTGCAAAATTGGCAGCATGGGAACTCGACATACGACAGAATTCAAAGAAATCGTATTATCCCATTGACTACGCGACGCTAATATTGTGATATACAAAGGGGGCTAATGTTTCAGCATATCGGTATATAAAGGCCAAGGCCTTCCCATCCAAGACTGGAGCTCAGTGTGGTCCTTGTGGTGGTCGTCAGTATTCGGGTGGATAAGGACTCTTGTGGACACTAGTAAGTCATAATGGCATGCAATGGCGTGATTCAGTACTCACGAGCATGGCCCCCGATTCACAGTCAACCAAGCAAATAAGGTACCAGTCTGGTGCGGCGTGAAGGTGTTCACTTCGAACATCGCTGTTGGGTGAGGGCCTAGTGACGCTATGTTAGTGCCTAGGCAGTCGAGCTGAACATATTGTACGGACCGACGGGTTTGTCCCAGAAACGATAAATCCGGAGCTGGGGAAGACGTCAAGACCTCGCTTGGAACGTGGAATTGTCAAGCTCGAACCTCTGGAAACTCCCTCCTTATCCTTTCATGAAGCTCCCTCGCATACTTGGCCTCCGCCGCGACAGTTGGCATGTAATATACTAGATATCTCAGCGTCAACAACTTTCCCAGCGATACCTGCACTTACTGTGGAAATCGAACCCATTGTTCGATGAGTCAATAGGCTTTGGGAACTCGTCGTATGCCGGTGACTTGGGACCAGGAGGGTTGTATAAGGACTTGCCATCAGCATTAAAATCGGTTGGCAGCGGCGCTGCATTCTCATATCCTTGAAGAGGGGAGTCGTATGCCATGTCGACGTCTGTGGCGTTGGTTCCCGCAAACTCACGAGCCCTTGGACTTTTATACTGATTTGAATTAGCAGCGGTGAGTCCAATTATCAATTGCTAAATAATCAGTCCTCTATTTATACAGTTCACCGCATCAGCATGCTTACGTTGCTTACTTTTAAGGCTGCTAAACTCTTGGGAGGTGCGTACTATGTAGCATGGACGCCGCCATGACAAAGGAAGCATGAGGTGGTTCCAAGAGCCACCTGGTATGAAGACCGGCGAGTGCGTTCCAGAACAGATGCGATCATATCGCTCAACAAGCTGGTGCTCGAATTGATACGATCGAACTACTGGCAATGGCGTGAAGGTGGTTGAATCTGAGCTAGTGCGAAGTTTGCAGTGAAGAGGCCTAGGACTGCTACTTATTAGCCAGTGACTCCGAGCCCGGTTGTAAGGATGCACCGGCAAGAGAAGCTTGTGCCGCAACTGTTTCGTATATACATATGGGCATTTCGACACGGTAGACTCTGTCGACGTCGAACTTTATACAATGTAGCTGCCTACAAACTTTATGCTTTATTGCCGCCGATCACATACCCAATTTAGTGCATACGTCGGGTCGACGACGGCATTCGATCATCTTCGAAGTCATTGTCATGAGCGCCATTGGCAGCGTATTTCTCGGCGACGTCCAGCGGCACCGACTCTTTTCTTCTTCCTCCCGATCACCTCCCGCCTCGCCATCGCCCCCACCATCGGCGGTATCCATGAGCAGCATAACCGTGCCCTTGCCAGCTAGCCCGCCATCAACTCAGTCAACCCCCGCTTCCCCTTCGGCTTCACATTCGGCTAAGGAAGCTGAAACATTTGCATCCTTTTCATTGTCCCTTGAGCCACCTGTGGTCGCTCCGACTATTGATCCTGAACTATCATTGGAGTTGCGATTGCGATGGCTTGAAGCTCTGATACTCGGTACGAAGCATGACCACAAAGGCAAAGAGACGGAACCAGCAGGAACCGTGGCGGGTTCAACTCGTACCGAACTAAAGCAGGGCGAAACCCTCGTCCGTGCCGTGGAGGACATACAGAAGAGCCTGAACCTCGCTGTCGAAAACAACGATGGGCTCAAGAAGTTCATGGACCATTGTACGTCGCGTTCATGTTCCCAGTTCTCCCAGTATCCCATTCCTATTGTTCACGTTCTAGATGACCGAAATGCTGCCTTCCTCACACCCTCGTTCGCGCTGTCTGGCATACTCCCCGAAACCCCTTCATATTCTATGATGTCTCCCGAGGAGCTGGAGGCGTTCATCACCGAAATGGAGCCGGAAATACGCGCCGCTGACCACGACATGCGCGAGATCGAGGCTCTAAGCAACAAAGGCGTGCTGAACGCGGGGAAACTCGCTGATCATGAAGCATTGCGCCCAAGGCTAGACGCTGTCATCAAAGCATACGAGGAAGATTTGGAGCGAGCCGCGGCGCTAGAGCATCGGATGGCAAGGCTCATGGAGAGAAATGCTACGCTGGTGAGTAGACCAGAATGCTGGATTGGAATGTTCTTGAAAATTGGGAACTAGGTCGACGCGCTCTCGGAACTGTTTGTTATATGGGACGACGCGATCACCAATGCTGAGGTCAAGGTCGCAAGGCTAGAACAGCTCAAGCAGGAGCGAAAACGTCTAGGGATGGAATAAAGCAGACACCGTTACCGTTTTCCTTACCATATTATACCCGCTACTAAATTGTCAAGCATAGATGTGCTCACTTGTATCATGTAGTCGAATAAGGAAGATAATATCATCCATGGCCAAACCTATCGTAGTTCTGCCCTGGCTAAGGACGCGAAGGAGCCTTTTAAGCTCATTTCAATTTGCCTACTGGCCGATGTGCCCACCACGCAGAAGGGCATTTTCAATCGTAAACGCATATGCAAATCGGACTAGTAGGTACAATTACAATTAGCTCGCGCGCCATGAACCGATACAGATATCGTCAAAATACAGCGATGGGCGGGCAAGATACGACGTGGCGGCGCTGACTTAAGGAGGTACGGCGCGATCAGGCAATTCTTCGAACAAATGACAACGGCTATAATGGCTGCTGATTGCGGGGCCAATGTCAGAGGGACTCGCAGATGCGATGATAGATTCTCCGCAGCGATAGCAGAAGTGCCTTGAAAGACCAGGGCATCAACATGAGGCTTGTCGTATAGTATTAAGGATAACCCTTACATGTTACAGCCTGGGGATGAGCACTGAGCGTCACCACGAAAAGTCAGTCACGATTCAATCAAGAAGCAGAGGGTCACATACTGTCATATGGTTGCAACCCGATTCCTTCTGGATGGGTGTCTTGCATCCTATGGGAGACTATTGGGGAGAGTTTCGAACAAGAAAATGCCAACGCACCAGGGCAATGTTTCCAGCCCCTCGTCGTCATGAGCTGTTCGAGTTCCTTACTTCCATCACACGAATGCCCATCTGTGTTCGTCACAGGCTGCTGACATTGCTTGCACCACATATAGTGGCAGGCAGGCAAGGGGCAATTGAGAACCTTCAACTCCTGAAACTCGTCCCGAGCTACATACAACGAGCTCTTGCACCTGTGGACCGCACTTTGTCAGTACAGCGCTGGAAAGCGATTGAGTTTGCTTACTGGCGACAATGGAGCAGAACTGAGAATGAGGCGAGCGACATCTCTTCCAGGGTTGTATATACTTTCTCCGGGATGCCTATCTCTCGCACCATGTCATCGGTTATAACTTGAACCAAGCATCAGCCCTTGAATGGCCTGACGGAGGAAAATCAGCGCTCATACCTGAGGGCTCGCCGTGCTTGCCTGCCGTGCAGGAAGGGCACATGATGGGGTATCTGTGGTCGTTGACTCGGCTTACAATATGGCCTCGGAGGCACTGCCTGCAAAAAGAATGGTCGCACTTCGGTATCTGAGCGAGGTCGTCCTCTGGGGTTTCCTCGAAACAGATCTCGCATTCAAACGTTGCTTGGACGAGTTGCATGAGGTCTCTCTGTTCCGATATGATGCGTAGGTCTTCTTCCTCAAACTCACGCTGGAGTCTGGCTGCCATCGAAGCATCGCGTAATGCATCGGAGTTGAGTTGCAGGGAAATGCGCTGGGCGATGAATAGGTCCTCTTCTTCCTTTGCTGTCATCGAACTCGGCTTCGCCTGTTTAGCGGTGTCTTGGATGTTTTTACTCTCGGCCCATCGAGAAGATCCTGGTATGGGGGATGGAGGACGATTTCGACGACTTTGCTCACGAGTATTGTGGCGATACTCCGGCCCCGGAGGCCCTATTACATACCTATTGCTATTTGCTTTCTGCTTGTCCTTTCGTGAAGAACTAGAATGGGGCGGTGGGGATGGGTTCCGAGACCAGATGGAAGGGAACCAAGTACCCGTACTCTGGCTACTACTCCTGGTTTCCTGGGACCGCGTCCACCGTTGGGCGTCGGTAAACTCTTGTCGCAGAGCAAGAAGTTCTTCCTGAAGCTGGGCATTTGTTGCAACGAACAGGGAATTTTCTTCCTTCAAAGCCGTGATGCTCTCTTTCAACTCCCTGTTCTCAGTCTTCAACTCGGCGATCTGACCCCGTTCGTTCAAGATTTGGAGGCTGGCTTCGACGAGTGTCTGCGCCATGCTATCTTTGCTCTGTTCTCCCTGTCTGGCTTTGAGCAGCAAACCAGAGAAGTTGCCGAGGAGTTGAGCTTGCCACTGCATGTTGTCGTCGCTCAGCAACTTTCTGTCGACGGACATGAGTTCACTGAGTTGTTCGGCGGTCGCGTCAAGGGAGGTGTTGAATATGAAACCAGCGCCATCGGGATGGCTGGGACGCGGATGGGAGTCGAAGATCACGAACACGTCTTGATGCTGCGTCGCAATCTTCATGCAGGCTACGATCTCTGGTGGTCGTGTTATCACCACAGCAGTGGAGACATGCCTCGCATTTGGATCCTGAAGGTGGCTGAGGAGTAGCATCAGTCGCTGTACTATTTGCCAGTGTCAAGAACCATACCCGAGTAGCCTTCTGAAAGAGCTAATGCTTGGTCTCTCAAAGAATGTGCCAGAGGATTTGAGGCATTGCTGGAATAATGGCACACGGAATATTTCGTCGACTTCCAGGTGGGCGCTCCCAGCCCATTGGCCGCAGATGGACATGATTTCCTTGATTAGAAGGATTAGCACCGAGCGAAGCGGTGTGATGTCGCTGCGTACCTGCGCAGTTTGATGTGAAGCGACTTCGCGAAGCAGGGTTTCCCCTCGAATACCACCCTGTTCCTTGCCCAAGATCACTCGGACGAAGTTCAGTGCAGCAAGCCCGCACGCCGAGACGCCCCCGGACTGGTACTGGCTTGAGCCGCCGTAAGAAACAATGAAATCCTTGGAAGTCAATATGTGTTCTATTATTCCGCCTCCTGTAGGCACGACGTCCATCGGCTCGGGGGTGCCATATCTGCTTGTAGTCTGGCTGTTGGTGCTATCGGAGCTGAGGCTGGGGGATCGGCGAGACATACTCGGTCCCGGCCTACCTAAAGTCATGGTGGAATGAAAGCAGTACGCCCGGAGAGCGTCCTTTGCCCAATCCCTTTATACCTTAAGCTCTCTACTGCGGAGGGCGTCACCTTGCTTTCTATCGATCCTCGTGTTCGATGGGAAGAAGTTTGAATGAACCTCGAGGCCTGCGATATTTCGAGAGCTTCCAGCCCATGAACCAGCCTTGAGGTTCTAAGTTAAAAGCTGTACTGTATTGGAACTTGTGTATATAAAGTTGGGAACAAGGAATGCGCCCATCACGTGGGAGGATGATCGCGTTGTATACCCCTAAAGGCGGAGTAGGGCTGCTCCCCGGATCCGGCCACTTGATTCCGCGCAGAGGCCGGAATCCGCTTCCAGTCAATCAGATGCAGGAAACTGTATAAAGCCGCATCCCAGTCGCTTCAGGTTCTGATGATGCTCCCTATATACCGCTCGACGATCACCACGTCGAGGTTCGCCCGGAGCTCCCTGTTCGTCCGTTCCATGGCCGGCTCAGCGACAACGCCTATCGTCCTCGCCAGTCGCCCCGATGACTGGAAGGCGCGTGCACCCGGTCCCCCATCGACATCTGTCACATTCGCTGCCCAGGACAAGCTGCCAAAGCTTCCCGTCCCTGATCTGAAGCAGACGTTGGTCAAACTCAAGGAGAGCTTGCGGCCTATCGCTTGGAACGACGCTGAATACTCTGCAGTGGAGAAGAAAATCGACGAATTTGAACAGGGCAAAGGCGTCGAATTGCACCAGAGGCTGCTCGCGAAGCATGCAGCGACCAAGCACTGGTTAGAGGACTGGTGGGATGATGGAGGATACCTAGGTTACAGAGATTCGGTGGGGTATATCGCGTCCGCATTCCCGAAAGCGTATACTGAATCTGGGACATCAGGTTGTGGTCAATGTTTCATACTATTGTAAGCTCAGATTTCATCTCAAGCAATTCGTAACTAACTCCAATCTAAGATGGATTTGACCGCCAGCCGGCGCACCTCCCACAAAGTCCTGCAGGCAGGGCAGCCACAATCGCCAGAGCTGCCATGATATTCCGACAGCAACTTAGACGGGGTTTAGTGAAACCAGATGGAACGAAGGAAGGACCGTTCTGCATGGATACATATAGGCAAGTGTGCTGCGTCGTGACTCCACCTAATCTGTCTCATATATATTTAGATGGATGTTTGACTGCTGTCGCGTCCCCGGCCCCCAAGGCCTCGACTGGAGTGTCTCATATGCGAAGCAAGGCGAAGAGGGCGATGATGCGCACATCGTTGTATTTCGTAACAATAGACCGTGGAAGGTTAACGCCACACAAAACGGTCGGATTCTCAGCACAGCAGAGTTTGAAGCGTGAGTGAAAACCTCTGCGCTTCCTTTTGCGTCTCTTAGGCGTCTCAACTTTATTTAGGCAAATAAACCATATTTATGAGAACAGCGCTGGAGATCATCCCGGGGTTGGCGTACTCGCGGCAAACAACCGTGACGTATGGGCGAAGGTTGTTACACAGTTATGCCCCTTTTGATGACCATATACTCACAACAAAAATCTATAGGACTATGTTGAACTCGCCAAATCGCCATACAACTCTAGCATCATCCACACCATCCAATCCGCTGCTTTCACTATTAGCTTAGACTCCTCATCGCCCGCAGACCCCGTTGCACATAGCCGCGATCTATGGCACGGATACCTCTCCCCAGAGGGCGTGCCTATTGGTCTCCGTAATCGTTGGGTAGATAAGCCTTGCGAGTTCATCGTCTTTGACAATGCAGAAGCTGGCATTATGGGGGAGCATTCCGTCATGGATGGCACGCCCACGGTTCGGCTTTGCGACGAGGTACTCGAGATGCTCCACAACCCCGCGTTTGATAACGGTGATGTCCCAACCCCTACTAAGGCTGCCAGCACTCCTCTGGACTGGGAGGTCGCACCCGCGATCATCCAAGCCATCAGCAAGGCGGATGAGGCAGCTCGCGAACTCATCCAGAGCCAGGAACTGACTTTCCATGTCACATCATATGGGAAAGCAGCCATCAAGAAATTCGGGGTCTCCCCAGATTCGTGGGCACAGATGATCATTCAGCTCGCGTACAGACGTCTCATTGGCAACGAACCGCGCAAGGGCGGTACGTACGAAGCTGCTACCACGAGGAAGTTCTACAAGGGTCGGACTGAGGCCATTCGTGTGGTCACCACCGAGTCGGATGCTTGGGTAGCCAGCATGGATGATCCTTCTGTGAACGCTGTGGAGAAGAAGAGGCTCTTTGACATCGCGACCAAGAAGCACATCAGCACCGCCAAATATTGTGGGGCTGGTCAGGGCATTGATAGGCACCTCTTGGGTCTGAAGAAATCGCTGAAGGAAGACGAGGACGCGCCTGCTTTGTTCGAGGATCCAGTATACCAGCGGGCGACTTATTGGGTATTGAGTACTTCAGCTATCTTCTCGAAGCATTTCCCTGTTTATGGGTGGGGAGAGGTCGTCCCGGATGGATTTGGCGTTGCGTATATGACTGGGTTCGATGGTGAGCTTCTGTCCTTTTGTCAGATGATAAAGCAGTAACCAACTTCGGCGTGAATAGACCGTCTACAGTTCACGGTTACATCGAGGAAGGAGATGCCTAATGCGCAGTTCATGGAAGAGATCATGAAGGCGGCCGAAGACCTATTCAATCTGCATGCCAGTGAGGCGCAGAAATCTAGATTGTAGATATGTACGACGGGTTGTGGTGCCCGCATTGGCTTAACATCCGCAATGCACTCATTTTGTATGTCCTTTGCTGAGCCTTGTTGCACGCCATTGCTGGCAAAATGGCAAACGAGTTGGTCTTGGGCCGACGATCGGCGGCCTGTGGCGGCGTACTACCTGCCTGATTTGGACTGCTCTCTATTAAGCGCTCAACTGCGTCCGTCCAATTTTGGCACTGGATCCGCTCCCGTAGAAAACTTCCCACCGTCGATGAGAGGGAACGAGGCTGAAGGATTCTATTTGCGTTTACTTCTCAGAAACGAAATGCTGCTTTCGTCCCACTGCATCTTTCCAACCGTAACTGCGTTCGCGACGCGTCGACTTTCGCGTGGAATTCTGCGGTCGCCATTAACGTTGAGCCAAATTCCAATCGGCTTACGGCTTCAATGCCTACGCATTTCTACAATTGGGTAATCCGTCAGTCATCAATTGCTGCTGAGCTCATTCCAAGCTTAAATTTCTACCCAAGCTGCACACTGTTGCGCGCGGCGACAGACGGCGACATTCGCCGTACATTACTTGGCACATCTAGGCCAGTCCACAACGGGTAGCAGTTGGGCAGCAATTCACCTCAACGACAATGGCCAAATGACCATCGACGATGGCAAGACGACGGGTTGAAGCCCTACTCTACTGATGGGTTGTTTGACCAGCTCATGCGATGGGATGAGCAGGATATCTCATGTCGGTACGACCAGGCGACGTTGCAACTTGTCGCGATCGGCTGGCGACCGGCTGGCCATTGTCCTATTTCGTGTCGCCCAAGCCCCGCCAAGAGCAATCCATTGGAAACGCGTGATTCATACAATGATGGCCCCCGCTCGTGCGAAATTGTTTCAGGGGAGGTCAAACTGATTTTTTGTGTCGTCAACCTGTTGTTTTGAGACAACGACGATATAAAACCATTACTCCCCACCAAGGGCGCACCTTGCTAGCTGCGCTCGCCACACTCATTTGACAATCACCATGAAGCTTCAAGCCTTCTCAGCTTTCTTTACCCTCGCCGTCGTCGCTAATGCACATAACCTCAAGGCTCGCCATGATCGCGTAGTTCACAAACGACAGGCATTGACCTCCTCTTCCTCGGTATCCCACTCCGGCACCACACATTCGACGACTACAACGGCAGCCGCGACGCCTCCTGTGTCGCTTGTTCCCGCTGCTGCTGCCGGGACAGGAGTGCCACCAATCGAGAGCATCTCTTCTGGCATGCCTACGCAGGCCACCCTTCCCGTCTCTGGCACGTTCACCCCCGGTGCTACACCACCAGTGTCTGGTGCACCGGTTCTCCCAACACCATGTATGGATTTACCAAAAAATTGTCGGCTGAATTTACTGATCCGCCATTGTGTAGTCGCCTTCAACCCCGCAGATTGGCCTCCGCAAGACAGAGTTGCCCCAGTCGGTACGTGTAATTGGATCACCTTTTTGCTTGTCGCGCTTACACTTCGTGTAGATTCGTCTGAAGTCGCCGAATGGTTGAAAGAACTGGAAGGCCATAATATCCCTGCCTTAGCACCAACCGTCGACGGCTCCTGTGCAGGTGATCCTGCCGCTGCTGCTGACGCTGCCAACCGTGGATGGTGGACTTGCGGTGGACACACGCGTGCTACCGACGTTCTCGCTTGCCCTGATAAACTGACTTGGGGAGTTAGGTAAGTCTGCCCTGGTACCTGACCTTCAGATTCAAATTAACATCTGTGCGTTAGCTTCGACGATGGACCATCTCCTTACAGTAAGTACCTTGTCTAATTTCATCTCACCGCCTCATATTGATCACATTCTTATGTATTCAGCCCAGTTCGTATATATCCTTCGGGAAAATATCGGACCGTTCTAAATATGTTTGGATTATAGGAAACTCCTCAACTTCTTGTCTGAGAAGGACATCAACGCTACATTCTTCGTCGTCGGGTCGCGTGTCATTGAGCGTCCCCAGCTCTTGCTCGAAGAATACATGCGTGGCCACGAAATCAGCGTCCATACCTGGTCACATAGGGTAGGGGGCAGGCTCTTCCATTCCATGTCCCATGACTAACCCATTAGGGCCCGGTCTGCTCGTCGAGATGTCAGTCCCTCGGGCCTGGGGTTGGCGGAGATTGAACTTGACAAAACCTAGCGCTGGAGTCTGCTCAGGGCGCTTGGGAATCGTCACAAATAAGTCACAGACATCATGGTGGGAAAGCGGCAATAGATACAAAGTAAATACATGCAAACTTCTGCTTTCGGTATTTCTTGTATTTCTTGTCGGCGACCTGAAGTATCCCGGCTCAGTAGGTGATATACTAGTCCAAAAGAGTTTAACATGTGGTACGTTGGTTTAGCGGTTTGCGCGCTTGAGTACTACTTTTTAGCACGGAAAGGTTGCGGGTTCGAGCCACGGATTGTCCTTTTTTCACTTCTTCGTCCTGCTATCTCACCACTAACATTCATTAATAAATAAACACCACAAGCTGTAGTACTGTTTATTGGAGGGAATAGATAATGCAGTTGATACAAGGTGCCACCAGGTATATTAACGCTGACATAATAATGTGACAGGAAGGTCCTAACCCACCCGCAAACCCCCTGGTACAGCAGACCAAACTGTCGGTTTGGAGTAGGTTTGGGCCAGGTTTGGTCCAACCGTGGGAGCCAAATTTGGCAGGTAGGGACTAACATCTCGACGAGCAGACCGGGCCCTTACAGCCTTTGACTTCCCTCACCACCGAACAAGTTGTTGCTGAGTTAGGCTGGACACGTAAAGCCATCAAGACTGTTCTTGGCGTGACACCGACTACTATGCGACCGCCGTTCGGTGACATCGGCACGTGGCTCTCAGTTCTTCCTTCTGATAATTTCCTAATTGGGTGTCTGTATTTACAGATGACCGTGTCCGAGCTATTTCGTTGGCGATGGGCATGGTTCCCATCCTCTGGACAAGTTCTCCTGCAACTGGTCCTTTCGACACCTTTGGTACGTACCTTTCATGGGATGCTTGATATGAGAGAATATTCATGGTTCGACAGATTGGAAGGTCGCCGCTGGACTTGTTAAGGGCCCCGAATCCTTCAACACTTTCCAAGCCATCCTCGGTAACGCGTCTACATTGAACACGGGGTTTGTGCTCCTCTCCTCAAGCCATTATACTGTGACTTACTAAATTGTTACTAGTTTCATCGTCTTGCAGCACGATTTATATGAAATCACCGTCGACATGGCCGTTGGTCACACCTTGACTGCTGCTTTGACCCATAACCCCGCGCTAAACGTACGGAAACAAACTTCTGACTTGTCTTCCTGCTCTAACGTTTCTCCCGTAGCTTCAAGCCATTGGTAAATGCATGAAGTGGCCCACAGGTAACCTCTACCTCGAAACAAATACAAATGCCACTTTCCCAACCAAGGGCGTCGACACTGACGGCGATGGTGTCATCGAAACACACGGCAAAACCGGCCAATCTAGCAACGGCAGCAACAACAATGGTGCTGGCTTCGTTGCAGTCCCCTTCTTCACTGTCGCGGGCGCAATGGCTGTCATTGCCACCTTGCTCTCATAGTACAGCGTCCGCGCGTTCGACATTGTGCGAAGCCTCCTTCGTTCACGGGCTTCTTTCGACATCCCCCATACGTCCATGCCACTGACTTGGGCGCTGCTCGTGTCACCCTTCGCAGCGTTTCAATCAACTCCTCGCTGACACTTTTGGAGCATTGTGTTTGTAACAGTGTCGCAGTGCTATCATCTGCTAATGTTTCCTTTCATCTCCGTACATATAAATTTATATAATTATTCCACCATGGGTAGATCAGACGACAGAGGACGGACGGACAAACATCCTATGATTTCTATCGTTAGATAGGTAATGAAACTGGTATTTCGTTCCCAGTGTTGTGACCTTATAAGAAACTCTGGATTGACAACTACCGCAGGACATCGTGTAAGCTCGTACTAGACTTCGGGAAATACTGCTTGAATCTTCTCCTGGGTTGGTTAACTACAGGCTGACTCTTTTTTCTGTTTTTCCGACCCCGTCTGCCAGTAACTTCCTTCGACACCTCCTCAACCTGGACCGGCCGAAGTTCAGTGCTCCTTCCTACGAACTGGAAGCGTGGCTCCGCTGCCCCTTCGACAGGGCGAAGACCATAGTGGAAGTGAACGATCTCGCTAGCGCTTTTCCCCCTATCGACCACGTCCTTGGTCCTGTCCTCATCGATCTTTGTGATCCATAACCAGTCGCCCGTCTGCATCCTGGGCATGTCTCTCAACAGGTACGAGGCAGTACTGTATTCCAGGAGGGCGTTGCACTTGCGCTGGCGGGCTTCATGCAAAGCAATACCTTGCCAGACGCTCACGAGGTCATCCGCAGATAGCTTGATACAAGACGGAGGATAAAGTTACATCTTCTGAATTGAATCCTGAGACAAGCCTATGGCTGCGAAGTGACAGTACCTGAAACCGTGCATACACTGATGAGTGTCGCAAGTAATCGTTTTAAATTAGAATGTAACGTAGCCAATATTTGAATGCTCCTAGATGCCATCAATCCTCGAAGTCGCTCATATCTAGCCCCCTGTTGATGTCAACTGCGACCACTGCAATATCTCGATCCTCGTCTTCCGAGGTTGACAGTGTTTCTGCATCATCAACGATATCCCCACTCGCCGTCGTGGCTATTCCAGTAGCTGGTTCATCTATGCCCGAAGATGCAGTGGCATTGCTCGATATCTCCGGCCGTGAATCCAGGAAGTCCAGACATCCCCACTGGCATCCTCGCCATCGAATAGGGACCGAACCGCCTACCAAGATCCCAGCAATTGTATCTTCCCATGTAAACCTCTCCTCAGTGTGATGGATGAACAGTGAGGGGGTTGATCCGGACCCTGGAGAAAGATGGCGGGGCGAAGGGCAGGTTCCTACCCCAGTAATTCTCGCGTCATCTTCTTCAGGCGTTGGTACCATAGCGGGCTCGGGGTCCTGATGGATGCACTCTTCGCCATAGGTGCAGCCAGGCGATATTGCCTCAAATAGGGACTCTAGGTGATCGGGCAAAGGGGTCCGAAGTCTGACTTTGGACGAAGGCGTGGACCATATGTCAGGCTCGAGCAAAGGAAGATGATACCGGGCCTGAAGGACGCTGATTGGAGGGCTATTTGAAGGCAATTGCCGGCAGGGGGAGAATAGATGGCGAAGACAAATCTCCTGAAGTGGTATAACTCTTGGTAACTTCCTGCTGACGTCGGACACTATCTTGGTATAAACGCGTTCGGCCTCAATCTCGCGACTCTCCATAAGTGCTCGTGTGCCCCATAATGATCGCGAGCGTGAAAAGGGTCGCTTAGATATTGGTGGGGCGAGGGACGCGGGTATTGGCAAAAATGGATTGGGGTGCACATGGAGTTGGGCAAGGCTTAGATGGAGAATTTCTGAAGGAAGATATCGGATCTTGTTGTTCGCGATGTTGAGCTCACGGAGATTAGCTAGCTTCGAAATCTCTGGAGGGATGGACGTCAAAGAATTAGCACCTATGTAGGCGCACATCGTAAGCCCTGGAGCGCGTAAAAGTCCTCAACATAAGAACTCACGAATGATCAATACGGTTAACTTCTCCACCTGAAAAAGCTGTCGCGGTAACGTCTGAATTTGGTTGCGGGACAAGAAGAGCTGTATCTCTTCGCGGGGCAACCCTAAGTTCCCCAGAGAACTCGTCCTCTCGGGGAAGGGAGAGAACATGTCGCCTGACGTACTAGCAGGCGCTGTGCTCACGCGCGCCATTTGTCGTCGGCCATTAAGCGGAAGGGCAGGCGCGATGATCTTACGCGCGTTTATGAGCTCTGCTTTCTCTGAGAGTGCGCGAAACCCTTGTAGATCGCGCATAGCATTCCCGGGAATGTATGTCAGCTCCCTGTCTCTGCGTACATGGTTAGCTTGCTGTTCTTGAGTCTTCTTAGTACTCACTCTAAGCGTACCGTGCCATGGCCGTGGTCAATGACTTCGGTGATCACCCTATCCCACTCCGCGGCTTCCGCATCCACGACTTCTTCATTTCCGAACTCGATGCTTGGAAACGAGGATTCTAGGAACGAATCGTCTATATCTTTGGTAAATGATCCACGGCGAGGCTTTTTGGTTGCCGGTCCGGCCGCCAATACGTCTGAGGCGAAGCTTCGAACTCGTTTCTCATATCTTGGAAGTGCCTTGGACGATGCAGCAAAAGGATGAATTAATGGCGAGTCGTCCAATTGCAGGTCAGAAGTATCCAAGCCTGGTGAGGAAGGAGGCGATGAGTCCGCAGCAAATAGAGATGGGGAGGAGGGAGGAGAAGAGAGTTCTGTCGGAGGACTGCGTCTGCTGAACATGGTGGTAGCTCTGCAAGCCAGCTGAAGCCGACCGTAGTACACAACGCGATCACATGACCTTCTCATTTACGTCCTGGTAAATCACGGCGTCGGAAATTTTGGGCCTCGCGTAGCCTCGCGCCCGCTCGCATCAGAACTCCAGACATAATCGCTGGGGCGACACCGTGACAAACGATGGTCATCCGACCGCGTTCAGAATATTTGATTCCGCATCGTGTCAGTCCCTGAGGCACGTCGCAGCCATGTGCCTGAGGTCTTTGCTTGGGTCAACCACGACCACAATTGGCACTCAAATCTACCTCCAGAATCCGAAGGCACAGTGAACTTTGTCCCAGCATCACTGCCAGCGAGCGGCGGCGGCCAATGTGCGCCATGTGCTGCTATTGTTGCGGTATTTGGAGTTTCCCACGGAAAGACAATTAAGCAGGTGTCCAGGGCGGCTTGACTCGAACACAGCGCCTACTCTCGGCGCAGTCGCCAATTGTCCAGGGACTCGAAAGGATACCATCGGCAGTCGCTCTCCTTTCTAATTGTGCACCAGGATTTAAAAGGCGGTTACCTCGACCACGACCAGTAACGACCTCTGACGACCGCGATATACCCTTTCCTCGATACCCCTCAGTTTACGTTGAACGACCATCATGCGACTTTACACGGCGGTGTCGATATCCACATATTTCCTATTAGCCAGATGTCAATCCGACGACACTCCGCCAAGCCGATTTCCTCATATTTATCCTGGAAAGCCCAAGGGCGACTTCAGCCCAGCGTACCAAAGCTGTATGTTCGCCTTGAAGCGGTATTTCGGTGACAGTTTTCTAACGCTACCATAGATTATGAAGTAACGGATCCACTTCCCAACATTACTTTTGATGTTGGGCGTATGTTTGCGGGGAATCTCCCTGTACAACGCGCTGGTCATCCTAACGACACATTCTTCTTCTGGGCGTTTGAGAAGCAGAATGGCTCCTTGACCGCCAACGCGAGCACCGATCCTTGGGGTATTTGGCTCAATGGCGGGTAGGAAGAGGAACAACTTGAGAGAAACCATCATACTGAATCCTTATGTACTTCTAGACCTGGGTCCTCCAGTATGTATGGCGCTCTCTTCGAAGTGAGTCTTGTGTGATGTTGATCCAACTGAAGCTGACCAGCTATGTGCGTAGAATGGACCTATCCGCATCAATTCCGACTACACCATCTCTCAAAACAACTTCAGCTGGAATAAAGTTGCCGATTATATCTGGATAGATCAACCAGTGTTCGTGTCATTGATCGCTGATCTTGCGTACACTCACATTTAGTGCTCTGTAGTGGCATCGGTTTCTCAACGGCCGACACAACTGGATACAGTACGTGCACTTCATGAAACTCGAATTACTTGTCTGACCTAAGCGTGTATAGTTGATAGTGAAGAAACAATGGCAAAAGACTTCGTGAGTCTCAAGCAGACTTTGTTGTATAAACCATGCAAACCAGGTTACAGTTCGGCTTCTTATCCAACCTCGTCAAAGTGTTCCCTAGTCTTGCGACAAGACCTCTCCATCTCACAGGCGAAAGTTATGCTGGCACATTTATAGTGAGGCCCTCTGATTTTCCTTCCGGAGTGACCCCATCTAACATAATTCAGCCATATATCCTCAAAGAGTACTTCAGCTTGGCTAATCCTCCTGTTACCATCGCGGCTATTGCCATTGGTGACGGCTCAATTGCGACTGAGCAAGTCTTTGAGCTACTGCCCGCAGTGAGTTCCATCCTACACTCAAGTCCATGCCTTGATCTAAACTCCCGTCAGTTGACCGTCATCGAGACATATCCTCAAATCATCGGATATGACACCGAAGTATTCGAGTACTTCAAAGAACAGTACGATATCCCCCTTTGGGATGCAACAACTTATTAACTATTATCCCAGATCACATCTTTGTGGCTACGATCTCAATCTCACGTACCCTCAGAATGGCACATTCCCTCCCATTCCCGTCGTCCAGCCTATTCAACGCACCATTCCATTCCTGCAGAGCACGAGGTTCCACTCCGACCAAGTGATGCAGGCGAAACGCGACATTCCATCAAGGCGTTCCATCATGTCCTCCAAGCGAGCCTTGAAGGATGAGATCCAGAGACGCTACGACGAAGATGGAGTCAATGTAGGAACAAGTATCCAGAAGCGAGACCGCGAGATGAAAAGGATGGCGTGGAAGAGGGATCTTACTGGGCGGGCTAACGGCACGATTGATCCCTGGGTATGTTCCTCCTCTCTACCAAGGGTCTCCGACAGATACTGACGAGGTTCAAGTATGGCTGCTTCTTGTTCGACGAATTCATGGATTACGCAAAGAACTTCACGTTCCCCTGGAGTGCGTACCGCCCATAAATTTCTCTAATTTACTGACATCTTTCGCAGGCGAGAATGACGATCCAAATGACATCGGTTTTGGTGTAGGTCACTTTGTTTGTGTATCTGGCTCTCAGCTTTTGACGAGATGATCACAGATTTACGACGTTCCTGACGCTCTATCCCCCGCTGCGCGGAGAGACGCATCTGTATTCCTTAACGGTATGTAACTAATTGATACTATTTGCGGAGGCTTTGACCTAATGCAAATATGTTTTCAGACAAGCGTACGCGAGCTGCCCTTCATGCCCCAACGACTTTCGACTGGGTATTGACCTTCCCATTTCCCTTCGGAGAGCTCAGTGCGTACCTCCATTCTTTCTCCTACACGTATGCATGCTGATGGCGCTATATTACATCAGCTTTCGACCCCAGCCCTGAGTAAGTGTTCGCATTGAGACAATCTGAGAACGTGGATGCTGACCCATAATGTCAGGCCCATGGTTTTCCTTACCGACCTTGCTACGAATGCAACGGCAAAGAACGTTTCGGTTATTCTATTCTCGGGTAATGATGATGTCTTAGTCTCTCATCTGGGCACAGAAAGCAAGTCTTTCATACATCGTCGTCGTCCCTCTGAACATGCATTAATCTTCCTTTCGTAGTTACGATTCAAAACACGACATTTGGAGGCATACAGGGCTTTACACGCAAGCCTTCTACGCCATGGCATGACGACAGCGGAAACTTCGCAGGTATCATTCGCCAGGAACGTGGATGGACGTATGTTTTGTTCGATGGTGCAGGGCATATGGTTCCCATCAAGAAACCCCAAGCGGTATGTTTTGACTATTTTGCAATCCTTCAATCGATCTAATCATCGTTGTAAAGGCGTTCACGTTTGTACGGGAGTTCGTCTTCGGGAACAATCAGACAGGGCTTGTAGAGTCATCATCGTCGGTGGTGGGCGGCGAGGACCCAGCTCTAGCAGCGGATGTCCTACCCGGCCAAAAGGAAATTTACGTGGGCAAAGTGACAACCAGTTCAACCTTCGTCTTCCCTTCAGCCACTATCGCCGCATGGGACAGTTTCATGGCTGCGCAGACATCGCCGCCGGCTTTGAAAGCTACAGCAAATAATAACGCTGCGCAAACGTCGAGGATACCGCTGAGCTTGGGAGTTTGGGCGGGATTTGCGTCTCTTGGGCTTTTATTCGTTTTGTAGAATCTGGGTTCCTGGTGGTGGATATAGGTGTTGAGCACCTGGAGATACCTGGAGATATGTACGACTTTAAGGATTTGTTCGCATTATTTGTATTGTTAGGCCTGTAATATTTACGCTCCCGCAAGCGGATGACATGATGATTGATGGAAAGATATCTGAGCCGCGCGTGTTCGAGTCAGTCCGCCTTTAGATAGTCCCCACCGTTACCGCTAAGAATGAGCGAAGAATCAATCCCCACAAGGGTCGTCGCAATTGGTGTAGGGTTCGTCGCTCCACATCGCTGATACTCATAATGTGACATGTTATCAACTTTGACAGGGGAGCGACATCTTCTGGAAAAACGATATTGGCGAAGCATCTCAGAAACTGTCTACACAACAGTGTCATAATTCACCAGGATGTAAATACCCAGTATCTGCCGCTGATTCTCTTGAGTTTAATGCCTTGATCTTAGGACTTCGTACCAGTGCGCTGCCACACCTTTATCCTTGTGCACCCAACCTCATTTGAACTCGGTCGCGTAGCCTGCCGAGAAACTCCCCGTCGATCCAGAATATGGTTTCGCTGATTGGGACGATGCTCCAGGTGCCATCGACTGGGACCGCATGACGACCTTCCTGTCCGATCTGAAAAGGACGGGAGTCCTTCCGGATGACCACGAGTCCTTTGATTCGTTGAACACAACGGCGAATGTATCTGTCGATGACGAGATCATCGCTGGATGGAAGACGCGCAGCGAAAAGCTTGCTTTAGAACATCTGGAAAAGCATGGCGAAAAGCTTGTATGGGCGATAATCGATGGCTTTCTGCTGTACTGGGACAAAGTGAAGCCCGTTCACACGATGCGTTTCTTTTCACAATGCTGATCTGCAGCTATACAGCGTATTGTATCTGAGCTTGATGTTCGAGTGTTCCTTCGAGTCCCAGAAGACGTCGCCAAGAAAAGACGCGAAGCTCGAGCGTACAATACACCTGGTTAGTACATCTATATCCTTTTGGTTTAGTCGCGATACTCATAAAAGATACAGAAGGTGAGGTTTGGAAAGACCCCCCGCATTACTGGGAGAAAATAGTCTGGCCTGCCTATCTGCGTGCACACAAAGGCCTATTCGAAGGTGAAGACGTTGTAGCTGGAAACTTGAGCGGCCAGGTGGAAGATTTGATATTGTTCGAGAGTACAAAGGTGGAGATGAAGGACATGGTCGAGGCTGTTATGAAGAAAGTAGTAGATGCCTCAGCTCAAGCAGCACCAGAGACATAGAATTACTAGTTCGATCGCTGTACTGTGACTGAAGGAGCCCCTGATCTGAGTCCCCTGACTCCTGACCACAGTCCCCTGCGTCGCGCGCACCATCGTACATTGGCAAAAATGTGGTTATCGTATTGGCCAACAAAAACAAATGCTGAGGGCCTGACCGGGAATTGAACCCGGGACCTCCTCGAAACGGACAAGCCCTAACAAGGAATCATACTACTAGACCATCAGGCCAATGAGCGGGGCCTGACCGGGAATTGAACCCGGGACCTCCTCGATAATGGTGGAACCCTAACAAGGAATCATACTACTAGACCATCAGGCCGCGGTGGTCAACCTTCCCTAGGCGGCGGTACGAGGGGGTGATGTCCTTTTAGGCAAGTCACACTTTCCACTTTGGACTGTCACGCACGCGCATTGAAGGTGACGCGTTCTGCTAACGAACTTCATACTCGGATATGGACACCCAACCCTCTACATCGTCGGGCGAGATGGATCAACGACGGAAGGACGCTCTGAAGGCTTACCGTGCGGTATGTTGTGCTCGTCTTTGCCCGCAGTATTCTAATTTCCTTGTGCAACAGAAAATGAAAGACCATGAAACCAATAGCGAGGGGTTGAAGAACCGTTAGTTGTGTTGTAGATTCATGGAATGTGAAGGGGGGCTAATTCATCTGGATGACAGTCAGGTTCTCCCTCAAAGATCTGGAGAGGGCGTACAGCAAGACGGAGGATGATATAAAGGCCGTTCAGTCGGTCGGCCAGATTATTGGCGAAGTCATGAAGCAACTAGACGACGAGCGGTGTACGTTCCAGTTGACACTTGCTACAAGGTCGTATTCTCATCAAACTCCACAGTTATCGTCAAAGCGTCGTCAGGACCGCGCTATGTTGTGTCATACAGACCGACTCTTCCTGTGGCGAAGCTCAAGGCTGGGACACGAGTGTCGCTAGATATGACAACACTAACTGTCATGCGGATATTGCCTCGCGAAGTTGACCCATTGGTATATAAGATGAGCTTGGAGGATCCCGGAGGAGCTTCGTTTGCTGGTATAGGTGGACTTGGGGAACAAGTGCGGGAGTTGCGTGAGGTACGTATGTTCTCGTCCCATGTGCTAATATTGTCTTACGTCTGTGCTTCAGATCATCGAACTACCTCTTCTCAACCCAGAACTCTTCCAACGCGTGGGGATCAAACCACCAAAGGGTGTCCTACTCTATGGGCCACCAGGAACAGGGAAGACACTGCTCGCGCGTGCCGTCGCTGCCACACTCCAAACCAATTTCCTCAAAGTCGTCTCCTCAGCAATCGTCGACAAGTATATCGGCGAAAGTGCTCGTGTTGTCAGAGAGATGTTTGGATACGCTAGGGATCACGAGCCGTGTGTTATATTCATGGATGAAATCGACGCCATCGGCGGACGACGGTTCTCGGAGGGTACCAGTGCTGATCGCGAGATTCAGAGAACGCTGATGGAGGTATGGCATTTGGATCATGCTTGTCTTCGCGATTCTGAGTTTAGGTCCTGGTTAGCTTCTGAACCAAATGGATGGCTTCGACTCACTCGGACAAACGAAGCTCATCATGGCTACAAATCGACCAGATACCCTTGACCCTGCATTACTTCGTCCTGGACGACTGGACCGCAAAATCGAGGTTCCTCTACCAAACGAGCAGGCGCGACTGGAGATCCTGAAGATCCACGCCAAACCTGTCAACAAGAGCGGTGACATTGACTACGAAGCTATCGTCAAGGTGTGTTATTTGTATTTGTCTAGTGTCATTGAGATCCTGTAATTTCCTTACACAAACCCTTAGCTGTCCGATGGTTTCAACGGTGCCGACCTACGGAATGTGATCACCGAGGCTGGAATGTTCGCCATCCGTGACGATAGGTAAACAACTACCAGTTGCGATGTTTTCGTGCTAACTCCGCGCTCCAGGGAATATGTGACCCAGGAAGATCTCACAAAGGCGGCAAGGAAAGTCAGCGACGCGAAGAAACATGAAAGTAAGTCTCATCTCACTTACTGTCTCTCGAAACCAATGTAGCTGACATTTGTGTAGCGAAAATGGAATACTCTATGAAGTAGTACATTCGATATTTCTCTCTCTCGTTTCTATTCCTTGCTGTGATGTCCGTAACGTCTTTACTTCTACCATAATAACAAACTGGACATGTCCTTGGTTGAAGCATTGATCAGAGCCTACATGCTGGAAGTAGATTAGATTGCTTACCTCATCATGATATCGTGCTGTACAGCAACGGCGCGACGACTTCAGCCTTAGCTCAAGTCGGTACCATCTCCTTCTCCTTCATCACACCACCCATAGGAAGCGATGTCTTCCTTGAGTACCATAGTCAAGAATAGTACGCACATGCATGCGGCACGCATGGGTGCAGTTGTGCTAATGCGCGGATCTCTAGAGTTCCTCGAGGCTATACGATCAGTTAATCCACCCGGGCGATGGAAAATACTTGTTGTCGATGAGCACTCCCAGAAGCTCCTTGGCTCGGTGCTGAAGCAATTTGACATATTGCAAGAGAATGTCACGCGTATGTGTGTTGGATCATTGCATTGAACCACTTTGAGAAACCAATGATGATCCCCTGGGCATACAGTCATTGAATCCATAACGAACTACCGAGACCCGCAGCCCGACTTCGAAGCCATGTATCTGCTCATGCCGACATCACATAACGTCAATCGTATCATTCGCGATTTCTCGGACGGCCGCAAGCAGTATGCAGCAGCGCATCTGTTCTTTGTCGACGGGTTGGAAGAACAGCTGTTCCAACGACTAACGGCGTCAGCAGCGGAACCCCACCTACAGGCACTGAAGGAGTTGTTCATCAATATCTGGGGTGTGTGCTTCGCGTCGTGATTCCCCGTAGCACCCATTCACTTCATGACAGCGCTGGAGGCGCAAGTATTCTCACTCCAATCACCTGCTCTTTTCTTCAACATGTTTAGCCCGCCGCGGAACGACGCCGCCTTCGCAGTTGCGAAGGCCAGATTAGAAGAGGAGCTCCTGTTTACCAGTAAAACCATTTTAAATCTATGCGTCACACTCAACGAATTTCCATTCATTCGATACTACTTCCCTTCACATCATCCACCGCTTGGCCCACTGAAACCGAATGCTACTATCAGCCCCCCGCCACCACCTGAGGGCAGCGGTCGCTGGCGTACGAATCTAGCACGAGGAGCAGAGGCAAGAACGTATGAAGCAACCGAAACCGAATACCTATCAAAGGTCTTGGCATTCCTAGTGCAGCGAAATCTAGAGGAGCACAAGAAGGCGAATCCTGATTTTGGGGTAGGCTTGTCTCGGCTTACGCTAGCTAACTGTCTTACGCATTACACCCTTCGTAGAAAGCAGATGCCTCACGACCACGGGGAACTCTGATCATAACTGATAGATCAATGGATATGTTGGCACCATTCATCCATGAGTTTACGTATCAGGCCATGGCGAATGATTTGTTGCCTATTGAAGATGGAACCAAATACACGTTAGTATCGCGTAACCTTTAGCGTTCAATGGCTAAATGGTTTACAGTTATAAATTCCAGTCATCGCTAGGCGCATATGAAGACAAGACAGCGACTCTTTCGGATGCTGATAATGTCTGGACTGAAGTCAGGCATATGCATATGCGAGAAGCCATCGACAAGTTGATGGCCGACTTCAATAAATTCCTAGAGGACAATGCAGGGTTTAAAGGGTAAGTGGTCCCCGCTCTGCCCAGCGTTAAGCCTACCCACATTATTTGGATTGGCTTGTTTAGGGAAGGCGCAGCAAGTCTGAATGACATGAAGGACATGCTCGCAAGTCTCCCGCAATATCAAGAACAACGGGAAAAGGTGATCAACATTCAGCTGTGTCGAACGCCTCCATTCTAACGCTATGGCTTTCTTCAGTTCTCACTGCATCTGAATATGGCCCAAGAATGTATGGCGATCTTCGAACGGGATAAACTTCCACTTGTTGCCAACGTCGAGCAAGTGTGTATCACGTTTCGCTGCCTTGCCCATTTCGAGAAAACTGATGCTGTATGTAGAATTGTTCTACGGGTCTAACTGCAGAAGGCAAGACACCCAAGTCCTTGGTGGAGGAGATGGTTCCTTTGTTGGATAGTCGGGAGATTATGTGAGTGACAGAATCCACACCGCTCATTTGCTTTAACGAATGGGTTGGATCTGAACAGAAACTTGAATAAAGTGCGGATTGTCGCGTTATATATCCAGTTCCGCGAAGGTGTGCCGGATGAAGATCGCCGGCGGTTATATCAACATGCTCGCTTGAGCCTTGCGGAGCAAGACGCTGTCAATGCTTTACTTTTGATGGGTGTCCGTATAAGTCGAGTAAGTGTTTGGTAACGTTCATACCTGGCGGCTCGCTCAACCCTGCCATCTCATAGGGGCCAGGGGACAAAGATATCAAGAGGAAAATCAAACAAAAGTCAAGCAAGGAGGAAGAATACGAACTCTCACGGTATAAGCCTCTCCTTCGGGCTGTCCTCGAGGTACGAATGTATCGCTTGTCGTTTCTTGCGTCACTGACGCCTATCGATGATCGTGTAGGAGCATGTTACCAGCAAGCTTGATACCTCATTATTCCCATATGTCAAGGATACACCTTCTGCCGCTCCACCGGTAGCGCAGCGCGCCGCCCCATCAGCTGCGACATCATTACGCAGCCAGAAACCCGCCTGGCATAAAGCTCCCAGACCAGGCACTACAGCCAATGAGACCATCCGACAGCGAATCATCGTCTTTGTCGCTGGGGGTATGACATATTCTGAGACGCGAGAAGCTTATCAACTCTCCACATCCTTAAACAAGGACATTTATATTGGTGAGATAGTTCTCTCTCTGCGCGTCATGTCTATTTATCGGCTATCGGTTATTTAGGCTCAACACACACGTTGACGCCCAAGCACTTCGTTGATGATCTTAAGGTACTCGATCTAGGCGGAGTGGGATCCAGGGCGCTGCCGAATGGTCTGAAGGAAGCTGGTTCTGGCGTCCCACGTTCCTTCCAAGAATACTATGATGAGCGTTACTTTACCCAGGACGCGCCTCGCCCTACTAGACAAGCGGCACCCGTTCCGATTGGAAACTCACGACTGGGTGCGCAGGATACCCTCAAGCCGAGTAAAATATCGCCGACAAACTCGTATCAAGGCTCGACCCATTCAATGACACCGAGTGTCAAGGAAGACAAGAAGAAGAAGAAGGGGTTATTCAGGTTCTAGTTTGCGGTGGTGGACGTGCGGTATCGGACCATCCCATCGGTGTGTAACCAATATAGTAAGCTTATTCGACAGCATAATGGACAATCATTTTGGAATGGATCCCAACGAACTTTGTGTCATCTCGCGTCAAGGAGTATATAGTATACTTGCTCAAGTGGGAGCATGGTTGATATCTACTCCGCCTGTGGATGATTCCTGGGTTCTTCCGAGGGTCAGTCAGATGCGTTCCTTCTCGTAGTTTCTTACGCGTTTCGGAGGCGGTGAGTCTGACAGAAGTGTCCCTCTACCTCCAATTACTCACCTCGCCGATGACAGATGATCGTACATTGACAGAAGTAATCGCTTCGACAATTCAGCCATCCACCATCCAGCAATGCTAGCGTCAAGCTTCAACAGCAATCAACGCCTCCATCAACCTGAGCATTACGTTGATGATCGGCGTCCTCGTCGACTTAAGTGACTGTCGTGCCGCGAGTATCATCGCAGTGATCATCTGTGAGTTCTCGGGTTCCCACTGTGTAATTAATATACTAACATCGGACTATTAGCACTGCGGCGTGCGCACTTTATCATCTCCGGTCTAGCAACGTGATTGGTAGAAGCAACGAGGTTGGGCTACTCGGCGACGATGGGATAGAAAGAACATATACGCGGGCCGTGTTCCGCTTAAGAGACTAAGAGAGGTAGGGACTCTAGATTCACCAGCGTGTTCCTTATGATACTACGCTGGTGCTCACTGTTTCAGGACCATGGGCTTCCACCCAAACGAGATTCGGCCGTTCTATGGCGTTTTCGGGTTCTCCGCACCACTGGTCGGGGATTGATGCGCGGTGCATAACTGGGTTTGTTCCCGCATGGTTACTCGCGGAACTCCCATGAGACAAGCAAATATAGGTTCAGTTTGTCGCAGGATTGTAATTCCCTTGAAGGTTCCCCCAATATTTGATGACTGGATAGCAGAGTTCCATGTCAGACTATCAGTTGCTCCCCTGAAATCCAGGAGGCGTGACGAATGGATTTATGATGTGCAGTCTGGGTGTCATCAGATGTACCGGTATTTTGATTCTCGGAAGTTCTGGATTCTGAAATGAAGGCGAGGTCACTGCCTGCGACGGTGCGCGCACTGTCTGAGAATTTATCAAAGGCAATGAAAGCACAATAAAATTTCGGAATGAAAGAAGAATTTAGTGGCTGTCGGCTTGGCGCGTGTTGTGGTGGTGCGGCAGAACAGATCAGAGTCCCTTCGCTGCATACCGCTTACACGCTCCTTGCTCTCTAACCATCACCTCCTCGTACCTGCCCCCACGCTCCCGCCCCCGGGCTCCTTGATTTTGCTCTGGCTCATCCACAACCAAGCCAGAGATCATGGACAAGCCACTGGGCCCTCGCCAACAACCAGACAAACGAAATGCAGCCTATGAATCGATCTTCGGTCGCCCTAGTGCCTCGCACCACCATCTGCAGCCGCCTTCTAGCTTCTCTCAGGCTTATAGTACCCCTCCGCTGCTGGGCCAGCATTTACCTTATCAGCAACCGTACCAGGCACAGGTCGACAGGAGGGCATCCTTTACCCCTTCTTTGGTGCCCTCGCCACAGATTCCAGTTCTTTCCAACCAACAATTGCCCACGAATCCAAATTTCAGGCAGTCTTACTATCCACCATCCCAACCTCAAGCCCAGCTTCCCCAGGGACTGCCTTCAAGCCCATATCCGGCTCACCACCATCACCACCATCACCATTCACCCCCGCCCAATCTTGTTGCTCCCCATTCCGACCACCATGGCCGTGCAAACTCTGTGGCAAGCACCAGTCACTCTTCGAACATTGGAATAATACAGCCACCGCCAGAGGAACCCGTTCAAACGCAAAACGGCCTTACCCCAGCTCAAGTTTATCGCGCCCAAGTTTCTCTGAATAGCCCCAACGATTCTCAAGGAGACTGGAGCCGCTTCCGAAATCCTTCAGAGCGCCAGCCTGCGCCTTCATATCAGGATCCGCCTCGCATTGGTGTCGATCTCGACCCAGATGATGGGAAGCTAGGGATTGATTTTGGACAAGGCAGCAATTCCAGTGAGCAGAGCACGGATGATGGGAGCAGTGAGCTACCGTGGGCAGTCCAGGAGCGTACTTGTAAGCAAGATCTCTTCTGGCTTATATCTCTCACCTGGACGTCATGTTAGCATCACCACCGTCCTCTAAGGTGCCCCTTAGCCCGCGATTTTCCATTGATTCAGACCACTCGTCTCGACACCCTCTCCAAGTTCAAACCAATATGCCATCTGACTCGGCCGTCCTCAGCGCGAAGACATCTCCTACTTCGTCGACCACAGCTGATTACACTTCAATACTATCCTCTTCGGCATATGTCACGGGAAGACGTTCCTCGGATTCTGCGCGTACAATGCCCAGACTGATGGGACCGCGGCGGGAGCGCGGGCCACAGGATCGCTCAATGTCAATGTCCGCAGCTTCGCTACGACCTACGTCTACTTCTCGCCCGCCTATACCAAATCATCAGGGCCGTGACTCTCCTACATCAATACGACTTCCCGTCCGCAAGACCCCAATAGTCTATCCTGCTCTTCTTTCATGCGTGGCCGAAGCCTTTCGCGAACGCATATTAGTTGGGGATCGAGTGAAGGACGGATTGACGTATAAGAACTCCTTTGATGGGCGCGAAGCTGTCGACAAAATCGCGTACATCATCAAAACGACGGATCGAAATCTTGCTTTACTTCTTGGCCGATCCCTTGACGCGCAGAAATTCTTTCACGACGTAACGTATGACCATAGACTAAGGGATAGTTCGAACGAATTGTATCAATTTCAGACGAGGGTGCGGAGTCCGTTCACAAGCGGAGAGCTAGAGAATGGGGCAGAACAGGGAAGCGGGGATGAAAAGAACGCCAAACCTCCAGAGGTAATATCTACAAGTCTTGGTCTTATCCCATATACCTAACGACTACTAACTTGCCGCGTCTCTTTCCAGGATGACTCTGGTTCCCCCTCACCTGCAGGCTCTTCTACGCCTCAGATTCAGCAACAACAAGACGGTGCCTTGCCCTCGGTTGATGAGATTACTGCCCTGCCCACTGGAGTCTTCACACTTCTGACTGATTGTTATTCCCCAACGTGCTCAAGAGACCGACTCTGCTATAGTATTGCATGTCCAAGGCGTCTTGAGCAGCAAGCAAGATTGAATATGAAACCGCAGCCCGGATTGTCGAAACAGATCAGCAGAGAAAGTTTGGGTGATGTTCCGGTAATTGAGCCTACGTTTCACCTCCTGGCATGGGCAACTTGCTGACAAGTCCTTCTGCGTGATAATGTATTTAGGATGCCGGGACACTCTGGATTCATTCGGTGCCGCCGGAAATCGTGAACAGCGTCTCCGACACGGAAAAGAAACGGCAAGAAGCCATCAACGAGGTCATCTACACTGAACGTGACTTCGTACGCGACCTGGAGTATCTTCGAGATGTGAGATATTGGTCCCCGGTTTGGTATAGCCCCTCGTGTTCTGATGTATTCCTTGTAGGTCTGGATAAATCAGCTGAAGGATTCGGATATCATCGCGGCCGAACGACGAACTGACTTCTTAGAGCAAGTGTTTTGGAATATCCACGATATCATCGCCGTCAACACTCGCCTGCGAGATGCTCTCAACAAACGGCAGAAGTCGTATGCAGTAGTAGAACGTATAGGTGATATACTACTGGATGCCGTCCCGCACTTTGGGCCGTTCGTGTCATACGGTGCGCATCAGTTATATGGCAAGTACGAGTTTGAAAAGGAGAAGAACTCGAATCCCGCTTTTGCTCAGTTTGTTGAGGTACGTTCGATATGGCTTTGCAAAATCCACCCATGTATTGTGTCCATCTGACACTTTGTGCAGATGACTGAGCGCTTACCGGAATCGCGTAAACTCGAGCTCAACGCGTATCTAACCAAGCCTACGACCCGTCTTGCTCGATATCCGTTGCTGCTCCAAGCCGTGTTGAAACATACGCCAGAGGATAGCCCGGACAAGATCATCCTCCCGAAGGTCATTGCGTTGGTGAAAGAGTTCTTGGGTAAGGTGAACGCGGAGTCCGGGAAGACCGAGAACCGGTTCAACCTTCTTCAGCTCGAGCAACAGCTCTTCTTTAGGCCTGGCGAAGAAGTGGTGCGTTCTCAGCGCTGTGATTTGATTTCTAACGCTGAGCATTGTTGCCAACTAGGATTTGCGGCTCAAAGAGGAAGGAAGGCAGTTAATATACAAGAATCCACTTAATAAACGCGATGGCGAAATCCAGGTGTACCTCTTCGATCACGCCCTTCTGTTTGCCAAGGCTGTGAAGACGAAACAACATGAACAGTACAAGGTGTACAGACGCGTGAGTGGTAGTCTGCTAATCGATGACGTCCACGGCGCTGACAACAGTGTATTCAAGCCTATACCACTGGAATTACTTCTCATCTCAGCTCCTGAAGATGCTGCTAATGCAACCGTACGCTCGCAGAACCACCGAAACCGCGGGCTTGTTAAGCGCGCCTCTTTCAACGGCAAAGTCAGCCCCAATGTACCAGCCGCGAAGTCGGAGTCCAAAGGCTCTCATTGGATCACGTTCATGCATCTGGGGCGCAAGTACTATCATCTGACGCTGTGGGCGACCTCGGCGATGGGTCAACGCAAGTGGCTGGAGAATATATATAAGCAACAGCAAGTGATGCGTGAACGAAGCATGATATTCGATACAGTGACTCTTAGCGAGGGCTTCTTCTCCGGGCCGACGAACAAAGTCAATTGTGCAGCTCCGTTTAGTAAGTGTCTACGTCTATCTTGGAGGATAATAACTTAATCCATGATGGCATGTAGACGGTGGCCGTTGCGTAGTGTACGGTACAGATGATGGGGTGTATATATCCGACTTGATGGTCAACAGAGAACCAGTGAAGGTTCTTGGACTGTTGGAAGTAGCTCAAGTCGACGTTCTAGAGGACTATCAACTTCTGATCGTTCTTTCAGGTGAGTTATCATTTCGCTTAGCTTACCACTAACATTGACGTCCCTGCAGAGCGTCAAGTGATCACGTTCCCTCTGGATGCTCTGGACCCCAACGACCCAGTTGCTGGATTGAAACGTGCGAAGCGTATCTCGTCCCATACTTCCTTCTTCAAGGCGGGATACTGCTTGGGCAAAGTTCTTGTCTGCATAGTCAAATCCAGTCAACTTTCCAGCACCTTCAAAACCTTGGAACCTATTGATCAGAACATTCGGGGTCGCAGCAAGCCGACGTTTCGAAAGCTGCTTCAAGGTGGCAATGATACGCTTAAGATGTTTAAAGAGTTTTATATACCTGTCGAATCGACGTCCATCCATTACCTCAAGACGAAGATGTGCGTCGGATGTTCGAGGGGCTTCGAGATCGTAGATCTTGAAAGTCTGGACACGCAAGGGTTGCTTGACCCTCAAGACGAATCTTTGGATTTCGTGCGGAAGAAAGAGAACCTACGCCCAATGGCTATTTACAGAATTGGCAACGAGTTCCTCCTTTGCTACGACGGTAAGTATCAATCGCGTTTTCAGGGGCGGTCCCAAATCAATGACCATTTTTTGCTGTGCTTCAGAGTTTGCATTCTATGTCAACAAGAACGGACGGCGATCACGGAAAGATTTCATGGTTTACTGGGAAGGACTGCCGTCAGGCTTTGGTGCGTGTATTGCCATTGACTTTTGGGTGGCAGTTCATTGACACCCCCCCAGCCCTCCACGAACCTTATGTTCTCGCCTTCGAACCTTCTTTCGTCGAGATTCGACACATTGAGACAGGTCTCCTTTCTCAAGTCATCCAGGGAAACAACCTCCGCCTCCTGTTTGCTGATACGCCTCCGTCCGTCTCCAATAACCACCACTACGCAAGCTCTGTTGAGTATGGCTACAACCCCTACGCCGCTTCCACCAACTCCTATGGCAGCCGTCAATCTGCCTATAACGCCTATGGTGTTCCTCCGCAACAGATGCCATACCCGAATCTGAATCAATATCCTCGACCTCCTCAGGGAGTAGGGAGAGATGAGATCCTCATTGTATCCGACGATCGTGTACTAGCTTTGCGACCGGCAGCTGGTCTGCACCGGTTCATGGGCGATAACTTGTCACAAGTATCCATTCCACGTTGAGCAGCTGCTTTGTGTAACCGTTTGCTATTATCTTATTGCTGCGATGTACTACAAATGTCTTCATTAATTGTTATAATAGGTTAACGACTACAATCCTGCGGTTCTGAGTACTCGTATCCGGTGTGCACAATGATGGCCGTCAATCATCAACCAGGGGGTACCCGCAATGGTTAGTTTGCATCAACGTGCAGGACAGCGAGGCGCTCAAGGCCATTCTCCGCAGTGGTTTCCCCCGGCAGACTACTTACAGGAGCCTCTTGCCACCAACAATCGCTCTTCAAATGATTCCGTCCCCATCGTGATACAGCATGACTCTTGCTGTCATCGATCATCTAACCACCAGTCAATTGCCAGCCTAGTGTCTCGCAATCCAGGGGCTTCCCGGAGGCACCCCTGGAGTTGATATTTCCAGGGTGTGCAACAGGAGGCATGCAGCTGGATATCGCCGACAGCTTAAATACCCCGAGTGCTGGTGGCTGGCCCCAGTGAACACGACGCTATGTTGTCCTCCGCGCTGTCACCCTCCGCGCTCCTTATCCCCCATGGGTTGACAATCCTCGCATTGACGATCACACACCCCGCGTACCGCAAGCTCGTCTTTGCGCAAATACTGGCATTCGTTGCCTACAACCTTCATACTGCGCCAACTGTATCACCCAGTACGGATTGGCCCCTGGCGTTCTCCTTAACCGCCCTCGTCTTCGCCGGATCAGATTTCCTCCTTTTGACGAAGTCCTACGCAGATTTGCATAGGAGAGGTCAGGTCGGAAATATCGAGGAACAACCGACTTTGGCGCGAATCAAGTGGGCGATGAGTCTACTGACGAATCAACGAATGATTGGGTGGACAGTAGAGCCGGCCAGGGTCCTACCTTCCCCGCCACAACTTGCCGCCAGCGGTTCTAGGCTGTACTTCGTTGGAGAGCAGACTTTCAAGTTGATGCTAGAACTCTTGATCGTGAATATTCTGGGCATAGGCTTCGCTATGACGCCGGCGCTGTCACCAGAAGGACCATCATTGACATCCTGCGCATGGTTCTGGCGCTCTGTGCACGTCGCCAATGTTATTTCTTTAACAAGATATGCCATTTCAGCAGGTCACAGAGCATTGTCGTTGTTGCTAATCGCATCCGGCTTGGAAGACCCTGCTGAATTTCGTCCGCTTTGTGGTCGCTGGCAAGATGCGTACACCTTGCGTAGATTCTGGGGGTGAGTGAACTCTAAGCCCTCAGTTTCCAAACATGTCCTATACTTATATCTCTTCAGGCGCACTTGGCATCAAGTCTTGCGTAGGGTATGCCTATTTCTAGCGATTGTATAAATAACCCATCCATCATTGATCACGGCTTTATAGACATTGACTTCGCATGGCCGCTTCGTAGCACTCGAGGTTCTGAAGCTCGAACCCGGTTCAAAAGCATCCACGTACACACAACTCTACGTCGCTTTCATCTTATCCGGCGTTATCCATTTCTGGGCAGACGTCATCCCTCTGGGTCGGTGGAATGCGGGGACCATGAAGTTCTTCGTCCTCCAGGCGATAGCCATCCATTGCGAAGACATACTCATAGCTTGGGCGACCAAGGTGGGGCTTCGTCCGTCGAGGCTTTTGAGGTTCTTGGGGTATATTCTAGTGTGGCAATGGTTCGCCTGGTGTCTGCCAAATTGGCTCGACGCGCTCATCAAGGCAAAGGTCTTCGGCGCCGGTCCGCAAATTCCAATTATTCAGACCGTTACTTCTCTCGCCAGGCGTACGTTTGATTTCATCCAATCACTTTCGTTCTGTATTTCTCAGTTTTTGTATAGGGTAAACCATAACCGCACCATCAGCAGTGATGTGTCGCGCGTGTATCACCTTTCCATCTCTTCTCCCGGATATCAATTCTCACAATTTACGTTCTGACTTCATTTCTGTAGTTTATCAACATCTAAGCCTCGGATATTCCCACTGCTTTTTATTCGCTCTGCGGTATCTACACTTCAGTTGCTGTAGCTGTCACGACCAAATGAACCCGTGCGTAGTACAATGTTGATGTAGGTGATTGAGTTCAAGTGCTACGGTATACACGATAATAACAACCCCACGCGTGCTTAGAACAGGCGTGTATAATTAAGGACATTCCACAGTAAGGCTATGGAATTTTGCAATTAGTCTGACCGGTTGCCTACTCCAATTAATAGGCCCTTGGGCCCACTCAGATGTCCCCTCCGGACTACTTCCATCCCAGATTCCCAATTGAATTCGCATCGGCGACGTAGGGTAATTGATACGGCCATCAATTCTCGAATCCTCTACAAATGGCGGATTGCCAGCTTACGGATCAATGCTGTATTCGATGCATTAAATAACGTACGCGGCGTGAGTGTACGGACGGCTCGGCCATCCACACTCCATATAATCCTACGGGGGTTCCAATCAATTGAATACGCGTGCCGCTCGCCTATAGTCTGCTGGCCGCTGCGAGATCTCGGGATGTCCTCGACTGAACTTAGCTTGCCGTAAGCAGGAGGCGCGTTGGCTGTTGGAGGTGCGAAGACGTTGGTTTGCCACTGCTTCGGGTCGCCTGGCAATAGCTCGATGTCTATTTCGTGATGATCGTTGGCTTGAAGGAGTAGGCGTCAGCTTATTTGTCAGTGTCGTCGAGAAAGGGCGAGGCACATACATATGAAAATGGCGGCCACGACGGCTCCGCCTGCTCCTACAGGCGCGCTCAAGTCGAAAGTCACTTTACCGTAGCTATAGCGTTTGACCCCGAGTGAGTCATACAGCTCTCCCAGACGTCCAAGTCAAAAGTATGCGTACCTAAGAAGAAAGGACGAATTCGCGGTTGCTCCAGAACCAAGTTGGTCATTAACGCCATTATGAGTTGTAACCTTTTTGGCTGGTCTCTTGAGATATAGCTCCAGGCCATTAGCGGTTGTAGAGTAGGAATCGGCCGGCGATATCATAGTAATTAGCGTATTCCCGCCATTGGAGACCTCCGAATTAGAGAACGTTGTGTGCAACGGTCGGCAGCCCTGAGTTGCTTGCCGGGGTCGAAGTTGATTAGGGTGGGCGCAAGCGAAGGATACGAGGAGTGTAAGATAAAGAGCGGATTTGAAGAACATTATTTGAGATTTATGGGTATACCTGTGGAACTGTGACGAAGCGAAAGATGAGACGAAACTGACATGAAGAACGTTCAAGGAAGTAAGCCCATTAGCGCCCGTGCATCATGTGACCAATCCAGCCCGAGCCCGCTCTGTAACCGGAGTTTGTCACAGCCGAGCTGCTGATTCCTCCGCTATATTTATGAGGCTTGAAAGTGAGTTTCGCCCCTAACAAGCTTACCATGTCCCCCGCTGCCCTCCTCGCAACTCAGGCCATCGTTACGCCCCCTCCTACCCCAAAACCGTCGACTTCTCCCATACCATGGGCACCCAGACGAGTCGCCGACCCTCCCAGGCGCACCAAGTTCTCCTTCGATTCGATGGACGATGCTTTGACAGCGTTCGCTGACGGGGAATTCGTGGTGGTGATGGACGACGAGGACAGAGAGAATGAAGGGGACCTTATTATCGCTGCAGCGCACTGTACGACTGAGAAAATGGCCTGGATGATCAAGCACACAAGGTCACTTGTCTTGTTATTTGTTTCTGCAGGCTCGCTCACCCTCTGGTCCCCGTTTGCAGCGGTTTCATCTGCGTGGCCTTGACCGGGGATCGGCTACGAGAACTCGAAATCCCGATGATGGTGGCCGACAACCAAGATCCGCACAAGACGGCGTATACGGTGACTGTGGATTACAAGCACGGTGAGAGTCTAGCCTCGTTTACATGTATACACGTCGCTGACATATCTGGAATCCCGCGGCCGCTACCTCTCGTTAACTTGCTTCGCTTACCCTGCGTCGCACCAGGAACGACCACTGGTATCTCCGCGCACGATCGTAGTCTCACCGCGCGGTCACTTGCATCCCCCAACTCACTTGCATCGGACTTCTCACGCCCAGGTCACCTAGTCCCCCTACGTGCTCGAGATGGCGGCGTACTCGCGCGTACCGGCCATACGGAATCGTCTGTCGACCTATGCCGACTTACTGACCTTCCACCCGTCGGCTTGTTATGTGAGATGGTAAACGACGACGCGGAGGGCACGATGGCCCGAAGGGACGATTGCCGAGCGTTCGCCGATCAGTGGGGTATAAAGATGATCAGCGTACAGATGATTGTCGAGCGGCGGAAGCAGTTAGAACAGGATTGTGGAAGGGCTTATGCGAATCTGTAACACTTATTTGTATTTGGATGTTGTCACTAATAGGACTGCTCGTCACTCAAGCATAGCACTTTCAGGGTAGATGTACTCAATACCTAGGCAACCAAGGTCATCGAGTGAGTAGCTCCAGGAAGTAATTACCTAGTGGGACACAACGGTGCATGGGCTTCGACTCGTATTCATGGTAATCGGTGATGTCGAGATACATAGGCCTACCCATCACACACGAAGGGATTCTTGTACGAGCTCCTGGAGGAGTCAGACCCTTCAAGGTTTTCTACCTAAACAGCGACTGGTACTTCAACTTGACCGATGATCTCTTCGCTCTTTGCTTGTGCACCGAACTTCTCTCCAAGTTGATCTAGTAGCTTCTTCAGTTCTTCAGCTTCGGCTACCAATTGTCCAACGGACGCGCTTTTGGGCTCGGTGCTGTCGGACGCAACGGGCGGTGGAGGTGGCTTGTGGCTCAGTGTCTGGACGGCTTGTTGAACCACCTGCTCCCATGTTTGTCCCTCCTTGGCAAGTTCCTCAACTAATTGGTCCTTGATTCTTCTGCAACTACCAACGCCATCGTAACCGAAGCCAGTGTAGACTTGAACTAGCGAGGCGCCTGCCTTCGCGTATTCGAGAGCGTCGGAGCCAGTGGAGATACCACCGCATCCGATGATGGGGATGGTTGCTGGTAAATTCGCTCGGAGTGTTTTAAGTGCAGCCAACGTGAGTGGCTTCAGGGGTGCTCCGGACAAGCCCCCCGTTTCCAATGCATTCGCTGCTGAGGGGATTAGAAATAAGTTATAACGCGAACGAGATCACACACCAGAATGAAGGTGGGAGGGTCGTTTTATTGTCGTGTTGCTCACTATGACACCGTCGATGTCGCTGTTTCGAATGACTTCGGCCATTTCGGTTAACTGAAGCTCATCTAGATCAGGCGCAATCTTGAGCAAGATGCGTGGACGCTGGGAGACAATGTTGGCTGTGGCAACTTCGTCCCGGGCCTTCGTAACTCGAGAGAGCAGCTGCTCTAACGATTGACGATCCTGAAGACCCCTACCCGAAATGATTAAGACTTCGAACAACGACGAGGAGTAACCAACCGTAAACCAGGCGTGTTTGGACTCGAAACATTGACTACGAGGGCATCTGAGTAGGGACCAAACGTACGGACGCCAGCTACGAAGTCGTCAACAGAGTCAACAGGCGAGTCTTTATTCTTGCCCAAGTTCACTGCGAGCACTGCGCCCCTTTTGAGCGAGGCGGACGTTTCTGTTTCTGGCGCTAAGAAGGCGGGGATACGAGCACGTAGTCTAGATAGGACAGACGCATGTCCCTGGGAGGGGAAGCCATAGCGGTTGATGAGTGCTGAGTCTTCCGACAAGTGGAATACCCGCGGCCGCGGGTTACCGGGCTACGACAGCCGTAAGCTTCGAGCTTCCACCTACAAGATGTGAGTCAATAGCGCACCTGAGGCTTTGGTGTGACGCTGCCAATTTCTACCCAACTAAACCCAAGACCAAGAAGGCCTGGTCATGGTTCGCATGGTATCCCAGAAACAGAATGGTGCATCTCACCGTCGATAGCTTCGCCGTCCTTGTCAAACCCGGCGGCCAGACCAACTGGATTGGATATTTCTTTCCCCCAGAGCTGCATGAAGATTTATGAGAAATCCCGAACACTGCCACCGTATTGACAACTCACTTGAAACTTGAGCCTGTCATCGTCGGCGACAACATCTCGAGGACCAAGGCCGCTTCTCAGGACTTTGACGGCAAGTTTATGTCCTGTTTCGGCATCGAAAGCGTATCGGAGTAGAGGCGTGAAGAAATATCTGTGGATGGCCGACCGTGAATCCAAGTAGTAGACTACGAAAAGGCCCGTAGAGACAACTAGTGCTGATGCATAGAGTCCAGTTCGAATCGGATTGCTCGAGGACGAGTTGAAGGCCGGACTTGAGGCATATCGTCTCGGAAGAGAGTGTACTGTGCTCCTGAATCGAGGGAGACTTCTTTGGCCCGTAAGGCGGAGCGATGCCATTTGGCGTCGGGAGCAAGTTAGCGCCCATGCGTTTGTGGACGCTCTATTTGTCGTTCTTTGTCTCAGAGGGCACTGAAACGCGGTCTGTCACGAGAGTCACAATTGCGTGACGACGCGTCTTTCACTCATCCACTATGGCCTCCAGCTCGGCGAAGGGGAAAGCGGCAGTTAAGGAAATTCCGTATGAACTTCCATGGTATGCTCAATCTTTCATCACACCCATACCTACTCCAACATATACTGTTTAGGGTAGAGAAATATCGACCGCAGATTTTGGACGATGTTGTAGGAAACACGGAAACTGTAGAACGGCTCAAAGTGATTGCGAAGGACGGAAATTGTCCCCATATCATAATATCTGTGTGATATCTTTCATATCTCAGCAAGCGTGATCTCATTTCACGGCAGGGTCTACCAGGTATCGGGAAGACGACGAGTATACATTGCCTGGCGCATCAACTACTTGGCGACGCATACAAAGAGGGTGTATTGGAGTTGAACGCTTCAGACGAACGGTATGTAACCCTGAACAACATAATGCGCCTCACTGAGCCCAAGTTAGAGGTATAGATGTTGTCCGCAATAAAATCAAAGCATTTGCCCAGAAGAAGGTGACCCTACCGCCAGGCCGCCATAAAATCATTATACTAGATGAAGCAGATAGGTGTGCTTCGAGCATTGAAATACTCACTCTCGACTTACGCTTCGGGCAGCATGACATCAGGAGCCCAGCAAGCTCTCCGAAGAACGATGGAGATATACTCCAACACAACGCGCTTCTGTCTAGCATGCAATATGAGCAACAAAATCATCGAACCGATACAGAGTCGTTGCGCTATCCTGCGGTATGCCAAACTTAGAGATCAGGAGATTCTGAAACGGCTGCTCGAAATATGCGAAATGGAGAAGGTCAGCATTCTGCTCGGTACCATAACGGCCTGTTCATGTCTATCATTCCTATCACAAGGTCGAATACAACGATGATGGCTTGACGGCACTCATATTTACATCAGAAGGCGACATGCGGCAAGCTATCAATAATTTACAATCTACCCACTCGGGTTTCGGGTTCATCTCAGCAGACAATGTCTTCAAAGTCTGCGATCAACCGCACCCAATCATCGTCCAGGCAATCATCCGCGCCTGCCTCAAAAGCGATATCAACGGTGCCATGGAGAAGCTCAACGAACTCTGGGACCAGGGCTACAGCGCTGCAGACATCGTGACAACGATATTCCGTGTGGTGAAGACTTTCGACGAGTAAGTGTTCGCATTATATGACATGTCGGCTTGATCTGGACTGATCAATTCGACTTCGTAGAATGCCTGAATATACAAAACTTGAATATATCAAAGTAGGAATTACCGTTCACGCCTCCTAAATTTCTGTCCGACTGACGGCTCTTGTAGGAGATTGGCTTCACCCATATGCGGGTACTCGAAGGCGTAGGCACCATCATCCAGCTGGCCGGTTTGGTCGCCCGTCTCTGTAAAATGGTACGCTCTCCGATCGCATTCGTACGCAGATGATCTATTCCTCATGCGTCCTATTCCCATAGAATATGAACCCCGCCTTGTTCAAATTGTAGCGCTTACAGAGTCGACGGATTTTGGGCATATCTAACTACGAGTATCTGCTTACCCTCACTGTAAATTATCGTGCATTCTTAACCGCGCCGTGCCAGTGAGCCGGACCACCGGATGTTCATTAAGGGAAAGTCCAGTATCTCGACGCGCTACAAACGGTTCTATGATCAGTGTCTCTCAAGAGGCTCGATGTGATCACGTAGGGCGCCAAGTCAAACAAATTTGCCATTTCTATCTGGCTTGTAATCTGTTGAAGGCGCTGAGGTTGCTCTGAGATGTAGCCAGTTGCCGACAGACTTGGTCTAACCGCTTCAGTCACGATTCACGTCTTCGTCTTGCCCCTAGTGCCACTACGTTTCGGTGAGACTGACTCCAGGACAATAGTTTAGACAGTAGATGATGCTAGAGTTATGATTATATTCATATTCCCAACAAATGTTACTAGAAACCCAAAGTAAGTAAAGATACCGATACATACAAATTAGTCCATGTCTGAGCCAAGATCAGAGTCAATATCATAATAATCATCACCTGGATTAACACCATTCGATTCCTGGTGCTGTATTGCCTGCTGCATGGATATAAACGGGTCCGCGTCGTCGTCGTCGTCATCATCATCATCATCATCATATACCCCAGAACTTGCGAGGCCGCCGGCAGTGGCAGCAGGTTCCACCTTAGTGCCGGATTGACTGTGTGCTGCTTGACGGCTCGCTTCTCTTGGACGCTGCACCAGCGCCCTTTCCTCGTGTTGCTCATCGATCGCTGCCCCGCTTGCCATCGCTGCCCAGATGTCGATGAGAAGCCTAGTAACGCGGAATTGAATAAATGAGTTTGATCAGATAAATTCTAAGGACTCGAATATACACACCGTGATTCGTTGCCCGCACAGATACCCCCAGCTGTAGCCTTCCCAGAGGCAGCGTTGTTCACAGCGGGAGTGGTACCGACTGGCACTTCGACCTGAAGATATTCCGCGATGTGGTAGATGTTGTCTTTATCCCCCGTCTTCTTCAGCTTCTCATACATCTGCTGCACGTCGACCATATAGACGGGGAGGTACTGGCGGCGGCGCGGACTTGGCAAGGACTCGGAGGGAGTGCGGCTGGTGCGGGGGGCGGTGGAGGCGGTTCGGGATGACATGGCTGTCGACGATCGGGAGGAATGATACGGGTTCGAGTTCGAGTTCGAGGTTGGGCGAGTGGGGGAGCGCGAGCGCGAGCGATGAGATTGGTATGTGCTTGGCCCATCCTCCCGGTGGTAATAGGGTTTCGGAGACAGGGCGGGTTGCTGAAGATACTGTAAGCCAGATATGGAGGGAGTATGTGATAAGATATATACCGCGATATCGTTCTGGACTAGGGGTTTGATGCCGTGCGCCCAGGAGGATGTGTCGATGTCTATGGCGTTCAAGATATCTTCTGTGGTGTCAGCGCCAGCGACGAGGAGGACGGTGGGCCCAGCGAGTAGGAGGCTCCTGAGCTGGGAAGCTATGTCTGCGAGAGCAGCTTCCTTGGAGTCTCCATATCTGAATTCCTAGCAGAGGCATGTTAGCGTGATGGACACTTAAGCTTGAATGGCTTGGACAGCTGAGGTTTCAATCGTACTTACCTTCCTAGCCTCTTTATTCAACATATTGCTTTCCTTGACTATGAAGTGTGTTGAGGTTCGGGTGGCTTGGAGAGTGGGTGCAGACGGGTCTACAGAAGTCACGCCGATGTCGAGAATCTTCGGGTTGCGCTTTCGAGCATCCGCCGGCCGACCGTCCTGGGTCCAGGTGTTGATGACCAGCGCACATATCCGTATTTTTGATGCACATTCACCGTTGAGCGCGAACTTGTGAGGATCTATGCCCCCGTTAATAAGGCGGTACAGACACCTACGGTTGTCCAACCAGTGAGTCCGACTCAGAGTGAAGAGATTAAACCATGACTTACCGGTTGAGCTCGAACAACCCCCGGAGACGGCCATCCCCAGCACTGGCTGCATCATGGAACACTCTGTTGGCCGGGCTGGTGTCATAGCCGACCTTCGTCTTCCGCGGTGTCAGCCTCTTCAGTTTCCGGTGCAGCGACTCGGCCCCGTCGAAATCGATGGGGCTGAGAGACTCAAAGTCTCGTGGAGAAAACACGCGACTTGGCGCGCGTTCGACGCGTTTATAGACGTGCCATAGGGCCTGGAATTGTTCCTCGTTCAGGAGCAGGGAGCTGGCCCCTGATTTCCCGATCCCTACGCTCGGAGTTAGTTCGATCTTGGTTCAATCTGTACGTTCAGTGCGCAAGACTCGGAGGACCCACCGAGGGTCACTTCAACAGGCCCTTTGGTGTCAACCGAACGCAAAAGCGACGTGTCCCCAGCGATGGCTTCTGCAAGGTCCTGGAGCCGGAATTGAAACCTGTGGAATCCCTGTCATTTGTGCTCGCTGTTTGGAAGTCGTAGCGCAACGCCGTACCAATGGAAACTCGGTTCGTAGCCTCCAAATTTGTAGTAGGTAGACATTCTGATGAGGATCAGCTAGCAGTGCGGTCTCACAATATGGTTGAAGGCAAAGAAGCGGCCTGTGAACGATTTGGACAGATGCCAACTTGACGCGCGACGACAACGTGCCTCTGACCCAAGTGAGTTCGCTCCCGTTATAGATTGAAATCAAGACGACACGCGAACAGGAAACAGGAAATGAGGCGCAAAAGCAAAGAAACGAAGACAAGGTACGTTGCGACGCTCAGCTCCAGTATGCACGATGCGCAACGACAACGGCACCGTGCTCGTGCTCGTGCTCAAGCTTACATCCCCAGTACGACACCCGCCATGCCCACCAGCGCACCTGCAACCTCGCGGTGTACACTCAGATAGAGTCCGAATCCTCGAGCTTGCGCAAATCACTAATGTACATATGGTTGCAGTCTACCGCTCCGTTTTCGTGGATGAACACTCTCGTATCTGCGGCCGACTTTGTGGATTGCACACGTACAGAGGGTACGGACAAACGGAATGAGCGTAAGGGCGGGCTAGAGCCAATATGTGAGTACGATCCGTTTATCGCTGACGCGATTGAATCATACTTAGAGCGATATCTGTTACTCCCCAACTCTCACATCACTCAACGTCTACTCACATCCATACAAGTACCCGCAGCAAGTATCGGTCCCTGTCGAATCCCAAGCCCATGTCGCCGTCAAGATTGCCCAACAAACGACCCCAGACCAGCCTCCGCATTTGCGTGTTCGCCCCTCCATAGCCCGCTCCTGCTCGCCCTCGTTCTCGTGTCCGCTTGTTCGTGCCTTGAATACTAAATTTGTTGTGTGCATTCTAGACGGAATATGGCTGAGCTTGTTTCTCATTTCAAATAGTGGTGTGGCGGGAGGGGAACGCGTTGGTGTGTCTGCACTAATTCGCAGCGGACAGGGACCGCACCTGCGTGGCATGGCGTCTTCGTGGCGGGGTCAACGATGGCGGCAGCAACACAGCACCCAGGAGTACACCACGATCCCAACACAATCCACCAAAGCATCCCGCCGTTTATTCACCCGCTTACTCGTTGTCACCTCACTTCTTCATCACCACTGCCCGCGAGGAGTATCTGCATTTCTTGAAGACTCGCGATTCGGGTACACCGATCCACAGCATAGGAAAGGACTCCCAATATCTCAGCCCGTACCATTTCGTTCTTGGGACGCAGGCCGTTCTTGAGGCCGGGATACAGCATTTTCAAGAAGCTCGCTTAAACGAGGATACTACTCTTCTGGCTCTCCATATAAGTGTATCAATCAAGTGGACGGCTACAACTCACGGACGGAGTAAATTTCAACAAAGCTTGATGGCAGCAATATCAGTCGAGTCGTTTGGGAGCAGGCTGCGGGGATATATACGAACTAGTTGGCATAACTATGGAGTAAGAGGATTTTGAAGGTCGTTACGCATTATGGATTACCTTTGATTTACCTTGTGTTTTTGGCGGTGGCATCAACAAGGCAACCTACAAGCCTCGACATCTGTAGCGAGACGTTACTGATGGCATAATTCGCTCCGAACTGTACCATACGGACAACTCACCTGGTCGCCAGGGATAACTAGCCACCGTAGGAACGGCACATGCTCTGCATTGATAGTATTAGTGGGATTATCTCACTTACGCCGATTCCCGACGTTGCCCCACTCAACGTTATTTATTTACTATCCAACTGTCTCCAGCGCACACTGAGCGCTGCTGCGTCGGTCGGTAATTGAGATGCGGACTTGTCTCCAAGTGGGCGGCGTCAAGGCGAGTAACCCGTGATCTTAGCGTCGAATATAATTCAAGACCTGACCGGTCCGTTGACGCATATCCACGAGGGCCCGTCAGTTGCCAGTGAGATGAACAGGAACATGATGCAAAGATCATCGAGCAATGGCCTCATCAGGCAAGTCATCCAGGGCCGTACGGCGGTGCCTTTTCATCATTTAAGTTTTTTGGCTCGAGGCTCGGAAAGAGGTGAGACGGTGCTGAGAAAGAAAGACTAATTGAAGGAATAAGCGCCCTGCGTGAACAATGGAAGAAAGATAGGATGGTATGCAGTCACTTGCTGAATATGGCCACTCTTTCATGCCGTTCACTGATTTGCGCCGGAACCAAAGCCTTTGGGCTGTGGCAATTTGTGGCTGGGGCCAGGAAGCACTACAAAGACCTTGATGGCTTGCCGAGACAATCCAGCCTTTTTTTGCGTCAAAAATGGACCACTGCCGTGGTTACAAGCCCCACCCATTGTTGTCCACCCACGATCAAATGAGTTTTCGGGCCATAATAGGAAGTGGTGGTTTGGCATTCGGAATGCTATAAAGGTCATCCGAGTAATCAGCCTTCTTCTCCCGACTCATCTTCCACCCCCACCGTTCCTTCTTCTCCTAGTTCTCGAGCTGCGCTCATCCCTTTCTTTCACCGGACCCCTCATTTATTGACTTCAAGTTCAAATCCTCTACAATGGTTCATTTCTCATCTACTATTTTGTTGGCTGCTGCCGCTGCATCGGTGCACGGTTTACCCTTGACGAAACGCATCGCCCAGACCATCTCCGCTTCGACCGCAAAGTGGGAACAGGCATGCGTGCGTAACACATATCTTATCATCGTCCAAGACCTCATTTTTGTTTAGATCGCTGCTGGAGGGGCACAACAGTGCAATCCCGTCTCTGTAACAGCTTTTTCTACTCTCCTCGCTGCGGCCGGCCCTTGCGAGCAGCAGAATTCCGCCGACGCCATGGTCGATCTCGCAAAATCGCTGGGCAATGACGCAGAGATGATTCGGCTGGCGCAGATCTTCGCCCAGCAACCCCGGAATACCGTAAGCGCCCGATCACTTTGTCTTTCGGATATTCTGAATAACCTTGCCTCCAGCCGACGTCTTTGTCTGTGCAGTACTGCCAGCAGGCACCGAAGAACGCTGAGCTCAATGGGCTGTTCCAATGCCAGTTTGCTGGTGCCAATCCCACGACGTTCGTCGGTGGTGTGGCTGTCGGACAGCAAGGCACTATCCCCCTCGGTCTTTCTGCTCCTCTGAGCCCAGCTGGCTCCTGCCCCGCCAATCCTAATGGCCCCGTGCCAGACGGTCAACAGCTCGCCGACATCGTCCAGAGCCCCGGCAACGTAGGCTCGGGCAACGCTGGGAACAACGGCGCAAACGGAGGTAATGGGAATGCCAGCGGAAATAATGGCAACGGAAACAACGGTGCAAACACGGGCAATGGGAATGACAATGGTAACAACGCTGCCGCTACATCCTCTGCGCCCCCCGCCGCGACTCCCACCGCTGCAGCCTCCACCGGCGGAGACTTCAAACTGAAGAACGGACAAGATGCTCAGGCTCAGAATGCCCAATTCGCCGGCTTGACCGCCAACTCCCCTTGCCAAGGTTAGCAGTCACCACTAGTCTCACCCTACTGTACTCGAGCTAACGTGGTTACCCCTACGAAACAGAAGGTGAACAGGCGTGCATTGACGGCGGGTTCGCTCAATGCGTCGGCGGCCGATTCGTGATTGCTACTTGCTCGGCGCCTACGAAATGCTTCTCCCTTCCCCTCGTCAACAAGGCGGGCACGAGTCTCGCGTGCACGACCGAAAGCGATGCTGCGGCCAGGATCTCTGCTAGCGGCGCTACTGGTGGTGTTACAGGAAACGGTGCTGCCGACAACAACAACTCTGGCAACAACAACTCTGGCAACAACGCCAACAGCTCTTCCGCCGGAAATAACGCAGCAACCTCTACCCCAGCTCCGAGCAACGGCAGCGGCACCGCCAGCGGCGACTTCAAAGCCCAAAACGGCAGGGACGCACAGGCTCTCAACGCCCAATTCGCCAGCCTCACCCCCTCGTCGTCCTGCCAAGACGGTGCGCAAGCATGCGTGAATGGCGCATTCGCGCAGTGCGTCGGCGGGAAGTTCGTGCTCTCGCCGTGCGCCGCTACGCTCACCTGCGCGGCGCTTCCGTTGGTCAACAAGCCGGGAACTAGCATCACCTGTACCACCCAGGCCGACGCCGACGCCAGAATCGCTACGGCTCTTGGGGCTTGAACGCGAGGGCTTGCTGCTCTTTCTGTCCGATGATTTGATTTGTTCTTGTTCTGCCGTAACTTATAGTTATCTGTCCTTATGCTACCCACGCATTCCACTATCCTTTGAAAGGCTTTGTATCCGCTATCGAGCGCTAGCAATGTATCATTAGACCCATCCCAATGTAATTTGTACCATATCACTTGCGTGACCCTGAGCGACTTGGAAGAAATAACCCGCTTAGACCTTCCAAATACAACGATATGTCTACATTGATTCTGCAACTTACACGCCGACTTGAAAGGGTGGAACAACACCATATCTCGATTTTGGCAGCGGGCATTATATCGCAACTCCCCACTTTGCAACCACCTTGTTGATTTCTGGCAAGCTGCAATCTCCATCTTTGCCCTTTTCTCGAACCTTGTGGTTACATTGGGACTCCGGAAGCAGGCGAAGGAGTAATATATCCCTTGCATCTGCATCAACCTAAACGTCAATGGGGAACCCGGAGTCAACGAATCTTTGTTTACTTCGTGCACCGTTTCCTCGATTGTTGACGAGAACCATTGGAACGGATGTGATTTTTCACAACATAGTTGTCATTTGTGTCTCAGAATACGTAGTACTCTTACGCCTTTTCTACTCTAGTCCCATCTACACATCAACTTGTATCCTAGTTGCTTTGTGCCCCTACTAATACTCCTGAACTCCTTATTCTCGGGCGCTTATCAAGACTGGGACGGAGGCGTTATCCGGCCAACTCATTCTGGCCATCCGTGATTCCGTGATCATCGTTGAGAACGACTGGGTCCGTAGCGTGTACGATGGGGTGACCAGCGCAATGGCACCCAAATCTGCACCCATGCATGTGGTCGGCAAGGAGCTTTAGAAGAGCCATGGTTACGCGTTCTTTATTCTCTTCCCCCTTGTATTGTCTTTGAACTTTGACCTTGCGATGCTGTGTCGACAGGAGGACCAGCAGCCCAGGAAGGATGAACACCTCTTCCCATCGCGTTCACCGACATGGCTATATCTCAGCAGACCGCCTCATCAGGAAACCACAACCCCTCAGCACAAATCGTTGCTCATCAAAATCAGTATCGCCAGAGTAATAGGGCCCATGGACAAGCACCTTGCCTGCCGCAACCCGGCCGAGCCAGTGGTTCTCAGTCTACCTTTGTGCAGCCCGCCCGAAACATATTTCGTGCAAGTCCTGGGACCACCGGCAAATACCACCCATATCTTCCTACGCAGAGAAACCCGGTGGATCTGCCCCAGGCTCTACCGCCGACTTATCGAAAAGCCACTGGACATGGCTCGCGTTACAGAACTGACATGCCACCGCCGTCCGAGGTTCCTACTAATCGGCGGATGGCACCACCGCCTCGAGGAGCTACTGGAATTGTGGATGGGTTTGCACCTGGTCGTCGGGATGGATCCTCCGATTTCTTCTGGATGCCTGGCTCGCACACCCAATCTCCTCGGAAATCAGCGATAACGACACATTACAACTTGACGAGGAGCGCAACCACCAACGACACCCGGAAAATCGACGTACCAAAGCAATTTACGCCACGCTCAACACGCCCGAACCAGATGATCAAAAAACCAGTTACTCAGTTAGCGCACGATCTCGCGCCAAAGTCCCCCGACGTATACCCCAAGTACGAGGTGAAAGACGAGGAGGCGATGGCCACATCTCTCCCAAAATTCATGAAGAAGTACGCCCCACCGTTCGATCGCGACGTGAACAACGCACCGGCTCTACTAGTGGACGAGCCCTACTTACAGGACAAGTTCCCGTATCCTTGCAAAGACGTGGATGCGCAGACGAGGCACGCGTGTTTAATCGGCTATCCCATCAGACAGACAAGCCGCATCGTCGCCCCCGATTCTATCCTCCACCAATTGACTCGCGGGCCCGAATGGAACGACCCGATGATTTCTCTATTTGTCCCCGTTCGCATCCCCACACCCACCCTACCGTGAACATCTTAATATTGACGCTAAATTATCATTATAATTAAACTCCGGACTTCCTACCCACGAAACTGTATCCATAGTATATTACACGTATTTTCCTGATGTATTATATAGATCATCGTCCTCCATTGCATCCCGCTGCCCGCTTTCAAACAAGAATCAAGATGCTGTGTCAAGATGAACAATTGATACCGACCGAGGCCGTATAATTGTGGCTTCAGGATTGCTCAAAGTACCTTAGCCCCTTTTGGCGCCACCCTTTCCGTTCCTCCCTCATGCAGTTCTCCCCAAATCCATCCCTTTCGTCCTCTTCCAGAAGCTCGTCCTCCAAGCGAGAAAGCACGAGCACCACGAACACCGGCCCATTGCTGTACAATGAGGCTTGCCCCTCTTCGGCTCCCCCTACCGGCCTGTTCGACGCAGAAACGGGTGCAGAGCTCAAGCGACATCCAGACCTCTGGTTCCCTGATGGGAGCGTCATTTGCAGAGCAGAGAACCTCCTCTTCCGGGTGCACATGTACCAGCTAGCGAGGCGGTCAGTGTGCTTCAAGGATATGTTCGCGGTCCCGCAACCCAGATCGCCACATAAAGCCGGGAAGGCGAAGGCGATGGAGAATCTGAACTGCGTGCAGAGCCCCGATGCGTCCGACGAGCTTCTGCACGATATCACGGACTGCCCTACGCTGTGCCTGCAAGACAGGGCAGACGATGTCGCGAATCTGTTCGCTGCGCTGTACGACGGCCCGTAAGCGACCCACGTTCCCTTCATCTTGATATGATACATGATATGATGTGCGTGTGCTGATTTGGAGCTGCAGGAAGTTCGGCAATAATGATCACGATGATTTCAGAGTGGTCTCGGGGATTCTTCGGTTATCGACCAAGTACATTATCGAGTCGCTGCGCGTGCAGGCACTCGCGCATCTGAGCATTGCATGGCCAGATACGCTGAAAGTGTGGGACGCGAGGGAGGATTTGGCGCGGGCGTATGAGATGGAAACGGGGGCGCATCTGTATCCATCACCGCTGGTATGTCCATGCCGTATATCCCTGCACCCACAGCTTCTGAATGGACGTAGGCCGTGATCAGTCTCGCGAGGGAAGTCGACGCACCATCACTTCTGCCCTCCGCTTTCTATGACCTCTCGCGATACTCGTTCTCGCAGATATTCGAGCCTAGCGAGGACGAACCGCTTTACCACCCCCAATCCTCGACATATCCCCCGACACTCTCTAATCAAGATATCCAACGGCTCTCGCTTGGTAAAGAAGCTTCGCAACAGGCAATTACCACCCTCATTCAAGCCATGGGACAGAGCCAGTACTTTCGGCACCCCATGCACCTAGCCCAAATGCACTCTCGCTCGAAATCATCCAGCCTCTCCTCATCACCGGGCATATGCGTCTCCGCCGCCGCATGCCGGAAGGACTTCTCCGAACTCGTCGATCTCGCGACGCAGCACTATCTCTTCGATAGGGAGAAGGGGTGCAGCGATCCGCTGTATGTCGCCGAAGAGCTCGGACAGCTGAAGAGCGCGGAGTTCTCGGAGTGTAAGGCCTGTGCGAGGAGTCTGGAGAATTGGGCTGCGCGGGAAAGGGAGAGGATCTGGAAGATGGTGCCTACGTGGTTCAGACTGGAGCCGATAGACGCGGGAGGGTGTTCTACCACCAGCTGAGCGTCAGTCACTTGGTAGTAAACTGATTCCCTGATATCCCTATGCTACTGCTACAATACTCAAATCATGCCATGAAGGATAACGACCTCGAGTCTACGCTAGACAGGCTTACGTATTCTCCCCATCGCTGATACATTACTTCTCTTTCCTCTCAGTATTTTTAGTCAACGGAGTTGTACGCGACACATCATCCTTACAGAAGCTTTACTTTCCAACGTTAATTGACCATGTATTGAATAGTGTCTCGATCTAGATAATGATACAACATCTCTCAACTCGTCTCCCGGGTAGCCACGACAATAGTACATACTGACTACATACAACAAAGAAAATGTCAAGTGATGTACGGAAGGAGCCTCTTCACATGCTTCCTACGTAGTACGAGACGTTTCTATCTTGGGTAGTCGTAACGTTTACCTCGACGACAGAAGGGTGGCTTGCCTGCGACGAACAACGAACAGCACATTCATCAACATCAAACCAAGTGGCAGTTGATCGCCGCGAAAGAGCACTTACTTCGGTGTCCAGTGAATCTCTGGAGAAAAGAGGTAATCCGGCATCGTTGATGGTTGGCCTGCCTCCGCCGGGCGCTGAACGTGAATGAGGCAACGCGCGCACTTCCCCCAATTTGTTTATGTTGATGGATGCTTCGTGGGCTTGCAGCACAACGGTGGTGGACGGCCTTTTGTTGGCGTTGAAGTAGAATCGGGCGTTGAACCTATCGCGGAAAGCGGGGAGTGAGCTCGGTCGTACATACTTGACGAAGACACGCGGCAACTTACATTGCGATCAGGGAATTAACGTGAACTGGGGGGAAGGGTAGACGTAAGTGAGGAATAGGAAGATTGTAGGCGGTTAAGTTTAGTCACCTGTCATCAGTACGACACGGAAGGCTAGAAAGAGGAAAGAGGCCGGTTCGATGGAGACCTAGCAATTATCACCATGAGTGTCAGATGGAACTTTTTGGGGGCGCGTATAAGGATATATACATACCGCGATGAAAGCAGCGGCCGATAGGAAGCTGTTGGTTTGTCACCTCAAAATGGATGCAATGCATGTAGCACCTCGGAACTCACACTGGGATCATGCCCGTGTTCATGGCATATGCGACGAATAGAATGTTAGAGGAGGTAGCCCTAGAGTACCGACAGATAAGGAACTGGGTGAGACGCCGAGGCGAGGTCGCTCACCATGAAACCGAGGTCCGACGATGGAGGGACGCCGCTAGGATGATCGCCACGCAGAGATCCACTGCAAAGGAGAGACCTAAGTTGAGACGGTTCCAGAGCTATGGGCGCTGATATCAGAAAGTGAGATAAAATGGGCCGCCAACGAGGGCCTTACCATGATATGCTCGAATCCAGCCTTGATGCTTGCCCACGGGCCCCTAGAGAATGAGATGAGTTGCAAGTGAGCAGATGATTGTCACTTGAAGGTTACAATTTTGACGAGGCCACTGCAACAAATAATCAGTCAACAGCATGGACAAAGGTTGGTGGAAGTCGACTGACCTGCGCCTAGGGCTAAGGTAGTTGCGTCAGTAATATGTTCTTTGTCTTGGGAAAGCTTGAGTATGGCCTACCAAACGAAACTCCAATGAGGATTGCCTACGATGCAGCCCGTCAGAGGGTTGTCTACGAGCAAAAAAGCTATTACGAACCAACAAGAACGGCACGGTCTTGACGAGGAAATGTTCACGTTTTGAAACTGGGCCAGAGCCTCAGCGTCAACCCATCCAAGCAACAACAACGAACGTACGTTTCCATACCCGTAGGGCGTACAAGCTACAGGAAATAGCTCAATCCTAATGCAACAGTGGTGCTGATTGGGGTGCCTACCAGTGAACAATCCCAATTGTGAGGGTCTGCAGCAAATGAGTGCGCTGGCCACGATACGTTTTAGAATTACTCACCTGTAAAGCAAAGAACGCCTGTTTGATAGATGAACTCATTATGAACTGCTTGTAGGAGTATGTTACCAAGATATATTACCTTGCAAGACCAAATCAAACGGGGTCCGTCACCGTCGGGAGGCTGCAGGACGACGTAGTTGAAAAACGAATTCGCGAGGAACGCAAGATGGGCCAAATCTAGCACCCTGTACTACCTGCTTAGATCGATGGAGTTCGGTGGGCTCCAAGTTACCCACATAAGGAGTATTACCTATGAACAACATTAAGCTACTTCGCAACCTGTGCGGTAAGAACACAAGGCGGCGTACCACGGCTTTATGTCCAGCTGGATCTTTGCGATGTACAAGGAGGAACGTCGATGCCTGGATGGCGGTCATACCGAAAAGACTGTCTAGCATTAGCATACAAAGTTACATGATTCATGGATGAGCACAAACACGGCTGCGACCAAGAGGCCGGCGAACAGGATCCCCTCGTTCACTGCCCAAGTCGACATAGAGGAGGTACGAGTATGGGGTGTACAATGCTAGTGACGGGTCCGCTCCCCCATCCGAGGTTAATTAAAGGATTCATTCGCTCCTCTGACAAATCTGTTCATCAATGCATTATTCTGATGAATAGCATTCCCATGCGTCCGGGCCATGGGAAGGAATGTTCATCACAACTTCCTATACTTGAAGCTGTGGAAGGCTGTGATTGCGTGGACGCCGTGTCACCGTCCCAGGCTTGTAGGATAGGGTTCGTAAGTGAGTTGCCCCAGACGCCAACGTCTGTCGGCGAGCTCGGTCGTCAAAAGGGTTGATTGTAGATTGGCAGACGAGTTCCATGGGAAGGGCAAGCCTGAAACTGACGAGAGCGCCCTTTGACTGGACCTACAAGTGATTGTGATGCACTTTCATTGATCTGATCACTCTCCGTCGCGTCAAACGTGACGGGGAACAATTCTTGATTTATCATTAAGATAGAGCTAGAAGCGTATATAATGGGGAGATATTGAGGGTGAAAGGTCATCCTATAACAAGCGATGCGGCTATATCAGTTTGCTGAGTTCCCGAGAAGCAATGAATGATAAGAGTGGGAATCAGGCAAAAAGTAGTTGTCTCATGCCAACTTCTCAGGACACACCGGCAAGTGGTCCCGTAATGAGTCGTTGGCTCGAACGCAAATTACGAATAACATCACATAACGAGACAATATAAAACGCGAGCTTACCTTCAAAAAGACCAGCCTACGAGTGTTTTCCGTGTCGGAAGCGGCGAGGGCGCAGTGTCAGAGATGGAGCTATAAACCGCCACTATGGTACCACATCAATGATGGGTGAATGTGTGAAGTTGAAATGGATGATGGTGGTATGAAGGAAAGCGACGGTGCGACGGTTACCGTCTGTGAAAAATTTATAGGACCGGCGCTTGTGCAAGCGCCCAGACTTACTTCCTTGAAGAGTCAATTTGGTTAAACCACGATTCGTTGACAATTCGCCGGGTTGCGCTGAAATTGGGCATCCGTTAAGCTCTTCTGACCCAAATCAAGATGAACGGTAAAGACCTGAGGAATACCTCGAGGTAGCAGCCACTGCCCTTACCATGTCTTCCATTAATAACGGTTAACATCATTATGCCCGTTCCCGGCATTGCCCTGGAACCCTGGAATGCCTTTGCCAGTGTAGGAGGGGGGGCTCGGCCGTGAACAAATCAGCTTGCATAGGCATGTTTCGCGTATGCTTGGTAGTCGCCTATGTCATGGAAAACTGAAGGGTCTCAGTTCGAGCAAAGCCACGGAAGTCGAGACGATAGGCCAGACGCCGTGGCACTACACCGAGCCTGCGTCGCTTTCTGTCCAGTGCTGGCAATGTTGAACGCGAAGATTGTGGTGGGAAGGCGGGATACTGAGGAGCGAGAAAGCGAGACGGGACAACCATGTCTGTGTTGCAACACAGATGGGATATCTCAAGAAACTGAGCAAAAAGGTGTGACGAGAGTGGGATTCGAACCCACGCCCCGAAAGACCAGATTGATTGGTTGCTCATCAAATGAGCTGATCCTTAGTCTGGCGCCTTAGACCGCTCGGCCATCTCGCCTTGTTGATCTGTGCGGCAGTGACATGTTCATTCATTTCGACGAAACATTCACATTCGATATCGATAACGCTGCTAGTAATACAACAAAGGAGGGTCGGGGAGACGACAAAGGAAAACCCAGCTCCTTATCTCATTCTCATTGATGTTCAACTGTTTAATAGCCGACTTCGTTCCTCTCCCAAAGTCGGGACCTTCGTTCGCTCCCGGACCAAGTCGCGGGGAGAGTGACGAGGACGAAGTCCTCCGGTACGAAGGAGAATCGGCCAGATTGCCTGGGCTTGGATGGACGACTGATTCGCTTCCACCACAGGACCATCTTTCGCTTCAGCGACTGTTTTTTCGGCTGGGGGCGAGGGCGCAGAGGCTCCCGCTGCGCGATGATACTAGCTGATCGTTTGCGCCTGCGACGGGGCGAAGAACGGTCAGCTGGGATATACAGAGCTCGGAGGCAGTGGTTTGCTTACACGAACGTCTTCCTGAGCGTGCGACGGGGCGTCACCCCGTGGATGAACCATCGCAGAGCAGGCATGATGATGGAAAGATAGAAAGATAGATGGGTTCAAATGAAAGTGAAGAAGATCGAGCGCGTGTTCTAGTCGCGGGATCGTGAAAGATATGATCAGCTTCCACCAGGGAGCGATGTTATGGGCGTGAGATGGGAGGTCTTCTTCGTGCATTGGATGGACTATTTAAATCCTCTGGAAGATAGCCACTGCTCTGTGAACAAAGCAAGTACGGTAACGAGCGCTATTTAGCGAGGAATAAAGGAATACTGTACTTTGTTCTAATCAGAGGCCACGGGATATGATTGGAAGGGGGATATAGAGCTGTCCTAGCGAGGTTCTGGACATGTCTCTACTCGCGCCGGTGCCGCGAGTCTCCGATCTTGATATACAAGCGTGCATCGTACTGAGAGTGACGTACCACAACACCTAAAATCCTGCCCAATGTCGACTTTCCAAGGACGTAAACGGGAGCATAGGCGTCATCAGTGTGCATTTCTGTTGAACGTTGATGACATGCTACCACTCGAGTCTTACAATTAAAGTCTCAAGGAGGGTCCAGAGAATCCGAATTCATGTCTATTTCTGAACTCTATGTCTAAACCAATGTCTAAAACAACCACGGACCAACTACATGATCAAGGTCAGTCCCGAATCACACCCTCTTGGATCCAGATCATCAAAGGAAGTACTAACCTCGCCCTCGTGCACCCTCTGGCTTGATCTGCAAACAACTCTGGTGGATGAGGTTGAGCGCCTTGACCGCGTCCCTCGCGTCGATGACACACGAGATATTGATCTCGCTCGCGCCTTGGCTGATCATCTCGATGTTGACGTTGCCCTGTGCGAGGGTGGTGAACATGCGCCCCGCGATACCGACCATGTTCCGCATCTGCTTCCCGACGAGGGAGAGAATAGCCATGTCGCGGTGGACGGACACCTATTTATTGCAAACCAGTTGAGCGATCACAGTGGTAACAAGGGATAAGAGAGAGAAGAGAGAAGGACGTGGATAACGCACCGTCCCGCTTTTTTTGAGGTCGTTCACCAGCCTATCAAGGATCTTGCGCGCCAGCCCGTCCTCAATCGCCATACTAACGTGGACCTCGCTCGTGCTAATCAGGTCCACCACCACCCCGAATCGATCCAGCGTGCTGAATATCCCTGCGAGGAAGCCATGCGAGACGGACTTTCTGTTCGAGTTGACGTTGAGGATGATGATATGTTCTTTGATGGTAACGGCTGTGGGAAGCTTCCGTTGTGGACGGTCGTCTGACGACACGGACAAGGACCGCGTCCCTGAGAGGGAGGCAGATATATCGAGGGCATCGACAGCATCAATGTCGGAATCGGGGTGTATGACGGTGCCTCCACCCTCTGGATTCTCGACATTCTTGATGCGGATGGGGATCTTCTTCCTTATGACCTTCAATCAAAAGCATCAGCCAGTTATGAGCAACCGATGGAAGAGGTGACACTGACCTGCTCCATCGTGAATGGGTGTACGACCTCGCTCCCATAATATGTCAACTCTGCTGCCTCTTCCGGGGATATGATAGGTATAAGGCGCGCCGTCGGTACCTTACGCGGATCAGCGGTGAAGATCCCGTCTACTTCTTTCCATATCTGCAGCTCGTCGGCCTCCAGGCCAACGGCAAGGAGCGCAGAACAAAGGTCGGTGTACCCCCGGCCGACTTGCTGAAGAAGCGAGCCAGGGACCTGGCCGAAGAATCCTGTGACGACGGGAACTCTGGGCGCGCATTGCCTGATTCGCTCGCCTAAAGCAACGGACAGTCTGTCGTAGAACGTTTGGTCGAGCGTGCCGGGCGAAGCACCGTCCTCGGTTTCGTCATCGAGGATGATGTCTTCGAGGGACACAAATTCTGCGTCCACGCCCTGGTCGCGAAGAGCAGCGGTCATAATCTTGCAGCCCAATTTCTCGCCTAGACCGACGATGCTGTCCTTGGATCTTGGAGAGATTTCATCGATAACCTACGCATGAGAAGGGGAAGCATAATGGAATGAACAGTAGTCAAACATCCGACCAATGGCAGACGTAATCGAATGGACTTACTTGGGCAGCAGATAAAAACCCTCGCAGCCACTCGCAATCGCGTTCGATTTCGGTTTCTAGCTCTTTCAGTATTGTGGGGTCCTTTACTGCATCGCTTGCCGCTGATAGGTGCTCCCGGCGCAGGAGATCGACCGTGTCGATGAAGTTTGGGGACGTGGAGATGGAGGTCAGGGATCCGAATCCAGGATGTGGTGACCCTGCGCTGGGCGATTGGCGGCTCTCTGGCGGTGACGCAGAGTACTCGAAAGGCTTCGGGACTGGGGACATGAAACCGGGGGTTCCAGCGGGTTTATTCCGTGGGGGACGAGTCAGTGCCTCCGCGGCTGCCCGAAGTAGAAGATTGGTGGTGCCGAGTGCTTTGGTCGACCCCGAACGAGCTGAACAGACGACAGCAACTTTGTATTGGTCTATGTAGTTCCTACTCATCGTTAGAACTTCGTTGCAGAGTGATTGTGGAGATGAACATACGGGACGATATTGGATGCTATCTGAACAGGGAATTTACCAACACTTGTGCCTCCAAACTTTTGGACCAACCATTTTGCGTTGGGATCGATGGTGTTTTGGTGAAGATTTGGAGGTGTACGCGGTGAGGGTGACGGGCTTGAGGAGTCTGGGGTCAGCGAACCCGACATTTCGATGGTGGTACGAAAAAAAGAAGATACGAGGTCAAATCGAGGTGGCCCCCTTTTCAGCTTTAGTACGTCCGAGAGTCCGAGTCATGTCGTAGATTAGATTAGATAAGGTCGACTCGGAGCGCTAAAGGGTAGATAAGATAATCGATTGGCACTTGAAGTAAGAAATACTACAGCTTTTTCACTAGCAACAAAGCCAGCGGGAACTCAATATCAACCTCGTCCGCATCATTTGATACAGCGGCTCCCTCCTTCAACGACTTCCAGAACCTTGTCGCAATATCTCCATCGGCGTGCTCCGCGTCATCGGGATACTTCTCCTGGAACGTATTCAATGAACTCCAGGTATGGAGGTACGCTAGCAGATCAGTCCAGGTCATGCGCTTCCTCAAGATGACAGGGAGCTTCGGGTCAGGGAGGAGTGGATAGTGGTCCCCGGTGAAGTATACGCGCTGGAGTTTGGCGAAGGCGCCGGGGCCGAGTATGTCTGCTGGCTCGGGGACGGCGAGAAGGTGGTCTTCGAGGATACGCCGGCCTGGTTGCTGCCAGTAAGGCCCGAGTGAGTTCTCTGGATCCTTCCCCTGCGCATAGTCGGTGATGAGCGGGGTTAGGGATGGATGTCGGCTGAAGCGGAATTCGGAATACACCTGTAGATATCGAAATGAGAATTCGATTGGAGTTGGAAGTTGGAGTGAAGTACGTACCCAGAACGCAGCACTACCGCCCGGTCGGAGCACCCTTGCGAATTCAGGCCACGCTTTCTGCCATGTAAACCAATGGCATGCTTGAGCTGTTGAGTGGGTAAGCCCGTAAGTTCCACGAGGGACTGCATACATGAATACGACGATCACTTACCAGCGGTAATCAGATCAACAGTGCCGTCTTCTAAGAACTCCAGGCTTTCTGCTGAGGACTGAACAAAGTCGAACTGCGCCGAATGCTCGAGCCCGAGAGAAGCAACGCTGGACCGTGCACCTTCAATCATCTTCTCCGATGGGTCGACGCCCGTAACCCGTTTGAAAGGCGTTAGCTCGGTAGTTGCTTGTCCTGATAAGTGCGTTTAGTGTTTCAGTGGAAAGAGGCTGGCGAAGTGAACCTGGTACACCTGTGCCGCATCCTAGATCTACCGCGCGATTCCAACGACAAGGAGGAAATTTGACGCCGCTGGGGCTGGTTCCTGCGATGGGGGACGCTGTTCCGTGCTCGTGAAACTTGAAGATCAAGTCATATAGCTGCCGAGGGTAGTTGGGACGGAATGAGGCGTAGATGGAGGTGTTGAACGACTGTTTGGCGAATGTGGCCATTGCTCAATTGGGCGTGTTGCGCAAGGCCGTCGCTCCACCGTTTGCTCATGTGCGAAGAAGTCCGCTGCCAAACGATGTGAGAATATGTGCTAATGTATTGTGCAATGAGTATTTATACATGAAATCATCGTCTAACGTGTCAGTATGTAAGGAAGTGAGTATACGTGAAATGCGTTGATGTAAACAGATACGTCTAGGAGAGAAAACGAGAGCTACGAGAGGCACCGAGGAGCGAGAAAGCATCAGAAAGTAATGGAAAGGGATCACAACTCCTCTACGACGTCCCGTACGATGGGGGACCTGCAAGTAATGGTCAGTTCGTCGCCACATATGCGTACTAGAGAAGAACATACCAGGAGACCTAGGGGCTTGCAGAACATTGATGAGAGTGGCACGATCGTCGTCAGTCAACTCGTTCGCCAACCGCGTCAAGCCGTCCATCGTCGCTTTACGGTCTTCAGCAGCAAGAGCAGCAAGCTTTCGAATGAGATCGTCCGCCTTGAGCTGCACAAGAGTCTTCGATAGATCAAGTTGCTCAATGGACTCGGCGACCTCTTGGTCCGTCGACTCGACGTCCATGGAAAGGATGTTGTCCAATAGGCGCGAACGGTAAGCAGGAGTCGAATCAGGACTGGCCTCAGCGAGGAGACTGAGGGCACGAGAACGAGCGATCCGAGCACGAAGCCTCCAGTAGAAGTAGCGGCGAGCGTTCTTCCATTGCGCGGGCTTAGCGCATCCTTTAGCCTCCATACGTCCAACGCGACTGGGAAACGGTTAAATCAGTTTCAGAAGGAGCATTAAGATGAAGCAGGAGGACTTACTCATGCAGATCAGCGTATAAGAGCGCAACTTGCTTGTAAGTTGGTTGGAGGAAGGTCTCCCGTGCTTTGAGGGCAGCCGACGCCGTCGAGCGCTCTTCATCGCTCTTAGCTGGGTCTTTGCTGTCGCGCTTGTGCGAGGCGTACTCGGGGTCAAGACGCTCCATCAATGCCAGAATCTTGTCGCGACGCATCTTGATCTCGACGACACCCTCTGGTTCAAGAACACCCGCACGAGCGTCGACGTCCGCGTACATCTCCATCTGATCGGTGTTGATGGACGGGTCCAAGACGACCCAAGCACCACCACGCAGTTCGCCATTCGGCACGATGTACACGAACACGGGCTGCTTGTAGCTGGACAGACCGTCGACGATCTTCGACCCTTGCTTCAGGATCTCGTCGTACATGTCCTGCTGTCCTCCGGAGAAGCCACGCCAGTTGGCGAAGATTATCAAAGGCAGGCCTTCGCGGTTGAAGTCGAAGATGGCTTGGGCCGTCTTGTAGGCGGAGTTGGGATACCAGACTTGACCGGCCTCCATGATTCGTTGTTCGAACGACGCCGGGTTGGCGGGATCAGCGGGAACGATACGCTCGATAGTACGAGTCTCCACGGCAATGACACCCGTCGGAACGCCGCCGAGTCGGGCACGTCCAACAACCACGGTCTGCGCCCACCCACTGAGCGTCTCTTGGAATGAGCCCTTGTCGAAGAAACCACTGAGCCATTCGGAGGACGTCTCGTCTTCTTTACCCTCGATGAACCATCTCGGATCGTAAGCCCCCTTGGGCGGCGTGTAACCGATGTCGCGATCCCACGGGTCAACGGAGTCGATGATAGGAAGAGGAGCACCTTTGAACTCCGGAACATAAGATAACCATTCGAGTATCTGGGTTGCACCCGAAAGGTCGCTGCTGGCGGTAAGGTGAGACACACCGTTCTTGAACATGATCTGGGTACCTCCGAGCTGCAAGTTTGACGTGTAGACCTCGCGACCGAGGACTTTGTTGAGCGCGGGTGCTCCGGTCAGGATGATAGGCTGGCCTTCCACTTGCACGGCACGTTCTCCGAGGCGCACGAGGTAGGCGCCGATACCCACAGAGCGAGCAGTAACGAGGGTGATCGTGAAGATATCGTCGTAAGCGCGAGATGTTTCGCCAGCAATCAGGCCCGATCCTTTCAATGATTCAACACCAAGGCCGTCCTGCAGGCCGATGATGTCGGTGACCTTGTGGCGGCGTTCGCCGTCTTCTTCGACCTCGACGGTGCGGACTGCACCAGCACCCTTCTCCTGGAGCTTGAGATAGTTCTCATGCGTAAGATACAAGTAGTTGACGCCCTTTTCTGGTTGATCTGGCGTGTTCCACGCACACGAGAAGAGGTTCATGATCTCATCAGCTAACCCAATGCGAGCACCGGAATTCGCAGATAGATAGATCCTCGGCAGACCAAGGTTGCGAGCGTATAGAGTCACCAGATAGAAGAACTGATCTTCGATGGGGCCGAAGGAACCAATCTTATAGGTGATGTCGTTGGCGATGACGACGACCTTGCGACCTTCAGGGAATTCGGGGGTTCGTAGCGTAAATACCCATGCAACCATACCGAAGGTGTTGTTGCCTGGTGCTCTGTCGACTTCAGCGAGTTGATCATGCTCGTCCAAGACCAGTTCCTTGGAATCCAGGTACTTCTTTGGAGGCACTAACGACGAGCTCGTCTGGCGAGCTTTCACCCATACGTTTTGCAGCGCTTTCGAGAAGAGGTCGGGGAAGTCATAGACGTAAGTGGTCCCGATGAGATGGGCCTGGTAACGTTTCGGTTGGAGGGATTCCTTCGTAGGATAGGCTTGGTGGACTGGTTGCAAGTGCAGCGGTCCCTTCTCGCCGATGGACTTGAGAATGGTAGTTCCTTTATCGGTGGTGATTTCCTGATAACCGTGGTAGTTGACGATAAAGCCAGAGACGTTCTCGATGATGCAACGGATGGGAGTGACGTTTCCTTCGCTATCTTCCAATGCGATGCGGATTTCGGAACCAGTAACGTGGAGACGCCATAGGCGTTTACCGTGGCGCTCGATGAAACCAGAAATAGCAGCCAGGACATCGTCATACGTCACAGGAAGGTTGTAGACGAAGTTCATAAAGATGTGGTTGCAGTCAGCATTCCTGTGCTGTGCGCTGACGACTTCCAGGGCATCCAGAACGCCAGTAACCAAACGATCAGTTTCAGAGATGAGGTATTCGGCCATGCTCATGGAACCGCGAATGCGTCCAGGTCGAACGAGAGCACGGATGAAGAAACGATTGTCGAGTTGGTTTTCCCTCGCCACGGCATGGTAGACGTGTACTTGTTTTGTCTCGACGAAGCAGGGCGTGAGGTTGTAGTTTGACAAGCGACTGAGTTCGAGTTGGTAGGCGAGGGCAGGCTCGATGTTACGGATGGCCTGCTCTTCTCCCCATGCACCGTCGATCTCGCGCAGTGTGATGTAGACAGGGTACTGACTCCTGCGGCAAACAAAGGTGGTGATACGTCGGACACCGTGGGTGGCCAGAGTCGAAGACTTGCTATTGACGAAGGCAATAATGGCCTTGAACCATTCATCATCGGACATGTCATCTTCTTCGTTGAACACACGAAGGGCGATATTGATGACGTTTGGTGCTTGGCTGTTGGCGCCGTAGCGTTGTTGGAATTCGGCATAGTCGAACGGTGGAAGCGTGGAGACAACTCTATCAAAGCCGCCCGATAGATCGTCCAAGTTATCGAACGACGCGATGGCACCAGTGCGGACGGGCTGCGAGTAGCTGCGACTGATCAAGTATGTGAGATCACTGACGGAGCCTGATCGGCGATTTTCTCTGTAATTGTTTTTGTCAGCGCAAGCTAGTGAAGAAATGGTTGAACCCTCACCCTAACGCCAAACGAGGTGTCGAAGGAGGGGAGTGGCTTTGGCCTAGGTTGAAGCGCCATGTCACAACGGATGGAGCTTCGGCATCCTCTGGATCGCCCTCTTCGTAGTCAATGGACAGGAGCGAGTAGGCACGATAGGAGCGGCGGACGTAGACTTCCAATGCGGCTGAGTAGACTGTTAGCCAAATTCGAAACCAACAGATTTGATGCATACCAAGTGTAACCAAGGGGTCTTCATGGCTGAAGAAAGCGGGAAGAACGTCGAACACGGTGTAGCGCGAGTCACTTAGTTCTTTGAGTATCTCAGCAGACGGTGTGCTAGAGTAGTGTCAGCATTAGACCGCACGAAGAGTCTTGCAAGCGCGTACCGAGAGCCAGTTTCCTGCTCGCCGTAGACGTTATTGGAAACTGCGGTCTTGATGATAGTCTCCATCTGAAGTAGGCGCTCCTCGTATGAAGGCATTTGTCCTAGAATAAGAACTTCCCGAGCCTTCAAAGAGACTTGCGTTGACGATCTAGGTTACGATGATAAGAACAAAGGATAGAAAGCATTCAATGAAAGCGTACTTTGCTTCAAGGGCTGCTAGATTCTGCAAAACCTGGTAAAGTCTGCTCTCGGTGTTGGCAACATTCAAACCGGTAGACTTGATGCAATCAAGAAGAGCGAGGACCAGCTTAGCCTTGCTCTGTGCTTTGATGTGGCTCAAGACCAAGCCAACGACTTTGTCGAGATCATCCTTGTTTGCCTCACGGAGCGCGAGGACTCGGGCTTCAATACTGCCGCCAAACAGCTTTTCCGTCGACTCGTAACGTTCGAGCAAGTTGGCGATGGTAGCAAGCTCGTGGCCCTTCAGCCCACCAGAGTAGCGTTCCAGAACGTCGAAGAAGGCCTCAAGTTTCGAACGGAACATAGCGCGATCCTGAGGAAGGACGTTGTCCTGAACGTAGTGTTCGAGGATTCTCTTCAATCGGTTATGAGGGAACTCGTTGTGTCCACCGCTCTTCGACTTAGCAGCGTCCAGAGCAGCCCGGATGCTGTCTTCAAGCTTGGAGGGCATACGCCCCGAAAGTGCACCCAGGATGGCGCTGACCTCGGAATACGGAAGTTCGGGATCGTGGAGGACCTCGAGGAGTTCCTTCAGAGTAGAGTTCATGATGGACTGGTTGTCGAAGCCATCTAGAATGTCGTTAAGAATGCCGATGCTGTGGTAAAGACGCTGGTGCGGCTTTCCACCAACGACAGCCGGGAGACCCAACGCTGGAAGGAGGCCCTCGAATGGCTTAGCGTGTTTGACACGACCGGGGTCATCGAGTGTCAATATACCAAGAATGTCACCAGGCTCAAGACTGACTCCGGGCTGCTTAACGAGCTGAACGGTACCATCTTCTGATGCGACAAGAGGCATGTACATCTTCATAACCTGGAGTGAAACAATAAGTTAGCTGGACATTCGTGTGGGGAGGGCGCTTACTTCTATCTCGGCGTACTGGTCACCAGCGTTGACATGATCTCCACTGTCAACGAGATACCTGACTAGTTTACCAGGACTGGGACTCCTGAGCTGAGTAGGATCGTTCTCTTGCTCGATTAGGCAAGTCTTTGCATCGACCATTAATCTGAGAGCACCGACTTCCTCGCGCCAGTATACAGCGTGACTCTTGCCGTCGAGGAGGACCAAAAGCCCACCATCAGCAAGGGGACGAGCGCCAACCATAGTGCGGCCACCGTTAAGGAAGAGCGTCCAGGTGGTCAGAGCCGAGCGAGCAGCGGTGAAGTTGTATCGGAAGTTTTCGTAGATGAAGTCGATACTGAAAACAGTCTTGAGGACATCGCGCGCAGGGACTTGTCCCTTGTCGAGAATGCGCTTGTATTCGGTCCAGCAGGCTTCCGAGCTAAGGTAGGCCTTTGTGACGGCGCCACAAATAACCGCCAAAGTGGCATCAGGGCGTTCAGCCGTAAGCTTGCTGCTGATCAAAGAGTCGAGCCATCCGGTGGTGATGGTGTTGTTCTTGAAGGCTTCCAATTCGAGGAGCTTGATAAGATACTCGACAGTAGTCCGGAAGTCACCACGAATGCTAAGCTCTTTTAGGGCGACGATCATATTCTTGCGACTTTCCGAACGGTCTTCACCATATGCGAAGATGTGACCGAACTGTGAATCAGCAAATTCGTGCAATCCTCCTGCGGTGGTAACGGAGAAGTAACCCCAAACGTTTGTGCTAGAGCGGAAGTTGAGCTCTTGGATCGACCCGGAAGAAGGCTTGAACCCGGCATCGGGATTTTCAGCAGTGATACGGACGGCTACAACATGTCCTTTGGGGCGAGGCTTACGCTGCAGTGAATTGGCCTCTGGAGTTGTCATATCGAAGTCGATTTCGGACGTGCCGTGAGGGCCGACGCCGTAAAGTTGTCGGATATCACGAATGCGGTGCAGTGGAACACCCATAGCGACTTGCAATTGTGCGGCCGGGAGATTGACACCGGATACCATCTCGGTAGTCGGATGCTCGACTTGAAGACGAGGGTTCAATTCGAGGAAGTAGAAGTAATCATCGGCGTGACTGTAGAGATCTGAGAAAACGCGTCAGTTCGAGATACGAACCGCAAGACGCAGAGAAAATCCTACATTCAACAGTTCCGGCGCTAACATAACCAACAAGTTTCGCCAATCGTACAGCGGCGCGTTCCATCTCTTCGAACGTGTCTTCTTTGGCAATCGTCACGGGAGCCTCCTCGATAATCTTCTGGTGCCGTCTTTGCACGGAGCAATCGCGTCCGAATAGGGAAATGGCGTTTCCGTATTGATCAGCCAAAAGCTGGACCTCCAAATGTCTTGCCTTCCCAGCTAGCTTCATGATGAAGATGGGCGAACCTTTGGAAGCGACGGGCGTAAGTTTAGCATAACTGTCGATGCGTGAAGCTATCACCTGGAATCTCTCCTGCAACGGCATGGAACGCGTTTTTGAATGCTTCGGGGCGATCGACCATGCGGATACCTTTTCCTCCACCACCTTCGCTAGCTTTGATCATGACTGGGTAACCAATTGTATCCGCCTTGATCAGACCTTCCTCGACGGTCGTGACACACGCGTCCATATAGGCCTTCTCGGGAACAGTGACGAACCCCTGGGGCGATAATATCGTATCAGAGATTCCTGTGCCCGACCATGGCATTGTTGGTACATCTGCACTTTGGGCAACAATCGTACTCGAGATCTTGTCACCCAAACTTCTCATGGCGCTTCCAGGTGGGCCGATGAAGACAATCTTATGCTTACTTGCTGCGAGACTCTCAGGGAGACGGGGATTCTCTGATGCGTGGCCCCAACCGGCCCATACTGCGTGTACCCCGGCGCGCTCAGCTACATCGACGATCAAGTCGACATTCGCGTAGTTGTGATTGTTCGTTCCGCCTGGAACCTCGATGTATCGATCGGCCATGCGAATATACTCGGCGTTGACCTTGAGATCTTCGGGAGTCGCCATCACCGTGAATTCTATGGCCCTCTCCTCGCCGAATGTCTCGTAACTCCATTGTCGGATTGATCTGATCTCTTTGACGGCGGCGATACCTGGAGCACGGGTTAATGGATGTAGAAAACAGGTTCGATGGGAACGAGGTACCGTTGTTTGCGATGAGAACCTGGTACGGAAGCAAATCGTGAGTGCCCGAGAAAATAGGGACGCGTCGCGCGTAGACCCGGGTGAGAAGCGTCCACTTACCTTGGTTATGACTGTATGTCCACCATTCGTTTTGACGAAATCCTGCACTTTGCCTGCTGGGGCCTTGTCCAGTGAATTCCCCCCTGCACCGTACACGACGTTCAGGAAACGAAACTCAGATGTGAGCTGATGGCACGAACCTATGAAATGAGCAACTCTGCCGTGATCGTACGCAGACATGATGATGGTCAGAAGGAAAGAAGGGATTCGCTTCCAAAGTCCTTCCTATGGCCGTCTTTTTCGTGAGTTGAGGGATGGGGGAGAGGGTGCCGACCTAATCCCACAGTTGGTCTTTTTAAATTTGCCCACTCTGGGGTCAAGCCCGTCCCCAAAATTATAGGAATTACGTCAGCGCCGCCAAATCTTGACCTGAGTCCTTCTCCTCATCTTCTCCGTGTACTCCGTGCTTGCCGTCGCCTGGATGGAGCGTGTCGCTGTTGGCGTCGGACTACGCAGTGGACTCGTCGTTTTCGATTCGGCCCAAAAACACCTGCACTCCGAGTCCATTACCATCTATGGTCATCTCAGCGACTCAACATCAACGCGCCTGGATCCCGAAGCGGGACGGTCGAGAGGTCGAAAGGGGCGCAATCCCGTGCGGGAAGATTTTGCATCAGCCTCCATGGCTTTGCGTAATTGGGATTGTATGGCTTCGACACGTCGGATCACTGCAACGCCGCTCACGCTGTTGGGCGTGGAGTAGAGGTCAAACAAATGCGAAGGGACATCGGGGATATTGTGCGGTCAAAGACGTGGATCAACTCTGCGAGCGAGCCCTTGCTGATTCCATCAGAACATCGTCTGTTCAATTGGCCATAGACCGCTGAGCGCATCACAGCAATTCAATGCCCTAGGACGGTCGAAGATGATCGAGGGACATACCTCGAAGGGGGAGTTCCTAGCAGCCCAAGATTCCTACTTGAAGGCATGTCTGTTCTCATCCCCACCACGGACAAGCGAACTCGCAAATACCCAGCGATATGACTTGTGGATATACTGATATTCCCGCTCAGTGGTCTCAGATCGCAGTCCTCACTGACTCGTAATCACTACACAATCCGATTTGCTTTGACCGCCATTGGTATGACCGCCTTGATCCTCGACGCCGAGGAAACAACCAGATTGCATATCTACAATCAGAACGTGGCCCGGGTTACCATTCGCGACCTTAGAACGACTATCAATACGACGGAACATCGGTCCCCTGCGTGTAGACTCACAAATGGGGAATAGATACTCTATGGCACAACATGTAACCTTTGAAAACATCATGGTCAATCCCAAACTATTTGAACCAGAGGTGTAGGTTTGTTGGCTCAATTTAAGGCGCTTCAGGGGCTACCCCTAGCCGGAAGTAAATCGGGCAGGGGCTTCAACCAATACAACCCTTATCTACTTCCTGAATCGCCTGCCCCCCCTCTTCAAAATTCACATCACAATTAATCCAAAGCAAGACCATTTCTAACCAGAACGTACGATTGCTCCCAGGTCGACAACGTGGCGATGCACCTCGATAGGGATCAAATATTCTCGTTCTAGACATGTGGACGGCACATCTCTTCGTATCTCGCATCAAAAAGCCGTCGGCCGTCTAGACAGTCAATAATCTTCTCCTTAATCGTCTAGACGTCTATATGTAACGTCGGGTGCCGGTGACCCTTCTCACTGTTATATGATTAGATAACGGTGGTAGCCTAACCGTCGTTCCTGTGTGACGCGTCTCGAGTTCTCAAGAACGGCGAGGTCTATTGCTCTGCCGCAGCCATGAGTATGAGACACTGCGGTGCTCAGGACCGTGAGCTTGTCATGAGCAAGTTGCACATGCTCCTGTCGCCCTACAGGCGTCTGCACATGGCCTTGGCAACACAGACTGGGGAACAGTAGTGATGTACTCCACGCTGCGCAGATGGTGCAACATAAGTACTAAGCTTAGAAACACGACTGAGCCTCTCACTGGTGCGGTCACCACATGTACTTGCGGATTGGGATGATCATCAGAACTGGTGGGGTGTGGGTCTCTCCTCAAACTTTGGCTTTCTTCTTGATTTCTAGCGGTATTTCGACAGTTCCTTTCTCGCCTGCTGTTGCCTCAGTGCCGTTACATGTGAGTCTCGGCGGTAACTTTAGAAAGAATAGATGCATCGGCAACCTCACCGCTCCAACCTCTCCCTAAGTATAGAATGTCAACACATGGGCGACATTGGTTCAACTTCTGACCTCAACATATAGAGACTGATCGGAGAAGGCGCAGATTCGTATCACTGGGGTTACTAGGGGAAGTCCAACCTCGCTGCCGCAATGTTATCACGTACTACACCATCCCACGTCCAACTGCAACATGAGTCGCGCAACAAGGCTTCGAAATTCGTTCGCATGATTGGTGTCATTAGAAGTTAATGAACCACAAGGAGGGGAACGTGCATCGGTGCACGCGCTAGAACACTGTTGTCATTACAGTCGTTATATCCTCGTACCGGTATGAATTGCTTCCGTAGCCCGGCCAGTGTCACATTGCGCTATCTTTAGTACATGTACTAAATCCGTTGCGCGATGTTGCTTTAATCCGCTTCCGTGGCCGTGAGTTGGGTTTCTGCGGGCCTGAGGTGATAAATGGGCCTCAGCGCGTCGAAGAACGGTGTTTGATAGACCACGACTGCAGGTCGAGCTGAGCATGTGGCACGATTTGAGAATAGACATCACATTTCTCCCGCAAACCAATGTGACGGCATTAATAGACGCAGGAGTCTGTGCTGCTGCATGGGTGCTGATGTAAATCCCGAACATGCAGCAGCGTTCCTGACGTGTTCCCCACATTAATTGAGGGTGGCATCCATGTAATATATCGACAGACAGCCATTAAAATAGGCCAGACGGACAGAAAGCTGCGTGTGACGATAGAACAGTAGTCGCATGTGGACCAGATCATTTTGACGGCCAGAATGGCTGGATTCTGTGGTTAAAGAGATGGCGCGAAGGAAAGGTGAGTAGGCTTGAAGCAGGCCATGTGCAGCCTAGTCTTGAATACGCGCTTAGACCACGTGCTCGTCAACCCTGTCCTCTCCTTTAATCCTGTTCGACGCCTCACGCTTTCCTTCCATCTTTCATCTCATCCGTGTAGCTTGCACCAAGCGTGAGGTACGCACCTTGTCCAAGTTCTGTATAAAAGACCCCTTGCAGCGCAGCTCACCCCAGACTCCAGATCCGTACGCACACCCCCACATACCGCATACTGCAATGGATACAAAACTCGACAGCACCTCCTCTTCCACCGACGCCGGGTCCCATGCAAAGGACGCCGGAAGCAGTGTCGGAGGCCCCAAGGCCATCATTAAGAACGTCGATATGAGCGAGGAGATGCAGCAGGAGAGCGTGGACATCGCGTCGGCAGCTCTCGAAAAATACAACATCGAAAAAGACATAGCTGCCTACATCAAGAAGGAGTTCGACCGAAAGCACACTCCTACATGGCACGTCGTTGTAGGCAAGAACTTTGGGAGTTATGTAACTCATGGTCAGTGAACAAATCTCACCCGTCCGACGGCCACCTTCCCACCCCACCGTTTTCAACGTGGCCTTGGGAGTATCTTTCGTATTCGTGCATGCATGGGGCTGACATCGCTTGTGGTCTAGAAACGAAGCACTTCATCTACTTCTACGTTGGCTCACTGGCAATCCTTATCTGGAAGTCATAGAGGCGATCACGAGGGGATGGGGAGACCGTCGCCGGATTCGAGACATAACTCGATGGGTTGTTAGATGTTACATACTGTCGCCACCACACTCCAATGGATACTTGCCTATAATGTTATGTATTCTCGTTGCTTCGCTTTCTCCTGTCTGCAATCATAGAACCAGTTATTTCAAGCCAAATACGATTACATGGATTATAGGTTTGTGCACAGCGCATTAGGAATATGGATACAGTATGTGGGTATAACACTGGGGATGTCTATGGTATAGTCTGCAGTCTAGTAACTGGCTGGTAACACAAATTTACGGATTTAAATCCGATAACGCTGTTATCGAAAATTAGCGACGAACTACCGAACGGGAAGGTCGTGGCCACGTACCTTATGGCACTGGGAGGGTTACCCTCTGGCGACGACCTCTACAGCCACTCGTGCGACACATTTATCTTCTCCGGAGTAGATCTCAACGTCGTAATCGGCAATATCATCCGGTCCAGGTGTGCCGTAGAACTCGATGCTTCCTTGTTGTTTCCCTCTTAAATCAGCGCGCAAGAACTTCGGCAGAGGGAGGCCTGATGCGAGCCTCGCAGTCAGACTACGTGGTTGCAGATACGTGGTAGGTGAATCCTCTAGGAAAACGGGAACTCTGAAATGGAATTTCTGCTCCGCTCGCACGAGCATTCTCTGCATTGATGGCCCAGAATGGTCATAGTGCGATGACTCGAGTGAAGAGAACGAGGATCTGGCATTCGTGGACACCGTTGGCATAGAGGCATTGGTCCCGACGGTCCGCTGATCGGCGCCCAAAGCACGAACATAGTGGATCCCAAGGCTGAGGTCATCACCGCTACCACTCTTCTCGGTATCGTGGACTATCTGGGCTTTCTGACTTGGAATCCGTCTGCTCTTTCCGCCTTCCTTACCCGATCCAGTTGGGATGCGCGGCACCGGGACACGGGTTGAGCTTGTAAAGGGTACAATGCGAGGCCGAGTGGCTGGAGGGAGCTGAGGGGTGTCGAGTCCGACACTGCGTATGCTCGTTGCTCGGGTCGCCGTATGCACCACAGCTTCGGCTGCGTGCGTCTCTGCCGAGGCCAATGAACCACTTGACCCATACGAGCCCGGGCGAGATCCTCCGGCATCCAAGAGGGCGTCAGAGTCAGGCGACCTTGGTGGTGCAAAATCAGCCCTGCGGCGAGGAACCGATCTATCAGCAATAGACGAAGAGGGGGAGTTGAGGGAGGAGTCTATTCCACTTGGAGTATAGCTTAAGGATTCGTCCATAGGCCCAGGTGAGGTGTGTGCCTCGGGAGGAGTCGTCAGGATGGGCTTTCCGATGACGGGGCGAGCCGGGCCTCCTTGAAGAATTCTTTGGTACTGATCGCTAACTTGCCGGACGGTGTCTCTTATCTTCGTCAAGAATTCGCGCTTGCTCATGACGTTAGATCCAGCAACAGAAGGTGGTTTTAAACCAGGACCGTGGCCTAAATCGCCGTAACCAGGTGTATCTCGAACCACAGCAGGCGGAGGCCGGAAAATATCCTGAAGGTCGAGGCCGTTTCGAGGTAAAGCCTCAGTACTCCCGTAGCCCGATGTGTTGTCCGAAGGCTTGCGCCTCATGCTCTCGATGCCGTACCACTTCTTATCTTTCTCAGTCCATGCTTTCTGATTGGCCTCGAGGTCGAGCGCGGAATCGCGGACAGTAGCACAGTGTCGGAATGCGGCAAGGCCAGCTGCAATCAAGCACATACCACCAATCATACCGAAAGTTATACCAAGCCCCAGGTGTAGCCTCTTGCGAGCGACGGCCGACAACTGGGAAGGAAGATTGTCAGAGCCTTTGTGGTGTAAAGAAGGCGGTGGGGCAATTGGCAAGGTCGAATGCGAAGTGGAGTGGGTCAAAGGAGAAAACGCAGTAAATGAGCAGGACATGACATCTTGGATGGCGCCGCGGGATATACAGCCGGACACTTCTCCCGTGGCCTTGTCAAACCCGAATTGATTACTGAGGGCTGAGGGATCGCAGGTCATGGAGACGTCCGCATCCTCACCATGGACATCGCCATCCTTCGCATAAAACTCTGCCAAGTTGAAGTGTATACACCCGTCTTCGTTCAGCTGAACAGGAGGAAGCGCCGAGGCTTTAAAGAAGGAAGGAACAGCAGCTATCGATACTTCAGTCCGTATGGTTTGGTTGAAAGTAGTTGCGACAGATGCCGGGAGCTTGCAATCGCGTGCTTGACTAGGCGGCGTACCACTGAGCGATCGATTGACTTCATTGTATGTGAGCCAGGGACACGAAGAGGTATCCAATGCCAATGTCGAAATATTTCCAGGGTGCAGTGGTTGATCGTCAACTAGTAGGCCCATAAAGTCCGAAGGGGATTGCAAGTTGATTGAGAATGACGCATCTGCGGTGAAATTCATTGTAGGAAGAGAAGTCGCCGATTGAGATAATTCGTGACGGGCAACGACGATGTCAAATGGCGTTGATAGGGCGGAGTAGCCTTCCTGGTCGGACGCAAAGAAGGCAAGGTTCAAGGTGTAAGGAGTCGGAAGGCTCGCTTCCTTGGGAGTCACGCCGTTGAGAGTCATAGCCTTGCGATTGTACCACATCCAAGAGGGTAAGGGAGAACCGTCGACGCCAAGAACATCAGAGAAGAACGCGTTTTCTGCCACGTACGTCGTCTCCTGGAAACCGATGCTGAAAGACCAAGAAGGCGGGATTCTGACGTTGGGATTTGAGGTAGCTAAGGCAGACTTCAGAGACAGGCTGAATACAGAAGATAACGCAGAATTAGCTGCGACGTCGCGGAATTGTTCAGAGATGGGAGTGCGCAGAGTAGGCGGGGGATATGGCGTAACGCAGATAGTGAACGCGTCCGAAGTTGACGAGGAGCCATCCTTAGCGAGGAGAACAATATTCGGATTGCCCTCGTCATCGGCGCCTGGCGTTCCAGAGAATGTGCGAGTACTAGGATCGAAGCTGAGCCAGCCAGGTAAGGATTTTGCGGTGACCTCGAGCTCGCCGTTGGAGGAAGTAAACGTCTTTGGGGATATAGTCCACGTATATGGTTTGTCGACCCTGGCTATCTTGGGTAGTTGATCGCTGGGCGGGATGTTCACAACAACCTTGGCGAATGTGGCGGCCGCGCAGGCCAAAAACGAGAGTGAGAGTAATTTCATAGTGTCGGGATGGAAGGGAGCTAGTCACTGAGCCGTCCAGCGAGCTCGCTGATGTTCACGATGGCGCGGAGGGAAAGGACAATTACTGCACAATTTAGTGAGAGCGCTAATCTCTCTCCGAAACGTGACTGCGGCAACGGCCGGTCGACAGGAGACATCTCAAAAACCGACATTCGAAGACCAGTACAAATACATATCGCAGCAATTTCTACAGATATTTAATCAACCACTCAACTGAGGCCTTGAACGCGCCCTCTCTACCAGCGACCACTTTCGGATCGCTGAGATCGCCACGGATAGTGAACCCGTGAGCGCACCCTTCAAAGTATTCACGCTTGTATCCAGGTGCAAACTTGCCACCCCCGAGTACCTCATCAGCCTTCTCTTGCGAGGGGTGAGGGAATAGGGGATCGTCTGTGCAGCTGTTAATCAGCAGTGGTGCCTTAGATACTTTAAGGTATTTCTAGAAACGTCGTGTGAGAGCGCAGATAGGAACCATGTGGAGTGGGGCAAACCTCCAAGTCGTCGGGGATTTGGAGGAGAGATGGGTGAGACACGACGACGACTTTGACGAGCCCATCAAAGGCGAGGTCGAAGGCAGCCCGGGCTAGATTTCGTGCTCAGTCGTATGTTCCCTGCACTGAGAAGATGATGTAGGGACGTACCACCAAAGCAGTAGCCAGCTGCGGCGATGTCAGTAACCCCTTGCTCTTTTAAGGCGGCGACGACCTTATCGACCGTGGGCCGGGTGTGCGCAGGAGTGTGGTTTACGAACCAATCCTGAAGGGAGAAGCTGGTCTGGTGGAAGGGGATCAATCCTCCTGGCACCAATGGAGATAGAGATATGATTTCTTTACATTTCCACTGAGAGCATCAGGAGGAGCAGAATCTCCATTCAAAATATCAGGAATGACGACCTAGATTGTATTTCGATGATGCGGTTGCCATCATGAACTGCTATGGTCTGACCTTGAAGCCGTTGCGAGCGAAGTCATCGGCCAGCAACTATAGAGCGAGTTTTAGTCCATGAACAGCAACGTCATTGCTGTAGCTGCGACATACCTGGGAGTTGGGAAGCGAAGGACCAAAGATATCCGTCAAGAACAAGATCACCTTGTTCTTGGGATAATCCACAGTTGGAGTAGCGACATAGGTTTCAACACCGCCCAAGGTCTCCCATTTCCCTGTGTGGTCGCCATTTCGAATAGTCTGATATCAGGACTTGACAAGACCCTACCTTCGGGTGTGCCCTCATGACGGACACCTATCCAACTCGTTAGACCAAGAGTAGGTGATCTCTTGAGACCACGCACCTTTGACACAGTTCTCGCAGAAACTCATAGTTGAGATGATGTACTTGCTGTGGTGGGAGGGAGGTAATGCACAGGGTGAAGATACTTGGCAGCTACGACAATTCCTTCTCTTTATAGCACCGGTTTGTGGTGGTCCCGAAGCGGACCTGTGAATAGAAGTGGGGCTTCTCCGTTCTATCCCAGCAGCAGCGCGACATCGAATGTAGACAATGAGAAGGAGATGTGTAAGCCCTGCATCCACGGGATCGATAACGAATTGATTTGGGATCATGCATCATTTCGCAGCCACCATCGCGAGGACTCCGATGATAATAGACAAGCAGGGGCGTGAGTCGGAGGTACGGCAGGGTCTACGAACAGCGCGCACAGTCATCACACTCAATGTAACTACCAAAGTGGATGCACGCCACGACCACGATGCTATTGCTTGCCGAGGGCGCAATAATTACAAAGTCTGAAATTTGTTCGTCAGTGGGTTGCTCCGAAGGGAACGTACATTCGCATCATGATCGCGACTTACAATTTAGTTTACAACAGATATACCCACCACTCACCCGCGGCTATACCGCGTTCTTGCCTACAGTCGTGGCGGTAACCCTCCGACGTTTATTTCCTCTTCGAATCTCGCCCAAATCGCTGTCTGCCTCGGCTTCTTTACAGCCAGCCAACATCGCTAAGCTCTTGCCTAGTCCTCCGATGGCCTGACTTTGAGCTCCTCCGCCTTTGGGCCGACGCCGGCCAGTTGTTGCGCCGCTGGCACCAGTGCCATTGGCGCCAGCTCCTAGGCCGCTGGGAAGGGTAGTCGAGGTCAAAGGGAGGGGGAAGGGTGACGGTAGCTCGTCGACCGACAGTGAATGTGGATTGGAGAATGGACCTGTCGTTATAGCTACGCCGCTGTTGAGTCCACTCCCGTTCTGAAGCGCCGATCCTGGAGCACCCATAGGCGTTGGTGGTGGCGATGTTCCCATTTTGTTTCGTAGCTTCCTCGTTATATGAGGTCGGCTTTGTGAATCTAGTGTAGGATCTAGGAAGAGGGATTAAGGTGGCAGGAACCCGATGTAAACGCGAAAGAGTACTTACCTCCAACGGTACCTTCCCCTTCCTTTTCTTCCCTGGCCCTCCTACGACGCTCTTCTATACCCTCGAGCAAACGCTCCCGTACCCGATCGCGTCCCCGCTTCCACTCATCTTCTACACGCTCCCTTTCTTCGTCGTAGGCAGCCTGCACGCAATCTAATGAATGTTGCTCTTCCGCGTCCATTTGCGCCAACAGAGCCGATCGTTCTAATGAAAGAGGCAGCAAGCGGAGGTTGTATAAAGGATTGTCTTCTGGCTTGGTAGCCAGCTGTTGGGTCGTGTATTGAAGGTGGTTCAGGGTTTCGGCGAATGCGCGGCCGCTGTGATACCGATACCTGGTTGTCCATGTGTTGTGGCGAGCATGAGCGGAAAGTACTCACTCGTCACGGCGTTCGTTCATCTCCTTCCCTAGTTTTCCGGCAAGCTCTTTTCTCTTCTTTTCTTTCCTCGCGTCATCACCGATAACTTTCAAGCAGACAATTGAATTAGTCGGAGACAATGTCAGAAAATGGTGCATACCGTGAGGCCTTGAACTCGGACCAGCAACTACTGCGTGATTGTGGTGGTATGGGAAGTCTCCATCCAAGTCCGAGTAGTCTGGATATATGTTCCTGTGCTGTTTGGCCTTCGAGTCGTAGAATATTCCTGGCTGGGGAGGCATAGTGCGAGCTGGTCGAGTTCAGGTTCAAAAGGTCGAAATCCCGATCACCTCTCCTTCTCTCACGTGACACATATTGCTTTACCGCAGGTATTGCGAGCCAACGACACAGGCCTGTTTCTGAGACAATATGTAGCTTCTAGACATGACAGAACTTTATAATGTGATGGCCTCGAGCACGCACGGCATCCTCGAGGCATCAGTCACCGATATGAGGCACTGCATGTGTCGGCAACATGATGGCCCCTGTCCCGTATCACCCAAATCAGGATAACTTCCCACGCTGACAGAGTTGCCCCATTTTCTAAACAAGTCCGCAAAGCGAGAATCCTTCTCATTCACGACCCACCACGACCTCACGATGCCCGTCAATTTTCCATTTACCTTCAGTTTCAATGTTCCCGGACTCACAAATCCTTTTGTACCACCGCCTCAGACTCCAACGCGTCGTCTGAACACCAGAGACGATGAGCGGATCAGGAGCCGGACTGTCAATACAACAGCCCCTCTACCCACGGAGGACAAGTTCCAACGCCGACGTCCGATACCGAGCCCTTCTCGGACTCCTCTTCCTCCTTTATCTAGGAAGAGAGCTTGGGATCCTGCCTTTGCGTCCCCCAGCGAATCTGCCGCAACTCTCGCGTCGACGAGTGGCTATATCGATACCCCAGCAAAGTACAGAGCCATGGCTGCTCAGCAGACAAGAGGCACTATCAGTAGGGACGATTTCCATCAAGTGGAGTACGTAGACGAAGATGCTGTTGCAGGTGAGTTTCTCATATCTGTTGAGGACAAGCCTTTTCGTCGCGAGGTGTTTCATGCGCATGCTGGATACACGTGCTTATCATACACGAACTCGCGTGTTGGGGAACATGTATATAAAATATTCGATATTCACCTACTTCCGCATCCTTTCATTCCCTCAATCTCTGCCATACAACCCCGCATCCAGTTCTTCCATCAGTCCTATTTACAACCACATTCTTTATCCTGCTTGCGCCATTATCACCGGTTGATCATGACTTACTCATCCAATCTTTTGATCGTCCTCCGCGTAGAACTCCCGCCTGCTAAGCGTCGTCGCGGCCTCGCTGGAACAATCGTCTCCACCGCCCTTAGTGCTGCCCTCATCGGAACGGCAGTAGGTTTAACCGTCTACCGATTGTGAGTACCCCTTTGGCCGACTCATAGCCCTGTATTGACAGAGACGTACAGATGGAGAGATCGAGGCAAGGAAGCAGCAGAACTACCACCCCCTCCCTATCAACAGGGCGGCTGGACCCCCGTTGACCAGCAGCAGCCCCAGCAATCCCAAATCGAAGAGCCAAAGGCCATACAAGCTCCCCCAACTACCCCTCGCAGTCGCAAAACGCGACATGTTGCGGGATCCACACACAAACGCCATCGCCCACGCCCCCGTACACATGCACAACAAGTCTTCGCCCCCGTCGCTTCCACATCCAGGGCTCAGGCCCTTACTGCACCCCCACCTCCAGAATTCGACTTCACCTCCACTGCCGACGACCCCGTCGACGAGCAGATGGATTGGATTGGCGACAAGCTCGCCAAGCTGATTGAAGAGGGCAAGAAGGCCCTTGGAAAGGAAGTTGTCGTCATGAGCGACGCTAAGGAAGATGAGGAAGACGATGGTAGCGGTGCCTGGGAAGAAGAGGATGACCATCTAGCTTCTCCCACCCGCAAATCTCTTTCTCGTCGAAGCTCACGTCGACAGCTGAACCCCCCTACCGCTCTTCAATTCACCCGTTCCCCACCACCCTCATATTCCCCGCCTGCTATTGCCGCTATATCCTCAGCTCCCTATCACTCCACACATTTCGAACCGTCCTCCTTCGATTCCTCTCCTCGGTCTCTTCCTCACACTCCCCCTTCACGACCCTCTCACGTACGCGGCGTTTCCGTCGATGCGGAATTGGGCTTCAACCACCGTGGATGGAAAGAAGAGGAAACGACCTGGGAGAGCCCAGAGTTACGCGAATCTATGTCTCGTGCGCGAGCTAGATTCGCTCGTAATACCAACGGTGGGACATAACGGAGGCTCACTTGGGCACCCGTCAAAATCACACCGTGTGCAATTGGGATTCCCGGTGCTGGATACGCTCTAGCATCGTGATATGTCCCAATTCACGTTGGTGGCAGACTCCACAGTCTTGGCCATCATACCTACCTACATACTTCCTTTCGCGTAGAAAGGGAGGCTTGCTCGGATCCGTTCTGAGCAAGAGGTATATAGCGGCGCACGTAATTATTGTATCTATTGTGCTGTAGAATAGATGTTGCCTGCTACAAGAAGAGGAAATACATAAATCCTGTACCACTACACTGCTTTCTCACGGTCAGAATTTGCCAGTGAAAGATTACAAACGGTGATTTTGTAACTCTAACTCATCCTCTAATGCTCGCCGCCGCAATATCTCGTCTCTCTCGGTCGTCTTCGGCTACTGTTCGCAGCGGAACACTCCTTGCTTCGTGTAGGACACCCCGCACTACGGCACTGAGCAGAGCGTGTACGCGCCACTTCTCCGTCAGTCGAACAAGGTGGAATACCTCTCAACCCACCGCGAAGACACCAGAGACTTCAGCTCCGTCAGCTCTCGCCACTTCTTCCGAAATCAAACTTGACGTCCTCGAACCCCGACTTTCCCTCACCTTCACATGCACCGCGGGCGAATGCAACGAACGGTCCACCCACACGTTCACGAAACGGGCGTATGAAAGAGGGATCGTCCTCGTGGAGTGCCCTGGCTGCAAGAACCGGTCAGTCTCGTGTTTTCCCTCCAACTCAGTAAAAACAGTTGGATCTGACTACGACAACATATGGATGTAGACATTTGATTGCTGATCATATTGGGTGGTTCAAAGAGAGCACGGAAGAAGGGAAGCTGAAGACTGTGGAAGATCTGTTGCGCGCGAGGGGCGAGAAGGTCAGGCGGGGACGGTTAGATGCAGGTGGTGTCGTTGAGTACGTCGAGTGAAATGTGAGTAATATTCGTAAAGTCTATTGAGATGGGCAACTAAAATATGTACTGCTCAGAAAATTAGGACGATGTTCCAGTTGTAGCAGCAGGCTCTGGTTCAGGCGTGGCCTCGACAACGTCCCCCTTGACTAGAAGGGTTTCTAATTCGCCCGATTGATGCACTAGGAATAGAGTTATTCTAAGCTTGTATAATTCGTTGATTAAATCACTACTCACTGCCCAATAATATATCACATCCACCGACAAACTCCCCATTCACATAGACCTGTGGGACCGTAGGCCACTCGCTGAGAACGCGTCGAAGGGTATGAGTAAGGACTTGCACCACCGAGGTTAGTTAAATGACGCACGAGAATTCCTTAATTCCGCTCCGTAGCTCCTCATCCTCCAAAACGTTGAATGTCTTCAACTTCTCTGGGGGTACACCGTGCATGTCCAGTATTTGGACGACTGCTCGTGAGAAGCCGCACTGGGGAGCTGCAGGTGTACCCTTCATGAACAGCACAACAGGGCTCGATTTAACGGCCGTTTCTAGCTGTGCCCTCGTTTCTTGAGACAAAAAGCGCAACGATTGTAGACGTGAGGGCGTTAAGGAAGTGCGAAGCGTAGGTCTGAGCAAGCCAAACTAGTTCTTCACAGTAAGTGCTATTTCGGGGCCGGATGACTATGTGCACTCACTGAAGAGTTGATTGAGGCTCTGAACATTTTGTTTTGGCAGAAAATGTGTACACTGGCGATTAGAGGGGCTGAGTATTGTGGTCGTGGACAGACGTGGACAGAATGTAACGGTGGGACGAGTCTGACCGAGATTCAGAAATCGGGAGCTCTTCACGTGCTGACCTGATCGCTTGACTGAGGAACGTGAGCTCTCCTGACTACCCCTGTGATACTTGTTCTCCCAATCAGCCAATAGGGATCTTCGTCTTTGAAGCCGGTCGCCGAGATGCTTAACCGCTGCTTAAGCCATGGTCACCGTGGTTTTGTGGATGCAGTCTCTCTTCAGTCTGTACCACCATGAAGATTGAGAATCGAACTTTTATCGTGTCCGGAGGGTGAGCACTTCCTACAATGATTGAAATGTTCGCAATGAACCCCATTACAGGTCCTCCGGCCTGGGACTTGCCACCGTACACGATTTACTCAAGGCTAATGCCTACGTATCCATATTCGACCGTTCGGTACCCCCTACGAACCTACCCGGTTCTCACGTCCGCTTCTTCAAAGTGGACATCACTCAAGTCAAGGAAATCGAGGCCGCTGTAGATGGCACCGTGGAATGGACACAAGAGACAGGCGCGCGGCTAGGCGGGGTCGTAAATTGCGCGGGCGTTGCATCTGCTGCAAAGATAATCGACAAGAATGGTGAACCTCATCCCCTCGACCGATGGGATTTCACCCTTGCCGTAAACGTCACTGGCTCCTTTAATCTCAGCCGCATCGCTTTGAAACACCTCGTCAAAGTCGCTCCAGAAGATACCGCGGATGGTGAGCGTGGAGTTATCATATTTGTTTCGAGTTCCGCAGCGGTAGGCAGATCTAACACCTCGATCTATGATTAAACTGATGGGTATTGTCTTCAGTTCGAGGGGCAACCTGGTCAGACCGCCTATGCTGCCAGTAAAGGCGCGTTGCTCGCTATGACTCTTCCTATGGCTCGCGACCTGGCGAGATATGCCGTGCGCGTGGTAACCGTCGCGCCTGGGGTGTTTGCTTCATCTATGACCGCTAATTTCGCGGAGAAGACTCGACGGAGCCTCGAATCGAATGCGATTGTCTACCCTGCACGTCTAGGGATGCCGGATGAATTTTCGAGGACGGTGAGGTGGATTGTCGAGTGCCCTTATGTCAACGGAGAGACAATCAGACTGAGCGGCGGAGGGCGCCTGCCAGCAAAACTCTAGTGATCTTAGAAATAATCAACTTTGGCCACACGGATTGCACGGATTGTTATCTTGCAAAAGAGTGGAGGTTTTCGTTACTCTTACCTCAACTGTTGATGGATATAACCTGAGCGCTGAGCGCTGAGTACTGCTCAACCATCACATAGTCACGCTGTTACTGTCACGCTAAGAGAGGGGAGGTCACGCCGCAACGCGAATCAGTCTACCCTAAACGATGTCGACAATTGCGCCGCAGGCTCTGACCTCGGATATCCAACTCGCCCTCGAACAAGCCATCGATCAGGCAAATAGCGCATTTAACCAGACCACCGGGGAGCTCAACCCCAAGAAGAAGAACAAGAAGAAACGCATACGCGAATCCGATGCTGGTTTGGCCGATGGAGCAGAGGGCAGCCAGCCCCAGGAGAAGAAAAAGAAGAAAAAGCACGGCGGGGGGCACGCGCAGGTTGAGGGGACGGACAGCGGATCCAGTGGATCTCAGCATCAGTCGCACCCGAGATCACCCGTAGAGCCTGACGCTGTGCACGACGATGTACAGGCATCGACAGCGGCGTTCATATCAGCCATCGTAGCGGCGGCCTCGACGAGTAGCTCTGATACCCAGTCGCCTTCGGATATGGCCACTTCGTTCATGGAGCCGACTTCCTTTCTGCCATTCCCCCATGACGCCCAGCAGTCTCAACCCCAGTTCGGGTTCCTGCCTGGAATGGCACCTCCACCAATGGGCGTTCCTTTCGCCGATCTTTCTCTGGCGACAAACGATGACGTTCTAAGAGCCATCCAAGCTCTCGATGTCTCTAAAATCGCGGACGTGCTGAAGACGCTTAACGAGGCAGCCGCAACCGCGAACATTCCTCTTAATATTCCCGTAAATGCGCTGGAAACCCCACTACCAGCGACTCCACTCCCAAAACCACTTCCTGGTGCGGATACCAGACGTCCGCCTCAACGGAATATGAAGAATCCGAAACACATAAAGGCGTTGGCCGCGCGGTCTGCCGAGCAGCAAATACCATCCGATCACGCGCAGCTACTTGCCACCAAGTGGATGAGTACAACAAAACTCGCTGAGCTAGTGCAAACCGAAGGTTGGTTTGTATCCTTTTTAGCAGATAGCACCGTACTTAGTCATGACGATCAGGTCTGGTATACAAGAAAGGGAAATTCTCCGCGATTGAAGAACAGCAACTTAGAGACGCGATTGACAAGTACCGTGAAGTAAGCCTTGTAGCTCTGCATACCAGCTGATCTTGAACCTTCTCCCAAGGAAAAGCAAGTGACGGAAGAAGACCTCCTTGATATCATCTTTGGTAAGAAGTCAAAAGAGAGTACTTTCTGGTCAGATATCAGTAAGTTTGAGGTAGTGTGTACGTGTAATCGCTGTATCCATGCTCCTTTAGCTTCTGCGATTCCTCAACGCCCGCTTATCGCTGTGTATCACCATGTTCGACGCCATTTCCATCCAATGGCCCAGCAGGGCAAGTGGACAGCTGAAGAGGACGCTCTCCTCAAACAGTAAGTCTCTCCTCATCTGTTGAAGTGTTTGCTAATTATTTCACAGGGCTGTCGCCGATCTGGGTCAACAATGGGAAAAAGTTAGCCCTCGAGTGGGTCGCATGTCTGCAGACTGTCGAGACAGGTACCGGAATCACATCGTGAACCGTGACATTCGTCTGACCGGTAATTCTACCGCTTTTCATCACGGTGATGACACCACTTACCTTCGCTTGGTTCATTTAGGTGGATGGTCGCGTGATGAGGAGGAACGACTAACGCAGATTGTCACGGAAATGACTGTACAGCAAGGCAAGAATATTGATAATGATATATTCTGGGGTAAAGTCAGTGAACGCATGGGTGGCACCCGTGGGCGACAGCAATGTCGAATTAAGTGGTATGCTTGGTATTCCCCTCCTTCGGTGGCTTGTGACGAACTCTGTTGCACCCAGGACGGATACACTAAGCAAAACGGTAAAGAACGACGGCCAAAGACCCAGATGGAGTCCTCTCGACGCGTTTATTCTTGTGCACAAGTAGGATTTTCCCTGCTGTCTGGGGATTGTCGGACTAATCGAGGTGGGTCTAGGGTGGACTCAATGAACGTCATGGATGATACCGAGATTGACTGGAAAACGTTACTGGATCCGGATTGGAATCTGTGGAGCGCACATTCTCTGCAACGGCGGTGGCTGACGATGAAGAGAAGCATCAAAGGTTACGAAAACATGTCTCATCTAGGTTTGTCCTTCGAATTCCCGTCTAGGCGTCTCTTTGCTGATGCGCTCATAAATGAATAGACATCATGGAAATCCTGAGAACGAAGAAGGCGCAGGTGCCTGATCCTTTGGGGACGGGGAGAAAGAGAAAAGATCGAAAGGTCATGAGTTCTGAGGCGATTGAAGAGGATCCTGGGGTCGACGACGACCACATCGACGATTCTTAGTTGATGCTCTGTTTGATAAACAAACTCCTGTAATTCTCGGCGTCAAATGTTTTCAACGCGTAACGCGGCACGCCATCTCTCACTCTCATGTCAACAACGAAAGAAGCCCGCCGGCTTGATTCAGCTCAGCAAACGCTTGATAGTAAGTAGGTCGCTGCAGAGAGAAATCGCGTGTTCCTCATTCCGTGCTGCACAGTCCTGTACGATATCTCGCAGCTGTTGAACACGCAACTGGACAAAGACACGCTCGCGACGTGCATCGGCATGATTGAGAGTGGCGTTAATCCAGAGGCCTTGGCAGTGAGTCGACGGTCGCTAATCGCTTCCTCTTGCTGTGAATTTCCCTGACATTCCCCAGGCTGTGATCCAAGAGCTCCGGCGCGAGAGCAGCTCGCTGAACCAGACAAATAATCGACAGGCACGGCAGTGAGCATGAGCTTTGGAGAGGACATTTACATGAATTCCACGTTGCCGTACCGTATTTTGTATTCCCTGTGCTTGTACGTTACTGCGGGCATGCGGCCTTGCATTCAAAACAAAGTTGTCATATTCGATTCGCCATATCGGGCTCGTGACTGAAAGCAGCGACTGAAGTGGTCACGGCCAGAGAATCCCTTCCTCTTCCCTACCACCACCACATCCACACACTCTCCACGCTCGCTGGGGGCGCTGTTTTCCCTCTGTTTCGTTGTGGACTGCGGCGTTGGTTTGGCCTTTGAACGGTCCGAGCGTTCCTCAGCTCTCTCCAGCACAGGTACTCAGGCACACGGTTTCGTCAACCCCTCTTCTCCAGCTACAAGACTCGCCACCCACGAATGCAGCCCTCGTCCTACGACATTCAACGCGAGGTGGAGGCCCTGCGCGACATCAAACGCCGCTCCACGACGCCAGGCGCATTGACCATAGACCCAGACCTACCCAATCAATCGCCGCCGGCTTCCCCCACAAACACTTACTGGTCGGGCACCGCGACGCCAGGCAGCAGCCCGTCACTCATTCACGATGACTCCTCAAGCTCCTCGCACAGCTCGAGTTCGGAGACCACAGGATCTGCGGGGGATGCTCCTGCAAATCACTCCCATCTCACGGACGACCCATTCCATCTCTTTTGGGTGCCTGCGAGCCTTCATCCTGAAATTGCACCTGCAGAGTTTCGAGCTTTCTTGAAGGAGCATGCGAGGACGGCAGATGGGTCAGAGGGCACGTTGGAGAGATCTGCGTCGACATCGAGCACACTATCGGGGTTGTCGCGCAAGAAATCTATGCTCAGCCGGCAGTATACGCCTGCAGAGCACGACGACGCCGAAGAAGAGGACAAGATTCTTCCATTAAAACGGAATCGTTCAACCGCTATGGGTAATCGTGGTCCACAGCTTACCATCAAAGACTTGCAGAAATTGGAGGAGCTGGCTGAAGAGGCTTCGTCGAGTGATGACCCATCGAAACTTAGGAATATGCTTAGGCGGAGTCTTAGTCTGAACATCTCACCGACAGGTATGTCCATGGTTTAGACCTCCGTTTACATTGCAGTTTGCAGTATTCTTCGTCGACGATCCTTACATGTGGGCCTACAGCTATGGACCAAATGGATAACATGCCGGATATGCCAGACGAAGCCGATGCCCCAATCATCGTCCCCCCGCCTGGCCAGATCCTTCGACGAGCCGCACGGACGAAAATACGCAAACCTGGACTACCAGGTGATGGCGGAGGTCACCGATTCGGTTCATCTCGAAGGGGGGTACCGCATCGATCACAAAGCGCTTCTGTCGTACTCCCGAAAGAGTCTCGGACCTCTGACGAGGTGTCGAGTAGTGATCATGACCATAACGAACCTTCACCAGATATTCCTACTCATACTCCTTCACGGTCGAGGAGTTACTCTAATGAAACAACCTCTAGCATACGCAGTAGCACGAGACCAGACTCGTTCAGTGAAGAGGCCATGATATACGAAGCTTATGCCCGTGACGAAGACGAGCCTCAGCCCCCGCAGCCCCAGGCCAGTAGCAGCATTCTACCCACCGTCATCACTTCTCCACCCACACCCACGACTCTGGATTTGCCAGAATTCGAGGCACTATCATCGTCGGTAGAGGAACTTGCACCGACACTTTATCACCCTCAACCACAGCGCCTGAGTCCCCAAACATCACCTGAATCCTCTTACCACGAACCTTCACGCACCCCATCCCCTCCATCGCCCTCTCCCCCTGCTTCAACAGAATCACTGCCTGCTCACACCTCAGTATCCAGCCCCCCTACAGCTTCCTCGATCTCCTTATCTCCTAGTCCACAGCGGAAAGAGAAGGACAAGAAGGGGCAGAAGGGACTCTTCAAATGGGGCAGCGACAAGAGTGGGAAGAAAAAGGAGAAGGAGAAGGAAAGGGAACGAGAGAAAGCAGAGAAGGAGAAGGAGAAAGACAGCAGCTTCTTCGGTAGTCTTTTTGGATCGAAAAAAAAGCAAGACGATGGGAGCTCGCCTGCCTCGAATGCCTCTGGCCGTGAAACAGCGGAACGGTTACTGGGCCAGTCCAAGAGGGCACCGACGTCGCCATCCCCGATTCTTGCAACGACCTTGCCTGGTGGTAACAACTATGCCCGGTATCCTATACACGTCGAACGCGCGATATACAGGCTAAGCCATATCAAACTAGCTAACCCTCGCCGTCCTCTCTATGAACAGGTTCTAATAAGCAATCTAATGTTCTGGTACCTCGGTGTAATTAACAAGGCTCAGACGACGCCGGCGGGTCCTCCGGTACCCAATGGACCGGCGGCTAATGGCAATGGTCACGCTGATGTTGATCCTTCGGAGAAGGAGAGGATGGAGGCTGAGCAGCGGGAGAGGGAGAGTGCGGAAATGGAGAGGGCTGAGAAGGAAAGGGAGCAGAGGGAAAGAGAAGAACGGGAGATGGAGATGAAAAGGAAGGAGGGGACGAGAAGGGGTTCTTTAACCAAGACGCCAGCAGCGACCAACGGTGGGCGTCGAGCGGCAGAGATGCCAGTCAGAGGACCGCAATACGAAATGCAGCACAGGGTGATGGAGCAAGAGTATGGTAACTACAACGGCGACCGAGGGGGGATGGTCAAAGGCCGTCCACCGCAAAATACCTCTCATCGGCAACCTCACCAAGCTCCTCCAAAACTGGTTCAGCCACAACCCCAGCAGTCGCAAGATTCCTACTACAACATGGAAGAATCTAGGCAGCAGCAACAACGGCTGCCAGCTGGCGCTATGCCACCTGTGATGAACCAAAACCCCTCGTCTGGTCCTCCTCGAAAGCACTCATCATCCTCGCCGCCTCCACCATCGGGAGGTGTCTCGCCCCAACGACGTTCTCGCTCCCCGCCCCATTCGAATCATTCGAATACTCGCGGCCAGACTTCTTTGGGATCAGCGATGCAGTCGGATGGTGATGCGCACGGTTTGGCTGGTTCCAAACTGACCGGGCGCTCCCTCTCAGCGACTGCCGTCCCATCGTCTTCGCCGCAAATGGTAAACACTAAGCCGGTGCGAAAGGGACATAGCGCGCATGCTGTCGCCCCTCCCGCTGGTGCGCGAAGGCAGAGACTCAGCGACGACGGCGCGGGCGAAGAAGAGGACGTGCCACTAGCCATGTGGCAGCAACGCCGGAAATGAGAAGCATGCTGGCCGCGACTGGGATTCGGAATCTTATCATACCCAAATACCGTGACATTTTCTTAATCCTGAACTGTGGGTTGTATTTTTGTCTTCTGTTCTCGCCAACCTAGAATTTCCTTCCCTCTTCCCCCGCTGTCCCTCTATTAATCCCCTGCTTTCGCACTCAAACCATTATATATATACAACACTCTCGGGTTGCATTCCAGTATCCGTAGCATCATCATTTATCATCACCAAATAGCATCGTATCTCGTATCCCATGCGGCTCTTAGTATATCTATCCTATCCTTCACTTTCGTATTCAGCCATTCTTTACGGCCGCAGGATTTCAGTTTGTGAACATTAGCATTTACGGACCTCGTTCACTTGCTATACGATTAATCACTCTACATACAACATTCCCTGGAGGGCTGATGATGGACTTCCGTGGACAATGTACTGCAATAAAATCACTGCGTTGACTGGATGTAGACTGTGGCTGTGCTCCACGCCCCTCTTGGGCTTAAACCACCACCATCTCCTCGACGCGCGACCGCGACTTGCGTTTCGCGCGTTACTTCGCTGTAGTGCGCGGCCTGCAGTGAACCACAACATGTCCTCGCCTTCTTGGCCATCACTATACAATCCAGCTGGTGAAATCAATCCTAATAGTGAAGCCTCCGGAATATACATTTACGATTCTAATGGTCAGTCTGTCTCATCTTCATGTTTCTGGTGCCATGTCTGATTGACTCGTGCAGAGGTGTTCAGGTTCACGCTTATCTGGAATCTCGTCCTCTACACGCCCATCTTCGTTGTCTGCGGCGTCTACGCATTCCTCAACCTCTCATTCCCACCTTCTCGAGGAAACAGCGTCGCAGAGGACGACTCGCATTCGACTTCATATCCCCTCTCGCCACTCTCGCCCATTTCCCCCTCGTACAGAACTTCGCTTCTCAAACAGCAGCAAGCTACCGTTAAACCGCCGAAACCCAATGAACGGCGATCGAGGTTGACATTCGCGCTGTTGGTGCTGCTGGCGTTTATCACACTCAGTGTCGCTGGAGCAGTCATTGGGGCCGCTGTGGTTGGGTACATCCTCGCTGGGCTTTTCAATGCCGGTAATTTTAATATGTCCACGTGCGTGAGATGCTGTTCGTATGAGAGGTTCTGTTAGCTGAGACTGCTGTGTAGATGGGTGCCGTTCCTATGGGTGGTAATCCAGATATTGATTGGCCTACTCAGGTCAGTCCTGGTCTTTGATCTTATTCTTGAGTGCTCAATTACGGTGCTGCAGCCTGCAATCATCCATTATTGATATTATTTGACATTCGTCTGTCTATATCTGGCCTAAACCTTCTTCACCAACCCACACACCTCCTCGATATTCCTCCGTGCCTCCTCGATCCCAAAAACTGGCCGCATTACGCATGACGTGATGATCGGCGGGAGACACGTCGGCGCCGCCTCGAATATCTCGCTCCGTAATGTAGAGATCGCGCGCGTGATATCGTCGTCGTCGAGCGTGTCCGCTTTGGTGATCACGGACTGTAGGGTGAAGCGCGTGCCGTGGGACGAGAGACATTGTTCGTGCAGATGCGCAAGCATGCCTTTGTCGGTTTCTTTCAGACCGTGCTTGGCGTTGAAGAGGATGTATATACGCCGGAGTCTGAGGGGTACGATAAAGATAAATAGTAGTATGATAGTTGGTTAACAGGAACTGAGTGGCGTTTGATTGAGCACGTACTCCTCGCGTGATGCAATGTAAGCAGAAAAGAGGTCGCCCCATTCGCGCCGGCCTCTCGATCCGTAACCAGGAGCGTCGACGAGCGCGAGTTGCCCGGGTTCATCACCGACGCGGTAGTAGTTCAGCGCACGCGTATGACCCTAGTGCCAGTAATACCAGTGCCAGTGTTAGTATATAACCCCATTTCAACTATATATATATATATATATATATATATATATCCAACTTGGCAGTCGGACTCACTGCTTTCTTGCTGGTATGAGCGATGTCTCTGCGTCCCAGTACCGCGTTTAGGAATGTGGATTTGCCGACGTTCGCGCGGCCTATCACGACGACCTGTATCACCATTCCTTCATGAGTTTACAAAATTCCAACGGTGGACAAATGAGGGAAACGCGACGGACCTCGGGGAGGCCATGTAGCTCCGGCAGTTGTTTTACGGATGTCACGGACCCGATGAAGGCAGTGGATCCAGGGTTTGCAAATGGAGAGGAGTAGGAGGATTTAGATCGCGACGACGCGACGATGGGGTGTTTGCCTAGGTGTAGAGGGAGGGCATGTCGTGAAAGAGAGACAGACATATGGTTTAGACGCTCGGTGCCAAAACGTTGAAGGCGCTTACACTCGGACGGTCCTTCCAAGAAAGAAGTTGAAGTCTCAAAATTTGGATGGATACAAGGCTAATATTATACACTAGAACTGCTATAAAGCTACAGATATTATGATGATAGTATATATGTAAATTTATATACAGGCACAACAAACTCATATAGACACAGAAGGTCGAAGTTTAGGCACTGTAGTAGTAGTCGGGCCATTGAGGGTAGCCGCCATCGTATGTCGACCATGGAATCTTGGAGTAATCGTAATCGAGTTCAAGGTCTGTGGGAGGGAAGTATATGCCGGGCGATGGGTATTCAAGATTATACTGTGATTGCGAATCATAACTGAGTTGGTTAGTGTTATTGGGACATGGGAGGCCGATGTCCCTCGGCCAGGTATATAATTGGGCAGCGGGATGATCGATTTGGTGGTCGGGTGTTATGGGAGAGGCGAAGTGTGTATCTTGAGGGTGGTTTGAAGGAACATTTCGGCAGTGGACAATGTCTTCAGGCGGAGGGTATGCCACGGTGGTTGAGCAGTAGAAGTCGTAATGGACAGAGAAAGATGCAGCGTCTGCTACGCGAGTATCTGTGGAAGATCGTCTGACTTCCTGCAGAATCGTATATCGAGAAGCTTCTGCAAGGAATGACGTTGAGCTGTGCTGCTAGCTGAGGGGAGCGACTTACTACTCTGCGCCATACATATCGCGGTCCAATATTCGGGAAGCAGAGGCGTAGAGTACAGTGATCCTTGGGCAGCCTGCTGTGGGAGGGCGATGACGGGTGTGGTCTCTGTATGAACCATAGTTTCTCCAAGGAATACACAGAAGACGCAATAGAGGCGTTCGTTCAGTTTAAGGTGAGACGAGGACTCGAAGATGAATTGTGGGTTTTCCTTGCTAACGAGCTTCGACGAGGCAGGGCGGAGGGGTTGTACGAGGCTCTCCGAGGGAGAGGAGACAACGTCGAATAGGACAAGCGAGAATGCTTCGGTGGAGGTCTCGACGACCATCCATGGACCACCGAGAAGAAAGTTTATGACTACGCGGCCTTGGGGGGCGTCGAATGTCGAGGTGGTGGCGGTCAAGTCTATTCCAAGCTTGACGGGGCTGCTCAAGAGGGTCGCTGATGCTTCCTCAGTGTCACTGAGTGATGTCGATGCAGGTGACGAAACTGATATACTAGGGCTTTGGCGACTTGAGTCCCCCAGGCGCTGAACTTCCAAATCGGTGGTGAAATCTCGTTTCTGGAGCAGTTCAACAACTAAGGTAGGAGGAATCCATTATTACTACGCGTCCAGAGTGAGACGAAAGGGGACCTACTGTGCGGGTCCCTGCTTGTTTCCCTCAGCTGTTGCAGCCTGCTCCCGACCTGTTTCGGAGTCCTACGCTTTCCTGTCGCCTTGAAGATGTAGTCTGAGATGAACCGGTTCCTGCGAGGAAACCGCCCAACTAGCATCGTGCCTGCGGACTCTTCCGGTCTGTACCTTTCCAACGCTGTCCCAGAAAAATAATATAGACAGTCAGTCAGACATCGTGCGAAGGGGGTATTCGAGGGAAAGGTAGTACTAATACAGACCTTCAATCAAAGAGGCTTCAATGAACGCAGGCCAGACAGCCTCGCTCTTCCCCTTCAGAGCCTTCCACGTCTTGCGGCCCGTGGCAGCCATCTGAGCGGAGTCCGCCAGTGCGAATCCTGTCCCATCGTGGATGGACCCGAGCTTGAACACGTATTCTTGGGCAGACGACGGCGAGGCGGTAGGCGACATTGGCACAGGCAGAGTGCACATTGCGCTGGCCTTGCTCGATATATATATCTATAGTCCAACTCCCCCTGTGAAATTTGTGGAGATCTGAGCTCGATCATATTTGTTAGTTAAGAATACGGTGGCTGAATTAGATTCGATCTCAACGAGACGGCGTATATACCTAAGATGTGCGCGGCGGGGAATTCGAAGCGATAGGCACTGGGCGCCAATGAGTGCATCGTGGTTTAGTCGTGCAACATCGACAGTGTCTTCTGCAGAAAGCAGAAAGGGATGCGTTGACGAAGAGTCGCAAAAGCGAACGGGCCACGTTTAGAACAATGACATAGGGCACAGAAGGGCGCACAGGGCTGCCACGCTTTGGCCTGTGCAAAAGAGGAAGTAAGGGCCGCGGTTAAGTGCAATATGTGGCAATGCCAACCGTTGTACTTGCCTTGATAAGGACATGCAGATTTGCTTCCGTCTGTGCCTGGTCGAGGGGAGCCAGCGAGCAAAGACGAACGGCGAACCCTTCCTGGGGGAAAACTGGGAGACTGAGTGCACACAGGGTCATCTCATAGAGACCAATCAATGGGCTTATGTTGAGGTTCAAACGTTGAAACTGGGCCCAATATCGGGTTGGTGAGTCAGTGATATACCTTGGCGCGTAGCGACCGATTCAGTCCATGTATGGACTAGGCTGATCCCGACCGACGTCCGAAGTCGCGGGATCGGGGGACTAGTAATTATCGGCCGGAATAAAATCAGAGAAAATGCCTGGGTTATTCCTAGAGTATTCACCTGCCTGGTGTTCCCGTTCAGAGAACAAGAAGCAACATGTGAAGAGCCCGCAAGCTTCCCGGGGCAAACCCAACCGTGGTCGTTCTGCTCGAACTTCAACAGGCGCTTACATAACGGGGCCTCTACGTTGCGAGCGAACAGCACGGGCGCCTAACGTCTAGCTTCGATCCTACTAGTAACCTTTTCGTGAAATCGTCTGGAAATGGATCCTTTGGCTGATATGGACGACAGCTCGACGGACGACGATGCAGCCTCACAGACTACTGAGGACGATCCCCAGGTCCCAGACAACAAATCTCCTATGCCTATGCCTCCACCACAACCAGTCCTAGCACCTGTGCCTCCTGCAAACCAGACCAGTGCTCCTCCTCGAGAACGGCCTCACTATGAATTGCGACACGTAATTCGTGGGCATAATAAGAGCCTCTCTTCCGTAAAATTTAGTCCCGATGGGACTCTATTGGCGTCATCTTGTCAGTGCTGCAATCCGATCATTTCCTTGCACCTGACTCATTCAGTTCAAAAGCTGCGGACAAAGTCGTAAAGATTTGGTCACCGTTCACGGGGGAACTGGTTAGGGATCTAAAAGGGCACACGAAAGGCCTATCCGACGTGTCATGGTCGTCCGACAGCGTTTACCTCGCGTCTGCATCAGACGACACCACCATCCGTATTTGGGACGTTGACTCAGTGCGTCTTGGGTCCCTCCCTTACTTCCTGAGTTAAAAGCAAGACGTGCTGTTAATCAGTCACTAGGGCCTCATACATAAAACTCTGCGTGGACATACGAAAGAGGTCTTCTGCGTCAATTATAATAGTACCTCCACACTGCTCGTATCAGGGGGATGCGATGCTGATATCCGCATATGGAACACAGCCAAAGGTGACCTTGCTCCTGGCACTAGCTTTCTTTTGCTTGACGCAATTATCGTGCAGGGAAATGTGAAAAGAGGCTGGAGGCACACGTGGACATCGTGACAGCGGTGCATTTCAACAGAGATTCGTCGTTAATCGTTTCTTGCTCTTGTGATGGCCTCATGTATGTGCACACTTCCAAGTTAACGTACAAATTACTAATTTACTATTGTAGTCGTATATGGAATGCAAGCGACGGTCAGTGTCTGAAGACGCTGGCGGAAGGCCATAATGCTATATGGTACGCTTTCGCCGTGAATCCGTATACATCGCCCTCATACTAGTAACCTAGTCAACATGTTCAATTTTCTCCCAATTCGAAGTACATCTTATCTACAGCCCATGACAACGCCATCAGACTTTGGGACTACCAAACCGCCCGGTGTCTTAAGACATACACCGGTCACGTTAACCACTTGTATTGTATTTCTGCTTGCTTCAGCGTCACTGGAGGGAAGTGGATAGTGGCGGGAAGCGAGGACAAGAAGGCGTACATATGGGACCTTCAAACCAGAGAAATTGTTCAAATACTAGAAGGACACACAGGTGCGTCTCATGAACACCAATTCCAAAACCGTACTTACGTCGCCACCAGACACAGTGGTGACCGTCGCAGTAAGTATCTTACTCCTCGCTCTTTCCTTCTCATCTGAACGCGACTTCAGACACATCCTTCACACAACATGATCGCCACGGGCGCAATCGAATCAGACTGTTCGATACGGATATGGGAAGATCGTGGCAACCAAGCATAGGCCTCAGCGCATATTTCTTACCCTCGTGTACTCAAAATCCTGCGAAATGTTATCCTGAAGTATGTCTATGTTACAAGGTGTATGAATCACGAAAGCGAGTTTGTTTGCTCGGTGTTGATGTTCATTTAACGGGTTCCGCAGTCCGTAGGTCTGATACGTGAGGTGATGGTGAGTATTGGGTGTTACAAGCTTGGGATCAAACGAACCTTTAGCCAGCTCCTTATCTGCGTCAGTCAGACCAGAATCGTGAGCTTCTAGGAAAGCATCCACCTGGAAATAGTGTTATCAGAGTCGCGCCAGATAAGCAAATAGTCGCTGACCTCATCGAGTACTTGATCATCGTTATCTTCGCCATCGACTTCATCCTCACTCTCATCGTCCTCGTCTTTGGCATCATCAATGGCAAACGGTGTTCGCTCCATGAAAGCCAAAGTCGAGGCTTGGATAAGGGGCTTGGGAATAGGGGAATATATTGTGCTACTTGGCGGGGCAGATATTGCGTCCTTCGACGGTTGCATGACAGCGTCCACGGTGAGTGATGAGGAAGATGCTGCCGCTTTGATCTCATCTTCTTTAGCTTTGCCTGACAAGTTGCCCTGAGACATCGAGCGACGCATAGCGGGCGTGAGCAGCGATTCGCGAGCTTTAGGTTCTTCCAGCTTAGTGTATCTCCCAATTGAAGGTCTGTGGACAACCTGCACAAAGGTTGAGAGACATTCCACTGGCAACTGGCACAAGAAAGGTTACCTGGTGCTTCCCCACTGCTTTGCCGATTTCGTCGGTGAACATGTTAAACATCCGTTTGTTGCTATCCGTTGCTATTGTTGACCAGAGATCGCCTAGAATGCCACTGCTAGAGACAGGTAGCTCCATTTCTGGTAGCGGTTCGAGACGGAACGATGCAGATAAATCAGTCTCGAAGAAAGACTCGAGGATCTCGTCGGCAAGTACGACCATGCGGAAACTGATGGAACATTAGTTATGTTTCATTCTGGGGCTAGTGGGCGCGTACGTAGCAAGGTTGAGGTACGGTAGATTCGAAGCGATTGTTGGCGACGGCAGTGGCTCGGAGTCATCCGCCCCTTCTTCTCGAGGGAGAAGGGCATCGCCGTATTCAAAGGCATTCGTCATGAACCGACTGACTGCACCGAGGTAGGCATCGCCGATTTCGTAACGGAATATAAACTAGGACAATCAGCAGGTCAGAAAAGAACGACAGCGGCTAGGAAAAGGCAAGGTACCAAGAACGACTCGGAAAGGGTTAAGACCTCATCTTTGGTGAGGAACCCGTCCTTATTCTTGTCATGGAGATTGAAGAACCATTCAATATTTTCCATCAAGTCATTGAACATCACTCCATCGAGTCCAGAAACGAGATCCTACATCAGATGATCAGACCTTACTGCATTCGTCAACAAACGGAATAGATACCTGGAATGACAGGGCCCCACGGCACGATACGTCCCAGAAAAAGAATAGTCGATCGATGAACTCGTGTTCAGCAACCTCCCTATCTATCCGTTGCTGGAGGAAGAAGTGAGTATGAAGCCCAAAACAGTCAAATGAACGCCGTTTACTTGAAAGCCATTCATAACGATCTTCTCGTCGCGTGCCCAGGTCGCTACTTCACTCAGGAAATATTGGAATGTTCGCAAACCTATCCGGGTTTCTGGTTTCTCCTCCGTGCCATCGTTAGTGTTCAGAAGCGATGGTGGTGGGAGTACCACTGGCGGCGGCGGTACGATGCACATTGCCTTGTACAATGCGTCATAAATAAGACCCGCCTGGTCCTTAGTGAATCGTTCTAGTGTCCGTAGATTTCGGATGGACGATCGCTTCGAGAAAGACTCAATGCTATGAATGATCTCGCTCCGGAATCGTTTGCGTTCGCCTTGGATCATCTCGTCAGTGATCACGGAAAACTCGCGGAAGGATACGAGGAGCAGTTCTTGGAAGTTGGTGATTGCTCTAGCGCGTGGGTCGGTTGAGTTGGGATGGGCGGACTCCCCTAGAGAGGCAAAGTATTCTCGCATATGACTGGAAGGAGGAAGGTAAGAACGCAAGCAAAGTGGAAGACGACCAAATGCATACTTCAAAAAGCCGCCGTCGTCTTGAATCTGCAAAAGTTTCTCTCCATTGATCTTCAGAATAGCTGAGGATAATCAAGTCAGCCATTGGACGTTTTCGGCAGAACGGGAACAAACCTAGCCTGCACGAGACCAGAGTAAGCATCAATTCGGATAATACGGCAGGCAAACTGACCCAACTTGGAACAAAACCTTCGGACCCATGCAAAAGAAGCAGTCTACTATTCTGAACGCAAAAATCATGGGCATGCTATTTATAAACCTAGTGAAGAGGCATTAGACACTGATCAGCACGAATAAAGACAGAACACACAAGCTGAGGAACCAAGGCAATGATGCAACTGAAAGCTGGACGTCGACAGTTTGGAAGTGGTCGTGTATTATTGGTAGACACCGTTGTACGAGCGACTCAAACACTCGCTGATCTAGTAAGGTACCATGCATAGAGGGTCTGATATGAACGAAAGTAAGTTAACAGTAACTGTATCATGAGTGACATAACTCACGCGTAATATCCTGGAAGCAGTCGATCACATAGGACCTCTAATAGCCAGAAGGTCTGTTCTTCTGACATGTAACTATGAAGGGCTGAGTATATGCACACCAATCCTCGTCCGTACTACGCACATGAGAATAGCTGCTGCCAGGATGTTCATGGCCTGATCAATGGCGCCGTTCAACACGGCGATTACAACGATATTAGTAGAAACGACCAACCTGACAGTATCCGAGCTCAGGATTTTTGAACGAATATGCTTGAAGCACCCTTCGTAACGCAGATATACCTTCGTCAGATTGGTACCCAGCATACTCTGGCAAACTTCGATGCAAATCCTTCTCAATGTCTTCCGTACTTGTCGATGAGCGCCCCTTATTCTCTACTAACAACTGTTCGTAGTATCCCGGGCTGGCAAACCTCAGGTATATCGATCCGGAGAGCACCTCCCACATCTCGCCGCGCAGACGGTTGGGTAGGCCCACCTGCACGAGACGTGTACATTGGGGATAGCGGAGCAGAGTGAGGTTGCGGCCATGAGCTGAAGATGATGTTGAGAAGGATGGAAAAGATACGATATACAAGGGGTAGCCATACCTTTGAGGTATGTCGTCCATAGTTTGATCTTTGACGCTTCACGCAGCCTATTGAATAATATATATTTCACGTCAACGATGAACATGAGCCGGAGAACTCACTTCTTCGGATCCCCGGGGAATTTGAACCTCAGGCCAAGCCCGCCATGATATGCAGATTCATTCGCCGTGGCGGCATCCTTCTCTTCCGTGGTCATAAGGCTTCCGTCCTCCCGCTCATTTTCTGGAGCAGGCGATGACACGAGCACCTCCGAGTAACACGTCTTCACAAAGCCTTTAACGGCCTTCATCCTCCCGCGCTGGAGCTCTACTTTCAACGCGTCGCGTAAGAGCGAGCAGAACAAATCCGCTGTCGGGCGGAGCGAGGTAAGCTGCACTATCTAACCAAGAGGTTAGCAGTTCCCTCCGTCGGGATTGATAGAGCCCACTAACTATCTTCATCCCGTGCCATGAGGAGAGACTGAGTGCATATATCCCCGCGCGGGCATTCAGCCGCTCGACTCGGCGGATGGTGCATAATGGTAATGTGAATCTGACGGATTTGCGGTCGAGCGAGGTGAAGGTCAGACACGGTGGCATCAGATACAATTTGCCAGCCTAACATATGGCCCCAGCGGCATCAGTAAATGCCTCCACTTCACCGTCACTACGTACATATGAATCCTCCACGCCTTCAACGCCCAGACTCAAGACGGCATTGATATCCATCTTCTCGATCTCCTGGGACTTCTCAGCCGACGCATCTGTGAACACCGCCCCAGAGAGTGAGAAGAAGTTCTGCGTCAGCTGTTCTTTCGTGGGTTCCTTGAAGTTGCGTAGCGCTGTCGAGATTGTCGACATCCTGAGCTAAGCTAATGGGATGCAATAAATCGGCGTGGTGATGGTGGTGGTGAGCGAGTGCTCCAGGATCCAGCACGGAGAAGACTGCGCCCGCAAAACACGTTGAAGTGAGCGAAGGGATGATGGAGACGAGTGCCAAGTTTCGACCGAAGTATGGGCGCAGAACACCGTTTGACGAATTAGTAACCGTGGGAATCAATGTACATTAGCATACTTTCTACAACATACATTCATTTAGAGGTAATCTGTACAGGTATAGGCCACACTCAGAAGCAACCCTCGATGGATGTTCGAAAAGGCTGACTGAGAAATATGAGTGTTGCGAGCCACACTGGGAGCAACCTAACTTACTAGTAGTTTGGCTTCTCAATGCTATACTCAATACGAAGTTCTTCGTCTGCAGTCACTTCCCGGGTTACAACGATACGGTTGTTGTTGAGGCGCTTCGTGTTAAACTGGTAGTGGTCAAGTTCTCGCAAGTGCGGACATAGTGCGACTACGTTGAGGATGGCTTGGTGCATGCGGGCCTTGTTCATGTCGGCGGCCTGCCATATCCCCAACCCACGGAAGACTTCAAGCTTCGTGAACAGAGACAGCAGCTCCATCCACAGGTGCTACAGGCACACACATCAAGTCTACGAACAAACGGGAGGAAAAGCACTGACGAGGTCGACAGCCCTGCGGATATCCGGTATAAAGTACGGCGGCACGGAGAGGTGCGTTATCGCGGGGAAAGTGACGGCTAGAGCCCTCAATGTCATCAGGTCGTCGAAATTGTGTATGCGGATCCGCTTGAGGGACCCCCGGTCAAAGCACTTGGACATGGTGTCCAAGAGCTCGCGCGTGAGGACCATTACTTCGAGGCTCTCGAGCATGCGGACGCACGAGCCGCTGTTAAGGGTTCTAATAACATCGTCGTCAGAAGAACGCAGGAGGCGCAAGTTAGGCAGGGAGTTAGGGGAGAGCGGGGGGCAGAGGATTGGCGTCCAGCACAGTTTGGTGATTGTGGGATGCTGCTCAATAAACCGAGCCCGCGACTCGTCTATGGTATAAGAAGATCCGGATTGGAGGACCAGGCGGAGTTCCTCGAGCTTCGGAAAATGCAACGAGGGTAAAGGCTGGAATTCCATAGGAATGTCCAAGTGCTGAGGCGCGCAGTAAGGTTAGTGAATTCTGGACAAGCGAGAAGAGTACAAACTCGCAAGTTTGGCGACTTCTGCAAGAGGGATACAAGGTGAGGACGGTGGTCGGGCTTGGTCCATGTGTCGCCGGATAAACAAAGAGACGTCAGATTTGTGATATTCCACAACTGGGCGTAGTCAGGATGTACGGTTCCAATTCAGAAACGGCATCGTGACGCACGGGGTATGTGCGGTCTTCCACCACCCAGGATGGCAATCGAAGAATAAAGAACTTGCACAACTCAAGATGCTTTAAACTCGGCAAGCGTGCAAGTGCATCGAATGCCCAGTACTCAAGAGCCAATTTATCGCCCACAGTCCACGCCGCCGCTGAATGGTCCCAAGCCCAGGTAAAGGTATGCAGTTCCCGCATGTGCATTAGAGCGGCCCCGAAATTCCTGGCCACGGTGCCCCAATCCGGCTCCTTCTGCCTCGAGGCACAACCTTTGAGAAGGGTGCTCGGACAGTGATCCGGCGCCGTGTAGTCCTTCCTCAGGCAAATGTGCACCGCACGCACGCCCATGGCGAGATCTGCGCGACATGCGAGGTGTTCCCACAGGTGTGGATAGATATGGCGGACACGGATGACTCGGTACTGACTGTGCCGTGGAATGACGAGGCGTGAGCATGCTTTCGAAGCTAGGGCGAAGCTGATGAGGTCGGCGTGGAGATCGATGCGTGATAGGGTGTCGTCGAGCAGCTCTTGCGGCAGGCGCAGGATGGGCGGCGCAGCGGGCGCGATCCTCATTATAGGTAGCGAAGAGGCATGCCACCCCAGCAACCCGCAGTTAGATCTGGGCTGTAGGCGGTTCCCCAATCGAAAAGCGAAGGGCGCTTATTCATCAAAATAGCTCGAAAAGTCACTTTATACACAACTCAAATGGCTCCATCAAAACCTTCCAAAGGCTCACCAAAGACAACCGCCAAAAAGGAGAAGGTATGTCACCCGTCGTCGAGAAAAGCCAGCCAGCTCGTCAGGACTGCGCTGCGCAAAAACAAAATGGGCGATCGGGCGTCCAAACGGGCAAAGAAAGAAGATAGCCAATGTTTGTGATTTCTTCACAATGAATGGATTGATGGTGACTGACGAAAAGCACCGCAGTGGATGTGTTCAGCTTCTTCTACCATGCGATCCCAGAGAGCGGTGTTCTATCTCTTGAGGATGTACATACCATCATCAAGGATGTTTGGCTGCCGCGATTCGACGAAGAACTCGAGGCCGAGCGTGCCGCGCGACGAAAGGGGAGGCCAAAGAGCATGAAGGAGATGAAGTTGGAAGAGATCAAGCTCAGGGAGGAGGAGAACTACCGTGCTGGCATAGGTGCGTCGCTTGCCCATCAATTTCAAGCTGTCTCTTACTCCCTGTCTTTGAGTGCAGAGGTGCCAGACCTTACAGACGAATCCACCGTCGAGATATTCAGGCGGTGGGACCAAAAAGAAATTGCCTTCATTCAGCTCTTGCGATTCATCCGTATATCGAGCGCAGACCCGGGCATGGCCATCGTCTCGCGACCGGGAAAGCATGCCTCCATCCACGCAGCGCATCCGACTCCCTCTCCCCTCGAAAACCCTCCCCTTGCAAAGCTGCCCCTTGTTGAAAGCGATCTCGACGACATGGATGTCGTGCCTGAGCTGCTACCCCCTCCACAAGAACGGGGCGTGGACGCGAGGGGTATGATGCTGCCGTTTGACGAACCGCCAGAAAGATTTGCAAGTACGATCATGGCTATGGATGGATAAGTTGTCGTTATTGTGGTGGCGATGATGAATTGTTGTACGTATACATGTATCTGTGGCTACACAGTCACTGTAGCTATGTCAGTGTGCTCTCGCCGAGGGTGGTCAAACGCGGTTCACGTGATGGCATGATCGCCAGGTTTCAATGAATCGCTACGAATCCCACTTGCTTCTCACCACCACAGTCGTTGAATAGAACTCAATGGAGCAGAGCGACTGTCAGCGTGCGCGCCGTTCGCGCGTTGTTCTTGACTTACTGCAGCAGGGCTTCCCCAACGACCCCGTAAGTGACCGCACTCAGACTCAGGCAATAGTATTCGGCTGAAGATCCTCGGTAGGACATTGCTCATCTACTGACTTTGAACTCTGCTTTAGCATCCTGCTCGGAGGAGGAAGCTCAGCTACCTGGAGGGCTATCGGTCACCGACATCAAACGCTTCAACCGTCCGCCAATCCGTAAAGCAAGTTTCCCTCTCATCGTTCATTCGCCTCCCCTCCCTCAACAGTGTAATAATTATGCAGCTTCAACCCTGGCAAGAAGCCAAACTCGCAGAGGTTGTCCAAGCAACCATCTCGGTTATCTGCCAGTTTCTAGATCCCACACCGTCACAAAGCGACGGGGCAAGCGGGCTGATCGAACGTCTTCGGTATCTCCGTGAGGACATTGACAATACCGATCGCGACGTTGCAACTGCCCGCAAGTCGATTGTTGATCTTACCGCAGACATCAATGAGGTGGGTCCCCATTTTCGGATGGCAACGACGCGTCGTAGGTAACCATGAAACCGTGTCTAGATCCACCCGCGGCTCCAAAGTAAACTTATCGATGCCGTAGAGACGCTGGCGCCGATGGCGAACAAAGAGCGCACGGCATCGGCAGACCTGCAGGCGTCCACGATCGAATTGTCGTTGATGAAGCTTGCATATCTCCGCGCGCGGGCCTCACATGCGCTGTATGGCGTCACTGTGGACACACGCGGTACAACAACCTCCACAGTGCACAAGACCATGGCCGAGGCGCTGAGTGTGGCATATGGGAAATTGGAAGCGGAGGCCGGGCGGATGGAGCGTGAGGAGAAAGAACTGGATAGCCAAGTAGCTGAGTACGAGCAGGCTCTGGCGCTCGTGGATAGTGCGGGATCTGGGGGGTTCTCGCAGGTGGTAGAGGATTGGGCGCGGGTGAAACGGGACACGGAGGAGTGCCAGAGAGACTTGAGGCGATTCGGGTGGACGGGGGATTAGTGTTGGACCAGAGCTGCACCGCGTGGTTTCTCAAGTATTTGCTATAGGAAAATTTATTCGAACTGGATATATCTGTTGAAGCCCGCGCCGTGTGGACATTCTGCAAGAATATCAAATCCTTGAGCCCGTCGATCGGTCACGTGCTTCATCTGTGGAATGGCTGGATTAGTCAGTTGAGAACCCTCTCAGTTGGAGACCCTCACAGTCACTGTTGTTGTTGCCCCTGATTCCATCTGTTATCGGTATGAAGGAACGCTCAAGGCAGCACCACGACCTCTATCAAGGACCGCAATCACCTCAATTTTCTGTTCTACACTACGATTTCTCCGATATGAGGTCTACAAGTCCTAAATACGGACAAGACCTTGGTGGCGTCGAGGCGCAGAGCCGCAAGCAGGCTGCCCGCCCACCGGTGGTCATGGCGAGTACATGTACGGGGTGTGTGACAGGATGCGAAGAGCCTTCGTGCCCGGCAGTGGAACTCACTCAGCCTGGGTGCACCAGCCGATGCGTCGAGATCGTCCACGTCGTCCCGTGCCCGTATCCGAACCACGAAAACGACGACGATGCCGCCCCATGCGACACAGACTGCGAGGGAATTGCAGACTGCTCGATGTGTGTGCCGGAGAAGCTGGTGAGTTATCGATGGCTGTCGGGGTTACAGGGGACTTACATTGCACAGGCTGCGTACTGCCCGCAAGACCCAGCATGCGCTGCAGAAAACCTTAGCGCCTGTGGGTTGGAAGCGACGGGCTACAACGCGCTCGACTCTGATTTTGATTCGTGGTTCTGCGCAACGTGCATTCCTGGCGACGCATCCGATGCTGTAACGCCGCAATCCAAGCAGCAACATGCTTATTCGCAACCCGTCTCATCGGATATTCCGAGCCAAAACTGGTCGATCCCTAATCCACCACCAGCGTTGGAAGCTCGGTATGAGGATACTATCCTACCCACCCCTCCTACGTCAACAATCCAGACGTCGAAGGGGGAGCATCCAACTTCCTCTTTAAATAGTACTGATCGCTTCGCCTCGCCCAATAACCAGCAACCACAGCAAGCGCCCCAGCAGTCGCCACCGCAACCGCTATATACCTGTATGTGGGGCGACTGTCTAGCGTGCTTCAACAACCTCCAGGATTTTGTCGGCCATGTGAACCTCCAGCATCTACGACCCCCCGTCGCACCACCCCCACCGGCGCAGTTCCAGGACGCGAGCCCGACGCCGTCGTTCTCTTCCTACGCATCATCGCCCAGCGATTACTCGGCACAGTCAACGCCTGTCAATCCGTTTTGTCTGTGGCGCGATTGCCATGTCGACTCGTCTTTGAGCAGTTTGCCTGGCCCTTCTTCACAATGTGCGTCCCAGGCGTTCCTCGAGGCGCTTGAAGCGCATCTTTTGCACGACCATCTTGGCATTCGGAACTGTCATCCACTGCGCCCTTTCGAAGGCGCCCACCAGGAACAGCCCTTGTGGAACGACCACAGTCGTATATTCGACACTGCCGCGCAGGAACAATCGGCTGAAAAAAATCCTGCTCCCCCTCCCGCCCCCCCGCCACTCAACAGCAACAGCCCCGTTGAATCGGCTGCTAATTCGGATACAGAAATTGGTCATGGGCATGATTGTTCGATTGAGGTCCATCGGTGCCTCTGGCAATCTTGTGGCCTGCACTTTTCGACTTGCGACGAGCTGACAGAGCATCTATCGTCGGCTCATGTGGGTGGCGGCAAGGGCCACTACGACTGTCGGTGGGAGGGCTGCGATAGGCATGGGGAACGATGCTTCACCAGCAAGCAGAAAATATGCAGGCACCTCCAAGTAAGTTTGCTCCCAGTCTACTCTCGTCCGTCCGTTAGATTCATGTTCTTATCCGACGTATAGACCCATACTGGGCACAGGCCTTTCCAGTGTAAGGTTTGCAACGAAAAATTCTCCGAGGCAGCCACCTTGCAGCAACATATGCGTCGCCATACCAATGAGAGTGAGTATTTTGGTCTCGTCAGTCACCCCAACCCTCTGACTGGCCGATTCTATTCTAGAACCATTCAAATGCAGTCATCCTGGTTGCGACAAGTCCTTCTCAATAAGAGGTGCCCTAACAATACATCAGCGAACACATGACGGCTCGAAGCCGTTCAAGTGCTCATATTGCCAGAGGTAAGCCGAACTTCATCCTATCTATGGACCTTCCTGACATATCGTGACCTTACAGAGCTTTCTCCGAGTCATCTAATCTGTCGAAGCATGTGAGTGCTTACCTATCTTTGTCTAATGAAACTGCTTTCTAATAAGTTCATCGATTGTATATAGCTGAGAACTCATACTGGTGCCAGACCGTACCCTTGCACCCACGATTGCTGTGGGAAGGCCTTTGCGAGGCCTGACCAGCTCACGAGGCATATGCTCACACACAGGAAGAGTTGAATCTTGTAACTTGTGTATAGACAGTATTAGTGTTATTATTGTATGTATTAGCTGTGAAGACTCTCAAGCAGTACTTGCGCTCGATTTCTTATATTAACTCTAGTAAAGCTCCTTGCTGGGCAAGTTCGTCCCTTATGGGGTAGAACTCGGAGCAAGTCAGCATGTTTACCTTCAACGGACCAACGAGAACGCGTCGCTTCGTCATCCTGCCGTCTACCTCGGAGGAAGAGGACGGATTGGATAGGGTGTCTCTGAGAGACCACAGCACCTTCTCCTCGTCATCGCTGCCTTGCGGGCATCGAAGAATGAGGGAGGCCACCTCTGACATCCGCTCTGTCTTCCAAACGTCTCTATTTCCCAAATCCATTTCGAGGGTGTGCACATTCGGGGACACATCCAACATCTCCAAAATAAACCAAGAGAGCCCTTCTCCGCGTATAGTCAACCGGCGGAGGGAGGGCATGTAGCACGTGTGCTTCATCCGTGTCGTGTAAGCCTTGGGGGGGCAGTTGAGTGATGGGAGGTTGTGTACGAAGGAGACCTCCAGGTCCGTGACCTGAGGGGGGAAGTTGCGCAGCCGGAACCCTTGGTACAAGTCCGTGTAGCCCCCGCCAGAGTATTGTATCGCAATTCGGCGCAGGTTGGGGAGGTACGCCGGGATGCGGTCGAGGCAGTATAGGAGATCGAAGATACTGCTGGCATTCCACGGAATGAGGTGGTCCCAGAACTTATGATTCGGGCGCATCTCCACGCGGAAGGAGAGCGAGCGGCAGCACTCTTGCGGGAGGTGGTGTACCGCGGGGTCGAAGATGGTGGAAGGTCCATGGAGGAGGTTTATAAGATAGGGCACGTAGTTCGGGCATGGGATGAAGACGTCCTTCGAGGAGACACGACTGTATATGACCGTCCATGCTTTGCTGACGAGGACGGAGCTGACCATTAAGGTGATGCGCTCTCTGAGGGTAAGGGGGGATGCCCAAATGATATTAAGTATGTCTTCAATTATTTCTGGCGGGAGGCATGTTTGTTTAATAGGGTTTCCGGGTGGAATATTGAGCGAGTCCATCATGCAATAGCTTCGAGAGTGGAAGAGAACTTGGTCAAGACGGAAGACGAGGTTTATATTGGTCGAAGTTGCGTTAGGAGTAGGCATAGGGGTGATCGACTGGGGTAGAACTGGAACAACGGCTTCGATCGAGGACAACGTATGCGCGACAAATGTCTGAGCTTCGTCCCCACGAAGTGGGGATTCATTTCATACCTATTGAGCAACAGGCGCTGCACCTATAATGATATGCGAATTCATGTAAAATAGGAGGACCTTGCCCCCTGGAAATTCAGGGGATGAATCCCGCTCAATCAGAAGTGTTTTAAAACACAATCTATAAGAGTCTAGCTCGCAGCAGACAAATACCAAGATAAATGGGAGATATCAGAGAGGTGTGGTTCTGACACAAACCGTGACAGAACCTAAATCGCCAATGGCTGGGAGTACTCGCTCGGAGGCTCTAGGAGGTCATTTTGTGCAGCTCGCTCGCCCTCCTCGTCTTCAACGGGAGGTTCTACGATGGGGTCGTCGAAGGGCTTGATGTCTTTGGCGGCTTCGGTTTGAGACGGGACTACGGTAGCATTCGGTGCGATAGGAAGGGGGAGAGGTATGGTGATCGGCAGTGGGGTGGGAGGTCCCGTGTGCATCGCTCCAGTCGTTCTACGAAGTGGAATGACTTTCCCTAAGGAATACGTGGTTTTTGATTTCATATTCATGGACAGATGGCGGAGAAGAAGACGGACCTAGTCGCTTCATTTCATCGTATCCTTTCAATCTAACGTTATCACACAAAGGGTCCACCGATGTGCCTTCTTCCAGACCAACATAGTCTATGCGATGGCGATGTAGATACTTGGCGTCAAGCTGCCATGGTGCATCTGGGAGCACTTGGTCTACCCATCTGCAATGCCTGAGTATCTCGCACCGCTCTACATGGGGCATCGCTACGGCCGTGTGGTGGGTTTGGCATAGTTCGTCCGAAAATACTCCCACCACCAGAAACACAGAAGAGAATGACAGCTTCGCCTGGCGTAATTGGTGCACTTGTCTAGAGATAACCACACGTAATATGAACACAAGGAGCGACGGACTTGACTAGTGGGCGAATAGGCTAATCCACATACCTGGTACCGAGCCAGTCGAATGTCCCATCAACGTATACTCTCACAGTGCGATTCTGGAGGTAAGTGCCGATGTTTCTGGCCTTTATTGTACCAGTGTTTGGAGAGGTGTCCAGAGCACGCTGCACATAGGCTTGGATGTCCTCTGGGGTCAAGCTGACCGTGTCGAATTTGTCGAGAGCTGACTGAAGGGGCTCTGGTTCGGAGAGCAACTGGCCTTGTGAGAGATCAGCGATGCTGGAATCAAGGGAACGGCTGCCAGGATTCGATATGACATCGTAGTCGTCGTCGCTCTGGACGGAGGACATATTCAGAACCAAATACACAGTGAACAGGAAGGGTAATAATTACGACTGCCTGGGAAGTGACCCAAGGACGACTGCCTGAGTAAATTGGCGTACACGAGGCAGTCCAGAATAGGTGACCTGTGATGCCACCTGAGCTCAGGGACGGTAACCCGCAACATTACTGCCATTACTGCCAGAGTCGCTGACACGGCCATTCTATCACTGCGGCAGAGCCGCTGTACCGCGACGCCTGCACTGGGTCGCCACTGCCAGCGACAAAGCGTGGTAAATGCGGCAGCTCGTCGTCGGGCTCGGTCCCCTTCGATGGGATTCGCACCCAGTCGCCGAAACGAGTAGCGTCGCTGCCAGCCGCGCTGGAGAAGCCCTCTGGGAGGCCGAGCTTCTTCCTGGCGTCGAGGTGGTGGTTCCGAGGAAAGGATATATCGATTGAATTTACCTAAGACCCTAATCATGGCAGAGCCTAGGACCCATCGTGTCAAAGTCCCTGTCAGAAATGTATATATTGTCCCGGCCACCCGCCAACGCCATCTTTCTTAATGCCTCACTCTTCTCTCTCCATCCACCATCATCTCCCCCTCCCCCCCTCCCCAAATGGACCCAGATCCCGCCGCACAGCTGGCAAGAGCGCTCGAGCAGTATGTTGTCTCCGCGATCCACATGTCGGCCATCTTCTCACTTATCGCAGAAACAAATATACTTTACCTTGTATGTGGACTAGCATTTACCTGCATTCACCTCACCCATGCATATGTGCCATAGCTGTTTGTGAGTCGCTCGAACTTTGCATTTACACCTCCACTGACGCTTCTCCAAGATGTAATTTTGCTCTGGGAAGCACTGATAAAGTCTCCACCCCGTTACCTTGTGCCGTTGGACTGCTTCCTGACCCCTCGTTCTTAGTTTGGGCGAGGAGCACGATCTGATTCACCAGACGCGATGGGGACACGTCAAAGTGTGCTACCTCGCGTGCCGTTATTATCCCATTATCATCACTCCATTGTACCTGTGGGCTTGCATCGCCGACATCGATCCTCGTACATGTGCAAGCATCGTTCTCCCGCTACAAATATTTCTTCTGCCGCTGGTAAGCTACCTCCGATATCCCTCGCATCGCGAAACTTAGTTACCTTCCTCATATAGACCCTGTTTCCTCAATGTCAGTGGCCCTTGCAGTAGCTGTATACATTTAGCACCTGACATCTTGCGCCGCAATTTAGTCGTCATCCTCGTCCGGGCCTACGGCTTTACCGGACGAAATCTCTACGTGCTTCTTCTGCTGTGCGGCTGTTTCGTAACACTGCTCTTCCTCCAATTCTGGGGTTTCGCAAACCAATCGCTCGTTGCACGGAAGGTCTTCGCCGTGCTGGGGACATGTCAAGGCTACAAAACTACTAGCAACGACTTCTCGCACACAAGACACGTCGGCGTAAGTTTCACCGCCGTATCAGTTTGCTTCCGTTGATTGATGTCTGTTGTCTGTCTTCAAGTATGTTATGGTTAGTCCCGTCTTTGGCTGATTAATTATGATCCACTCACTAATGAATTATACCTCCTTCAGGTCGCGTCCATAGCCACTGATGCTCTCGCCCTGATCGTAGTCTCAATCGTAGGTTCTATTGACCCTAACGCTCGAGAAGTGTCGTTGACTGTGGCTATGTCCTTTTTTGTGACATCAGCATTGCTTCCGAATAAGAACGACGCAGGGTCCACTTGGTCGTTTGTTCTTGCAGCAAGGCATCAGCGGCTTCCTTGTGATGCTAACGCTAAACATCGTCTCTGCATTTACCTTCCTCGGGTAAGTCCTTTCCCCTCGTTCTAGATTTATCTCATTAAACATACTAACATCCTACAGCCCGGATCACTTGCTGACATTCGGCGTCGTTTATCCCCTAATGTTCCCCAACATCATCGTATGTACCCTTCACCTGGTCTCGGTCCATCCAATTCTCATGCTAGCTTGTTTTTCTTGCTCAGGCTTGTCGTTTGTACGTATCCGCCTCCTGCTCCTCCCCAGGCTAATTCACTAATTCATTGCTTATCTATTGGCTTCCGTGATGATCTCAACAGCATTCTTCAGCTTCGCAGACAAGTATCGCCCACCGAAACCTTCCAACTGCGCCGTCAATCTCAACTGGTTCGCGATGCAGTGGGCGTCGCCCACGACCCTCAACCTCCTGATCCTGGGTCGGGTCCCCCGCACATATCGATACCTCTCGAAGATTACTACCTAAGGCCGATGCCAACGGCGCACCAGCTGCTGCCGCAGCATAATATCTACTTCCATTCGTATCACCCTCGCGACCCACCTTCTTTTTCAATACCAAAACCATAACACCCGCCGTTCCCTTTCAACGACCTTCATGATTCAGCAATTATCAATTGTATCATTTAGCATTACCCGCATCGGCTCCACACATAACACTTCGCTTGTATTATAAACTACATTGAACAACCATAGCAGTACAATCACTTCACCGTGCTCCGCTAAGCATATTCCTACTCGTTTCTGGGTATCCTTTCTCCACGGAGCACTGCGACCCGCGAATGATTAAGCACCTGCGCACAGGAGGGGATATCAAAGACTTGATGATAGCTGCTAAGTAGTATATTCATTTTCTTGAGAAGATGCCGTCGAAATATCGTTTCAGTCCTGTCACGCCGTTGACCACCGCTCCGACGACACCATCAGGCCGCACTACGATAACATTGCACCCGCCTCTGACATCGTACGCGTCCCGCGCGAAGCCTGACATGTCTTCAAGGAAATACTCGATCCCCTCGAGCGTAGGAATCGGCGACGGCACACCCGACCGGTACAGAGCAGCGATACGCACCAACTCCGCCGGATATGCTTTCAACGCCTCGACCACTGGAGCGTAACTCGCGATAGTCTCCCCTGGTCTCGTGAACAGGAGCACCGTATGCTTCGTCGGGTCGAACACCTGGAAAAGCCGCGTGTTGATACTCTTTTGCGCTTCCCCGCGGGTATGCCGGATTCCTCGTAACGCAGGCGCGTCAGGGGCTCTATCGCCCGCCTTCAGACAGCCATCGAATCCTCGGCCGTAGGAGTCGTGCCGCGTTGGTGTGGGCGGTAAGTCAATTAAGCGCTTGCTTATTGGCTTCGAGAGTTGCTGCTCCTGTTCGTCGACGGTGACGGACGACCAGCGGTAGTTGACGCCTAATTGGAGGAGACTTCCTGGGCGTTTCTCATCCTCCTTCCATTGACGTCCAGCACGCTCTTCGTCGTCTTCCCAATCGTCTTCGTCTTCTAAATCCTCCGTATCTGAGTCCTCTTTGGCTGCGATTGGTCGCGGCTCTTTCGTACTCGGCCCTGCAACCTTGACCTCGCCTTCAGCATCTTCCTGCTCAACTTCAACGACCTCTACCCAATGTTTCTCTTCCTCGGACCGTATCCGACCATTAAAAGCTTTCTTGAGGATCACGGTCGTTTGGTCGAGCATGTCAGCGATGACTGGTAATCGCTCCTCCGTAAAAGAATCCAGTAGAGAAGGCTTTGCGTGTCCATTAGCAACTAAAGCAAGCTTCCAACCCAAATTGAAGGCGTCCTGGACGCCGGTGTTCATGCCCTGAACGAAGGACAGGTAAACGTTAGCAGAGCCCAAGCTAGTATAGCGCAACCATGTACCTGGCCACCAGTAGGACTATGGACGTGTGCAGAATCTGACCGCATTGGGGTTAGGCGCTGATCGTTACCACAAAGTAAAATGTTCACTGACCTCCCGCGACGAACACTCTGCCCTTGCCAAATGTGTCAACCATGCGTATATTTGGTCGGTAATGCGACAGCCATGTTACTTCTTTGACGTTCATGCCGTGCTCACGCATCTTGCCGGTGTGGGCATAAATGAAGCGGATGACAGCCTCGTTGGAATGTGCAAGAGAGTCGTGGTCGACATCAAGGCCACCGATCATGAAATTGAATGTGGTAGGTGTTTCAGTTGGCCGAAGGCTTACGCTACACGTATTATTAGCACTCGGCAATCTGGATAAAAGATAAGAGTTGCCTACAGGGTGGTCGAGGCATCACCCCACATATGCCAATACTTGAAGCGGAGGTGTCATGAGCAACCGAGCGGTGTACTACGAGTGGGGCAGTAACTTACCTCCTCGGTTAGGCCTTCTACGGTGACATCTCCTACCACAAGATGCTCGACAACCCGGGTCTCACCGAGGAATGAAAGGCCCAACAGTTTGCGGACGACGCCTCGTGCACCATCAGCACCGATCAAATAATCGAAATTTGATGTCTCTTCGTGGAGCTGGCCGTCGGGAGTCTTTGTTTTGATGCGAGCAGAGACACGATCAGGATACTGCTCGAAATCTATCAGTTCGGCTGATTGCTCGACGTGACAATGCAATTGTGCTAGCGTCGAGCGAATAATGGTTTCCAGGCGGTCTTGACCAAGATGTTGAATGTTCAGCTATATTATCGATACAGAGTTCAGCGGGCAAGATACGAAACGGCGATTTTGCAGAAGTCGCACATAGGGGCAGGCCGGAGTGGGCTCATTCCACGGCTGCATGTCGAAAGTCTGGATAGCATGGGTGCCTTCGGGCATGTCATACAGTCGAACCCGGGGGGAGTATATCCCCTGGCTCTCGATCTGGTCCCCGACACCAAGAAGATGGAATATCTCGAGAGATCTGGGCTATAGGGGCGCCATTTTATCATTCATTGCGCCGCAGATCCTGAAAAGGAATACAACGTACCATTATGCCTGCACCTCGTTGACCGATCCGAGCAGCCAAGTCCTTTTCAATCAAACGCACCCGAACACCATTGCGACGAAGTGCGAGCGCGAGTACCAGGCCTGTGGGACCGGCACCGACCTGAACAGATAGAAGCCATGCCGTTAGCATGATGCACGCCGCCACCGTCGTGAACATTACACTCACTATGAGTACCTGGGGCGCTTGTGGGTCGTCCGTCATGGCCATTATCGTCGTTCTGTCCAGCACGACGGGAAAATAGGAAAAGAACTGTCCAGTCCCTCTCGCTGATAAAGTCGGCGCAAGAAAGAGAAAATGGGGAAATAGTGGTAGCGACCGGGACAAAGTGAGAATTTAGGCACAGTCTAGGCTTGGCAACGAAGATTGTATATCAGATTGGCGAATCCCTGCGCAACCGATGATCGTGAATGTTTTCTGTCGGGCGTCGGGGAGCCGTGAGCAGCACAAGGTGGCGCAGATGCAAAGGCTGGCCGTCTGTCGACTGACTAGATTTTATTTTCGAGCAAGAAACCACTACATTCGCCCAAACCCACATTTTCGCAGCGACAGATGGAATGGCCGCGACCGTGACGGTACCTTCAGGGACGACTAGTCACCGCTGGCGCCTAAAAGCCCGGCCATTTTTCTGGCGCCTATTGCACTACATTCAACAATGCTAAGTCAGGTTCTTCGACCATGCACGCGCCGTGCGACGCGTTTACGCGACTCTTGGACCCATGCTGCCGTCACTCGACAACGATTCTACTCGTCGTATCCTGCGCGACCGCGACCCTTGTGGTCGACCTCGCCGCGGCCTCATTTCCTGCAACAATGCCCGTGTGTACACTTTATTTCCGTAATAAGTTCTCGAGTCATTGACGGACTGATATATCACAGTAAACGTTTATTGCGCAAATTCTCTGATGAGGCTGGGAAATCAGCAACCGCCGAACCCGAGGCGTTGTCGTTGAGTTTCTCTGGTGCATTGGTGGGTGCTATGATCACCGTCCAGACCATCTTTAGACAGTTAATCATGATCCCGGTTGTGATCTACAGAGCCCAGAGGAAACGAAATCTGTCATACAGGAGATCACGAGTCTATGGCCCACCCTCGAAACCTTACCGTCCGGCTGGAGTGACGAGTGGGAGACATGGCCATACTTCTTCACGTATTTCTGGCGAAGCCCTTACTTCCTCAGACTTCCCTCGCTGCAAATGATCGTCAACATCCAGCATCAAATCCCGGGGATTATCGAGCCCGTGATGTACTCGACTACCTCCGAAAGCGTTGTTGCTTTCATGGTAAACGACGTTTGCTATGTGGCCAGAGTTGCTGGCGGCAGCATAGGCCTATGGAGTCTCGAAGATTTGAAGACAGACCAAGATATCTTCGAGTTCCTCGAAAACAACCGGTGGAAGGAAAGAGACCCGTTGCTACCTACTGAACAAGGCATGGCTACTGTACAACGAATACGTGACCGGGACCCGACAGTGACTAAAACGCTATACGAAGAAGGCTATCTAGACTTCGAACCACAGCCAACCACCGAAGAAGAGGAGATGGAGGACTTCGAGCAACGCGCGATGGAAGACGACCGCGGCGAAGACGAGGCTGAAGTGGATCAAAACCTTTCAGAAATTGAAAAATATCTAGAGTGGCTGGAGGATCTCAATCCTACACCAGAAGAGCTTCACAACGACCCCAAACTCGAATTCGCGCTCAAGTTTCGGGATGCAATCAAGAAGATGAAAGAAGCGGAAGCCGTGGCAGAATTGGAGGAGGCGGAACAAAGTATGCTTGACGGTGAAGATGACGAATACGAAGAGGATGACGAAGACGAAGATGAAGACGAGGGGGGAGATGACAGGGACGAGGATGACGAACTCAAGGGCCGGCTGATGTCTGAGAAAGGCATGGAAAGTGGCGAAGTAGATACAATGTTCCTGGGCGGGAAGGATACCGCACATGGAAATAGTACCGCCGGCCGATAAGGGCCCGGTCTGCTCGTCGAAATGTTAGTCCCTCGGGTCTGGGGTTGGCTGAGTTTGAAATTTACATTTCCTAGCGCTGGGGTTTGGCTGAGCGCGTCACATTTGTCACACATGTTCTATATACGGCGCCAATCTGATAACAATTGCAACAATGGTTCGTACTACCAACAGCCGCACCCAAACACTTCGAGAAGCTGCCAATGCTCAAGCACAACATCGTCTACGGACCTCTGCTATCCTTGCCGCAGTTGTAGGGGGGGCTGCCCTTCATATGGCTCAGTATCTGATCAAGACTCCTATGTATACCTCTGCTCTCACTGGTGAGCAATGGACAAAGGAACTTCTTGATGGACATTGGGAGCGCTTTCACAATATGATGGGGATGAATAAGCGAGTCTTTCAAAAGCTCAATCAGGAGCTGCAGAAGTACTCTGGATTCAAGGGTTCAAGGTATATTGGGCAGGAGGAGCAGTTGGCAATGTTTCTGTACATGTGCCGGTCAGGTGCGGTACACCGGGAAGTGCGTGAGCGTTTCCAACATAGTCCTGGGACAATAACACGGTATACATATCAACTTGAATTTTTTAACCGTTGCTAATGATTCTCTAGGGTGTTCGACAACCTTCTGAACCGTTTAACTGATCCCCAGTTTTATACACGCTATATGAAGCTTCCGCCAAGTGATATCACACCGCCTGAGATACGTACCAACCCCAAACTCTTCCCATTCCTCAAAGACTGTCTTGGAGCTCTTGACGGTACTCATATCGATGCCTTTATCCCTGACGAAAGTCAGATTGCACGAAACCGAAATCGCAAAGGCGGGCTCACTCAGAATGTTCTTGCTGCAACCACGTTCGACATGCGGTTTGCATATGTACGGGCAGGTTGGGAAGGGAGTGCTGCAGATAGCCGTGTTTTTGCAGATGCAAGGGCTACCGATTTTGCGATCCCCCCTGGCAAGTATTATCTTGGTGATGCTGGTTTCCCTGCATGTGATGCACTGCTGGTACCCTACCGTGGTGTCCGATACCATCTCAAGGAGTGGTCAAGATCTACAAACACGTGAGTTTGTCTCTGACTGTATTGGTGTCTTACTCATTCTGTATTAGCCCACGCGATTACAAAGAATTGTTCAACTTGCGACATGCTCAAGCTCGGAATGTTGTTGAGCGCATCTTTGGTGTTGTCAAGCGGCGATTCCGGCTCATCAACACTGCTCCAGAGTATTCGTTGAAGAAGCAAGCAAAGATGGTGCTTGCGTTATGTGTACTTCACAACTTCATCCGTGTCCATGATCCCCAGGACTTAGATGGAGCAACCTTGGAGGATCTCAGCAACTATCGCCAGCAATCACATACACCAACCACAGATGATTATTCAACTCACATCTCACATGAAGAACGAGATCGGGCAAACGACTTCCGGGATAGGATTGCTAAACAGATGTGGGAGCAGTACCAACAGTATCTACAGCAGAACATGTAATTACGTTGGTATTAAAATTGCAGGAGGTATGTAGATGTAAAGAGTGGAATGGGGTAAAGAATGTGAAATGATGTAATAAAGGAGTGGGATGAATTAGTAGTAACCTAGAGAGAAGATAGCTCAGCAAGGATATATGCATGGCGAAGTACATCACTATCAATGCCCATATATGTATCGACACTTGAACTGTCCTTTCGGAAGAGAACAAGTGCCTTACCTTTCTCTTCTATGGTTAGATCATGATCCATGTCCAACGCAGCAATGACCTTGACCAGACGAGAGCCAGAAAGCATCTCCGAAGAACCTACAGCAGCCGTTCCCGCATTAGCCACCTTGCTGACAGCTCCTGCCAATGCAAGAAGAGCGTCAGGACCAGAGGTACGGCCCCGCTTCATCCTGTATGGAGCCGGAGTGTCATCCGCATCAGAGGCAGCACGCTTCCGACACTGAGATGAAGGTGGTGGTGGTGGGGAAGGGGAAAGAGGAGGGAAAAGGGGAAACATGTCCATATCCTACAATGATTGAGTTTTCAAGTTAAACTCAATACTGATAGCACATACCTGAGAGGCTTCGTCCTCATTATCGCTACGAGGAGTTCCAATATCCCCACTATCATCAGCAACCATAGCGGTGATACTGACAGCATTATCACCAGTTGCACTACGACCTTCAACCAAGGCAAACATGAGGTCATAGCAAGGAAAGGCCTTCTTTCGCCACTTCTTGGCGGAGGGATGTTTCTGGTATAATCAGTAATGGCAGGCAGGAGAAGATAAGGAGACGTACATCAATATACTTGTCCCAGACATCATCAGTCGCAGTGACAAGATGTCGTTGGTCATCCCAACCAAATCCTGAAAGAGAGCGAAGGACTTGGACAACAAGAAAGCTCTCCTTGAGCTAACCAACATGATAAGTCATAGCCTGTAGACTAAGATATCAAGTACGCACTGATTTGAACCTATCACGACAACTGGTAGCAGTCTTGCGACTACCCTTGCTCCTCTCTTCACTACCCTTCAAGCTTTCCTCAGCTGCAGTCCACACCAGGGTTTTCCAGCCATTGTCCCCTTGATTGCCAGCAGCTTGTTGCTCAAGAAGGCAGTCAAGAAGGGCCTTGTCATCGGCATCCGTCCATATGGCCTTTTTCCCCTTCAATACAGGGGGATTCTCCTTATTTGATTGCGTCGAAGAAGGCATTGGCGCGTGAGTGAAAGAAGCGAGGGGAGAGAAGCGAAGGGGAAGAAGCGAAGGGGGAAGAAGCAGGGGGATACGAAGAAGCGCCGAGAATTGATGTGACATGGGGCCTGCCCCAAACCCCAATGCAGCAGAGCAAACCGCCGGCTTGGGGTAGGTTTGGGCCGGGTTTGATCCAACCGTGGGACTCAAATTTGGCAGGTCGGGGCTAACATTTCGACGAGCAGACCGGGCCCTAAGGTGGCAGCAATGCTCCAGTCTGCCAAGAGCTCGAGACCTACGGCGACTACCAGTAACCATGCAATGATACCCTTTGGTTGACAGCCATTGTCACCGTGGGTGGCGAGTAGGTGCAGCCGCCCAGCCCAGTCTGTCTCGGGCCCCCGTGAGTGAATACCAAGTCCCTCAGCAAGTTTGTAATCCTTTTGGCCGGTCCGAGATGTTGAACACGTTGGAAGTATTTTAGCCGAAGGAAGATGACGAGTAGAGAAGAGATGGATGTTGGTATAACGATACATCTTGGGAGCAGATATACAGGATGCGAGCTAGTAGATACAAGACACGTCGCAGTCGACAGTGCGTAGTTAGTTGGCTCCTTGCCAGTGATAAAGTAAAGTACCCTGCATGATTGATTAGCGAAAAGACAAAAGGGAAGAATGAGACACGGACAGTAGAGTTGTCCTTCCGTACTATCTTTCGATTGACGAGCGCGATAAGGCATTTATTGACACGGGCCTGAGGGAGGTCGGGGACTTTGACAAGGTCCAAAACTGAAAGAGGAACAAATACATATGAGTATGAGTTAGGCACACTAAGACAGATGAAGTCCCCACTCTTAAGGCCCTTCTTCGCATCCATCATGCCCTCTATAACAGATTCCATGTTCCGGCGAAGGTTCTGGACAGAAGGGGGGTACGACGTCTAAGCAGACGATGCGTGAAGTGGGAAGGATATCTCACAGGGTCGTTCCCGCGAAACTCCAACGGCAAAGACAGAATCACTTTCTCGATTTCCATCTACGCGTGATAGTGAATAGTTAGAACGCCTATAAGCATATCATTCTTTCTTTGACACGAAGTTATCACGTACACTTCGTTCTTTCTTCTCCCTGGCCGTAAGTTTCGGCTTCGCGACTTTCTTCTTCACCACTTTGGTGGATGGGCCTGACACGTTGGTCGTCGTATTGCCCACAAACGTCGTCTCCATCTCTGAGACTGCCGTCATAGTGGTCTTGTCGGCGGCCGCGGCCGCGGCTTTCTCAGCTTCTCTGGCGTATTGGGCTGCCTTCGCTGCCTTCGCCGCTTCTAGAGCTGCGATGGCATTTCGTTCTTTCGGCGTATTATCATTACGACTAGAGTTAAGTACGCGTCAATCGAGGCTGCGCACCGGCTCTTTCCTTCGCCAACACAAAGGACGCGTTCGTTGGTGCCTACATTCCATTTCAATCACTCGTACCACGCATCACCACGATCGCGTTGTTTCTACTTACCTGTGACCAGTCCGTTGTCAGTGAGTTCATCTGCATCACATACAACCAGCTCGCGAAAGATTCGTTGAATGTTGCAAGTGAGTCGCTCAGGTTCTTCATTGTCTCGAGGTTGACCTGGAGTGATTCAGCCTCGTCCACGAACTCAGACATTGCTGGCTCGATAAATCCCAAACCATGAGGGGCATCGGGGTACGCCCCCGAACGGGATAAAGCAAAAAGAGAGCCATGGGATATACGCCGAAGGGGTGTGCGCTGAGATGTCGGGGGCGCCATGTTGGTCACAGTGGTACCGATAACGGGCGCTAAACTTAGAACAATCAAGTTCAATGACAAGTTATTTACTAAGGTTCGTGATTATTCTACCAATCCCCTCCAAACCTCCGCCAATCAGACCAACAGCACCTTGAGATGCCATCCTTGCAGCCTTGACTGTAGAGGCATAACTCTCGAACCCTTTCGCAACTACGGACCAGCCATTGTTAATGCCAGCTGCGGCATCTGCAGAGTTAGTCGTCTTGCTGGAGTGTGCGCCAGCCGTGGCCATGATGGCGCTCTTCACAACGTCCAACTCGTTGAGAACCTCAAGCCCAACGCTCCGGGCCCAGACTACAGGCTCAAATTCTGTGGAATAGAGCTTGTGTAGCTTGTCCACCGCTGACATTATGGTATGATTCGCGATGTATCGCTCTTGCGCGTACGGTAGCAGGGCCGTATAAGAACCTATCAAGGGTTGAAGAATTTTTAAGTACGCTAGTGAATTCGGGACTCACCAACGTCGCCCCCGTTAGCGACGGCCTCAGCAATGCATTTTGACAGGCATTCTACGTCTGCCAAGCCCTGATTGAGTCCTTGACCAGCGAGCGGGTGAACGGTATGCGCAGCGTCTCCGACCAAAACAGTCCTTGCTCCAAGTCCTTCGCCGAGATACGTTTCAGCATGGTTGTACTTCAAGGGGAATGAAGCTACAGTTCCCGGTTGAATGGAGGTGACGAGCGGCGGAAGTGAGGCAGCGTCCAACGAAGGCATTCCTTGCGAGAGCTGAGTGGAGGATGACGCATAGGTAGAGTTCCCGTCTATCCCATGCGATTCCTCTCGCCAGCGAATTTCCTTGGTAATTGCTTCACCGTCTATCGCGACCCCCTTAGTCCGTGCATCCATAACTACGTCGTAGAGATACTTCAGGGAGACAGTGGGCAGTCGAAACGCAGCGTTGATCATGCTGGCTAGGACTGAAGGATTTTGAGAAGCGGAAGCCACCAAGGCTTGAGCTAGTTCGGGGGGATTGATACTCCATACAAGAGAAGAGGCTGTGGGCGACAAAGGGAGGAAGGCAATGGGCCCGGTGGGAAGGAAGCGCTGATATGCCGTTGTGTGGAGAGAATTTTGGTACAGGGATGGTGGAGAGTGGAACATCGTAGCTACGATGGCTTGGGTATTGTAAGACCATCCGTACGATGGAATTCTAGCATACGAACGGACAGGCGAGTTGAACCCGTCCGCACCAATCTAAGCAAAGTTACATCTGCCCGTTCACCAAGAGGGAATATAACGTTGACCACTTACGAGGAGACGAGTTCTGAGTATTCGATCATTTGCAAGCTTCACAAGAGGCCATTGACCTTCCTCTTCATCTCTGATAATACTCTCGACCTTAGTTTTGTCGATTAATTCGATTTCAGGATGAGTTTTGAGATGACGTAGAAGACCCCGCTGCAGGTTGAGGTTCTCAGTCAACCTCGCCATCTGCTGGCCTTCTGTAGAGCCAGTTGTAGGTACATCGGATGCATGGAAAGAAATTCGCGCATCTGACACTCCGTCCCAGACCTATTGATATAAAAGTCAGTGTCCTAGACGCACCCTAGGTGATGCACACGGACTTCCATATCTTCCATGGGACACGTTCGACTCTCTTCAACGTGTGACCAAGCTCCAATATCTATGGCATTGTTGATTAAGCGCGTCGAAAGTGCAAGACTGATATTGACCTCGTAGAAATGATTGAGATGCATTGGTCAAGGAACTAACGCGATTTGAGTAGACATCCGAATCCAATGACCAGCCATGCACTTTCGACAAGTCTCCGCCTTCGACAAGAACAATGCGAAGACGGTTCGACGCGGCAGAAGACCCTTGGAGGCAACTTCAGCTTCAACGCGCCGGTGCGGAGTATTGTATGACTGACCGAGCGCAGAAGCTAGGGCTAGCCCAGCGGGACCTCCGCCAACAATCACGATATCACAATCATCACTGACGCGAGCAGAAGAATATTGGCGCGTCCGTAGTGCATGCCGCCCAGCCTTCAATAATCTGAAAGGGACGTGTCGAGTCGAAGCCATGATCGTACGGTCGCTGTCGGGCAAGTCCTTAAGCACATATTCTCACAGTCACTAAAGTATTCCCACAGTTTCAATTATGTAGTCAGACAATAAGCGTCTGAACCTAGGCTATGCAGATGGTCACCATGCTCACTTCCATATACCCATCACCTCATGTCTGCCAATCCGGTCTCCGCAGCCCAAGCAATTGGAGAATACCTTCAGTCTCCGGATGATCTTGCGAAAGTAGCGTCTTTCCGTAAAAAGCTCGAGAAGGAGAAGGCATCCATCGACTCCAGGCTCAAGAATGGGGTCAAGGAGCAGTTGACGGCGACGCGAGAGGGCCTCCGGAAGCTCATAAACACGCGCGGGAATGTCCAATCCATTAAGGAGGAAATGATTCAGATGGACAAGGAGTGCAGCGATCCCCACAATAAGGTCTTAACTTTCGACCAGATCAGTAGGGTGCGTGTACTTTTTCCACCGATAAATGGGACTATGTCTAATATACCGCGTAGGTTTCGATGGTCCATAGAAATTTCCAGCAGACAGAAGAAATGGTCAACAACCTCATCGACATGAACTCTAAGCTTGACGTCCTGGAGGACTTGTTAACTGAAGACAGTTCAGATATACTGGGTCCAGCCCCGAACCTTCTATACATACATCACCAACTTACCCAGCTTGAGGCATTCCGGAACCAAACGATGCACTTGTCGAAAAAGGCGAAGCCAAGTTCTCGAAGTACACTACTTCAATACTTTGAACGGTTGAACACATTCGTCGAGGCGTTCGATGAGTATATCATTGGCTTGGCGAGGAATATTCTACATCTCGTTAGAGCAGGCCACCCAGAGGTCATCGTGAAGTTGATCAAGATCGCTGAGGTCGAAGGCAGGGAAGACGAAAAGGTAAGGACTCTCCACGGGTGTGTACCACCCTCTAACCTCACCATATCATGTATAGGCCATCGCTATTCGCCTAGTCAAGAAGGCTGCCAAAATGGATGCAGCCTCGAAATTCAGGTCCATGCAGGCCAATGCTCGGGTTATAAAGCACTACCGCTCGAAAATCACCAAAGCCATTACCGAATCCATCAAGGCCAAGTTTGAAGATGCTTATCTAGAATCAGAGGGTAATCCCGCTGCCTTCCTCGACGGATTAGGCTGGTTATACCAGGACATCATACGTGTGGAGTCCGACGTGGTTCCCTGTTTCCCTCCCGAGTATGATATCTATTCCCTCTTCATTCGCGAGTACCACAAGGCTCTGGACGGTACTATCAAGAAGCTAGTGCAGGCAGGACCCGAGGCAGGCGTACTCTTAACACTCCACGCCTGGCTCAAGGAGTACAAGAAGAATATGAAGGAACTCGAAATCCCTCCCGAGCTTCTGGAACCCCCTCTATTCGACGGGAAAGAGCAATCCTTGATCGAAGACTATCTCAACTTGATAGTGAAGAAGCTAGACGAATGGTCTGCCAACCTAATGAAGACGGAGATTAACGACTTTGTCACGCGTGCCGAACCTCCAGAGCTCGACGCAGACAACCTCTACGGCACACAGGGCGCCATCATTTTGTTCCAAATGGTCAACCAGCAGATTGACCTCGCTACGGAGAGTGGCCAAGGCGCGATCCTTGCCAGCGTGGTGGGCGAGACCAACCGCGTGATGCGCGGTATACAGGACCAGTGGGTCAAGACCGTGGAGGCGGAATTCAAGAAGCAGGTGGAGAAACCCGAGGAAGTCTCTGGCGGATTGGTTGAATACCTCATTGCGCTCGCCAATGATCAGTTCAAGTCCGCCGACAACGCGGAGATCTTGCTGAGCCGACTTGAGCCATTGGTCTCTGAGAAATACCGCGTTCAAATCACCGAGAAACTCAACGACGCTATTGAAGGTTATTTGGACGTGACGAACAAGTGCACACAAACATTGGTGGACATGATATTCAACGATTTGAAGCCCGCCACGAAACAACTCTTCCAACCCACATGGTACGATGGATCACTGATGAATCAAATAGTCGAGACTATGCGCGATTACATGTCTGACTATCAATCCTATCTACACCCATCCCTAGTCGAAACCACTGTGGACGAGCTCATCCAGGCGTTCCTTCTCACCTACTTCAACGCTCTCGCTAACTCCCCGAAACTGAAGATTCCCGCGGCGACGGAGCGCATAAAGGAAGATATCGCAGCTGTCTTCTCGTTTTTCAGTACTCTTCGACCTGCTAAAGACCTGGAGAAGGATTTCGAAGTAGTTGAGATGGTACTGGGAATGCTGGAGGCCAGCAAGGACATGGTATTCCTGTCCTTCTGGTCCTTCGCCAAGGTCCATGGCCCCAATATCGCGTTCGTCGAAGGTTTGATGAAGTCGAGGAGTGATTTGGATCGGTCAGCAGTAGGCGAGGTCATGGACAGCGTGAAGCGCAAAGTGAAAGACGAAGGACTAACAGACCGTAAGTTTCTTGTTCTTCCACGCCCACAGCACACATCCTAATGATGTTCGCAGCTACGGAACCAACAATTATGAAGCGTGTTGCAGTGCAAGGCGCGTTTTCACGCTTCTTGAGGAGCGCTACATGATACGGACATTTCCGACACCACCTGCATGTTGTATCTATACATTGGATCTTATTTATTGCTGTTCAGCTCTTCAGTTCCACTTCCCCGCTTGGTACGTCTACTCTGTCTTGTCTTTGCTTGCATGCTGGGATCTATCTGGCAATGCGGCAGCAACTTCATCGATCTTTCTAAATTGCCACGGGAACCTCGCAGGGTAGAGGAATGGGCGCAAGTCGAACCCTACACGGAATCACTTCAGTTATCATCTAGTCTTCTACTCGTCTTGCTTACTGTTGTCGTCAGGGCTGTATGATTCTGCATGGTATGCCGGGGTTATGGTGGTCATCTTATGCCTGTTCCTTGCGTATTCGAAGAAGAAATGTTTGACTTTCTCGGCAATCTACGTATCCGCCGATCAATGAGCTCAAACCCAGTGTTCAGTCGAGAAGACGAACCTGTGTTGGTGATAAGAGTGATCCCCATTCATGGACCAGCTTGGTGAACATGCTGTACGGGCCGCATTTCTCAACTTTGCGCAATCGACCGAAGACCGACAGTTCGTCATAGGTCATACCCATATCGGCCTAGATAGGTGAGTTAATTACATGAAAGGTTTTGTTAGGACACTGACCTCATCGGCTTGAACATACGTCTCAGTTATCGGTTCTAACTCTGCAGTAGGTACAGCTTCGAGGAACCTGGTGGGAAATGAGCCCGCTCAGATCAGACGACGACGCTCAAGACACGCACTCCGTCAATATTGGCAAATCAAATGCGTCACGAGCGTAGGCAATGAAGCGTTTAAGATCGGATTTACTGATTCCGCCGATAGGATTGATGTCCGCTATACCAACGGTGAGCCGGATCTTCGAGAAGTAATGGAAAGACATTCACCAGACGAGCAGTCGTATTTAGTGAAGTAACCTCGTAGACTGAGTTTGATCTTTCGTGAGAGTCACGTCGGGGGGAGTGACCTCAAACTGACCTTTCATCGACGTTTGCGCTGCCCAGGACAAGCAAGCCACCATTCCCGCCCCTTACCCAAGGGAGGAGCTGGGCGAAGAGGTAAGCAAGAACCATGCGTAACCTCGCCTATAGGCAAAGTTGACAAAGTTTAGTGACGGGATTCGAATAGCTGGGGTACGTACCTGAATGTTCTGCAATGCGAGATTCTCTGCATTTGACCCTCCGTGTGCTCTGAACCTCGGTTTAGCACCCGTTACGAAGCTGAACAAGCTGACTACTGATGAAACTAGAGTATCCATGTTCAAATCTGTGTGGTAGCTAGCGCATACTATTTATTAGCATTTCAGCAGGACAATGCATATTAGAGACATGCCTTCCTACGGCTTCAGCTAGTTGCTTCGCTCGTCTCCTTGTCTCAACACTGGAGTTCTCGGTACCCATGTAGCAGGTGTGGAATATCCTTCCAGCGAACTCCTTCGGATCGGAAGGTAAGTAACCCGAGTCTTCTGATTCACCTACAATCCTCCTGGCGTCAGCGATCACTTGTTTATCTGTAGAGTCGGTTCGTTAAGATTCTCAAATTCTACTCGTTCAGTTGACCGACCTCCACGGCGTGCAGCTTCAGCAACGATACGACACATAGAATGGGCTATTACTGCGGTGGCGCAGCTGTCTATCCCTCCACTGAGAGGCAAAAAGTAGCCTTGGGTACGCGACCGCCTCAGATAATCCCATAGCCAACAAGCCGGGCCGAATCTACGATAAGGTGAGCGGTATTTAAATCGTTGAAGCAGCTTGACATACGCGATCTCCTCTTCTGGGGTGTGATATTTGACTTCGGGACCTTGTGTAGGAGAGACCCCGGCAATGTCATCGAATTTCACCTCCTCGAATTTGCCTCCACTCAAAGCAAACGGTACTTCGACGCGATGATATCTCTCAGACTGAGCGGCCTGCATGCTGCGACTACTCTTGGCCCGGTGTGCTCGTACGTCTTCTATATCGATCGTCGCTGTCACCACTTCAACATCATTCAAAGAGAATTGGGAGCCTTGGGCGATGACTTTGCCGTTGATTGCAATGAGCGCGCATCCGTCGTAGTAGAGGCGATCCCCGTCACACCCTTGTTGGTTGGCATACAGGTATACCCCTCCTAGCTGCACGAATTCAAAGCTGGACTGAGTTCAAGATCAGTGAAAGTCACCTTCAATGTTGCTTCCTTTATTAATTCAACGCGACGGTAGAGCTTTCGAAGTTCGTGATGGCTTCCGCTGGAATTAGTGAATATTTCGGCTCCATCAAGTCCCATTAATATGTGTGGACTGTAGTAACTGATCAACCCGTATATGAGTAGCATAGACATGTTAAACTAACCTTGAAGGAGTGAAGAGTTCCTCGCATAGCTCGATGCCAATGCAAGTATCCTGAGTGCTGACCAACACATCGCCAAAAGGGACTTTAACCTAGAAAAATGAATCAGTACTAGAGGAGTATAGGTGATTACTCGCAAACCTGTCTGGTTATTGTCTGGATGATTCGGGGAAGATAGTGGTCTTCCCACTGGCGATGCTTGACCCATGGCGTAAAGTACCTGAGTTCACGATAGTTTCCATCATTGGCCAACCACATCTTTGGTCTTATCAGCAATATCTTCCTGTCGTATATAATTACTCGACAGTTGTAGATGACATTCTTGTGGACGACGGGCCTGGCGAATGCTTGGTTTTGGGTACAATGAGCAAAGAGTTCAAGTGGACTAACATTCCTATATCGCAAAGAATCCCCATGGCTTCTTCTGATGCCAGAATCTTGGCGAGCACCTCCCAAGAGTGGAGAACGGTATCACCTTACACGAGTCAGTTGGTTAGCCTTCGCCGCGCAGACACAACCTGCACAGACTAGATCACCTTCAAGAAAGTGATCCAAGCACCCATATCCGCTGGGAGACATAATTATTAGGGGAAATATAATATTGGGTTGGTCCATACGGAATCTCTAGCTCTGGGCCGACCCGCAGGGTAGCTCCCTTGCTCTTCGCTATGGAAATGCTGGTGAGTATACGCTCAAGGTTTCCCTGAAGAATCGGCGTCAGAATCGATTGACGTGCTAGGGATATAAGTTCCAACCTGGAAGTCCAGGGCCCATTGATTCAAGGAGCTAAATAAAGGTGATCAACGTGAATGGTATCAACGGGTGACTTCAGCGCACCAGCTAGAGGGAGATAGAAACGGTCATAAATTGACAAAGAATGCATAGATTATAGATACTTGCGTTGCCAATGTAATCAGGTGGCCCATTATCGATATCGACGATGCCCTCTGGTCTTGGTCTCACCCGACCGTCGTGGAGAAGTTCAAGAAGGTGAGTTTGATAAGATTAGATCCGACAGCCTCGCCACGAGGTGATCGGCGAAATCATAATGACTCGCGACGAAGTTCCCACGATTGCTATAATGATCATGATAATCAGTAAGCGCTCGAAATGGAAGCAGTTCAAGGTCCGACAAAATTTTTGGCCACCAAGAGTTGATTGCCTGGTATCTTTCCTCCCAACTCCCTTCTTTCCTTTCCTCTTTTCGTTCTCTTGAGCCATGGACGTGAGTTTTATAATATGCGCTACCCTCTGGCGGGCTCTGATTGGCTTTACAGCCCGCTTTCGCTCAGGGACTTCACGATTTGTTACTTCAATCTACATCTAATGATACAAATCTACTTAAAGCTGTAAGTCGCGTCGATTAGCCAGATTTCGACATCTGACCGCGTCCGAAGGCCACAGCTCAATTAAACCAAGAATACTATAAAAATCCATCATGCATTCCTGCTTTGGCCAGTATTTTGGCCAGTTCTCCGGAAATTCCAGTATGTGCTATCTAATTGTAGCGATGTCGCCGTTTACAAGAATGTGACAGGTCCGTCAACTTGCAGCCGTAGAAATGCGCAAAAGGGTGGCACATAATAGCGGAAATCTATGGACGCTCATCACTCAAGATGAACGGGGCCAGATTAAAGAGAAGCTTCCTGAGATCATCCTGGCCGAGCCCAAGTACGTGCTTGATCCATATATAGTTTGAGATGATAACTAACGCCATTTCGTAGTAACCTAGTACGCCATTCCGCTGCACGTGTCATTGCAGCCATTGCAGCCATCGAAACACCCCATGGAACATGGCCTCAACTTCTCCCCTTCCTACACCAGACATGTGTTTCCCCACAGGTCGCCCATCGCGAAGTTGGAAGCTTCATCCTTTTCACCGTCCTCGAGAACATCGTCGAAGGCTTCCAAGAGCATCTGCAAAGTTTCTTCAAGCTCTTCGAGCAACTTCTCTCCGATCCAGAAAGTATTGAGGTTCGGATTACAACTGTCCGATCTTTGGGTGTTCTTGCACAGTATCTCGACATCGATAGCAAAAATGAAATCGTGAGGCGTATTTTGTGCTCGTTGTTCCGCACTCGCTCACCAATTACAGCGATCATTCCAAGCGCTTTTGCCCGCCATGATCCAAGTCATCGGCCAGTGCGTTGAAACCGGCAACGAAAATGGCGCTCGCCCGCTGTTCGATGTACTCGAGACTCTGCTGATCTTGGTAAATTCGCGTTTTGTATGATTGGTGTGACCTAATGGATTTCCTTAGGAGATTCCTCTTCTCGGAAAGCACATCCCTCAACTTGCTGAGTTCTTGCTCCAATGTGGTGGGAACCGTGCGTTCGATGGCGACCTTCGCGTTCTTGCACTCAATGCACTCAACTGGACGATCCAGTAGTGAGTCGCATCAAATTAATTGCATAGGGTGCCGGACTGACCTTAAGCTTCCAGCAAAAAATCCAAAATCCAGAGCCAAAATTTGGCAGCTGCCATCCTTGAAGGCCTCATGCCTATTGCTGCAGAGGAGGAACCAGTTGACATCGACGATGACGCTCCATCACGGGTAAGATAACATTTTGTACATGTCTAACATCGCTCATTGCACCTGTTCAGTCCGCCCTTCGCATCATCGACAGCCTGGCTACCAACCTCCCCCCTTCTCAAGTATTCCCCGCTTTAAGGACTTTGATCAGCCGATATTTCTCCTCACCAGACCCCAATCTCCGCCGTGCTGCCATGCTTGCGCTCGGCGTATCTGTGGAAGGTTGCAGCGAGTACATGACTCCTTTGATGACCGAAGTCTGGCCTGTTATCGAGGCCGGCCTTCAAGACGGTGATGCGAGTGTGCGCAAGGCCACTTGCGTCGCGGTCAGTTGTCTATGCGAATGGCTGGAGGAAGAATGCGTAACCAAGCACTCAGTTTTGATTCCCGTAAGCTCCTCTTCTACTATCCTAGTACAATCCTAATGGTTGTATGAGTTAGGCTATCATGAACTTGATCAACGACCCAGAAACTCAACGACCTGCATGTACCGCTCTGGATGCCATGTTGGAAATTCTCCACGATGTCATCGACCAATACCTTCAGCTTATTATGGAACGCCTCGCTGGCCTCCTCGACACAGCACCAATCCCCGTCAAGTCTGTGGTTACGGGCGCCATCGGCAGCGCCGCTCACGCTTCGAAGGAGCGATTCCTGCCGTACTTCGAGCCCACCATGTCTCGTCTCCAACACTTTTTGGTCCTGACCGGTGAGGGCGAGGAGACCGAGCTCCGTGGCATCACTATGGACGCCATCGGCACTATCTCTGAGGCTGTCGGGAAGGACGTATTCCGACCATTCTTCCCTAACATGATGACACAAGCGTTCCAGGGTATCGAGATGGGCAGTGCGCGACTGAGGGAATGCAGCTTCCTGTTCTTTGGGGTCATGGCTGGAGTATTTGGCGAGGAGTTTGCACCGTATCTCCCGAGCGTTGTTCCTCCCTTGTTGGCTAGCTGCAAGCAAACCGAGCAAGGAGAGGAAAATCTTACCAGTAAGTCCAGCATTAGAGTATGATCCCTAATCTACGCTGATATCTTCCTGGTAGTGACCGTCCAAGAAGCCTCCTCTGCTTTCGCCTCTGGGTCTTCTCCTTCGAATGCCATCAATGTTATGGACGATGAAAACGGCAATGCTTCTATCGAGCTCGAGGATGTTGACGTGGACAAGATGATCGACGTCAACAGTGCCATTGCTGTCGAGAAAGAGATTGCTGCTGATACTATCGGAACGCTCTTTGCCGCCACCGGGAACCATTTCCTTCCCTACGTCGAGCAATGCACCATCGAGCTCGTGTCCCTCTTGAGTCATTACTACGAAGGCATAAGGAAGAGTGCGACCGATTCGCTTCTCCAAATCGCACGCACATTCTATGAGCTCAGCAATCATCAAGAATGGCAGCCTGGTATTCCTGTTGTAAGCTAATCGGGTTCTTAGATCTAAGCACCTGCGTTAAAGGGTTATTCAGGTTGTTCCGGTGGACACCACGGTCAAGACACTCATTGGCCACATCATGATGCCCCTCCTGGAGATGAATGAATCAGAAGATAACAAGTGAGTCCCCATGTCCGCCTTTTCTTTGTCACATTTTGCTTGCTGTGATGAAAAAACAACTCAGCTCACTTCGACTAATAAGAATGAGACGAAGATTACTTTATATCTGACCTTTCGGCTGTAAATCACCTCCATGTACTGGTTACTGATGATTATACGTTTTCCTAGGTCCGTCGTCTCGGCCCTCTGCGTCGGCCTTGCCGAAACGCTGAACAAAATTGGCCCCGCTTTTGTCGAAGGCCGTAAGTAACCATTTCCTCCTTTCACAGCCTCCACTAATTCTTCATTCTGTAGATCTGGACGAAGTCTGCAACATCGCCGTCCAGGTTCTCGAGCAGAAAGCGTTCTGCCAACAGGATCCCGACCAAGATGCCGAAGAGGAAGCCCCCGAAGATCAAGCCGAGTACGACTCTGTCCTCATCTCCTCTGCTGGGGATCTCGTATCCGCTTTGGCAAACACTATCGGCCCCAACTTCTCTCAGGCGTTCGGCACATTCTTCCCCCTGATTTCCAAGTACTACGTGAGGAATTTGTTGTTGCTTACTTTTGGGCTTGTCTCTAATCACGGAACATATATTTATAGAAGAAGAGCCGTTCGCTCAGCGACCGCTCCGCCTCCATTGGCTGCTTGGCCGAGATTGTTTCCGGAATGAAGGGTGCCATAACACCATTCACTGAGCCGCTGTTGGAACTATTCTTTAAAGCCCTTAATGATCCCGACCCAGAAGTTCTTAGCAACGCGGCATTTGCGATCGGTCTCCTTGTCGAAAATACGGATGTGGACCTCTCCCCCCACTTCATAAACATCCTCAGCTCACTTCGGCCTCTGTTCGTCGTCCAGCCGGATTCGCCCTCGGTCCGGTTCAATGCCCGCGATAACGCTGCAGGCGCAGTCAGCAGGATGATCGTCCGCAACACCGCTGCCGTCCCTCTAGACCAGGTGCTCCCCGTGTTCATCGACTCCCTGCCCCTCCAACACGACTACCTCGAGAACCAGCCCGTGTTCCGGGGCATCTTCCATCTCTTCAACACGAACTCCCAGGTCCTCTTGCCGTTCATGGAGAAACTGCTCCAGGTCTTCGCCCATGTGCTAGACCCAAGCGGCCCGGATCAGGTTGGTGATGATATCAGAGCAGACCTCATCAAGCTCCTGGGGGCGTTGCACAGCGAGATGCCTGCACAGGTGCAAGCCGCCGGTTTGTTGCCTTTCGTTCCAACCGCCTAATTGACGATGATATTATGATATGACGTGTCACGACTTTTTCGCTTTGGTTTACCATTTCTATTATATCACTACAGGATATATTTTCTCATCGCTGTTGGCTCGTATTCTAATATAGAAGCAGATGTATGTACCTACTACAATGTATGTACAGCTGTGTGAACAAAATCCTCTTCGTTGTCGATGATCCTACAAGTCGCGCTCATATAGCAAATAGGAACAGGATTCCGAGTCAACCAATAACTCAGCTACTGGGCCCGACCTAGATACTGTAGATTTCCTCAAGGTACGCCCGAAACGGATCCCCGAAATCTTTGCGAGGTCCAAGGCAGCACCGCTGAACTTGCGATACGGTCACTATAATGATATACCACACCAAGTCAGCTTCGTTTTCGATCATGTAGCCCCCGAGCGAATTAAAAAACTGCAGACCCATAGCAAAGGGCCATTGTTGACGCGTAATTCTTTCCCTATCTACTACTAGTATATGAACGCAACTTGTAGGATCATCGACAAGCAAGGGAATTTTGTTCACACAGCTGTACGTACGTTGTAGTAGATACATACATCTGCTTCTATGTTAGAATACGAGCCGACAGCGACGAGAAAATATATCCTGTAGTGATATAATAAAAAGTCGTGGCATGGATTCGCAAATTTCAGACAAACAAAAATCTAGCCTGTGCGGCAGGTTTCTTCTAGGTACGATACTACGAAACGTCGTTGTGACATTCCAGGGATCAAAAGCACGGTCATACGTCCATGCTCCCCGTCCGCGGCGTGTAAGTATCTCTGACTACGGTACATGGCCGACTACGACACGTTCCGGCTCGTGGAGTATCTGGTGCAAGTAGTTGTGTATGGTGAGCTTGGATGGGCGCTAATTTGAACGTACATCGACTGTGGGAATATATGTTCAGGGGCTTATCTTCCACTCAAGAATCCACTACGCCCACGGCGCACACCACCACCACATTCTACTACCGACCATACTACACATGCGTCTCTCCGGCATATTCAAATCTTTTCTACATCGCAGGACGAAATCATGCCCGACCGACTTACCCTCAATGGTCTCTCCAGCAGCCCTCGAGCCGATACGCGTCGCGGCAGAGGCTCCAGCTGCGTACGGCGCTCGAACTCCACTTATTGACCAAGTCTTTGCCACCGCTCGGGCCCGTCACTCCGATAGCGCTGTAGAGACGTTGAAGAAATCGCCTACTTCCGATGACCGTGTTCAGCTTCTTCAGTCCGAGCTGGCGAGAATGAGGGCGACGCACGCCCACTTTGCTTCCGGGATGAAGATGCTCCAGGACGAGATTGCTGCTTCCAAGGACGAACTTGCTTCTGAACGTCTTAGGCATGCTACCACGCTACGGCACTTGGAAGAACAACAGATCGAGGTCAGCAAAGCGCAGGACAGGCTGGGGCAGCTTGAACGGTTCACCGCTCGCTTAGTTGACGGAGGCTCCAAGACGTCTGTACTCTACCGCGCTCGTGACATGATACTGGACGGAGAAGATACAGAAGTTGCTCTTGTACTGGCGATCAAAGAAGTAGCTTCTGACCCTGCCTCGCCGTGGCGCCTGATCCTGGACGCGGTCAACGGTCCTCGCACTCAGGATGAGTACCTCTCGGCTATCAACATGACTTTGTCCACACGCAAAGCTCTGAGAGAAAGCAAGAAGATCTCCAAGTTCTGGAAAGGTGTTGCGATGGAAGATGGTACCCACGAAAATGTCATAACGCCGTCTCCTTCCAATATATCCTCAATACATGAAACTCTTAGCACGGAAAGACAAGCGGCCGTCGACTTACTCATCAAGAGGCGAAAGAATGCTGATCTCCCGCCGTCTCAACCGCTCTCGCCGGTGCGCCAGCGCAAGGATTTTTTTGAACGCAATAAGATGAAGACACTTTCGCGTATGGTTGAGCCGTCTAGTAGTTCGCGTTCGTTTCCTAGTAGCTTCCCCTCTGATGGCTCATCAAGTTCGGTGTTGGCACTTGCCCCGCTAGCTAGTCAGGTATTCAAAGAAGAACTCATGTCGAGTCACTCTAGCCGGAAACTTCTCAAATCCGTCTCCCGCTCTTCTGGATCTATCGCTATTACCATCAGCACCAGCTCGATATCTGCCCTGGACTCCGACTCGCCTGACAAGACTGTCGAGGAATGGACTCTGGTCGAATCGACGGAAACGAGATCGAGTGCGGACGCCTCACAGACCTCGAAGCCTGATTTCTTCGCGAACCTGCTAACGTCCCATTTACTCTCCACGGACACGCGTGTCGAAGATGCTCTGCGCTCCGAAAAGGTCTCTCGCGTTCGCCTTAGTGGCGGCCCACAACCGTTCGACAATTCCGCCTTTGCTACGCTGATGACCGCTGCCGCCTCCCACGGATCTGTTCGAATCGACGATGTGTGTGAAGTCACTTGGGTAACCAGGGAGGAAGTTCCCCTTCCCGGTGCTCTGGAATCAGCGCAGGCCCTATCATCGTTGGAACGCATATGTGCTACGATACGCAGCGGTAGCGAGCTTGGTTCTTTGGAGACAATTAGCGAACGGACTGAGCCAGAGAGTGAGTGTGATCGGGACTATGAGCACATATCTTCTAGCGATATTACGTCGACCCCTGCGCGGACCGCCTCAACGGTGGCTACGACATCGCCAAGTCGACTACCCATATTCAAGGCTGCTAAGCAGCCCCACAACCTACCCAAACCCGTCGATCAACCCAACTTCCCTCCCTTCGAATTACCAATTCTTACTATTCCCGCCGCACCCATCCCTGAAAGAGTTATCGAGGAGCCCAAAGTCAAAAAAGGAAGGATGTCCTTAATACCTCGCAACACAAACAAGTCTGCTGCTACTCCCAAGCCACTCAAATCCGCCCTGAAGCCTTCCCAGCCGAAGCAAGCCTCAGGCAGTGCTGTTGGCTCGGAAACGAAGTCTCCGGCGCCGCCTAAGAACATTCGGAGAAGGGGTAGCAATGCGAACAGTGGTAGTAAAGAAAACGATATCGGGAGCCAGGTTATGTCGAAAGGGAAGAAAGTTATTAGAGGTCTACATCGCGCGATGTCATGAGCCGCAGCCAAAGAAGTTTGAAGTACAGTACTATGATTATTGGTTTATCTCATCTATATTAGCATACAACAGGGATATATGTGGGCACTGCAAGAACGCAAAACAACAAAGATGTAACATCGGAACGATAGCCCTAGCATCACATACGCATAAAGGAAAACAGCTTGTCAAGCTCAACCCATCTCCTCCCACATTGGTCAAGATATTTCTCTACGACTTCGCCCATGATGAATAGGAACTCAGCATTGGTAGCGGCAAGGTTTTTTAGTTCGTCTATCAGGCTTAGTCAAAGATGGAAAGGATAAGCATAAGAGGAGGATACATACCTTGTTTGATACTCTTCGGTGCCGCTTGGAGAGCTTTCTTCGAATCGAAGAGGAAAGCGTAGTAGCGGAGTTGATTATACAAAGCAGCATCAGAGTACTGTCGGAGAGGTCAGCCAGGCCACGAGGTATGAAAAAGATGCGATGACAGACTTCGAATCCAACATTGCCTCGGCACCCACTCCTCAGGCATCTCTTGCCGTAGACACTCATCATCCGCGTCCTGTTATCGCACGTTGGATCGTCGCAAACTAGCCAGCCTTCGTAGTATTTGGAGATGTGAGCGCGGATCTGGTGCTCCAGCTGGCAGAGAAGAGATGGAATCGAGAAAGTGAAAGAACATGCAGGACACGACGGGCCGGCTGGTTGGAGGATTGATGCCTGCACACAATACACGATTCAAACGGGGGGTAATAGCTGAGATGTCAATACCCTTACGCTTCTTTCGTACATGGGTGCGTAGGCGACTTGGCCCTTGCAGCCTCTGCATTTGACCATGAAGGGAGTTGCGTCCTTGTAACGCTCCTGGTCGGATATTTGCGCGTCCAAGGGAGAAAAGGCCGCTTCCATACCACCCTCCCCCATCTGGGTCTGGGAGTAGGAGTAGCGGTTGGGGTCTAAACCTAAGAATTGCCAAGGATTAAGGTTCTGAGAGCGAAAAGCAGCGCGATGCAATATGAATACCTAAGGATTCAGCAAGCCTTGATTTGTCTGTTCCTTCAATATGTTCACAGAGTCGCTGGATAGGCGGAAGGATCTGATGCGCTATATAGTACTCATAGTCTGCATGATCGATCAGCGTCATTATCCTACGGTAGGGTTATAGGACATACCTATTATCAGCGTCGACTCGTCCTTTCTTAGGTCATCCGGATGCTTTGCTCGTTCAGCTTGTGATGTCGAGGGATTGCCATCAACGTCGCCAATTTCTCTACAGAAGATGTAGGGGATAACATCGCCCATTCGTGCTGATCCACCCTTGCTTTTCATCTTTTTCGCAACATGAACATGTGGCAGGGTCTTCGCCGTCGCGTCGTTGTAGTCATCAGGATTTTTGCCCAATCTCTAAAGTCCCCTCATGCTGAGCATCTACGAGAGGTCCTAAAACGCGAAGAACAAACCTTGAATATGATGAAATCGTCGACCTTTACTCGTCCGCCTCGAATGTTCTCCCCCATTGTTGTGAGGTATTCATGGATCTTATCTACCACGATCTCTGTCGGTTCGCCGGAGAGTATTTGATCAAGCAAGTACCTGAGCTAGTCAGCCCCCGACAGCATAGGTAACGACCAACAGACTCACTGAGAGACATCTTTAGATAGCTGACAGTACTCCCTTCGTTTCATATCCAATCCCTTAACCTCAACTACCCTTCGGGTCTTGTCCTCTACTTTTAAGGCGGCATATTTCTTCTTTTGCAGAAGTAACAGCCGCTCAAAGACACTGTCCAAGTCAATTTCAAGTAGTTTGTACTTGTCGTTGACGGCGCGCTTGAGTTGGAAGGATATGGCAATGGCTTTTTCGTATTCAGTTTCATTGGAGTTTACGAAGATAGAATCCGTGTCGCCGTAAACAACCTTGACCACGGTGGGTCAGACAATGGAGGAAGCTCGACATATAAGCGCACCTCCAAGCCCAGGTTCTCTGCGAGGGCTTTCGTTTGCATGAGAATTTCACGACCCATGTGTGTTGTCAACGCGGCAAGAGGCTTCGCGTAAAACCGCGAGTGCTCGAAGCCTAGACATCCGTACATACTATTCGCGGTGAGCTTCAGGGCCATCTGCTTGATATCGTACTATGAGGAGGAGAGGTTAGCAGTGGATATTATATCACTCGCTTAATATATTACCTGCACTCGCTTGTGCTGCGGCACGTTCCTGTCTTTCATGAGGGCTTTGACTTGACGACGCCGATTGACAAGGGTAGCGATGAGTCGTGGAAGAACGCCCTGTGTTGTACCAGGTGGAGGAGGCTCGGGAACACCGTCTTCATTTTTGCTCTGATTGTCCCGTAAGTCCACCTTCGTCTATGTGATTCGTTGTACGTACTTCTGCATTCTCATCCACCGTGGTGAAATCGATGTTATACTCCTGTATGATACTCGGATAAAGCGAGTTGAAGTCCATGACCAGGATATATCTATCCCACAAGCCTCGTTTGGGCTCGAAGACCAGACCACCCTTATAGGTATCCTTTTTCGCCTTGATCGGTTGCCCATTCTCATCAAGTTCGGGTTCTTTCGGTGGTGTAGGTGCGTTCTTCTGACCCCACTTATCCGGGCAGATATACTTTAGACGATGGAACTCGTGCAGTAGAATGTATTCGTTTCGCTCGGCACGACCTCCATTTAGCGTCTTGTTCCTAATGGGGCCCGTATCAGTGGTGGATGTTCTTGGGCAAGGCGATCACCAACCAAGAGTTTCCTGCGAGATTCGTTAGTTGCTTCGTTAACGGTAACATTTGCACGTCCATGGCGATTGCCATCTGGAAATGGGAATCCATTTCGCAATGTCTCACGAAGGTCAGTAAGCGGTCAGAGGAACTGACGCTTGAGTCGAAGTATCCCGCCGTGTCATCGGGATCAATGTCTTGCCTGTCGACTTTCAGGAAGGTTTTGCACAGCTCTGTCAATGACCATGTCGTAGACATGATCAAGCCCTAGTTATTTTGTCAGCAAATACGACAAGATGAACCGCCAAAATTGTTAACCTTTGCGCCGTCGCCCGAAAGGTCACACAACATACGTCCATTCAAGAAACGCAAGTTGCTTCCCTGCCTCCCTATCGATGGCCACTTGCTTCGCCTGAAACGACCAATACGGGACCAATGGTCGGCCTTAAGCTCCTTCATACGATTGAGAAGGACATCCAAAGACACGCCCAGAAAGTCGTGACCAACGATCACATCTGGATCAGCTTTGTAGATGGTAACTGTCTTGCTGTTAGGGGTACTGTTCCAAACGCAGTACGTAAGACACACCCAGTAGGCTATTGAGCAGCATTCGCTCGTTCTTGACGGAAGTAATGAGGCACTTGGGATTTTCCCTAGCCTTTTGCTCAAAATTGGGAGGGAAGCCATCCAGAGGGCGAACGAAAGTATGAACACTACATGGCTGCTGCTCGGGAGGCGTTTGATCATCAATGTCCACTTAGACGTTGTTAGTGCCTACGCGACAAGGGGATGTATAGAGAACATACTGCTCTTCCAAATCCTAGCCGTCGCACAAACAATCTCACATTTATTATCCCTGTGGTTGACGATCGTGCGTAGGCTCAGGCTCATGACTGTGAGCGGAGGTATATCTTTTGGTGCTTCAGAGTCTGACTCCGCGAACGGATTTAGGTCTTTGGGATCGGACACGGTGGCTTCGAACTTGCACCATGATACCTAATAAACAGAACAATCAATCACGAGTAGCAGGCGAGAAAACAGCGAAGCTTACCCCCTTGTTGTCAACTTGAGGATTCTTGATTTCTAGCCAGCAAGGTCCCATAATTTTCCGTTTGATGACAAGGAGTTCGAATGCACTTGTAGAAGTACCTAAGACACAAGAGATGTTTGCGCTGCAAGCGGAGCTAGGTATTTCGGGTTCTATGACTAGCTATCAGAGAGATCATGGGTGGCAGAATTGCACTCACCCGTGAAAGGGTACACGACCTTGAGCCACTTCGTCTCGCGAGGAACGCCTGGTTTACCGAAGACGTAGTTTCGGTTGACGAATTTTCCCTTCCAGGTCTTGATCTTCATTTGCTTTCGCACATAGTCGAAGTCAGTATACACGTCGTCCAAATCTGTGAGCTCGTCGGTCTCAACCAAGTCTCCATCCACATACTCCGCGCGTTTCTCTCGCGGGAGGACGTAAAGATTGCGTTCCAGATTTTCGACAGTTACGCAGCAAGATACCCAACCTCCGCTGGCCTTGTCTCTGAGTTTCCCGACCAAGTAGACCCGACCTGCCTGCTCGACGTAATCTAGCCAGTAGAACCGAAGCGAACCGTCCGATTCCAGCGCGGAGATGTCGCTATGTTTGTTGGTAGACGACGAGGCCTTCGTTGGAGATTCATCGACGACATTAAGATTGTCCCGGAAGGACATCCAAGAGGCGTTGATAGTTTCCTCCTTCTTGGCGGCATTCTGAGCTGTCTTCCTCTTCACTACGGGCTTGATCTCCTCCTCCAAGTCGTCCATGTCCATAAACTGATCCATATCCACGTCAGAAAAGTCGTAGTCGCTGTGCACATTCAACTCGGCAAGTTTGTCCACATCTGGGGTCATGTCTGGCGCATCGGTCTTGATACGCTTGGCTGGACTCATGGGGAAATCGTCGCTTGATGCGCCCAAGGGGCCATCACTGTAGTAATCAGAAGAAGCCTCGTCGTATGGTCGAGCAGGATACGAAGAAAACGCGGGTTCGGGTTTGCGTTTGCGAGGCTTTGAGGGCGTCATGATGGGGAAGGCATCCATGCTTCCCAAAAGAGACGCCATCAAGTCGTTCTCCTGTTCAGCGGTCACTGCGGGTCTGTAGGCACTTATTGAGGGCGCAGCTGGGGGTGGTGGGGCAGGCTTTGCTTTACGAATTTCTTTCTTCGCTAGTATATCAGTATCAGTATCCGATATGATACTGCCACGTTCTCTGGGGGAAACATACTTTTGCGCTTCTTATCCACGCGCTTCTCCTCCACGTCTGATACAAATTCGTCTTCCTGACCATATTCATCCATACCATTGTCCACATAACCGCCAACGCCATCGTCGACGACAAAGTCGTCCTCTTGTAGTCTCCCCTTTACAACAGCTTTATACTGGTCTTCCGAAACTTCATCGTAGATCTTGTCCTCGTAATCCTACACGCAATCAGTACCCCGTTGGTGCCTGGCAGCGTACGGAGCACGATACCTTAAGTTGGCGACGACCGCCAGCCCGCACGCGCAAGTATTCTTGACGGATCTCTTCCTTGGTTTTTTCCCCGCGTCTTGAACGTCGCTCCATGTTGATAAGCGTATCCTACGCACTAATCGAGAGTGTGGCAAGTACAGTCCTCGAATGTCTGCGTCACGGTGATGATAGTCGTTACGTGACAAACGGCACCTGACCGTGACGCATGGCGTTGACGTGACAAGCTGCAGTAGTATCATCTCGTATATAGGTTGGGTTTCGAATCTATTGGCGAGGCGAGTCAAGATCGATATCGACCGTTCAGTTGGAGAATCATACATTAGCTTCATCTTCACTCCAGAGCCTGGCCCCAGCAGCAATACTCCACCTGATAGGAACCTTCCTTTGCCACTGTTACTAAGTACATGAGGCCCAATTCAACCTACTGGCACGTCCTCCAACGTAAGTACCAGAGCATTTTGGCAGTGAGTTTCCCCTTATTTCGCAAAAGATGCGTTAAGGTTCACCGCAGCTGTTCTACCGCCTTCTAGTAACCCTTACGATACATCATCTCCCTCTCTGTTGAGGAAGCTTTCAAGTGGGGCGATAAATGATTTCCTGCGAAACTAATTAAAAGAAGGCATCATGTATATATAGGCATGGGCTAACTGTTAATCAAACCCTCTTTCTAGACCTTTCTCGCTCTCACATCGACCCAATAAAACGACATGGTCAGAATAAATGGACCGTTGGGCACGCTACGAGGTGGAGCGCCGATTCCCCGTGCCCATTGCTCTGGCTGCTTGGATGGGCGATCTTGCTCTGGTCCTGACTCTTCGTTCTGCTCAAAGGTGCAGCCTCTGGATGCAACATCCCCATGCCTCACTAACACCCATCACTTGTCCTCCTAGTGCCGTCTTGTTGCTGTAGGGCTTTCCCGTTGGTCTCAGCGAAGCCCACTAGCTGATCCTACTTTCAGTATTGCTCGAAGGAATGTCAGGTCACAGATTGGAAGAGACACAAGGCCGACTGCAACAGCCCATATCTCAAATCTACATGGAAACCAGCGTGGCTCGTCGAATCTCGGCCACCGTCGTTCGTAGGGAATGAAGTCCAGGTCCAGTCACTTTTTGGTCTTCAGGGTGTTTATCTGTGGGGCAATGTTCCAACGATCGACTGCTTGAACATTGCCCGAAACGAACAAGGGGCGGCGAAGACGATGGGCTTTGATCTATCCTTTGCTGGTATGTAAGCTAAAAGACACTATCTCCTGATCACGTTTTAACCCTCCATACCCAAGCTTCCGGGGACATCAGAAACATGGTCCAAACCGTCAACGGGCTCCCCGTAGACTACGCTGGCAAATGCAGCATCGTATTGAACGACAAAAATCCCATAATCGTCGCTCGCAATATGCTCATTCTGTAGACACTCCTAGCCGACGATACAAACCCCCAAGAGGCCGCAGAGGCCGCGATCCACCTTGTGTATTCCTCACTCCTCACCCGCGAGATTGCCGATCACCTTCAACATTCCCTTGTGAATATCCTCAACGACGATAATGCCTTCGGCGAATCTACGTTCGATTTGGGCATACAGGGCAACGGTCGCCTTACCTCCGTCTCCGACCCAGCCGTTATCTCATTTTTACACAAATTTCTGACAGCTGTTTATAGTCGTTCTGCGGCTACCCAATAGAGACGGAGTCATGATGGCTCCTTCTCGTATCGACCATTTGCACCGGCATTTATTTCCCTTACGGCCAACACATCGGCTGTCGTTCCTGCGTAATCGCAAGACCGGCATCCTTGCACCCTTCGGCGCTGATGTGACCCATTTCACCGAGCCAAATAAGTGAGTGATTAAAGCAGGGCACTCAGCAAGCTCATCCATGCTGATGAAATATGACCAGGCTTATGTTCAGTCCCGCCGGTGTTTGGCTTGCTGCCGATAGCGCCGACCCTCTCTCTGGTTGGGATGCGGCCTCTGTGTCTTCCGCGGGGAAGGAACACGGCCTTGATCCCGGTGACATCTATGGGTCACTCTATTCTTCCACATCAACAAAGAATTCATGACCTTTGCGCTTCGAGTACGACAACAACGCATTTCTATCTTTGTCACCCCATTCAACGCGGTTGACCTTCCATCGCATTTCACGCGCGGGTTACTTCCTTTCAAAAAATTCGATCGCATTGAAGCATCCAACGTATGCGACTATATCGGATTCACCCCAATCCTCTACAACTTGGTAAGGTGGAACATACAATTCGCTTCCTCGAGTTTGAACGCCTGTGAATGTTCCCGTCTCAGTAAACAGAACAGAGTAGTCTCTTTTTTGGTGTATATAACAAAAAGGACCTTGCCACAATGTTGAAGAGTGTCAACGACTCTGTATTGAAATCTAAGAAATCTTGTCGCTGCGCTGAGAGTCAATTGACGCCCATGCTCTTTTTCCGGACCATCGCGTGCGCGTGCCGACGCGCCAGTCGATGTCGAACAACACTTCAATCTTACTACCAGCCACGATCCGAATATCACACAAAGAATGCCGACGACCTGCAAAGTAGAGTAACTCAGTCCAAACTACGCGAAATCCTCCGTGAAACCGCCCAGCCTGTTGCGGTCATAACCTCATGGATGCCCCCGTCTTCTTCGCATGAGGGTGATGGGTACTCGAAATACCATGGAGCGACACTATCGTCCTTTACGTCGGTTGCAATGGACCCTTATCCATTAGTTTCCTTCGCGTTGCGCATGCCATCGCGTATGGGTGCCACTTTGAAGTCGCTATATTCCGACGCCTGTCCTGGACAAGAATTCGGAGGAGGGGAAAACTCAGCGCACCTGGTGATGAACCTTCTCAGTGCTTCACAGGCCCGTGCCGCTCACAAATTCGCTCGCCCGGACCTACATCCACATCCGTTCGATTCGTCCTCCAATTCCGCCAAATCGGAGAATATCCCTTACTTCGTTTCGAAAGACGGTCTGCCTGTCTTGGAAGGCTCCTTGGGGGCATTTTCGTGCCGTCTCGTAGCGCCCGCTATCCCCTTACACGATCTCTCGTATCTGGAGAATCTGGGACAAGCACATACGGAACCCAGAAGTCTCCCCAGACTCCCGCCAGGCAGCGTGATATCTGAACTATTCATTGCGCAAGTGATGAGGATTGAGCTTCAACCCCCCTCACCATGCACTGAGATGAAGCCGCTGCTCTACCATAGAAGAAGCTTCACGACCTGCAAAGGGGATGAATGTGAATAGAAAAATGGTGCAGATGTAGTATGTCATCGTCTGCCGATACTATGCGAATTGATCGCTGATAGAACGTACCTGTAGGTACTTACCTATGCAAATTGATGAGCTTTGCGCCCGTTCTGGTTGCGACTTATGGTGTCATTATACTACCCGCAGGGCTCTCCCATAGTAGCGGCCCTCTAGCGTGTTAGGGCGCGGTGGTCCAGCAGGTAAAATGGACATTCGCCCCAAAGCCCTGCGTGGATTAAAATCACTACCGCCATCGGAGGCGGGACAGTCAGAATGTTGAATTGGCCTAACTAGCTATATCACGCCTATTTTGCCTGCTATCCTAACGTTCGGGATGGACGTTCCACTAGGCATAGCTCGGAAGCTAAGATGCATGCAGCCTAGGTGTATTTCGTACCCCATGTATTTAAATGATGTATCTCCTTCGACATACTCCAGCAGCTTATCCACAGCTTCCCAGTAAGCGTCCTATTCACTTTCTTCGGCGCTCATGATGCTAACTATTGTCCTTCAGCTTACTAGTTGATTCAACAGTCGTGCGTACAAGTCATGCCTCGCCAACATCGTCCAATTGACAAATATTAAATATGATCTTTAGGCCTGGTCAAAATGCGTTCCTCTTTGATCGTCCTCGCCTTCGCCACTGCCACCGTGATTGCTCGTCCCATTGAAGACGGTCACAGTAGCTTGGTTATCCGAGGCGTCGAGTCCACTTATGTGGTCCGTGCCTACGATGCTGAAGATGGCAAGTTCCGCGACACTCTCCACAATGCTATCCACAAAGTGGCCGCCTTGGGAACGAAGCTCCTTGGTAGCAAGTCAAAGGCTCCACCTGCGGCTGCTGCACCTCCACCTGCAGCCGATGCGTCGGCAACTACGGAGGCTGCTGCTCCTGCCGACCCCGCAGTGGCTGCCAGAGACATCGATACCGAAGATGGCCGCATCGCGGACGCGGTCCATAAGGTCCACACCACCATCCATAACGCTGTCACTAGCGCAATAGCATTCGGAAAGAAGCTCTTCAGTGGGAAGTCGAAGGCAGCTACCCCTGCCGCAGCACCTGAAACTGCTCCCGATGCTGCCACCCCCGACGCCGCCGCCGCCGCTCCTGAGCCCGCTGCATGAGTATTCATTAATCTTGAATCAACTTGCCTCAGATAACAGATGGGTGCACTGTGAGGATATATATGTACGGTATTTTTGCGATGTACTTAATATCTATATGATGCCAAGGACGAGGCATAATCCTCATGCTCTACCGTGGAGGACTTAAGGGCACAGCGGAAGATAGCAAATCTACCGAAGTGCCTGCAGAGGCAGTGACTCAGATGGTTGTCGTCGTCACAAGTGTTGTTCTTCTTCACCTTCGATTACTTTTCTCTCAGTAACCTGGACACAGGCGGCTGTCACGGCTCCTTGAAATGAATTCCTTTGGCGTCGAGGCCGTCCCCCGCGTCCTTTGCATCCCGGAGTTGTTGAGGAGGGTTTTTGAGCTGTCAACAGATCAATCAAACGCCGTTCATGCCGCTATCTGCAAGACTTGGAGCGAGGAAGCGACAAGGGTCATATGGCGGGATGTCTCAACTGATCGCTTGTTCTCGTTGTTGGCACCACTGAGGTCCGGGGAAATGCTCGAAGACGTATGCTCCTCTTCATTTTCTCTCTTCACCTTTGGTTGACCATGTTCCCAGCTTTCTTTCGCTCGCGAGATTGACGAAGACGACTGGGACCGCTTCGATAGATACTCACACAAAGTCCGTTCGCTCCGGTTCACTCGAGAGTACAATCCATCCGTTTTCAAGGAAATTGCACTGGGGCGACGTCGCCTGGACTTTCTACCCAATCTTGTCGCCTTGTATAATGCCCAACCAACGTTACTTTTCACATATTCGACTATCAAACATCTGATCTTCACCGAAGACATGTCTTCCGCTCACGAGATCATCGCCTGGCTGGGGATAATTGAGCGCCGAATGTGTCATATAGAGCGGCTTCATATTGAGCCCTATTTGCACGAACCTCTCAGCGACGTTCAAGCGGCATTCACATCTGCACTGAAGCGCATGAAGCGTTTGAAGGAGCTGGACGTCCCGGCTGAATATCTCAACGACAGCAATTTCTATCTCCTCCCCTCGATTCCAAGTCTGCAGTGACTGGGTAGTGCTTGCCCATGGTGGCTCCAATCACGCGATAACTTCACCACGAGAAGCCTCTCCGAATTCCCAACCGATCCATTTCGGTCACTCCAGGAGTTTGACGTCCACATTAACTTCGGTACGGCAATGGTTTATATCCCGACGCTCAATGGCTTTCGAATGCTCCGCGTCCTCAAGATTACGTCGGGTGAGGAGGAGTCATTTGAAAACTACATCACCCTACTAGATGTCATTTCACTACATTGTCCAAGACTGAAAATCTTGAAGCTCGCCATGGACGATCCGCCCGTCACAAGGGTCATCACCGAGCGCACAACAAAATACATCTGCCGAGTTCGACACTTGTTGTGTTCCCTCCAACACTTGGAGTCGCTGACGTTTCGGAATTTTGGGGTGCAGGGATTAGTTCCCTTACGCGATCTACCGCACTTCGCACACTCGACTCTGACGGTTCTCCACCTGGACATCGACTCGGGGCTAACATCGGACGACGTCGTCCCATGCGACTTTCCCAGGCTGAGGAAGCTGCATTTCGGACCTACTTCGACGCCCATCTCACAACCGACTGAAGTAGCAAGCTTCCTGAGCCGTATCCTACCCTCGAATTGCGAGATCTCTTCAGAACCGGACTCGCGGATCGATTGCGAGAGTTTGAAGCAGGTGCGAACTTGGGTTCCCATCCTCATCAAGGCTCGAACAGAGGGGAGGGCAACAGGTGCGGAGTTGATAAAAGAAGAGTCGGTTTGATTTCATCTCGTAAAGTGACGCGAGTGTATATACATGCATTTTCTTGTTATAATCTACGCATTCAAGCATTTACATCTTCGATATCAAATAGACCCGTTATTCAAACTTGTATCTCAATCAAGGGTCAACAGTAGAGGTTGAGCCATCCTTATACGTGCGTATTCAATAGTGTTTGAAGTAAACTCTTCACTGCGTCGAAGATTCTGCGAGTACCTTCAAACGGGTCCGCGTCATGCGCTTCACCGGACTGTCCAAAGTCTGTGGGACTTGAGAAGTGAAGCAATGTGATGAGTGAGATAGGTAATGAGGGTGCCTACTGAGTTAAAAGCTAGCGTAAGATATCCATATGAGACGAATACTGCTCTGATAAGGAATCGTCAAGGGGGTCAGGGTACATTTGGCAGCAAAGTCGGGTCACGTAACACCTAACGTAGAGACCATCGGTAGAATCTAAGCTCGACTACCATCACTCTCCTTGCGCCTGCGCCGTCCCCTCTCGTGGCTAGCATATCCATCCAGGCGGGCACACTATGCACGCCTGAAATCAAACATCAACCCAACATCAACACGAATAGTGAAGTAGAGTTGGACGTACCGAGCCTGGGTATGCGTGAAATCCTACACACGAGAGGCCCGGGCAACATCTGATCGGCGTACACGGGTGGCCGACTGGGGAGCACGTCGGCTGAGGATCGTCTTGGCCGTCCGCGAGCGATGTTGGGCTGTCGACAGCACTGTGGTTGGCGCTTCGTTCATTTCGTGGTATGGGGATGTGGGACGCGGTGACAGCGGTGGCCACGATGATGAGGGAGACGATGAAGTTGCGCATGGCACTGTATGATTTATTACTGATTCGTTCCGTGGTGTCTCGTTATGGGTGTCTCGTTGTGGGAGCAGTGCAGTTGGCGGGGGTTTCAAGAACGCAGGTTGCGTGGGTACTACTTATACCACACGTACTCCTCAGTAAGCTCAAGCCAGCAGGAGACGGAAAGACTCGCCGTGCGTACGACTGACTAGCTTTTCTTCCTGACGGGCATGATGCCCGGTCACCAATCGTTGTCAGATCTAACCACTTCTACCCGTGGAAGTGTAAGGTTACTTGACTCGCCAATGGATACACCTACACCTTCTTGCTTGGACCTCCGAGATGTTGTGCGCGGAGGTGGAGTATACAGAACCTGCTGCCCAAAACGTCAAATTGAGTTTTACCACGGACGTGTCTAGAAACTTGAGCACGAACGCAGCTATCGATACACATTGTAGGGAGGAGATTCAATGGCGATGGTGACATGCTCGTATGCTCTACGTGAGGAGGTGATCTCACCGACCATGGGTGTGCGAGGATGGTACAAAAGAGGGCTATCGTTACGCAATCAGCCACCACAATGTCATAAAAGGGCTACATGGAAGTAAAGCCCTGTCAGAGGGCATTGGATTGTTGAATCGTAGATGGGCCAGAGTCTTCCTGGTGGATCTAGTGCCACAAGTTCGCGTCAGTGCCGTTCCCTTCATCCGGGAGGGACTGTACTCCCAACTAAAAGAGATCTTCCTTAAGTAAACAGTTGAGGGTCTGCATGTCGTTGAGACTGCGAGACGCGAGCACCGGGGTTATGCAAGGAGTGGAATGCTTCCAGTCCAGTACCTGACCGCGAGGGCTATGTGGAGAATTCAGAAGCCCGCAGTGCCCTTTCAAACCCATCTTGCGAGGAAGGATCATATCACGCCATCGTCCTCCATGACGCGCCGAGTCGAGCGAAGCCTCTTCATGATGAGCAGCCATGATCCTTGAGTCGCACAACCACCAAGATTGCGCAGAATTGTGGCACTTATGGCCATGAAACCATACGCGGTGAAGTAGAATTGGCGTGTCGCGCCTGCCACACTCTCACCTCGTGTGCCACTCACCATAAAACGACCCCGTGACCGCGCTGAGCTCCTTCAAATTTAAAGGTCGCGTCGCCACTTGTGCCACACACAGACACTCGCTCTCTCTCTCTATCTCTCTTCGTCTCGTTCCACCACATCTAGCTGAGCCACCCGACGTGAACAACAACGACAAAAATAACGACAACAACCCAGGATTGGTTAATCGTATCTGCGAGAGTATATAGGACGAGGTGCGTACCATTCGTCCCCCACCATATACCATATACGACGTATCTTGCATCCTGTATCCCGTCTTTCACGTTCTGTCGCATATTAATCCGTCTGACCACCTTTATCTGGCAGCCCCCGACCCCCAATCCCCATGCCCACCGCCCCCAATCCCCCATACTCCCACCCCCGCAAGATGCCCCCCTCCCTCATCGAGCTGCACTACAACCGCGGACACCCCATGTCCGACCTCGCGCTCCACGCCGCGCAGTATTTCCGCCCACGCAAGCTGACCACTGCCCATGCGCTCATGCAAAATCGAAGTCACAGTCGAAGCCAAAGCCACAGTCAAAGTCGAAGCCAGGATTATCGCGAATGGTATACGGGTAGTGCGAAGCGCAAGGTCGGCGGGATCCCCGACGAGGGAAGCAGCGCTACAGTCTCTACACGCTCAACCACACGCTCAACCACGAATGGCCCGGCGCCCGACACCACCGCTGCACGACCAGCGAAGCGCCAGAAGGTGTCGACGCCCGCACCTGCGAATGCGCCCATCACACTTTCGGCGAGCGTGGAGGCGATGCTGGCGAGACAGGCGTTGAAGGCGGACCCTATGATATACCGCCGGACGCGCCCCGCAGGTGTCCGTGTGCGCGCTGGGAGCGATAGCGATGCCACTGCCACTCCCGCTGCTGCCGCTGGGGACAAAGGGAAAACAGTAGGAGGAGGAGCAACTGCTAACGAAGAGAGTGAGTGTCCTAACTATGGTGACGCGATGATAGTGGAATTCGACGGTGCTGACTCTGTTCTTCGATCTTTGTTCTTTGTTCTCTTCAGGCGCGATTCAAGGCACGAACAAAGAATATGGAGGAGCTGCGCAGGGTCCGTCGGGTCCGTCGACGAAGGAAACGCCGTTTCGAGTGCGCAGGGCAGCGGAAGCACCGACGAGGGGCCCAACGACGTCGTTTGCGTCGCCGCCGAAGTACAGGAAATAGGAAGGCGAAGAGAGGGCCGATTCGAGTGAGATAGATAAATGTCGAACCTTGAAGGTTGAAAGTTGAATGCCTTTTCTACCCATTCCCATTCGTGCATACAACATCTGCCATATATATATATATGTATGTATGTATACACCGCTGTAAGCTGTAATACCTGATAGAACGTGTCAGCGGCTAAGTCGAAGTCGAAGTCGGGGCATGATACGACGCACCTCTTCCACTTCCCGTCCGTCCGTCCCTCGTGCGTGCGTGCGTCCATCCCAATTAACCCTCTGAGCATTCGTGATCCCTCTGAGCATTCGTGATCCCTCTGAGCATTTGCGCACTGTCTGTATCTGTCGTCCCTCGCATCGTGTGGTGTGGTGACTATGAGGGCGGGAGCTTGTTGAGATTCGAATTCGGCCTACGTGTTTGCATGTTTACGGGTTTACGGGTTTACAGTGCATCGATGAGTAGATGAGTAGACCAGTATTCGAGTCGTCGAGTCGTCGGGCAAGCCGCACGCGCAAGCCGCCAAACAGAAACCGACGATGTTTTGAGCTGCTTATTCTTATTTGCGCACGTCCACGTGGGGCCCCTTTTTTACTCAGGAGAAAGGTTTTACTCAGACAGGGGCAACTGCAACGTCGGGCAACTATCATTGGGCAGATTCAGAGCGCGTCGGACTCCCAAACCATCACTCGTCCCTTACTTCGAGCGTCGGCATCCCACCGCCTTTCTTTCCGACCCAAGGAATTCGAATAACCACCCCTATGGCCTGGTTCTTTGTGTCCTCATACGGTTCGACTGTCCCCATCCTTCCACTTGCATTTTCCTGCTAAAAGGGTGTTTCGATTGCGACATTGATACTGCTTGACGGGAAGCATTGCGACCTAACGGCATACATCCATGTGGAAGTGGAACCGTCCATTACTACAGGAAAGACCACGCCATACTGTAGGAATGGGGAGCGATTCCCTCGGCCAGCCAGTTGAAATGACCGTGCGTCAATCACGAAAGAACTCAAGGTCCAGTGCGCCACAACACAGCAAGCATTACATGGAGAGACAAACACCGGCACGAAAGACGCCCAATTACTCACCCAGGTGGTCCGGACCTACCATCTTGGGGTTGGTCGTTTCAGCACACACCGTTGTGCCCACTTTTACCCTTCGAGGGCTTCCGCTAAGTTCCATGGGGTGTGCAAAGGAGCGGGTTCAACACCTTACCAAGTTCAAAACATGCAATGTGCCGTGAGCGACAGATTCAATAAAAGGTCTTTGGACATACATTGTCATACCTGACCAACTTTCAATCATATCCGAGTCGAGGTATGTTCGTAACTAGCATGACCTCCTTTACGATGCACTTACTATCCCTCTAGATGCCATCCGACGACGAGAGCTATAGAATAAGGCACATCATCTTGTCTATGTTGCAGAAACAGAAACTTACCGCCAGGGCCCTCAAGCTGGATCAGTCATTCGTCCGGAGGTGTCTAGACGACGCAGCTAGTCTCGGGTGCCCCATGGAACCCGTTGGTGACCTACCGTCCTTTCATAGGTCCACCACCATCGGCGCCGCGATTGCTTTCTTTGCCTACAACTACATCAAGGATGAAGACGTGAAGGTTTACATCGGAACGTATACATCTATGATCATATACATCGAGGACGTCTTCGGTGACACGCCCGAAATTGTCCACGACTTCAATGCTCGGTTCACATCGGGGAAGCCACATCGGTCGCCTGTCCTCGCAGCATTTGCGGAGCATCTGCGTCGGACGTCGTTGTACTTCAATGATCGCCAAACAAGCGCTATCATCATCGGGAGCCTGAATTGGGTGGCGTCGCTCTGGATGGAGGATCACTTTCCCGACGTTTCTCAGTGTCGTCCCATCGACGCGGCGGATTCAGAATTTCCGACCGATGTACTCTTTAGCTGCAACTGCCGGTTTCCTGCGTACGTGCGTAATATGTCGGGTAACGGCGAGCCGTATGTCATGTTCATGTTCCCAAGGGACATGGATTTCAAGGTCTATGCCCAAGCTATACCGACGCTGGCGTTAGCCATCGACTATCTGAAGTGAGTATTCTGGCCCCTTATCTATCTTGGATCATGAGTCCTCCTAACCAGATACTCGCCCAGTGATGTAATGTCCTTCTACAAGGAGGAACTGGCTGGAGAGAGGAACAATTATGTCTCGCTTATGGCAAAGCATTATGGTGCAGCCAAGCTAGACATCCTCCAGCACGTCGCTGATCAGGTTGTATCTTGGCTGTCCACCGCTGAGACGCTGCTCGTTACGTCCCAGCTGGCTTGTGAAGCGCTGAGGCACTTCTCACAGGGCTATGTGGATTACCACTCCTCTGCTCCAAGGTACCGATTGAGTGAGTTGATGGGGGGTGATTTCGTGGCCGGTCGAAGCGTATAGCGTAGACGTTCTGTACATTGTGGGACTTCGGCAGTAATAAGTAAAGCGTCATTAATAAGACGCTCATCAGCATCGCCTGCTACCATCTGTTGAGCAATTGGAGCCACAACCCACCAAGGTCCACATGTATTTTCGGCCCGCCACCATGACCACACTGATGTATTTATCATGTAAGTCATGTTCGAACCGAACAGTAGTGAAAAGGAAGCCCTGAAGTTGGCTAGGTCGGACTAAGGTCGGGCTGTCAAACTTACTTCCTGAGAGCCAGTTCACGTCAGGAAGACACCAGGTCGTAAAAGGCCTTTCTGACTCGTCACAGCAAATCAGACCTAAACTTTCATTTATACTAAAGAAAACCTTCGTGATTAGCATAGCTTTTTATGGCTTACTTACTGCCCTCCAATATGCGAAGACGATACGAGATCTAGCACAAGGCGTATCATTTTGGGTCTGTTAAAGAAGCAGCGAATTACCGCGAGGGCCCTCAAACTAGATCAGTCGTTCGCTCGGGAATATATGTTTGACGCAGCCAGCCTGGGATGTCCTATGGGGCCCGTTGACGACCTACCCTCCTTCCATCAATCTAACAGAACCGATGTCGATAGACCATGCAACGGACGTTATACACGGTCCGATCCCTACAACGCTCAAGAAATCCCTCCACTGTCATTGATCGCCGTCTATCTCAAGTGAGTACTCTGGCCGCGTCGTCACTCATAAGTCTACATGACCGTATACTTCCCCATATTACAAGGACGAACTACCTGATGAAAACATTTATGTCCCACTTATGGTGAAGCATTATGGTGTGCCTAAGCTGGACATCCTTCAGCAGGTCGCCGATCGGGTTTCTTCCTGGTTGTATACCGCGGAAAATCGGCTGTCCGCAACTAAGTCTGCGCTCGAAGCGGTGAGGCGTTTCTCACAAGGCTTTGTAGATTACCATTCCTCTGCTTCGAGATACCGGTTGAACTGACGGAGGATGAGATTCTGGCTAACCGGAGCACATGGTCTATCGATAGTAACCTGTAAATGTTGACCCATACGAACGGGCCATTGTACCTCAAATGTTTGTACTTTGAAATTTGAGGATTCTGCAGGTGGCAACCCTAATTTAGCGCCATTAGACGCCCATCAGGTGCAGGGCTGCGACCCTTTGAGGGGCTTGTCACTGTATTCCAACTCTTTGCCTTCGTCCATCATGATTCTGCTAGAGGTGAGCGACCACCATGATCCGATGCCGCCATTGACTCACGCGAACCGCAGCCTCACAACGTTATCATCGAAACCACACTGAACGATAAACTCGCGAAGTCAGTCGACATCCATCGTGTATACACAGATTGAACTCACCGTGCTGCGGCGCGCAGACCCGCTTCACTAGATGTGCTTTTCGTCGACTACGACGGCGTGCGGTTCCACATGACGACGCCCGAGAAAAAGACGGTTATCCTGTTGTCGATGCAGATTCGGTGCTGGAACGAGCTGGAGCAGTATGGCGCATCGGATATCTTGAAGCGGGAATATGGCCCGCTGCTGCTTGATCAACCGGAGTCAGAGTATAACGCGAGCTTGCAGATCGACTTGGAGCAGGTTCCTGCTGATGGAGGTGCGTGTTCACGTTAATGTTTCACCAGGAGATATGAATCATCCATTTCATGATAACTTCAGATTCTCGGAAAGCATTCATCTCTTCGGTCGCTCACTTCAAACGAAATGCTCTCGCTGCACCTTTTGAGAGAGCGTTCCAGACACAGAAACAGCTCGAAGCATCTGGCTCGGGCCAGGGCGATCTCATGGAGATTCATTATCGCGATGAGGAAGCCATCTACGTGCAAGCTGCCCAAGACCGCGTCACGGTCATATTCTCAACCGTCTTCCGGGAGGAGACAGATAGGATCTTTGGGAAGGTCTTTCTACAGGTATGTGTACCGTCCGTCCCCACTGATTCCCTCTGACTGTGCCCGCATCGCATTGCAATTGCAGGAATTCGTGGACGCTCGCCGACTACCCACAATCCAAAACGCCCCTCAGGTCTTATACTCGCCAAAATACCCACCTTTGGAAATCAGGCATCTAGCAGATCTGCGGACGTCAGAAGACATCGGATATGTTACCTTCGTCCTATTCCCCCGCCACTTCAAATCACCAGACATCGCCGCCGGAACGATCTCCCACATCCAGCTGTTCAGAGATTACTTGCATTACCACATCAAGTGCAGTAAGGCCTACATGCATTCTCGAATGAGGTTCAGGGTGGCGGAGTTCCAGAAAGTGTTGAACAGGGCGAAGACGGAAACGGTTACGGCAGAGAGGAAGACAGTCAGGTGAGTCTTTGGACATCATGGTTGTGATCGTGGCTCTGAATAAAGTTGTATTTATAGTGGGCGTACGTTGATGTCGCGATGATCGGACCCGGTATAGATCTCCTGTAAGATAAATGCAAAGCGAATGCCCCTTAAGCTTGACGTTGAACCGTTGTTTGTAAGACCATCACTTAACAGCCTGTGCTACATGTATAGTGTCTCTTCTCTCGCCCATCGCCCATATGTACAACATGGCCCGAATATCCAGAAGAACATTATGAAATCTGGTTGACGTTCCCTGTTGACGCCTATGTTGGTAAGACAGTGACGTTCATCCGGACCGACAGGACCTAAGGATTCAAGCGTTCCGGTGCGAGCGAGGGGATGAAAAAAGAAGTGCTCACAGTTGGAGCATCATCTTCGGTACACCAAACTTGTATCCCAACGCCCATTCATTCCTACGCAATGGGTCTGTCTTCTTGAACACATCTGTCCCCTTCACCTGCGGCAACCTAACTATCCAGCACTTGGAGTCACCCACATGCCGAGCTGCCCACCCTTCGAACGCTTTGAGCCTCAAGGCCGCAGCCTGCGACGGCACCATTGTCCAACCACGATCCACGTACTTGGCTCTCGCGGCTTCACGATTCCCAAGACCTGAACGCCCGCTGTCCACGGGAAGAGCCAGTTTCTTCTCCAAAGTCTCTTCGCCATACAAACTGTAAGCGTAAGACGCGGTGATCAGGTTCATGACAACGGCTATGTGCGTGACAGTCAGATAAGGAATAGGGACGAAGCAGAGACCCTACTCGAGTGAAACCCTAATATCACCTCCATGATGTTGCGCCGACAAATGATGAGTTGGATCTTCCTGGAACTAACAGGTGACAGGAAACTGACGACGGCACGCATACCCTTGAAGCTGTAATACTCCGATATATCTGCTCCACTTTGCGCTGGATCGGCAGGGGCTGCGCTTCCCCTGTCCCCAGGCAGCGTTGTGTAGCAGGGCTCCAAGGAAGGAAGTCGACCGCTGTGGAAGTCCGAGGTGACATAGCGCGAAAAGGTACGGTAGAAAGGGTGTGCTTCGCCCTGATGATTCAGCGCAGTGCATCCCACCTCAGACTCGAGCCATTTCCCGATCTCCAATGCACGCGCGTACTCGACGTAGAGGTCGAGATCGGATTCCGGGTATGTCACTCTTGTGAAGAACTGAAGTGCTACAGAGCCAGAGATAACAAGCCCGTTTTCCTTCTGTAGGCGACGGAAGGCTGGGATGTACCGCGAGGGAATGAACGGTTCGAGGATGGGGTTTAGGGAGTAGTTGCGGTGATAGTAAGCCTGCACTTCGTCGTAGATCGCTTTGCAGGTCAGGGAGTACCAACGCAAAGCGTCGAGGGAGAGTCGCCCCATCACGCTCCAGTGGATGTCGTAGCTCCCAAGCATGCATCGCGTAAAACCCATAAGACCCTCGGGTAGCTCATTCTGTTACAGACGTCTTAAGACGGGAATCATCGGCGCGAAAATGCAGAGCTTACGCGGATAGCTACGGTCGAAAGCAATTCCGCTATGTCATCTACACCATCTGCATGATTCTGCACACTCATCCTGTTAGACAATTGGAGGTCGTCGCCTGGATTGAAGTCGCGGCGCTAAATTGATCGCTTTAACACCGCTGCATCACGTGCTACGCGTTCTATTCCCAGGATCATGATGTCCCCTGTACCCCTGATCATCCTCATCAGGACATTTTCGTACCAAAAGATAGCGCGACATTGGTCATGTTTTCACCTGAATCAGGATTCCCCTCAACATTAGGAGGATGTAAAGGAGAACCGCGTCTTCTTCCTGGGAAGCTGAGGCGCCTTCGTTATCGACCCCCAGCACGTTGCGCATGACAAACCGGCTATTCTCAAGGCGCGCTCTATTCGTCTATCTGGCCGCGTTGCTGTGCACGGCCTTCTTCTTGAACCACACTCGCCGCACCCGCGACGCACAACCCATTGAAGAGGAACTTCTTAGCCCCTCTCAGGATGATTCGAAGGTGAGTTCCCACTTCTTCAAAATTTGAGTGTATGCTGAACGTAACGAAGAAACAACTTGGCGGTACAGATACGAATCTTGGGGCGCTCCCAACAATACCGGAACGCCCAAAAATCACCATCATAGCGATATGGAATCCGAAGACGAACAACCCGAAAGACCCGATATATTTACCCAATTTCTTTGCCTCAGTCGCTGCGAATCCTTCGATTGAACTCCTATTCATTAAATACGACAAGTACGAAGTAGGGTGCCAAACCCCTTTCGCCCCAGACTTGCCGAATGTGAAGGAGATATGTTTGGCGACGGATGAGTATTGGAAGTTGCATGCGAAGTTCCTATGCGATTACTGGCGGGGGTGCAGCGACGAGGAGCACGCAAATGTCCTCAAGAAACTCTATGAAAGGGCCGGCAAGGATTATGTATGTCGGCATATACCTTGGGTATTAGTATCCCAAGTACTGATTTCCGAGTTGTAGGGCAACTCTTACTTCCGGCCCTTCCGCCCAGAAATATTTCACCAATGGGTTAACCCCCATACTGCTATCTGGGCGTGGTGCGACATGGATATCTTCATGGGGGACTTTGAGAGGAACTTTCCGTGGGACGTCGCGGGGGACTTCGATTTTCTCTGGCCTTCCCCACCACAGGACAGCGACGATATCCTTGTATTCTTCCCTGGACATCTCGCTTTCTTCAAAAGGGCCCCACATGTCATCGATGAATTCATGCGTCTCCCAAACTTCCGTTCCTTGGAGGCATTTATGGACTTACCGTGGCTCACTTCAGCGACAGGTACGCTTGTTCCCTGAATGTCTTTCCTGTCTACGAGTTGATATATGTCATCTGTAGAGGAATGCGAATACTCGCATTGGGCGCTGACGCAATCAAGCCTGACGTTCCTACGATTCCCTGGAATGGTGGAGAGCGGGTTCCACTTCTCAACCACGAACAGAGGCGTTTTCTCCATCGAGAACCCCGGTTTCTGGGACCTGTCATTGAGGGAAATGGCGCCCGAGAACAGGGAGATGAGGGTGTCTTTGGGTACTTCCCTGCAAGGACGCAAATCGCTCCCTCCACCGCTTCCGACGTTCACTAGGGATGGGAAAGAGAATGAGGTTGTTTTGCATGTAGGCGAATACACCCACGTCTTGTGGTTCCCGCAGCAGTATGCCGTCAACCTTTTGGTCGACGAAACTAAGACATTGAAGCGGCCATACAAAAGGTACATTTACATCATACACTCATCGCTTCCGCCGGTACTTACCTGCCACGCTTTGGAATAGGTATCTGATGCGTCGTGAACCACACGGACCCGTCTATGACAGGTCGGAGCCCGTTGGAGAGAAACTCTTCGCAATCCCCCAAGACGCTTATGCTGAATCGCCTGACCGCTCAGCCCCCATGCTCGCCTGGGAGCTCTTGTACTCCCACTTCCAGTCTGAAAAATATTCTGGTGCGTTGCTTCAATTGACCCCGATCTTGATGATGATCCAAAGAGATGTTCACGATTTACGTTGTTAATTATAAAGATTGGTGGGGACTTCCTGGCGTACCGACTGAGGGACTTGCGCCCGATCAGGTGTTGTTCGTGGATCAAAGACGAGGTTCGTATATTTGGAATTCTACGGGGCACATCGTGTTTTCGGCACGGGTTTAACTTTCATTCTGCGGATGGACTTGACTGGCGGCAGTGAAAGATCTGTTGTATTAGCTAGCAGTATAGGACATAGCTCAAATAATTGTATATTATTCCGAGCACTAATACGCGTTGAACTGCAATTCACCATTAATGCCATATTAGGTCCATATATAAACTTCAGATCTAAATACGTTATGACCATCAACTTATCCTAGTCCACCATGTCGTCCGCAGACGAGCACCTCAAATACCTGCGCCTCGCCATCGACGAAGCCGAGAAATGCGAACCCACGCCCACCGCGTTCTGCGTCGGCTGTGTCCTCGTCGCACGGTACCCTGAGCAGACCAGCCCACCCGTCGTCCTCGCCACCGGCTATTCCAGAGAACTCCCGGGAAACACACATGCTGAAGCCAATGCTCTCGCGAAAGCCCAATCGCTCCTCCCCGCCGATCTCTCGACGCTCCTGAACGCCCCCGACAAGTCCCCCCTCACGCTCGAAGACGTCTTACCCCATACCGATGTCTACACGACGATGGAGCCGTGCTCCGTAAGAACGTCTGGGCTCGCGCCGTGCGCCGATGCGTTGGTTGCAGCCAGGGTTCGGCGATGCCTGATCGGTGTTGGGGAGCCGGATGATTTCGTCAAATGCGAAGGGGCGACGAAGCTGATAGATGCGGGCGTAGAGGTCATCTGGCTTCGGGGGTTCGAGGAGGAATGCTTAGCTGCTGCTCGCAGAGGACACTGAGCATAACGGAACGAAGTAAAATGTAATATAATGGTATGTACTTTCTTGCGACCCTAAAACCCTAGTGATGTGACAGATCGTGTACATAGTATCTATATAGCCTCAAATACACCCATAGCCATAGGCTGGGGCGCGATGGTATTCATGGGTTGACTTTGCTCGGGCTCAGTGTCCAAGAACCACTCCCTTTTTAATCGTCTAAAGATCTCCTTGAATGTGTCGGTCGAACCTCTTTCGTGTATCATCACTACTTCGATGGGAAACCCTTCCGGTCCTTGTGATTGTCGCACTTCAGCTCGGAATTTAACGCCCTTGACGTTCAGGTATCCGCTTGGATCTTTGGCGTCTTCCAACTTGCATCTGAGAACCGGCGAGCCATCAAGAATCTCCAGGGAAACCCTCACGTCCATTTCGCCTATTATCCGGCGGCACTCGTTGCTCGTCTCTTGCTCATCGTAAAGCGAGAACAAAGAATGACTCAATGGCCGAAACTTGAAGACGTTCCCAAACCAAGCTCGCTTCGGCGGAGTAGATGACGTGGGGAGAGGGGACGTAGGCGACGGCGACGGTGAGGAAAAGGATGATCCGTCCTCAGAAAAGGCAGGCGAAATCACATCCTGACTGTGTTTCTTTTTCGTGACTATAGTCGGCCTCTTCGGTGGTTCCACTATCTTGACGCGTCCGCGCTTTCCAACGGATAACACTCTGGCAACAGCCCCAACCTTCGAGTTCTCCTTACCCTTCAGTGTGTTTTCAGGGCGCTCCTTATGGCGAATTGAAAGGGGCCGAGTTGTAAGTCCGGAAGCGCCAGAGGGAGCAAGCCCTGTTGGTCCAGAAACGGGGACGTCCAAGGCTTGAGATATACCGTCCTGCGCCATACCGGGGGTTTGCATTGAGTTGAGCCGTTCCGCAATCTGTAGGAAGAACGTCTGTATCTTTTCGTCTTGTAGCTCGGCGGCGGTCACGTTGGGAACGTTCAAAGCATCCAGAAGGGGCGACAGAGGGGAAAGAACGGAAGCTGCCTGGTTCGGGCTTGCTGGGGCACCCGCGCGATATTGTTCCTGAAAAGACGCTATAGACTCAGTCCAAGCAGCATGACGGGTCGCCCGTCTGGGAGTTGGTGGTCCAGTTCTAGGAGGCAAAGTTGAAGGAGAGTTCATGATCGGTGATTCGGGCTGTGAGGGGATGGATTCGAGAGCCTTTGCAACCCGCCTCTGAGTAGTTGCTCGCTTTTTACGACTGGACATCATGATGTTCTCCTCTTCACATTCCTCTAAGTGCTTCTGGCGGTATTCAATCAGCAAGCTATATATTCCCTTTTGCCAGTTCTGTTCGTCGTTAGTCAGGCACTTCATGATTTCCGGGTCGGGTGTTCCATGCCAAAGAGTCCGTAGGTTGGCGAATATGTCAGGGTCAATGGAAGTAAGCCCAGAAGCAGGAGAAGAGACGATGTCCAGAGTAGGCGTCCTGAAGGTCGTACGAGGTTCGTGCAGCTTAAAGAACGGATGATCCAGAATCTCAGGCATAGTAATTCGAGCCTTGGCGTCCGTCTTGAGCATTCGGTATATCAGGTTCTGTGCCAGAGGGTCGATATCGGCTGGCATCTTGAATATGCCGAGTTTAACCTTGTCGAGCAGAGGTTCGATGTCTTCGGCGTCGAAGGGGAGTTTACCAACAAGCAGAGCGAAGAGGATGATTCCGCAGGACCAGATATCGGCAGCTGAACCGCTGTAGGATTGTCCACTGCAAATTTCGGGGGCGACGTAGTGAGGGCTACCGCAAGACGTACGGAGGAGTCCATTATTGACCGCGTTTGCTTGCCAAGCTGCCATACCGAAATCGGCGATTTTGACGTTGAGGTCCTGGTCCAGAAGGATGTTCTCGGGCTTCAAGTCCCTGTGAGCGATGTTCAGCCGATGGCAGTAGTCCACAGCGGCGATAATCTGTTGGAAGTAGTCCAAAGCCTCTAAAGTCGGGAGTTTTCCTTTATTGCAGAGATATTCGAAGAGCTCGCCGCCTTGGACATATTCCAGAATCAAGTAGAGTTCAGTAGAGGTCTCCCAGACGTCGTATAATTTCATGATATTCGGATGATCGATTAGCTTCATAACGACGATTTCTCTTTCGATAGCGAGTTGATTTTGGCCGGTCCCTTCAGCTAGGTTGTGAAGTGATACGTGAGAGTTCAATGAAACTTTAGAAACGATCTTGACGGCGGCGTATTGGCCTGTTTTTGAATGGCGGGCGATTCGAACGCGTCCTAAATGGCGAGGTGCACGGTCAGAACAGTAGCTGTATCGCCTATGTTTAATGGTACCTGAGCTGCCTTTGCCAATAGTCCTGCCAATCTTCCATAGGCCGATCCGTTTGGGGTCTGCAGGAGGGCGTTTGCTTCGAGGTAGACGAGGGTAATCATCGCGAGACATGAGAATAGTGGTGCTAGTGTGGTATGGGTTAGGAGACTAGATATGTAGTGTGTCTGGAGGGAACGCCAGGAAGAGCACTAACTTCAAATTTTCTGAATTCGATTCCGGCGCCATACCACGTGACCGTGAAACACTCTCCTCAGGTTCAGGAGTGGCGACTTTGAGTCATTGGCCACCACTTAGCTTCGTTCTACCATGATGCAACCTACGCCTGCCCCGTCGTCTGCCCCGGGGTCTCCCCGCACAGAAGCGGACGAGAAGGAAGAAACGAGCAAGACTGAGGAGACGATGTCGTATCCTGTTCCTCCTCAGAACGCCGGGAGCGCGCCATTTCATGTACTGTCCGGGCTGTTTGACAGACTTGCTGCTGAACGCAAACCGGATAGACGAAGGAAACTACTCGCTGCTTGGTTCAATGTACGCCTGAGGACTCCTATCATTCTACTAACCTAAGCTGGCTGTCTAGCATTGGAGGGAGGAGAAGGGATTTGACTTGTATCCAGTCTTGCGTCTTATTCTACCCCAGGCAGGTCCATGCCAGCAAATCAGTCTTTAAAAGCTATGACATATGAGCCACAGAAAGATAAAGAGCGCGCCGTGTACGGTCTGAAAGAGAAGAATTTAGCCAAGACGTACATCAAGTTAATTCCGTTAGGAATGCGCGATCCAGATGCTATACGCTTGCTCAATTGGAAGAGGCCAACTCAGCGAGACGTACGCGCCCCTACTTGGCCAAAGAATTTCCTTCTAATTCGCAGACAGTCCAGCTCTGGCGACTTCTCAGCGGTATTATTCGACGTCGTCAGCAAACGTTCTTCTGTGATTGAGGGAACCTTGACCATTGACCATTTGAACGAGTTGCTTGATGAGTTAGCCTCGAGCATGGGCAAACAGTGCGTTTGGCATCACGCTGCGATTGTAATTGCTTCATAACAAACAATCCTAGGGACTTGCAATCCAAAATACTTCAGCGTATTTACAATCGCTCAACGCCAGAGGAGCAGCGTTGGATTGTCCGTATAATTCTCAAAGGTAGGTCACATCCCCCACGTCGCGACTTGACTAGATACGAATCGTGTTAGACATGAACATATTGGTGAAGGAAACCACCGTGTTCGCTGTGTTTCACCCAGATGCTCAGGACCTCTATAATACTTGCTCCGACCTCAAGAAGGTGATCTGGGAGCTTTGGGATCCAGAACGTCGTCTCAACTCTGAAGATAAAGAAATACATCTCTTCCGAGCCTTCGCTCCTATGCTCTGCAAGCGACCTACGAAGAAGATTGAAGAATCTGTTAAAGAGATGGGAGGTAGTGAATTCATCATCGAGGAGAAACTAGACGGGGAGCGAATGCAGCTGCATAAACGCGGAAATGAGTATTACTATTGCTCGAGGAAGGGGAAGGATTACACGTATCTGTACGGCAAGCATGTTGGTGCTGGCAGTTTGACGCCATACATTGACAAGGCTTTCGACGAGCGAGTAGAAGAGTGAGTGACTTTTCTTCATTTACTTGCGTGACAGCTGATTATTTAAATATAGAATCATCTTGGACGGAGAAATGCTGGTATGGGATCCAGTGTCTGAACGCAATCTACCTTTTGGCACTCTCAAAACAGCTGCTTTGGGTATGCTGTCATATTTCCTACGCGATCTTCTACTCACGTCTCCTAGATAGATCCAAGAAAGAGCTCAATCCTCGACCATGCTGTGCGTTCCTTCCCCTCATCTCAAAAGTATCACTACCTTAACCCTGCTCTAGTCAAAGTGTTTGATCTTCTATATCTCAACGGACAATGCATCCTCCACAAATCCACTAACTTCCGTAAGAAGAACATGCGGAACTGTATGACCGAGATCCAAGGGCGGATTGAATTCGTCAACGAATATAAGGGGAAGACGGCGAAGGATATACGGACAAAGATGGATGAGGTTATGGCTAGTAGGGGAGAGGGTTTGGTACTGAAGCATCCGGGCTCGCAGTATGTGTTGAATGGGAGGAACAAGGATTGGATCAAGGTACGTTTATATCTTACCGAGCGCGGTCATCAATCTTTACACTTTGAGCAGGTGAAGCCGGAGTATATGGTATCTTTCGCTCTCTATGACATGCCAAGCTACCTTCTGAATAGTTGATTGCAGGACAATATGGGAGAGACCGTAGATGTTCTCGTTGTTGGTGAGGATTGTCCATTTGAGGGTTGCCCTCGTTCCTAACATTCCGGCGTAGCGGGCAACTACGGAAGTGGCAAGCGCGGTGGGGGCGTATCCACGCTAATCTGTGCAGTTTACGATGATAGACGCCAAAATGACGACGAACCCAAGTGCGTCTTCCACACTGATGCATCAAGTAATTGTGCCTTACACTGACAATTAACAGGTACAGCACTTTTGTTCGTATCGGCTCTGGGCTTTCCTTCGCAGATTACGTATGGGTCCGCAGTCTTCGATGGAAAACCTGGGATCCCAAGAACCCTCCCGAGTTCTTGCAGACGGCCAAAAAGACGCAGGAAGACAAGGGAGATGTTTATCTTGAGCCCGAGGAGTATGGTGATTTTATTCCTCTGAGTGTTGATGTATTCTGACTGCGTTGCCGAAGCTCGTTTATCCTCAAGGTCAAAGCGGCGGAAGTCGTAGTCTCAGGTGATTTCTCCTCCCACTTATTTTTCGGCCTCATACTGAACTTGTGCGCAGATCAATACCATCTTGGATACACTATGAGATTCCCCCGCGCGTTATCTATCCGCGAGGATCTCAGCATTGCGGACTGCATGTCGGCTACCGGTTAGTAGTACGCCTTATATGATCTACATCTGATTGAATATCCCACAGCTGTATTGGACACACTTCGTGCTGAGAGGAAGCGGAAGTTGGAGAGCGACACGGCGTACGTATTGGCGCCGGCGAGTTTGTCTGGCTGATACTTACCTCGGTTCTCGCAGAGTTGCTACGAAGAAGAAACGGAAGACAACTACAAAGAAGGTTCGCGTGTCTGTGATCATCATCAGGAAAAGCTGCTGAAATGGAGATCTAGGTTACCGTGCTCCCAGAATACCGCGGTGCCAACTTGAAGGAAGTCCCCGTTGAATCATACCTTTTTGATGGTATGCACTTCAGTAAGCAATGATTATTCCCACCGCTCTACCAAACAATTGATTCCGATTCCAGTGGTCTCGTCTGACCCCAAATCACGGACTGGCGACAAGGATAAAAAGGAGCTGATGAAACTGTGAGCGACCCTTCGTTATTCGGGATTTTTCTGACGGCTCCAATAGTATTCATGCTCACGGCGGAAAATGTGTCCAGATAGCAAGAGAGCAGCCCAAGCTCTTCGTCGTCTATGGCGGGACGACTACTCGTACGACTCTTTCTCTTACATTTTATTCTTTAATTCCAAGACCTTTCGCAGCGTATGATTTAAAGCTCCTCATCAATAAGGGCGTCCATGATATCGTGAAGCCTGTGTGGATCGAGGATTCAGTGGCGAGCGGCAAGCTAGTCCCTCTCAGTAAGAAGTACGTTTGTACGCTTTAACCGACCATTCTATCGCTCATCTGGACCAGATACTTCTTCCACGCAACTGTGCGACGCCAAGAAACGGCCGAGTATAATGAAGGCGCAGACTCGGATACTACAATGGACGACGGGCCAGTTACGGCAGGCCCAAGTGCCCAGGCCAATGATTCCGAAACGGAAGATGATGGCTCGGATTCGGAAGACAAAGCCCAAGTAAAGGAAGAACAACCCGAGGATCCCTCATTGGCCGAGTGGTTTACCATCTCCGATGACAAGAAGGCACCGGCTCCCGCAGCTAACGCGAATGATTCAGAGACCGAGCCTGATTCGGATAATGCAGACGTCGCGGACGAAGGCGAAGATCACTGGGATGATGAGTACGTCCACGTCTCGCAAGAAGGAGAAGAGGTCAAGGAAGAAGTCAAAGAAGAAGTCCTAGAAAAATTGAAAACGGAAGAAATGGAGGATGTAAAGATGGGCGAAGACGCTCAGGCGATGGAATACGACCAGGAGAAGATATTCCGGCACCTGTGAGTTGCTATGATTTTTGCCTCCGTCCGACGTTCGCTGATACCCGGAAAGTTGTTTCTACCTGGACTCTCCCGCGAACGCACGAAAGAACGAGATGCCTGTCAAAAGCAAGTACGAAAACGACATTAACCAAAGGTAGTTCCACCGCGGCCCTGAAGATCTTTCCTAGGGCTTACCTGAGCGTAGTTTTGCCCAAATCGCGACTGTGATTACAGAGAATGGCGGCAAAATAGTTGGAATTGACGAGCCAAAGCTTACCCACGTCGTTGTCGACAAGCGAGACGACAGTCGTAGGGTGGCGTTGATGAGTAGAACTTCGAAGTTCGTTGCTATTTTTGCCTTTGATTCATGTAACTCAGCGCTATGTTTCTAGGCCTAAACGCCGGCATTTGATCATATCAGAGTACGTTCAGGCGTGTCTCGATGAGGCTACGTTGTTGGACGAAGATGGTGAGTCGCATTCTGTAGCCCTGCGGCCATGATAAGTTCGGCTCTAATACGACAACGCAGAATTTGCTCCCTGATCAGTGCTTGACGTGTCGGTAGTGCGCTAGTGGGTTTCTGATACCAGGGAAAGGAACAATACAGTAATTTATGTATGACATGGAGGGATTGGAGTGTTATTTTATTTGCAAATATTCTGTATCTTTTTGATGGTGAAAAGCGGAGCGCATGGCACCAGAAATGTAAACCGGAGGATCGGAGCTGCCAGTGTTGGGACCCTGTTTGCGGCATGGCCTTGGCCGAGTCCGCAACTTTTCCACAGTGGACGTCTTGTCCTCTCCCTTCACCGCCCTCTGCTCCAGTCCTCCTCCTCCTCCCCTTGTACTCTTTCTTTCCGATACTCTCTGGGCGCGAGGGTACGGACTTCACTGTGCATAATTCTCCTCATTTCGCCGGTCATTCCACGTCCCCTTCCCAAGTAAATTTTCAGTCATCTCAGGCCCTGTATCTGCGGCAATTGTAATTCCTACAACCACCATGGCCATGGATCAGCAGGTGTCGCCCATGTCGAAGCTCTTAGAGACGCTCGGGCTCACTCGCGAAGACCTGTTGCAGCGAAGCGACCAGATGCGTCGGTTTCTCACCGCCGACACGTCGAACACCTTCGATACCACCACTCCCACGACGCTTTCGTCCGCCAGACATTCCACGGCGAGGCTTAGTACGTCGACCGCCTCTATGGCGCGCTCAATGTCTCGCTCCAGGTCTACTTCCTTTCGCGACGCGTCCCCGCCCATGACCCCAGTGAAGGCAGAGCCCACCGATGCCGTCATGCCGTCGAGGCAGTTCGACAGCATGGAAATGGTTCTTGAGCGGCAGAGAAGGCAAAATAGGAAGGAACGGAAAGAGCGGAAAGAGAAGGAGAAGATGGCTGCGATTAGGAACAACTCGCAAGCCCATTCCCCTAGTCCCGGTACGGCGTCGCAACCCGCCTTGAATCTCGACATGGTCATGCAAACACGCGATGATCGACGCGTATATCCTCTTGAAGCTTCTACTGCTGCCAGGGATGGCTACGAGCAGGTTCGTCAAACGCGTTTTTAATCAATTGCAGTGCTGTTGAGATCGCTTATTTCGCTTATGATAAGCAGACGCCTCCGGTAACCCCGCAGAAAGGGAGGTACTATAGAGACCAATCGTACGCTCATGGCAGTGTCGATGAATGTCAGGTGAGTATGCCCGCCATCAGCATGGTATACCCAGCTGACAAGCAACGCTCAGAATGGTGAATCTTCCCAAGGATCCGCCACCCGGTCCCATTATGTCATGCGACCTCAGTTCGCTTCCTCTATACCGCACACACACAATTCAGCACCTGCGCTGCAGTATAATCATGCAAATAATTCTGCGTCCGAGCTCCCAGTGACGCCGCAATTACGCCGCGTCTACTCGGAGCGACAAGCAGACAGAAGTTCGCCCATCCCGTTGTCGTCTCCCCCAAGTTCATCCCCTCTTTCCTCTCCAAATAAGCCTATCGTTAATCTGGTGTCCTCCCCGGGGCCTATGGGACCTGCACCCTTGGAGGACGATTACTCCGAGCTGCCTTATACCCTCCCTCCCGGTCCTTATTCATCCAATAAACCGGATCAATCTTACGCAGCGCTCATTGGGCAAGCCATTCTATCCTCCCCTGACCACCGTCTCACGCTGCAGGAAATCTATGATTGGATCACTATCGTCCATCCATATTTCAAACGCGGGGAGACAACGTGGATGAACAGTATTCGTCATGTCCTCAGTACCACCGCAGTCTTCCGCAAAGTGCCAAGGGAAAGAACTGTTGGTAGGTCATTTTGGGCTATTTGGGATGAAGATATGCCTTGTTTCAAGGGTGGCGGGTTTAAAAAACATCTGTGCAAAGATATGAACGGCGGGCGCCTTGGTGTAGAAAATCCTCGAGCAAGGGCGCGTAAGCGTAACCCCGAAACAGAATTGGAGAGGAAAGCGAAGAAGGTCAAAAGAGAGAAGACCCAGGACATGTCTGCTGCCCAGACCTCGGCCTATCTATTCCCTGCTGTGATGCAAACCGGACATCCCGTTTTCCCTATATCGCATGCAACTCCCTGTCATCAGCCATATCTCCAAAGTTGCATGTCAGCAACATCTGCACCGCAGTCTGTGCCCTCCGATATCATTTTCCCACCGCTCCCACCTACTTCCGCTTATCATCAACTCAAAGCCGCCCCTTCCATCGTTTCTGCGCCCCGAACGTCTTCAAGGCCGTCTTCATCAGCCACCAGTGTCTCGGAGTCGCGCCCGCCAACAGGCAACTCTCTTAGCACGCCAGACCACAGCAACATCGCGTTAGCTTCTGATGATTTGTCGTCTTGTCCCCCAGTTCCAGAGCTCACTCCGAATCGTTCATCCAGTCCTACTCCCTCTGCTCCCCCTACAGACGATGTTGCTTCGCGTCGTGAGCGTAGTATGAGTCGCATCGCTGTGGGGTCGAACGAGGATGGCGATCACGGAGATTCGCAAGACACGGTCAAAGATGGATCACTAAGGCCAGTACAGGATTGGGGTAGGTCTTCTGCCGTCGAACCTCTGCAGCCAGGCCTTATTCTCAACTTTGACTACGACTTGGACGAACGGGAGCCCGCTGGCAACAGGAAACAAGAAAAGCCAGGTTACAAGGTAAATCACTTTCGTATAAACATCTTTTGCCGTACTGATCACTCTGTACAGAAGCAATATGCATACCCTCCCATGCCACCTTCACCTACGCCCTCCTCGTCGAGGCCTCTTCCTTCGAGATCGCTTACGGCTTCCATCCCTCCTCGTTTAACTACGCCGCCCCCCAAACTGCCTGCTGCACTACCTGTTACTCCTCCTCAGAGTCATCGTATCTCTCCAACACATACTCCTCTGTCTCACAAAGGCCTTCACATGAGCCCCAACGCCAGCTTAGCTCACTATAAGTCGAACTTAGACCCTCCGCCCATTGTCGCCTTCAATAGGACAGGCGACAACCTTTTCAGCGGTGACGAGAACTCGAAAGACACGGGCGAACTCGATATATTCCGTACTCCCTCAAGGAAACGTTCACACCCGCAAGCCTCGAGTGCATTCAACCCTGTTACACCTAAGAAATTGGTATTCCCTCCTTCAAGTTCCTTGATGGAATCCCCTCTTCGAACACCGTCCAATGGCGTAAACTTGTCGCCATATAGGACCCCCACATCTAGAGGGATATTTGATCCCCATGACCCCAGCAATCTTCTGGATGACGAATTAAGCCGTTTAGGAGCCGCTCAGGATAGCCCGGCTGGGTTATTTGGGAAATCACGCAGTGCGTTGTTGTACGAAAGTCCTAATCTCGGGACCAGTCCAGGTTCCTGTCCACGGTGGTGGTAGTTCAGTAATGCACTTTTCCTGCATTGTCCGCTCATCTCCTCGCTTTTTGCATCGTGAAGGTTGTACGAAAATATTTGATGATTTGCTCAGTCCTATGTATTCTGATTTATCTCTCTGTTTGCTTATTTAAACATCCTACCCCCTGCGCTACCTTCACATCCACGATTTTCCTTGATGACGCTCGACGCTTTCGCTTATGGCCTGCCTAGTAGTAGGCTATGTATCCAGACTCCTCCCCGTAGCATTCACGTCCTATTCCCTTTCCCCGACCTCCGTTCGATCTTCTCGTTGTTCGCAGACTCCTGGCCATCTATTAGGGTATAACAATTTATTCGACCATTTCGAACTGCTGTTTTCCACATTGTACATACAAACCTGCTTTCGATGCCGTGTAACATTATTCTCCCTAGTGTATGAACGAAAGAGTCAATAGAATTGAACTGAACTGGTGGCTATTGCGTCGTAGCTTCCAAACTGTCAACTAAAGCTTTCCAGCAGTATTCATCGAGTTGTTTTTGCGACGGAAGGGCCCGCCCTCTTTGGCCTGGCTTGCCACATACTCGTTTATGATGGGGCCAGTCTGACTCTTGACACTTTTGACTACAGTAAGGTGTCTGCGGCGAGTTAGAAGTCAGGAGAGGCCGCAACGAGAAACTCACCAGTTTGCACCGACTACACTTCATCAGGACATTCCCTTTCTCGTTTCTCGGACAAGACCTCTGACAACTCGCTAAATCGCAGACGGGTATGTTTGTACCTAGGAACTTCCCCAATTTCGCGGCTTTCTCGATTTCTTCTCTGGGGCGGGTATCGATTCGCTTGGCTATGTACCGGTCGACGGCGGCATTCCAGCGCTCCTGGCGTTCGTGACAGAATTCCTTCGTCCGCTGCTGGCCTACGGGCCTGGTCATCGAGAGGAGGTAAGCCAAAGTACGCGGTGCAACTATGGAGGTCCTGACCAAGGCATGAACTTGACTCGTTGCAGGGCGTACTTGTATGCTGGATCAACGAAATCTTCGGTCAAGGCCCGGGCACAGTAATGGCCCAGTTTCTGGTGCGCATCTAGGGCACGATCATCGAATCCCTTTGGGCATGCTTTGTCATTGCAGGCAAGAAACCGAAGTACGTCGACGATGTTGCCTTCGACGTTCAACCCTCCGGAGAAATATCGTGCTAATTTGCGCCTGATAACAAACATAGGGTGGCCCTCCGTTTCTTCTTCTGGATCGGGATATATCGTCGTAGTGACCTCGGTTTTTATCCGTTGGGCTGATGCGTCCCAGCCTTCCAGTGCCTGTATCCCCCGTGGAAGGCAACATTCGCCGTACGGCTTGATACCTTGGCAACCGAATCCTGGGCAAGCGTGGTGCTCAGGATACGGCTGCGCGCGTTTTGCATGACATTCGTCCAAGAATAAGCCCGAAAAACATGGACAGGGTCTCCGTGGTGGCCCCTTATCCTTTATTCGATCATATTGGTCAAGGAGGCCTTGTATGCGCTGCGCATCAGCCGCTTTGAGGGACGGGATCAGTGGCTCGGTCCCTCGGAGTGAAGGGTTTGCGCCGTGGTTGATGAGCAAGGTGATTAATTCCCAATCATGGGTTTCGCAAGCGTGATGCAATGGTGTTCGGCGATTTGATGTGAAATTGGCATTTGCAAGATGCTCAACGAGGGTCCGGACGATGGTGGCGATACGTGGGTATGGATTTTCCGATGGTACGAAGGAACGAGTTAGAGGCCCATGTAGGCGGTACAATTCTGCTAGTCGAATGGTGCCGATCATCAAAGGTGTGTTTCCCCTGCTGTCTACAATGTCGATGCCAGCACCCAAACGAATCATCTCGCACGCTAGGATAACGTCGCCGTTGAACACGGCATCATGAAGGTATGTACAGCGATATCCTTGGGGGACCAAGCCGATCGTCCGAGGCAATTCTAGGAGGATATTTGCGTCGAAGTCTGTATCAAATGGATTCTGAATGTCCAGGCGGACGACACGAAAGGTAGGGTTATAGCTCGTGGATTTCCCCGCACCCTCGATGAGCTTCATCGATTGGATCAAGGCGCGAGGAAGGTGAGGATGTGCGCTCATCGCTGAGGAGAGAAGGGCGGACTGAGATGAAATGTATGCCCCACATTACAGTCATGGGAATAGGGAAGGGGCAGCTTGCGGAGGCTCACAACACAACGGCTAACATAACAATAAGGCACAATGCGTCACGAGTCGATTCACGGAAAAACATCCAGGCTATTCCGCCTTTGGAAATAACCCTTCCAAAAGAGGAATGCAGTAATCAAAGGCCACCGGTTAAGCCGCCCAGAAGGCCTCCAGTAAGATCGCCCACCGTTCCGGTAAGGCTTCCAGCGACACCACCCACCGTTCCAGCAGCATCCCCTACCGCTCCGACAACGTCTCCGGCAACGTCTCCAACAACACTTCCCAGATCGCCGACAGCGTCCCCAACGTCGCTAGTCGCGCGAGACCGGAGAGGCGAAGCTAGGGCTGCCCCGGCAATGGACAAGACAAAAATTGCAACATTGATTGTGAATTGCATCTTGGAACTATGCGCCAAAGGTCAGTCTGGAGGGTGTTGTGTCCGCCGTCTACCTACGAATTGATATTTATCGTAGAGATTGGTTTCTGTGCTGCAAAGAGAGGTATGAGATGGTTGATACGAGAGATGTGTATTGGATGAGGCCTTACCTTGGGCTATGCTGAAAGTCAAACTCTGCAGAAACTTAGTGAGGTCGTCCAGCTTTTATATTCGTGAGTAGCCCCACAGCAGTCTCAAAATGGCCATTGCGGCTTACGAAAAGTCTCATCAGAACCCCTACGTTGTTCGGCGAATATCTGTCATGTTTTTGTGGAGGAACTCTGAAATGTATGTGTGCCTTACCGCAGTTGCGTTTTCTGAATTCCGAGCCGAGAAGCCCAAGACACACGCCATCATGTTTTAGCTTCTGGTGCGAACCTTGTTGGCCATCCAGCGGTCGGATGCGTGGCATCCATGCTATTGACTTCCGTTCTAAGGATGTGCTCTTCTAGGTATTCTTTGTAGGTTGGAGCATCAACTCATCAACCGGTATGATCTTATTCCGTGAGATTAGAATCCTCTGGACAGAATACCCGAGAGGGTTCCCAACGCTTCCAGAAAGTATACCCGTTGGACACTCGACGGAGCGCAGAAGAACCATGGTAGAAGGCTGTGAAATTGCATCCTGCAACGCCCTCAAGGGCCTTGTTAATATCGACTACGTGGATGAGTCCTCGACGCGTCAAGCTACAAGCATCGCGGGTAGTGGCCATAGGAGGACAATGCTTCCGCATTTGGACATCGAATTCCCTAAAGGAGTTCTTAAACTTGGTCTCATCATGAACCTTCTACAACTTGTGACCCCACCGGTCAGGCACAGCCTCTCGGAGCACGCCACCCCATACATCTGACACTTACCCCCCACCGGTTCAGCTCAATCCTCCTAGCGGTTGATTTCCTGATTACCAGTGGTCCTGATAGGCCGTTATTTCTCCAGTACCGGCACTGCACTGTCATACGATGAGTAGGCAGGCACCGCACGTATGGATAATCTGTTGATATATAAATATTGTACCGCCTGTAGCATTCAGGCTTCCCAAGATCTGACTTTCTGATATGAACGTAGTTATGGTTTGATTGGCCAGCCGTAGGTTAAATATTGAACATGTCTCACCTAGAGTTGAAAGGAAAGATGATCTCCTCAGCGAGTCGGTCGGCGCGGGCGTCTTCAGTGGCAGTGTCAGGAAGACCTGTATAACTTGAGGCAATATGCTCAATGTTTGCCCTGCGTCCAGTGGGTGGTTTTGGACGCGGTATATTCCGACAAGCTTTGCTCAACTATGACGGATCCGACCAAATAGATCAATGTGGGTGAGACAGCATCATGTTGATGAATATACAAAGCTTCTTGGGCAGTTTGGGCGGGAGTTCTCCTGGCGGGTATACATAAATACGATCTTTGACGCGGGGAACATCACCCCGCTTCAGAAACTTTCCAGTATTTTGGAGCGACTCGTGTACATCAATTGGCCTAAATTTATTCTGACAAGACCTCATGGTTAGGGACATCTCCACAGCCAGAACGATCAAAACATCCAAGAAACTACTCACGAAGTGGAGCTTAGCATTTGTCGGATACTTCAGACGAGGTCTTGACGAGACTCTGACAACACCGGGAAGTGTCTGGGAAAACTATATTTAGAGACTTGGACAAATCAATCACATTGTACTCACTCATCAAGTGGCTGAGAAAACGAGGACGCGCCCTCGCCGTACCGGGGCGTAGTACCATATGAGTGTGGGAGGCGCAACGACTCGCATGCTACGGAGAAAGTACGGTAGACGGAGAAGAAATTTACCCCACACCAGTCAACGAAAAGAGGCTAAACCTGACACCAATATAATCGCAATGCGTCACGGGGTCACTAATATTCGCGGGAAAGCGGTCGACATCTGCTTCTAAGCTGCGCTGCTTTGGAAATACAACCATCGTGAAGCTAAGAGCTCGAGTGGAAAATGGCATCGGTGGAATTCACAACAGCGATGACCCCGCTGTCAGCGGCGTTGCCCACGTTGCCCGCAACTCCTCCAACATCGCTGAGCCCTCCGCTCCCAATACCTTCGCCAGCTTGAGCCACGCCACCGGCAATACTTCCAGCAAGTTCAGTGGCACCAGAGGCAGCACCCCCGATGATACCAGCCGGGGCTCTGGCCTGGAGAGGTATAGCGAGGGCTACCCCTACGACGGATAAGATGAAAAGCGTGTTGTTGACTTTGAGTTGCATCTTGGAACTATACACCAGAGTTAGTCGGGACGTTGTCATATCTTTCCGTCCACCTACGGATTGATATTCCTGGTAAAGTTTGCTTTCTCGGCTGTAAAGGAGGTATGAGATGGTTGAAACAAACTGTGTATGCGAAATTTAGACCTTACCTTGTGCTGCGTTGGGAGTCAAACTCTGCAGAATTCTTGCAAGCTCGTCCGGCTTTTATACTTGAGAGTAGTCCTACAGCAATCCGAAAATGGTCGCGACTAGTACGAGAAATCTCACCAAAACATCGACATCAAGTGGCGAACAGCTGTCGTGTGCTGTGTGGCATAACCATGCTCAACATATTGATTTAGAACGCGTTTCATTTGCTACAGTTGTATCTTCTGGGTACCGAAATCGAGGAAATTGAGGCGTACGACGGCGTGCTCCTGCTTCTAGAGCGAGTTTACTGACCATCAAGGGTTACTCGATATCCGGCGGTCTGAGATTGTGCTGCTTTAGGTAGTCTCGTTTGCAGGATGGCTGAGCATCAACTCATCGTTCATCCGCCTGATTTCATAAAGTATATTAGTGGCCGCCGGGTGGAGCGCTTGAAAAAACCAAGTCGATGCCTGGGAAGTCGTGACTCCCTGCATTGAACCTGAAGTCATGGACTTCGCCAACATTCATGGGGAGATTGTCAAGACAAGCATCGTGGGCAGTGCGCCGAAAGGACCAGCGTGACAATGAGAATGACGCTTCCACATTTGGCCATAAAGTTCCCTAAAGAGGGTCCTGCAACTTGTTCTTATGAACCCCCTGGCGTCCCTCCCAGACAATTTGCTGTAGTTCTCGCCCACTTACCCAACGAGGCCACCCACGGTTGACCAGTCGTACAGCCTATGGCCTGCATGCTAAGACCTCATCCAGGTCTAGTTTGCTGATATGGACGGAAGCGGTTAGTTGATTGGCTAGCGGTAGGTTAAATATTGGACATCAAATTCAAGCCTCACCTTCATAGTGTCAAAGAAAGGCGAACGCTATAGAAACTCAGTCCCCCTTTCCGCACCAGCGTAATGCTAGATGGACATCGAGTGGCCCTTACGAAACAGAAAGGTCAGTAGAACTTGAGGGTGTGTTTCCCCAGCCCACAGTCAGGTGAGAAATTCCGGGACACGATAAGCTTTTTCTAACTCTGACGGATCCGACGAACGTTGAACATCGACCAGGTCCATGTGGGTGGGACAGCGTCATGTCGTTGAAAACACCGAGCTTCTTGGGCAGTTAACGCGGAGTTATCCCGGAGGATACACGATCTTTGATGCCGGGAACGTAGAGCAGTCACGCTCAAGCGTTTGGGAGCCTCGACGCATCATTGGCCTAATTTTATTCGGACAAGACCTTACGGTTAGAGAAACGATCAAACCCTGCGAAGAAACTACTCACAAAGTGGAGCTGGACATTTGTACGATCCTAAAGGAAGTCTACAACAACACGGTGCGACTTGTATAAATAGTTACAGGAGACAAATCAGTATTGAAAGGAAATATAATATAGTAAACAGTCTAGATAAACATCTGGAGAGGATGCTTGTCGTAGACATTCTGACCCTCGCTGAGCTCGCCAAGGTCGGGATAGAAAGGAACCAACGCATCCTGTGCACCCAGATATAGAGCATTGTATACCCGCCAATAAACCTCCCGGACCTTCCTTGCGGGATGGAAGAGTCCTTGCAGTACGTAACTCAACAGAATACCGGGTCCCAGGGTTACCCTCATGGCCTCAACAGCATCCATAACCGCTCCAATAACGTGGGGTGATGTTTCGAAACAGTTTGGCCATACAAGGTTCATCAGATGCATCATCGAGTCTTCACAGCCGAGGCCCGCGACACCGAGAGCAAGATGTTTGACGATGGTGCTAGCAGTCTGTCGGTGGACGAGATCGCGGTCGGTGAGGGCATCTTCAAGCATCGTGACGACGGAATCGCAGTAGTACGCTGACTGCGGTCCGACATATTCGAATACAAATGAGAGCGCCTTCAAACAGCCGGTTCGAACATTCAGTTCGGCCGTGCGATATTCGTTGAGAATCGCAGGTATGCATGTGAAGGCTAGAGAAACTATGTTATTCATACATCGAACTTCACGTGAGGGAAAACTCACGGCCGCAAGTCTCAGCCACGATGCCGATGGCAACGGTCGTGCAAACACGACTCTGACGTTCTTGTACACGGAGATTCGTCAACAGAACGGAAAGCACGTCTTGAGGACCCAAACTCTTGGCAATGTAGCCAAATGAGTTTACAGCGGCGCGACGAATGCCTTTCTTGTGTGCCTTGAGCAGATCAAGCAATTCGAAGCATATTCTCATCCACTCCCGGGCAGGAACAAATTCAGCACCACGATCAGCTATGAATAACGGTCAGCAATGCGCGATAAGGAGGAGGTTGACGTACCGATGCGGCCAATCAAGTTGATTGAAGCTTCTTGCACCTTCTCGTGTCGATTACGAAGGATAGGAGTCATGCGGGGCACTAAGGAAACGCGACAGATGATCAGCTGCCGGGTAACATCAAAAGAACAATGGACGTACACAGATCTTTGACGGGTGGGTTCATCTGGGTCATACCAACAACGTTCGCGATAGCACCCTCAGCCGCGATGATACTTCCAAGAGTATCGGGGTATTCTTCACCAAGTTGCTCGAAGAGAACTAGCCCAAGCTTACTGAGCAGTTGGTCTTCCCCACATTGTTTGATGACGATGGCGAGACGAGTAGTCAAATCGGCAGCTTGTTGTCGGACCTTGGCGCTCTTGTTGTTCAAACGCCACAGGATAGTTGAAACGATTTGTGTTAAGTATGGCTTAACACGGATACCTACGCCACTGAAGTCAACAAGACGGTTTTGATTTACACCGCTAGGCACTCACCCAATGCGTTCACAACAGTACCGAAACCATCCAACATAACTTGATCTTCAGTTGTCTGCTCCTGGAAGGAGTAGATGATGCCGTCAACTAGCCTGACTTCTAGTCTTTCGTCGATATCGGATGCCCCAAGGGTGGCGACAACCTTCGTGATTGTCTCCATCACCATCTTCCGGTAGGGTTCGGCTTCGTCCTTTAGCTCATTTACGACGCGGCCGACAATCTCTGAGACTCCTGCCTTCTGCGCTAGTTCGACGGTGGTTTCCACAACCTGTTTGTAGTTTCGTCTATCCAGCGCCATTCGGCGTACCCAAAAGGCCCTGAAGAAGTCGGGGAGGATATCCTGCTTGATGTACTGCGCCGTTACACCTTCAGTCGCGGCACACTGCTTCACGACCTTCAAGACGATCTTCTTCATCTCTTCGTCCGATGTCTGGAATTCTCGAATGAGGATGACGGTGACTTCTTTAGTGTAATACGAGGCATATTCTGGATCCATAAGCGGGATGATGAAGCCGATAGCCTTCAAAAAGGCGGCTAGACCTTTGCCTCGATGTAAACGGATACCAAGCCAGAGTGGTTTGAGGACATTGTCGAAGGATTCTATACCGTACGGAGCAGCTGCTTCAGCAAGGGCGGCCAAACCCAAGGCCGTCATTGTCCTGACCTTTTGCTGCTCATCAGACAACCCATGGGCGATACAATCGACCAAGTTACGCAGATGAGGCAAAACAGCACAACCCATCATAATGGCTATTTGCTGCACGATACGTATCCCCGTGTGACGAGCCTGCCATGATTTTTTAGACCGGCATACGGCTTTGAGGAAAGGAAGGAGTGACGGTATACCAAGAGCAGAAGCCACCACCGAGAAGGCTCGAGCTGTAGTATTGCGAACGTACTCGTCGGCATGGTCGATGTCGGGACGCATGGTGGAGATCATATGCGCCAAGCCAGCAGCCTTGGACAAGTTGGAGATGATTTCTCGTCCCTCGACGCGAGCGTAGTAGTCTTCATCGATAAGTAAAGGTTCGATGACGACGAGAATCTTATGGACATAGGGACGAACCAAGTCATCAAGTTTGTATAGCACGCGATCAATGACTTTGACGAGCAAGTGGCGCTCTTGGTCCTCCAACGTGCGCTCCATGAGTAAGGGAAGGATCTTGTCGAACAAAGGGCCTGCACCGAATTCGCGAGCCTTATCAGTTATTTGACGTAGCGCCGTTTTCCGAACCGGTGGTGTGCCGTTCTTGATTTTGAGAAGCAGCCGCATGATCTTGCGCTCTTTCATCTCGTCAACGGTGAGTTCTGTCTCGTCTTCTTCCTTCAGAATCTTGGAGAAATACTCCGCATCTTCGGGTTTGAAGAATGCAAGATTTCCAACGCCTGGAATCTCGGTGGGCAATTCGGGAGCGAGTCCAGCGGCAGCAGCTATGGCGGCGGCGTCAGAGCTCTCTTGAATTTGAAAGCCTCCAACTTCGGTCACGGGAGTGGGTAGGAACTTGCGAGGGGCAACCAATGGAGCGTATCCTGGTGGTGGTGTGACAATGGAATAACCAGTTGAGGGAAGGACTGCATCGAGTTCTTCGTCTGAGAGATATCGGTTATGTTTGTCCTCTTGCATTAAACCAGGCGCGTTCATGATGATCTGCTGCATGGGCTGCTCTGCGCCATTTGTCGAAGGTGCTTGATCCCAACGCGAGCGTTTGGGGGTCTCTCCGACATTGACATCCGCAGGCGTCGCGTCCCACCGTGACCGACGCTTCTTGGGAGCCGAAGATTCAAGGGCTTCCTTCGACCATTCTCCAGTGTCCCGCCCATTGGGGTCGACGTTTTCATCAGTTGGTTCCTCAACATCCCAGCGACGTTTCCGCTTTGCACTGGCCCCCTCCTTCGACATAGCCAATTCCTTCGCTGCCATAATCTCCATCTCCACATCTTGAAGCTCAGAAGCAGGGGGCGTCTTGTCCAGATCCATCTTCAGCTTCCCTTCTTCTCTCTCTCTCCTCTCTTTCTCCTCGATCGCTCTTTTCACCCTGGCTTCCTCCTGCTCCAACCTCGCGAGCCTCATTGCATCCTTATAACCTCCCTCAACCTCTCCCCCATCTTCACCCTGGGCGAAAGCGTCGGCACTGTCGACTGCGACACGACCGAACCGTCTGTTGTGGTAGTCAGATTGGCGGGCAGCGATTTGCCGTTTTGAGGCGGTCTCAGCAAACGGGTCGACATCTTCTTCTTCCGCAAGGTCGGCGAATTCTTGCAGAATTTCCTTGGGTGCCGTAAAAGAATCCAACAAACGGCCAGGATTGGGAGAAGACATGAGAGTCAGTAATGAAGCCTGACGAGCAATTACCAGTCCCTTGACTAATGACTGACTCCTTTTCCACGCCATATGTTTGACGCCCAAATAGAGCCCCTCAGGGGCATCAGGGGCGGCAAATTTTAGGAACGCAATGTGTGGTTGGGTAAGAGCAATACAAAACAACCAATAACTACAGGTTCCTCTATATACATATGTGACTTTATATACCAGGTACAGAGTCATCTCTCATGCAGTAGATTTGTGACCCTTTCGTCAGCATGTCACTGGGATTCTCCTATTATTAGGCCGACTTGCACTGTTTTAGACGACACAATTGCAGAGTAGAGGTAAAGAAAGAAGAGAAGTGTACGAGGATACAAGATGCGTACAGGACGTGAAGTGGAAAATGGAAAAAGTAACAATATACAGGAGGAAGAAACTACTGGGTACAACAAAGAGTTCTTGGAGCTTGAAGTCTACAGTGCACGATGCTAATACTCATAATACTCGAAGGAATAAGCTGAAAAGAAAACCGGAATTTTGAGGTGATGGACATAAACAGTGTCACATCTCGTTATGATCAGGGACTTCGATGGCTTGCGGTGAAGCACCCTCTGGTGCTTTGGCGCTCTCTGTGTCTGAGGCATTATTGGCTTGATCCTCGGCATGACTGGTAGATTGTTGCGGGGGGTAGACTACCTTGTCTGGTGTGGGGACCAATGTGAGGTGGCTCAAACAGCAATCGTTCCCGGAGCCTAGTGCGATGACCTCGCCGTAGCCTGAGGTATTGGGATGTGGGTTCGTGTATATGGATTGATTTTGCGTAACAGTAGATTCGAGGGAGGACGTGCTGGGGGAGGAGATAGGGGAGGCGTGCGAGGATGCAGTGCAGACGGAATGCCCCTCATGAAATTGTCTTTGAAGCAACGTCATGTTTTTCATTAACTGGACTATCTCTTGATTCGTGATTATCAGTGCGTCGACCTACCTAGCAATTAGCATTTTAAAGTGTATTATGAAAACAGGATGTTTACTTTGAAATATTCCAGACAGTTGTTTAAATCATCTTTGATGATCTGAATTCGAACCAAATCAGACTTGCAGCATATGGTGCGTTTGAAGCGACTCCGGCGGGTAATTTCTTCAACGAAGGCCTGGACACCTATGACGATGCTGGGATCGAATAGAGAGTCAGGCAACCGCATTGAATAGCATAAACAGCTGAGCAAACTCACCTGTAAAGCTTCTTTAGGCTCGCATGCAACTCGTTGGATACTCTTTTCGAACGTTGATCTTTCCAAACCACTTCAAGCCGCGTCAATATTTCAGCAGCATGAATGATGAGACGTTTAAATTCATCTTGATTGTCCCGAACGGCCTAGTGTGGAGATGAGACAATATGGGAGCCACAGGAAACATCAAATCTAAGTACCTGGATAATATTAACAATTTGTAGCAACACGCCCGCCGCTTCTCTAACGTATGGGATTTGTGTCGCCGGGCCAACGGCTCGTAAAACGTTTAGAGCACCATCTAATCCATCGAGCACGACCCCTCCTTGACGCCTAGGTTGTGGACCTGGCGAAGGGGCCGGACGGACGGATGCTCGATCATGCGTTGCAGGAGGGGAATGTGCTCCTTTTCTAAACCGAGCCTGCATCGGCATCTTCGTCCTGGGGGTGAACTGCAGTCTGGAGGTAAGATATGATATAATCTTGGTCGCTTGTTGGACACATCTTATATTCACCTCAGGCGATTCTATCAGCGCGAAAGCATGCCTACTCTGATCGCCCTGCACCTCGAGCGTGGCTTCGTGCCTCGGGTCGGAGGAACTGAATTAAGCACATTTTTTCCCGCCGAGATCCTGGGACTAAATTTGGATAAACACTTCGTCTGCTTTCACGCATCCGTGCCAATAACTGCGCTGTCGGTGTTATCTGATCCAGAGTCAAGCGAACTACACCGCCGTCTGACTCGAAAGTAAGCATCCGCCATGTCCTGCCTATATGAACGCCTTTGCCTGTCATTGAGGGAACAATGCAGGCGACGAAACACCAAAAACACTCACCACTGCCTGCTTCATGCGTTCACTGCGTGTATCACCATTGGCATCAACTCTAAGCGCCAACACATGCCCAGTAACTGACGCTCAATTAGCTCTCAAATATCTTGAACCAGCTCTGTCATAGTATCGCATGTGCAGTGGCGGCGCAGCAGTCCGTGAAACAGAACAGCTAATCAACTTGTCAGTGTTGCGTGGATTGCGGCACTGGCTACAGCTTCCTCACGGTCGCCTGCCACTATAGATCGGGAGGTTCAGATACGGGCACTTACCAGCATGGAATAGGCATGATAGCGTCCCGCTACTCTGCAATACTCGCCACCCATCGAGTCGGAAGCAAAGTTCGCCCTACATCGTATATGGCAAATCCCGAAAGATGTCTTAGGGATGTTTTCACATCCCTCACAAATAGCTGTAGAGGTAATTCCAGTTGGAATATCGCAGTAGCCCGAGCGCTCGTTGCAATTGGACGAAGGTACTTATTTCGGTTTGATTCAAGCCAATTGATTGCAGTTTGAGTGAGACGAAGTGACATGTGACATGCAAGTGACTGGGCCCCTGAACCTGAGCAGGGGTCAATCAAGGTCAATCACGCGGTGGCAAAATTTCTGTTTTAATCTTGCACAGACGATAGCTCTATTTTTGAGTAGGCATAAGGTTGAACCCTACTCTACAAGCTATGCGTGTATGTGTTGATGATGGTCACTGATTTTCTGCATGAATTATGATCATATTCATTCCGGAACGTTTCGCACGTGATCGCCCATCAGGCATAGCATACCTGCTGTTGCTGAACCCACCGTTTGTAGAGAACGACCGTGAGTGACTTCCGCGTCGCCATGGTCTACCACAATCTGAAGGGTAAGTGACTATGATGCTGTAGTGCTTGTGCTGAACCTCCTTCCTAGCCCTTATCAAGGGTATCCGAGCATGCAAGGTCAGCGATTGAAACAGTCACCTCGTGAACTTCGAACTTAACATTTTCTATAGACCGTGGCAGACGAACGCGCTCTGATACAGCAAGAATCTGCGGCAATACGAGCTTCCTTTCGCGAAGAGGACTCGTTTGCGCGACATAACAACATCGCAAAGCTACTATACATCCACATGCTCGGATCGCCAGCCCATTTCGGTCAAATAGAATGCCTGAAGCTTGTCGCTAGTCCAAGATTCTCGGATAAACGGCTGGGATACCTGGGGATTATGCTGCTGCTGGATGAGAATCAAGAAACCCTTATGCTGGTAACGAATTCACTCAAAAAGTATGTATGTGTCATCTTTGCCCTCGTGGATCAGATTGAACGCTTCAGCGCAGTGATATGAACCACTCTAACATGTATGCCGTCGGACTGGCACTGTGTACTTTTGCGAATATAGCATCGGAGGAAATGTCTCGGGATCTGGTGAATGAGATCGAAAAGCTGCTGGGATCGAGTAACGCGTATATCCGCAAGAAGGTACGCAGTACACTGTCTGGTTGATACAAGTGCTCATACTCGCAATAGTCTGCGCTCTGTGCACTGCGTGTCATCAAGAAAGTCCCAGAGCTCACTGATCACTTTGTCGAAAAATCAAAGAACCTGCTCACCGATCGCAACCATGGCGTCCTGCTCACGGCTATCACACTCATCACAGAGATGTGCCAAATCTCCCCGTCTGTTCTGGATGCATTCCGAAACGTGGGTCGCGTGCACTGGGGTTTTCGTGTCATCTAATCCGTGTATAGGCCGTTCCATTGCTCGTGCGCAACTTGAAGTCTCTGGTAACGACGGGATATAGTCCAGAACACGACGTTTCGGGTATCACCGATCCATTCCTCCAGGTCAAGATTCTCCGTCTTCTGCGCATGCTGGGCAGAGGCGACGAACGTGCCAGCGAGACGATGAATGATATCCTAGCTCAAGTAGCCACGAATACAGACTCGACAAAGAACGTTGGGAACTCTATACTCTACGAGACCGTGTTGACCGTTCTGGAGATTGAGGCCGATACTGGGTTGCGAGTCATGGCGATCAATATCCTTGGAAAGTTCTTAGGCAATCGGGACAACAATATACGGTATGTGGTTCCGTTTATTGACAGACGTCGCCTTTCATCATTTTCTCAAGTTATGTCGCACTTAATACGCTAAACAAAGTGGTCTCGATGGACACAAGCGCAGTACAACGACATCGAAACATCATCCTCGACTGTCTCCGCGATGGAGATATATCTATACGACGCCGTGCCCTGGAGTTGTCTTATGCTTTGATCAATGAGCAAAACGTGCGGGTGCTGATCCGGGAATTGCTTGCCTTCCTCGAAGTCGCGGACGACGAGTTCAAGCTGGGCATGACGACGCAGATATCGCTGGCGGCAGAGAAGTTCGCTCCTAACAAACGATGGCATATCGACACTGTCTTGCGCGTCCTCAAACTTGTTAGTTCACTCGCCTCCCTTCCCAGAAATGTCCTAATGTGTTTTAGGCTGGCAATTTTGTCCGCGAAGAGATTTTGTCGGCTTTCATTCGCTTAGTGGCACATACTCCAGAGCTACAGGCTTACACGGCGTCAAAACTGTACACGGCTCTCCAAGCGGATATTTCGCAGGAGTCATTGACATTGGCCGCTACGTGGGTTATTGGGGAATATAGCGACATCCTGTTAGAAGGCGGTCTTGTCGATGAAGACCACCCCAAGCAAGTGCGTAACTGGTTTCACTGCATCTATGCATGTGTCTTGATGACTGAGCTGCCTAGATCTCGGACAAAGACGTGGTTGACCTTATTCTCTCGACCCTGGACTCTCCCTATTCTAATTATCTCATTCGCCAATTCGCCCTCGCTTCTTTGACCAAGATTTCCGCCAGGCATACAGCCTCCCAACTTCAACAGGACCGCGTAGCAGAATTGCTTGCTAAGTATACTGCAAGTCCTGAGCTGGAACTCCAACAGCGAGCGGTGGAGTTTGCGAGTTTGTTCACACTGGGCCCCATTCGCGAAGGTGTCTTGGAAAGAATGCCACCGCCAGAGTTGAAGGCTACTGTAATGGGCGTTGGTGAGTAACTCATCCCGACGTTGACCATCTTCTACTAAACACAGCGTTGTGATCAGTGAGTGAGAACAAACCTGTTGGTTCCACGAAAGTCGGGAAAGATGTAAGTTGTTTAGACTCACGACAATACTATCCTTCATTCAACTTCGCCGGCTTCTTAGGTCGATCTATTGGGCGATGACACTTTAACGACGTCAGGACCAGCAGCAAATGGTCAAGCCGCTGCCGCGGCTCAGAACAACCAAGACCTACTGGCCGAGATCTTCGGTTCATCGTCAACATCTTCGGCCCCAATGACAAGTACACCTACGCCGGCATCGTCAAAGAGCACGGTGGATGATATCCTTGGTTTGTTCGGCTCTACACCGGCTCCCTCTGCTCCTGCTCCTGCGCCAGCCGCGTCACTCTTCTCGCAGACAACTGCTGCTTCACCACCATTGTCAAACATATCACAGGCCACGCCAATTTCTGTTCCACCGCAGCCACCAGCGCCTCGGTTGACGGCTTATACCGCATACGATAAGAATGAACTTCAGATAACACTGACTCCTCAGACGTCGGCGGCGAAACCGGGCATGGTGATGATACTCGCGAAGTTCCAAGTGTCAGGTTCTAATGTTGTTACGAATATGAATTTCCAAGCTGCTGTTCCCAAAGTACGCGCCGTCCTTTCTCCGTTTCGCTAGACTGAGAACTAACTGCTTTTGTGGTGTTAGTCGCAACAACTCCAGATGTTACCCATGTCGAATACGACTATAAACCCAGGTGTTCTAGAAACGCAACAGATGCGCGTAATTGCGCCGGTAGGAGTGCGTATGATTTCGCCATTGTTTCCTCGATTTTCCGACCTTGTTCTGACATTGTGGATCTGGTAGAGCAACATCAGGCTGCGCCTGCGTGTATCATTTACCATCGCTGGTCAAGCTGTTCAAGACCAAATCGATTTCTCAGGATTCCCTCCTGGGTTAACTAGTGGAACATAATTCATAGTCTCTTCATTTGTTGTCTGTTACTTCCTCGTCTTATAACATAAATGGTCTCGCCGGCAAAGCTCGCTGCTACAGACGTCGTTCCCACGGTCAGTATCAAACTGCTGGTCAGGATTTTGGTCTCCTCTTCTCCGACAACCATGAACGACCTTCAAATGACTTTTCACTTCCAATCACTAAAACTAGGCTATTCACTAAATCACTGGATGCAAGCTATCCGACATTTGTTTTTGTTGATCCATGCATTACTTCCACAAATAGAGAACCACTTCACTCTGCTGCCACCAACCACTACACGTGCGAGAAGCTATAATTTCCGGAATTCTATCTCTCTTACGATAAGACCATCTCCTCCTCGACGTACCTTTGCTCATCCCATCTTTGCCTACCCCTGAACTGCGAAAGAACATGCCCGTTTGTGTGTTCTACCTAGGAAACCAATGCAAGTTCGGGGACAAGTGTAACTACTCCCATGATGTCGAGCCACTAGCAAGTGTGCAGTGCAAGCATTTCATTCGAGGAAACTGTCTCTTTGGGACGCGTTGCAGGGATCGCCACTCGCGGCCCAGCGACTTGCAGTCGAACCGCGAACACGCGCCCAGTTCGAATGGCAAGGTTCCGCGAATTCCTTGCAAGTATTTCGCTCTAGGTCGATGCAAGAGCGGAGATACATGTCTGTACGCTCACGAGGCTCCTGGTACGCTTGTTCTTTGTGATCGAGGCGTTGACATTGATTTATAGCCTTGTAAAGCCACCTTCCCTCAGCCTATATCGACTCAGTCTCACGACACGCTCGAGGGACGTGTTTGTGAATTTTTCGGGCAAGGACACTGCAGCCAAGGTTCAGAATGTCCATTTCTCCATGTCCCCGGAGCCAATGGTACGGACTCCACCCCGAACTCAGTCCCCGCTTCCAACGTCGAAGGCGACACCGATGTACTTACACAAGCAGACGAATCTTCTGCCGGACTAACAGAAGAACCCCTGCGTAAACCAAAGGTTATTCCTGATACGCAGACCCTTCTGTGCAAATACTTCGCACAAGGGCTTTGTAAACATGGGGACAACTGCCAATTTCGGCACGGAGGTGTCCAGTTCTTCACTAATTCCTCCTCGTCCAGTCCATTCGTAGCTACAACTACACGGTCAACCGAAAATTCGGACGACGGAGGATGGACACGTCGACCAATTGTACAATGCAAGTTCTATGCGGAGGGTAATTGTATCCGCGGCGACGCCTGCTCATTCTTGCATGGGGCTCATTCCAAAAACTATACGAACGCACCTAGGCATTGGTCAGAGGACACGAACTCCGGGGTCGGCGCGAACCATTGGGCGTACAACGCTGATGCGAGTATCGAAGAACAAGAAACTGATGCTGCTGGCCAGGCAGTTGGCTGGGGTGATAGCTGGGGTGATAACAATGTTGTCAGCACTCCGACAGCAGAAACAGGTGGTGATACTCACTGGGCGTCCTCGGGAGGTAATGCTGACGACGCGAATGATGCTGCGGCACTTGGTTGGGGAGATAGCTGGGGGGATGGCAATGGCAATGGCAACCTACCCGGTGATAGCAGACTAGACCAGGATTCGACGAAGAACGACATAGATGCCACAGCACTTGGATGGGGAGAGAGCTGGGGGAGCAGTGATGCTAACGATAGTCTACCAAGCGGCGCAGACCAGGGATGGACGAGCAACGACGCTCCCAGCGCGGCATCTGGGTGGGGGGATAGTTGGGGAGATTCCAACCGCGGCAACCACTCAGGCAGTAGCAACACAAGCGGAGACTCCAAAAATAAGGAAGCGTTAGATGGGGCGCCTGGTTGGGGTGATGTCGATGCAAATAACAGCTGGGGCACAATTTCGAACAAGTACGGCGTGGACTTGACCGCGTCGGATGTCAAAGGCACGCGAAAGTGCGGCAATTCCGAGGGATCCTCAAGCAAACTCGACAAACCCTATCGGCAGGGCAAGTCCTCGAAGACCCTTGAGCGAACCAGCAGTAACAGTAATGATGAAGCCCGTACAATGCCCTCTACTCCTCGGGAGGTTTGCAAGCTTTACCTCAAAGGAACATGCACTCTTGGGGCAAAGTGCCAAATGTCTCATGACCGGCAGCATCCTCGCCTTTGTCGTTACGGCTCGCAAGCAGAGTGTCTGCGAGGCCGTAAGTGCTATTTTATGCACGAATCTGATGCAACCGCCCCTTTGTCGAAGAGCCTAAATCATGGAGGGCAAGGCGCTGTCGGAAAGATACAAGCGAAATCACCAGCACGAGACCCACTTCCTCATTTCAGTCGGAAACCACCTTGGACGTACACGCTAAAGCCCGAGGATCCCAACGCCGCTAAGTTTGATGATGCTCCCGCTACGGAGAGTTCAAGTAGCTCTGGAAGCGGAAATCTTCCTACCAAGCATTCCACCCCCATCGTGTCTCCTTTCGTCCACCCTCCCGGACTACCTGCCGCTCCGGTTGCTTCGCGTTCGCACGTGCCCCATCCATGCGAATATCCACTGCCAGTCTCGCCGTTATTGCTCTCACCACATCTAGTTTCATTGCCTCTGTCCCCATTGTTGCCTTGTGACATCCCGCTCCCTCCCTCGCCGCTATCACCACTTCTTATCCCACTTCCACTTTCTCCCATCACCCCTCCTGGTCTACCCTACCTACCTTCCCCTCGGTCTATCCCTTTGCCAACGAGCCCTCTTCTGAACTCAGTATGTGACTCACTTGACAGTCGTCCGGATGCGGAGCGACCTCAGGGAAGCCCCGGGCACGTTACCGAGGAGACGAGTTCGTCCTCTAACCTCGTCATGACTCCGTGTCACTATTTCAAGCAAGGCTATTGCCGATCTGAAGATAGATGTCGCTTTCTCCATACCCTCGAGGAAGGCTTCGACGAGGTCGCTCACATACCTGCTGAACGAAGGGAAAATGATGAGTTTGATAACCAGGTCAGTATCAGCCGCACTCCCAAGTTCCCAGTGCGTTGAAGTTCACGACGATCATGTAGCCGCCCGAGCCTCAGGACGATCCCATGCAGCTTCCGGAAGCTGACCCTATTTTCCTGGAGATGGTGAGCATCGCCGTCACACGTTATGATTCTTGCTTCAACATCTTCGTACCGTAATTAGGATACGGAACCCACTTCTACTATGCGCTCCTTCTTTAGCGCGAGTATTCGATTCAGTCATCGGGGTCAACCGTCACATATCGTTACTGCGTTTGAATCATCTAGGATCCTTCTCGCCAATCTACCCTTTCATATAACGAGAGACGACGTAGAACGCTTGGTGTCTCAGTTCGGGGTTATCAAGGGCCTCATGATGCTTGAGCCTACTCCTGATGCTGTTGCCGCGCTGGTGGAGTTCAATCACTCCGAAGAGGCCGAACGTGCTGCAGCACAACTAGACAACCTGGCATATCAAGGCAGATCTCTTTCCGCTCGCCAAGATCGTCGAGGTTTCCTTCAAAACGTTGGGACCGCACATGGTGGCTATCATGTTCGCTTGTCATGGAACGCCCCTAGTCGGGTGGCTTGGGCCTTTTACAATAGCATAACGCTGGCAAAAACCGAAGCTGCGAAGTTAGGTACCATACGCTTTGACAGCCGCCAGATCAAAGCGACCTTCGAGCGGCCGAGGAAGAACCAGACCTCCGCGTACGCCGTAAAGATCACCGGCCTACCCCTAAATACAGATAGACGACGGCTCCAGGAATTCTGCGTCGGCTCGACTTCGGTCACTATTGGGGAACCAACCTACGTTGATGACTCTCAAGGTCCAATACGTGAACTACTGGCCAGACATGGCACTCTTCATTCACTAGAACCCGTTCCATTAGACAAGGAAAACACCAAAGTTGTTGCCATCGCTCAATTTTTGTTGGCGGAGGCGGCTGCCTCTGCCGCCTTCAACTTGAACGGTCTAACGCCAGATTCCATCGGCCACAACATACTCTCAGCTCAACATATTCATCTTTCGGCCTATACCATCCCACGGCGGGAGTATGTTGCCATCAAGAACGAGTTCGATGCAATCAAAGCTGGATTGGGAGAAAGCTGCAGGATACAATGTTGTGATCATATAGACCCTCTCCGTCTCTACGTGTACAGTGAAGACGTCAATGCCTACACGTTAGCCAAGGTTCAGATCGAAAGGCTGGTGCTCGGGGACCTCTTGGTTTCCTCCAACAATACACAACGCTGGGAACCATACTTGGAGACGCCGCGTGGGATGAAGCAGTTAGAGACCCTGAATTCCGATGCTCCGTTTTTTATTCGCGTGGACGCTTTGAAGAAGCAAATCCGTGTCTTGGGCGGCTCCGCCGACCGCGAAAAAGCCAAGAAGCTAGTCAATTCGCTTTTCTCTACGCTAAGAAAATCTCGCCATCGACTTCCCCTTCCTCGCGATGTAATTGCGCCATTGCTTGCTGGAGAGCTTCAATCATTGAAGGAACTATTCACCATCAACAACATCATTTTGGATGTTACCGAGTTGGTGTTAATCGCTTGGGGGAAATCGGAGACCATCGACAATATTCGGCGCGTTATACGAAGACTAGAAGCATCCACCTCACCCATTAATTCACGCCCCCACGATAGGGTTGTCTGTCCAACCTGCTGGAGACCCCCCGTGGATGCGATCACAATTCCCTGCGGCCATACTTATTGCAAAAGTTGCCTCCACTACCTAATCCTAGCTACTGGTGGTTCGTTGGAGGGAGCTCGTTGTATTGGTCAAGTCTTGCAAGGTGATGAAGGTGGGGAGGCGGCCTTCTGTCACGGAGATGTGCCATACTCTGCTCTTCGAACGATTCTTGCGCCAGACGAAGAAAGCACCCTCCTCAACGCCGCCTTCGCTGCCTTCGTTCGCAATGCTACCAATGGGCTGCACTTCTGCCCCTCCCCAGGGTGTGAAGTTGTTTATCGAAAGAGGGAATCTGGCATCGTGATAGCATGCCCATCTTGCTTGTCACGTATATGCCCTTCGTGCGAGACATTCTACCACGAAGGTATCTCCTGTCAGCAGTTTTTAGCTGTTTCTTCCCACTTGTAATGATACAAATATCGTGGGGGTCCACATACGGTCGGTAACTGCATCATCTGATTCAAAGATATCTTCACATACGATACCACTGCGCTGTTTGCTCTGAAACCACGAGCCCATGAATACCAATTGCACAGCTATGTACATTGCGTCGTTGCTATACAGTACTATACATGAATTGGATGATGGATAAGAATTCACTCCCCTTGGTCAGTAGACCATAACCTTCAATGTTCACAGAGGGAATATCCCCCATCCCTCCAGAACTGTGAAAACAAAGTCAGAAAACCAAGACGCTGGAATATCAGTGGCAAGTCTCGAACTCACTCGATTTTCCTGGTGATTTTGCGGCTTAATTTTCCTATCTTCCATCAAATCCCTCCTTCGCTTCTCTGCCTCCTCTCTGCTGATCGTACCCTCCGTCGCCATCTGAACTATGTAATTGCGCAATTCCCCAGGGATCTCCTTCCCTATGCGGTGTTTGAAGGAAAGTGTGAGCAGCGAGTGCAGAGTCTTGATATTGCAATCGCGCGCCTGCCAAGGCACGTCTGCTGAAGTCAGGACGTTCATGTCCTTCAGACCACGCGTTACGTAGCCGTGATAGAAGACGAGATCAAGGCCGGGTCGATCTGATTGATTTTCGTCGACCAAGAAGAAGCATAACTGACCATCCAAGCACAATCAACATTGACTAGCCGGGAGATATGAAAATACCACCCACAATTTTCCTGACTGCAGGAGACGCGGAGGAGTCGGTAGAAGAGTGAGATATCCCAGCGACCTTGTGCTAGAGATCGCGTTAATAACGGGGCGTCAGGCATGAGGGACGTGGATCAACGAACTTGAATCCAATTAGGGAAGGTGATAATTCGCCCTGTGGGTTGACTCGACCTAGAGGACACCCCGGTCGCGCGTACAGTGCCGAGTTCAATGAAGGTCGCTAGATCAGTGGTATAACGCGGTACTGGCGTTCCGCTTGCGTTATAGTCCGTATGTTCCCAATCGCTAGGGTAGTCCTGCTCGTAATCTCGATCATAATCCTCTTCTTCTTCCTCGTCCTTGTCTCCCTCTTCGCGAAAGTGGACCTCAAAGTTCTGATCATTAAAGAAATTACAGTTGCCAACCGATTAGCTTTCCATCTAGTATGTACGTTAGCGCGGATCCACGGACCTCGTGCCTATAATCCTCTGTGTTTGGAAAGTCTGTTTCAGCTCGTCGACGTCGGAAGCTTAGCCCCTGATCATTGATGGAGGAGTCGGCTTCGTAATAATATATCGCGGAGGCCACGATTTGTTCGTGGGGCTGCGAAGATATGTAAGGAATCCATTCTCCTGCTTTGATATGGTGCACTGCGTACCATCCCCTCCATATGCCAGGTCCCGGTGTATTCCTTACCAGGTTGTAACACATAGTTCGCAGCCTGCAATGAACATCGTTAACAAAGCCAAGACGTTCTTTGCAGCACCAACAAGCCGCGGACCTTCACAATCACTTTCAAGTCTCTGCCTCTGTATTTCTCGGGCACAGCAGCGACAGAATCGTCCAGCGAGTAGAACTCCGATGCGTGCTCGAGTTCGCGAATCTGCTGCTCAGTGAATTTGGCGCGGCGCTTTGCCTCCGTCTCTTCTTCGGCTTTCTTGTCTTTTGCTTGAGATTCGAGGAGGGCAAGCCAGGCTTCGCGAGTAGTGCTCTGCCGCGCTTCGCTGCGCTCCATCCACCGTTTCTCTATAATATATTTGTTTAGTCATTGCACCGAGAAACGGTTACAGGACCCGGATTTACCGGAAGCCGTCTCCTCGTACTCAAATTTCCACTCTATCGTGCGTTCCAACTGCGGAAGCACGGCCAGAAACACCTTTTCGATGACCCGGTAGAGATGCGGATATCTCTCGCGCGGGCCCAACCCGTTGATGTACGATTCGATGCGAACATCCGTGCCATCGTCAGAGATACGGAAGATGGAGGGGATCCAGGAGAAGCGGGAGGAGAAGGTGAAGTTGTAGAGGGCGCTCTGCTGTGTTACGAAGTGCCCGTCCTTCAGGGGAGGGAGGGGGACGCCTGGGTTGACAGGCGAGATGTCGCCCACGTACGGGTCTGCGTCACGGCGTAGCTGCATCAGCGGCAGCATAATACACTGAAGGGGATGGAACGTACATAGAGAAGGGTGGATTAGATCTTGTACCTTCAACCATGTACATAAGTGAAGATATGCAGTCTACGAGGTCTGCACGAACTTTACCCCCGCTTCCGGGGTGGATATCTTTAGGCTCCGTTCTCGCGATGAGATCTAACTCATGCACAAGCTAAAGGATCTCCGGTAAGCATATAGAATCAGGACCTCGGTTGAAACACGGTTACAGACCTCAGAGTGCAGCGATTTCGGAACCAGATCATCGGTCACGAAGACCCCAAGCTTTTCTTTGAGCTCAACGGGTTGCGTGACGGAGTACTTGGATCTCCTCGCAAACTTGACTGTATTGGTGACATCCCTGTCTATCTTACCAAAAGGGATCTCTCTCTGGCCCTCCACTGCACGAACACTTGGTTGCAACAACTGCGATGCATAGTCCAGGGCTACGATGCGACTTGCCTCGGCCTTGAGATCACTGCAAAGCAAACGTCTCCATTCAGCCCGCAGAGGTCACTACGAATAGTCATGTGCTCGTTCACCGTAGTGCTTGTACAACTGGGAGTTTGACATCGTTGATTCCCTGCTCGTCATCTAGCAATTGCGCCTCCATCGCCCACTTGACTGCGAGGCCTTTGGATTCATCGAGCAGCTTGAATGGCCAACCGGGTTTCTGCCTGATCGCATCGCAGAACTTCGCGATATCCTCGTTGACATCGTCTAGGAGGGAGAACGGGCGAACCATGTTACTTCAACCGTGTAAAATGGTGGATAGGGGTATATGGGTATATGTCCCGACGACATGCGGCGTGCATTGCTTCCGCTTCCACACCTCCTCATCCCTGTGATGAATCGCTGATAACCTCTATAGGATGCGCTTTACCTAACCCCAATGATAGCGTGCCTGTCGCGGCTTGCCTACGCTACATAAGGATGCCCAGCTCACTCACTGTTGCGGCATATCTCAGCGATGCCCTTGTCCATCGGATGGCAGCTGCTAGCAAGAAGCTTCCTCCTCGTCGTAGGCGCCGCTTCCGTGCAACGAGCCCTCACGCCACCCAACCCGCGTATCGCTAAAGAGGATGTAGTGAAGGGGGACCCCGCCGATAGAGGATATCGATACAGGGCTTACTTTGATATGGTTCGTCGAATGCTTGCGTGATTCTGGGTATTCTGACCACCTGTTACAGACTACCATCGCATTACTCTCCATCTTGGATATCGCAAGAAACTTCATCGCGTATCACGACTTCACGTCGGTGTCGAACTTTCTCTGCCTACCGCAGACTACGATAGCCCCTGCTCTACACCCCACGTTAGTCGCTGGCACCTTAATCTGCGCCGCAGCAGGTGCGCTCCGCGTCTGGTGTTTCGTAGCTCTGGGACCGTATTTCGACTTTCAACTCAACATCAAGGAGGATCACAAACTCGTCACGCAAGGCCCTTACGCTTACGTCCGGCATCCATCGTACACGGCCAACTACGCGCTGTTCTTGGGCGGATCCATGATCATGCTCTCGCCGGGCCATTGGTTCAGAGTGTGCGGGATATGGAACTTTCCGATCGTGTTGATGCCAATCTGGTGGCATTTCGAGATTGTCTATATGACTTTCATGTTGTCAGGGAGAGCGAAGGTGGAGGACGAATTACTGAGAAAGAAGTTTGACAAGCAGTGGGATTCATATAGCCAAAGAGTTCCCCACCGATTTATTCCAGGGATATTCTGAGCGAGTACGGATTACTTGAAGACGTGTAATATGAAATGAATGCGAAGGGAAAATTGCGGAGGCTCTCATGATGTACAGGTGGGTAGACAGCCCTATGATTCAACTTTCGTTAAGTTACGGTGCAGTTCCGGCTTAACGAGGACGACGCGATCAAGGAGTTTCTTAACCACTTTATCCTTGTTCTGATTGTAAGAGTCAGTGATCTGCTGGAGCTTGACCTCTGTTTCCTTGTCCACCGCGCTTTGTGCACTGGAAGTGATTCCGGCGTGCTGGTTCCGTGTATCAGCTACGGTCTACGATGAGCGGAAGATCCACGCACCGATGATTCGACGGCCTTGAACTCCTCCTCCTTGACCTTCTTATACTCGTCTATCTCCTTGCTGGCCTCCGTACGCGCGTCCTTTAGCTTCTGTACTCGATCTAGCAATAAGATTCAGAAATGCCGGTCTGTAGTCGGATGCTGCGGCATACATTGGCGGGCTTGTTGGACGATCTTAGCAGCCTCTTTCTCTGCCTCTAGAAGAGTCTGAATTCCTTGAGAGTGTTGTGCGGCCTGTCCGACACGATGAGCCTCAGTCAACAGCTCGGGCGCGAAAGTGTTACCATGGTGGATGGTGGAAAGAGGGGAAGAGAGGTTTCAAACTCCGACTGACTCTACCAGTCTTGCTCCCAGTTTCTTGTGTTTTGAGAGCGCGACGGTGCTCATGGCGAGCTCAGCAGTTGTCGACCCTCTGCAGACGCTTCAGGCAGCACTGACAGTGCAGGCAAACTCCAAGGAACAAGCAGACATCCTCGATTCGCTGAGGGAATACCTCGAAGCCCAACCAGCTCTAATACCAGTCCTCGCCGGTACTCTCGTTGGCCAGGTCGTGAACAGCGGGGACTCTCTTCTCAAGTCATGGGTATTCAATTTGCTGCATTTTGCCATATGCAGGTCCGCTTTGTCGCAGGATGTGAGGACCACTCGTGAGTCACCCTCGTTCTTGTCGCGACAGTTTCCATTGATGGCTTTACGCGTATAGTGTCGTCGCAGTCGCTGGATTCGTTAGCTCAGCTGCTCGGTGACCCCAATCCCGCATTGGTCAAAATTGCAATACAGACTCTCACCACAGTCTACCCGTTGCTGTTCCGTCTTTTGTGAGTCCGTTGCCTTGTAATAATGGTCTGTCTTGTGACCGACGTGCAATGTAGATGCACCACCCGGAGCAATCCTGCTGCATGGGAGACACTCACGCGGTGCAAGGTCCGGATACTGGAGTTTATATGGAGTCCTACTCCTACAGCGGGTATGAGGCTGTCGGCAATGAAGTTCATGCAACGGGTGATCTTAGTTCAAACGCGCGGTGTGTCTGACCCTAGGGTAGTTCCCTCTAGCTTACCTTCAAGTGTCACTCGTAATATTGAATTTGATATAATTTTCCCCAGCTGCAAAATAAGAACGATCCGAATATCTCTTTCTGCCCTGCCGACCACCCTTTCCTTTCAGTGCCGACGCTGGAACAGGAGGGTCAGAGATTATTTGATGGTGTTGTGAACATCTTCATGACAAGCCAGTGAGTTTGATTTCCTCTACTCTCTAGAAATAGCGATTTATGAGCAACTATGACCTTAAGGAATGTCGACCTCCTGACCGCGGTGCTTAACAGCTGGTCGAACTTTGTGAAGCTGAGGCCATTACATGCTCCGAAGGTGATCGCCACTCTCAAGCAGTGGTCACCAGACATCCTTAAAGGCCAGTCGGCTAACAGCATCAAGAGTGTGGAGAAGGCGATTCGCATTTTTCTCATACATATCTCCCGGTCAGTTCGGCTTTCGTATTGTCTGGTGCAATAACTTACATTTGCAAAAGGATCCCTGCGTATGCTCAGTATGGTGCGATTATTGGCGAAGTCCTCACCGTGCAAGGCGCTCGAATGGATGCTGCGGCTGCAGAGGAGAGGAAACGAAAGGCCGCCGCCGCCGAATCTCGAAAGCGAGCCACATCAGCTTCTGCTGAACGTCCGCCAGAAGCCAAACGCGCCAAGCTCGAGCCAGAAGAAGCTCCACTCGCGGCGACCCCATCCTCTTCATCAACAGCTCCATCCCCACTAGCCAGCTTCGACTTCACTACCCTTCCCGCATCCCTCATTACGGATCTCATTGTTGCAAACCTGGACGCTTTCACGGAAGCGGCTCTTGTAGATTTGATTCAGAACTATCGTACGACCAATAACATTGGGGCCGAATCGAAAGTTGCGGGTCCTTCGAAAAGCACCCCTCCGCCCGCACCTCCGGCCACCGTCAAGTCTTCTGTACCCTCTTCCTCCCCGTTGTCCGTCCCCGCTGTCGTCCTGCAGAATGAACCAGCCGCAGTGTCAACACCACCACCAGTGGTCGTTAAAGAAGAACCCATCGATCCCATGCAGATGGACATCGACCAAGACGAGATTGAATACGAACCGGAACAGCTCAACCTTGAGGTACGTTGTTCGTGTATGCTGGTAAGTTTATTCTAACCACGGCTTTATCTTAGCTATCTGGAGACGTACCGCAAGCGGCGGCGGCGACCCCTGGTGCGGGCGTTAGCCCAGAGAGCCTCGATCTACAACTTGTAGAATTCAAACTTCCGCCTCCGAAGGATCTTGACGAAGAGGAACGGATAACGCTACTACGCGTTGGGGTTTCACGCATATGGACTAGTGCTGAGGAGGCCAGACAAGGCGCTGACGTCACTCATGCAGACCCAGCACAAGATATGTGGATGCTTTTGATCATACGGATGATAACGCGGGCTGCGGAACAACCTGACGATGGCGCGCAGCTAGACATTGAAGCCAAGGCAGAAGAGGATTCTGCAGTAGCGACGCTGGAGTCACGGCATGATCGACTTCGACAGATTCTGTGCGATTATATCATGGCGGACTTTCCCTCGAGGCAAGTCATCAATAATTACGCAGTGTCTTCGCGTCTCACATTTCCATAGAATTCGTCTGGCAACTACATGGATGAATGAAGAATGGTATAATGATCGAATACGCAGCGCCAAAGATCATTCCTGGGTGAGCAGCGTCCCACCCTGCCTCACATACATTAACAAATAATCCCACTTCAGCGGCCCAATTACGACATCTGGTTGCACCAGATCGTCGTATCCTATCAAACACTGCTGGACGGCAAAGATAGGACATTTGGGCGATTCCTATTGGACTTGCCCATGATTCCCTCAGATGTCCTGAATCTGCTTCGTGACCAATGTCTAGACAATGAGAGGTAATCATTCCATTTCTGCGTCCTTTCACGCTACTCATGCTTCACAAGCCCTGAGCGAATGCAAGTTGGCTTTACGACGCTTCGTGGATTCGTCATACAGCGACCTTCTCTGCGCGGCGAAGCTCTGAATGCGTTGCTCGAGCTTACCACACACCCAGGTTCGTGACTATCTCTGAATATTTGCATAGCTCACCTACGACCTTGTTTAGAGAAGAAGATTCGTGGCGCCGCAATCAACACAGTGAAGATATGGGTGCCAAATTCACAACCTATGGACACCATGATCCGCGAATTTGCATTGCAGATGCTGCGAAGGCTCCAGCTCCAGCCGTCAAAACCGGCGGAAACGACGAAGTCGGCCGATGGGGACGAGAAGATGGAAGATGGTCAACTCCCATTGGAGGACTTGGTTCAAACACCATTTTTACCAGAGAAGGTGGAACTCCCCGCTGAGAAGTCGCAGATCTTGCAACATGTCGAGTTGCTTTTCGCTCTTTCAGTAAAAGTTCCTGACTTCCTTGATGAGTGAGCATCTTCTACTCCTTCGTCACGCTTTAGTTGATCCCTTCGCGACAGGATCTTTGCAGCCTATGGCTCAATGGATGTTACAGTCCAGAAAGCCATCCAAGAGTTGATTACTGCCCTCATCCGTTCATTGGGTCCGAATCATGGCAAATTACTCACGCTGATGCGAACGTGCCCTCCAGGTGCTGAATCGCTAGCCCTTAGGGTCCTGACTATATTCACTGAGCATGGGCGGCCTAGTGCTCAACTCGTGGCTTTGGTTAAGGGTCTCATTAGTGAGCGTGATTTGGATGCTCGGTTCCTCATACCCATCATCGCGGAAATGGACAAGGTATGTCGACCACTCTACGTTTCCTAGCCTAGCTGAATATCTCTCCACTTCTCTCTGTCCAGGCGGACATTATGCGATATCTACCTCGCATCGTCTCGATCCTTAATGGAGAGGCGGAACCAAAAAATCTCGTCCGTTCAGTGTTTAGCTCCGTGGTGACGACGCCGCCGCAGACATTTGGCAGTGTAACGTCTAACCTGCCAAGAGTGCGGCAAAGTGAGCTGCTAACGCCGGCGGAACTGATGGTTTTGCTGCATGATTCTGAGAAGGAGATCGGCTTAAAAAGCGCGATTGAAGGTTCGATCCCGAAACAAATTAACTGTTCCTAGCACGTTTTACTGACAGCTAACATTAGCTATCGGCATCTGCTTCTCTATGACCGATGTATTCAGGTCCGAGATTCTAGCAGTGGTCATGCAACAAATAATGGACGAACCTATCCTCCCTGTGTTGTTCCTAAGGACGGTAAGTGTTTGCTGTTCGGAATGAGCGCTTGTCAAATCAACTCATGCGTCCCGTAGGTGATCCAAGCGGTGAAAACTTACAAGTCTCTGATTGGCTTTGTGTCAACGACGCTGCTCTCTCGACTCATAACCAAGAAGATATGGACCAATCCGCCTCTTTGGGAGGGCTTTATTCGATGTGCCAAAGTCATTGCTCCTGCCAGTTTCAGCGCCCTGCTTCAGCTGCCAAAGGATCAACTCCGCGAGCTGGTGGATAAACAGCCGAGTCTGAAGTCTGGTCTTAGGGACTATGTTATAAAGAAGGCTCCTAACAAGGCACGCGGTGCTGGCTACTTGGACATATTCGGCGACGGCGAGGATAACAACGACAGTAGCACCCCACTTGCCTCTACTCCTGTTCCCCAGCCGGACGCTTCTTTGACGGCCCCTGCAGCTTAAAAGTACTACTCTCATATGTATTTTCTCAATAGTTCTCATCTCTCCATCTACATTATGACTTTACCGTTTTTGTATGTTGTAGGGTAAAGCAATTGTTATATTCAGACTTACTTTACGTAGAGAAACCAATGGCGCGAGTTTGATCGGAGATTGTGTCGCTAAACTGACTGCTACGGTTAGCAAAGGTACTTTTCATCGCACTGTCGCTGATCCCACACAAGTTTTCACGAAAGTACTACGGTGCCCGTGCCATCAATCCAGTTGGAAGTCCGTAGATTAACTGAACCCCTATCTCTGCCTAGTCACCCATCATCCAGCTACGGGTGAGTCGAATTCGACTAGATAAGCGACTGGCCAGGTGGATTATATGTTCTTGACTCTCGCGTTCTCGACGTTCACTTACAATGATCCAGGAAATGGCCAGAGGCTCGCCAAATGCCCGTCGTGCAAGGGGGTCTCGCCGCCGGACAAGCAGAGGGCGTTCTGCTGAAAAGTCGTCCTCGCCTGTGCCCTCGCCAGGATCATGGAACGTGGATCGGGGCAGATCAAGAGTAAGAAGGCCTTCGAATCCGTTCTCAGAGGACAATCTCCACAGAAAGTACTGTCGATTCCGTTGCTGTGCTCGCTGGCTTCCAAACTCAACGTCCGCAGAGGCTACCATTCCCTGCTTTCGTCCTTCGGCAAAGTGTTCCATGTAGAGCGAAGGTGGAAGTTGGTTAGAGAAATGGGCTCCGGGGCTTATGGTGTCGTTATGTCCGATACACATCAAGTTTCGGGTTCACCTGCGGAGCTAAATACTTCTTTAGTTCAGCCGCCGATGAAATTTCAGGCGAGACAGTGGCAATCAAGCTCGTTACACGCGTCTTTGACAAAGTACAGCTGGCTAAGAGAGCTCTGCGCGAAATAACCCTCCTTCGCCATTTCGCCGGCCACGAAAACATCACTGGCTTGATCGACGTCGATGCAATATCCCCAGACTTCAACGAAATGTAAGTGATTTGACCTTACATTAGCAACTCTTTGAACGATTATGCCTATAGCTACATTTTCATGGAGGTGAGTATTCCTTTATCTAGTTGAAGCACTGCTGACTAGTTAGCGAAGCCGATGGAAGGTGCGAACCTATTATAATTTGTTGGTCACAAGGCTCATTTCTTCATAGCGGATCTCCATCAGATCGTGAAGTCGGGACAAACCCTAACTAATGAACACGTTCAATACTTCCTTTACCAAGTCCTCAGAGGTGCCTTTCAATCACTTGAGGTGTTAGTTGATTCACGAACTCACGCGACTTGCCAGGCATGAAGTACGTGCACTCTGCTTCAGTAATTCATAGAGACCTCAAGCCCGGAAATCTGCTCGTCAATGCGGATTGCGAGCTCAAAATATGTGACTTTGGCCTCAGTCGCGGCTTCGACGCGTTGCCAGATGACGATACGCATCGTTTGACTGAGTATGTTGCCACTCGGTGGTATCGGGCTCCTGAAATCATCCTTGCATTTCGGTGCGTATGCTCACGCTCGTTACACAGTTTTGGCCAAAACTCAACTCATGATTTCAGTCGATATAACACCGCCAGTAGGTTTCCTATGTCGCTCCCAATATGCTTCTCTTGTAACCGTCCGATAGTCGACGTTTGGTCAATAGGCTGCATCTTCGCCGAACTACTCACCGGCAAGCCTTTGTTCAAAGGCAAGGAGTAAGTCGCGCGACTCATGTTCTTCGTCGTATTCTTAGCACGTACCATTTAGCTACGGTTAGTTCAGTCTTCGTCGCCGATTTCTGTCTGAATAACGCAGCCGGATGCCCTTGAAATAGTGGATCAACTCAACAAGATTCTGGACGTTCTTGGTAACCCGTCGCGTTGCTCAGCGTGATGCATTGCTTACAAGTGTTGGTGTAGGGACACCTGATGAAGCGGTCACGAAACGAATAGCCAGTGATAAGGTAATCTCTCCCAAGACAGGGAGACTCCGTGACTTAAACACCGCCGGTCACTTCTAGGCTCAAGCATACGTTCGATCACTGCCGTTCAAACCGAAGAAACCTCTGCAAACCATCATTCCTTCCGCAGATCCACAGGGTCCGTTTCTATTCTATCACCATCGACAATCCATACTCACCCATATTCTGTAGCCATCGACCTACTAACTAAGATGCTTGCATTCGACCCCGTCGACCGAATCACCGTGAATGAGGCTCTCGAACACCCATGGCTGTCCTCATATCACGATATCAAGGACGAGCCGGTATGCGACCATAAATTCGAGAAATGGCGGCAGATCGAGGAGCTAGAGACCCTCGATCAATTTCGCGATGCGCTGTGGAACGAGATCGAGGACTACAGGCGTGAGGTCCGCGGAATGAATGTCGACCTCAGTGGCTTGCCGCCGCGACGACCGTCCACCACTAGCATCAGTAACCTCTCGAATGCGGAAATAGTAGTAGAGGACTCGCATATTGTGGTCGATTCAGCGGGTGGATCAGCAGAGACGACGCTGGTGCCGGATGAGGGGCACCCGAAGAAATTAGACGAAGAGGCTCAAGATACCCTCGGTGTGTCTGCCAATCTAACGCACCCGGATTCGGCTTCAAGTCAGGCACGACCGCTGCCTTCCTCGCCCATCGATCCCTTGGTCAAATATTCTAGACGGCCGAGTATCTTGCAACCATCCCGACAGGGGTCTACATATAACTCTCCGCTGACTACTATGCAGCATCTCCCTTCTCTTAGCGACGGGCCGCTACACACAGAGCCTGCCAGCCTTCCTGCAGGCAGCGTTGCCTTTCCGACACAGACATATGTTGTGCCAGCGCGATCACGGACCGCTTCGATGGCTGGCGGCGAAGTAACTCGTAAACTCCTCCGAACGCTGTCGACCGTGTCCATCCACGAGAGGGCGGAAGGCTTAGCGGGTGGGCTAGCCCAGATTGCTCCCATTGGCAAGTACATCGTGGACAGGGAAGGGACGGGAGCCGATGCACCGCCGTCGGAGGTGCCTAGAGATTTCGGAATTGATGAAGCTTCAGAGGAAGACGAGCAAGAGAGTTCAAAAGACAAAGATGCAACTAGACAGAAGAGCAAATTCCACATCCATTAATCGGGAATCACCCATGTATAAGTATAATGGCAATTAGGGTTACAGTTGAGAACGAAAAGGATCTAATCGAATGGGTTCGCTAATCCACGAGCTGCTTGATGCCTGAGAGTGGGGATCAGAGGGAGCTATGGGCGAAGGTAACACACACTTACGGTCTATGATGTCAAGGTATGCTGTCGTCGCTGGACTATCGGGGTACTCGTCTAGGAAACTGACTCCGAAGTCGGCACTTTTGCCTATGCGGGGATCCAATGGTACAGCTCCAAGAAACTCAAGCCCAGTCTCTTCTGCAAGCCGTTTAGCGCCACCGGTCGAAGGTTTAAAGATCTGCGACTCGTTCTTGCAGTTCGGGCAAACGAATCCCGACATATTTTCGACGATCCCTAGTACCCTAATGCCGACTTTCCTACAGAAATCGATCTCGCGCCGAACGTCCTGCAAGGCCACCTCCTGTGGTGTCGTGATAACAACGGCACCATCAATACCGCTTTCTTTCAGGTATTGAACGATGCTAAGGTGTTCGTCAGACGTTCCCGGAGGTGTGTCGATGAGCAGGTAATCAAGGTCGCCCCAGTCAACGTCTTTCAGAAATTGGGAGATGAGGCCATTCTTCTTGGGACCGCGCCACATGATCGCATCGCGGGAGGACGGTAGCATGAAGCCTACTGACATGACTCCAAAGTTGTCTTGTACGTAGATCGGTGACCAGCCAGTTGACGAAGAGTGTACCTGCTCAGATGCAATGCCGAGAATTGTGGGTATGGACGGCCCACATATGTCGACATCCATGACGCCGGTCTGGAGATCGGTCACCCAAGGTTTAAAGATGCAGAGCGTGAAGTGAGCTCGCCTGCGTATCTTCGTCTGCTGCAAATGCCCATCCGAGTTGTGCGGTAAAGGTGGACTTCCCGACACCACCCTTTCCAGAGAGAATTAGGATCTTTCTCTTCACATTGGCCATTCGGTTCGTTATGAGAGGAAGAGCAGGATCGGGGCCGCGGGTCGCGCCAGAAGCACATACGTCCTGGTTTGCACATCCTGCGCAGGCGTCGGCCTTGCCTGCTAGCTGCGATTCAGTTCCCTGCACCTGCGCGTGAGTCGATGGGGCAGTTCACTTTAGTACGATGCTTACCGGACAATGCTCCGGCGCATTTGCGGGTACAGAAAGAGGATCTGGCACCGCTGCCGACGTCTGTACAGCGATCATGGCGAGACGAGAGGAAGCTTAGTACTCAGTCAGCATTGACAGGGGTTGTATTGCCACTAGGAAGGATGTTCCCACGATCACCCTTTGCTCCTATATATACCCCTAGGAATGGTTGAAGAGTTCAAACGCGAAGCCCGCCCATCACCGTCTCCCAAGAATAAGACCTGCGTCGAATTATATGGACAACTCTACGAGTAAGAGCACTGCTGCAAATTCAGCATTTCTGGGAATTCTACGATTACAGCTTTGATATCGTGATTTATATTTACAGTGTAACGCTCTCATCCGCGTTCAGGATCAACGTGGTGAAGAACCTGATCATCTCGAGGAATGCATCCACACCAATATCTGTGGCCACCAGAGATCATCGATCAACATGTGCAAATGACTGCATACAGAGAGAACGCACATTCGTTTACTGTGTGTATTCCACCAAGCACATCAGTGCCGTTTCCTTGGTTTTGATGATTGTACCGGAAGATATGGTCAGAAAGCTTCCAATAATATCTCGTATCTAGCCAACCAACCATGACACAGGTTAACATCAGCGCCCAATAGCAGGGGTCATGGAATGGTGGGATGGTCACTCACCCGTGTTCCCAGTCATTATACCCGGGCTCATAGCGATGTTGTTGCCCTGGAGCGATCGGTGGGAGTTGAAGGTGGCCTTGATGGTCCCAGCGAGGAGAGCGTACGGCGCTGCGTCCCGCCCTGTAGGAGTTATGGGCGCTGGCTCCAGTGCGGTACCCCATGCGTCGCTGAGAGTGAGCGTTCCGCTAGATGGCGCGTCCTTCGCAGAGATCTGCGCCCCGAAGCTGGTGTATGTGAGGTTGAATTTGTTTGCCAGAGATTTGAGTAACTGGGTGTCGTGCTCCACTGTGGCGGCGACCGAGCTGTGCGAATAAAGGTTCGATGTTAGATCTAGGATGTGGTGGAATGCTACACACCTCTCCGTCGCGATGCGATGGTTAATCACTGCCCAAGCCTGCTCGGGTAGGGCATTAGATTTCACGCCACCCTGAGTCAAAGTGATGGCTTGAGTAGTGCCTATGAGACTCCTATACATATTGTCTGCTAAAATCACATTTTCCAGTTTGCGCATGGCCTTCTTGGAATGGGGTGCCTGTTTGATCGCCTTGCGAAGGTCCGAAGGAAGCTGCTTTGCGTGCTCCGCAAAGCAGGAGAGAGTACCGAAGACAGGTGAATGGGGGTCCTAAATGATATATATCGTTATGATATGTTGATACTCGAAGTTAGTCGATAGAACTGACAATGTGGACTTCATATGGGTTCGATTCGTACTCGACTAGCAAGGCCGCGAGTATACCAATGCTCTTTCGGACGGGTGAGTAAGCAGTTCCACGAAAGGAGGGATACATACGAACGGTATGTTTAGGTGGAATTGAAGAGTGACCGCCCGCAGAGGTCACGTCAACTCTGACATCCAAGCCACCCTTCTCGGCGATTCCGGGCGTGGCGAAAACGGTACCGAAGGTCTCCATAAAGCCAGCTGCTCATATCCAAGTCAAGCCTCAACGTTCACGATTGGGCGTGTTTTGGACATACCTCCTTCATCTACGACCATTGCGAAGGAGCGTTCACCGTAGTGTTCGCCGAGCGCTTTGCCAAGATGACCAGCGCCCTGAGTTAACGATGTTAAACTGAAGAACCAGTCAATGGGAAATTGAGTCTTAACATACGTGGACACCATTGGTCTCTTCGTCAAATCCAAAGGCGAGGACTACCGTGCGTGTGGGTTTGAATCCATTGGCCAAGAGTGTTTCTATAGTGGACCTACGACAATCGAATTGTCATTGTGAGCGCCCGAACAGATGGGAGACGGGGAAATACGACGGACAGGATGCCAATCAACCCGCCCTTGTCGTCGCTAGTACCTCGACCCCAGATTCGTTCGCCTTTTCGTAGATGCACCATTAATGGTTATTCTCATCAATAACGGATATTCGTACCATCGAAGAATCCAGAGTATGGTGGATGCTCCCACTGATCGACGGTGGTGGGATCTACAGGAACGACATCTGCCAACAAGTTCAAATTAGCATGTGTCGCGCGGTTGGCCTCTAGCACTGGGCACGAACCTTGATGCGCAGCAAGCAAAAGCGGCTTCAATGACGCGTCGGAACCAGTCCATTCGTACCACAATCCGTATGTGTTGACTTTCGTCAGGGCAAGCGTAGAGTGACTGACGGGAGTAAGTTCACAGCGCGTCCAGCTAGTAATGTTGCAATAGACTCACACCAAAGGGAAAGCAGAAAGTAGGTAAGCGTGGAACGGCACAAAGACCTCCCAGCGCGGATCGGAGCCAATGGGGCCCATCTTATCGTGCGACTCCGTACTGCGCAGATCAGATCAGAACATCTACAATACTGCTGGAGTTGCTCACGGAACGCGAACAGCTCCTGCCAACCATTCAATCGCCTTCGTCTTGAACGTATCTGTGCTGATAGTGGATCCTATCTCCGTCCATAGATCACCGTTCTTGGTTGGAGTGAGTTCATTTGGTTGGAAACACACGGCCTCATCGTGATGGCCGTGCTTCAAGTTCAATGGGAAGAGCTCTCGGCGCGTCGTGGCAGATAGGAGTGCGTAGCCGCAAGCTGCTGTGAGTACCAATAGACGACGCCAAGGCCGGGAGGGCTTCGCCCGACTAGTCAGTAGAGGAGCAGGCAAATCCCCTCTCTTACTTGTCACTTTTTCGGTGGACATGGTGGTGCGGTGAGAAGAGCAGCTGTGAGACCGTGTGCACAGTCAGTAACATTGTGAGTCATAGAGAAGCCTTTAGGCGCGTTGCTGCGGCAGGCAGTAGAAAATGATCAGAATTCCAGGAATCAACAATTCTACCAGCACAAGGCATATGTGAGAAGACATCATACGGCATGCTGGGCCAGAGCTCGAGTACAAGGGAAACACCCCTAATTCTAGCCCCTAGAGTAATTCAACTCCAACTTCTTCATCGCGTACCGATGTACGACGCTACTAGTACGATCTCAATGAACTGAGCTGTTGCAAAGTGATGCGAATCTTGACAGCCATCCTTTCCCTTGAAAGACGGTACCACTAGCTGTAGTGGATGTATCTTACTGCAACTCGTGCGAAGTAGATGTAGTATCAGACCATCAGAAGGCCCAAGCGGCAAGCTTAAACGTTGACGCAGTTCCTACTTATAAAATTGATTCTTAAATGACCAAGGCACAAATACTCCATCCATCCATGGAAGATCCCTCGGAGCATATTGAAGGGTCATGGCGAGCCGAGGCTTTTTTACGCGAAATTGAAGCACCGTCGGTCATACCATTATGCAGAAGCTCTCATTAGTGGTCGACCTTGAGCCTGAGATCTGAGAACTCGCTTAAGCAGTGATAGGGACACGCAAATGCGTTACGATGCATGTGCGCGCAAGACTGGAACTTCAGATGCGGGGGTTGCAAATGGGGGCTAGACCCAATTCTCCCACGTTTGTTTACGTCGAACAAACGAGGAGGTAAATCAAAATGTCTCCGTGGTTGATTTCAAACGAACCTTGAGCGAGCGAGCCGTAGCTTAGATTTCACGAAAATACTGCATGTGTGCGCAAGGATAGTTGAGCATGATTATGCTCGCAGATCCGACCCTCAGAACTGCGCATCCATTGCATCAGTGCTATTCATGGATCCTTTAATGAACTTACAAATTTAGTACGCAGGCACTTTTACCCCTGCAGTCTCGCGACTAACGTTCTCCCGAAGACAAGCCTCGACATCTACTCACTCACACAAGTTCGTGGCGTATATCTATTTCCGCGGCAATGCACAACGCGGGTCGTCCTCTTGTGGTGACGCTTTCGCCAACAGCCTGTCGAGCTAAGAATAGCAGCCACCTCGTCGAATAGAGGGAACCGATCAGAGTTCTCGAAGACCTGAAGCTGTACATGCATTATATGGTGAGATATACATATAACCACCGATACCGAGCCCCATGTTGTACCTCAAAAAATCCAAGCGTGGGGAATCCGAGAGTCCAGGAACTAGCAAGCTACACATGCACCATACGATAATACATTACATGAGTCACAGATGACATTGATGGAGGGAACGACGTGAGAATAGCATAAAACAAAGCAGAGGAACATGCCAGAAAATCCAAAGGAAATATATACCGTGTATTGAAAGATAACGCGCGAGGGCATGGTCCTATTCGTTAGCGAGCCATGGTAGCCCGACAGGAGGCATAGCCGATGATGGACCTGTTGGTTTGACGTCCATAGGTTCACCTCCAAGCAAGGATGAAGGTGGCGATCTCGCCATGGGTTGTCCAGATCCATTTGCCATATCTCTCTGCTGCCAGTCGAGAAGACCGCTTGCTTTCAGCGATGGTAAGGACTGCGCCTGGGACCCCCCTTCTCCATGTATACTCCCAACCCCCATTGCCTCGTTCCTTCGTGAGCCTGGGTATATTCCGTCGCCTAGGGACGGGTCAATGTCCGCGTCGTGTACCATTCGTCTCGAATCCTTCGAGTCCCCCACTGATTGTGACCCTGATCCCCCAATCACCACCCCGTTCGTCCTTTCCCTTTCCCTATCTCGCTCCCTATCTCTCTCAACACCCTGCATAGGCCCAGGCCCCCTTCCTCCGAAGAAACGGACCTCATCCAATAGCTTCGCTCCGGGGTGGTTTGTTGGATAGGCTGATGGCGAATTACTTGGACTTCTTCCACGATTGTTATAGGAGACGTCCCCACCGTGTTGGTGTGGGGGAGGCCGAGGGACCGGTATCCCATTATTTGGCATGCTCTGTGGCGGACGTACCTCTGAAAGCCTCCGGACAGGCAGGTGGTTAGGGTGCTGTGGTGATGGCTGGTGCTGATGCGAGGATGGTGCAGGCGGAGGGAGTGCGCGCTGAGAAGGAATGTGCGACTGTGAATGCTGATGTGTTGGAACCTGGGGTGGATAAGGTAAGGGGCGAGGCTGAGGAGAATGAACAAGTCGCCATTCCTTCTGCGCTAGTTCGTGCATCTTGACTGCCGTGAATTCTTCATGCTCGGCTGCCCAGCCACGGATCTTGTTCTCATCGGGTTTGGTGTACTTGACCGTTGCCTTTGTGAGACGTAAGATATTCCATCAGAAAAATCAGTCCGAGTGCTACGAAAAATGGAGAAACTGACCCATATCACAGCGCCGACTAGAAAGGGTGTTTACATGAGCGCGGCACCCTTGCGAGCGTAGTACGTGTGGCACTTACGAAGTACGCTGTTCTTGGCTCTGCCACCGAGAGTGTTGGTGATTGACTCAAGATGTGCAATTGCCCATTGTACCTCGGGACGTTGGAACGCCCATTGTGATCGATGTCGCGCCTGGAATAAAACGGCGATAGACACACAGAGAACGCTTAGAACGCGGGTCTAGAATGCTGCTACGGAGAACCACTCACGGCGTTCAAACTCAATGCTGCGCTGGCATGCAGCACATGTGTCATGCAATAACACCACGCGCCAGTATTTGAACTGGTCTCAAACATCGAGAGCTGCACTTGCAGACTCTGCTCCGAAAAGCGCAGATGATCCGGCAGTGTATTTGCCCAAGACTGAAATTCAAGTTCAGCAGAAAACTGTGTGTGAAGCCGTGAGAGGCACAAACGTCAAGAGCTATCTCGGCCTCTTGGAGCACTGCAGGCGGGTCGCCGTGTGCGTCTGGGTCTGCATATCGTACAACGTTCGGTTAGGAAATTCAAATACGGCTCTTTCGAAGAGTACCAACCGTTGAGTAAATCCAGGGCATGCTCTATCTTGGCGTAGATGGTAAGCACTCTGATGAGATGGCCGAGTTCGGAGGCGTATTGTGTGCGAATTCCGGGTAAAAAGAGATATTCTGGGAGAGGTGTCAATGAAACGGGCGGGGTTTATAAAGACCTGATTCCTTACCTGGTAAGGTTGAATGAACTGAGAGCTCGAAACTCGTCTCGTCAACGGGAAGCCGCAACTTCAGCTCCGTCTGAGTGAATCGACCAGTCCCTTGGCCCTCCTCCACCCGCAAGATTAAATGTCGACCCAATCCAGGCATGCCAGCTCCAGCTATTGCGCGCTCCCAGCCTGCCCCACGCTTCTTATAGTACAAACCATTCATCACATCAATTACATATATCAGCCAGAATATCCGTCGCACGCATTCATGTTCCACCGCTTTGTGGATAAATTCGGGGGAGGGTACAGGTGTCAGCGTGGGATGTTCAGGAGCATGTACGCCAAGAGAATCGATGATTTGCAAGGCGAGGTCTGCGAAATGTTACTACCTGGGGGTGGTGAGGGAGAATGATGGCGTACCATGATATCGAGTCCCCCATTGAGTTAGGCCTGCGCTGGTATCAAAGACGGACATCTCGTGCAGTTGAAGCAGACATAAGGCCTGGGCTGTAGCTAAATTAGGGTCTGCCTTCAATCGGCCGGCGCCGTCGAACATCAGGCTCATGGCCTCTTGAGCGAAGGGACGCCCTGCGTTCCGCATTGGGTTGGTGCGAAGGCGAAGCTGCTTCGATAGTGGGGCGGCGAGAGCGCAGACGGCGTGGAGTAGATACGTAGGGACACGGTTTAGTTGGAGAGCTGTGGAGAATGAGGGCTTATGTATGATGGCATGAGCAGGGTGGCAGTGGGTGAAGAACACTGGGGAAAATGAGATCTACACAGAGTCATTGATAACGTACGGCTTACAGTTGGTTAGTTCGCGGGTGAGGCCATGATCCAGGCTAACTTGAACTGGGCGCTCTATGACTAGGGTTGCATTCGGCGGGTCGATGGGCATGCCATCGCGATCGGCCCGTGGGCGTTTCCGCAGAGCAAGGCCCTCGTCTTCCGGAGGTTCGATGTGGTCGCCCTGTGTGGGTGCGGGCGTTGCTGCGGTTGCACTCGATGGTGTAGTAGGTGATAGTGATACATTCGGCGGGTAGCCATTGGCTTGATTACGGTTCTGCGGGGGATGCGGTTGTGGATGTGGGGGAAAGGTAGGATATCGGGTGTCTGGGGGATATGTGGGCGGTATTGGCGGTGCATTTGGCGGTATTCTGCTTGTGCCCTGGGCACTGGAGTCAGCCCTGTCTGGCTGCTGAAACGGCCTGGGAGCGGGCACTGGGCGGCCAGAGGCATCGGTGTAGGAGCAAGTCTTTGAGGCAAAGTAGCTGTGGTCGCTGTGTGGTCAGTGCGCCTCCTGGAGTGGCAGCGGGAGAGTTGCCTACCAGTTGCTGCAAGGCAACGCGCCGTCGCATCTGCGCTTGCTTTTATGGCAGTGATCGCAGGCCTTTGTGAGACGTTTTCGCTTTGGGCCCTTTATGAAGTGCTGGTCGTCCTGAGCAGCCATTTGGTTACTGGAATATGGATCCATGTGGGAGGATGTCCCATTGGCTTTTTGAGCGGAACAGGTCGGATAACGAACAAAAACGAGGCGTTTTCACTCGGCGTTTAGAATATCGTTCTGATTCCTGCATCCTCACGTGTGCGGCACCCTGCCGCCGGCCTCCTTATCAGCCTTGCCGCCGACAATCATCCCAGAAGCCCCAGTTCCGCCCCCTGCCGCCAACACCGTCGCCTGATTCCGCCGGGTAGCTCCCTCGGCATTCTTAAACCGAAAACGGACACATGGCCAGAAGCAAACATCACTCTTCTTCGAAGCTCATAGGCTGCGCGCAGACAGATCGACAGGCTGACAAAAGGGTTGTATTTGCTGCAGCCAGGGATGTATGTACACAAGTATATATATGTAGAGCGTACTAGACTTCTCGTAAGAACAAAGTTTAATCGAAGAGACCGAAGCCCATGTCGTCGTCGGATTCTTCCTGGAACACAAGTCTAACGTTAAACATGAGGTCAAAGGGTCGCACAAAGGGCTGACCTTCTCTTCTTCCTTCTTCTCCTCCTCCTTGGGTGCGTCTGCAGCGGCAGCAGCTCCTCCGGCGGCAGGGGCGGCGGCGGCACCTCCACCTCCTCCAGAAGGAACCTATGATGGAGTGATGAATCATCTTTTCGTAACGCCCCACACAATCAAAACAACGTACAGATGCGAGCTTGGAGGAGCCTTCGGCAATCAACTGTCGATGGAGTGACATGTCAGCGAAAAACGTCCATCAAGTTACAAATGGAAAACGGGTGGGAATGTATGATTTGGGGTGGGCTGTCACAGGACTAATGGAAGGAGGTCGAACGTACGGAAGCGACATCTTTGCCCTCGAGCTCGGACAAGAGCTTGCTGAGGCGATCCTCATCGGCGTCAATGCCCACAGCACCAAGGAGCTTCGTGATATCGGCAGCGGATGGGGAGGCGTTGCCTCCGGTTTGAAGGAGCAAGTAAGCGGCGATGTAACGCATCTGCAAGTCAAGTACTCGTATGAGTGCTGGGGATTGGGAAGGTCCTGTGCGACATACGTTTGATGTTTAAAAATCGGGGTGTGCTTTTAGAGTGCGGTAGCCACAAATCACTGGAATATAAGTCGCAAAGTTAGTCATACTGATTCCGAGTGGCACCGCCGAGGGGAAATGACTGGGTAGAGCATGGGCGGGGCCGAGTGGGGTGACTGTAGCGCACCTTTAATCCGCGATGGGAAGACCTGTGGATTCTATCCGACGACGGCTTTTAGTTAACGATGAGCGTCGTAAATTGTGGTCGGGTAGCGCCTGAGCACGGTGGTGTCCTGTATAGTTGCACGTGACACTCCCCAAGCCACCGACTCCGTGGGATCGCATTAGTCATCCACCCTCCAGACAGCGCAAAGGATTATCGAGAGTCGACCTCAACGACCCCGACGACCTCAAAACTACCCAACATGGTGAATTTATCCGCGAATCAATGTCCTGCTTGTTGCTGAATCCATGCTAGGCTGAAGTCACCGACCCCCAAGTTGCCGCCGACCTCAAGAAGAAGAGAACCTTCCGCACATTCTCATACCGTGGTGTTGAGCTCGACAAGCTCCTGGACATGAACAATGAGGACGTGCGTCCATTCCCATCTGATTTGAGTGAATAGTGTCTTATTAACTGATCTCGTATCCTCAGTTCGTTGAGGTTCGTGCTAAATACCTCATGCAATGATCCCTATATCGACGCAGGTTAATAGCTCGTCCACGCCCGTGCTCGTCGCCGGTTCCAACGCGGCCTCAAGCGCCGCCCAATGGGCCTCATCAAGAAGCTCCGCAAGGCCAAGAAGGAGGCCCCTCCCAATGAGAAGCCCGCCGTAGTCAAGACACACTTGCGTGACATGATTATCGTGCCGGAGATGATCGGCAGCGTCGTTGGTATCTACAACGGCAAGGTCTTCAACTCGGTGGAAATAAAGCCCGAGATGACTGGCCACTACCTTGCTGAGTTCTCGTGCTCGTACAAGCCGGTCAAGCACGGTCGCCCTGGTGTACGTCGTATTTTGCTGTTATCAGTTGAGATTCACCTGATGTCCCGTTTAGATTGGTGCCACACACTGTAAGCAACTCCCTGTCTTTGATGTCAAAATCAGGTCTCAATGTTCCCTCAATCATCCTAAACAGCTTCTCGTTTGTGAGTAATCCCGCATGATCGTCCAACTGTCCTATGTTAAGTCATTATTTCTAGCATTCCCCTCAAGTAATTGTTCTATATCATGTCCCCATATGCAATACATGTCCAGCGGCAGTTCTGCTTCCAAAATACACTATGCAGCCTATGCGTATGAATTCAAGTCAGCTTGCGATCATAAGTAATGCATAATAAATAGTCATCGTTGCTGCTGTAGTCCGACTCCCAGCTGTTCCTTATCTGTTCACACTCTTCAGCCACTGCTGCTCAGCGTCTTCGCTAGTGGCGATGTCCGCTGGTGACTCGACCAGCGACATTCTTGAGAATTTTGTAGCCAGTTGCCGAAGCTGTTCAATGTACGCGCGATGTTCGTCGTTGATGTCGTACTCCTCGAGATCAGGTAACTCGACCAACAGCTGTACATCTTTCGGAAGTAGCCCCTCTGACAAGACTTTCTCCACCGTCTTCGCAAAGTCTTGGAACAGCATATCGTAGTATGGATGCGCCGCCGAGACGTAGAGGTGCGTCAGGCCTGGCGCGAGCTGCGTTATCCACTTGAAGTCGGCTTTGTGCAGAGACGGGCATGAGATCAAGCGCAGATCGCGAAGCGTAGGATAAACCGTTCTCTCGTCGGGCTTTGAGCGGTAATGGTGGTACAGCGCGAGTTCCGTCAAAACTGGAAAGTCTAACGATGAGGGGAGCAAGCAGAATGTGTGTGGCCTTAGGAAGAGCCCATGGATGATCTCTACGGTTGGAGCGACAAGCCCCAGGATGTCCATGACCGCCTTGCTGGCGCCCGTTTTGCGACGCACGTAGGCCGAATCTTCGATGCCATGGTCGTCCCAACGCGGATCGTCGGATAGCGGCGAGTCACTGAGGAAGAGGTAGCGAACACGCCGGGCGTCTTGCGGCGTCTGTTGTAGGACAGAGGTAAATGAGAGAATTTCGAAGAGGTTGATGAGGGAGATAGACTGGAATTTATAAGGGGCAGAGATATCCCTCGTATATTTGGACACGGCTGAGAGCGAGCGGCCTGTATACCCCCAATCGCGACAAGCATATGAACAGATCATCCCATACACCTCTGGCGGCATTTTCTTCTCCACTGTCACTGGAATTAGCATGTTAGTGAGTACCAGAGCAAGCGTGGTTATTTAGTGCATCTGTTTGGCATTTACGGTATATACCGAATGATGTATGCATAATTCTATGCAACAGGGTATCGTGAGTACTGCGTAGATATTCTCGTCCTTCTCATGACAATATTTGCAGACGATGGGATAGAATACAGGTGGTGGAGAAATTCAGCGTAAAAGAGTGTACGAAGCAACGGAGATGTTTGAAGATAACACAATGAACGTCGCGGAAGAATAACATACAAAGTCAATGGTGCAGTCATGTACGCTGTTGCACAGCCGGTGTGTACCCGTTTGTATTGGGTGGAAGCATGTTGGCTTGATCAAAGCTTGGCCTAGACATGGGGGATCGGGAGATGTTCGAGTCGGAAGGTGGCAACGGCGGTCTCCATTCGTGGCTCTGGGGAGGTGTTTGCGCTTGCGCTAGTGACATGCTCTGCAACGCAGACGGTGGGAGATACAACGCTCCATTGCCTTGCGGCGTGCCCGGCGGCGCTGAATGAGGGGGAGGGCGGGCGGTACGCTCACTGACTGAATGACCGAGTGGGGGACGCTCTGGATATGGTGAGCCTGGAGGGGGACGTTGGTTATGTGGTGGCCCATTGCTAGCCCCTGCGCGACCTTTCGACCGCAGCCAAGTGTCGCACTTCCTCATGAAGTCTTTGCCTGGCAAATCCACTGCGCTGGCGAAGTACTCTTTGTCGTTGATAATGTCCAGGAAGTCTTCGGGAACCGTGAGGAATAGATCCTGGTCTTCGAGTAGGGCGGTCACCACGCGAATGGCACCAAAAGGTCCGAAACTCTCATCCCGAGGATCGCGTCCTCGGGGATAAAGAATACTGGGGCAAATGACGGTCGCCAAGTTCCCAAGATCCATTTTACTCCCCGTCTCCTCGTCCATGTGGGCGAAGGAGGCAACCCATTTGAGAAATACGAACAGAACCTCCATAGTGTCCCGGTGGCTCTTGGGAAGAAGTAACGAAACCAGGTGTAGATACCGTCGCCTGTCGGCTTCTTGTGGAAGGGCTATCCATATGATTTGAGCAGAAAACTTAGGCAAGGGGTATTCGGACTTACTTTGAGTAACGACGAGTAGCCTATGCAGCTTGAAAGTTAGAAGAGGATCGGGGAGGTCACGGAGGAACTTTTTGAGGAGCGCCGCCAGTTGGACCGGATGATCTGAGCTTAGGTCAACCGACGATGGGTCACGATCTATAGCCTCTGTGAGGTCCTTGAGATGTCGGATATTGCCATTCTTTCGGAAGATTCCCTCGACGGACATGTCTGAGGAAAAGAATTAATTAACAGGGAATGTCGATAAGATGACGAAGACAAACCCATTTGACGCATAGCCGAGATTACATCGTCGATGAAGCTCGGCACCCGTAGCGTAGCCCGCGACGCACCAAGCAGCGAATCAGCACCTTCCCGTTCTACCAGAAGCTCAAGAGGGACACCGAAAACGCCTAGACAGAAAGTAGTCAGTATTTTTCATGTCTACGAAGTTCATTGCTTGCCTTTCTTCTTTATCTTCTTGTCATTGGCCTTGAATAGGAACTTATTCCAAAAGCCACCCTTTTTGTTCTCCAGCGACTCTAAAATGTCATCGAGGTCGAATTGATCCTTCAAGGGTGAACGGCTAAGGGCAAGCACGGCGGCATGCTTGACAATAGTCAACTCCAGCGCGTTTAGGTCCGCGACGAAGGGTACTGCGTGCTGTCTCGGTCGATGTTGCTCTCGAGCTTGAGCTCTTTCCATGATTTGAGGGATGTCTGCCAAGGTTATACCATCGTCTGGCACAGACGTGAGCAAGGCATCTTCCGCCCCTCCAGCCGGGGAATTTGGAGTGCTGTCATCCACGATCATGACTTCGGTGTTATTGCGTGCGAAAGAAGGGCGTAGAACCTGTCCACCTTGAGTACTGTCAATAGGCAAACGGCCCAGCTGCGGCCGTGCAGACTGCGTGGACCCAGGTGCTGGCTGGCTCGTAAGTTGAGGCGAGCGACCTCCAGGTTGAAGTGCATGGTGGTGGTGGTGGACTTGCCCTTGCGAGCCGTGATGAGCAGCAGGAATGTTTGCGGCAGACCGCTGTGACTGAGCGACACCCAATTCCTGAGACTTTTGAGGCTTCAGCACATCATGCGGATGGGCAGTTCGGCCCGCCGGACTCTCGACGATGGTAGAACGCTTAGGAAGGTGGGCGGTCGCAGAGAGCTTTCGATCCAAATGAACAGACTTCATTCGCATGATGTCATTGTTATTGCGATAAGGATCAGAACCCTCCGTGGTGTCGCTGTACGGAGAGGCATGATTGGTGACTGAAACGTCTATGAATATTGATGATAACAAGTCTAGAGCCAAGGAAGTGACATACCTGGTGATAACGGCACTACACCTTGCTTCTTCAGTAGCAGATACAGGCGCCGGAGGGCGACGTTGAGGAGGAATGCGTACTGCTCCAGGCGCTGTACGGCTTGGAAGCCACCCCGGCAATTGGGCTGAGCATGATCGGTGCAGTAAATAGTTGTCGGGACGTCGCCAAAAGACGTAGTTTCCATCATGGACGCCGGATCGAATACGAAGGCACCAACGTTCGCTGGCGGGCGCCGGGCTGTCGACAATTTCGGAGGTTGGCCGTCCTTGTCTTTCTCATCGGAACCTTTGGGCTCCTTGACTATTGGCGCGGCTGCCACTTTGCCACACGTTGCACATGAGACGCAATTTGAATGCCATCGCTGATACGTGCCCAAGCGCACGCAATCCTCCTCGACCGTAACTCCACATTTGACGCAAAGATCGGATGGCGGATTCGTTGGTGAAAGCTTCGATGCACCGGTGTTAGAAAACGGCGATTCTCCAGCATTCTCCGGCGCCAAACTTCTAAATCCATACGCAACGCCTTGTGTTCCAATGTTGCCACCGTTCGAATGGAGGAGTTCTCCATTAGAGCCTTTGAGAAGTCTTCTCGCTGAAGGGTTCCCTCCCTGGACGGCTAAAAGGTGGAGCTTATCCAAGAAACCGGACATGGCTTCGTTGACACTTTGTTCCCGCTCCAGCTTTAATGCACCCGTAAGGGCAATCCGGATGAGGATCTTGAGATAGTGGGCCAAACCGGTAACAAGGGCCAGAAGCTCTTGCGTCATGCCCATTCTGCGGGCTCCAGTTTCCTGAGTATGGGATAGAAGAGTAAAAAGTTCGACAGTCTTCCGACATAGCATCCTGGCCTCTCGAACATGAGACATCCCTTTGGAGCCAGCAAAAGGAGCCAGGGTGAGAATAAGTGGGAGTCAAAACTGATTGGACAATACCTTTCTGGTTAAGTCGCAAGAAATGGTACTCGAGGTCGTCAATCGTCGCGAAGAGGACCTCGACGTGAAGGATAAATTTCTCGGCCATCCGGATAGCGTCTAGATATTGCCCGTTGCTGACTTGGCGAAGCATATCTGAGATGCAAGCAGCGCTTGACTCTTCGAAGGCAGATAATACGCTAGGGGACGATTAACGGTGGAGAAGACTTTGAATAGAGATCGGAAGCATACGTCCATATCCGATACACTTGTTGCTCCATTCGAATTTGCCTCTCTTTGAGAGATGAGGGCGTATCGCGTTGTTCATCGTCTGTGAAAGACAATGCCGTAGCAGTGTCCACCGAAGTTGTACTTGTCGGTCGACGAGAGGAGACTTTGACATTCCAAAACTACGCAAGCTTAGACACCCCACAACTCAGCGATAGCGTCAACTCACTTTGTTAATCATATAACACTCTGGATGCCAGCACTCGTCACGAGAGTTACGATTTATCTCCACGAATTGTTTGAGAATGGCGCTACTGCACCCGGCGCATTTCGTCGCAAATCGAGTCGAATAGTGGAAGTGGCAGTAAACGTTGCCATCGTGTTCGTAGTAGGAGTCTTGAGGACCGAAGAGGGTAGGGCAAAGGGAGCAAGTAAAGTGTTCGACATGAAACTTCTTGTCTGGAATTCAAGCTCACCGAAAGCACTATGACTATGATAACATACTACTCACTGCAAGCCGTAATGTAACTCCCTCTTAGGGCCATGTTGCACTTTGCACATATGAGGTTGAGCCGACGGAAGTAATCTCGCTCGCATAGCGGTTGTTGACTGCCTTCGGACCCCTCGAAAGGGAAGAATTTATTGGCAACAACTTCTCCGCAGTCCTAGAGTGGAGACAAAATTGGATTTTGTCAAGCCGTGGGACGTAGTGGCCACATACCATGCACTTGAAGCAGTCCAAATGAAACACAGTACCTAATGCCCGAACGAACGACCCTGACATAGGCTTCCCGCACGATGCACATGCTCTGTAATGGGACGTAGTGAGACGGGATCGCGGTTTCGAGAGACGTTGCAGGTCAATGTGCAACAGAATGGGATATCGAGACTCACGACGAAGCTATGGCAGACGCAGAGACGGAAGCGGATGTAGAAGAAGCTGTAGTAGGGGGAGCACGAGTACCACCGGACTGGGAAGATGAACCGGACTGGGCAGAAGAGAATGAAGTCACGCTCAGACGTCTGTCTGACTCGTCGGAGTGACCAGAGGAGGAAGAGGGGTTATTTCGGTTAGAAGAGGAACCAGGTGTCGATGGACGACTTCTAGAGTTAGCAGAGAGATAGTTACTGTCTTGGGTGGGTGATGATCCCGGCAAAGGTGCGCCATAGTATCCATGGTTCAAATCCTCGCTCTTTGCATGAGGGACCAAGTCGTCTGCGTTCTGATTGCGATCAGGATCCGGCGTCCCCACCGTCGAAGATCTCGTTGGTAGATTTGGCCGTTCTGGCAGACGACCAGGGTTCCCTGCGGGTGCCGAGTATGGGCTTCGAGTGTCGTATCTTTGTTGATTTGGGGGTCGTTGCGAGCGCGAAACGTCTGGGTTGACGGAGAGCCCGTGCAATGCGTTCTGAGAGTTGAGCTGAGGGTTCGACCAGGGATATTGTGCGCGTCCTTGATCCTGGTCGTCGCTCATGGCTCAGAAATGCGAGCCTTTTGAGCTGGCAAGGCAAAATTTGCGGACGGTGGAAGTGGTTCGGGGTAAAGCAGGTCGGTTTATGATGGAGGACTAATAATGAGTGTGGTGACTGCCTTTGTCACACATTGGGTCGGTCACGGGTGAGTGACAGTTGTCACGCATCTAGGTCGACCATGACCATTTCATTACTTTGAAGCTTTGCACTCAGGCCTTTGAACCAGCCATAGCACCTGAGGATATACTCGGGCTGCTTTTCTAGCAAGAAAGCATGATTTTTATGAAGGCCCCTTTACGCCGCAACCGTTGACGGCTGTATACTGCGACATCCCGAATCATCGCACAGACACACATCGGCGAGGCACAGCAGCCCGGGTACTTTTCCCACTGCCTGGCCGTTCTTCTCCCAATGAAATGGCTTGCGCACCATCGCCGTCTGAGGCCGGCTCGAAGGCCTCTACGTGGCTCCCTTGTTGGGGCATATGAGGGAGGGAGAAGCTCAATGGTGGTCGGTCCCCCAACAATGCCAGCGAGGGCCACGGATTGACATTCGACACACGGATCACCCCTTCAAGCAGCGGTTTTCAAGCACCGAAGGGCACTATGAGCCTTTCTCGGTCATCAAGGTCTCATTTTCAGCTAGCGGAGGAACTTCCATCATTCCCGGTCATGCGGTCCTAAGGCATCGCAACAGTGACGCCGGACAAGCTCACCAGCTCACCAGCGTGCTCCAATAGTCAAATCGGACGAGAAGCTTTACAGACGCATTGCAGAGGTCCTTACGTTTGGTACAGACACGTTAAATCATCCCCCCTCTGCGTTGCCTTACCTACTTAAGTAAATAAAACATTAAAAGTGCGTAGCCACGTAGATATTTTTGTTTTTCATGCCACACTCTCTGGATTCTCATCATCATGTCGTTCCCGATCACCTTTGAGCCCGAAACGCTTCCGTTTGACGTAACTCGGTGCCTGTGGATCCAGAATACCTTGCTCTTCAGCTAAGTAGAGAAGAAAAGTGAGATATCAATGTGTGAGCAGATGGTGGTAGTCCTCACGTGTAGCGTGCCAGAAGTAAATCACCAAACCCACAAGAACCACAGCAAAGGAGATAAAGTAGAGCCAGTAAGGGGAGTAGTGCTGGGACGTCACAGTCAGACTGCAGTTACAAAAGACGCCGACGGATGAGAAACGCACGTAAAGGAACAAGCCAAACAGAAGCCCGTAGAAGTCACTGGAGAGGAGACTCAGGTTGTAGTACGCGGACGAGGCCATTCGGTAAAGTAACGGAGCGACCGTGTAAAGAATGAGCATCGCTACCAGGGGTATATGCCGTCAGCACTCGCCGGGTGAGATACGCCAACGCATTCTCACCTGAAGTGAAGGCAATCAAGAGCCCGACTACCGCAAGGTAAGTGGAGAGTGACGCGACTCAAGAGGGAAGACTCACTCGTTGCTCCGTTCCAAGGTGATACTTTCATCCCATCGTGTTCAAGACCGGCAGCCTGAATACCACATATCAAGAAACCCCACATGCCCAATTGACCTAACACCTAAACATATACGTGAGCTCCTAAGGTATAACTCCGCGGTCAATGAAGCAAACCTCAAATAATGGCGATTTGCGAACAAAGAATTCCTCGGTTGCGTTTGCTATGGTTCATTGGTCAGAGTTTTCACGCAACCCGGAGCAAAGACTAACTGAAGCCATAAAGCGTAGCACCAGCAATCATGAAAGCGTCACCCTTTCCTCGGGATACTGCTGTCCAGTCCTTCTCCGTGATCTGGTCTGAAGCCACAAGTAGCCCTAGGCCAGCAATACAGATGAAGACGCCCTAACGACGAATGAGCTTCCTTTTGTAGGCTGTTGGTGTGCCACGGCTCACGAGAAGTTGTGTCCAATGATACTTGACCCTCATGTACACCCACGAGAAGAACAGGCAAACGGGGATAGCCCAACTAATCAAAGCGGTGAGACAGAGGTTCAGGCGAAGAGGGGAATGGGCACGCTTACGCATCGAGAAGCATGCAGGACAAGAGGTCCGTGTATTGGTACGCCTTTCACCCCAGCCAAGTCAGTTTCTATGGGCAGTAGTTTATGATATATGGGATGCTCACTTTGACGACCATGAAGTTTGCCTCGACATCACATGCGGCAAGGATTACGTCTGTGAATGAGTTAGGTTGTCGGATTAGATGGCACCAGAGGAGCGACGTACATTTCCATCCATCTCTGAGCACCATCTGCCCCCATCCCTTCAGACCATCTAATCTCACGAATCAGCATTGAATACCGCGGTGTGGTGTAGGACATACATTGATACATTGTGTAGGGCGTGTACACCAGGAATAATGTTGTATACCTACGAGATATTCATTCCAAAGTAAATGCCAGGAAAGACGGCACTTACAAGAACAAGCTCTGTGTTGTTGGTAAATCCCATCCCCTGTTTACAAGTTCGGTGGTGGTGACATTGGTACATGTTATGCACAGTGATACAACTTGGCCGGCCAGCAGGGACAGTGCAAAGCGGCGGGTCCATATGCTGCTGAAGCGTCTCCCGACGCTCCGCACGAAGGCGCTTGGAGAGCTGTAGACGATCGGCGGGCGCTGTGAACGTTGTTGTTGTTCGTCGGCCCCGAGCTCAGAAAGCACTTGATCATCGACAAAGTCCTTCTTGCTGTCCGTGTCGCTGTGTTGGAGAGACGTCGCCATCGCTGGGTGAAGAAACACAGAAAAGGAGCGAGCAGGTGAATCGAGTCCTTTAAAGCACACGGTGTGGTGGACGTTGTCTTCTTCCCCTTGTGATAAGCGAGGGTCACCGTAAGGTCGCAGGAAAGTCCAAGTCGGCTTCGAGGGGAATCAAATCATCAATGGGTATACTGTTATATATAGTCTGTAGATGTTTCCACTGAGCCCATGTGCCTTCATCGCATACCGTAAGTTGGAATTTGATTCATCAAAATTTTCGAAGAGCTCTAGTACCAGTGATCGATCTACGCCGGCGGCTAGATAACACGAAAAATTCAACAAGGAGTTGCAGGGAGCTGCCGCCAAGCAGGGGCTTTCTACTCCTCTCTGGACTCTCTGCAATGTTGAAAACTGCTGAAAATAGGTTGTTGGGTGATCCTGCTGAAAGTTGACTGAATTGCGGCATTCCGCGTTACGGCACGGATTTGCAGTTCACGATAAGCCCATTCTTACGAGGAATGGCCCCTGTGGCGGGTGGCGAGTAAGACTAGGCTACAGGAGGCATAGCATTATGGTCTTCATCAGTTAACGAGAGGAGTGGGTGCACTTCAACAGCGGATATGTAGTGCCTGTCTCGCCTCAGTGCCTGGGCGGCGGACAGACCCTGACCAGATGCACAGAAGAATTACTACTAGAAACGATGTTGCTACTCATCGGTCCACAAACAAAGAAACGGAGCTCCAAAGATATAGGCCACCGGTAATGTAGGCGCGGATCAGTAATGTCCTTGGGCCCCAGTCCAAGGACGTATGAAGACCGCCCGAACTTTCTCGTCCGTAGGCTTCGCCGCACCCTCAAGGAGGGTCTTCAATCTTTCGATCTCTAACAGGGCGTCCTTGTATTTATTCTCGAGTTCGCTGTACGTCATCTTTTGAGGAGGCGTAGAATCTGACGGAAGGTATGTGACCCGTAATTTCTGTCCGTGGATCTCGTGGATCACTGACATAACTGGGGCATTCCACTATAGGTAATCAGTGAGAGTGAGTGAGTGTTAACCGATGCGTCGGTGAGAGATTTACGTACGATATCCGTGAGCGACAATTTCTCTCGATCGGCGGTGATGAATGTGCTCTGAATCAAGAATTTATCAGGGCAGATATAATCTGGGGGAGGCTCTGTGCGCATAGGCTGCAAGAATACTGAAGAGTGGGTTTCGGGTGAGCCATCAGCACCGCATTGCACTTGAAAGCCTTACTTGAGATCTCAAGACTTTCCCCAGGTTCGGCCCTCCCTTTGTTGGGGCGAACGAGGTATTTCTAATATTAAAAGAGAAGTCAGTTCGACGATGGTAAAAATTCCGGGTGAACATACCAGAGGCGCGCTTGTCTTCACTTTGAAGGCAATTGGCTCGGCGTTACGATTCGTGAGGATGAGGCGTTGAGTAATAACTTCATTAAAGGGACCTGAAAGATGTTTGGCATCATATACCAGGTTAATTGGGAGCGCAATTACGTTGAAAAGTCAAGACGTCGGTGGGGTGCAAAGTTACAGACATGGCAAAGCGGTGTGTACAGGGAGTTTGCTGGGGGGTGGGGTATGGGGTTGGAGGGATGGACTTTGAAAGGCTAGAAAAGTGCCTTGAGGTGGAGGGCAGTCGAAGAGCGCCAACACGCATGATCTTCATGCACGCATACACCATACCCTCTGCTCTGAACGGTGCACTCGAGGCATGTCAATCTGAATTAACGCTCGGAATCTGCCAGTGCGCCTATGATATCTGACATAGAGTGTATGTCCTACATGCTCAGGAGGTATTAAAAGCCTCAGTGAACACAGGTCCAGCAGTAGGCATCGAGCTTATTTTCGCGTCATGTCTTTACCGTGAGTACTACTAGAGTCCCGAGCATGGTCCACCAGCAGGATGGATGCCGTTATGTTGTAGGTCGCCCAGCACGCCGATCTTCCTTTCGCTGCTCGATCTATGAAAGAATACCATGTCAATCTATGATATTGACAACGCACTGGCTCCGACAGCACAAAACGCACCCAAGCCTTCTTGCAATCACGGTATGCTTGGAAGTAGTCCGTGCACTTGTCGCGAGCAAAGTCATTGCGGTTCATGCATTGCAGCGAGGCCTTTGCAGCGGCTTCACATGGACTGTGCATGAGTCTATGAGCCATTTGATCAAGAAATGGGCAACACGCTGCTCACTCGATGAACTGCGACGGTGCATGCCGGCCCTGTCACCCGGAATTCAGCATTCGGAACGAGGAAATAATTGCGGGGAGAAGGAAGCTTACTTGAAATTGTTCCCGGTAGTTGAGGGGTTTTACATTATCCTCCGGGGCAGCGTCCTTTGAAGCCATCTGGCACTGCGCTGGTCCTGGTCAAGGTATACCGTACCTTAGAGGATTCTCACAGGATTGAACCAACTTTAGTAGCGCCCATGCCCCACGTGGAAAATATACACTTCACCAATGTCCGTCGTGTGCCAGAGCTCGCTTTGTCCTAACGGCAACCCGATATCTCGTCTCGAATGTCCAACCTGCAACAAGTACGCCAGCTGACCTCGCCTGCGACCTTTTGATTGTGACCGCCGGCGGCGCTAGACTTGGTATTCAAGGATCTTTCTTTTGCACTCAAGCATGCTTTAAAGCTGGATGTAAGTCCTGTATATTGCTAGAAGCTAAGAACTAGAGAACTGAACGCTTGTTGTAGGGGTGTGTGTCAGTTTAACTGTAAATACAGGTTGTGATGACCAGGAACCTTGCAGAAAACTCATAAACTCGTTCATGATCTCGTTAAAACGAGTGGTACTGCCTATCCCGGTGAGGTGTAAACCACCCCTTATCGCGCTCGCAGCTGACCTAGAAGTGGTGCGGCATAGATGGCACCTATAATCCATTCCCAAATTTTGAGTACACGGGACCTCTAAGGCCGGTATATCCTCTATCGCCCAAACGAACTCTGCCTGAGCATATAGGGCGCCCTGATTATGCTGAAGATGGTAAGTTTCAGCTCGTACGGTTGTTATTCAACTAATGCTGATCGAACAGGTCAGCCGAAGTCTGAACTCAAGAAAGCAGGGCAACCACCGCGCATCCTGAGCCCAGAGGAGCAAGACAAGATGAGGACAGTATGTCGGGTATGTGTCAAGTCGACTATGATTAAGGGGTTGCATGGTTATTTATTATCTATCAAGCTTGGGCGTGAAGTCCTAGACCTGGCGGCGTCCCATATACGCCCCGGAGTTACGACCGACGAGATAGATGAAGTCGTGCATAACGCATGCATCGAACGAAACTCATATCCGTCTCCGTTAAACTATCGCGGATTCCCCAAATCTGTTTGCACGTAAGCCTACGCCTTGTTTGCACTTTCTGGATTTCTGATAATTAGCACTATTTCTAGGTCTGTCAACGAGTGCATTTGTCACGGAATCCCTGACCAAAGAAAGCTTCGAGAGGGCGATATAATAAACATAGGTAGGCTTCCCTAGTATCTACAACGTTTCCAGTAGCCTGATGATTGTGCTCTTTCCAGACATCAGCCTTTACCATGACGGTTTGTAGTACGGAGTCAACATTAACCAATACTTCACTCAGCTTTCTGTATCAGGCTTCCATGCCGATCTCAATGAGACCTATGCCGTCGGAGAGATCGACGAAGAGTCGAAGAAACTCATCCGTGTGACGCGAGAATGTTTAGACGACGCAATCGCGCTGTGCAGACCAGGCACTCTATTCCGCGACATAGGCAAGGCAATGTAAGTTCAATTTACTGTGTCTACGTACGTACGACTAGCGAATTAATGTCCATCAGTGAACCCAAAGCTCGGGCGAACGGTTGTGCCACCGTCCGTAATTATACTGGACACGGGATCAACGACTTGTTCCACGGCTCACCGTCTAACATTCCGCATTACGCCAAGAACAAAGCTGTTGGGACTATGAAGCCAGGAATGGTTCGTATCAATCCACTGCTCGCGAGTTTAACGTGGTGCTAACGGTTCTCGATTGCTTAGTGCTTTACCATAGAGCCTGTAGGTCCCCCTTGAGTTCGCGCAGGGACGTATGTTCATATATATATATATATATATATATATATGTATCAGATGATCAACCTGGGCTCGAACTGGGATACTGTGCACTGGCCGGACAATTGGACTGCCACTACCGTTGACGGACGGCGAAGCGCTCAATTCGAAGAGACATTGCTGTGAGGGCTCCACAACGTCACAATTCATTTGAAAACTGACCTCTTCTCTTCAGGATTACGGAAACAGGCGTCGAGATTTTAACTGCGGGAAAGAAAAGAGACCTTTAACTCTTTCACAGGGCTCCCCCTGACCGATACGAGCCTCTGCCTGCGCCTCGCAGGCAGGAAATAGTATAACCCGGGGATTTACAGTAATGTCAAAATTACAACAATCTACTCTACAGTAGGATATCTCCGGAAAATGCCAACTCTCTCTTTCTCTCTCAGCCTTACGCCTTACGCCTTAATACTCGCAGCAGCACCTGGCCCAAACCCTCGTTTCTCGCCCAGAGCGTTGTCAACGATTTTCATCATCTTCAGGACTTTCTCTTCTTCCCACTTCTTCCCGACGACTTGGATTCCTACCGGCATACCTTTCATAGCCACAGGATCGTAGAACGGATTCTTGCCCTTGTAAAGCTGATTCTCGATGATCTTCGTTCCGAGTCCGGGACCGTGAACCCATTCGTCGGTAAGCTGATCGACATCAGGATCAACTCGTGTGACGGGGATACACCCCACCGGGCTGTCGACTACGTTGTATAGAATCGTCGCTCCAGCCAAAGAGGATAATGTCATGCAACCCCTGAAAGCAAGATGAACAAAGGTCTCCGTTACAGGTACACATTACGCACCCATGGCGAAGCTGAGGTAGTGCCTGGGATGGGGCAATTATGCCGTCCAATCCGTACTTGATCCAAACCTTGCAACGGCGATCAGTACTTGCGGGGTTCGTGTACGACGGATCCCTTACCTCGTCGTAGAATTTGCGGATGAATTCATCCCGCTTGGCCGTAAAATGCCAGTATTCCGTGACAGTCTTAACGCGCGCACTTCTAATGCCGTTTGCATACATGGTGTCCCCGAAGAAGGTTTCGATCACCCATGCGGCGAACGAGCGGACGAACCCTACGCCACAGTCAACTCGGCAGCTTATCAGTTAGTTGAAAAAGGAATTACACGGCAAGTTGGACGCGGAGGTCATGTACAAGCTCGGGTCCTAACACGGCGCAACAAGTGAGCACGAAGACGGCGAAGAAGGTGATATGGGAACACTGACACGTGGATCCGATCCTAAATGAGACAGCATGGTTTTGAATCCGTCAGAGGAAGTAAGAGACACGAAGATATTGAAAGCCTCCGATGCTGTAAGCATGCAGGGTTTTAGTTTTAGACGCAGGTCGAGGCGAGCATCGAAGTCCTACCGCTGGGGAGCGCGACTTCAACGCATTCGTGCCCCTCTTTGCGCAGGGCTTCCACAGTCTCCAGGACGGCACGCTTGCAAGCAGGTGAGGCCTTGACATAACCATCTGAGAATCCAGGCCTTAATTTAGTTACCCTTGCATGGAGAAGAAGAGAAGGCGAGAATACCGGAAGTATAGTAACCGAACTTGAGCTTTGAAGGGAGATTGATTTCACGATAGGGGAGGGGTGCTGTATCGCAATACGTTCCTTGATGGCCGAAGGTCACGCGGCAAGCTACTTCAAGGTCATCCACAGATCTGTGGAGGGTGAGCGGTGGCGAACAATTCATGATCAGTTTGGCGAGAGAAAATGATGGATAGCAGGATACTCACCGCGCCATCGGTCCCACCACACTGTTGATCCCTTCGAATCCAGGAACACAACCTAGCATCAATGAGCCGTCAGATTATCAATGGGAGTTATGATAAAATCGTTATACCTTTGACACCTTGACGAGTGAGACGACCATACCCGGGTTTCAGCGAATAGATCCCGCAATATGCAGCGGGGATGCGAAGACTGCCACCAATGTCACTACCAAGGCCAATGACAGAGCCATCTAGAGCAAGCAGTGCGCCTTCGCCACCTGAGCTGCCACCACATGTATACTTGTCGTTGTACGGATTGGTTGTGGTTCCCCAGAGAGGATTGCTACACTCGAATGCAAACATAGTTTGTGGGACATTTGTTTTGACGATGGGGATAGCACCGGCCTCGAGGAGGTGCTCCACGAGCTTGATGAAAGCTTCCGCATGAGTAAGTTCAAGATGCTGATGGCATTTGTAAATACCTTCGCGTTCTTAGTGGCCGGGGAATTCGCCCATGGGGTGAACCCAATAGTTGCATCAACGCCTTCAATCTCATCTGACAAGCAGTCAAAGAGAATTCACGGTGATTTGCGACCAACTTACACTGATCCTTGATGGAGACGGGGACTCCGTGCAGAGGGCCCCGCAATGCCCCTGTATCCGCAAATTCCTTATCAAGTTCTGCAGCGCGTCGCATAGCTTGGGCAAAGAGGACTATATGCGCGTGCGCCGGGGTTAACTAGGATGCAAGCACGTTTGGTATGTCAATCCTGACCTTCAGTTACGCAGTTGGTGGCTTCCTGAGCCTGTCCTGCTTTCGCAATAAATGCCTCGACAACTTGCGTCGCGGTCCATTCACCCTTCCGGATGTTTTGCGTGATCTCAGAAGCTAACCATTGGTTTAAGCTCTAGGGAAACTACACGCGTTTCGTTGAAATAGCACTTACCCGTTGCCCGGACGTAGTGGCCGTGCGCGTCAGTTGAAAACGCTGAGGCGACTGAGAGTGCCTCTGCTCGCCGTTTACGCTTATCATCGACAATAGCCTGATAAGAAGGGGTAAACCAGATCATGTCGGGAGGGCTTCTAGGGGCGGTCAGAAGGGGGGAAGAGGGGAATTGGTCGTTCGCATTAAATATGGGGCTGAGACGGTGTACCCCTGAATTCCAGGTAGATCCCGTGTCTGAACCTGGCCAACAGACTGAACAGGGACTATGAGGAGATCGTGTGGTGGTACAGCCATGATCAATGAAGTAAAAACAAGTTCCTCCAGGCTACAAATAAGCAAATCGTGATGGTGATCTCAAGACAACTCAATCTTCGCACGAGGACATATCCTCGTATGGTCAAGGCTGATTGCTTCATATTCGAATGTGCAATATATATCCCAGGCTATCGAATACAATAAAACATATGTGGATAATGAGCTTGACGGCAGGCAGCAGCGAGGACGAAATCCTGGAGCAGGTCAAGACGAAGGCAGGGGTGGGGGAGCGTCAGGCTGAGGGGCGAAAATGAGATTGAGGGGTGGCGTGGTCGCGCTATCCTCGCTCAGAATGGTGGCGATGATAGATCGCCCTGCAAATGATCGCCCAGCTAAACTCTTCAGACCCTTGTTCGCGCTCTCCGCGTCGTAGTATTTGACATACACACGCCCAACGCCCGCAGCCTCGTCGGCCCTTGTCGCATCCTGAGGGTTCAGCCCTTCGCCGCCCCACTTAGACTTGTCCCGCTTAATTGGACGAGGAATCCTAAGGTCTTCAACCGGTCCGAATTTCGAACACTCTTCCTTGACGTCCTCGTACAAATCGCCATACTCGCCGTCGTCAATCAGATCGTCAGATGTGACCATGTTGAGCATGAGTAGAATGCGAGCATCTTGGCCGTTGCTCTCGCCGGCTGGCATGATGGGTCTGGGGATTTCCGGGAATTGGTCGTATGGAAGATTGGGAATCATGCCGGGTGTTCCTGGTTTGGCACCAACAGATGCACGTTGTACCACGAGGTAGCGGTCTCCCAGCTCCATGCCGTTCAGAGCCTGTATGGCCACATCCGTGACGTTTGGGTCAACGTATTCGAAGAACGCGAAGCCCTGAATCATTGCGAGCGTTAGCAAATATTAACGGAAGAGGAAAACTGCCGGGTACCTTAGAAGGACCACTGCCGTTCTCGCGAACCAGATTGAAGGCCTTGAGCTCGCCGAACGTCTTTAGCAATTCCATGACTTGCTCTTCGTTGAGGTACACAGGAAGGCCACCGACAAAGACTTTGTTGATCGAGTCAGGAACATTCGTAGAAACGACACCAGGTACGTGCACGCTGGGGGAAGACATGTCGATGCCGCCGTAATCTTTGGGCCGGCGAATTTTGAGGGGACCGTTAATGAAAATGATGCCGTCAAAAGCCATAGCGGCGGTGGCATCTTCAGCGCTGCGGAACTGTAGTTACGTTAGTATTGATTGTTCATGTCGTGAAAGGAATGCAGACGAACTTCGACGAAGGCGTAGTTCTTTTCGTAATTACACTGAACGGCGAGAACTGGGTTTCCTGGACCACCTGTACCGATGCTCATCTCAATCATCTTCGAATTGAAGAAGTCAGCCAAGTTCTGCTCGGTGATATCGGGGGTGATGCTGCCGATATAAAGACGACGCGACTGTCTGGAGAGGTTCGGATTAACGCCGATACCCATGCCAAAGGTCTGAACAGGCATTGGGGGAGGTAACCCAGGGATTCCTAGAATAGGCGGGATTTGCGTTCGGTTGGCACCAGGAAGGTTGAACATCCCTTGAATGAAGACATTTCTTAGCACGACTAGTTTGGGGAGCAAACGTATGTGTCTTACCTGTTTGCTTCGCTTGCATGGCGGTATATTGCTCGTAACCTGGGGCATGGACATCCCAGCCAGATGCTTTGCGTTTTCTTTGCGACAGGGGCACAGCGCCTTCGGGAGTTGGTGATCGCCGCTCTGGCGTGCCAGGGCCTTCACGCTTGCCCCCTCCCCCGCCTCCACCGCCACCACCTCGACGACGGTCCCCGCCTCTGTCATCTCTGAAGCCTCCTCCCCCTTCCTCGTCTCTCCGTCCACGGTACCCACCTCGTCGGTCATCATCGTGTCGAGGGCGTCGGTGGTCGTCGTGGTCTCTTCCCCCACGACCGTATCGTTCATGGCGGTCATCTCCTCTCCTGCTTCCGTACCTCTCTGCACCGCGGTCTCTGTCCCTATCACCTCCTCGATGATGGCCCTCCCTATCACGGTCATCGTGTCTGCTCGATCGGTGTCGCTCTTCGCGGAATGCCCCACGTTCTGTAAAAAGAAAAGGAAACGGAACCTAGGTAAGTATGAAACGTTGCAAGCGCTATTCAAGCACTTTGACGGTGACTCTGTCAGGTACGGAGGACGACCAGATCTGCGAGGGCTAGCTAGCTGAAATGGGTGGGTAGTTGCATGGTGCGAGAACAATGAAGGGGAGGCAAATGCACCATGAGATCAACGTTCTCCGAACAGCAGGATGACAAAAAGGAAAAATGTCGCCAAGCTCGTCAACGAAGCGGCTTCATAACCCTGGAGTCAAAGTGAGTGTAAAGGAGAAATCTGGGCTCACCATATTCGTCGGCCATGGTGATGGTCACTTCGTCGTCAACCTTTTGGTGCAGTTGGTTGGTGAGAGGGAACTCTTTTAAGCTCCGCACGTCTGAGGCCAGAGCTCGCGGTGGGCGCCTCTTCTACACCCATATTCGTACAGCACCGGCTTGCATCATTCCCCTCGTCCTCCCAGAAACATGCCTACAGATTTACCATATGCCGCAGATGCTGAAGTGTCTCTTTCATTCGACGAACTCGACGTGAGGAATCCGCTTCATGGTTGTCGCCATTGCTCATTCCTTCCAGGTGCTCCGGACTCAATATGAGAAGGAGCTCGCGCAGCAGCACGTCACGGTACAGACAAAGTTTAACTATGCATGGGGCCTAGTGAAGAGCCCCCGGCAAGGGGACAATGTGGAGGGCGTGCGGCTCCTACAAGGTATGCGTCCAAAGCGCATGCCCTACGAAGCTAATTCCTGCGTGGCGTGTAGACATATATCGCGCAGAGCCAACACGACGGAGAGAATGTTTGTATTATCTCGCGTTGGGCCATTTCAAGATGGGAAACTTCCAAGAGGCGAAGCGATTTAATGGCGAGTTCCATCGTTCCCCTTGTTGCTTTGTCCCCCTGACATTCTCCAGAGCTATTACTAGAGAAAGAGCCAACGAATCTCCAGGCTCAGAGCCTTTCACAGCTCATTGACAGTGGAGTAGCAAAAGGTATGTTGTATCGACTGATTTTGTGTATCGATTGCTCACTTTTATCGGAAGAGGGCTATATTGGAATGGCTATGGTTGGCGGTGTCGCAGCCGTGGGGACGCTTCTCCTTGCTGGTCTTATACGGGGAGCCATTCGAAAATAGATAAATCATCTGAGCGCTAATATCTTCGTCTATACATTGCCCATACCGCCCTCTTATCTTACGCTCTGACGACATGCCACACGACCAGACATTCACGTTGACCCTCGCTATCACACCCTCAAGGTGCAAGCTAACGCTATATTTCCATTTCCGGTATACTGGTTGTATAGTCCCCTTGACCTTAATCTGCCGCAAAGGCTCAAGCTTTCCATCTGTACATCAATACTATAATGCCTCAGTAATACAAGATGCAATGTCAGGATGCGTGAATAATTAGTGTATGTAGATGCTTGACTTCCTCCTCTAGCGCAATGTGTGTCTCGCTCGGGCTTGATAAATAGATAATCGTAGATTTGCGTGAATATCGTAAGGTCATGTTGGAAGAAAGTTGGCTGCAATGGAGGTTAGAAAAGTGGTTGAACGTTGGACGGGAGGTGCCTTACCAGCTTCGGCCATCATCTCCTCTGGTGTTCTCTAAAGAGAAGGGCGTGAATTATTTTTATCTCCATACCCATGTGTCAACGTCAGTAGGTGGTGTGATAGGTACCTTAAATGCAGCGATGCCGAGTATGACGAAGCCGGCTAGAACTCCAGCGGAAAATATGATCCAGAAGCACGCCCATACTGTTAAAGAATGAATCAATATACGAAGGTGGCGGCGGGGAAGCAACGTACTGTGAGCAGGTACTCTCGGAATTAAGACGTTGAATTGTGTGGCGTCAGACTGATTGGTTTTATGAAAGAATCGATCGTCGGCAACATCCCCTGGTGATAGAATGAGCTATGCTAGACAACTTGCAATACTTGAGGTACTAACATATGACGAAGAGGATACTGAGTGCAGAGTGAGCTAAAGGATGAGAAACATAATGCACGAAGTACTTACTTCATGACACCGACGAAGAGGCAATACCATCTCAGAGGCTCTCTGTTGAACGAACTTCAGCTAACACTTCAACGGTACGGCGAAGAACGTACGCATGGTCAATGAACCAGAATCCGATCAGTAAGCCCTCGTAGAACATTGTCAACAGGATCGTCCTAGTGGCATATATAGTAAGCACATCTCAAGATAGACAATAAGCCTTACAGTTTGTCGAGGATGAGTACCAACGGCATGACCAGCCCTACGCCGAGCACGAAACTCATGATCTTGGCGACCAAGGTATCGAAGCCGGCCAGTATAAATATCCCACCGAGCAACGTGGACCCGATATAGCCAGCGGAAAGAATAATGTACGGATGTCCCCCTTCGACTATTGTCGCACCGCCGATGAACGGGTCGATCGTCACCTTCAGTATCCTGCCCCCAGTTAATATCGCCTAGTAGACAATTAGTTCGGAGTCACACGAAGCCACGGGGCACGCACCATTGATATGTGGCACAGTTCATGCCAACCTATCGTAAAGAGCTTCAATGGGTTGATGATATTCCGTACGCCGGGGACGTTCCAGAAGCCAAAGATAACCACACTCATGGCAATAATCTAAGGGATATAGGTAATTGGATCCATAAACCCAATTTAGCTGGGAACATACCACATAGCAGACAACAATCTAAGCATATTGCCGTCAGCCATCGACTCGAGTTCCCAGCAGTTATCAGGACACACCTGGTCGCCTGTTGGTTGCGCAGCGGGGATGGGCGTTGGCGGAGGTATCGGGTCTGCTATCGGTGGCCTGGTAGGTATGGCTGCCATCGTTCAAGTAAGGCTATGATTAGTGAATCCCGCGACCTGTTATGTGGAGTCCTGGTCGTCGAAAGGTTCAAAGAGAGTGGAAGTGGAGAGCTGGGAAGCCACAGCAAGCCTCGAGAGTTTAATAGATGCGCAGGATGCCCGTTATGTAAGAAAGTGGAGGTGAAGTCGTTGAATCGTCCCGGTGGCCTCGTGTCAACCTGATGTTCGAGTTCTGCGATCACTAAAGGTTCCGTCGGTGTAGTTGTCTAAATAAGGAAATCGACTCGAACGCGTCGAGCACGTGATCATGGATCCCGTATAAAACCACAGGGCCCTCGCATTTCCTCCATCTCCTCTCTTCCCCATCTACCACCTTCTTCAGCCACTCCACCGCAAACAAGAAGTATAAGAATGGTGAGCTATATGCTGTTCTTACCGCATTTTTTGCCCATTCTGAATCGCTGCAATCTTAGTCTGGAAAAGGGAAAGCGTTAGTGAATTTCCCTATACCAACATGCTACGCGTTTTAACGCGTATAAACAAGTGGCAAATCATCGTCTGGAAAGACTGGAAGTGGCGATGCTAAGTCACAATCGCGTTCTGCCAAGGCTGGATTGCAGTTCCCAGTTGGACGTGTCCATAGGCTGTTGAAGAAGGGGAACTACGCCAAGCGCGTTGGAGCTGGCGCCCCAGGTACGATCCCGTATTGTCATCTAGTTAGTTGAATATTCTAATGTCTCCGACAGTTTATCTCGCCGCAGTCCTTGAATATCTTGCCGCCGAGATCCTCGAGCTTGCCGGAAATGCCGCCCGAGACAACAAGAAACAACGTATTGTTCCAAGGCATCTCCAGCTAGCCATTAGGAACGATGAGGAGTACGATCCGTGCCTACTCTATTCGTGTCTGTTTACCAATCCGTTCTCTAGGTTAAACAAGCTTCTCGGACACGTTATCATCAGCCAGGGCGGCGTTGTGCCCTTCATCAACCCCGAACTTCTGCCAACCAAGTCTGCGAAAGGAAAGCGAGAGAGTGGTGCTTCGCAAGAAGTCTGATTGCCTCCGTCCGACCGCCCATCTATACGCATTAGTCGCAACTAATACGCTTGTCGACCCTGTACTTGTATTCTCTGCTAATCTTAGCGTATCTTGTCGAGCTTCTTGCCTTTGCTTACAATGTGATGCATATATTAAATGAATGATATTCAGCGTATATATCATAGATAATCTGCGTCCTCTTGTCGTGGCTTGACAACACCGCTCTTGCCCGAGCTGGCGTACATCACCTCAGCCTCGACGAGCTCCGGGGCATTATATGAGCCCGCTTGCCCTTCCTGGAAGATGTTGCCGAGTCCTGCAGGGAATGTCGATGTTGGTAATTGCAGCTGTTCTGTGGGTCGTTTTGTGAGGAATAGACGAAGTAGGGAATCCTCCGCGGCCTAAGAAATATCTATGAGAGGCAGTTTCTACATGAGACAATTGTCACATACCCTATATTCGGCCATCTTCAATGAGCTTCCGAAACCCTCGCCGAGTTTGTCTCCTCCAGAAAAGATACCAACGACGAAAATGGGTGAGTTGGTGTATCTACCCGTTTCCTTCAACAGTCTGCATGCCATGTTAGGCTCTGAGGGTCGATGATGGAAATGCGATTACCTTGATTTTGGTCGCTCCCGTCCAAATTTATTCACCGCTTCTAGGAGGGCCTTCTTCGGATTGAAGAACTTGATCATGCCTCGTAGGTCAATTTCGCGAGTCAGGAAATACGAGTGAACGAATTGTCTGGCTGATAAAATGGACCGCTTCTGGTATAGAATGGCCGTTATTGAGCGGGGGATAGATGCAAGGGCGTCGGTATGAAGTATTGGAGGACGGGCGGGCATCGGAGGCTGATAGAATACATGAAGGCAAGTGTTACGGAAGAGGGCGACGGAAACGTACCGCTCGATGCCACCGCAATAGAGGACCAGCTCCCATCTCTTGTGATATGCTAGCGCAAGTCAACGGGCCAACGTGAGCGGTGACTGCTGCTTTCAGCACTCGCGTCGGGAGGTATGGATACGACGCGTGAAGGTGTTCCGCGGCGAACAGACCCATCAACGCGTTCCCCAACGGCGCAAGTTGTGCATTCGTCTTCGGGTCGTGGTGGTTCGGGTAATGGGACTTGTAAAACGGGCCAAAGGATTCGTGCGTGCACGCCTGCTGTATTATTTCCGGCGAGTCCAGGACTGACGTGAGTCCTATTCTATGGGCAAAAGCGGAGAGCGCAGAGGTTGGCGGAGGTTGCAGTGAAGCCCATGTTTCCGGAGAAAACGGTTTTGGAAGTTCTGTGCGCTGAAAAAGAGCTTCTTTGGGAGGGAATTTGGAGAGAGACGAGGCAGAAACGGAGACTAGTTTGGCTGCAGTCGACGCCAGCCGTTTCTGCACATGATGGACCATTGGCAAGCGAGTGTTCGTTTGGGCGCGAATGCGCTTGTGATCTTGCAAAAACGCGTCGGTCTTCGCCGGGAGTTAACCCACAAGATAAGTCACTTTCGTATTATGTAATTTGGCGCATTTGACTGCATTTGAAACGCCACGTGGGCCGCCCGCCGCTGGACATATCATTCTTGGCCCAAACCGCCCGGCCAGTCCGACATACTCGAGGCAGTACCACCACAGCTTAAAACACGCCTTCAAGACACACAGATCACCTTCTCCTCATCCCACCACCTCCCGCATCGTGAGCCTGCGCAAAAATGGCAGTCTTGTCTCTGCCATTGAACTTCAACAATTCGTTCTGGACGCACGACTACCGCCGTGGTCTCGAAGTCTTGTACAACAAACTTGAGCAGGTACGCCCCGTACACTGTACCTAGTGGACGGCCGACAGAGCATGCTCTTGTAGGGAGTCGCAGAAAATGAGGAGATTGTAACGTTTATTAGGGTAGGTCTTATTACGCCGTTGGGTAGACCGACGTCTAATCCTTTACAGTCGCGCGCCATTGCCGAGGGCGCGCTGGCCACGTCTCTCACTGTGCCTATGCCTACCGGCGCCCCAGGTGTGTCGTGTTGAACGGCCTTACGAAGCCAGGGAAATAACCGTTTCACAGGAAGTGGCTTCGGAGCCGACGACGGGGCATCTCTTCTCCACACCTTCATTGGCCTCCAGGCGGAATCCGTAGCACAAGGAAAGGCCCATCAAGTCGTGTCCAAAGAACTTCACACTTTAGTCGCGGATCCCTTCGACGTGTGGGCGCGTGGTTATCAGGTATCACATCCCCCCTTTACCGTGTTCACAAAATGACTAATCGCGTACGCAGGAGAGAGTGAAGCAAAGTCGCGCGGCCGTTGTTGAAGGCTGGCTGCGTTCTTATGAACACGCTCAAGCAGACGTAAGAAAGAGCCTTTTACACATGTCTATAGCAAACTCAATCAAAAACATGCAGGTGGCGAAGCTGAAGCAACAATACCTGGCAAAGACTAGGCGCGCAGACGAAGCGGAAGACGAGTACGTGCAGTGCTGTGTAACTTGACGATCGACTATTAACAGCTACTCCAGTGCAAAGTTTGCGCCAAACAGCGGAGGAGTGGATAACTACACAAGTTCCCCTCGGCTTCGTGCTGTTGACGGTCGCGCTCCGCCGCAAAGAACCGCGAGCGTATCGGAACGTATTGCCTTGCGCTTGAAGGAGTTGCAGAAGAAGGCCATGTCCGTTGCTGCTGAGGACCCAAACCACACGCCCCAGGAGAACGCTGAGGAACCGGTGGTCCCCAAGATTGACAAGGGTAAAGGTAAAGCAACCGACGATGCCCCAGGATCCCCTCCAATACTTGCCTCTCCTCCCCCCATGTCCCCTTTGCCCGAGAAGCATCTGGACTTGCCCCCTGCCTCCCCTATCGGTGCACCAAATCCATCCCCCATCCTACTAGCGGGTCTAGCTTTTACACCAGCATCTCTTTCAAAGCTACTTCTACGTGCCTCTCACGAGATGCACTTGCGACCAGTCCGGTTCCCGCTACTTGGTGAATACCAGGATTGTTTCACCGGCGAGGAAATAGCTGCATGGTTGAACGAACACGTCCCTGGATTCGGTGGTGACTTGGATCGAGCTGAGGATGCTGCCAGAGATCTTACCGAGCGGGAGGGTCTGCTGCGTAGAATCGGGGAGCTAGGCAACCAGTTTGAGCTGTCTGACGAGGCGTTCTACCAATTCCGTCCCAAGGTACATATGGTTCCAATCCAACTATGCGAGTAACTTTACTGACGTATCACCAGGCCTTCGACCTTGAAGGCAAAAATGCAGACGCAAACCCACCAGCAGCCCCAGCCAAGCCCTTCGACATCATGAAGCGTACGGGTAACTTCGCAAACCTCGTATCCAAGGCTCTAAACGCAAATCCCAACGGAGAGCCTGCCTACGTGCGGGCGCGCCGCGAAGCAGAAGAAGCCGACAAGGCGTACCGCATCGGTGTACGCAGATTAGACAGGCAACGCCTGGGACTCGAAGATAAGATCGAGGAGAACCTGAAGACTCTTCAGCGATGGGAAAGCGAGAGGTTAAGTGCTGTCAAGACAGGTAAAGCTCCGTTTATATACCGATTACGCGGTCATATACTAACGACACTGTCTTTAGTGCTCCTCCAGTACCACGCCACTCTGGCTAACCTGCCCAAGTCACTTGAGCCCTCTCTAGAGCGTTCGTCTACGTGCATCTCGGCGTACCAGCCTGAGAACGATTTGACTGCGCTCATTGAACGTTACCGCACGGGCCCCTTCCGACCTCACGCGCATGTCTACGAGTCTGTTGCTCATGATGACTCTGACGTTGTCTTTGGTATTGACCTCAGGAAGTGGGCTGAAGGCAGCTGGACTGCCATGACCACTGGTGAAGAGAAAAAGGAGCTGGTCCCCCGTGTGTTGACCACATTATTGAACGCTCTCAAAGCTTCTTACCAGAAACTCGAAAACGATGATGGTAAATCATTAGTGCAGGCATACATAGTACAAGCTAACTTTGCCTTATCACTTAGAGAAGCGCAAGTCCTGGATCTACGAAGTCCCGTTGCCCGCTGCACATCATCTTCGTGAAGCTTTGAACGGACTTGATGCGGAGCAGGCCATTCCTGCTAACTTCTTCGACCAGTATGATGCGGCAGTCATCGCTAGTACCCTGAAGCTATGGATCCTTGAACTCGATCCGCCTGTCGCCCTCTGGGAAGGCTGGGATGATATTCGCAAGCTCTATCCGACTGTTGGCCATACTGAAACAGAGAAAGGCAAAACGGACGAACAGCGGATACAGGACATTAGTGCTGCTTTGCAAAAGCTTCCCCGAGTTCATCTTTATGTTCTTGATGCTGTTGTCAGCCATCTCAAGGAGTAAGAACTTCATTCGACGTAGCCGCGGCGGTTATACTAATACCTCATACAGGCTCATGGCTTCCACGAAGGTTGAAGAGGCCGATGAGGTATACATCACCAAGTTGGCTCTGTCTGTGGGACGCAGTAAGTATCGACAAAGCGTAATCCCTACCAGAGTCTAAACGTCTTTTAGCTATCGTCAGACCTAAAGTCGAAACCGAGCTGTCGATTCAAGACAGGCACCCTACTCGTAAGTCTGAGCGTATGAGTATCCTCCTGTATGTTGATCACTTTGCCCGCAGTCATGTTCATCGACCTTCTCAAGCATTACGACGCCATTCTTCCTCCCACCATTGCTCGCAAGAAGCGCGAATCTGAACGCAAAGTGCCTATCAGGAAGCGAACCGCTCCCATCGACATGCGGTTGAGCCGCAGCCGTATTTCGGTAGGAGCGGACGCAAAACAACTTCTTGCTGCCCAGCAACAAGCGCAGAACCCCTCCCTTGTTCGAGCGAAGTCTCCCCCACTTCCGCCACAGACGCTCCCCTCCATGGAGACTGCCCTTACTTCGCCGCCTCCGCCTCCCCCCGTCGAAAAGCCTGTTGTTCAAGCGCCACCGCCACCTCCTCCCGTTGCTGAGCCTGCTTTGGTAGCCCCGCCACCACCTCCACCCATTGTCTCTCAGCCAGCCGTTCCTTCGCCACCGCCTACGATTCCCTCTCCCCCGGTCAAGACACCAGAGGATCCACCTCGGCCAGCTTTCAAGGAACCCCCTCCCGAAATTGACGATTTGCCTCCACGACCGAGCTTCAAGGAACCGCCCCCAGAAATTGATGATTTGCCTCCACGGCCAACGTTCACGGAACCACCAGTTGAGGAACCCACAAGTTTCACACCCCCTGGTCCTCCACCACCAATCACTAACGTCACGCCGCCAACACCACAAAGCAACAATTTGAAGCGTGTTAGTGCAACTTACCGATCGAACAGCCCCTCTCCAACCAAGATAGCCTCGCGTAGCCCTTCCCCTCCTGGTGAAGATCGTCGTTCCTCTTTGTCGCGTTCTTCCTCTGGTCAATCAGCGGCGATTCGCGGTCCCAGAGGTGCTCGTGGTCCCCGTGCCCCTGGCAGTGTGACCAGCATTGTACAAAATTTGAACAGAAGTAGTGTGAGCGGATCTCCGCCTGGCACTTCACATACGTCCCCCGATCCAAGAAGGCTCTCTGGATCCCCAGCACGTCGCTCTAGTGTCCTGAACAGGACATCTGCCTTTTCAAGGAGAACGATGGCTAGCGACGCCGAGGACGACATCGTGGATAAGAAGTAGGCTTTGGAACTTGATATGATCCCTACTTTCCGTGCTGGCAAGGACAATTCTCTGGAGGTGTGTTTATGGTCAAGTATGCGTATGATCTATGTATGGACTCCTAATTATCGAGCGTCGGAGTGTTGTTGAATTCTGGCCCATGTCGTACGATGTCGTTTCACATATACGTTGTACGGTCGATTCTTGGATTGGAAGTCTCATTGTTTAAACGTTTACTGCTTGCCTATTGTGGCAATGCTCCCAGTTACTAACTGTGCACACGGTTTCCCGGCCATTCTTCTCACCGTACCACCATGTCTGCCGAAAAGTTGATAAGCAAAGGAGGGGATTTGCCTGCTCCTCTGGTGGCTAGTCGGGCGAAGCCTTCCCGGCCTTGGCGTCGTCTATTGGTGTTCACAGTAGCTTGCGGTTACGCACTCTTATCCGCGACGCGCCGGGAGATCTTTCCATTGAAGCACTGCTGCGACGAAGACTTGTGTTTCCAAGCAAATGAACTCACTCCAGATAAGCATGGTGATCTATGGGCAGACATAGGATCCACCATTAGCACAGACGCATTCAAGACCAAGGCAATTGACTGGTTAGCAGGAGCTGTCCGCGTCCCGTGAGTAACTGCAGCAATATATTCTAGATATTCTGAACTAATCTACAGCAATGTTACGTAGTACGGAGTCGTACGATAAGATGGACCCCGTTGGCGTCGATCCACGCTGGGAGGCCTTTGCACCTTTCCACAGTTATCTACTTTCTGCTTTCCCTTTGGTGTGAGTTCATTGCAACATTACCAATATTACTCACGGAATGCGCTCTGAACTTACTACCCCCTTGGGTTAGTCACTCTACGCTTGCCCTGACGAAAGTCAATACATACGGATTGTGGTACGAATGGGTGGGTTCTGACGCGTCATTGAAACCGCTTTTACTTGCTGCGCATCAAGGTCGGTGACCAGCACTAGGGAGTAGCCGTGCGATGTTTGCTCATTTGAATACGTTCTAGATGTTGTCCCCGTGGATCCAACCACTGTCGATCAATGGGAGCATCCTCCATACTCTGGTTTTTTTGATGGTACAAACTTCGCTTTTGGAATAGCCACAATTGCTGATCATGCAAAAAGGTCAACGGGTTTGGGGCCGAGGCAGTAGCGACGATAAGAGTGGGCTGATCGGTATCTTGTCCGTTCTAATTCACTGTTCCCACATTTACGTTACTCACAATGAGCGCTGCAGGTCCACAATCGAAACCCTCCTTGCGAAGGGGTTCAAACCCACCCGTACGGTAGTGCTCGCATTTGGTTTTGATGAAGAGGCTAGCGGAGTTCACGTAGGTCAACTCCTCATTGACTAGTACTGCTTCTCATAATACCTTAGGGAGCCGGTCATCTTGGTAAAGCTCTCACTGAGCATTACGGTGAAGGCTCGATCGCAATGGTTGTAGATGAAGGAGGTGTGTACAAAAAGACTGAAAACGCCAGCTGCGTCGACCTTGACGCTTGATATGTGTAGCTGGCTTTATGGAGAACTTTGGCACCATTTTCGCCACACCCGGAATTGCCGAGAAAGGTTACTTGGATGTCAGAGTTGACGTGACCTCCGCGGGCGGTCATTCTTCGATTCCACCTAAACATACCGTGCGTATATTTTCCTTCCATCACGGGACTGTTTACTTACTCTTCCGTCAGAGCATTGGTATACTCGCTGCCTTACTGGTTGAATACGAATCGAATCCGTACGACGTCCACATCGTGAGTTATGGCTGAACCATCTCGAATGTTTGCCAACCACATGCTATTCAGGACCCGCATTCACCTATTTTCGGCACTCTCTCTTGCTATGCCGAGCACGCCAAGGAGCTTCCTTCCAACCTTCGTAAGGCAATCAAGCAAGCACCTCACTCCAAGAAGGCCATGCGTAGCCTGGAGAAAGTGATTTTAGCGGACAAGATCTATAGAAGCCTCATAGGCACCACTCAAGCTATCACTTTGACTCAAGGGGGTGTCAAGTCCAATGCCCTACCTGAGCAAGCTTGGGCGGTCGTGAACCATCGTATCGCAACAGAGAGGTGCGCATTGACTAGTTCTACCACCACCCTGGATTTAGCATTGAACCTTCACATGTCGCAGCTCGGTCGCGGCCACGATGAAGCATGACACGCAGTTGCTCAAATCTCTGTCAAAGAAATTCAATCTCACTTACACCAGCTTTGGGGCGAAATTGTCTGAAAAGGACTCACCATCTAGCGGGACGCTTACTCTCAGCGACGCATGGGGTACCGCGTTGGAACCAGCGCCCATAACTCCTACAGGGCGGGACGCAGCGCCGTATGCCCTTCTCTCTGGGACCATCAAGGCTACCTTCAACTCCCACCGATCTCTCCAGGGCGACAACATCGCCATGAGCCCAGGCATCATGTCCGGAAACACAGGCGAGTGATCATACGATAATAATCGCCGTCGGGCGCTGATACCTGCCTGTGTTGTTAATTAGATACGAGATATTATTGGAAGCTTTCTGACCACATATTCCGGTATAATCATCACAATCAAGGAAACAGCAGCAATGTGCTTGGCGGCGTGCACACTGTAAACGAATGTACGCTCCCTCATTGTGCAGCCTTGATTAACCCCCATTAACCATTGGTGCTATAGCTCTCGATGTGGATGCATTCCTGGAGATGATTAGGTTCTTCACCACATTGATCCTCAACGCGGACGAGAGTGTTACACTATAAATGTGAACCACAATATCAATGCTGCAATACAAAAACTCCCGAGATACTGAATTGCTTACTTCTTGCGACCTCCTTATATTATACGCTGGACGACTTGTCCTCAACGCCTGTAGATGCAGCGAAATTCGTAGGATTTCTTCTACCGATCCCCCGCGAGGGGCCCTGGTTCTTTTCGGGGGACCGCAATCATATACACTGGTCAACTAGAGGTAGCTCTTCTTTGTTAATGAAGGCCAGTCGTCGCCGTGTGATGTACCCCAACACCGGTAATCGTCGTTATTTCGCGATGCATGATTTGCGAGCCTATCCTCTGCAGATGTGCATTGGCCCTGAGCGCAACCTTGCTTGCCTATGGGAAGCGGAGAAATGGAGAAGAGACATGATGATAGTCAATTTATAGTTGCAGATTTTGCAACAACCCTTGGTTCTGGGATGGCAACGGAGCTAACTACTCCCCATGCAGACAGTAGGTTCGTTCGAGTCGGCGACTCGGAAAGAGTTTACCACTTAGATTGAGTCGAAAACTGTTGCCAGCTCTTGGTCCTCTTTCTTCCACGTAGATAGCTTTTATATGTTTTACTTAACTAGTTACGATTATTATTTATTATCTAGCTCCCTAGGAGGTCAACAATGTACCCCTTGCATCGAAAGAAAGTCTGAACCTTTCCCAGCCTTTCGCAAGCCCATACGCCAATTCAAACTATACAAAAAAGGAATTGTAAGTATATCACCGTTGATGTCGTCAAAAGGTACCTTGCCAGGAATGAGGTACCATATGCAACGCGACGGTTATGTCTAGCGCTCGCAGCATGCAAATACGTCTCACCGTTTGAAATCATGAAGTGGTTTGATTGTTTCGTGCGGCTAGCAATCTGAACACCACGCATCTGGCAAGTACATGATTGCGGAGAATGTGAACTTACGAAGGCAAGAGAGAGAGGATGCTACTCATGCAGCATGTAAGTAGTTGCAATGCAGGGAGTCCACCCCACTGACCTTGTAATTGCCAGCGTATAGCTGATCAACCGACTAATGATACTTTTTGTGCTATATAGGTATAGGTCAGCTGCCATCTATCATCTATATGCATGGGCATCCGTACCGAGAGAAATGTGTTTCGAGACCACTTTTGAGGTAATAAATCATGCTCAAAGTTATCAAGGCATCCGAGATCAAACTCGCGGAGAGTTGGGCATATCGGGGAACCTTGGTATGTACAGAGTCATTTAGAAATCGATATAAAGGAAGTCTGATCGCTATAACAGCTGTGCTGCCTTCCGTTCGGAAAGGGCCGCCAAATTCGCAGAGGCCCAGTCCTTGCCGGTGGCTTCAAAGATTCTACCCACAATTGAATCAGGTTGAGTAATGAGCTTTTTCACGGGCTAGCGGAACCTACAATCCTGCAGCAATTACTGCGAAGGGTTACTGTTGACAGTGGTACATGTATGACAGTTTATCACTTACCTAAAGCAGATCCTGTAGTGGAGGCCGTTTCAGGCTAGCACTGCAGTCATTCGATTCCGGGTGCACTACATACCTAATTCACACAATGTGGGAAATATCTGCAATCGGATCAGTGAGACTAACGATGGCTCCAGCCAACAACTTGTTGCGGTTGCTCACTGAATCTTCTATTCAGAGATATCAGCTATGATAGAAACCACCACTCACAGCGCCAGATCCTCATCACATAAGCGCTATACATATATGTAGTCAGTAGAACAGAGGTTTAGGGCCTTGAAGCTTCGCGATACCTTTTCACTATCTATTCAGGACAGAGATGCCTTATGATATGGCTATTATCAGGAACACATCAAGCATCGCTGGGAAACACGAACCCCGAGCAGCTCAACTATCTATGACCAGTTGAGCATTCAGACCTCGAAACACGATATTCAACGAGAAAGACATACCAGGAGCGTGCTATGGTTGCGAACGTCAAAGTGTTGTTAGCGCGAATTTCCATAAACCGGGGAAACACTGACATTTCCCGAATGTGGTCTTCGTGACAAGTAATTTCTCGATCCATGCAATACGTCGCTCAGAGTCATGAATGACATGTAGACTGTGTGGGATAGGAACGCAAAGCGGGCAGAATCCATGAAACTGTAGAGAAGGAAAGAGGTCGAGCAAAAGAACAACGGTACGAAAACTATCCACATTAAGATTGACACCTATGGTTGCACAAGCGTGAGTATCGATTGAACGCAGCCTTCAAATAATCTACCATGTATTTCAGGTATCGAGGGTCGCTACGATAGACCCTGAAATAGAAAACTGCTTGACAAATTGATACTGCGTATAATCTAGGAGCGAGGAGGTGAGTAGCAGAGAAGAACACGAGCGATCAGCACTGCCTACGGAGAAGATAGGACAAGGCCTAGCATAGACAAGCATAAGAGCAGGATTCTCTAAGTCCTGGGCAGCATGGCACTGACCGAGGAGATATGGAGCTAAGAGCTCTTGGAACGGTAACATTCGATTTGAAGAGACATTCACTAAGATTCGAGGTGACATTGTTGCGACGATGGGGAGAAAGGTGGCGTTTCATGTATTTCGTCCTAATAGATGTTTAGGAGCATTCTAGCATCTGTTCATCAAAGACAGCAACGAAACAGTCAAAAGATTCTATCACAGTTATTCGCGCCTACAACAGATATGATGATATGTTGATGCCATTGTTGCATTCCACCTCAGTTGAGCTCGTCAGACCTAGGCATAATTGGACGTGTATTCAATTTCCCATTTCTGATGTACGCTCTTTCCACTTTCTCGAACAGCGACGGGTGGAGGAACCCAGCTTCGTTTCCAGGAGTCAGGACAACCCCATTAGTGGATAAGAAGAATTTGATCCCAGAGGACAGTGCAAGGTGGAGATTGATATAGACGAGGATGTCGGAGCGGGGGCGTAAGCCTAGCAAGTCAGCTGAAGGATAAGAGAACCAACACGAATTAATCAATTTACCGCTGATCGCAGTGAATGGCTGTGAGTCAGGAAGATGACTCGCAAGATGTATATGGTTTCTACTCATGCGTGATAAGCCTTGTGCAGCTAAGGGAGTGTTAGTACATACGGTATGGTGAGAATACGGTGTAAACAACGTACCTATCGAGTCCCAAGCCTCGAAGGATGTGCCATGAACAGCCATTTCCACCTGATCGGCGGATGTTATGGGCTGAAGGTCCAGAGAATCGACCTTGATACGTACTCAATATTTATCGCTCGACGAGCTCGGCTAAAATAGCAACCGCCTACCGTGAATGAGTGGCCTTGGTTGGCGCGGATCCACCACGTCGCCGTTGCGTCCCCTTCCAACGTTTGCATCAACCTAAATCGGCCTTTCTTGTCCTTCTCTACAAGAGTCCGCAATTGATTGAAGTCTATTCTCCCCAGGCGAGGGTGTCTCAGCTTGCGAGTTTGAGTACGCAGGCCTTTCTGAATCAGTTTGTTTGAACACACCAGCTCCTCGACGCGTATAAACCCGTCCGGACGTATGTCTAGCCCCTCGTTTCTGGCGCTATGTCGCAGCAACCATGAAACAGTACGAGAGACTGACAGCGAACTATCGCGCTTACACGGTGTCCCATTCGCGACGGTGCTGAGGTATCTCCTGGATGGCAGCATCGGCTTGTAGAAGTCAGAGGCTGATCGCACGTGGCGTGCCGATCAGTATGTCACTGGGTACTCCTCCACGAGTGTGCGCACAACTGTTCCGCAATTCAGCTATTTTCACAGTAATGCTAGGCTGTACGAAACGCCTGTCATGAACAACAACATCAACATGAACCCGCCCACAGCCTGGAGATCTTTGGTAGCGGAATCGTCGCGCCGCAGCATATCATCTCTAAGGAATTTGAAGGTCGCTGCCAAACAGTCGCTCGAGCGGCTGGACAGCCCGGGCCCGGGCGCGAGAAGCATCCAGGATGGCCGGCAGAGCTGGAGAGATTGGGCAGGGGAGAAGATCAGGTCACGGCGGTTTCGAGGTAGTGAGAAGGAGGGCCCTGACGAACGAATCTCTCTGTTTCCAGGCTGGGCGGCGAAGCGGTATCGCGACATTGGGAACCAGAATTTGCCAGGTATGTCGCTTGTAACACACAGATAATTCTCCGCGCCTTACACTGACACTGAATCTACAGAAGCGTTTGAGGTCGATGTGTTCGTGTCGGGGTATGCTTCAAGCCACAAGTCGCCGGCGAACGCGAGTCGCTCTCAGCGCGCGTTCATGCGACTGGCGAAGAGTACGTGTTGGGCGGGACTGGTGGGTACAGCGCTGATGATTGACATATTCCGTGTCCAGGTTTCGCCGCCCTCCCAAAGCTTATGGCCGATGTAGCAGACCCTGAATCTGAGCCATCAACGCCTTTATCACGGTCGACGGAGGACTTGCTTGCAACTGTGAAACTACCGCCTAGACCTTCAGAAATAACGGAGGACTACGAGGTCCAATTGCTAGAGCAGACCCTTAAACGCGCCAAGCACGAGGAGTCCACCGACAGCCTCCCCTCGCCTGGGGACCGCTTGCCTTTCACAGCCAATCCCGCACTACTTCTGAATCCCGCGTCAATACCTTTGGCGGTCGCTGCTGACCTTCGCAAGCTCCATGAGAACCTCGAATCGAGGTTGCGCCCTTTCTGGTCGTCCGTATTATCGGTTCGAACTGTCCGTGTTAGTATATTTGCGGTTTCACAGCAAAGAAACCAGGAGGACTATGGCGGTAATATTGCGCTGGCTTCGAAGGAGTTTGTCACCACTACAGACGGCAGCTTCCAGGGTCATCTCTCTCTACGCTGGGAAGACCTATGCCAACATCCAACCGGCCTCCAAATCGCGTTTGGAGACGTTATTGCTGAGCACGACCTCCTTGTCCGAGCTGAACTTCTTCCTCCCCCTCCGTCCTCTCGCACGCCCTCGCCTTCCCCCTCATCTGACGATTCATCGCCAACGGAACGAAACAGGCCGCCCTATCCCGTCTACAAACCTCATGTAATGAAGCTCCCCGAACCCCCCATTGAAGATCAGGAGCCAACAGCAGTGTCAACCTTGCACGTACCGATAACACATTCACCAATTCGTGTCATCTCTGATATCGACGATACGGTCAAGCGGTCAAACATCGTTGACGGGGCGCGGGCCGTATTCCACAATGTCTTCGTCAAGGAGCTCGACGATATAGTGATACCTGGCATGGGAGAATGGTACACTAGCATGTGGAGTAAAGGCGTTCGATTCCACTATGTCGTGCGTAGATGCTTTATGACTCATAGTCCCTTTCGATTGACCTCGTCTCATAGTCGAATGGGCCATTCGAGCTCCTCCCCGTTGTCAGCGACTTCTTGCAAGTATCTCAGTTACCTCCAGGTATGCATTTTATCTTATGGTTGTGCTTTCATAACAGTTTGAACCAGGCTCGATCAAACTAAAGTCATATGCTGGTCGATCGTTGTTTAATGGTCTTCTGTCGGCACCTGCAGCTCGCAAACGTGCAGGGATCCAAGACATTCTTGAGGCATTCCCTACATCCCGGTTCATCCTAATAGGTGATTCAGGGGAACAAGATCTCGAGCTTTACGCTGAGTATGCACCGATAAAACGAAGTCTAGTCCAATGCTGATGCAGATGCTCCCACAGGTTTGCTAAGGAGCGTCCGGAACAAGTTCTCGGGGTATTCATTCGTTACGCTGAAGAGACGGCCGAGATGATCCAAGATCCTACGGGTTGGCAGACAATTGGGGCTTCATCTATACCTGCCTTCAACTGGGCGAAGGCAACACCGTCTGGGCCGACTGTTTCCGACAACCCCCCAGCAACGCCTACTATGGAGCCTCGCACACCACGCCGCAACACACCGGATGCTACCGTCACCGAGACACCCAAGCCGAAGCAATTATCTTTATCCATCCCCGCCCCCTACACCGCGCCCCCTGTTGGGAAGTCAGCCTCGGCGAGAACTGATAGGCACGGCCCCATCACATCCTCTCCCCTCACCTCTGAACCCGAGCGATACCTGTCTCCGAGCGCACATAGTGCCACAACGCCAACCAGCGCCAAGTTGTCTGATGCTTGGAAGAGCAAGACACGCGGATCGACCGGGTCCAGTGTGTCTGTGCGCCCGGCGTCAATCTCATCATCGACTTCGCCATCCGTCAGCTCAGCGTATTTACGGATGAGCGAGCCAGAGAAAAAGAAGTTTGATTTGCAGGCGAGGGTGTATAGGGCTCGCACGCAGATGCCGGGACATATCCCTTTGAGGGTGTTCAGATCGCCAGAGGAGTGCGTGGAGGCCGAGTTTATATTAAGCCGAGAGGGTTTGTAATTTTAGATGTGCTGGCCACGGTGCAATGTATAGTTTGATTGACTCGCAATTGTCTTGCTTATAACAACTGCTAGCTGTCTGTATGACTTAGATATATGATTGAGTATACAGTATCAGTGGTAAATAATACATCTTTCATCACGTCAACAACGAATTCCAACCCAATTGACAATTTAGCCGTGAAAGATACGTAGAATATGAATTTAGGAACCTCACAGCAAAGGTACTAAACGAACGGGTATACGTATATGGAGGATGATGTACAACAGAGTTCAAAGCAAGATAGATATCTGAACAGAACTATTGATGAAGTAGGATAGATGCGCATAAATGTAAGATGAGAAGTGAGCTGTGGCGTACATATACATCAGATGCAAGGTAGATCAAATGCAAACGAAATGGAAGCGAATAGATCATGTCATAAATAGCAAACCACCACATGGCGAGCACATGAAGATGGCCCTGCGTTTTGATGGCCAAGCCATGGCAAGGACTTCCGATGAGACCACAGAGGACGAATGGCGCGCCGCCTGAGGTCCATTGGGGTGACCCGGTGACCAATGCTTGGCTGATAATAGGAGAGCATCCGTGAATTCACACTGCTCTTGGGATACCGTCATCCGTGTCATCAAGAAGGTCAATAGGCGATGTGAAGTTGACAACCTAGTCAAAGGAAATATCAGTGACCGCTCGCAGCTTCGAAAACAGCGAGTTACATATGGGTGTAGGTGTGACTGTGGTTGCTGCTGTGGACTCCGCCGTGAGGCTAGCACGGGAAGTGTCAATCCTTGGGTTTCGCGTATCGACGGCCGAACATGTCTGTGATGGAAAGCACTGGGTTGCTTGGGGGGATCCACATCGGTACTCCGCCCAGGATCCTGTCGTTCCCACATTGTGTCGTCTGACGGTGCGTGAGATACAGGGCTCGTGACAACTGGGGTGAGGCGTCCCGACATGGCAACACTGTCTTCATCAGACTCATACCCTGGCGCCTCCTCTTCATCATCAGCTTCGGCTGATAATGATGGCTGGTGGCTAAGCATTTGACGGGGAGGCCGGTGAGCTGGGTCGCGGAACGCCGCCAATTGTATCCCGCTTTGCTGGCTGGGCGCACGCTCTGAGGTCTGATACAACGAAGGTGATTTGGGAGGAGATGCTTGGCGCTGCGCATAATAGTCGGGGAGTGGTGAGGTGGGTACGACCGTGGGAGCCTTCCCCGAGTTTGGGGAGGCGTCTCTTGCTTTGTATCCTTCCTCTTGCGTAATGGAGCGAGGAAAAAATATCTATGATGAGAACGGAATTGATATAGATGTGAGAGAGATGCAGTGGAAGAGCTAACCATCAGGGTTATTCCCGAGGAGACAAAGCAGCCTATGCCTCCTGTCATCAACAGAAAATCTGCGCAACGATCAACCGATTTGACAATGTTGTCAGCAGCGGATCCTTACCTGACCAAAACCTACAGTTGGGTGCCAGTGTTTAATCCTCAGTTCCGGGTAGCGACTGGATATCACTTACGGATCGTAATTGATGGGATGCGTGACACGTATGCCATCCGCAGCGAGAACAAGAAGCGGGATTGTGAAGATGAAACGGAAGGCAACGCGTACCAGCTGCTTATAGTATCAACCACCCGCTGTAAATTTCAGACGGTGAAATCACTCACGTTGAGTTGGTAAAAGGTTACCAGGCGGATTACCACGTCAGGGAGAGCACCTTCGTCCTTGACGTATCTAATGAACCTGGGAAACCGAAACAAAACATAAAGGAAGCAAAGGGTAGTGAATGTTGAGGCCGAGGATCCCATAAGAAATATCCACGCTTGACACTTCAAGGAACGCGGTTAGATTGCAATCAAGGACGATGACAGCGCCTCACCGTGTCCAGGTTTTGTCTGGTCAATAGGGTGGTCAAGGGCATGCCCAATAAAGCTATCATACTCCCTACACGAGCCCTGAGAACGAGCCAGGCTTTCATAGAAAGTTGAGCGCGCACCGATATACCACACCCTAAATTCACAGCTGTGAAACCATTCCCGTTGCTTTGGCCCCTGGTGCAGTAAGAATAACCAGAATGTCAATTCTGTGAAGATGATAATCAGGAAGAATTTCCAATCCTAGGCGCGGTCCTACCTTCTAGGTGGGTCACACTGATGAAGGAAAATTATTTCGGAGAAACGATGCAGGGAGTGATTGTAACGCACATCTCGAGAGACCAGGCAACGCTGAGTACGAAGTACAACGGTAGAAGCCAACGGCGGTTGGCGTCCGACCAGAATTCGATGGGCGTGGAGATTACTGTCGGAATCGATGTTAAAGTGGGACGAGAGAGGGTAGATGCTTGGCGTACTTTCGTGTCCGCCGACGAACATGTAACCTACGTCCGTGAGGTCCCGCTCCTATATGTGTCGGGCACAGAAACACACATACCTTCCTTGAACTTTATTGTAGCCATCGTGACACCAAAAACGACGAGCAATGGCAGCGTCGCGAGGTACGAGTATCTTGAGCTGGCATTGGCGTCAATATTCCAAGAATATAGCCATTCAGCGCGTACGTCATGACCCTTTTGAAAGCTCCTGGCTGGCGGCCAGCGTGCCACTTGAGGCATTTAAATTTGTCGTAAAGCCATAGATGAATTGAGAAGAAAACGAGAAACTAGTAGGATCGCAGGGTGAGTCTCGATGTGTTGAAGTGGGTCGCCTGCGGCGTAGTGCAGTGTCACGTACGATGCAGGAGAGGATTGCCCATAGTAGGTAGGCTGAAGGCGAGCCAGTGGACATCAAGAACTACGCCAGAGTGGACGAGCGTCGAGGAGAATGGGGACAAGTGCAGGGATCGTCGTGAAAGTGCAGAACGAAGAAGCTCAAGTGATGATGGTCCTTTTGGTAGCCGCGGAGTTTGCCGAGTGATGCAGGGCTACAGCCTTCCCCACAAAACGTGGTCTGGTCCAGATCAAGATCCAACTCGGTTGCCTGGGCGCTAACGTTCACAATAGCATGCGAGATTGTGTTTTGACGTTGAATAGTCGATACTCAAATCTATCTACCTGGGGATTCAGAAGCCTTTCTTGTATGCACAGTATGTTTGGGTCCCATAGCGAAGACAACAATTTCAAATCTGGCTCAGCACCGATGTGTTACAATCACCTCTAGTATCCAATTTGCCTGATTGAATGCCTTGACGATCAAAAGAAATTAGTGGCGTAGCCACACCTTGTTCGGCCGGCTACCATAATTCACTAGCATGGGCACACGAATTGACTGAATCAGGTCAATACGACGGAGGGACAGGACTGCCAAGATATCCGCGCTCTTGGAAGAGCAACTTATAACCGCTCGGACGGTTGATAATTAACATAACGAGCGTGATTGGGAATTCTAATAATATGTAAGGAGCTGTATAGATTTGTATGAGATTGTCGAGAATTCGAGTAGTATTGGACAACTGGCTTGTTAGTAGTTGATATTGGGTATTGGCGGTGCGCATTAACTTCTCCCGGTCAGCAGATCTAAGTGCAGAGGAGAATCAGTTGATTATACAAGCGGTGGACCCAACAATAGCGACGGTCGTAGGTAACCCAACTGTTATGCTGTTTCCCTTACCTTCAGCGGAAGACCCTTCCCAACCAGGCAACGGTTCCCGTTTACCATTCGTCACCCGTTTGAAATACTTTGGATCCAGGAACCCTCGCTCGTCTCCTTCGGTGAGAACGACGCCATTCGCTGAGAGGAAGAATTTGATTCCATCGCCGAGCGCTTTCTCGACGTCGATGAGGATCAATATTTCTGAAGACTTTCGCATTCCTTGTGTCGCATAAGTAGTGAATTTTTGCTATACAGTGTTGCGTTAACTGGAATGATGGCTTACCACTGACAACGCCTTCGTCAACGAGGCCCTGCGCAAGATGTATATGGTTGCGCTTCATCTTTGATAGGCCTTCTTCGGCTACGTCGATGTCAGATCACCAGCATCGCGAATACATTTCAAGGGGGTTACCAATTTGCTTCCATGCTCGGAGACTCGTTCCATGCACGGCTATCCTAGTAGGGATATCGCTGATCGCTAGAATAGGCTGCAGATCAAGCTTCACTTCCTGATGCGAAGTAAGCAGTGGATCAGAAGCTTCAACGAATCGGCCCAACTTTCATGGAATGTCCCTGATTGGCTCGAATCCACCAAACTTTGTCATCATCAGACATTAGATGGTACCTGCTCTTCGCATCCTTTTCTACAAGGTCCTTTAACGCTTCCAGTGTCAACTCTTTCAGCCGCGAGTTGGCTAGCTATCAGACACCCTCAGCCATCAGATACCTTTGATTTCTGGCCGTACACACCAGATCCGTAACCTTCACATACCCGTCTGGTCTCATAGAGAGCCCCTCGCTTACTGCACCGTGCCTAAGCAGCCATGATACAGTCTTAGACAAACGCACTTGCGGCGAGTCTCTGGGAAATCCCCTCTGCTTCGTTGATTGTTGTTGCGGTCGTTTCTGATTTGAGCCTTTTGCATCTTGTGAACCTTTGGCTGGTTTCGACTTTGATTTCTTGTCGGATTGCTGATGGTCCTGCTTTGATTTCTCCTCCTTCACATTCCAGTCAGTAGTCTGGTCGACTAATTCTGAAGCAGTGGTTTGCTCGGTGTCCATGGTGGTAATGACGACACCGTTGGCTTCGGTCACTCGAAGTCACAGAGTCACAAGCGAAGTGACGATACGATCACGTGTATGTGACAACCGTGCCATAACGTGACACCGACCTCAGTGTCGGTTCTGAAACCCAAACGTCGGTGACCGATTTCAGTTTTAGCTCGGCGCCGGCGATGGAGGACATCTACAATAGGGAGCAGAATCTCTATCATGATCCAGACCTCCGACTCCCCCTCCGGCCTGAACCCTTGCAACGCGGCAAGCAGTTTGAATCGTTCGGCAGCACGTTTGGCCACAAGAAGGTAGATCTCGGTCGGTCGAGCCAAGGTTCACGGCAAACAGAAACGCGGAGGGACAAGAGCGGTGTGGCTAGTAGCAGTCGCGTTGGATTGTCGAGGACTTCGTCGTCAAGGAGCGCCGTCTCGCTAGTGTGTCAGGACTCTGAACTCGATGATAGCGACGATGAGCTAGATTGTCTCTCGAAGCGGAGCTCGTCTCCTGTTGCGCCCAGTCCTCCAGAGCAGTCGGCATACCTAAAGAAGATTGAGAAGACTTCCAACGGTCTGAAGGGCTTGAAATTTAAGAAGATGTCGAAATCGGGGTCCGGGTCGGCGGGGCCCACACTATCGAATAGTCAACCGACAAGCAGCGCTAATAGCACGCTCAATACGCACAAAGAGAATGTATCTGCACCCGAACCGCCACCGAGACCCGCTCTTCCTCGAATGAAAGTGACCGACTCGGAGGTCGGTCGCACCGAGAGGGGCCCACGCCGCAAAGCACCGCCTACATCTCAGCCTCTGAAGGCCAAAGAACCGAATTTCAAGAACGTTGGCGAACCGAAACCCATTCGCAAGGCGCGCGATACAACTCCCGTCGATGATCCCCCTAAGAGGCCACGGCCCCGTCGACTGCAAAAGTCGACTGCGAAACCCACAGAGCCCGAACGAACCCCTTCGCCAGCTCTTCCACAACGGTCTTCCTCTCCCAGTAGACTCGGCCGCAAACCGTCAAAATTCCCCATGGATGACTTGACTCCCCTTGCCGAAGAGAAGAAAAGTCAACTCCTGGCTAGAAAACCATCTTCATTTCCCCTCATGTCCCCGCTGTCTAATAGTCGCTCGATGTCAAAATCCATGGCATCTATCCCCCCGGCGTCCTCTCCCCCGTCTGAAGTCGAAGTCTCAGATGGTGACGTCACTAAAGGTTCGAAGAGAGGCAAGGCCAAGAAACAAGTCGTGGACTCCCGCGGCACTCGTAAAATACTAGTAACCGACGAGGAAGGTAATTCGGACGAGGGAGAAGAAACCAAACTTCAGCCGTTCCCTATGAGCCCTCAAGATATGGAAAGTATCAACCGATTCCCGTCACCAGGCCCCTCTAATCTTGGGAAACGCGTATCCCCCGGAAATCTTACTGCGGGGAAGAGCAAGAAGAGACGCGGCTTGTCGTTCGTCTTCGTCATCTTTTATTAGAATGCTCTCACTAATGTTTCATCCAGCCCGGAGATATCTTTCCCGAGCTTCACTCAGCGCGACGCCGAGATGGATCACTGTACGTCCTCGCCGCTTACATAGACACTTGGCTCATCATGACTATTCCTATCAGTATTTCCATCGAATCATGCTGATCCTAAAACACTATGTCCATATTGCGATATGCCACTTCCATCCTCTCCCACTCCTCTCTTGCAGTACCTACTCTCCCCTGACTATACGCCTCTATACTCTAAGTCGGATCCCGATCCGCGGCCGGGAAACCGACTCGGCCGTACGGCACCTTTGAGTGCATTTATCTCGGTGTGTCAACGGCATCGTTTCGAGAGCGAGATGCTCCCCGAAGCGGAACGCAAGCGCTGGCCAAAGGAAATTGACTGGCAGGCATTGGCTGCAAGGGTGACGAGTATGAAGCACATCGTCCAGGAATTAATCCTGGACACCGCCGGGGAGGCCGACGGTCCAAGGGAACGCTGCGTTTTCTGGGCAGAAGTAGTTAAGGAGTACAGGGAGAAGGGATCGCGGGCGGTAACAGGTGTTAGAGGTCAGTTCGAAAACTTCGAGAAAACTCAACCTGGATAGTGAGTGAATTCCCCGGTGTACTCCTTGTCAGAGGCTTAACTTTCCCAAAGCTACGGCGAACAGGGATCCAACATTATTCATCAGTCCTTGTACAGCCTTTTCCCTCCGTCGTCAATTGACCCATCCTCTGTCGCTCCCCTTTCGCCGAATGAGTTTATCTCACGCGTGCTCGTCCCCGAAGTCGCCATTGCCCTGATCATGGAGGACCGACGGTCTAAGGGAGACAAAGGCAGGGCCGAAGCAGTGAAGATACTCAGAGATAGTGCGGCTTACGGGGTGGCCATGTTCCCCGAGGACGGGGGAGACTGGGCACAGGCCGAAAAGTCCAGGCAATCAGGCAAGGGCAAGGGCAAGGCTACCCGCAAGAAGCCTAACCCTGATCATGTCAACGACTTTGAAATCGGTGTTGCTGATAAGATAGTCATGGAAAGGGCACGCAAGCGCCGAATGGAGGTTGAAGAAGAGATGAAGATGGAGGATGACCTACTTCGTCAACAACGAGAGGAGGCGGAGGCAAGGACTGACGACGAGAGGTTGGGTGAAGGAGAAGACAACGTGGCGGCAAAGAAACCTACCGATAATAATCTTGAGGAAGTTATTATTGTCCAAGACGAGCCCATGGAAGATGTCGTACGCCCCAAGCAGCGACCCAGGCCTGTTCCGCTCGGGCGTAAACCTAGCCAGCAAAGTTCATCGTCTTCTTTGAACCGTCACGGCGAGGACACAGACACGAGTGAAACGCTCAGTGCGTCGGAAAGCACGTCGGCTCGACCGAAGACTGCTCGACGCAAGAAACCTCGAACGCCTGCCACGAGGTCTCCTATAATCAGCAACTTCGAAACGGTGAACAACAATGGGCAGTGCTCGATGGACTGGGCCCTCCCTGAGGACGACAGATTCTCAAACATGGATCCAGATACAATGGACTTGTGCTCTGACTCTAGTGAGAAGGCCGGTAGCATCCGTAGCAAGAGAGGATCTCGGGTATCAAAGTCCAGAAGTGTTACACCCAGCGAATTTGGCGTCAGTCACTCCCGTACTTCGAGATCTAGGTCAAGAATAATTAAAGAGAAGGAGCGGGAGGATGATGCAGGCGACGTGTCCATTCTGGATATATCAACACCCAGAGCGCTTACATCCAAGACAAATTGGTGGCAAGATGACAACGGCGACACCCCGCGTCCACGCAAAATAACTTCAACGATTTCATCCACCTCTTTAGCTTCAAGTTCAAACTCGGTTTGGGACAGATTAAATCAACGAAACCTGGAGGTTGGAGAGTGGGTCTCAGGTTGTTGAACGCTGGCGTTCTTCTGATATATTCACAGCCTTCTCAAATCTCCAGCTTCTTCAGCCAAAACGGATGGTCCTTGGGCAAAAAGCTTGACTGTCGATATTTCAGATGACGACTGTGCATCATCTTCAACCTCAGTAGGACGCCAATATAGAGAGCGACCTGCTCCATCACGGCGGGAAAAGAAGGCAGGCCCTCATTCATGGCTTTTGAGCGATGGGTCGCAGGAATGCGTTTAGTTCTGTACGCACAGCTCGCCAAAATACTGACAGAAGCACTACTTACCTGTAAATAATAGACACCCGCTATTTGATACATAATCGCTACTTGTATTTACTTCTATCATTTAGGATACCTTCGTGCATAATTCATTCTATACGCTCATGTAAGTTTGTTTCAGGCCAAGTCAAGTATCGCCATTGAAATCTACTACATGATAGAAATGAATGACTGTGTACTAGCTCACACCGCATAATTCAATCGAGCTCCTCAAGGTTGCTAAAGGAAACGGCAAGTTATTAACACAGGATCAATTGCTAAGATGATATGGACTTACAGGTATTCACGGGCGTAGAGGTCCTCCGAGTCGTCGTACGCCCGCTGCATGATGGAAAGGCTGAGAATATGGTCAGCTTGATCTTAATTGAACAATGAGTGTCATTTGTACACTCACAGAGATTCGTAGTCAAGGTCGCGATCCTCCAGGTCATCAAGGTCTCGCTTCTGGCCCGCCTTCTTCTTCCTCTCCTCCTCCTCCTTTTTCTTCTTCTCTTCTTCTTCTTTCTTCTTCTTGTCGTCCTCTTCCTTCTTCTTCTTGGCCTCCTCTTCCTTCTTCTTCTTGGCCTCCTCTTCCTTCTTCTTCTTGGCTTCCTCGTCCTTCTTCTTCTTCTCCGCCTCTTTCTTCTTCCTCTCCTCGTCGGCCTTCTTCTTCTTGTCGGCCTTGAGCTTCTTCACGATAGGCCTGTACTTATTCAGGGCGGCCATGGTCTTGTCAGTGACCTCCTTGTATTGTTTCATACATTCGTCCTTGTCCTTGTTCTCCAATTTACCGCAGGTCTTCTTGAGGACGGCGAGTCTTGATTTACGGGCCTTCCGCCCTTTCCTAGATTTGAAGAACGGCTTGCGGTGATCCTTGTGCTCTTCTTTCTTGTCTCGAGCATAGCTAACAATGACGTCAGTAAGTTGTTGATGTAAATGAGCAAATGCGTCTCACAGATCGCCCTCGAAGTCCCTATGGAGAAGTTGGATCAGATCAATTGGCTTTCAGTCACGCTGGTAGATACTTACATTGGTTCCCGAGCCTCGAATTGGTAGTATGAAGACAAATCGCGAGCCATATGTCCGGAGTAGTCACCGAGATCCCGAGCTTCGGCATCATGGTATTCGTAGGCAGCCGCTGGTGCGACTGCGAAGAGAATAGCGGTGGCAGCGAGCGCGATGGAGTATGATTTGACCATATTGAAAGAAGATGAAGGGGTTTAGAGGGGTCGAAGAGTTAGATAGGTTTGAAGAGTGAAGGATGTGAGACGTAGAGATCCTAAGGTAACCGGCACCTAGGAGAGTCGATTGAATGGGTGAGACCAGCTGAAGAATCCATACGGGATTTGCGTTCCTTATATACGGTTTGAAGCGCTATAGCAACGCAAAGTTAGTGCGTCGTGCTTCTGGGGCGGTGTAACTGATGCGACCTTGGTAGGGGGCTGCAACGCGCAGCCAAGCGCCGGAGCGCACAATGTTTCACAAAACACGATCATAGAGACGAGAAGCACTTATTTTGTATCAGATATTCGCGGATGGACCATGCGCACCGAATCTGGCTGTGTGTCCCATCTGCACAAAGTGTTTCAAGGTCATGGGCAAGTCTCCAGTGATTACGTGCAATGTGCGTGGTTCTACAATGTTACATCTTGTTTCGTCCAAGGGGTTAAAGGGGTTAAACACGAGATCTGTAGACATCCTTCGCTTCCATGCCTCCTTGGCCTTTTCGGAGGTTGGCTTGAGCCCATCTGAAGACCAATGAGTATTCCTGTTGAAAACATGCGGGCGTCGTTGTGAGTTTACTTTTTAACCCTGATGAATCATATTTGAACTCTAAGCTTCAACCGGACCAACCCACTGACAGCCCTTTGGCTAGCCGGAATGGCTGCATTCGCGTTCTGACGTGAAGAAATGGTCATTATATAGAGTTCTGCCAAGGTCGAAGGTCGATGGTAACGAAGTGGTCTCGCAATGCGCGGACATTACGACCGAGGGTTATACCATCCAAATCTACGTGAGTTGCATGGAGGAGAGTAGCGCCATGGCAGCTCCAATGAATCGACAATGTCAAAGCGTCCAATGCCGTGCTTGCGGCCAGCGCTGAGGACAAGGAAGGTTTCTGCTGGATCGGCGTATGTTTGCTAGTAGTAGGTAAGCGGAGATTGAAAGCCATGAGTCGTCTCAAAATCCGACTTTATACCCATTTTTGACAAAACACAACTCTACCTCTAAGATCAATACGATGGAGTGCAGTCATACCCACTGGAAGGCCTGTGAAGGCGCAGCAGGACAAAAATACTCTAACCTTCCTGATTATCATGATAATCGAACGCGCGCTGCAGGTGCAAGCACAGACTTCGAAACTGTGTGCCACCCACTCCATTGTGCAGATCCCTACGCCAAGTGTCGACAATCATAATGGCAGGGAACTCAAATTCATCATACTCATCGACTACACACCCGCTACATGGCTTTCTGCCTCGGAAAGTAAGTGGCGCACAGGTTCGGAAAGCACTCGTACGTTGTGGAATCTTTATCTGCTACCATTGACCCCAAACGTCTGGCAGGAACATGATCTCAACCCATTCACAAGTCCACCGACACATCATACAGCCCGATATAAGGAGCTCCTGGCATCCAGGAAGGAGCTCCCTATCTACGCACGGATGGATGATTTCTTTACAGTGGTTAAGTATCCTTGTTGGACCTGCTAAGCAAGTAACTCCAACTGACCGGCAGGTTTTAGTTCCATGAAAACCAGATTGTCATATTGGCTGGAGAGGCCGGATCTGGCAAGACGACTCAGTAAGTTTGGGGTGTGGGCACGTTGATTATGTGCAATAGTAACAGTTCTTATTTCGCTTAGAATTCCACAGTTCGTTGCATATTCGGATCTAGCCCATTCAAGAGGGAAAATGATTGCATGCACACAACCACGTCGGATCGCAGCGACGTCTTCTGCACAGCGTGTTGCAGAGGAGATGGACGGTACTGAGTATCACAATCGAATTTCGTGATGGATGCTCACACTCTGCAGTTGAACTAGGCCATCAAGTCGGATATTCGATTCGATTCGAAAACAAGACAACGCAAGGGACCTTCCTCAAATACATGACCGACGGTATGCTTCTGCGCGAAGCGATGAATGACCCCAACCTTCGAAAGTACTCGACTATCATCCTTGACGAGGTTCACGAACGCACTCTTGCTACCGATATGCTAATGGGTCTTCTTAAATCCGTTGCCAAACGCCGCGCCGAGTTAAAAATCATCGTCATGTCTGCTACCATTAGCGCCCACAAGTTCCAGAAGTACTTCAGTCTGGGATCAGACACGGAGGTACCCCCGGTATTCAAGGTTCCTGGCCGTACACACCCCGTAGAGATTGTCTACACTCAAGACCTCATGAAAGAGTGCGTCGAAGACCTCGTGAAAGAGTGCGTCGAAGACCTGAACATTACGTCGATGCAGCGATCCGAACTGTAGTCGCGATACACCGTGCTGAACACCCTGGCGATATTCTTCTGTTCCTCACTGGCGAAGAGGAAATAGAAATGGCGTGTTCGAAGATACGACATAAAGTGAAGTGTCTCATTGATCTATATCCTTCCTCTGTGGGCCCAATCGTCTGTACCCCGCTTTACTCGTCACTAGAGCCCATCCAACAACAACGCGCTTTCGACCCTGCTCCACCTGCCCGAGGTCCTAACCATCCACCTGGTCGAAAAGTGGTCGTGGCTACAAATATTGCAGAGACGTCGCTCACGATCGACGGGATTGTTTACGTCGTCGATCCTGGTTTCTCCAAGCAGAAAATGTACAACCCCAGAACACGGGGCGAGAGTTTGCTGGTCCAGCCTATATCTAAAGCATCGGCACAGCAACGAGCAGGCCGGACAGGGCGCACACAGCCTGGCAAGTGCTTCAGGCTATATACGGAGGAGTATTTCATGTCGCTCGAAGAGCAGACGTGTCCCGAAATATTGCGTAGCAATCTTAGTGGCATGGTACTTCAGCTTGTGAAGCTTGGTATTCAAGTTAAGGTAAGACATATGCTCGCCTTCTCTCGTCGCCTGACATCATCCTACAGGATCTCGCCCGGTTTGATTACGTCGATACACCTACTCCCGAGACATTAATGCGGGGGATAGAATCATTGACTTTCTTGAAAGCCCTTGACGAGGATGAAAATTTGACACCGTTGGGTTCCATGATTGGAGAGTTCCCTCTCGATCCTCAGGTATGCCCCCTCAGGAATATTTCGTGCCCGAGGCTCATATGATTTGATCAGTTGGCGTCATTGCTCGTCGCGAGCCCCCAATTTAAATGCAGTGAAGAAATTCTCACAATTACTTCTATGCTTTCTGGTGCGCATATTTGCGGCTTCTTGGGTTCATTATCTTTATTCTATTTCAGTGCCCAGAATCTGGGTTCGCCCAGTAGACCAGAAAAAGGAAGCTGATCAGGCCAAAGCGCTCTTCACAGTTCGAGGCAGTGACCACTTGACGCTACTCAACGTGTATAACCAGTATGTACAGAGTAAGACTCATTCGCATCGTAGTCCGTGTTTGCGCACATGTTGACCTTGGCGTAGATAAATCTGTCGAGGATTGGCCCGAGACGAACTTCGTCTCAGGACGAGCACTGGTTGAAGCAGAGAAGGTCCGCGCGCAGCTACAGCAACTTATGGGGAGGTTCGAGCTGGAGCTGATATCAATAACCGACAAAAATAAGTCGTATCAGTCGGTTTGACAAGCACTTGTTTGTGGGTTCTTCATGCAAGTGGCTCATCGCACTGAGGGTGGTGGCTACGTGACGGTGAAGGAAAACCACTTCGCCAAATTGCACCCTTCTTACGGAGGCCCGGAACTCCCCGAATGGGTTCTGTTCAACGAATTCATTATTACTGGGCGATCATTTCTTCGCACCGTCTCCGCAGTCAGCCCAGAATGGTATGTATGCTCCTCTCTTCTTTGAGGTTGTCAAACCCCTCTGAATCAAATACGAATAGGCTTCTAGAGATTGCTCCAAGTTACTTCAACTTGCGTACCTTCCCCGACGGCAAGACGAGGCGAGCGCTGGAGAATCTCATAGAACAGAAGACGGCCGGTAGCTCCAACAATTTCAGGTCTTTGTATACCATGGAAGATGCAGTCGCCAACCTTACGGGAGCATCTGCTTACACCTTGGAAGACGCAGTTGCAGGGTTCAGCAGAATGGCTCCGAGGGCTTTAGCAATCTCCAGGGCTCGCGAGATGAATAGAGCGCGCCGCATGGAACTAGAGAAGAGGATCCAACAGATTAGACATCGAAAAGCCACCAGAGCCGCTTCATCCCGCTCGATCAACCCCGTGTCTTTGTACACCATGGAAGATGCAATCGCTAACGTCACGGGGACGTCTGCATATACCATAGAGGATGCAGTCTCGAGGTTCACACAAATGACTCTTGATGACTATTCGCTGCTTTTCCATCGCTAGGGCCACCAAGCCTTCGATCTATCTCGCTGCCTTGTGCCTCGTATCGCTGGTCCCTACTACGGCCGTCTTGGGAAGTCTGCTAACTGCTCTTTCATTCCCTCATTCACTCAAGTCTCCGCTGGGTTGGAGTAACTTCATCGCTACATTCTCTGCTCTGTCTGTGGTATTCCTTTGAGCCACGTTACCTTTGGCGTCGCCGACTCTGACTCGTCTTGGCTTCTTCGAACTCGGAACGTATCTCCGATTCGCCAACATCTTGCTCAGTGCTGTATACTTGACGGGCTTATCTACCTTGTCCCGGACGGCTGCCTTTTTTGAAATCGACATCCCATCTTACTACATATCTGATGTATATCCCCGATCAACTCTGTCAACTTGTGTATGTTGTCGAAGCTTCGCGTTCAGGCTCTTGACGCCTGGACAATTCTGGGATTGGTGGAGTTCGCTGCGTCGTAAGGATATCGGTCTCCCAGCTGAGTCTCGCTACACCAATAGATGCCCTGGATAGTGTCCACCCCGTGAATGTATCTGATCTGTGTTGGGCCACTGTCCGTGGCCATATTCACTTTCTTATGCAAGATAACTCCTGGCAGTAGTTGACGAAGGGAACTAGTCGCATGCCTATATATCTTCATGTGTCGCGTGGAGGAGAAATTTCATTATAGGATACATATAGTTAATGAATGAAATCGAGGGTCACTGACGCAAACATACTTTATGTTACAGAACACAGCTCATGGCTTCTTTGACCCAAATCGTATACGTTCATAACGCAGCCCCGATTCAGACGTCCCAGAAGGGAGACCCTTTAGAGGGGGCGGCGCAATACTTCGTCCTGAACGCCTCGATGCAGAAGTCGAAGCATCGCTATCCCGCCCCGGGATACCTGGTATCCTGTGGTGTACTCAGATTCCCAGATGATCCTGACGTCGACCGCTTCTTCAAGGCTCTGCCGCCAATTGAAAATGGGGCATGTTTCTAAAGCTATCAAGATTCAGAGCCATTCCTCAAAAATCTCAGTTTGTCTCAAACCGGAAGGCGATGTCCACTCGGTGAGAGTGTCTGGCGTATGGGCCCAGGATTGCGAAGTGAAGATGATTCAAGGGGTACTAACCCTCTCCAGACTTGCAAGTTGGAGACGAGCAACGGCTGCTTGGAATTTCTGACTTCTCATCTTCAAATCCTTACGGGAAGTGAATCAGTGGTTAATCGATTACGCCGTGCGTGTTCTGTGCGTGTTCTACAATGTTACATCTTGTTTTGTCCTAGGGGTTAAGGGGTTAAACACGAGACCCGTAGACATCCTTTGCTTCCACGCCTCCCTGGCCTTTTCGGAGGTTGGCTTGCGCCCATCTAGAAACCGATGAGCATCTTCGTTGAAAAGGACATAGTCATCGTTATGAACTTACTTTTTAATCCTAATGGATTCAATTTGAATGAAGCCCGAGGTATCAGTGGGCTCGAAGCCACCGAGCTCGTCCATCGATGATTCGTGCTCATCGTAGAGACCCTGTGGCAGTATAAATGAGACGTGGGCTTTGAAGTACTTTATGACATACCTCGGAACTCTCGCGCCCTTCGATCACAACGTTACCCTTGTACAGTTTCAAACGGACCAATCCATTGACGGTCCTTTGGCTGGCTGGAATCGCTGCGCAGACGAATTCGCGTTCAGGCGTGAAAAAATGTCCATTGTACAGAATTCTGCCGAGCTCGATGGTAACGAACTGGTCTCGTAACGCGCGGACATTACGATCAAGGGTAAGACCCTCCAAATCGATGTGAGCTGCGCGGAGGATAGTAGCGCCGGGAGACTCGTAGCATCCTCGGGATTTTACGCCGATAAATCGGTTCTCAACGATGTCAATTCGTCCGATACCGTGCTTGCGGCCCAGAGCGTTGAGTGCAAGGAAGATTTCCACCGGATCGGTGTATGTTTTGTCGCCTGCCACGACCTTTACGGGAAGCCCGGTCTTGAATTCGACAGTGATGCGTTCGGGGTTGGTCGGCGCATCCTCAGGGGCTGTGGTAAGCTTCCACATATCAGCCGGAGGAGTGGTATTGGGGTCTTCAAGGATACCAGCTTCGTATGAGATGTGGAAAAGATTCTCATCGGTCGACCATGGCTTGGCGGTAGTTTGGGTGACTGGGATAGACTTCTCGGCTGCAAAGGCCAAGAGAGCCTGACGGCCAGCAAAGCGATTGTAGAATTCTATGAACATCATCAGATGAAGGAGATTGGCTAGTCAAGTTGTAAATACCTGGGATTCGCCATGGAGCGACGACCTTAATGTCTGGCTTCAACCCGTAGAAAGCAAGCTCGAAGCGAACTTGATCGTTTCCCTTGCCTGTGCATCCATGGGACACGTAGCTGAGGAGGAGTCAGGGAGTAGCAACAGTTCGTGTGACAACATTTACGTACTCGCAACCTTCCCGGTCTGCGGCCTCGATCATTCCGCGAGCAATGACTGGGCGTGCCAGCGATGTGCCCAACAAGTAGACATTCTATCAGGGTCTTCAGCGTCCTACCAATAAGTCAGATAGCGAGAAGCACGTACTTCATATATGCAATTAGCCTGTACAGCAGGATAGATCAGCTCTGTAACGAATTCACGTTTGAGATCCTGAGTACGAGCACATATCAGTAACATGAAATCAAGTGAGCAATTACGAAAATACTTCAAGGATAAACTTCTTGGCGCCAACTTTAAGGGCTTTCTTTTCTGCGGCTTCGAAGTCCTTTCGATGCTGATTAGGACAGACTCACGCCGCGATGCATAGATCGTCACTGTACCTCTTCTTGTCCGACGTCGGCCATGAAAGCATAGACTTCATATCCTTGCTCAATCAACCAAGCAAGGATACAGGAGGTATCTGTAGATTATATAGATATTAGCATCTGATCAACGGTGATCTGAGCAAACACATGGATTGCTCACCGAGACCGCCTGAATACGCAAGGAGAACGCGACCGGGGTTTTGGGACATTTTATACAGGCAGAGCCAATGCCTAGAATTTCAGGATAGGTGGAGATGGGGGATGCAGTTCAAGGACCTTTGCAAATTTCGCTTTCTGTTTTATTCGGAAATCACTCACATGATGAAATAGGGGCTTCATGATCATCGCAGTCGCGAGCAGTGGCAAGCAGCGCCTATCAGGTGCCGCTTGCTGTCTTCATTATACTCCTTCATTACCTACCACCATCATGGATGTTACCGCAAGAACGCAGGATACCGCCCGTCCTCGTAGCTCGAAGAGAAGTATGCAGGCTGCATTCCATCCCACCGAAACCACTGCCAGCCAATCACGCTCAGCGAGCAGTGGCAAGCCTGGCAGTGCATTGCAATCGACCGCTCAGCTAGCGCCTCCCAGCACGGCCAGTTCTTCTCGACATAGAAAAACAGAACGCCTTGATGCCGTACAGAGGGACCCACCATCGCTACCAACAGCTCCGGTGATCGTGCGGGACGAGTCTCGGAATGTAACTAATTCATTCCACGGGCATCAGAAGAAGAAGGACAGAACAAGCTCACCTGATCGCAAGCACTCGAGCCATTCAACCCGTTCTCACCGTATCAAAGCGCTACCCTCCGTACCAGATGATCCTGAGGCCGACCGTAAATCTGGCACGATGTGGCGCACTCTCGACGAACCAAAATATGAACAGGCAAAGAAGGAAGTGGAAGAGCTGCGGAAGTCTGCTAGCGATACGAAGAAACTGCTGAAAAAGCAGAGCAAAGTAAGTCTCCACTCACTATTCTACGTCAAGATTGGCGATGGAATGCTGGATGGAAATGCATTCCCATAATGCTGTCATTAACCTCCCGGACCACCCACGGGCAAGGGCTAGTGCACACGCGGTGTCTTCGTTGATCACCAGATCGGAATGCTGTATACTGACGCCCAGAAATCATTCCAGCATATACAGGAATTGAATGCTCAAATTACAGCGTTGAATCAGGTATGTCCTTCTTCCTTCTTCCAGTTGGTGCCACCCTGACCGGGGAGCTAGGCAAAGAAAGAACAAGAGCTGCAGTTCCAGCTGTTGAAAACGAAAGCGAGTAAACATGAAGATGTACGTATCTGCTGTGTGTACCCGAGCTGAGATACTCAGTGAACGCCTGACAGCTTGTTTCGACCATCGAGACTTCCCTTCAATGTCAAATATGCATTGATACCATGACCAAGCCTCAAGCGTAAGTTCACGGGTGCTCTCTCCTTCGACATAGGCACTGACCCTCACGCAGCCTAGCACCATGTGGGCATGTATTCTGTCTTTCATGCCTCCAGGCTTGGTTCGGCAAAGGCCCATCGTCCGACGATGGCTCAGAGGATCCCGTATTGGATCCAGAATATATTATGAGCCGACCCAAATCGTGTCCTTGCTGCCGCGCTTCAGTAACAAAGAAGCCTGCCCCAATTTTTGTCATTAGGGACATAGCTCTCGCCGTCAACAAGGCTAAAAACGGCAATGCCGACACCGCAGAAGGGGCCGAGACCGATAACATGGATGTCGATCCATGGTCAGGTATCTTCCCGTCCTCTGACGATGAGGATGACATATACGACCCCGATTTCATGGATGAATACGGAGCTGGCGATCCGGTCATCGACCCTGGCATGCTAGATATGTTCATGGGGCATTGGGGTAACATAGGCTTTGACAGCGACAGCGACATCGACGACCTGGAAGGCATCAACCGTGGGGCGCGGATATCCGATGATGATGACGATGAAGAAGAAGACGACGATGATGAGAGCGAATCCGCCTTTGACCGGGAAGACATATACATCCCTATGCGATGGGAACCACCGTCAGTGCCTGCGGCAGACATTTCTCGCCGACTATTGGACTCAGTCCCCGAACAAGTAGGGAAGCTACTTCGACGTGGATGTCCACTCTCCATGATCGAGGCATACCACATGACGTACTCACACGACGAGGGTATCACTGCCACCGTCGAGAGCGTGAGAAGGGGGGGCCTGATACTGTCCGGACGCCTCACCTTGTTCTTGGGCTGGAATATCGAGCATTACGACAGCGACGAAGACTTCATCGACAGAATGCTGGCCGACCTCAGCGAGCACCCCGAAAGATGGGACATGAGGCCTACGGGAAGGGACAACTGGGAGGCACGCAAGCTCGTTTCGCTGTCCGACGCAGACAGCGACGAGTATGATATCTCGGACAGCGACGTGGAAATGCAGGGTTTCTAATAGACATACATACTCAGGGACTCGACCATCGCTTTCTCGCAGGATCATAATGTACATCATCGGACGATACCATGCACCCCCACCACTACTGTACTGTTGCGACTAGCTCACACTACTTACGGATTTTTATGCTGACATGTTTGTGCGCGCTGTATATAATATATATTTGCTTACAGGGATGGAATATGGCCTGGCCAGAATGCTCCGTTATTGCGGTTCTCCTTGTACCATTGCGCATCGTGGCTGATAAGAACCCGTACTTTTGGGAGTTTCCCGATCTCTCTGATTCGAGAAAGATGCAGGTCTGCCAGTTCCTTGTCTATGTGAGCACACCCATGCGGACCATGGGCCGCGTGACCGACGGTGACCTCAGCTTCACCAGTAAGAAGCGTCAGGAAGTGGGCGCTATCCGCCGCGAGGTATATCCACCCGCCGTCCGCTGAAGTTCGAGCTAGAACATTGACATGTCCAGCAAGATGCCCAGGGGCATCGACGATGTACAAGCTACCGTCTCCCCAATAGTCGAACGCTCGAGGAAACGGACCCACTGGGCCCCATGAATCTGTCTTCAGGAGCTGCGTACGGTGTGGCGGTATCAGGTCATGTGCAAACAGGGAGTCTGGGTTGATGGGGTAACCCGTGCGAAGTAGCGTCTCCGTTTCGCCTCCCACAAGGAACGTCGCCTTCGTGAAAGCTGAAGGGTCGCCGGTGTGGTCCCAGTGAACATGGGAGAGTATGACCGCCTCGATGTCGCTGGGGGACAGATTGCCCTCTGCGAGGGAGTCTACTACGTCTTGGGGGATCTGCGTGTTGTAGACGTTGTTGATCCAATCAACGGTGGCTGGTGGGTATCCAGTTTCCCAGTCTTTGCGGATGCCGAGATCGAAGAGGACTTGCTTCTTGGATGAAGTGTTTGTCAGTAAGAACGCAAGGGAGGGGACCTTGGTCTTCTCGTTCGGCTTTCCCGTAGTGATGAACATGGCGTCTGGTAAGTCGATGAACCCTGCATCAAGGGCTGAGACCTCGCAGTACGGCTGAGACAACGATGCTGGAGGCAGACTCGAAGGCATTGTGTGGGTGCGCTCTACACAAATGGTCGGTAAATCTGCGCAATTTATTCAGAGCAGGGCGCATCTCACTCACCTTGTAGGGGTTGTGAACGAAGTTGCGCATTTTAGAATCCTACACATGGGTTTATATAGGGAAGATTCCAGCATTACGTGAGAGTGAGTGGAGGAGCCCCACTGGTTTCTAGGAGTGTGGGTTTTTAATTTCCACGGGTCGCTGGGAGTCTGCGACAGTGCGAACACTGGGTACTAAGAAGGCCTCGAAAAAAGGCGCCGAAGTTAAATTTTGATTCTAAACTTACTTCCTGCTTTAGCGCTTTCATCGAGCCCCATTCAGGCCTTCGATTTCCCTGCCAGTGTAACTCGAACTCCGTCGTCGACATCAATGAGCTCCCTGGCACAGTCGGGCCAGCCTCATCACATCGTCAAGTACTCGGGCAGGCTTAACCAAGAGAACAGAAGGGAACCTCTTCAACCTCCTACAAGCTCACTACCTCCCGTCGCCTTACGGGGCGGCAATGAGTACAACGACGCACCTCTTCAATCCTCCGAGGACATGCGGAGGCGGATGCTGAAGAGAAGTAGAACCGATCTCTCTGCTTATGGATCCGAACAAAGCATAGTACCATACCGCGATATAGAAGTGGAGCTGGTCGATAACGAGACAAGTTGAGCCTACCCTATCCAGTAAACTTGGTGATCACATATTGATGCATATACAGGCGCATATATGCAGTCTTCTCTAGAAACACCGCTGCCGACTGCGCACAGACTCTCAGAAACGTATAAACTACCCTCGGGCATGGGGAAAGACGTCCCACCGCAGGACTTTTCTCCATTGCCTCGTGCGACGTATAGCAGGCGAAAAATGGGAGAGAATCGTGCACCAACGGATCAGGCTATCAATAGATGGTCATCCCTGAGGGGAATCAACAGTAAGCATTCAAAGAAGAACGACAACGAGGAAAGACTAGCACGCACAAGCTCTGGCAACCTGAAGGAGAATGCCAGCGGTGATATATCGAATTCTTCTAACAAGAAAGGCAAATCTTCAGCGTTGTCCACCGTTTACTCTCAACGTGCATCGAAAGAAGCAAAAAGTCGGTCGGGGACGCGTCGATCCCACCGTCAGGCTAAACACTCAGCAAGTTCTCGCTCCAGTTCGCCCGGCAGTCGCGTACAACCCCTCTCATCACCGTTCACCTCTCGACCTTCTTCTGCTGCTAGTTCACCTAGATCTGCAACAGATCATATTTCTTCGAATGCCGTTACGGCGAATATCGTCGGAGGGAATGTTAGGCCAGTAAAATCCAAAAGCGGCCAGTTCAAGGTACCATTCCTGCCGAACACACGATCCAACCAGTATGGGGTACATAGCACTGCCACTTCCCCTGCCCATTCAACTATATGCGCTCATTCCCCCACCCACGACGTACAAGACCATGCCAACAACGTGGTCAAGGCGCGACGTCCTTCTGCCCCATCAGCGACTCGACCTTCTTCTGAACACATATTCTCTGCGTTCCCTTACGCTGCCCAAGAACCAGAAGATGATAGTATAACTCTTGCAAATCGAGGGATACTCGGATTAACGTTTGATCGACCTCCGTCCCAGCTTGACTACACTCACGTTTATTGGGACTCTGAAGGGCAATATTTGGGCGGTTGTGATTTGGACGGAGTCGACGAAGACCTTTTTAGTGAGTCGTTATCCACTTTGCTTATCCCTAACCAACCTTCCTGGCCAGAACCGAACGCTTCGTCATCCGAATTTTCCATGTTTTGGAGCGAAGTCAGAGGTATGTCGACGCCCTTCGACCGATCGAAGCATGCAGACGATAGAGAGAATTGCGACTTTCCGTATCATGATGACGATGACGAGCAAGGAGAAGGAATTCTGTCGGGAATCTTCCCTTTTGCATCGGCTCCAGGTGCCAGAACACCAGAACTACAGCAAACTCAACCTTCGGCTCACTCTGTTACGAGGCCATATCTTCGCTCTTGCTTCTCGGACACAGTCGTGAACGGTGGGCCTGAGAATGTGGAGGAGTCACCTACAAAGGAATTCGTCTCTCCGCGTTCTGGAAGAACCTACTACTGCTCTCCCAAGCTGAAAGAGAAACGGGGGCACTCAACTAGCGATGGCTGGAGGGAAGGGAAGGGATTGATAAGTGGAGAGGGAGGCAGTGAATTGTCATGGCAGAGTGATAGCTTGATATCTCCACCAACAGCCATTGTAAAGAAGTTTCAGCAGGGCCAGGTTTACGCGCGTTCGCCCCTCAACCACAAGGACACGAAGGATAAAGGTGGACACGATAGAAATGACACCGAAGACGATGATGGCACTATGGACATGGAACTGGATGCATGCCTCACTGCACCCACCATCAGCAAACCAAGTAAGCATACCAGTATTCGAATTGATGGCGCCCGTAGCCTCGACGACATATTCGGTTCCGTGAACATTAGTATCGAGGAAGGTTCCTTGGACCTTGGTAAGTGGGTTCAAGAACCGCAGTGCCACTCTGATTGAAGATTCAAAGATAAAACCATCATGGACGGGCACGAGCCATCGGGGGTACGCGTAATCGGTACCGACGACGATGCAACAAGACAGTCAAACGGACAGCTCAGTGCTCCAGTGCAGCCTGTAAAATCTGTAGCCTCCTCGGCTACCATGAAAGGCCGCAATAGGAGAGGAACGATCAAGGCCTCAGATTTCCCCCAGCCCCCGACAGCAGGAGCTGAAAATGACGGAACCAACGCAATGTCCAGAAGAACACGCAGCGGCACGATAACCGCTCGTAACCTAGGTTTAGGGCATAATACCGGTTCTTTAGGCAGCTCCAATACCTCCGCTCCTCGCGTCGGTGTCGAGGCCAGGCGGACAAGGAGTGGGACAATAATCGCCCCCCCAGCCACTAAGCCCATTAATCATAGAATTTCCAACGCCAAAGACGGAACCAATATAGATTCCCGAAGTAATGCTCAAGGCCGAAACCCTGCTGGGAACCGAATCAGCTCTTCTTCATCAGCCGTGAATGTCGAGCTCAGTCAGCGAACTGAGATGAACGCCCATTCACCGAACTCGACGGCCACCGTGTCTTCCCCGGATCCAATTAACCTTCTTGGCCCACCTATCAACATACAAAACGAGGTCTGGCAAGTCGCGCCGAGAGTATTCTCCCCAGAAAATCGGCGGTCGTCTGTTGCGAAAACTTCCCTGCGACCGTGCGTGTCAGATGCCCCCCGGCTAAGAGTGATGCAGCCGTTAAAGGGTGGCCCCAGAGGCGGCGCTAGAGGTATGGGTCCATTTGCAATGATGTTAAGTACTATGAAGCGCGTCGACGAGAATGAGAGGAGCTCCGACGACGAGTTGCTACTGAAGGGGAAGGCGTCCGCCACGAGAAAATGATTGACGGTGGCTTGACTATCGGAGTGTAATGTAACCACCCCCGACACACGCTGATTTTTTAGGTCCGTGTCTTTGCTACAAATCGGCCGCAGCGAATCGGAACTATAACGACTGGTCCACTTGCGATGCCATCACTCTCGAGCGCTGACGCCTTTGCTGCGACTCTCGGCCATATTCACATTCCTTTCCTCTGCCTCGCTCTCTGATGTCTACATAACTTACCTGGGTCCTCGATCTCCATCTCGCATGCTTGCTTTCGAGAGGTCTTTCGATTTTCCATCCTGGATGTTATCTCCCTGGAATCTGCTACCGCCCCCTTCAGGGTCTTGTTAATAATTTCTTCGGCCTTTACCAGTGATTTTTTCTGGTTCCCCTGGCTCTGATCCTGCCCCGATCCACTCAAATCGAATCGGCTCCTCACAAACACCCCGACATGCTGTCCGAACCTGGGCACAAGCTGAACGCTCATGTACACACGCAACACTCCGCCGCTGATTCGATTGCCACCTCGTCTCCAACAGTCTCCGCTTTGTTTCCTCTGAAGAACCAGTTCGCCGTCTTAACTTTCGGCCTTTTATCCACCCCTGGCATCGTGGGTTGTATCATATTAGTCCTTTTGCGTCAGAACCGAGAACTGAGACCGCCTTGTGTATCATTACTGTAAAGGAAAACATTTCTGGCTATTGGTTAAACCATATGATCGGGACCCCGAACGACGATACTTTTCGCGTGACTTAACTTTGCCAGTAACGACAGTCGCTGATGATACTTCCCCGAGCGGTGTCGTCCGCCGACCACTTCGTTGTATTAAAGACAACGGTAAATCTTTAAGCAGTTTCGGTGTGATTTTTGCCGCTGGGAGTCAGAACACATCATGTGAGGAATAGATAAGAGATCAGCTGAGCATATGCTCCAACACTTTATTTTCGATCTGTGGTGGTTTACCGTTTGATAGATGCATACTTGTGAGCTAGATCTGGGTAGCTGTTGGTCCGATAGCTACGGGGTCACAGGACTACTCCACTCAGCGAATATGACCTGTGGTGGTGATTCTTATTGTTTTCCCTTTTGGATTTTATTGGATACCATTCAAGACCCCCATGGTGATTCGTACATGACGGCAGTGGAAAGCGCCTAACGTCCCCCAGGACTCTATACGCCGTTTTAACGGTATAGTACTGAATGCTGCTGACACAAGGAACATGTTATACGTTATGTGTCATTGGATAGAACCGATCACGAAGATTGGTTGTAGAAGGGACTAACCGGTGCTGGAGCAGAGTCGGAAAATGCTCCACACCTTTGGTTTATTGCACCTCATATTTGCGGTAAGCTTGATGAGTGCATGACTCATGCGCGGATCCATCAAGAGTTGCCAAGAGCCCGGGTACAAGTGATGCTCTACTAGGAAAGATGATAAGTGACTCAAGCATCTGATGAGTGTGCTTTTATTGATACTGTATGCTGTACCCGGGGTATATTGCAGGTGCTTTTAACATATGAGTTATCTCCCGTGAGGGTGCTGCGTACCTTTGTCGGTTTCACCTTACCACGTTTGCTCGGCAAGCCTAGGAATTTCTTAGGCGCCTTACTTATGCATGCCTGTGAAAGTTACGGGAGCTTACAGTTACAAGGAAGCACACCTGGGAGTAATCAGAAAAGGCAGAGGGGCTCCGGGGTGTCTAAGACGATACCCATCTTGGCGGATTCAACGATGAAGCAAGAAGTAACTGAGACCTGCCCCTGAGCCACCTGCCAAAAGTAGGATGCCTTCGTCTCACGGTTTGTCAATAAGCACAAATACAGCGCCTGTGGAGTCGATCAGCCCGCACCAAACGGTCGCGCACGCCGCAAAGGTGCCTTGCACCACATACATAGTCCCGTACCCTCAAAGCAGACCGAGATGCAGGAAGCTGAGGAAATTGGTACGTGCCCTGCGAGTTCATTGTCAGACTACTAATACGAGTCATGCAGATACATGTCGCATATGCAGTGGCCCGGCAGAGCCTGGCCAGCCTTTATTTCATCCCTGCAAGTGCTCGGGCACGATTCGGTACATTCACCAGGACTGGTGTGTACCCAGTTTACCTCCGAAATGTAAAGGAATCTCACCTGTCTGCAGCCTCACGACCTGGTTGGCACATAGCAAGAAAAAGAGCTGCGATGTATGCAAGCACCCGTATTCGTTCACTAAAGGTTAGTATGCTCACTGCTGGCCGAGTTTGTCTAATGGATGTGCCAGTCTACTCTACCGATATGCCCTCAAAGCTGCCAGTGACACTTGTCATCCGGCGCCTCTTGCAACAAACAATATGGGGTATTTTGTTTGTCATCCGTGCAATCGTGGTAGGAACCATTTGGTTGGCTATCTTACCTTTGATGACTATATGGACATGGAGGATGTACTTCTCCATGGGAGATTATACGTGCGTCTTTCGAACGATCACATTGCAATCCGGTTGACCTTCGTCCACATAGTGCATGGTGGATAAGCGATCGTCACCGGCCGTCATCCGATCGTTTCATACCGAATTCACTCTACCAAACCGTACCAGCCCCGGTCAACATCACCTTCCCTCCCCTAACGCTACAATTCTCAGGTCACCCAATGTGGCTCACACTCTCTTCGGACATTTTTACTGGTCAAATCATCGCGTCGATTATCGTTCTCACATTTGTTGCCGTTTTCTTGCTTAGGGAGTGGATCTCACAAAATGCTCGTCCTGGTGTGTTCGAGGATGAGGAACTTCCCGATGGAGACCAGGTGCCTGCTCCCCCGAGACGAGTCGAAGCCCGGGTGAACGAGTTACCGGAGCAACTCGCCCAACGACAAGTGGAAGCAATTCAGGCGTTAGAAGCACTGCGCGCCGCTGAAATCCAGAACGGGATTGATCGTGACGGTAGACGAATCCTACCCCATTGGCAGTTCGCAGTCAACGAAGAGAACCCTCCGAATGACGAATTCGAAGCTCCTCCGCGTATCCCACAACAAAAGAGGGTAAGACGAATCAAGCGGCCACTCACAGGAGGGGATGGAGAGGATCCGGCAGGGGAGCGAGGGCTGGTTGTAGAAAGCGAAATCGAGCGCTTGCGTAGGAAGGCCTTTAATAGGCGGCTACAGGCGGCAAGGGTGTATGGTGCCCGACGGAAAGCGCAGGTGGGGGGGACGTTGCCTCTCGTGGAGCGAGAACTCGACCGGAGAGATTTGGTGAGGGACCCCATACCCCCATTTGAATTTACATTTAGGGCGCCAGGCGATGAGGAGCTTCGTCGGCCTGCGTCGGCACCTGAGACGATGCAAAGTACTGCTGCGCTCAATCACGAAGCTATTGAGGCGCTATTTCGCCCTCCATCAGCTCAAGACACGCCGTCATCTCAAGAGACGCCGCCATCATCGGCCGCACCTCCACTACCATTCTCACTCTCCTCCATATCGCTACCCCCGCCTCCCAGCTACTCTCCTCCTAGCTACCCTGGTCCTCCTTTGGACAACGATGAGACTGTAGAAGCTACACCCCAGCTTCCCAGGCGACCACCTCTTCCCACCGTAACATTACCGTCCGTCGATTTTTCTACTCAGCCTCTGTCAACTTCTTCCAATGGAGGGAGAGCTACTGCCTCGCCATTGGTTTCACCTAGTCTGGCTACGTACTGCGCGCCAGAGGAGTTCAATTCAGAAGCCGGTCCTTCCTCCTTGGCGAGTTACTTCACTGGCCCGAAACAAGGCGCGCTCGGGTTGAACACCAGCGAGGGCGATGATGCAGATAGCATGGCAGTCCAAGATGGTTCTTCCAGTTCTTCATGGGATGCATCTCTCTCTTCTGGGTTGCACGGGGCCACCCCCACCGTTCCGACGGAAGACAATGAGGTCACAGCAACATTGGCAGATGATTCAGAGGACGATCTCGACGATGTTCCAGAGGACTTAGCGATGGATAGAATGACTCCTTCGCAGCTCAGGGCAGCCCGTGATAAATACTTCGCGCTTGCGCTTGCTGGAAGGAACTCGGGATCCTCAGCGGCCGGCGATGGCGGACAGCTAGACTCAGATGATCCTACGAGTTCAGGGGGTGAAGAGGATGAACTTAGGATCCCTACACCACCACCTCCCAGGGAGCATGTGTTTGGAGGTGTCTTGGTTATTGGTGCAGATGACACAGATGAAGACGGAGAAGAAGACGAACAGTCTGAGGATGATGACGAGGAGGAACATGATCTCAATGGTGAGCCAGCTCCGGCTGTAGCAAGAGTGAGGATAGTACAGCCAGCTGCCGACGGAGGGGTTGACGTGGTTTTTAATCCACAAGTAGAGCCGGTGAGGCTGCCCCAAGAAGGGCACCTCTTGGAGATTGGGCAGGCCCCAGCAGAGATCGCTCAGCTTGTGGAAAATGGAGTGCCAGCTGATGATCAGATCGAGGCGGGTGATCAAGCGAATGAGCCAGGGATTCCGGATGCCGCTGCCGCTGCACTCATAGCTGGGAACGAAGACTTGGATGGAAATGGGGAGGATGACATGGAAGGCGCATTGGAAGGTGGGTTGCTTCATTCAGATTTGTAGGTGGTAACTGACTCCCTTGCCGTTTTCAGCCATCGGAATGAGAGGGCCAATATACGGTGTTGTCCAGAACGTATGTAAAGCCTGTTATAGGAGGGTTGGGAATGCTGATATTTTCGTTGTAGGCTGTGGTTATGATATTTGTTCTGCATTTGACAATCGGCCTTGGTGTTTGGGTTCCATTCACCGTAGGGAAATCAGCCGCACTTTTAGTAGTAAGTTCCCCTGATTATGTGCCGAATCATGCTCATACATCCACTCCTTTGAAGCTGGACCCATACCGTTGTCTTCAAATTCTCCACCTCCCAATCAAAGCTATGCGGGTGGTCACTGACCCTGTGGTGGACTCGACCATATTCTTAGTCACCCATGCCATTCTGCCAACAATACTCCGTATTGCCCGGAGACAAGTGCAAACTTGCTGTGCCTTCATCGTGTTCCTCGTACGCCATCTTCTTGGTGCCACAATTGCCGATAAAATCACCCATGCTGTACAATCTGCAGTAAGTATGCGCTTCTCGTATTCAGACTTTGTCTGAGGATACTCTTTATTAGTCAGATCGAATACCGTCACTCATGGATTTCGTTGAACAACCATTCTCGCACCTTTCTCCGTCGATGAAGGCGACGTCCCCGGTTCAGCCCTCCCCTGGGCCCACCTCTATCCTATGCAAAGCGGTCATACCGCTCGTCGACTCTCTGGGTCCTGTGGAGCCATACTTCGCTGCTGTCGGGCGCGAAGTGCGAGTTAACTTCATACAAGTAAAGGCCTCGTGGGAGAGGCTAGCGCTTGGCTCTGGACCCGCAGAGCGAGCTTTCGCGGTAGCATTAGGCTATTCTATCGTGGCATTCATCCTCGCGATATACCTTCATATCTTAACTGTCGGTAGTGTCAAAAGCGCCCATCGGGCGGTACGGAGCACCGTCCGTCAGCAATTACTAGTACTGAAGGTATTCTTCGTTGGCCTGTAGCCTCGTGCTGTCAAAGTTCTAACTTGCGTTAGGTCGCCGCCTTCATCATCATTGAACTCGTCGCGTTCCCATTAGGCTGTGGTATCGTCTTGGACCTTTGCACTGTTTGGTTGTTCCCCACTACCTCTCTTGTCGCCCGGGCTACATACTTCTTCCAAGCTCCGTTGACAGCTATGTTTTACCATTGGGTAGCTGGAACTGTCTTCATGTACGTTTCTCTTCCCATCGTCCTTTCCCGCTCCTTTAACGATTGTTTGTGTTCAGGTATTCGTTCGCGATCTTGTTGTCTAGTTGTCGCAACATCATGCGTCCCGGAGCCATGTGGTTCATCAAAGACCCTCAGGATCAAAACTCTCATCCCATCCGCGACATTCTTGATCGTCCCGCTTTGACGCAGCTGCGGAAGATTTCCGTCAGTGGGCTCATGTACTCCTTCGTCGTGGTATGCGTTGTAAGCAGCGTCGCTGGACTTTTGGTCCTTGGAAGAAGATCCATCATGCCATTCCGCTTGAAAACTCGGTAGGAGTCCGCATCCTCCAAAGAGCATTCCAGCTGACTTTTCTCTGTTCTCTGTAGGGAACCTCTGTCTTCCGTGCCCATCGACCTGATTTTCCTCCATCTAGTACTCCCGTACACAATGCACTATTTCCGACCTCGAAAGACGTTGAAGGCCCTCACAACTTCTCTCTGGAGAGCGCTGGCGAAAAGGCTGCGCCTGAGCTCCTACTTTTTTGGCGGCCGATATTTGGCGGAAGAGTACACTAACAAGAACTTCTTGGCTTACTTCGTAGAACCTGCAGATCTCTTGAATAAGGAAGCGCAGTGGGCCGGCGGGTTACGACGGGTCCCTGCCACAGACCATATCGCATTGCCTAGGGACATGAGAGCCACTGCCGCAGTGAACGAGGCTGGTGAACCTATCGATGACTTCAATAAGGAGCTCATAGCGACCCAAAACGCCGAAGCCGCACGAGCTAACCGATCCGTCAAAGACGACTATACAGTCGTGTATCTTCCACCCGGATTCCGATATCGACTCTTTGCTTTCATAGCTATTCTCTGGACACTCGGTTCGCTGTGTTTGGGGGTGGGCGTTGCCTTCCCAATCGCACTTGGCAGAGGCTTTTTCCATCTCTTCGTGCCCTACGAGCTGCATGACGGTTATTCCCTCATCGTCGGTTTCTACTTACTCTGGGGCTGCTACCTATTCGGTCGGGCAATTGACAAACTCGACAAGCGTCGCCAGCGTCGTGGGGACGAGGGCCCGCGAGCTGATCTTCGCGTTTTGATTCTCAAGCGTGGTCTACTATGGGTCCTCAAAATTACCTACATCATCATCTTTTTGGGCTTCGTCATCCCTACACTCGTATCCATCGTTATGGACCTATACCTCATTCTTCCCGTTCGCCTCCTTGTCAACCCCTCGCTGTCCCCGACGATCCGCATTGTCGATGCATGGGCACTTGGATTATTGTATACCAAAATTGCTCTCTTCACCCAGCGCATCGGGCCAGACGCTCCTATCAATCAAGGCCTAAGAAGAGTACGTCCCTACGCTTCGCTGATGAAAGTACCTTCTGATTTGACTTTATAGATCATGAATCACGGCTGGACAAATCCTGACCCTGTGACGGCCACAAAAGAAGTCATCGGCCCGACGATGTTAGGGTTGTCTGGCATGATCGCTCTTCCAGCTATGTTGTTTTTGATAGCCAACACCTATGCGCCATCTTTACAGCTCGGCGCAAAGGCCACATGTAAGTCACCATTAAATTCCAAGTTCTGTGCTATGATTGATCCTGTTTTCAGTCATCTACGTCTATCCAGTTATCTTCGCATTGGTCGCCGTGTCTGGCGCTGTCTCCTTGATGTACAAGAGCCTCCTCGCTTGGTCACAGGCGGTCAGGGACAAGGAATTTTTGGTAGAAATGCGACTGCAGAATCATATCCCCGAGACGCCTAGACCTAGCTCTTCAGCAACGCCTTCTATTCCATCGACAGCATAGAGGGGTTTTCCATTGGATTGAATAGGAATAGTGTACCGAAGCAATAATTTTAATTCTTGTCGGACTTTGCTATCGTATTGCGCCAGCATCCATATGTATCCTTACTGCTGATATAGCACACATCCACCACACATTTTGTCCTGATCGTATATATTCTTTAGACTTATTATAGCACATTCTTTTTTCTGGAACAGTTTGCTATCGGAATTGAGTTTCCTCAGTTCCTGATGATGGTGATGCACGTGATGTGTGTGAACATCGAGGAGCGCGACGGTGGCGACACGACATCATAAATCTTCCTCCTCAACCTCCATCACTAATCGAACACTACCAGCGCTGGTCGTCTCGTCTACGTGTCGCATTTGCTCTGCCAGAAGTGAGAAAACTCTCTGAAGAAGTGGATATGGTTGTCACGCGCAGAAAGCCTGTCGTACCCGCTCCGGGGCCAGCTTCACGGACCAGTTCTACACAAGCTGTCCCCCAAACCTCGAAACCGAAGGGAACGCAGTCTGTTCTGGCCAACTCTAGTACGCCTGAGCACACTAACAGTTCTGAGGTGAGTGGCGCGCAGTGTGAACAACGTTGCCGCATGTTGACGAAGTGGTCTTGTGCAGAAGCAAGCCAAGAAAGCAAAGTCACCAGCGCACAAAGGGAAGAGAAAGAAGAAAAAAGACCGTTCACTCTTGATATATCTTCGCAATATTCTCCTCACTTTGACGACAATATACGCGATCCTCGCATGTCCTGACTCCCCGTTATATACCTCGGATACGTCGCCCTTTCACATTCCTTCACATCCTTCTACCACGCAGCGCAACCTTCCGATAACACCGTTCCCTGCTACTATATTCCCTCCACCTCATCCATTAATCTGCAAGACTCTCCTCACGACACACAACAAGCTCGTTTTGCCTCTGCAAACATATGTTATCGCACCGTTGTACTCTCAGGCTTCACAAGCCGTTTACCACGTCGCACACTCCCCTGCGTTTGCTCCATATACGGCGTCGGCTTCTTCCTTCTACGAGACAAAACTGGCCCCCGTGTATAGTGACTATTTATCTCCATTCTGGAGACAATATATCGTCCCGCAATATCATAGATACGTCGCGCCAGTCCTGGCAGATCGCGTCCTGCCCTTTATCAATAATTCCGTCATCCCTACTTGGAAACACCGCATCGTGCCGACATATCAGAGGTACTATGCCAGACTAGTTCTCCCGTACTGGAGGAAATACGTCTCGCGACCTTTGACACCATACGTCGCTCGTTTACAAAACGTCTACGAACGTCACCTTGCACCAATAGTTTCTCGACTCGAAAGGGTGTCCTGGAATATCTACAAGGTCTTGGCGAAGGCTTGGAAGAGTGCAGAACCACACCTGGAACACGTCATAAAAGGTCTGGGCCGTTGGTTCAGTGCAATATATGCACGTCTCGAACCCCACCTACGTGTCTTCCTGAAGAAAGCCTCTTCACAATCGACAGAGGCCTTGAAATGGGTTTGGGCGCAAAGAAGAATCTACGTTGACCCACATGTCAGAAAAATATGGGTCAAGGTCAAGGAGCTGAGTGGTAGTGATGTGAAGCTCGACACTCCCGCTGGTGGCCACATCGTTAACGTCGATCGCGATTGGCCGTCCGCCCTCAAACCAGATTCAAAGGCTGGGCCGGTGACTTCAGCTATGCCAGTGGCGCAGGAGTCATTACATGCGCCTCTTGTTCATACCGATTCTACCTACTCTACAGAAGAGGACCCCGCACCGACGTCAGCTTCGTCCATTGAACCAACCGGCGAACCTTCGGTATTTCCTTCGACCGACAACGGTGGGATGACGATATCGAACACGGACATCCCAAAGTCCATACCCGAAAGCGAGGCTTCAATTCAAGCAGAGTATGAGGCAGTGATCCCGGAACTCTCAAACGCAGCTGCCATCAAAGCTGCGAGCGTCATCGAAGAGTCTCTGTTTGCCTACTCATCATCTCCCGTCCCACAGGAACTCGCCGTTGAAGCTGGCTTGACCCCCTCTCCCAGCTCTGCCTCGAACGTTGACTCAAGCCCTTCTTCCGTCCCTCAAGAGCTCTCCCTTGACCCTGATGGTTTCATGGACCTCGATGAATTCCTCGCAAATCTTGGCCTGGACCAGGATCTCCCTGTGGACTCGCCCACGAGTGCTGAACCCGCTTCCTCGACAAATATGGTAGAGTCCACAGCTTCTGCTTTTGCTGTGTCTCAACCCGCCCCGAAGAAGACAAATCCGGCTGATATGGATGAGGAAGAACGGCGCGAATACATGGCCGCCAAGCGTCTGGATATTACCTCCCGCCATTCACGCTGGGAATCCGAAGTTGAATCCCTGATAGAGGCCAAAACAACTGAGGTAACTCAGAAGGTATTGAAGTTGAGGGAAGATGGCGTGCACCAGGTTCTAGAGAAAGATAGCTCTGTGCAAATCCGTGCAGAAGATATGGTGAAGGAGGGAGAGAGGCTACTGAAAGGCATTGGTAGCTGGGTCGCGGCGCACAAGGATGCACCGTACGCTAAGAAATCCGAAGTTAATGCAGATCTGCAGAAGGAGAAGGACAGAGACATGGATCTGTTTGATAAACTGGTAGGAAAGGTGCAGGAGAAGTTCCGAGACAAGGTGGGCGAGATCGAGGATGAGGTCAGAGTCTGGTATATGGGTGTTAGAGATGCAGAGATACAGGAGGTGAGTCGATTTCCTTCGCAGAGTTCGCCTCTATTTCGAACTTTATCTTCTGCCGTCGTTCTGGAGCACACCTCATCATATTTGGGCGGATCGGGATCCTTCGTCCGGTGGAGATCGCGCCCAGTGTTCATTGCACAAAGATCGCTATCAATACCGTCATTCTATTCAGCTGCCAAACCGTTCGTTGGGGGCATGGCACTCTCGGAGATCACTCTCCCATGATGCCTGACTGGACGGCGTCTTAGAATCTCTCTTAGGAAGCGGCAGAGTTTGCCACCGTTTTTATCTTTGTTCGCCGTCTTAGTCCCCTCTCCCTTGGCCATGTTGGCTCGGTCTTTCTCCCGGCGCTTCTCTGGCATTATTACATGTCTTCCTCGTTGATCGTGTATCGGTTTTGGCCTGGTGTGGGGTTCAAGCTATTTGCGTTCCTCCCTTATTGGAACCAGTTGCCCGGGAGTTTAACGTTTGTTACTGGCACGCCTTCCCTCCAGAGGCCGTATGTCACCGCTGGTTTTGGGTTTTTAACTCGAATTCTTGGCATGTCGAGCGCTCTGCTCAAGCCCTCCGCAACCCGTTCTTTCTCTCTGCAAGGCCTTCAAACCTAGTTATTATTACATCGCACGTCGATGGCAGGGCACTACGTGTGAGGCTTCGGACTTTTGCGGCGCTGGATCTTCTATCTTTTCCTTGCTCGCCTTGAATGCTCGTTGCAATCTGGCTTCATTTGTCGCAGGGTATGGTGCCCACGCCTGGGACCCCCCTAGACTACCAGCTCTTGCCGCGGCGATCAGCTTGTGCTTCCAAGTCCTTCTTGTTTTATCTTCATTCATTTGCTATTAACAAGCAGGGATGGGCCTGGATGGGTGCAAGACATGTGCATCCTCCACTTTCGTCCCATCTAGCATGTATCTTTCTTCAGGCGCCGCTTGGCTTGCCGAGTGTCTCGCTTTCCTTTACCCGACTTTGACTTATCCTTACTTCTAAGTATACTCTTTGATACCCGCGCTGACTGTGTTACTAGGTCATTCGTGTGGAAGGTGAGGTCCAGGAACTAGCGGAGCGAGCGCAATCCGATATCGGCCTTGATTATGCGTGGTTGGACGATGTTACATATCGAGATTGGCAGCGATACCATGACTTAGTACGAAGTGAGTCTTCTCCATTCCCGCGTTTATTTCTCCACATCTATCATTTGTCCGTTCAGTCCTTGTGCTTGAGAAACTATACTAATCTTACCATTCTTTACCCTCCCATGCTCGCCCCTTGATCGGTTCTATGCACCCAATGGTATCGCCGACCTTGACGTTCGCCCTTTCTCCGACATCGCAATGTGTCTGCTCTGGACACGTACCTGCTATATTTGCATTTGTCGTGCATTTTCGTTACGATTCCGCGATGATCCTGAACCGTCTACGCAATTACCTACCCGCCAACGGTCGCAATCTCCATCTATCCTCGTGTGGGCGGTATTTCCAAATGGCAGGAAGTGAACGCTTTTCGGATATAGCTCGATCGCTACAAAATGGGACGCACGACGCATCTCCTGAAGACCCGATGCTGCCTGCCCTTGAAGATTTACGGTCCGAAGTCCAAGATATCGTTAACGCGTTCCAAGCACGCCTTCGCAGTCACAAACAAGCTGCCGCCGAGCTCTTCGATGACAAGCCATTAGATACCCACGGGGATGACGTCGCCGTTGAGGCGGACTCTGACCGCGCTCAACCAAAGCTGCCGGTCTCAGCGCCGTCATTAGGCTCCCATGGAATTTTGGAGGGTCAAGAGAATAGGCCAAGCTCTGATGCAATCCCACCCGTTGTTCTCGGTAGATCTGAAGACGAAGTTGTTGCGGCACTAGGAAGAGCAGCGGCCCAAGCCGACGGGAGAAGCGCTCACACGGAAAGCAGCGATGACACCGAGACATCTGTAACTGATGCCAGCGGTACAGATGAAAAACTTCCGTTAGAGAGGCAGACGACGGCCCAGGTACCGGAACACGTGGAATTGTAACTCGACGCCGAAACAGACAGTGATGGTACGCGGGCCAATTTACACCCACTTCTTTCCCTTAGGCTATCTGCATATTGATAGATGCTGTGAATGCTTTGTGCTATTTACCATGCTTTAATGATATATCCGCACTTGTTATCAAGACATGCGTCAGGATGCGACTTCTGTCATTGATACGTAGGCTCTCCATCATAGAGTGTGTGGGGCAGGTCAAAATGACTTACGTTCATTGCGTGTTCCCGTATCTTAACTCGCATCTTCCGTGGGCATCGTTTCGCCGTTGTCATCCTGACCAGGAGGCTACCGTAATGTTCTCAGTATTGTATTTGTGGGGGCAGTTTCTCGCCGAGGACCGCTGACCAGTGGCAAGACCCTGCGATGCAGGAGTTTCAAGGACACACTGCTAATTGGTCATATCTCAAATTCTCAATGAGGCCTAAGGTGGCATGCACTGATGGAGTGCCAGGTAAGTTTACACGCAAATGGCGCCCCGTCTTGAACTGGCATCCCCGAATGACGCGCGTGCCCTCTCAGGATATTCGGTGCATGGCGGATCAATGAGCAACTCCGACGCACACCAGGAATGGCCTGGAATGGCTGATCCTTCCAAGTTGAGGTAGATAAACCGTCCGCGTCAGCTCGTATCTTTTTGAAGGACCAAGGACGTAAGTGAGAAAGCTGGTGTGTGAGAGCGAATCGTGAACCTGGAGTGGGGGCTCCTGAAAGCTGGACCCATCATGGCATCCTATTTAAATTGAGTCGGTTCGTAGGATCAGGATATGCTGCTATTTCAACACGCTGCCTGGGCGAAACACTTACATACCTGTTCATCAGGAGGGAATTCCTGTCGCCGTCCAGTCGCCAAAATTCCCAAGATTCCTGACGCAAAACGGTCCAGGCATAGCTCCATAAGTAGAGCCATCTGTAATGTACCTTGCATTGGGCAAGTGAGATAAATTCTTTTCCAGCAGGGACAACGTAAATACTCACAGCTCAATTGAGAAGATGATAGAAATAGTGAATATTAGTGTCCGGAGGGTGTCATGGGTTCCTGTCGCTCAATGTCCATCAAAGGAGTAGATACCGGTGGACGTCCGAACATCTCGGCAGGCAGGACAAAGTGATACTGTAGTATGTATTGAATACGGTCAAGATGAAGATATGTGTAAGAAGTATATTACAGAAGACTAGGAGCTATCAACCGCTCGCCATTTCAGGTGGGCCTCGTAAAAATCGATGAGCTGTGCATGAGAAAACCCATCAGTATTGGACGGTTCCACACGGGCATGTCTCATATAAGTAGTCACCTTGTTGGGGAAGCGTTCTTTACATGTTTTTGAGGCCTCCTTCACACGCTCGCCCGAGTTCCTGAGAGAAACACGGGGAGTGAGTGTGTTGATAACGGAAACAAATGGAAAGTAAAGACTCACAAAGTAAAAAATACTTCCAGCAGGCCCTCTTCGGTGGAGCAAACCGTGTCGACGGATTGGATGAGAGGCTCCCAATCCGGCATATCTATATATTGGTTCATATTCCCCACCGATATATCGTCGTTATCCTTCGCGTCGACAACAGTTTGCGCCTTCCCGTTGGCGGGTTTCTTGGCCTTTTTCGTAGTTCTCGTATCACCTTCCGCGTCCGCCGCTTTGGATGTACGACCGCGCTTCTTGGTGGTAGTAACAGCAGATTCATCGCCAGAAAGATTGGTAGACTTCTGCCTGTCTCTGGCCAGCGCCCTGCTAGCACTTTCACTGGCACCAGACTTTCGGCGCGCTTTCGCAGCATTCTGCTTTTTCCAAAATGTGTCAATCAAGTCGGCCGCGTTGCTTCGCGAATAAATCAACGCGTCCGTGCCGGAAATCAAGACACGTACCCAGCGTCTCTCTCGTCGACCCAGCTGTTATGCTCGCTGGAGTAGCCCTTCCATTTCACGAAGTAGCCCGCTCGTCCCTTGAAGACTTTGGTGATCCCGATACACAATTGAAGTGGCGGAACTCACTCCCAGGAACATTCCCTTCCTTGCTTCAATGATCTCCTCGATCTCATATTCCTCCTCACCTTCGCTTCCGGGGGTCTCCTCGTTCCCAGCTTCATTGTCAGTACCAGCCTCGGCTATCGGCTGGTCATCAGAGTCAGCTTCGGATGCTGCCCGTGCCATGGTTGGGTAGTAGGGATATGGGTCGTGTTCGAAGATGCGAACACTACTGTTTAGCGCGCGTGAACAACCCTGGTGTTCTCACGGCGCACCAGCCAGAAAATTGTAGAGAACATGCCACAAAGATCTTGTACCACTGCGAATACAGATGAAAGCATACATTACAATCATGCTAATTGTGTTTAGTCCTCAAAAATATACCAGTGACAAGGACATGGACGAGGCGTCTAGTCACGTAAAATACAAGGTATCATCTACGACGCGCCGGGCTTGCGCTGCGGCCGCGCGCACCCCCTCTGCCCTTTTTAGGCCCAGATGGGGGTGGCCTCACGAAGGCATAGTCACATTGTATTTGCTGTTCCAGAAGGGTGGTTCCAGACGCGCCGTCAATCGCGGCTTGTGCCTCTGCCATTGTCTCATACTCGACAAGCGCGTACCCCTAGACATGTAGAAGGCAAAAAGTAGGATAAGCCTCGGTGTAAGTTGCAGAAAAAAGACGTGTGTTTGTTTACTTGCCTTGACGTATCCCGTTCGACGGTCGAGATTGAGATGGAGGTTTTTGATTTCGCCGAACTCTGCAAATTTGTCTGTTACGTCCTCTTCTGTTGCTTCCTCATGTACGTTCGTGACAAGCACAATCCATCCTTCAACGGCTAACATGCGCAAGGTTGAGGCCTCGGCAAGGAAACATCTAATATGAAGGTTGCGTACAGCGTGCTGCCCTGGTGTCCTGGCTGACGTGCGTCGACTCTACACGATCATACGTTGGCTCAGCATTAACGGTGCCCTCGTTTTCCCCTGGACGACAAAGGAACGTGTCAGATTTTTGGAGAAGAAAACACAAGTTCCTGAAGTGTTTGCAGCTCACCTGTTTTCTGAAACCCCCTGCCTCTTCTTCTGACTGCTCCTCCGGCAGTCACTGTTTAATTTCTGCTCAAGCACGCGCTTCAGAATCGGATGTCTGAGAATTCACCTTCATCAATGTTCATCTCATCGTCGGACATGTTTGTATGAGAGAAGGAGGATTGTGACACGCGTGACCTTGTGACTCGGCTACCAGATTCAACGGAGGCACATTTCTGGAAGTATTACCGGCCGGTGCTAGGTGGTTCCGGGGTCCTAGAAGGCAGAAAACGTGGAGGGTCCTTTTCAGTTGTTTATTATTACATACAGGAAAATCATGGAAAATATTCTTTTGTGAGTAATTTGCTAATGTGTTTCGAAGACCATGGCCATGGATACGGTCATTGAATCCCTGCTTTGGAAATCCCTCACAGTCGCATTTCGTTGTTTGTTCGGCTAGGACACGACGCGAGACTGCCGTCCATCAATCTCCTTTCCAACCAGTATGTCGAACATATTTTATACAATCCCATTGTTGCCGTACATAATCAGCCGTTGTATCCAGATGCGGCGTCATACCCTTTTTGATCCCGATTTTCGTCGAAAATTCACATTACCTGAATGCCATGAGTTTAGTGCCTGGAGTGAACTCTACACCACTTGTTGGGTAACGCACACGCATCCTAATTCTTCCCTCACCTTCACCCCATCAAGCGGACCGATTAATCGACAATAGGCGCTAACCTAGGGAACCCTAGGACTTTGAATCTTTATAAAGCACGAGTAGATCTCAGAATAATCACCTTCATTCCCTCGACAGCTCACGTATATAACACTCCGGTCGCAGTTCTTCCTGGTCTTCACAATGCACGCAACCATGTCTCTAATCAACCATCCTTGCACGCTCTGCTGCAGGCCGACATCTATGTGGTGTAGCCGTTGTCAGAGTGCGTGGTACTGCTCGCCGGAGCACTTACACAGTGTATGTCCCCCATTCATCCTCACCATGCCGTACGCTCCCTCACACAGGTCCCCATCGATCAGGATTGGGCGCGCCATCGGAAGGAATGTATCCCTGCCACTGCAGCCCCGAACCAGTACAATGTCAACATGATCGCTACGCCACCACCTGCCGAGCCACAATACATTACCGTGTCTGCGATTCTCTTCTCTCCCGAAGAAGGTGAGCTTCATTGCTGCCGCTCTTTTGCGCCCAACCGACTGACTGCTCGCAGAGCGTCCCCGAATCATCACGGTTAGCTGTCGTCCGTCCCACAAACCCTCCCAGGGCATGTGCCCGATCCCTCTTGTTCAGAGTCATTTCGCCGACGGCCAGGCCGAGGGAATTGTCCTAACTCAAGGCTTGAATGGCGAGCCTCTCCGTTTCCCCCTTCACCTGTGGTACTCCCCCACTGCCCTCTCGAAGTCGGCCCCAATCAACCGTGCCATTTACCACATTACCTCTGGCGCGGCGCCCAAACCCTGGTGTGGGACCGTGGTTGTACTCAAGTTCAACGGGTCCAGACGCCAAGGATATTCTGATGCTGGTTCCAATGACCTCCCCGCCCTCTCCGCTTATTTCCTCGCTTACAAGTAATCAACCCGCATACCCTTCGAAAGTACGCTACATCTCACCCGTCTCCCTTACACTTGGCTGATAGTGCTCGCGTCCAGTGCTCTGTCGCAAATGTCTCGTCGTATCACAAAAATCTAGACGCCTTAGCTGCTCGTTCGTCGTTATCTGCTTTCACTTTCTTGGCACGTTCCGGTTCTCCTGTAGCATAACTTCCTTGTCGTTCTCCCCCTCGCGACTAATATTAATGGTTACCTAGAAGATACTGACACCTTGTCGTCTATTCGTCCAGGGGGATAAAATTGTCTTGTCTAGTTGTGTATTTCTGAAATTCTACTGCACGTATTGTTGAGCATGAATCCCTAAGTCTACCTCAGGTTGGATCTCGATGGACGTGCAGAAGACCACACGTGTTTGGGTTCTATATACGTCGTCCTTTTCTGTCGCACTTGACTCCCTCGGCTGGATTGAACACGTACACGAGGGAGATGAGGGATTTTCATATGGGTACATACGTATGCCGATTTCCAGCAATTTCCGCACAAGGCCCCATCAACGCAAAGACCTCTCGGATTTTTCAGCTGACATCTTATATCCGTCGGACAGACACAGGATAACTTGGCCCAGATTTACATTGAGTTTGCGTTCAACGGCAGCCCTAACCACAGGACTCAGGGGTACTTCGATTGTGTGACCGTTCCTTCATCTTGGCTTGAACTTTGCCCGCGACTCATGATCACCTTTACCTCCTTCCCCTCTTCGCCTGGTGGAGAATACGATGCGGTCAGGCGCCACCGCGAAACAGACAACGATATGGATGTGGATTTCGACGACGACGACGATTTCAGCTCTAATAGATTGCGGTTGACGTTACCTGGGGACTACTTGACTTCATCCCAAGCCTTCATGCGGTAAGTGCTTCTCGGTGACACGTTACAGGTTACTTCCTTGACATTTCTCACTACTAGAGGGCATGGAACATATGTTCACGAGGATCAAGTTGTGGCTTCAGTCGCAGGAACGGTGGAACGAGTAAACAAACTTATCACGGTTCGGGCTATTCGCACCAGGTGAGAGAAAAGATAGCGTCACTTGTCTGGATGCACTGCCCACTGATGAAACTTGGATTGATCAGGTATAATCCTGAAGTTGGGGACCTTGTCGTGGGACGTATCACCGAGGTATGCCCTGAGCATGGTAGTACTTTGCAAGGGACGTGATTTCATGCATCAGGTTCAACCCCGCCGTTGGAAAGTCGATGCCAACTCACGCCAGGATGCCGTACTTATGTTGTCCTCTGTGAACTTGCCAGGAGGGGTCCAGGTATGCCGGGCTTCGCCAGCTGATGGCCACGCAACTTCATCTTCTTATTCTCCCAGCGTCGCAAGTTGGAGAGTGACGAGCTCCAAATGCGCAACTTCTTCGAAGAGGGCGATCTACTCGTTGCAGAGGTTCAAGCCTTTTTTTCGGATGGTGCCATGTCCCTGCATACTAGGTCACTGAAGTACGGCAAGGTTCGTCGGCCCCGTTTGAACTACATCGAAATAGTGTTTGACAGCCGCCGGCTTGTCTTAGTTACGCAACGGCCAGCTGGTTATCATCCCTCCGATCTTAGTCAGGCGACTCAAGTCGCACTTCATCACGCTACCTTGTGGTGTTGATTTGATTTTGGGACTGAATGGATATATCTGGGTCAGTAGACACATCAAGGCTAGTGATCAAGCAGGTGAAGAAGGGTTCGATGCCGAGGCAGTGTATTCTAATCAAAACGATGTGAGCGCAAGGTCATGTCTTATCTGACATGGCTGACATGTCCTCCCAGGATATCGACGAACCAACACGCGGAGCAATCGCTCGAGTTACCAATATAATACATGTGCTGGCAGCTCATTTTGTTCCATTGACAGATACGATTCTGCTGGAAGCGTACGAATGGTCTGTTGAACAAGAAGAAGCAAATAAAGGGCTGTTCCAGGAGGATGTAGCGGAGGCCCTCGTTGCTTCACTGCACTCCAGAAGTTAGCCATCTCTCTGTGCAACAAGCTTCTGTCACTTCTTGTAGCGTTTTCGCCGATAAACTCCCCCCCACATCGTGTTCGGCCTCTCCCGTCGGATTCAATGCAACGTTGTATCTATTCTAAACCTCGCCCAAATCCCCTCCGAATGAGTATAACAAAGAAGTCACAATACTCTCATCGCCGTCTTCTCGTCTCAAGCGCGTTTGTTCTCTGCTCCTGACTATTGGCAATGTATTTTCAGCGCTGATATTCCCATCCGAAGAATCTACCGTGAGTGGCTTTCATACATGCATTCATACGAAGCAGCTTCCCATTTATCGTTTCTCAAATTCTAGCCGCATTAGTACCAGTTCAGTTTCCCCATACTGGATGACCGAGACGCTTGGTAATGACCTTGTTCGCCATAATTATCATTCTAGAGACGTATACCGGAATGTTCTTACCCCAATGACATATTCGCGAAACCCTTGGTGAGCGGCACCTCTAATATTGACTCATGTAAAGCTCACATTCCCCGTGGAAGACGGTTAGCCTTTGGCAGACGTACGTTCTCAGACTGATAATCGACAATAGGAATCATAGGGATTATTACTGCCGAAGGTACGCGCCTACGTATGCTCATCCTCGTGGCGAAGGATATTGAGGCAGGGAACGCCCACGGAGTACTCGTGTTGCAAGAGCCACGCACATTCATTTGGCAGATCTCGACTCCATATCAAACCAAGTCTGGGAATGAACACAATCGTCACAATTACTCACAGTTGACGGCAAGTAGAATTGCTGCTTGCCAGGGTTTTGTCTAGACTCCTCCAAGCACTCATGGAAAATTATAGAATCTCTGTGAGACAGATACGTAAATGGGCCTAAAAGCGTAAGATATCTCTCGGTCTCACCCTCGATGCAAAGCTTCCGAGTGATAGCCCAGACCACATGACAATGATATCGACTACTCCTTCATAGGAACAGCGGTCATGCCTTGGTTCACAACGGCGGCGTTCTTGGTGGCGATTTTTGTTCACAGACTTGTTGCCCCCATCATGATTTAGCGAGTATGCCGATCAAGAAACCCTACAAACCCTACATCGGGCGCTGTACTCTTCATTCTGTATGGGACTCCACGGAAGTGGAAGACCTCCACGCAACGCATAAAACTCCATCGAGCAGACAGCTGTAGAGCTGCAACGTTACGTACACTCTGTAGACTAGGAGCTCTCCGCTTCACACGCAAGTCCAGGAGACGTTGGCAGCCTATGTATCCATGTATTTTCTAGGGTTTCAAGGTACGCTACGTTGACGCTACTGCTATAATCCGTGGCACACGCGGCATGGAACCATTTGCAGGATCCGAATTCCACAAGGATCTATGACCTCGCGTAGCTCGAGAAGGTACGCCAGTGTCTTTTCCATGACAGTGCTTGTCGGCTTGGATTGTTTACATACCCGTATGGTCGTCCCCGTCTAGTCCGAAGACCTTTAGGGAAAAGGCCGACACCGGAGCCCGTTTGGGAGAAACTACGCAGCACCCGGAACTTGCCCCTTGATGGTCCCCTTCTCGAGAGGCACGACTTCTGGGAAGTAAATCTTCACCCTTACCAGTAAACTCTGAGGGAAGCCCAAGAAGAGCCCGAGTCTTCGACGAAGGTCTCTCAGGTATTATGTAATCCCGAATCGTTGATAGCACCGCAGTGCACAGTACAGATATGCTTCGACATTCCTCCGACAACTCATACAGCAGAACCACCGCATCGCGGGAGCTTGCGGCAACGTTTGCCGGGCTGATCGAAGGTCCCCAACCTCGTGCTACTATTACCTTCCATGGTGCAATGAAAGTTCCAAACTCGCGATACTTCTCGGAAGGAATCATTATCCACCGCGTTCCTCTGCGGCGCAGTACGCACAATGAAATGTACTGATGGTACTCACCGTAATCTACAGAGGATTGGCTCTACCCTTACAGCTTCGCCAGGGCTCGAGGCAAACTAGGATATAACAGTCTTTTTTGCAAAGGCGATCTCTCCTCCGCAGTCGTCTGGCAAATCTCATCGCAACAGCTTGGAGCGTTTGAGGGCCGCAGCACAACGTTCTACAGGCACTATAGAGTATAAGATGGTGTCCTTAGATTGTTTCGCCAGTCAGTCGCTTGACACGGTGACCATGGCCTGGAATATCTCAGCAAGCTTAGCTCTTCTGTACCTCATATTATACGCCACCCTCCTTATCCACTTACTGGTTCTTTACGGGAAGCAAAAAATCAGCATTCGCTCTCGATTCACTTTTGTTACCTTCCACGTTCTAATTCGCCTGGCCTCCCAGGCGACGGGATTGGCTTTCGCATTGGCCGGTTACTCAAACGTCGGCTTGCTTATCGCATACTTCATCCTAGGCGCTGAGGGGTACTTCACGTTGGTGTTGTGCGCGTATCGTTTCTTGATAGTATGGCACCAGGCGCATTTCCGATCGAGAGAGTCATGGCTGGAGCCGAAGAGGCCAGCAGGAGAGAAATGGTGGAGAACCACCCTTGGTGCCCTCGTGCCATACGTCCCGGGGGAGAGATTGCGACCTATGGGTTTTATCCATAGCTACCTGGTAGTCGCCAACACATTGATCATCGTGGGTGGAACGATGCTCAGCCGTGGTTCCGGTGACTCGGAAGGGTTCGAGAGCGATCTGCAGAGAATCCAAACCTCCAAGATCTTGCGAACTGTCGGTCAAGCCATCTTCCTCATCATCAACATTGCCTTGCTTTCGGCGATCTTGATGACAGCATATCAAGCCCGCGTCGAGTCTAACCGGCAAGAAGAAGACGAAGAAACATCCAATTATCCCCATCCAACGCTTATCATCTTACTCATCGTTTGGCCTCTCCTCATCGTGCGTGGGCTCTACGGCCTTCTTAGTCCTTTCGTCGACCCGTTCAACTACTTCGTTCCGGACAACTACGATTCGCATGGGCTCACGTTGAAGTTTATCACATATGAGTACGTGCTTGGGACGACAATGGAGTGGTTATCTTGCGCCTTGTTGATAGGTACATGGTGGACCGAGAAATGGCCGGGGTTAGTGCAAACAGTCCAAGAGAGTGATAAAAAGGCGATACAAAATTAGTCGATGCTTTGCTCGCGTCCTAGAACACCCTTCAACGTATACCATTGATTTAGTTTTGATCATTCATCAATTTATAATTTATATATGCGGAGGCAGGTGGAGACAATCAATTTCAGGAGGTGCTATCAACTGTAACCGTAGCCACCACTAGCCTCCATCGCATAAAGAGCTGAGTCCCCGGGGTCTTTGTCGTCCGCTTGGCCCGCTCGATTTACGATCTTGTTTAGTGGTGAAATCCCTTGAGAGCCTCGTGGTCATATTTCCTGTTTCTTCATGTGTCGCCATGTGCGATCTGTCGATCTTCTAGCCCCGTTCCACGTATTTATTCATGAACTGACGGAAACGACTAAAAGGAATCTTTGGTAGCGTACGGCGCACGGCGCACGCTAGTAACCATGTTTGCCTTGTGTTAGAAGTTTTACAATAGATTTCTACTCCCATGGACATCCCCCACATACAAATATTGGCTAAACGATCCGCCCATGGCTTTTGGGGCAAGGACAGGTACTTGGAGAGCAATAACTCGCGACGTCATTTTCTTAAACGAAGGATTGGGCGAGTCGTTCTGGCATAGTAAGTATAGTACCAGGGATGCCTTATACCCAGGCTCGTGTCACGATCGGTCGTCAAGCCTGCAGGTTCGTATCATTCAAGTTTTGTCTCCGTTTGGAACGTTGCAGATGTGGCGGGCCACTTGCTGCCAGGTATCATTTCTGGAAATGATGCGCGCCGTTCCACATATGTAAGGATGCTGAAGACTACAAGTGACATAGGTACCAGGGTGGTCGAGCGGGAGCATCTAGATGTGTCGACAGATTTAGCTTTCTACGGCCCTACGTCGTGTCAATTTGATCCTTAGTACAATGAACGCTGTGCAGCAAAGTTCCTTCGTCGCGTGTTAGATTAAGAATCAACAAGACTGCAACATTCAATGCTCAACGTAACGCTCAATATTAGTGTGTTGAAGACTATGTAGGAGGCGGCGGCACATGAAACAAATTAGTGGGTGCCTCGTGGGCGGCCACAAATATCAACCTCATAAACAGTGGGCAAAGGACGCGAATCATGACAACAGAATAGGCTGGAACGGGGTGGACGGCGGATTTTAAAATGAATAAGAAACGGAAAGGTACAATAGAATTACATGTAGCCTGGAGGAATGGGGATTTACCATCAGAAGAAAGGGTGCTGAAACGTTGGCGAGTAAGAAAGGCCGAGTTTACAGCACACAAGGGTCTTAGCAGCAAACATACATCATTTCTTTCCAAGAACAACTAACCCCCCGTCCCATCCCCTGACATCCCAATGCTCCTGTTGAAGCTTTTTACGTATCGCTGGCTTTAGGACCCCTACCTGATTGACAGAGTGATTCCCGCGACCAGTGATGATACGCAGGGGTTTCGCTTCATTCGATTTTATTTCGTCATGGAGTACAGCGAAACAGGGTGGGAAAATATCATGGTGTTTATTAACCAGAGGCATGTAGGCAAAAGTGCAGAATGACATACCAGGCGAAGCATTATACCACTTCAGAGTGTCCTCAACGATTGAGGCCGCTTCGGTAATGGAAGTACCGTGTAGGTCGATGGTATCCTGTTTCGGTGTAGACACTCTGGTGACGTAAATTCAACGCCTGCATCCAATACGAGTATTGGACCCACCTTTTTGCCTCTACAACCTCTTTAGCGGCACTTAAGGCCGCTTTACGGGCAAGCTCTTGGAATTCTCTAGCCTATTAGCACGAAGTCAGATGGTTTGACTACAAAGCAAACCAAAGGAGAGGTAACCTGTTCAGCGTAATACAAAGCGCCGCCTCTAGTTGGAGCCTTCTGCCACATCTGAGCAGCCTTGCGTAGCATCTCGTTTCGTTGATCTATATACCGGCTTCGCATACTGTTGTGATAGCCTAGTTCACCAACATCTCCTTTGCCGCCTTTTCCGAACGTGTTTCCAGCTTGCCTCAACTTCGAAGCCTTTCCCTTACCACCTTGCCCATGGGGATTGTACGCAGGAATGCTCAGCGCTAATGGATTGAGGTGAGGGACCTTGCGCTCCGGTATATATTTCCAGGCTAAGGGATCTGGCCGTGGGGATTTAGGGAGAACAGGAGACGAAGGCTGAGACATCATCGGCCGTATTGGGGGCGGCGGCACTGGCGGCGGGAACGACGGCGGCGTACGAGATATTGGTACAATATTCTGATGATATACAGCCATCCCTCTATCGCCATTGCCATGATCGTAGTCATTGTCCAACTCCCGTAGAAGTTTCACAAGATCAATGGCGCTATCAGCAGAACCAGTGGCAGATATAGAAATGTTGATATCGTCTTGAAGAGTGGTAGTTTGTGTGTCTGGGTACGAGGGGAGGATTATCTCCAACAGAGAGGCCGTAGAGGGACCATCTTGTGGAGGGCCTTGCTTCGCAGAGATAGTTGCTAGTGCCGCGCGTAGTGCACTGTATGGAGTGCTGTGTGAAGGCGAGTGGAAATAAGAGTTGAAGAATGATGGAGGTTGAGATGGAATTAGAGTCGATAAATGGCTACAAATTGAAGAAATCTGTGCCCATGGGTCGAATGCCGGCGGCGGCGGGGCTGAGACAACTGTAAATAACCAATCCAATACGGTCGAGTAACAGTTACCTGAGCTACCACGCTTCCGGGTGGGTTGATGTTGACGCACGTCCCCTAGAGTAAGGATCTTCGAGACCTGCGGTTTCGCGCGCTTCTGTGGCTCTTTCCCTTTCTTCCTCTTGCCTGCTCCCGCTACTCGCCAAACGCCATCGGTAATAGAGTTGACACCTGCCATCTCTTCCTCATCAAGGGCCACTATACCCCTCTCTTCCAATTCTTGAATATACTGAACTGACAAAATACCGTCAATGACATCCCACATTTCAACCTCGGTCGTTTCATGATCGCCTTCAATATCTGCATCTTTCAATGCTGCCTTTATAGTCTTTAAGGGTACTCCAGGTAGGATAGTTTGTAGGAACCCAATTGGGGACGTGAATGAGTAATCTTGTGGCGATTGCGAGCCAGCCTCGGACGGTGAAAGGGAGGTATCGTTGGAGGTGGTCGTACTAGAAGCATCTCCGAAGAGGCATGCTGCCGTGCTTTCTGAATTTGTCGTCTCGCCGTTCTCTCCATCTACAGCATCCGCATCGTAGCAGCCCTGCTCATCCTGCAGCCGTGATTCCTCTAGATTCGCCTGCGCCGCCAAGTCACGCAGGATCGAGTACAGTTCGTGTAGTTGATTGCTGTGTTCTCCCGTGTCATAATCGTGGAACAGTATGGCGACAAGAGCAGTATCGAGTGGCGGGCAGAACTCTGTCTATACCAAGGGATTTCAGTACCAAGCATCATGGATCTGAGCGTATACTACCTGAAGGCTTTCGAGAAGGGGCATATTTGACCCCAAAGCAAAAATATATAATTTGGTGAGATAATAAGGATATGGTGTTACAACAGGTGTTGAATGCGACTGAACTCCGAGAAGATGAGAGATAATTGAACGTTTTGGCGCGCAACAGCCGTAAAGCAGTCGTAAGCTCACGTGATTCTACGACAACATGCTGATCAAGGCGGTGTTCTACGCATGCTGGACAGCGCACTCACTTCAGATCCATAATTCGCAAAACAAACTCCTTCATTTCCAGACATGTATCTTTACCTCTCCTTATTCTCGCTTTCTGTACTACTTGTTATGCGTAAGCAGCCTTTGGCGACAACTTGGACCTATATCATTTAACCTTTCGATAGTGACATATCGTTACCGCGCCGCCGTCGTACCGCACATCCCAGCCCGCGTGCGAGCATTATTTCCTCATCTGAACAACTACGTTCCTCTCTCCACATTCTCCGAGCAGGCCAGCGCTGGTCTTTCGTCTTCGGCATTCGATATTGAAGCTAATATTCATGATGGCGATTCGAGGACGGGGCTGGACGAGCGGGGGACACAGGAGGTTATGGAGATTATGAGGCGGGAACGCGTCAAGTACGCTGCTTCTTCCAAGGTTAATTGAAGATGCTAACATTGGTCCTAGCTTTGATCAGGCTCGTCTGATTCGACATAACCGCATCCTTGCTGCCAATGGAATAGACCCCTCTGGTGAGTCAAGTCGTTCCTTGTTCCGAAACATATATACTCAATGCTGCTCCTACTGTAAAGGCATGCCCATGGACTCCAAGGCGATAACACACCTCTAGTGTTGAGGTTGATGATAGGCAACGTTGTGGGGGCGTTGCTTTCAGGGGCAACATGTTTTTCTCAATCTAAGTGTATCTACAATTGACCCTTTGATATTTCCTCGTGGATCACTTCCTTGCTTTCCCCACACCACATTCCATCATCGCGCAAACTTTATCTGCAATGGTAATTTTTTGATTACGGGGATTTCTGTCTGGGCTTTCGAGGGTCCTTCTACTCTTCCTCGTTCGATTTGCTGGCATCACTCCGGGTGTATAAAGTACTTATGTACGTCAAGGTAACGCTGATCTCTATCGTGTCTCACCAAATCTCCAGTTTCCACGCCGGCCTTGATACATTTAGCATGAACCCTCAAAGGCCTTGTGGGGGTACTACAGCTATAGATCACGATCGTGCACGTTGCATGTTTGAATACACGAGCGGGGCCATCACCGTCATACTTTATGTGAGACAAATCTACATTCCTTCTCGAGAATGGCAGACTAGGATACCGAGGAAAGACCGGAACCCCCATTTCCGCCCTTTCTCATGCACTAACTCTAGTGACGACCTCTGCTTCCCAGCCCCTCGTGGAGATGACCGACATGAAGTCCAACGCGCTGCAAATGGAAAATGAGCTATATATAGGAGCATCAAATTCATTGCGCATGTACAGTCCATCCCGATGCACCTCGTGTACCAACCATACGTCTTTATCAAGGTATATCTCCAATGCCACTCTTACCGAATTCCACACTGCATTGACATTGGCCATTGGCCATTGCCATATGACAGTGATGCACCTGATTCACGTATACCTTCATGGCTGGCCACGCCTCAACCCTTTGTCCGGCATCGCCTGCTCTTCGAACTGAAGAGAAAAAACAGAGCGAGGTTGATCTTCGCTGGAGATACGATAAGATCAGCGGCCTGCGCACGTTTACTTCACGGTTGGTGCCACCTTGGCAACCACTGATTCAACGTTCATCGCGAATACTCGAGTACAATGAAGCAAGGTACTCTTATCCAGGTTCCGTCTAATTCGGGCGTCCTTTTGCCAATCTGTTAGAGGACTTCAACTGGCAGACGCCCTGCTGCAAAAAGTATATGGTACACTGCATTGAACAGCATACCAACAACATACTTACAATAAATCCGTCTACTGTAAACTAACCGAGCTATCCTACTAAACTTTGTATACGATCGGTCACTGGTAATATCATGATCATGTCTACCGTTCTTCACCATCTTACACACCATCCAGCTCAATCCGATACCACCAAGTCCATAAATCGTATTGTACTGTGTGAGGTCAAAGCGGCCCTCAATATATTCTGCAAGATCGTCCATGACCTCCTGCTTCCCAGCAGCCTTGTACTTGGATGCCTCTTCAGCTCGACAATAAGAAGCGGGTTGCGAAGCAGTGAGAGAAGTAACGAATTCGGAATCAGTTTATGTAAGTGGCCGAGTGGTAACTAACACGAACAAGCCCCCTAACGCTTGCCCGTTGAATCGAGGGACTGTGTTTAGATCAGGTCCTATATTCGTTGGTGTCGGAAACCTCGAAGTGATTTAGCCACACCCCGACAGTGACCTGCAGGCTGTGTTGGTCAACTAAGTATGGCAGACCTTAGGAAGCGTGGGCAACAGTATTGGACCGAATACAAAGAAGGCATTGCCCTTCGGTCAATCCTTTGTAATGTTGGGAGAGAACCTCGAAAGTAGCAGTGATCGATGAGAGCACCCGCAATGTCAGATATTCTAGCAGATCTTGGGGAAATGCGTGGGTCAAGCGGGCGATGTAAGCAGGAGTATTGGGGCTCAAGCAATCGTCTTAATACCAATATAAAGGGCAGTTGTTGCATATTGATACAAATACGAAGGGATCAAGAAATATTGTACACGGTAGAGAAGTTGGAGTTGCATAGGAAAATTCGAATGCGATTAGGATACAGACCAGTGAAAGGAACATCAAACTGGAGGTTGTACAATGAAATGAAAGAGAGGGAATTCGTGGAGCGTTTGATGTCGCTGTAAGCTTTTTGGGGGACGAATGTATTGTGGAAGGGATAGCTAACAACGACCTGCGCCCATCATGACTCAGGTGACACTGGAGGGGTATCCTCCTGAGAGAACGCCGGTAGCTCTCTACAAAACTTCTGAATCAAATGAAGAACAAGTAAGTGAGATAAACACACCCTATCACGGCACCAGGATCAACCCGAGTCTTGCCATCTGCGTTATAAGAGTTTACCATGGCGCTCGAAGGAACCTTGCGTTCCAACCGCCCTCTCGTCTTGGCCTTCAACGTAGAATGACAAGGACAAAATGTGTACGAAAAGTTATAATATGTCATGCTCCGGCCACACCCCGTTTGGCAACCCCTACTTAGTCTTTAGACGCCGAAGCGAGGTTGAACCAACCTCAGTCGAAGAGTTGATGGAGCCTTTGCCCTCCGATTATCTTCTAGAGAAAGCCAATTATTTACTGCGATCACTGCAAGTAGATGGCAAGGTAAATCCATTCAAAATGTTTATCACGCGATGAGACTTGACTCGTTTAGGGCAATAATGTACGCCGTATGTCAAAATACGAGATATCTGCGCTCATTAGGCAAGAAGCGCAGTCGAGTACTGTGTCTGTCGAACGAGCGGTTGTGACAAGGAAACTCAAACTAGATCGGGTGAGTGGCCGACCTGAATCATCACGGAGTCCATCCTCACCCATCTGTGAACGCCACAGGAAAGACGGCTGTCTGGTGCCAGCTTACCTAGACTGGAGGCTACCCCAGGAGCTCTAGACGGTAAAGAAATCCTTGATTTCTCCTCTCTTTCTCCGTCCTCGACACCACATCAAACCTTTCCTATCCTCGAGGCATTGTACAAAATCGATCGGACCCCATACGAGTCCTCTTTTCTCAGCAGGCACCACGGCAACACAAGTCATCAGATGGACAAGGTTCTGGCTTTCGATTACGAGACGATTTCACCTTGGATGGCCCTGATGGGGGACCTGAGGGAACACTATAGGCTCCTGCAGTAAAGGCCGCTGTCATCCCCACGAGTGTTCGGTGGCTCACCGACCCCTCTATCAGCCCCAATCGTCGCCAGCCCTCGGAATCTGTAGCCCCGATTGTCTATTCATGCCTTCGGGAGTGGCATCTCGATCAGGTCCATGGCCTTCTGCACCAAATGTTTTGGGCGGGGATCAGCGGTACGTTTTCAGGGATCATTCGGTTCGTATCTAATTACTTCCTACTTAGTAAGCGACTCGCTCGATTACTCGCCTGAGCGCTGCACTGTGGTGGCCTGCTACAAACGCTTGGTCGTTGGGGTCGCCATATTGAGCTCGCCTCAAGAGACATACATAACTTATTTAGCCGTGAAGACTGGGTGGGAGGGTTCGAAGATAGCTACGTGAGTATGCGTTGACCTGACAATAAAGCTTGAATGAAACATGTTCATTGATAGGAATATGCTGTACCACATCATCTCAATGAATCCGGGCAAAGATATATCTTTGCATGTTTCGGCCAACAACCCCGCTATGGTATAGTCTCCGTTCCACATTCAGCGTAACCTTACCGTTTCCTTTTTCAAGCTGTTGTATAACCGCTTCGGTTTCAAGGCCGAAGAGTTTATCGTAGGGTTCTACGAGGATTACCTTGACCACCAATCGCACGCATCTAAGAACGCTTTCCGACTGAGGTTGAGGCAAGGCCATAGGACCTGAGTAAATTCCTTTCATTTCGGACCAATAGCTCTATCCACAAGCGCTAGACTTACAACGATTATAGATTTGCGCAGTGGTGTTGCTATCTACCGTCTCCCATAGATGCCTTAAATGATTGTTCCCGTGGGAGTGGATGCATCGACTTGGTCCACATCAAACCGTTACCCCAACCCTAATCTCAATCTCCCCTCGCGCTCCAACCCCTGAACTTCTTCCAGTGGTGGGCATCATAACCTTCATGGGTTTCACGAACCGCGGCGAGCCCGTTCGGTGATGCACGCGGCCCAGCGGTCTCGTCTCACTTGGACAGCCAGATACTCCTGACACTCTTCAATACATGGACGGACCTTGATCCAAGGAAGCCCATTAGGGATCCCCGAAGGAGGCTGTCTTGTTTGCAGCTGATCATTTGTCGTTTACAAGTGCAAAAGGTCCGAATGTTTGGTATTGCGACGCCGTCAAAAAACGGAAATTACATATGTACACATGGGCGGCGCAAAGTTATACAGGATGTCGAAGTCATACAAAGTCGTGATGGGCGTAAACCTAAATCTCCTCTTCTGTTGGCTTGGTAGTATTGATATTATTCAAGGGTCTGCAGCTCTTCCATTCCCCCGCCGCTGAAGACACGCGCCGCTTGTGCCCCGACACTTTCTTCCCATTCTCTAACTCTCCGTATTTCCCTTTCTTAATAGATTCCTTCCCACTGTCCCCGGCCAAAGCTCGGCGACGGGAAATTGAATCGGATGTCGCTAACGAAGAAGCCGCCGCGTCATATACCCAGGCACCAGTATAGCTTGATGCGACGTCTCCTACAGCGCTCGAAGACTTGCGCCTCCCAACGCATCGCTTCTTGATCGCTCGAACGTGTTCGTCCTGAGGGAATTGTTTCTTTGTCGGCGACGACAGCTTCGTTGGCGATGGCGGCGCTACGCGAGAAGGCGACATAGGTGAAGGTGAATGCCTCCGACCAAGGTGGCCGGCTGTGGAATGGGTGCGCGTTCGCACCGTCAACGGCCTCCTTCCAGCGCTAGACATGGCCCTCGCCCTTCCATACCCTTTGTCGGCGTCGCACTGCCCTTCTGCCTCTCCACGTTCCTCGATCTCAGCAAGAGGCCTAAATTGCTTCTGAGATATATCCAGCACGTCCCTGACTTTCTTTGCCCATTCCTCCAGTGCGTACAATTTGTGGATCATCAACTTGAACGTAAACGGATATCGCTTTCCTTCGGAGGGAAACTTTCCCGTGGAGATGATGGAGGCGTCGTCAGAGGCGTCGTCTGTATTCAATATCTCGGAAGCATTCTTGTTCTTGAAGCGCAGGCTACGCGTTCCGAATCGAGGGAGACGGCTGGGCGGAACGATACCATTCAGGACGCTCGCAATATCCTGCGCATCGGCCTCGTCGTCGCCACGAGTGGCTAGGGAAGTTTGCGACTTGTTGGCAGCCAGCTTATCGAAGAACTGGCGAAGTTGCTCGAAGTCCGAGATCGAACGTTTAGCCGTCACCATGGTGTCTCCTGATACAAGAAGCACGGATAGTGGTGTTGCGTCAACAGTCGGAAGGGAAGATCGTCTTGTTTATAGTCGAACTGACTGTGGCCACGAGTGACCCTGTGGCCATTGTGGTCGCACCACCATAGGATTTTACCGGATAGGGCTACGGCCACCCATTGTAAGTGTGACATGGGGGAGGCCACTGAGGCCCATTATGATTGCAAGGTCAAAACAAGTAACGAACACATAATGGTAAAACATGTATAATTGAGCAGAATTTAGCAAGGAAACAGCACGAGGTTTGGAATGTGATTCGACCTCAAAGCGGCAGTTTGAGGTATAGAGATGCATTCTTTTGTCAGGGTAACAAAAAATTCGCGTTCGTCTGTTCGTGTTCACCAAGGTGCGGATCGTAGTCGCACGCGCCCAGCATGTCTGCGGATCCAGATCGTTGTATTCGGTGCGCCGCGTGTATCAACAGTCGGTTCTTCTTCTCCTTTCCAATCAACACTTGACCTTTGACCAAGCCACGAGCTCCAGCTGATACGCGTGAGGGACCTGATATTCTTCGCGAAGATCAAACTGGCTCGCAGTTCTATTGCCTCCATTTCTGCGGCTGGGTCCAGTATGTCCAGTGCGTTATTCTGGGGATGATCATCTGAGAGGTCTGAGTCGATGAAGGGGGTCTGGAGGGTCGTCTTCGTGCATACGTCGCACTCATCTGGAGGATATGACTGCTCGTATCTAGCGTGAGCTACGTGCTCGTATAAATAGCTTTCTTGAGTGAGGAAGATTCCCATATGAAGGTGGGTTAGCTTCGTCAACGGTTTTAGGGCCAAGGAAAATTGTCTCTAACCCACGAGGATGACGTGTAATTAATCTGTGAAATGGCAGTAGCAAAAGAGACTCACAGCGAGATCATCAGCGTCGATAAACATGTCCGGGATGGGCGAGTGAATGAAGCATTCCGCATTGTCGGTGTAGCAATTCCAGCAGCATTCGTACCAGAGTCGTTCAGTGCAGCTGACGTGGAGATGGACCAGAGCAGGGGTATTCTTAGAGATTAAGCGAAGCAAGGGGACGTCGATGCGAGCAAGAGAAGTCAGTTTCAGAGCAGTGAGAGCGAAGTGAAGAGATCCAGTCGTGGGTCGATAAAGGTACTTGAGGAATTTCTTCATTAGCAGGTGTTGCGTCGAAAGTCCCTCGTTGTCCATGTCGACAGAGAACGATTGAAGGCGAGTAAGAGAATCAAGGCGCATATAGTTGAAAGACAATGTTCTGGAGTTAGTTCGTAGTGCCCTTACGACGGGGATTCCGCGAACCGCATAGATGTAGGTTTGGGAGTCAATTGGGGTAGAGTTCATGAGAAAGGCGCATATATCGTCTGGGGAACTGGAGCTTCTCACTTGACAGAAGTATAACCCCCGGTCCCCGATGCCTCCAGGGAGTCCAATAAGGTCCAGAACAGCTTTCCTTGGCCTTCGAGTCGCATATGCTCCAGGAAGCGTCGAATAGCAATGAGTCTGAAAGTCCTAGAGGCCAGAGAGAAGGAAGCGATGGGGGCCAGTCTGTTGAAGTCCCGATCATTCTTGGAACGAAAAGTAGCTAAAGCCAGTTGAACGATCCTGTCGAGGATTTCGAGTGGGAGTCGTGGCGGAGATTCCATCGAGGTCGACGGTAAGCTCTCAGTTCATCCCAGCGATGATGATGGTAATGGAAAGAAGTAGGAGGTAAACGCAAGCGCCGGATACCTGAAGTGATAGGCGCCGAAGCGAAAAAAGAAGCCAGTTGCCTTCCATAGATGTTAACTGAACAAAGGATTATATTGAGAGAATTCTGGTAAGGTATTGTCGTCTCTAGGCAAGGAATATGGGGGTGAATCAACAATATAAACGACCAGTGGAAATCAGGAAGATTTGCAAGGCCAGCATCAGGAAAAAGCCAGTGCCAACGGAAAGAACGAGCATCGGCGACGACCGGCAGGGATCTACTGTCTGTGATGTACTCAGCTGTGTTCCTGATGATACGGGGGGTTGGCGCGCTTCAACACGATCATCTAGCAGCCATTCGTCTCCATGGGTAAACATATCGCGGCAGGGGAAGACCTCTACGATCTCGCATTCGAAGTCGGGGATTGATAGCCTGTATCTCCTCCAAAGTGGCTGCGCTGTCGCGTGCGCGTCCGTACTCTTGCCTTCCGGCAGCGAAATATCAGGGGAGCCAATCCCAACTTCGACCAGCTCGAATTGTGGTATCGTTCCCAACTTGCGAAACATTTGTCCAATCGCGTACTTCTCTACCAGGAAGAGGTGGGCATGCCGTGAGGAGGAGATCCTGACGGTTGAGGTTGCTGTGCACACTGTTCTGTCGGCGCACTGGAGGTGAACCTGCCGGGTCTGTGATATAGGACTACTGGGGGATATATTGGACAGGGCCTCGTCACTCGGCTCAGGAAGAGGCACGCGAGGGTCATCGAGGGTCATCTGGGTATATGTTTGGGCGAAGGCCGTCTCAACAGAGATTGGACGAGCAAAGAATGCGCTGGTCAAGGGGCTCAGACCTTGAAACGTGAGGAAGGATTCACGAAGACGCACCTAAGGATGCGCTGCAAATCCCCTTGCGCAGAAAGCACGATGCGCTCCAAACCGGACACCTCAGGAGGCCAGGGAAACTAGCCTCCATGACGCGTGAGCTGAACATGGGCAGTTAGCACGAGGAACGGAGACTCACGCTTACGCTGGTCACCCTCGGGCCAAACGACTCTATCTGTGCCATGCTTCTGGCGTTGGGGCAATGCTGAGGTGCAGGCACGGGAATTATCGCGGAAAGTCGGCTGGTCAGGACTCTGGCTTTATATTGAGGTGAAAACTCGACCCTTAGACCTTTGACCTTGTTCGGCACAACATCAGCCACGACAAAAGTAGTAAACATTCGACACTCAAGGACACACATACCAAGTTCTTTAGAGGAACTCTCGAAAGGCCGACCGAGTGTTCTTGACGCTGGCCTTGATAGTGGACCTACCGTGGGCGCGACGTCTTGATAAACAAGTTCTAATGGAGATGTCTAGGTGCTCTCCGGGAAGCAGCCAGAATAGATATGGTTCATGTGCATGGAAGCTAAGGTATTGAACGACTTCTTGCATTGGAAATTCGCGGTCTCGCAGACTATTGCTTTGCCTGAACCGGCACGTGGAGCACGCGTGGCAAACTTCGCGGATGCGCTAGTGGCAGTGATCACTTCCACTATGTTCAAGCTCCAGAACGCCCGCGACTGACTGAACTCATCTGCATGTTCGTTGGCGCATCGCATCGACCGTACACGCGACAAAGGACGTCTCAATGTCTTTGTCAAGCGCAGCCACTCCCCTACCCTCAGCAACGCCCTCGAGATCTAATTCCGAGCGCACTACCCCGAGCAATAATGCAGACGAGCTTCTAGCATCCCAAATACGCGCGTTCATCACTGCATCGGAGGATGTAGATATTGATGTGGAGACAATTGAGGACCTTATGAAGGTTTTCCCTGACTCGGCCAGTCGCGGGGAGGACGCCAGTGATAAATCTGAAGCTGACGTTGATATTGATACGAACGACGATGCATTAGAGATAGATATGTCGGCACTATTCGCATCTCGTGATAGAGGTATGCTGTGCTGCTCCCTTCGGTAGCATGGATGCTAAGGCTAGAACGAATGGTTTTGTCAAAGCATTAGAAACTTGGTCCGCACAGGAAATACGCATGATGATGCGCCACTTGAAGGAATATGGTGCGTCGCAATGAACATGTTGTAGCGTCTTATCTCGAACGCTTCACGGAAGGAATGCAGTCGTGGCTCAATGAATACGTCCAAGTAAGGAAGTACTCAATCCCAAACTTGCTGAACGCCTTTGGAATCAATCTGGTAGGATCCACGAGCCATGGTCTATTCTTGTTTCGTGTTTTCACATCTTACAGTGCCCAGAGCTATCGTCCTTGAATGAGAAGGCAATGTTGTATTTTCTCAAAGTTGCCATGTCGAGGGAGTAAGTGAAGATGTCGCGGTCGGTCACTAGCTCGCTGACAACCTAGGTTATTCTCAGGCTCAGGCTCAGAGAAAAGCTGCCCCAATATAACACTGTCGACGACGCCGTGCAACTCATTCAATCGAGTAGACGGATCATAATCCTTACTGGTGCTGGCATCAGTATGTTGTGGTCTCGTACCCCAAGGATTTAGACTGACGTTCAGGTATAGGTGTCTCGTGTGGTATTCCCGACTTCCGCTCTCGAGATGGGTTGTATGCTTCCTTGAAGGATTATGACTTGGACGATCCTCAGCAAATGTTTGTCGCAATCTCATTCAGCCTCATGGATCAACGTCTGAGCGTTATCTTATCAGGTTTGATATCAACTATTTCCGCGAGAACCCATCTAGTGAGTTTCCACCGCGCAGCGGTCTACCATATATTCTCTAACCCACTTTAGTCTTTTAGTTAGTTTATTACATTCACCACCGCCACCTAGACACTAACAAACATGCCGCGTAGTTCATTTGCAAGGTCGGTGGATGCATTCTTCATGGAAATGGCGTATTCATTCCCAAACAGTCAGATATATCCTTCCAATTTTGTACCGTCGCCTTGTCATAAGTTTATCAAGCTTGTAGAGGATCGCGGCAAGGTGGGTGGTAAACTCTTAAGCATGTCGCATTCCTTATACCGATCCATATATCCATTATCCCCATCTAGCTTTTGCGTGTAGGTATCTCATAAGGCAATCCTGGGAGTAAGATACTCATCTCAGTGCTTATCGTAGAACTATACCCAGAACATTGACACTCTCGAGACTCTCGCTGGCGTGAAGAACGTCCTTCAATGTCACGGCTCATTCGCCACGGCGACGTGCATCCAATGCCACACCCACGTCCCAGGCTCCGCTATCGAAGCCGATATAATGAAGCGCCGCGTTCCATTGTGCCGCGTCTGCAACCCCTCAGCAGACTCGAACGCGAAGTCTAGCCCATCGCAGACCCCCAAGAAGGCGAAGGCGAAGCATAGGAGCAAGAAGAAACAAAGAGGCGAGTGGGATAGTCAGGATGAGGATAATAGCGACGACCCAGAGTATCCACCTGGGATTATGAAGGTACGCGAATCTCTATGTCGATGTGGGAATGGGATGTATATCGACGCGTCCGGTGTGTGACCCTTTGTTTTTTTTGCAGCCGGACATTACGTTCTTTGGTGAAAAGCTCACGTCCGACTTCGACCACTCGTTGGAGGCGGATAGATCTAAAGTCGATTTATTACTTGTGATTGGAACCTCGCTGAAGGTCGCCCCCGTTGCTGATATCTTGTGTACGTGCTCAATGGGCCTACTAAGTGCCTCGACTAACTCGCGTCCGTTAGACCACCTCCCGCATTCTGTTCCACAAGTAAAGCGCCCCTTATCTTCATATCGTCAAACCACTAAAACAACGCGCCTTGCCGTAGATCCTCATCAACAAAACACCTATCAAACATATCAACCCGGACGTTCGTCATTACCATACGGTGACATAGGAATGAGGCTGACATTGAGGTATTTATATAGGTGATCCTCCTTGGCGACGCCGACGCCATCGTGCATCATATCTGCCAGAAACTTGGTTGGGATTTATCGCCGTCATCCTCGCCATCTCCCTCCCCTTCAGCAACGGCAGCAGTACAGTCTGACGCAAGTACTGCGGGTCCTAGCTTAGCTTCAGGTTCCACCCTTCGCTTCCAGCCTCCTCGCGGTAACGGGAACTTGAAGAAGCGGTCACTGCCCGATTTACCTTCGCATCAAGAGCCGGAGAGGGTTGGGAATAGGTAAGTGCCGCGGCGCGTCAGCTCTACAGAACTAATTGGTTGAAATGCTGTGCTTTGCGTCGTAGTCATGTATGGTTGTTTAGCGGTGCTGAGGGTGGAAAGTGGCTTGAGGAGAGGAAGGCTCAATGGACGGCGGATGTTACAAGCCAGGAGACAGCCCATACACAAACACCACGAGAGGCAAAGAAGCCGAGAACTCAGTAGCACAGCGTGACGGGTAGTATTTTCGCCTTGTATCAATGCCGAAGCCAATGTACCATTCTTTGAGATGCTCAAACCAAAATCTTCAATCAATATAAAGGAAGTCATTCACTCGAATGGTAATGGTGGTGAATATTCGAGAAACCCAATCCTAATCTACACACTAATAGAAGTACAATAAATACTCTGAAAATCCAAAGAAACAATCTATGATCGCTCGCCGCGCAGTCTACGGGCAAGAGCAAGATCCTTCGGCTGGATGGTAACACGCTTGGCGTGGATGGCAGCCAAATTCGTGTCTTCGAATAACGATACAAGGTACGCCTCAGCGGCTTCTTGCAAGGCCATCACGGCTGATGATTGGAAACGGAGATCCGTCTAGAAAAAACACAATGAATAAGGAAACTTGAACGTCAAGTATTTAAAGACATACCTTGAAATCCTGAGCGATTTCACGAACAAGGCGTTGGAAGGGAAGTTTGCGGATGAGGAGTTCAGTCGACTTCTGGTAGCGACGAATTTCACGGAGAGCGACTGTTCCAGGGCGGAAACGATGGGGCTTCTTGACACCACCAGCCGCGCCAGCCTAAGTAATCAAAATATGTCAGAAGCGTCAAGGACTTGAATAGCAAGTCACTAACCGCTGCAGTCTTACGAGCTGCTGACTTGGCAGCCAATTGTTTACGAGGGGCTTTGCCTATCGAATGGGCTCAGTAAAATAGAAGTCCGTTGCAAGGTATAGCTACTCACCACCAGTGGATTTGCGAGCTGTTTGCTTGGTTCGGGCCATTGTTGGGTGGGTTCGGTGGTAGTAGTGGTGAGAGTGGTGGTGACGGTAATTGGGGGATTTGGCGCGGCGGGTCAATGAATATATACAGACGCGTTCCGCCACGCACGTGACTGAAGGGAGCCGCGCCGAGGTTGATCAACAAACGAAAAAGTTGCACAGCCACACCGACGCGACTTGACTTATATAGGCGATGCATTGGGACATGGTTTCCCCACTTTGCTTTCACCACCACCACCACCACCACCGCCATCTACACAACATAGCACTTTAGCTTGTCTCTCTCCTCAACAACACTTTGAAACATGTCTGGACGCGGAAAGGGCGGAAAGGTGAGCTCAATGTTGTTTTATCATTGTTGGCAACGCTGACGCCACGTTCTAGGGACTCGGAAAGGGTGGAGCTAAGCGTCACCGTAAGATTTTGCGTGACAACATTCAGGGTGAGTCGCCTTCACTGCTATGAGCGGGACTTTGTTGGCTGACGCGATGATTAGGTATTACGAAGCCCGCCATTCGTCGTCTTGCTCGCCGTGGAGGTGTGAAGCGTATTTCTGGTCTTATCTACGAAGAGACTCGTGGTGTCCTGAAGATCTTCCTTGAGAACGTGCGTCTTCATTTTCTCGCACCCGTGTTTCCTCATTGACGTTCTCTTTCTCATAGATCATTCGCGACTCGGTAACATATACCGAACACGCTAAGCGGAAAACAGTTACTGCCCTCGATGTCGTCTACGCCCTGAAGCGTTCAGGCCGGACGCTGTACGGCTTCGGTGCTTAACGTCTCTTTTCCATTGCCTCCGATTACCCTTCTGTATTATTACTGTAATTTATTGGTTCCCTTACTCGGCTTATATTGTTGCCTGACGAATCCTCCACATGTGGTAGAACTACCGATCTAAGTCATTTGATTCGCTCCTTGAGAAGGCAAGTCGCTGTTACCAATGATAAGAAGCCTCCGCCAATCCTCCGCGACCGACGTTACCCCTGTTTCTGCATTTTTCCGGGCTTTCGCCGCATAGTTTTTAGACGTGAGGAACTTGAGAATAGTCTATTTAGTTCGAAGCCCAGCACCGTAGTTCGAGTCGGTCCACCACGATCACGATGCCCCGTGGAACGCTTCCTGTCGATCACAACATGAGCTGCATTTCAGCTACCCCTATCGACATCGCTCTGCCAAACGAGACGCTCGCGGCCATCTTCGAGCAACTCACACCTTCGACTCTCGCGAATATCTCGTTCGTTTCCACGCAGTTTAGAGCTGTGGCAGAACGTCTGCTCTACGCAAATATAAATGTGGCCGATATCCTCACTTCGACCTCGCCTTCACCCCGCAGATCGTTCCGATGTTGTCATTCCATCTTGCAGCGGCCACATCTCGCTGAAACGGTTAAAAAATTCCATCTGCGCTGGCAAATACACCCCAACGAGCCATTCGACTCCGAGCTCCTTGAGCTAGCCTTGCCTCTTTTGCGCGACGCGCTGCGGACTCTGACGCAATTAGAGTCTTTGGAACTGTATCTGGGGCCAATAAATTTGAGGGCGTCCCAGGCCTATCCTGGACCGTCTATGCATCCCATCGAACGGGTGGTTGATGGCCTCCATTTCCCATCTCTCCGTAACTGTTCGCTAGGTGCTGAGTGGGCCAAGGGTGTCCAACCATATGGCGACATCCTGGCTGCCTTTCTCATCTCACTCCCCATATTACGACACTTGCGGTTATCCGATCATCATGGGGTACTTCATCTTCCTCCCGAGGCTTTGCCTTCGCTATCTTCATTCCGCGGATCACCCGACAGCGCGGCATACTTACTTCCCGGTCGTCCTGTCCATACATTGTCACTCGTAGGACAAGATTCTGATGTTAACCGCACGAATCTTCCGAGGCTGACACACACGACCGTGCCTTTACGCAGCTTGGACTTGTCAGCAATGTCAGTCAGGCCCATACTCCTGCAAAACATCGCCTCGTTCATACCCACGATCGAGGTCCTTAAGGTGCGGCTTGCCTTGCGGCACACGCTCCATTACGCAATGTCAGGGATTGTGAGTTCACTCGCCGCGTCTCCCTCACAAAATCCCTACCGATGAAACCGTAACTTTGCTCCCTAGCGAATATTAGCGGGGTTATCGTCGGTGTTGAATGCGTTCACAAGGCTCGTGCATCTCGATTTGTCCCCAACCTTCGTTGATACCCTCAGTCACAATCACTTGGCCGAGGAAGCGGCACTTTGCACGGAATGGAGTAGGGCATGTGGTTCACTACGTCAGATAAGCTTTCCATCTAAGAATGACTGGGTCTTAAATTCCTCTGGTCAATGGGGACTCGTGGGCGAGGCTCATCAGTAACGGTAGGCCGTCATTCTCTGTCTATTTTTGCCCACTAACCATGCCAATTACCCAACCAGGAAGGAAGTATTCGAATCTATTTAAGCAATAACCGCAACGCTGTACAATAGAGATATCAACGAGAGAGAATTCATGATAGACTACAATCCGGTTACAGATGATTGCGGAAAGGATATAATAATAAACTGGGAAACGTCCATGAGCCTGCCATAGCGTTCGTTGGGGGTATGAGTAGAATACAATGCCATGACAAGAGGTATAGTGTGTGGTTTAGGCATTCTGTTCCGTTTCTTCCACAAATATATCGGTATAGTGCTTGAGGATAGTTTCAACGGCCTATAAATCTCGAGATTAGATCAAGACGGAGAATAATCCGGAATAATAGTCTTGCCAAGTTTTGGTACAATGTATCACCCATGCCATTCATCTGACCGTTTGCACCGTTTGCAGGCATCACTTGGCCGAATAATGTCGGACCGAATACTATCGCAAGGTTTTGTATTGTCATCAGGTTTTCATCTGCGTGCTGAGTGATCCTAGAATAAGGCTGTTAGATTACGCCTTTCCTGGGAGACGATGAAACGCGTACCTGTGCAGGTGACCCAAGAAATACTTGAGGGTAGCGTAGTTTGGATCTGGGAGATCGTTAACCCTTTCGTGTAGTCGTATATGCCTAAGGCGGTCGTTCTCAATTTCTATTGAAGGTGTCAGTTGACGAAACACGGGACGACGAGTATTCCGACGAACTTGCGGCGTCGATAAACCCCTGGTGTAGTTGCAAGGTAAGCAGAGGATCAGGTAGCTCCCTCAGCCACATTTTCAGGACGCTGGTCACATTGTTAATATCGGACGACCACTCTGGTGCATCCAAATCCACGGAATCCAAATCTACGAGTCACGATGAGCTGCGTATATCGTATTTGAACGATAGCACTGACCTTTGTCGAGCCGTTGTTTGAGATTGTACACCTTGCTCGTGGTGCCATTGAGGCGATAGACACCTTGTGACTTCATGCCGTACTTCTCTATGACGGTACAGCACTTCTCAACCAAGGACGGAACTTCTACATTATCTCGCTCCATTTGCTCGGATAAATCTATTCCGAAAGTGGGACGACCCTTATCCGTAACGCCGTTGACCGCAGCGCTAGGAGGTGGTTGTCCGCGCTCTTGATGCTTGGGCAGAGGGGGCAGCTGATAAATGGGTTAAGATATGAATGTTAAGAAAAAACAAGGGGACTACTGACGAAACCATCATCAGCTGGTCCTTCCCGCCGAGGTCCTCTAGATGAAGCGCCATGTGCGTACGCGTAATTCTGCATGTACGTTTTGAAGTCATTGCGATTATCGATCATCTCGGTTGCAGCCTTGAGCCCCACACCGACAGAGCCTCCTAGAATAGATGCCGTAAATCGATGACGACTTCGAAGATAAAACGGTGGGCGTGCCTCCTTCGCCGTTTGGAATCAAAGTTGATCCGTCGCTGAGCACGACACTTTCGAAAAGAAACGCGTATCTTGTCAGGTGGTATTGGGTTCCAAGGTCGACTTCATCGGTGCATTCCTTGAGAGCCTGGGATGAATTGATTAATCTAGACGAAGGAACGAGTAGATGCAACGAGGCATACACGTAATAACCGTGGCAGCTGGAAGTTGAAATATTCCTGCCTCAGAGTCTGCGTCTCTGTCACAAGCTTTCGGTAAGTATCGGAGGCGGCAGACATTCGAGCCCTTATATCGTCTTCCTGGCGTTGGATCTAGAAGCACGGTGATCTTAGAAGGTATTCAGAGATGACAATAAGAGGCCGCACATTTCCTGGATTCTTCCCCTTCAATAACAGCCCACCCTTCGCCACAGCCTTCCCAATAGCCCTTTTGCCAACCGGACCACTCACTCGAGCTTGGACGGGTGTATCTTTGAAGGACTCCCCTTCCTTCTGGAGCAGCACCCGTTCTAGTTCTTCCGTAGTCATGTCAAGGCGATTCTTGCTCTTCTCAGTAGCTAGCTCAGACTCTTGAAGAGCGCGTTCGTATCGCGTGGCTAAATCCTTCGTCTTTGGACGCATTAACTCCCATATACACGGATGCGGAGTACTGCATAGTTAATACGCACCTGCTTGCGGCTCTTATCCACCTCCTTGACTAGCGTCGTGAGCTCTTCACTCATCTCGTTTAGGCGTTGCGCAAATCGAATTCGATTCTCGGCCATCGATTCATGTATCCGCATAGACATTTGCCAGGTATTGACAAAGGAACTATGGTATATGAAGGTCAATTGCCATAGCGTTTTCTAGAGCGAATACGCACCCGGCCTTTCCATCGTTCATTGAATATACATCCGAAGTGGTTCGGGCCAGCTTCTGCAAATTCTTCCCATATTCCTCTTCGATAGCGGCTCGCTTTTTAAAGAATACGGACGTTTCCTGCGCAAGCCATTGAATAAGATCGGATCCGTACGTCAATTCGCGGCAAAACGTACCCTACATGATACCACGCTTTGTTTGATACGATCTAGCAGTAGGGGTACACCACACTACCAAGCGATGTAAGCTACGCCGATAGTTTGGACACATATATCACAGCACGCACATCGAGGTCACACAGCGCCCTTAGAACATTCCCATCAAACCCCCCGTCCACCAAGCTAGCTGTCTCGCTGGGAACGCTGGCAAGTGTTTCCCGAGGGTCACTTGCTACGGTCGGGCTGTCGCGCCAACGCGAAGTAGAGGACCTTGGTACAGAGTCCGTACTAGACCGTGGCTGTGGGGAGCTCGAGTTCGGTTGAAGCGCGGAAAGGCCACCAGGAGAGTCGAGCGAACGTAATGCTGGGCGTCCGTATTGGCCTGATGTACCGGAATTACCAGCATCAGACTGTTCGGCGGGATCCCAGGAGGCAGAGGATTGTACTTCTTCCAGTGTATGTGATGTGCTCCCAGCCATGGTTCCCTGATGAAGGGAATGCGACACTGGCCAGCAGAATGTAGAAGGAGGTTTCCAAATTGAAAGGGGCAAAGCTATGGTAGCGACCGTCACACGTGGCATGAACGCTGGCGATCTCATCTCCTAAATTGTCCAGGAGTGAATAGGAGTTACCAAAGACTGAATCAGAGTGGGTACATATCCTATTGTACTATACCGTTTTGACCATATGTTCAGGTGCACTTCAATGATCAGGATATTTGAGGGATCTTATTGGATAAAAGCAATGCATAAGCACGACTCACCTGAGTTTATAAGGAATCCTAAAGCATCCTCAGGTATCATCACTTTTCATGGAATGTGTATGATTTGTGTCAAAGATATGGCTTTGCATAAGCATATAAATTCGTGATGAATCCTTGTTGATCACTGGGGGGAGGGAGGGACAGTGAGGGTGTTGGAATGACAAACTGTAAATGCGAGGGCCGATTGCCTGTCAAGGCCAAACACACTGTGTGGACCACAACCCTGACATCTGTTTGTGTCATCCACAGACCCTAGTAACTATTTTCCTTCCTCTTGTCATGTTCTTTAATGCTTAATACATATGATATTTTCCCTAGTTACACATTTATCTGTATTCCCTACTTATAGTATGCCTTACAGTTACCATTCACTTCACCTTTGCCTGTGCAAATGTGAAGTGAGTATCATACCTTATCTTGTTTATCTTTTGTTACTTACATGTGCGTGTAGCCTCAAGTTTGTTATCTTTACAGGTACTTACTAATATATACCTTTTGTTAGGGTAACACTAGTCTAACGACTAACATGGCTCCTACAAGCTTACTAGAGCAGAAAGGGACTAGGAATTAGCTAGCTGATGTTAAGGAGCATGTCAAGGGGCCTCCTGTAAGGGCAACCTCAAGATGGCCGACAGCGCAGGCCTAGCAGAGGGAGAATCCAAAGATGATGAATAAGACTAACTACAATACATGAGAGAGCTGCTCACCTAGCAGAGGGAGAGTCCAAAGAGAACAGGATAAGGATTCTCCATGCTAGGAAGCAAAGTATATACTGTAGTAGCGTGAGAGGAATGCAGGATAACTGTACAGTACACCAGCCACAAGTCTGAATGAATATCACAAGGTACAAGGAAACATGTGATAATGAAGTGGAAGGGGAATGTACAGGAGTCGTGCCAGCGACCTGGGGAAGTAAGAGCGAAGAGTAATGAAGTGGGAAAAGAGGATAGAGGTAGCCCAGACGAGCCCCGAAGTGTATAGATGAGTCTGAGTGAGTCTGAGTGAGTCCGAAGTGTGGGAAGACTCCAGAGTCACCGGACGTGACTCGGATACAAAAGGAGTGGACGGAAAGGAAGTGGAAAGGAAAGGGAACAAAAGGGAACAAAAGGAATGTAGGTAAGAGTCCGTGGGATGACTCAGAGACATTAACTCATTCTCTTGGGAATATCACTGTTGGGTTAGCAAACACACAGCAAGTCTCTTGCTAGGCGCGTGACTTGCACTGCCCCTTCCATTTCACTTATTATCATAGTCTCTCATAGTTACACCTGATTATTCATTCATGCACACACATGAGTCCATACATTTATATATGTGTTATCTTCATTCTAGCACCTCAGCTATTGTGCCCCCCACAATACTGTGAGGTGAGATCCTTTTTTACTTATCTTTTACTTGCAGTGTACTTACTAGTACTCGTAGTATATTACTTTTACAGGTACATCAATATAGAGCTATTGCACCCCCCATGATACTGAGTATATTACTTTTACAACCACTAGTATTAGTGCCTAAATCAGTGTCTTCATACCCCACCTCCTCTTTCTCCTATTACTTTTTTTTTTTGAGTCCAATTAACCTCCGTAGTGGTGCTGCCATATGTGGGAGGGTGAACATCATACCGTATCTACCGCCTACGTCTAGTCTGTGCCATAACCAAGAGAAGTAGACCTCTAACCACTGCCTGGTGCCACCGTTGGTAGTGCCATGGCGGTTTACACCGCATAATAGTATGACTGGGGTACATAGCCCCACGCATGTTGAATATAGTAGTTGTGAATTAGTAGAGGGTTATTATGTCTGCACTCACTCGTGCACAATCCGTCATGTCTGTGCCATGAACCTCAGTATGGCTGGGTAGTGCTTGGTGTTCCCTAGGATCGTTGTTGCTGTCCCCGCCGCTCTTCCTATTTCTCCTCGCAGTGCCTCCCTTGCCGCTCAGTGCGCTGCACACTTTGCCAGGTAATGGGTGACCATCTCTTCATATAGGCCACAGGCTGGGCACATTGGTGATGGGACGACTCCAATCCTGTGCAGGTGCTTGTTCAGCGGTGCATGCCCAGTCACCAATTGTGTGATGGTGCTCGCTTGCTGTCTAGTCATCCATTTGACTGCTGCTTTGTGCCCTTTTGAAGTCCTTCCCAATCCCAGTTCTGCCATCCTTCCATATCTCTCCGATCATTCCCATCCCTTCCTCGCCCTCCTCTTCAGCTTCTCCTCGTACACCTGGCTTGTTGCCGCCGTGCCCCTTTTGATCGCGTCCTTTTCATGTAGCGGTGCTGGGAGGCTGCTTCTCTCGTTCACCCATCCCTCTGCCGCCTCCTTCACTGCCTTATCTGCCCTCTCATTCCCTTCCACACCCTCATGCCCCGGTATCCAATGTACTGTTAGCTTTATTCCTGTGTTTCTCCTCCACACCGCCGTGAAGTGTGTGTGTGTGTGAGCACGTCGCGCTCTCCCACATGTTCGGGTGAAGTTCACCTGAATGGCCGAACGACACCCGAACGACACTCGAACGACACCCGAACAGAGTCCGAACACTAGCTGAATAATTTTCACCAAATATTCTATTTTACTGTTCAGCTATTGTTCACCTGATGTTCGGGTGACGTTCATGTCATATGAACTGTTCACCTGAACGGTAGGTGAATTCAGATGAAAATGGCCAGGTGAAATTCACCTGATGTTCAGGTGATGTTCATATGTTCACCCAAAATTCACCTGATGTTCAGGTGGTGTTCATATGTTCATCTGAAATTCACCTGAACACCAGATGATGTTCATATGTTCACCTGAATTTCACCTGGTGTTCAGGTGAACAATACCTGAACAAGCATAATAACTATATTAATCAATAATCAATAACATCAGTTATAAATTGAAATAAAAAAGAACATCAGAAGGAATTGAACCCGCGACGCTCTGAACAGTTAAGCGCCCAATAAGCGCTACAGCTCTGCAAATTACCACTACGCCATAATGGCACTTACTAATATGATACATTTATATATTTATATAATATGATATGCTACAATTGTCTTATCTAATCGTTATCTAATCGCTATCTAATATTTATCTAATCACACCGCCCATCGCCGAAATAAGCGCCGGAGTCCAGAAATGGCAGGTGGTTGATCCCACTGCCACGTCTCTTTCTTTTTCACTACCACCACCATCGATAACGCCCTCGAGCACGCACAACAGCGACGACCACGCCGACGACATGCAGCGACGAAGCCAAGATCAAAGACCCCCAACGACACGCAGCCAAAGCAAGAAGGCTCCCAGCGTCGCTGTGAAAACCAAGTCGACGAAACCCGCACGCAAAACCACCAAAGCAACAGACAAAAAGGAAGTGGATGAGCAGGGGAAAAGGTGCGTGTATCACCCGCCGCCTTCTTCCATTTACTGACATTCCCGCTCCCCATTTCCCGTCCCCCGCGCTCTCTGGCTACCACGACGACGACGACGCCACTGCCACCACCACCACTCCACCCTTCTCCCCCGCGCTGTCTGGCCACGACGACGACGACGACTACACCACGACGACGACACGACGACGACAACGCCGCTGCCACCACCACCACCACTCCACCCTTCTCCCCCGCGCTGTCTGGCCACGACGACGACTACGCCACGACGACGACACGACGACACCACAACAACAACGACGACAATGCCGCCGCCGCTGCCACCACTCCTCCCCCTCGCTGTTTGGCCACGACAACGGCGACGACGACGACGACGGCGACGACGACACGACGGCGACGACGACACGACGACGGCGACGACACGACGACGACGACACGACGGCGACGACGACGACACGACGACGGCGACGACGACACGACGACGGCGACGACACGACGACGACGACGACGACTACACGACGACGACGACTACACGACGACACCACTCCTCCCCCTCGCTGTTTGGCCACGACAACGGCGACGACGACACGACGACGACGACGACGGCGACGACGACACGACGACGGCGACGACGACACGACGACGACGGCGACAACAACAACACGACGACAATGCCGCCGCCGCTGCCACCACTCCTCCCCCTCGCTGTTTGGCCACGACAACGGCGACGACGACACGACGACGACACGACACGACGACGGCGACGACGACACGACGACGACAACACCGCTGCCACGACCACCACCACCACCACTCCTCCCCCGCGCTGTTTGGCCACGACGACGACGACGACTACACCACGACGACGACACGACGACGACAACGCCGCTGCCACCACCACCACCACACCTCCCTGCTCCCCGCACTGTCTGGCCATCACCACCACCACGACAATGACACCACCACGCCGCCATTCCTATCATCTCTTTGTCCACCACGCACGACAACGCCGCCACGCCGCCTCCCTTGCCTCTCCCTGTCCACCACGCATGACAACACTGCAACACTGCCACAACACCACGCCGCCTTGCTCACACACCAATATAGCAAGCCTGCCAGCCGACGCGGCGGCACCAGGTGAAGAGTTCCACTCTTTTTAATTAGTAACAATGGTCTAACTTGAGAGTAGGAGTAAGGCATCTGCTGTTCAGGATACTGAGGCCAGTATAACTACCAAACTAACCTTGTACGTAGCTTGTTGAATATGAATATACTTGAGTATTGAGACCCTGACAGTACGGAGAATGTGCTTGAAAAGAGTGGGGCTTCAATTGCTCCTCCTCCT